GTTTTACCTCATCAGTAGTGAAACGATACAGTGGATTTAAACGAAGATAAAGCATACACTTCGACAGTGAAAATACTTCGTCACTTTCTTCCGGAATATGTTCTTTATTATGTTTCTCCAATGAAATGTTATATTCTACAAAATCAGGCAGTGGGTTGGGCAACCATCTTTCTTTTCCAATTTGGACTCCTTCAGACCAGAGCTTTCGAAAAATATTCTTTTGGATCTTTGCTTTTCGGAGATTTATTCCTGGGTATTTTGGCACAAATTTTCCCCACAAAGAATCCGCGCTGGAAACACTGTTCCACCGCTTACATACTAGGTTGAGATACATGACATCTTCACCAGTACTTCATTAGGCAGACCTAAGAAATAGTCTGCTGTTTTCTGGCCCTTGGGCTTGGATTGAATATCATAGCTCTCCATCACTGTTTAAAAGAGAATAATTGTAATTTTGGCAATGTTGATCTTTGGATTTGGTTTCGTTTTGAACTTTTGAAATTGTTGGCTGGCATTCGTTTTTAGACTATCACAGAGAATTTGAGGCAGGACAGACAAATGGTTCGCTGTTCAGTGTTTACTATGCTCGGACGAGTCGCGGTTTGCTTAAAAAGAAATGGTGGACATGCTGAGGATTAACATCACGAATAAATCGCTTTGTTTTTGTGTTCAGTTTCTCGCTTTAATTTATTCATTTGCCCAGCCTTGCATGAGATCGGTCACACTAAAATCAACGATGCATTTAATCTATTGCGCGCAATGAAATTTGAGTCACTCAAATATTTGTCACCTTTAGGGGTCGCGCGTTGCTCCCAGTAAGATTATTTTTCCTGAAACGTTGACAGTTTATTAAAAAGCTTTCCTACTTTTAGACAGCTAAATAATATCTCAATTTCAGCTTCACATTTTTGCGCGCAAGCCCTCTAAATATCAGTGGAAAGGAACACCCCCCCCGGTAACATAATTTTGTTAATGAAAAACCAAACTTCGCCTTGGTATACCAGAGAAGTCTTAACTATCTCTAGGAACACAAAAATTTGCCAAATTCTGCAAAATATCGAGAAAAACGAAAATTTAACATTTGGGACATTTTTTGATACACCCTGTATATATATGTCGCGAGGAATTCGACAGCCATTCAGGAGATTAGTTACCCTTTAACCTCAGAGATTTGGAAAAGTTCTTATGCTCGAAAATTTCACAAGTCATGTTTACTTCTCATGCACTTATGAGAATCATACTAATTCATTACATTAAAATAAAATACCTTTACTTTCATGAAATGAAAGTGACCTGAAGGCCACCCATCTTGTTCATCAGTTTTTCGTTTTCCCTGAAGTTCCATTTCTTCGATTCGCTTTTTTAATTGAACATCTTGCTCAAATAGTTCGGAAGGCCGTACTGAATCCTGGTTAAAAAAACACTTGAAACTAAAATGAACACTGGGTTAAAATGGTAATTACCCCCTTTGTAAAACACCACTGGAATTTATTTATCATATGAAATCAATGATATTACATTAAATAAATCAGTTACCCCTACTAAATTATCCTCATCAATAAAAGTAATAATTGTTTCCATTCTTCAAAAATTGTATGAATTTTCAAAATATAGCTATATACATCATTCGCAGGGACAAATATTTGTTTTTAGACAGAATATGCTGAAGACGAGTATTTCGGATGTGCAGAATGCAATGTCAGCGATGTAACAAAATCACGGTGTGTAGTTTAATCAATCGATTTGAATCTCTCCCAATTCCATGCAACTTAACTTTATCAGACTTACCTTCGTTTTTTCGCTTTTCTCACCAAAGCAGTTCATTAATCTGTTGCCGGAATCTATAGATATAGTGCACTATTTGAAGACTGTTTGCAAATGACTATTTGTTCCGACTAATACGCCACAAAATTCCAATTTCAAATTACAATAAAGCATGGGATTATCACATGCAGATTACTTTCTAGTTCCTGTTTCCACGAATCGTTACATGCATGCAATATATCAAACATACATATATTACTACCACAACATCGTTGATTATTTCTACTTGTTACTTGTTACTGTCACGATTGAGGCTATTTTTGATTCATTCATCTCATTTTCACTTGTAGTGATTATATACATGAGTATTATATGCATTTATGGTGCTTTCAATGCCAGTGACTTACAATCGTAAAAGCAAGAACTAGATAAGATCAGGACTGAAAGAGGAAGTATGATTTGGGATTCCGGAAAGCAGATGTTAAAGAAAATGCTGATAATTGTTTTTTAACTTGATATATGCAAACCTTGCATTACAGGCTAACACTCGTGATAAACCACGCCCACTCCACATGCATGCACTCAGCATTTCTATTTGCATGGAGAGAAAACATTCTGAATACGCCAAGACACGTACTTCGCGCATGTCACGGAGTGCAGTGATGTGAAGAGTTTCCACTTCAACCGTATCGTAACGTAACGTGGCGTATTTCTTTGTTTGCGAAGTATTCGACCAGAACGAATGACTTTACAACAATGAGATAAGCTAAGTTTCGCTACGATACGGTTAAAGTGGAAAACGGCCTTCACTCTTTTAACTTAAGGTAGGTTGTAATTATCAGTTTTAAGGCGAGCGGGCATTTACTCATTACTGATATTATTGATTGTGTACACCTTCATTAGGGTTCATCTCCATCAGACATATATATATATATCGGTCATCATACATAGGTCAAATCGCTAAACTTTCATTATTTTTAAAAACGTCACTTTGGCCTGTGACTAATTTTCCCAGTCAACTGTTGCTCGCAAACACGATTGTTTTTACCGCGGTTTTTTCAATTTCCCTCCCCCCCTTCTCATGACTTAGGGTGAAAATTTACCTGACTTGTTTTCCCTGTGATTTTTCTGAGGTTAGCTGCTTTCCCATGTAGCCCACTCTCCATGCAGGTAATTCAATGCATGGATAGTTCTAGCTAAAGTTTTCATTCCGTTAAATCTACAGTACAGTGAAATAGGGCATATTTCTCTCAGTGATCAAGACGTATTTATTAATTTGTTTTATATAGATCACAACGATTTCGACAATGACGACTGGAATACAAAGTTGCTTGCTTTTGTTGGTGAATCTATATTTGGTGCATTTCTCGAAGATCGAAGCTAACTGCGCAGGAAATGGTTTGAAGAACAACTGTGCTTGTAATTTTATTGGTGCCTGTACATATGACGCCAGTAAAAATACCTTCAATCCCTTTTCTGGTTCAGCAGGAGTTCTGAGAAATTACATCCCGGACGTTACATCTTTAGGTACACCACAAACTACTGAAATTTGTGAGCCTGGGAACTTTGGTATTATTTTTGATTGTAAAAATCGCATCCCACTTGCCGCTACAATTGTTATGACTGCTGATCAGTATAATGACCCTGCATACAAACGACCTTCGAATAAATTTAGGCAAAGCTCCGAAATGGCAGACCCATCTTTTCAACAAAATGATGATGATTATAAAGACACATTAAACCGCAAGCTATGCTACGAATCACTAACTAAAAAAGTGTATTACATTGAAAGTAATTGGTACGAAGCAAAAAATAAGATGCTACTTCCGGTATTTACTGTTTGTCCAAACACTGGACCACAAGGTCTTAAAACCACTGTTCACAGAGGCCACTTGGTTGCTGCCAATTATGGTCGCGGTACACCTAATTTGATAAGAAGTCAACAAACGTTCGTATATACAAACGCAGTTCCACAATTTGGCGGTCTAAATTCGGGATCATGGCAGAAACACGAATCAATGCTCATTAAATGGGCAAAAAACAACTGTGGAGGTTCTCCTTTGCACGTCATTGTCGGCTGCATACCATCAACATATGGGAAAAACGAGCAAAGGTTCTTTGGTGGATCAGGGTTCAGTGATTTTATTGGACCTTCAAATACACCAGGAGGAAACGGGTATAGGGTTAATGTGCCATCGTACTTGTGGACAGCGGCGTGTTGTTCACCATCGAATACCCTCACCAAAAGCACCACATTCTATGCTAAAAACGTACCCACAGGATTTTCTCAACAAAGTGTCGAATTGAGTAAATTGTTTTTAGCTATGAAAGCTTCTCCTATAAGTCTTTTCCCTGGGATGCCAAGTTGTAACGATGATAAAAATTTCATGTCCATTTATTCTTAAAAATATATAACTATATATATAAGTGAAGGTAAATCAATTATGATTTTCGGCACTTCACTTGATGCAGTTATATTTTAGAGGTTTTAAAGGGTCTTAATTTCGAGTGGAATTATACACACTTCAAATTCAAGCCAGGAACAGTTGAAGGAAAAATGAGTCAAGTATAGGTCCTCCGGCAGGAATCGAACCTACGCTTTCGCGATGCCGGTGCAATGCTCTTGCCACAGTATTCTGTTATTTGTGCGAGTGTATCTTTTCTCCAAGAACTTGCCAGTTCATGATCAATGTACAATAGCAATGATTTCGTATAAACGCGGAGAGACACATTTACAAATTGATATTTGAGTAAATTTCGCATAGATTTACGCGGACAGACAGACATTTACAAATCGAGATTTTGACTGGGTCGAATGAACTACAAAACGGACATTTTTTGCAGTAGTTCGTTCGATTCCTGCCAGAGGACCTATAGTTGACTCATTTTTCCATCAACTGTTCCTGGCTTGAATTTGAAGTGTGTATAATACCACTCGAAATTAAGACCCTTTAAAACCTCTCTATATATAAGTGTTTCATTGTTATAACATTGTTTTTTTTAAGTTCGATTTTGTAAGTACTGGCAATATACCCTTTTAAAATTACCAGTTAAATAAAAAAGCATCACAGAAACTAATTTTGGAATTTTCGGTTGTTATTGGTTTTTCATGTTTATATGGTCATAAATTAACAAGAATAAGGGGAAATATTGTCATTGAATCTGAAAGGTCCATATTATGGGCGCAAATGCATTTTGGGGATAAGACGTTGATTACATTACCTGTTTTTTGAAATTGAATGATGATGTCCATGTGTTAACATTCAACTTTGAACCGACTATAACGCTGGGGTCGAGTGGTCGACATCTGCAGTCGTATCACTCCCAACATAAGGTTCAGGTATAGTTTAGTGCGAGGCTAATAGTAAAATGTATTTGTATTAATTATACATCGAACATTTGAATCGCGAAGTAAAATGATTTTGTCACAAACGTTAATAATTGGAGGACAATTAGATATTTGTTTCCAACCCCTCTCTTCTGGATTGACGTCCTTGATCCAAATGCAAAACCCCGTAACATTTAATCAATAGTTATTTGGTTTGACAATTACCCTGAAAATAGGGTTAAAAGTTTCAAACATCACCTTTGAATTTAGAGGTTACGAGGTTGCAAATCTTCGGCTCGCACAAAGAACGACTGCTGTGTCGCTAACTAAAATTTGCCTCGCATAGGGAAGTTCGTCAAATTGTTCATTTCTATAACTAAGAGCGACATTATAAATTATAAATCGGTCATTTGTACCAACAACAATATTTCGAATTTGATCAAAAAGGCTCTTGCTCAAACACATTCCTCCCGGAACTAAGAAAGCATCACCGACTCCTCGGCCGTTAATACGGCCTTCTTCATCGATTAGTTTCTCGTTTTCCTTCAGAAAACGATGCTCACTCGTTCGTGAATCGTAACAGCAATAGGCAATCATCCACATGGCAAATTTCTTATCTCCAAAAAAGACCATGTCTATAAGAGATGTTGTATCCGGTACAGGAACATCAGGCTCCTCATCACCAGGTTTATAAATGTGTCCTAGTTTATCACAAATTGTATGAACAATTTCCCCCATGAGAGGATCATCATGTTCTACTTCATCAGTAGTGAAACGATAAAGTTGATTTAAACGAAGATAAAGCATACACTTTGACAGTGAAAATACTTCATCACTTTCTTCCGGAATATGTTCTTTATTATGTTTCTCCAATGAAATGTTATATTCTACAAGATCAGGCAGTGGGTTGGGCAACCATCTTTCTTTTCCAATTTGGACTCCATCAGACCAGAGCTTTCGAAAAATATTCTTTTGGGTCTTTGCTTTTGGGAGATTTATTCCTGGGTATTTTGGCACAAATTTTCCCCACAAAGAATCTGCACTGGAAACACTGTTCCACCGCTTACATACTAGGCTGAGATACATGACATCATGGATTTCAAGGTAAGAGAAAATCTTCACCAGGACTTCATTAGGTAGACTTAAGAAATAGTCTGCCTTTTTCTTGTCCTTGGGCTTGGATTGAATATCATAGCTCTCCATCACTGTTTAAAGGAGAATAATTGTAATTTTGGCAATGTTGATCTTTGGATTTGGTTTTGTTTTGTACTTTTGAAATTGTTAGCTGGTATACGTTTTTGGACTATCTGAGATGCCAGAAGTATGGTACATGAGACTGGTGATCACAAAGCCTGATTTCCATATACGACATAATTCATTGGCAATGTTTGACAATCCATTGTTGGTTATCAGTGAAGACTAGATCATTTTTATAGGTAGACATCAATGACCACTAACAATTGCTATCACCAATGAATAAAAATATACATAAAAAACACAGGCTTAAGGATGTAAAACTATTTTTGGAGATTTAATTTCCAAGTTGAGAAGTTATAGTTGAAATATTTTGGCATTCTTTAGATGGTCAACCCCCCTTGTCTTCCTCAATTTTGCTAATTTTGTCTTTGATCATGTTTTTTAAAGTAATGTCCAGGCAGAATGTAACAGAGGTATCTAGGTAATTTGACATGTTATATACAGTATTCATGATAATATCCACTCTCTTTTGGCTCTTTTGGATGCAAAAGCTTCTAAAAAACGTTAGGTCTTTCTACAACTGTATTGTTGTATTGTATATTTTAATTTATAGAAATACAGAAAATATTTCAGTTGATGCATTTGAAAAGTGTGCATGAATATATAATCGCATTGTGGAGCAGAGATTATTTCATTTATGATATATTAGCCATAAGTTTTAGTATTAAAAGCGTAAATGGCATCGTATTAAACCCGACGTAACTTTATCTTACCAGAATTGTGCTTTTGTTCTTGCTTTTGTAGTGTCTATGCATATAGGAAGCCCAGACATGTTTTCGTTCTCGTGGCGCTCGCGCGTGTACACGAGTCTATATGGTTTATTATTATGCTCATAATATTAGACCAAGTAGACTCGTGTACACGCGCGAAAGCGCCACGAGAACGAAAACATGTACTGGTCTGGGCTGCCAAAATGGTCTCTGTTCCCAATGAGTGCCAGACGTTTTTTAGTGGCCAGATATACTATAAAAACAAAATTACACTAAAACGTAAACCTTTCAAACAATCAGTATTAAACTATTAACAACAAACGTCAAATTGTTAGCACTAGAACGTTCTGGCTGTGCAGTGTAACATGAAATATTGAATTCTCTGATTTCATTATGATTCATGCAAAATACACTGGCGGTCAAAAAGAACTGCTCAAATGTTGCTATTATCGTATGTAACAGGAATCGTGACATTCTATTTTTTATTGTACACTAGCGGTCAAAAAGAACTGTTTAGATACAAATTCATGAAAAAGAAGCGAATATAGGAGAGAGCTTCATAGACATTTTGTTTAATTCTCTTATTCCAAACAATATTTCAATAATGTAATGCAACCTGCCACACTTCCAAGATATAGTCAAACAATGGTTGCAGGAAGAGGGTGTGACAGAAATGGATTGGCCTGCACAGTCAAAAGACCTTAACCCTATTGAAAATCTGTGGGACACTGTCAAGGGGATAGCGCAAGAACGGAATTCATTCATAAAGGGTCCATGATTTATGCGTTGCTGTAAAGACTGTCCATAGGATGAATTTCCTATGACCTCTAAGATTACCACCTCAACAGAAAGTATGCTAAGCCGGTGTAAGGCCGTCATCAATTATAAGGCCAAAGGAAGATCAACAAAGTATTAATATTTCATACAGCTTAGCATGTAATCTAGTCTATATTTACTCGTATATATTGTTAGTGGGACATTTATGTTCATTTGAGAGCAGTTTAACTTGTTTTGAGCAGTTCTTTTTGACCGCCAGTGTATATTCTTCTCGATAATTATGTCAAGCGGAAGTCTCGATCATACCTTTCGCTTTCATTTCCAGGAATTTAATAAGTGTTAGCTGGAATTCAGTTTTGACAACACGTTATTTTTCTTTCTATAACTATTTACTAAGAAATCAAGGTAAGTGGTAAAAAATATAGTCCAGATTATAAATTCTTTCAAGTTGAAATAAAAGGTAGAAGTACGTAAAGTGTATAAAGGTTGTTGTACGTGGCAACGACTCGCTGTTCAAGTGTAATTGCGCTATAGTTCACCGCCGACTTTGATATTAAATTTTTGGATATTAAACTTGTTCTCGTAGTGATGTTATTATTATTATTATTTCAAAACTTCATGTACATGAAAAACAACGACACATACATAGGCAGGTGACAACAGGGCTATAACACCCTAGCTAAGGCCACCCACCTCTATTTAAAAACGAAAACAGACATAAGGACAGACGGACGGACAGAAAGACAAACGGACGGACATGATCTAATACTAATCATGATCTAACAGCAAGATGAGTCAAGTGACGGTTGGAAGAAGTTTCTGATGGTGTTGCAACGTAGACATGTGGTTTTACTTACGTTATCACTTTTTCTTGTTGACCTGATCTTTTTTGTAGAACCTTTAATTTATTAATATCAAATTTAATTACAAAAATTTTTTTATTTTTTTAGAATTCTGAAAAACCTCACCCTAAAACATGATGATCTCACAGGACATTCCCAATGACAATACCTACTCTATCTAACCATATTAATAGCATAACTTACATCAGTTTGTTCAAAAACAAAATTTCTGTTAGTACTACAAGATTTGGCTGAATTGGTTCGGCTTGAATCTCGACTTTTGTGCTGTTGTGTAAGCCAAGAGCTTTGCAGGCGGTTTTTCTTCCTTTTCTCCATTACATCATCTTTTTTTGAAACATGTCCAGTTCATTTTTAAAATTTTAGAACATTTTTTTCGTATTCAGTTTATAAAATTATTTTAAAAGATTTTGATTTTGATTTTTGACTTTATTTTTCTTGAAGTATGAGCCTGCCATCCAATGAGATACTTCATTCCATACAAAACCATTAACGTCAAATTGTCCACACTCGGTGATGTCCTGGAGGGGGGTGGGGCTGGGAGGATGTGAGTCACAACCAATGATAATTACTAGAGCCTAAAAGCTCCTTATTTAAAATCGGGTATAACCGTGTATAAGTTTGTACCCAATTTTACTTAAAGAACCTGTGTTTCATCCATTTGGTTAGGGTCCTGCAAAATACCGTTCTACTAATAAAAATGACATTATAATTTAGTTCATGATTGTGTACAGTTGCAATACTACCAACTAGAAACTACGACGTTTTCTACTACCAATGCAGGAAAAAAATTAAAAATTACACAGATTTAGTTACTTCGTTAATACATCAAAATCATTAACTATACATTAACTACAGCTACCATAGAGTAATTAAAATTTTAGAAAATATAATGGACCCTCCAAAACGGTTTTACTTCGAAACATTTTATCGGACACACAGGAATATTTCGTTTGCGGAGAGCCCATTGTTTGTTACTATATTTTGACATGATCTTGATGCCTGCGGATAAATTTCGTGAAAAATTTAAGGTGAGGAATATTTGCATGTTTATATTGAGCAAAAATTTGCTGTTTATTATTACACTGTTGGTTGATAAGAAAATTATGGTTCTAAATTGTTACCATAAGATTTACGCAATGTCATTCCAGTTATGAAAAAGGTTAATTCGAGTGATTTATTATCAATTGACAAGTTATTGAGTAAATATTGTAGAGTATAGGTTAATTAATGTCAGGAAATAAAATACGTGATCCATTCAAACTTATTTTCCGCTTTTTCAAATGTGATCACCGACTTGGATGAATACAACCTGCAATTGTTTCTTTCACTGGAGCAGGAAGATTTCGCACTGCAGAAACTGAAAACATCACAAGAAGAATCCTGGTCACATGTTTTCCTGCACGATTTCGCATCAACCGTTGTGGTACTATTCGGACGAGCTTGGGTTGAAACACGAAGATTTTTCACCTTAAAATCTTTCTTATCATCCCTAATCTTGGTAGGAAATATTATTATCTTCGCTTTGGCATTCGATTTATCCGGGATAATATGTTCCTGATTTGCGTCATAAAAAAAGCAATTGTCACTTGACGTGGTTGTATAAACTATAGCCAAGCAGTGAAGGTGTTCGAAGCATCTTGAAATACAAGATGATTCTGTTGCAGCTGTGAATTTTGAAATGTCATTTGGGAGAGTATAATGGTTTATTATAATTCCCACGGAGACGGATTCGTCACAATTATTCACAGTTCCTGCAAGGAGTAATTGTTTGCAATAAGATTTTTCAATTCCAACTAACTTCTTTCTTAAGAAATCGTAATTGATCCCAGTGCCTTTCATAAACACACTTGTAAATAGATTAGAGATTGGTTGAATTTTATAGGATGTTGGTACAGGATTTTCTTTGACAGTTGCTGCCCAGTAAGCAGCCTCCCCGTTGCTTGGTGGAGCTGCCCCAACAGTAACTGTCGTTGTTTCAACTTCTTTAGAGAATTGTGAGGCCGCTTCTCTTTCACTTTTGTCTAAACTAAATCCTCCACTGACGCTGATTAAACCAGAATAACTTGCTTGCGCTGAAACACTGATGGATCTCGAGGACGCTGTTTTGTACGACTGTGAACTCATGCTGTATTGTTTCAGAAACCGTGCTCCAAATACCACAGTTGTTGGAAAATGTGTCCCGTAATACTTCACAAATTTTATTAAGTTGGCTGTTGTATGGTTTTTTTCTAATGATTTCGCTGAGCGGATGAACCCTGGATGTAGAGGTGGAGGGTCAGTGAAATCAACTCTACTGAAGTAATAAGAACATTTCGCTGAAGATGTAATGTATACTTTCTCTCCTGACGAGACTTCAGATGAGGTTTTCTTGTAGCTTGAGCTAGCAGAAAAACTAAAAGCACCAAAACCACCACTTGCTGAGACTGATGTTGAAAGAGATTTGTGTAGTTCAAACGTATTCTGTATGATCGTCGAGGCGAAAGATGTTACACAGGATACATCAGGGATGACAGACAAACCTTTAGGAATACTGTAACGACAATCGGCTGTTTGTTGATCTTTACTGTAATCAGCAGAGAATATTTGATGGGCGAAACCAGGATCATGACCATTAGAATTGGGGTAACCTTTGATAATATCATACCCCAGGAAAGCGTAATCCAAATCTGGGAAAGTGTTTCTGAGATTTGGGTTTTGGTTCGTATCTGAGCATTGCCGAATAGTTTTTGTTCCTAGAAAATATTGCGAAACATTTTAGTACTTTTATACTTTGGTATATATACAGTAGCGTAGCCAGCCTGTCGATTTGTCCCGCTATGCTAATATTTTAGTGTTCACTGACCGCTGTGAAAACAATAGATTTCTAAAGACATGAATAATTATAATAGCTCGAAATTTATATAGGGCGACATAATCGTCAGGCTGGCTACGCCACTGTATATATAGAAATTTATTTTGGCAGAAACACTTTCACGCTTTTGCTACGGCAAAACAACAAAGGCAACCTTGCTCAATGTCAACTTACCAAAATGCATATGAAGATCCGTCTTTTTGCTTTCATCAACGCGCTCGGTCTAATCAGAAGAGTTCGAAAATAAGCAGTAAACTCGTAATCTATACGCAATTCAAATATAGTCGGGCCTGGTTCACACCCGCTCCTAAGAATCGGGGATCCATTGTATTACTTTCCGATAGAGTATAGACAAAGCATTTTGCACACCAGTGACCTCAGAAAAAGGGAATCCCAAATTCTTATGACACTTTAGGATTCTTAAGTGTGAACCAAGCTTTAGTCTGACCCTCAAAATACGAATATGGATAGTTGAGTCATTACCTCTTATTTAGAGAAACTGCACTCCAGATAAAATATGATAGAAATATTGCCCCGGTTAGTAATATCCCGATGAGAAGACACTTCACATATCTCTTCCATATCTACAATCAAAATTTATGCGAATTCGAGTCAGGATCAGTGGGGGGGTGTCATGCAAACTTATGCTTTATTGACCAACGCGTCAATAATGAAAATGTCAAACTATCAATGAACCTAAGAAATTAGTTAATAAAAAATTAGTTTGTTAACATTGGGTGAGCTGGAGCATGTGTCAAATTCTAAAACTAAATTCAAACTTGAACTTGTTTATAATCAAATCGAGGAATGTGATTATGTGAAGCACTCCATGTGGCTGCTAGTATATATATATATGTCGCGAGGAATTCGACAGCCATTCGGAAGATTAGTTACCCTTTAACCTCGGAGATTCTTACACTCGAGAATTTCACAAGTCATGCATGTTTACTTCTCACTTATGAAAAACATATTAATTTATTACATTAAAATAAAATACCTTTACTTTCATGAAATGAAAGTAACCTGAAGGCCACCCATCTTGTTCATCAGTTTTTCGTTTTCCCTGAAGTTCCATTTCTTCGATTTGCTTTTTTAATTGAACATTTTGCACAAATAGTTCGGAAGGCCGTACTGAATCCTGGATAAAAAAAACAATTGAAACTAAAATGAACACTGGGTTAAAGTGGTAATTACCCCCTTATATTAAATTAAATAAATCAGTTAATCCTACTAAATTATCCTCATCAATAAAAGTAATAATTGTTTCCATTCTTCAAAAATGGAATGAATTTTCAAAATATACATCAATGCCAATCAATTTTCAAATATACAGGAATGCAATGTCAGTGATGTAACAAAATCACGGTGTGTGTAGTTTAATCAATCGATTTGAATCTCTCCCAATTCCATGCAACTTAACTTTATCAGACTTACCTTCGTTTTTTCGCTTTTCTCACCAAAGCAGTTCATTAATCTGCTGAATCTATAAAATATATAGTGCACTCTTTGAAGACTGTTTGCAAATGACTATTTGTTCCGACTAATACGCCACCAACTATTCCAATTTCAAATTTCAATAAAGCGTGGGAGTATCACATGCAGATTACTTTCGAGTTCCTGTTTCCACGAATCGTCACATGCATGCAATAAATTAAACATGCATATATTACTACCACAATATCGTTGATAATTTCTACTTGTTACTGTCACGATTGAGGCTACGTTTGATTCATTTATCTCATTTTCACTTGCAATGATTATATACATGAGTATTATATGCATTTATGGTGCTCAATACCAGTTTTACTTAATCGTATAGAAGCAGGAACTAGATAAGAGAAGTATGATTTGGGATTCCGGGAAGCACTGAGCTTGAGGAAGCACTGAGGTGTTAAAGAAAATGATTATATAATTGTTTGAACCACACACACTTCCACACTCAGCATTTTTTTTGCATGAAGACAAAATCAACCTCGTACAAAATATGATATTCTGAATACGCCAAGACGCGTATTTTATAACACCGCGAGTGCAGTGATGTAAAGAGGAATTCTTAACTTACGGTAGGTTGTTAAAAATTTAGATTCACTTAAAGTATACATACAAGTCGCTGAGACTATACATAAAACGAGAAGGATCATGACATATTGTCTTTCACTCAGTGCACGAGGCACCATCTGTTAAGTGCGGAATAAAGCTATGTTTTAAAGACTATTTTCCTATCGGCCGTATAATTATATAGCTCTTTGAATAAACAGGAGCTAAAGTCGTGCATATGATTGTCTTAAGGTCGTTTTCCACTTCAACCGTATCGTAGCGAAACGTAGCGTATCTCATTGTTTTAAAGTCATTAGTTCTGATCGAACTGATACTTCGGAAACAAAGAAATACACTACGTTACGATACGATACAACTAGCTGTTTCAAATCGTTGCTGTATGATCTATTTTTAATACGCATCGGCATCACCATGCATCATGAACTGATATTAAACATATTCTTACCACGACATCGTTTGTCAGATAATATATAATAAAAGTTAGTGTATATACAGTGGGAGAAATGTCTTTGTTAATCAAAACCATTGATACTGATTTCTGCTTTTTACTGCATGTCATGCACGCACATAAGGATAGTTTTGATTCATTCATCGCATGTTCACTTGTAGTGATTATATACATGAGTATTATATGCATTAATGGTCAGTGCTTTCTGTTTCTAAGTCATATTAATACCAGTGGTTTAATCGTAGAAGCAGGAACTAGATCAGGACTGAAATAGCAAGTATAATTTTGGATTCCGGGAGGCAAAAAATGCCTTTATTGCATATAATTGTTTTTTTTTACTTAATATCAAGTATCAACAACCTTTGAAGTTTGACCGGCTAAAAAACTCGTGATGAACCACACCTTTTTATGGATATCATGCAGTTTTGTGTTAAAAATTTGAGCCGATACATATTACTTCAATATATAAGTCGCTGCATTCAGTATGTGCAATATTGTATATGCACAGGGAAGCATATGTAAATGCTGATATAATTGTTTTTCAACTTGATATGTGCAAACCTTGCATGACAGGCTAATATTCGTGATAAACCACGCCCACTCCACATGCACCCAGCATTTTTATTTGCATGGAGAAAAAACATTCTGAATACGCCAAAACACGTACTTTATATCACGGAGTGCAGTGAAGTGAAGAGTTACTCTTAACTTACGGTAGGTTGTGGATTTCAGTTTTAATGCGAGCGGGCATTCATATATTCATTATATTACTGATTACATCTCCATCAGACATACATAAATCCGTCATCATGCATATATAGGTCTAACCGCTAAACTTTCATTATTTTTAAAAACGTCACTTTGGCCTATGACTAATTTTCCCAGTCAACTGATGCTCGCAAACACGATTGTTTTTACCGCAGTTTTTTCAATTTCCCTCCCCCCCTTCTCATGACTTAGGGTGAAAATTTACGTAATTTGTTTTACGTGTGCTTTTCTGAGGATAGCTGCTTTCCCATTTAGCCCACTCGCCAAGTATTTGAATGCATGGATAGTTCTAGCTAAAGTTTTCATCCCGTTGCAAATCTACAGTACAGTGAAATAGGGCATATTTCTGTCAGTGATCAAGACGTATTATTAATTTGTTTTATTTAGATCACAACGATTTTGACAATGACGACTGGAATACAAAGTTGCTTGCTTTTGTGGGTGAATCTATACTTGGTGCATTTCTCGAAGATCGAAGCTAACTGCGCAGGAAATGGTTTGATGAACAACTGTGCTTGTAATTTTATTGGTGCCTGTACATATGACGTCAGTAAAAATACATTCAATGCCCGTCCTGGTTTAGCAGGAAATCTGAGAAAGTACATCCCGGACGTTACACCTTTAGGTACACCACAAACTACTGAAATTTGTGAGCCTGGGAACTTTGGTATTATATACGATTGTAATAATCGCATCCCACTTGCCGCTACAATTGTTATGACTGCTGATCAGTATAATGACCCTGCATACAAACGACCTTCGAATAAATTTAGGCAAAGCTCCGAAATGGCAGACCCATCTTTTCAACAAAATGATGATGATTATAAAGACGCACTAAACCGCAAGCTATGCTACGAATCACTAACTAACAAAGTGTATTACATTGAAAGTAATTGGTACAGAGCTGAAAATAAGATATCACTTGGGTTATTTACGGTATGTCCAAACACTGGACCACAAGATGATCTTAAAACCCGTGTTCACAGAGGTCACTTGATTGCTGCCAATTATGGTCGCGGTACACCTAATTTGATAAGAAGTCAACAAACGTTCGTATATACAAACGCAGTTCCACAATTTGGCGTTCTAAATTCGGGATCATGGCAGAAACACGAATCAATGCTGATTGAATGGGCAAAAAGCAACTGTGGAAGTTCTCCTTTGCACGTCATTGTCGGCAGTATACCATCAACATATGGGAAAAACGAGCAAAGGTTCTTTGGTGGATCAGGGTTCAGTGATTTTATTGGACCTTCAAATACACCAGGAGGAAACGGGTATAGGGTTAATGTGCCATCGTACTTGTGGACAGCGGCGTGTTGTCATTCACCATCAAATACTTTCACCAAAAGCACCACATTCTTTGCTGAAAACCTACCCACAGGATTTTCTCAACAAAGTGTCGAATTGAGTAAATTGTTTTCAGCTATGGAAGCTTATCCTATAAATCTTTTCCCTGGGATGCCAAGTTGTAACGATGATAAAAATTTTGTTTCGTTGTGATGAAATAGCTTGTTTTTTTGTTCAGTTTGATTTTGTAAGTTCTGGCGATATACCCTGTTAAAATTACCAATAAGATAAAAAAGCATAACAGAAACTAATTTGGGAATTTTCGGTTGTTATTGGTTTTTCATGTTTATATGGTTATAAATTAACAAGAATAGGGGAGATATTGAATCTGAAAAGTCCATATTATGGGCGCAAATGCATTTTGAAGATAAGACGTTGATTACATTAAGGTCCGGTCACACGATCCAATTCACTTCTGATGGATGTTTAACAGTTTGTTCACTCCGTTCGACTTGCAATGTACATATTTGTGGACAGCGAATCAACCCAATGCAGTTCTACTGCTTTATCAAATAACACCACATTCCATACGTCAGAAGTCAATTGAATCCGACAAAGTTGGATCGTGTGAAATTTTGAACGGTAGGAATAGAGATTTTGAACGGTCGGAATTCACCAGTTTCACCCAGACCCTTTACATTCCAGCGTAAATTTGACAAGTACCTTACCTATTTTTTGAAGTTGAATGATGATATCCATGTGTTAACATTCACTTTGAACCGACTATAACGCTTGGGTCGAGTGGACGACTTCTGCAGTCGTATCACTCCCAACATAAGGGTTAGGTATAGTTTAGTGCGAGGCTAATAGTAATAATTATGTATTTGTATTAATTATACATCGAACATTTGAATCGTGAAGTAAAAAGATTTTGTCACAAACGTTAAAAACTGGCGGACAATTAGATATTTGTTCCCAACCCCTCCCTTCTGGATTGACGTCCTTGATCCAAATGCAAAACCCCGTAAAATTATTTGGTTTGACAATTACCCTGAAAGTAGGGTTAAAAGTTTCAAACATATCACCTTTAAATTTAGAAGTTACGAAGTTGCAAATCTTCGGCCTGCACAAAGAACGACTGCTGTGTCGCTAACTAAAATTTGCCTCGCATAGGGAAGTTCATCAAATTGTTCATTTCTATAACTAAGAGCGACATTATAAATTATAAATCGGTCATTTGTACCAACGACAATATTTCGAATTTGATCAAAAAGGCTCTTGCTCAAACACATTCCTCCCGGAACTAAGAAAGCATCACCAACTCCTGGGCCGATAATACGGCCTTCTTCATCGATTAGTTTCTCATTCCTCTTCAGGAAACAATGCTCACTCGTTCGTGAATCGTAACAGCAATAGGCAATCAACCACATTGCAAATTTCTTATCTCCAAAAAAGACGATGCCCATGAGAGATGTTGTATCCGGTACAGGAACATCAGGCTCTTCATCACCAGGTTTACAAATGTGTCCTAGTTTATCACAAAGTGTATGAACAATTTTCCCCATGAGAGGATCATCATGTTTAACCTCATCAGTAGTGAAATGATAAAGTGGATTTAAACGAAGATAAAGCATACACTTCGACAGTGAAAATATTTCATCACTTTCTTTCGGAATATTTTCTTTATTATGTTTCTCCAATGAAATGTTATATTCTACAAGATCAGGCAGTGGGTTGGGCAACCATCTTTCTTTTCCAATTTGGACTCCATCAGACCAGAGCTTTCGAAAAATATTCTTTTGGGTCTTTGCTTTTGGGAGATTTATTCCTGGGTATTTTGGCACAAATTTTTCCCACAAAGAATCTGCGCTGGAAACACTGTTCCACCGCTTACATACTAGGCTGAGATACATGACATCATGGATTTCAAGGTAAGAGAAAATCTTCACCAGGACTTCATTTGGTAGACTTAAGAAATAGTCCGCTGTTTTCTGGCCCTTGGGCTTAGATTGAATGTCATAGCTCTCCATCACTGTATAAAGGAGAATAATTGTTATTTTGGCAATGTTAATCTTTGGATTTGGTTTTGTTTTGTACTTTTGAAATTGTTGGCTGGTATTCGTCTTTGGACTATCTAAGATGCCAGAAGTATGGTACATGAAACTGGTGATCATGAAGCCTGATTTCCATATACGACATAATTCAATGGCAATGTTTGACAATCCATATTGTTGGTTATCAGTGAAGACTAGATCATTTTTATAGGTAGACATCAATGACCACTGACAATTGCCATCACCAATGAATAATATATAAAAAACACAGGCTTAAGGATGTGAAACTATTTAGGAGATTTAATTTCCAAGTTGGGAAGTTATAGTCGAAATATTTTGGCATTCTTTAGATGGTCAACCCCCCTTGTCTTCCTCTATTTTGCTAATTTGGTCTTTGATCATGTTTTTTTAAGTAATGTCCTGGCAGAATGTAAGAGGTATCTAAGTAATTTGACATGTTTTATACAGTATTCATGATAATATCCACTGGCTCTTTTGAATGCAAAAGCTTCTAAAATAACGGGGTCTTCCTACAACTGTATTTTGCTGCACTGTGTATTGTATATTTTAATTTATAGAAATACAGAAAATATTTCAGTTGATGCATTTGTAATAAAAGTAATATCGCATTGTGGAGCGGAGATTATTTCATTTATGATATATTAGCCATAAGGTTTAGTATTAAAAGCGTAAATGGCATCGTATTAAACCCGACGTAACTTTATCTTACCAGCATGTGCTTTTGTTCTTCAATGCTTTTGTAGTGTCTCTGTTCCCACGTTTTATGGTGGCCAGACAAAATTACACTAAAACGTAAACCTTTCAAACAATCAATATTAAACTATTAACAACAAACGTCAAATTGTTAGCACTAGAACGTTCTGGCTGTGCAGTGTATTAAACATGAATAAAATATTGAATTCTGAATTCTCTGATTCATGCAAAATATATTCTTCTCGATAATTATGTCAAGCGGAAGTCTCGATCATAACTTTCGCTTTTACTTCCAGGAATTTAATGAGTGTTAGCCGGAATTCAGTTCTGCAAAGCAACTGGTTTAACTGACAACACGTTATTTTTCTTTCTATAACTATTTACTAAGAAATCAAGGTAAGTCGTAAAAAATATAGTCCAGATTATAAATTCTTTCAAGTTGAAATTAAAGGTTAAAAGTACGTAAAGCGTATAAAGGTTGTTGTACGTGGCAACGACTCGCTGTTCAAGATTTGCGCTAGTTCACCGCCGACTTTGATATTAAATTTTTTTGTAATACTAAATTTTTCTAATAACATGATTACAGCTACTAAATAATAAAAATTCAGTAGTAATCATGCATGTTTAAGAAGTTATCGTTATTCTAGCTCCAAAACGTGTTTCAATATATATTGTGTTAGAGCACGTACACGTCTTTTCAAAGACTAGTTACTTTCCCTAGAATTTATGAAAAGCCTCTGCAGACAAAGAAGTCTTATTCTTTACTACAGGTTTCAATTATACTGAGGCTGAGCTATATACTCAGTATGTTACTTAAACAACCAGGGACAAGTTCAAGAATATTTGAGTTAGCACTTGGAGTCAATGCCTCTCCATCAACTAAGGCATCACCCATATATCTATGGCATCACCAGCTATCTGAAGAAATTGCAGGCTTGGGGGATGAGATTGCACCAGCTATAGCCTACAAGAGATTTCCAGGCCCTGGGTATTTTGCCCCCTTCCCATACCCACCCTCCCCCTCTCACTGGCTTTATAGTATGCTATATTTATATCCATAATAGAAATAAAGTCATGAAAATCTTTCTTTATCCACAACACTTGTCTTTTAACAACTCAAACTTATACATTCTCACCATTTTCTTGTGGAAAATCTTTCCAGCTTTACTTCACACAAATCTTGAAGCCAGTACAGCAAGTTTGAAACATGATTCAGTGATTAGAGCTAGGACAATTAACTTGGTCATATGAACAACCAATAAGACAATACTATTCTGGTATTTCACATGCATGACAAATCAGTCGCAGGGTATGGCAATAGGATACTATATATATTACAATAGACTATTGCAAAGTTATTTTTGTCTGACTTTACAACAGTTTCCAATCCAACTTTGTATTTCTACTAAATTTACAATATAACCAAGCTAGCCTATATATATATAGGGAACAGCATGGCTACATTGTTAAACAACTTAATTTCCATCAAATGTGGTATAACAGCTGCTATCAGGTATCTCTGGCAATGACAATGTGTTAAATTCCAATTTGTTTTGTTTCCTTTTGAGTTTTGGTAAAAAAATGCTTTGCCCCTATAGAGGTTATATATTAACTCTCCAGTTGTTATACCACAATGAATACAAAGTTCATTTTACTATACTTTCAAAATTAGTGAGCCAAAATATATTTCTAAACCATTTAACTGTTAAAGCTTGCAAATAACATTAATAACTGTCAGATGTGAATTGATTCTACACTGACCTTGCAATTTTCTCATCTACCTCGTTTCTCCTTACCTACTACGCGTACAAGTTCGAGTTTTGCTTTTGGTAAAGCTTGAAATCTTTCTTCCTAAAAAAAAGTCATACTAGCAAATTTCATACTTCACCTGCCACCCCTGGCCCATATCTACTAGAGGGACGCTCCCCCCCCCCCCCCAGAATTGAACCCACTGTAAAAATTTAGGTAAAATATATAAGGTGCCTGTTTCAAACGTACCATTTTTCATGTAACTTTTCATCCTTGGGCAATAATAAATGTAGAGCTCTTCGATATTTAATTAAAACACAATAAGATCGCTTTATAAAATGTGCGAAATATTTGTTCCAAATCAACGAGTAGGTCAAAATCTGCTAACGGATTGAGAACCTTATGCTGTAGATCCATTTTTTCTACCGGAGTTGGACCGGGGGCCGGGGGGGCATCTTAAGCTGGTCCAAATATGCTAGGACACCGGCACAGGGCGTTTTGATTTCGGCATAGATGGTCGACAGAATCATTGATGGCCGGCTGCGTATTGATGGTTGATAGCATCATGAAAAAAGACAGTGACAGAAGCTTTTCTACTGACAAATACCCGATAAAACCCTGCAACTAACTAACCAAATAGTGTTGAACAATGAATAATTCGAAATAGTGTTGAGCTGAATTGATAAAACAAATAGTTTTTAAATCAAAACAAATGGGAAAGAATGTGAAGGACCATGAACTCGACATGACATGCATTACAAAATGTGTAATTGAACAAATAGTCCGTCAGTACGCCACCAGGGCATTGATAACCAAGTTGCCCAAATAACCTACATATATTGTATATGAATAAAAAGGTATAAATATAAGTATTTTAGATGGGGCTATGACACGGACCGTCAAAGATACAACCAGGGCGACAACCTGATGCAATCAATCATCCGCGGTTTCTACACATGCGCCGGCGCAGGCAGTTTTTGTAATTAGGGGACATACTAGTTATATCTGTTTGCAGAGTTTGGCCTCTCCTCAAACCGGGCATTGACGCTCTGAATGTTTTACTTTTTTGTCTTACAGCTCAAGGAATTGAGTCGAGATCTTGTAAACATCATGAACACTTGGACGAAATTTAAAGAATAATGGCGACAGGTTTGAAATGAATTTTACCTAGTTTGAGCTGTTGCATGTAAAAAGAGCCGGGTAACAGTGAACAAAATACAGAAACACTACTCAGTAGAAAAACAGATTCTTTTGAAATGAAGTATAACGTGTTTTCACTTCACTGACACTGATGTCATTCACACAGATTCTTTTGAAATGAAGTATAACGTGTTTTCACTTCACTGACACTGATGTCATTCACGAACACACGTACACGTTCAGAACTTGTAGTTTTTATACCGTCTCGTGATGCACCGTCAAGATTATGCATAATGACAGCCTATAGCAGTCTCATAACAACGAAGAGTTTTTTTTAATCAAGGTGTAAACACTTCACATTCATGCCTGTCATTGGATGCATTTGTATTTTAGGGAAACCAGTTTTGAAGTATGCAAGGCTTTATCTATAAATCTTCCATGTTACCCTTCCTTACAAAATAAACTTTAAGCGGTCATGAAGTAAATTAGCGCAAAGCATAAAAGAGTGTTAAAGCATAGAAAAGTTAAAATGCTAAAGACTCGTGCAAATGATCTGCACGGATTAAACATTTTGCGCCGTTCTTAGTATTTTAGTAGTCGTCGAGTTTTAGCAAACTTGTGGAAGAAAGTTTGTTCTCATAAACTGGTGTCTAAATTCTGCTGATATGTTCATTTCCTTATTAGGATTTCAAGAAACAGATTGCGAACAACCTGGCTATAAAAAAGAAGAATATGTCATAAATGATGAAAGCACAACCAGTTCTATATACCTAGGCAGTGATGATGATGATGATGATAATAATGAAGCTATTAGCCAGGAAGAGAAAGATCATGAAAGCTCTCCCCAGGAGCCTATCATGGATGTTAGTACTAACCCCACTGGAAAAACAGCATCGCGGCAATTTCAAAGATTTATAAAATTGAACAAAGATGTAGTGAAATTTATTTCAAAACGGGGGATGTACTCAAAAGAACTGAGTGTTCAACTTGAAAAACTGCATTCTGTCATGTTATTAATGCCTGATGAAAGTTGTATAAAAGTTACTAAGAAACCAGGTTCAAAATTTGTCAAAGATTGGAGAAAGCGTTGCTGTTCAAAAGTGAAAGGTTTTTGTGGCCGTTTTCGTAAGGATTGTTTGGATATAAATGAAGCATACTTAGTACGGACACATTTACCAAAGCTTGGTGACATGTTGCGATCAACTACAGCAGCGTATTGGATCGAGAATAACAACACGAAGTTAGCTGTGATGACTGAGCAGAAAGAGCGTGAACAAGTCCTTGCGATTGTGAAGGAGTTTTTGCAGAGCTTTAAAGATCATGGTAAGAAATGAAAGTATTTCTTTATAAAAATGAATATAGTCATGGCAATGGTGGTAGTATATGTTATATTTTCATGTCATTGTTAAGAGTTATGGTGCAGATGGTGGTCATTATTCATCATATATATAGCGTGAAAATTCCTGAAATAGAATTAAACTGTTGAGTTGATACCCTTTAAGCAAGGTCTCAGGAAGCGGTATCCTCCCTCAAAAAATAAACGAGTCTGTAATATGTCGCATGCAGGAGGTAATCGTTCAATCGCTTACTGGGGGGCACATATAAGACGATAAAATAGCCGTTTCCAGCGATTTAAAGGCATCAAAATATCTCGCTTGGCACCAACCACACTAGTTCCTCAGTAAAATTATGTTTATTTTGTTATAATGGTCGTGGTAGTTGTGGTGAGGAGAGTGTGCTTGGGATAATAACGTTTATTACAATGGAAAAAATTATGGTTTGTATATTTGTGAAACAACAAACTCCTACTATTTTCTTGTTTTTAAAACAGGATTTCAAAAAAGCGGTCAAAGAAATTGGAGAAAGCATTCGGATCCTGGCAGTAAAGCGGTTGTTGCTGCTGAAAACAATCCCTTAACTTTGTTAAACGACGAGAGAAGTTCGCGCTGGTTGGGAGGCACAGAAGAAACTGGCAATGATAAATCATTGAAACAGCTTCAGAAATCTGTCAAATTAGACAATGATATTGTGAAATTTCTTATGAAAAGAAAGCAATATTTTGAAAAACTCAAAGCTAAGCTTGCATCTTTAGGTGCAGCGCCTCACTTAAAACCTGGGTTTATAAGGATCGATAAAATGGATTCAAGAAATATTGATAATTGGGGAGAAAGCTGCGAAAGTGCAGTTGTTGTCTTTTGCAATTCTTTTCACAAGAAGTGTTTTGAATTGGATGAAAGCATTCGTGAGTCACATTTGGAAGCGCTACCGACCCTTCAGAAAGATGTTAGTTCTACTGGGGCAGCTTGTTGGTTGGATTCAGAGAAGAAGAATGTCATTCTTGTAAGCCCAATACTTGAGCTAAGAGATGCAGTGGAGAAGATTGAAAAGTTTATTAAGAATGTCGGAATTTTCGCTAAAAGAAGTTTCAAAATTGAAGAGTCAATTCATGAGTTGGTTGAGAAAGAATTGCCACCATTGAAAGACACCTTAAAATCCTGCACTTTAGCGTTGGAAAAAGAAACACTGGTTGTTGTATGCGTGAGAAGTGAAATTGAAAATACTATAGCACACGTCGAGAGCTTTCTTTCAAGAATAAGGCTAACTAGTGGTAATGTTCTTATGTTTTCTTTTTATGCAATATTCATTTTGTCAGTTTTGAACTGTGTGGTTTTTTTATCGTCTCCGGGTTTTTATTTACTTCGTGCTCTGACGTCAACACTTCACCACTTCCAATGCATTCTTGTTATTAAAAAAAAACAAAAGCCCAAGTTAATGTACCAAAACCCTATAAATTTTGGCGTTTTTAATTCCTCTATTGCCACAGCCTCGTCAGTAATTCGTCAGAAATTCGTCAGAAATTTCCTCTTCTTTATATTTCTAGCACTTGGCAAAGTCCCAAATCAAAGTCGTAGAGCCCGAAGTCAGTCTAAAAGTTCAGCGGATGAAAACAGTGGTTCATCTTCTGTTAATTGGCGAAACAAAAACAGTCCGCAATTTACAACCGCGGGCAACGACGAAACAAGGTCAGCGGCTACACGTGGTAGACCAATTAAACTAGAACCAATCTCTGTGAAAATTAACAACGACGTCGTAAAATTTGCAATGAACAACACAAGATTTGCGCAAGAATTGAAAGATCAACTGGCAAAACTAAATGGAGAGCTGCAATGGAAACCTGGCATTGGTTTTGTAACAGTAATACAAAAATCTGAAGATCAGTCGGATTTTGTTCCGAAATGGTCTGAAAAATGCAAAAGTGTGGTCACGAGATTTTTTCAACGCTTTCGCAAGGAAAGTTATGAAATTCAAGGAGATGTGATGGGTTCAGTTTGCAAAGGACTAGAAAGTCTGAAGGAATCCATTCTCCCTTTTGACGCGAGTTGTTGGCTTGCATCAAACAATCGATGGTTAGTTTTGGTCGGTCTAAAAGACGAACTTTCCTCTGTTGTTAAAGTCGTTGAATGTTTCTTGCAAAGTATTAAGGAGGAAAGCCAGAAAAATAAAGAAATTGTAAAGTTTGTTGTAGTTTCAAGTGATCACGTTGATTATTTGGAGCATACACAGTTCTTAGACACACTAAAGCAAAATCATCCTGAGATCGTTGAAGCAAATATTACTCAAGCAAGGAATCAGATACGTTTCGTAGGAACAGATGAAGCCATTTTGACTGCCAAACGGGAATTTGATGAACTTGTTAAGGAGCTAAATGTCATCAAGTTAGAGCTACCTCTTGAAGTAGTGAAGTTCGTGTCTCAAGAAAAAGGCTTAGACTTTATTGAGAAGCGTTTATCTGAACAAGAAATTGTTTCCGTTATTTTAGTTGAGACTAAATCTTGCTTGAAAGTCGTCGCTAAATCGTTACAGGAATGTGAGAAAGTAAAGGAATGTTTGTGTCACAACATACGAGAAGCAACAATAAGTTTACCACTGAAGAATGACCACATATTTTCCTCGAAGAAATGGTATGATGTCACCAAAGCCATCGATTCAGAAGAGCTTGTTGATTACCAAATCAATTTTGAGCGTACAAAAAGACGTGACATTAAACTCCACGGCGCTAAGCATCTTGTCGAAAAATACCAAAAAATTGTCGACGACTTCATAGACTCGCGTAAGATTGAATCCTGTTTGATGCCTCTCCCCCCCGGCATTGCTCGTTTCATGAAGGAAAAATTAGGAAACGAAGTTGGAAAAATAGAGACTGACCTCAAAGAAGAACAAGTTACGATTGAGATACATTTTAACAAGCTCGTGTTCACTGGTACAGAGCCAGGACTAAATGAAAGCAAGAAACGTATTTTGAAACTGAGAAGTGATATTTGCACCGAATCTAAAGAATACACGTCAGTCGGGATGAGCAAATTATTCTCCAGTGAAAACGGTCGAAGAAACATCAAAGGCATTGAAGCTGACAGCAACATAATAATAGTAGTTGCTGACGATCACACCAAAGTTGAAGCTGAAACTTGGTTCGATGTTGGAGCAATACGAACAGAACGATTACGAGAAAGAAGAGAAATAAAACAAGTTCCTGTTGCTCCAGTGGATCCGTTTGATCAGTGTAATTTTACAACCAGGGAAGGTCTTGCTGTGTCTTGGAAGTATGGCAATATTGCACGTGAAAGAGTGAGTATTTTAAACCTGTCTTTCTTTTAGGAACTATTCTTTTCTTCGCTGGAGTGAATTGTATCTGAACTATACCTGAAGGAGAAAAGAACATCATATCATGACAACGTAATTCTCTTCCAATGAATTCTCGGGTCTCGGATTTTGACTTTATTCAATATTTCTATGTCTATTCTTTTATTCATGTTTAGGCTGATATTCTGGTCAGTTCTGCAGTCTCTGATCTAAACCATCCAACGATGGTCGGACGCGTGTTAAATTCTGTTGGTGGACCTTCGTATGTAGCCGCGTGTAGTCAACATGATAGCATTGAAGCTGGTGACATAGCTACCACCATTGGTGGAGACCTGCCATGCAGTTACGTCATACACGCAGTGTGTTCTGATTGGAAATCTGGCAGAGGCGAACATGTAAGGTTAATTCTACAGCCAGGTCTTTTTTGTTTACCTCTACAAATGATTTCTTGAAAAATTCCTGCCTCATCTTTATGAAAGTTGTGGTAAACATAACTACGGCTGTATTAGGTATTTTTCTTCTCTATATTAGCTATGTCAGATGCCCATATGCTATATATCCTGTCAGAAAAGCCATGTCGTACTGGCATCTATGATGTAGTTTTAATTTTTTTTTCTCTTATTTTTCAGACTCTTCGCGGCCTGCTTCAAAAAATCCTGGTGGAATGCACTCGACTATCAGCAAGGACTGTGGCTATGCCGTTGATAGGCACTGGAAACCACAAGTTTCCTGAAGATGTAGTGCTGCGTGTTATGAGGGAAGAAATCGAGCAATTCAGCGTGATGGCGTATCATTCTAGTAGGCTGAAGGAAATAAAGCTGGTACGATATGATCAGGGTATTAAACGAAAACCTGCTCAACCGCAGCTCGTGGACGGTAAGTTTTATCAAGCCTTGATTTTCTAGTCTTGTGTATGATGACTTCACTTATAAAAAGTAATTAAAAAAGTAATTTACCTCAAATCATCACAATAACAATAACGATATCTATAAATCAGGAATTTTTTGTCGCTGGACAAGCTGGGAAAATTCTTTCCGTAGCCGTAGAATTGTAAACCGTGAGCGAGGTTTGTTCCTTTAATTTCTTTTTTTTATCCTCTTAGACTCAACGAGATCTATTTCAAGGCCCAGGCCTACATTTGTCCCGCTAGTGACAAGCAGTTCAGTTGAAAACGTGAAATTGCAAGTTTACGCTCGCTCTAATGAAGACATCACTCCTGTTTTTATCGAAATCCAAAAATTCATTGATAACCACATTGCATCAAAGACCATCGAGGCTGAAAGATTATTTGATGTTGTACTTCAACATTGGGATAAATTACAGCAATTAGCAAAGGATGAATGTCTGAGAATAGCATGTGTCAACGAAACGACTGTTTCAATCACAGGTTTGTTAAGTAAAGTGCTTGAAACGAAGGATAAGTTAACAGAATTGGTTAATCGACATTCCGAAGAACAGCAAAGGACACAACAGCTTAGTTACATCTCCCAGACTGTGCAGTGGTATTACTGTGATCTCAGGAGCACTAAAGAAATGCCCTACAAAAAAGAGTTGAATGGTGCCCTTGAGATCGCTCGAATGAATGGAAAGACCGAGGTGGAAATAACAGAGTTGGATGGTGAAAAATATAATGTCGATTTTGCTCAAATGGTTGCCAGGAACAAGAATAGCGGACAAACAAGAAAATTAACCAGGAAACTAATTGGTTCTGAAGCAGGTTTGTAATCTTATACGTTTTACCCGTTGCTATTCTATATACTGCTGATGCGCTGCAACATAGTCTATCATGATATTTTGTATCAGATGATTTTACAACTGTGTGTTGATTCTAATTTTAGCTCTGCCATCTAATTGGACGAATCAGTCCGCAAATCAAGTCGTACAACTTGTCAGACTTGCACCATCATCGCCAGAATACTTAGAAGTTCTTAACCACTTTGTATTGCGAGGTGGAAAACCAGATCAACTTTATTACGTGGAGAGAATTCAAAATCCTCAACTCTATTCCATGTACATGACATTCAAAAAATCTATGCGAGGTCAAATCAATGAAATGCGACTTTTTCATGGGACCGATGCCGCTAATGTTGACTCAATCAATGCTCATAATTTCAGCCGAAGTTTTGCGGGGGTTAACGGTAAGTACTCAGGACATGATCCGCTTACTTGCATGGACAAATTTGCGACCGAGATTCGTTTGATTTAAACAACCAGAAGAATACCAGGCGCTTTGATTCATATGATCTGCTTCCAAGACCCTCTTTTGGCTAGTTCGTCCTGGATCATTGCTATAAAAAACTTTTCCTGTCCTATTTGTATTTGTTACACTTGCGCATACCTCATTATATTGTTTGTATTATTGCGACAATGGTTGCATAAAACATTCACCACAACGTTCTTTCTTAAGTCCGTTCCCTGGCTTCCCCAGCCTCGGGTTGTACTTATCGTGCGTAAAATGTATATTGGAGAATCTTAGAGAGGATATGTGCTTTCCGATTACTGTTCATACCGGATAATAATTATGCCTTTACAAGAATATGCCTTTTATACAGTGTTCTTGCTGATATGTCTGTTCTTCATCAGGCAAAACTTAAGCTACGAATGCAACCGAGTATTTAAAGAAATCGTATCGACCCAGTCAATTTTCATGTGACCGCGTTAAAAGCCTGAACTAGAAAAAAATCTCGGGAAATTGGATTGGGTCTGCTCGTTGGATTTTCTACGCTCCCACATGTAAATGTGTGATTTTTATTTTACCTTTTTTTAAGGTGTTGCTTACGGCAATGGTGTCTATTTCGCTCGAGATGCGTCGTACTCGATTAAATATGCCTGCAAGCGCACCTTGGCCTTGGGATCTCGAGGAAAAATGTACATGGCTAAAGTACTTGTTGGCGAGTACACAAGAGGTGCGTCAGGAATGAAAGCACCACCACCAAAAAATGATCCGTATAATCCTGGTTTACGATATGATTCCGTTGTTGATCACCCTAGTAATCCCACGATGTACGTTATATTCCAGGACAACCAATATTACCCTGAATACCTTTTAACTTTACGATAATTTAGTACATCCACCGACTTATGAAATATGGACTTGAAATATGGACAATATGGACTTGTAATATGGACAATATGGACTTGAAATATGGACAATGTAAATTAGTCTATTAAATTCCAAGAAACGTTACTGCCGGGGTACCAGGCTGTGCCGGGGGTTGAATTATGATTTGATCGAGGGGGGTTGTAGTCGCCAAACGTAAACAGAGTTGCTAAAAGGTTTATATAGAGCTTGTGCCTAGACGTATTGACGATATGAACGAATAAATAGCAGAGTTCTGATTTTGCAACATATATGCAGGCTGGCGTGTCCGTTTAGCACTGGCTGGCATTGTTTTAAACGTCTACAAAAGCAATATCATACGAATTTTTTAAGTACTTCATATCTTTTAAATTGAATATGAATTTATATTTTACTTACGCTTATATACTTGAAAGTTGAAACCTCTCTTACATCCTATTTCAAATTCGTTAATACAATAATTATGCTTGAAAATTTTTATATTATCAAAATAATAATATGCATTGATAGGTATATTATAGGCCTAGCATCAAATTTGATACAACAACTGCCTAAAATAGACAAAACACTTCTCGACGTTTCGACCTGAGGGCCTTCGTCAGGAGGTAGAGTTAGTATGAATTAACTAACTCTCCTGACGAAGGCCCTCAGGTCGAAACGTCGAGAAGTGTTTTTTCTATTTTTGGCAGTTGTTATACCACATTTGATGCTAAGTTGTTTGAAGACGCTGCCACGCTGCTCTCTGGTTATATTGGATATTATAGCTCTAGTTTATATATACGTCGCATTTTATTTATGCACAATGCGGTTTAAAGAGTAGATATAAGTACATGATATTGAGATTTATCAATAATCTCATCCTTTGTTTTATAATTGGTGGTGACTCGACGTAGAAATAAGGTCAGACAAAGTTATATAAACTTCATGTGGATTTGGTGCACACTTTTCTGGTTGTTTTTGACTTTTTGTTTCAATTGTTTTTTCACAAAAGAAGATAAAAAACTCGTGTGCTGACAACTTTCCGACCACACGCCTGTGTTCTCAAAGTAAAGAAGTTGTATTTATTGAGACGAATGCATGTTTTCTTACCGAAATATAAACAAGCATGAGAGAGCCAGCACCGATTTTCCTGATATGGATTACACCACTATATCAGTTGTGAAACTTAACATCAAGGGTAAGCTTTCAATGAGCGTTAACTTTGTTACAATTAAATTGAATAACTATCGAAGTATCGTTTCAAAAATGTCAGTGGACTTTATACGCCACTTATAATGATTCAACCTACTGAGTAGTTTTACTGTGGCCTAAAAGGAATGCATATAGGATGATTGTGTATATTTTATTAGTAAATTTATTGTCTGTTGACAAATGCGCGCCATTTCCAATGGTTTTGCAATATGGAGTTAAACAGGAGATGGTATTCCTTGTTGTTCTGATAATATTCTGATCTTGGAGTGGACACAATCCCAGTCCATATATGCCAGTTGAAATACCCTGTTGTTATTTGCTGTATCTTCGTATCCATTACGAGCATGAAGGACACGGTGATTATTGATACTGATGCCATCACCGTTTTGCATCTTATACCAAAATGAAGATTTATTGTCTAGTAATAGTTCGGTGAAACGTATGTAAGCCTTGTAAAATGCCCTCATGTTCTTTGGTTCAAGAGGCATGTGTCGATCACGGAATTCATCACTGTAACCGACTTGAGACAGCTTACCATTACCGTCAACACTAAAAACGTAAAGAAATATCGCGCATATTAAATATATTTGTTCTGTCTCAGTTGAGGCCATCGGTTGAGGTGAAGTTAGTGAAATTAACTTGATCAATTTAGCTTCAAATGAGAGTTACGTCTTATACCTGAATGCACTAATTTGTATAATTATTCAAACCTTATAAGTTTATGCCTGGAAGTATTATGGAATTCCCCAACTTCTGTTCTAGTGATATTGCGGTAAGCAACCGCTGTTTTCGTGAGGATATGAAACGATTCCGGATCTTCTTCGTAGAGTCTGTGAGCAGCGTCAAAACCATCAATCCACTGATTAACACCACCTTTTGATTCCGTTTGGAGCAAACAGTGGAACATTGCGATCTATACAGCCAGGGTTCGCGGAATAAGAAACAATGTCAGTTATATTAATGAGAATCTAAAACGAGTCATCATTGATTACTTACAGCTGGTGGTGAAGAAGTAAAAACATAATCTGAATGCAATGGTAGAGCTGTTGTTGTATAACCAATGTCACGTGCTACATCCTGACTGTATGCTTTAATGTCGTAACAAATGCTAAAAATATGAAGTACAAGTTAAAGTTTTTGTCAAATCTTGATTCTTTTAACGCGACCTGCTTGGCTGAATATATTTAATCGGCCGTGCAGTGTCAAAGAATTATTTACCCATAGTTTGTTGACAAAAGATATCCAGCTCTTTCACCCAATCTGCTCAACTGTTGTCTTTCCTGTGGAATATTTTCTAATTTTGCAATTCCTGTTTCAAACGCCAGAGCAACGAGCCATTTATAAAGTAATTTGTCGTCTACCAGTAGTTCATGGAAGTCGAACACTGGCAGAGTACCATTATCAAATGATGCTTTGTCGTTCCACAGTTGCATAGTTTCTGTCAGTACGCCAGGACTATCACCTGCTGGTTCGTATCTAGTAAGAAAAAAAAACTATATTTCAACTGTAGTACTGTTCAAGACAAAACTAGTGCAGCATCACAGATTTTTAAATAAATAATTGAATGATTCATATAAGCAACCTAACCGCTGTTTCCGTCACCATCGTCAATGTTAAACACGGTCGAGGATTCATCTCTCTCAGTCTTACAAATAATACATACTGCCCATAATGCCCTAATCGAATTATAGAATTAATAATAGATCTAGAATTATACAAGGCACGAGACAAAATTTGATTAAAGCAACTTCTATCTTACATATTGCAGTTGCGGACAAGACGATTTAAGACGGGAGAAACCCAGAACTTTTATGATTTTTTTCACATTTTTATATTATCTTTAACAGGTTCCCCAGTAATGTCATTTCAGCAACTAAAACCATTATACAGGGTGTCCCAAAAAAATGTCCCCTCTATTGAAATCAAGCCTTTGTTCGAATCTGATTGCCTTAATATTATGATAAACCCAATTGAAAGCAAGACGCTTTATTTGAATGCCTCAACCTAATAAATATGCTATTTACACACTACTGCGTTGATCATGCATTCAAATTCCAACAAAATCTTCATTTCAATAGCGGGGACTTTTTTTGGGACACCCTGTATTGCAAGTATATATAATGTAAGTTGCTGAAAAGACATATTACAGGGCCTGGGGAACCTGTTAAAGGTAATATAAAAATATGAAAAATATCTTAAAACATTACTAAGTTTCTGCCCGTCTTAAATCGAACTCGGCAACTGCAATATTTAAGACAGAAGTTGCTTTAATTTCAAATTTTGTCTCGTGCCTTATATAATCTATTATAACCAGGCAGCCATTTTTTATTGCGAAATCCTGGCATTATAAACTTTTATGGTAATTAATCTCCTGAATTTCTGGTATGATAAGCTCTCGCTGAAGGCTGGCGATAGCGTGATGCACAGATAGATTTATGAGTTATGGGTAATTTATTCGCAATTTTTTTGTTTCCTGTACTTGTCCTTTGTTAATCAGGGAGTAAAGATGCATCAAATCTCCCTTAAACTGATTTCCTAACACTAACGGATGTTAACGTGTTGATAACAGATTGTTTAACTAATCGTCATGCCATGGGGTATATCGAAGAGCCACCATCCTTTCTACTTTATCAAGGTCTGGGTCTACTTAGGATGAACTTTATATCATGCACAGCATGCACAGCATGTACAGCCATTGCCTTGGGAAACGTCTCGGCGTCGGCGAGAAATGTATTTTAAGTGCAAGTATTAAAGTCCGTTCTGCGCATCTGTTCTGCTCATAACAACGTGAGGTCCTCTGCTTCTGATGCAAAAATTGCCTAAATTTCAAGGATGCCGTATAAAACTGCCTTTCTATAATGGAATAACAGCCTGCCTGGATCTTAGACCTAGTCTTATTTACTATAGTACCACAAACGAGCAACACACCGCGGGTTAAACGAAATATTTAGCGTGTCTCGCGTCTGTAATAATTAAGAGTTTATAATTGACGGTCGATAATTAAACAGGCTTTTCAAGTTTTTCTTCGTGATTTTCCTCTCTAAAATCGTGCAATCATATTTTAATCGATAATTATAGCTGTAGAATGGTAAGTATTAAAAATTGAAATGGCTAGCATATTAGGAATAAGAAACATACCTTAACGATTTTAAACTTTCCGGCGAATAGATGCTTGTGTGCCCGTCTGTCCATTTAACATTTAAATGATTGGAATCTAAATTCGCTGTTTCCGCAGTTATATTAAAGTCTAATTCTTTCGGTGCGAACATATTTCTGGCATTTTTTAAAGGTTGAAAACACTTTGGACAGCTACAGTTCTCTCGAAGATAAAAATGAGGAAATTCGTCCACTTTTCCATCGTTCCAATGCACGGTTAAAAATTCATCATTTTGTTGGACATTTAGCGCAACAGAACTTAACCTAGTCGTAACGCTTAACAAGCCATGATTTTTACGGAATAGTTTGCGAGTTAGCAATCTCAACATGTCTCCACAAGTCTTTCAGGCACTTTCCTAAGCACTAAGCAGGGCCTTATTAAAATGATAGTGGACTGAAGTCTGAGGGAATGCTTGTTTTCACAGTGTTACATAAAGAAAACAAGAAAAACAGGTTTCAGTTCCTTTTCGAGCCAATCATATTTCACAAAATATCGTGCAAATTTATTTTTTTTTAGCATTTGCATTCCCACAATTCTTCACAGTAGGGGGAATAAATTAAGCATAGCAAGCAAGTTGGACTTCGAACTCTTGCACAAGAAGGAAAAAATTCTCCGGACGAAATCCCTGTCCAAGATCTTTTTCATTTCTAGCTTAATTTTATGAACGGCATTTTTGGTAAAACTAATATTAAGCCAAACAGCTGCAATATGAATGAGAGAGGTATATATTAAACCCCACAAATAGCAGATCACGGGAACCGCCAACGAACATATGCACGTGAACAGTTGGATGGGGAATATTTAGGAAAATCACTGGGAAAATCCTGAAAGTTGAAACGCCGTTTATGTAGCCAAAAAATGCAATCCATTCAAGATATGTTGCTATGCATTGCCACAGTAGCTATAAAACTATAAACTAGCGATAGTCTTCCTAATTTTGTTTATTTGTTGCTTCATCATGTTGCAGTTATAAGTAAGATAATTGCAACATTTTTTACGCATCGTAATCTTCTGTCCGCAAATATACTTCACACTTCACAAACATGGAATACATCAGAATATAGAATCTGTTTTATTAGCTGCCTCTTTTGTGTAGCGTCAATAAGGAAGATCTAGACGAGAGGAAATTTCTACTTTGTTTTATTCTGGTTATGCCATAGCAGCCCGGTCATTGCGGGTACGTCATACTATCTTATGTATATAATTATCCTAGCTCAGGCTGGCAACTCTCCGACAAAAGATATATTGCATACATTAATACCATCGCTTGAGACACAGAAGTTACCCTAGTTTCTTGAAAAAAAAGTTGATACAAAACACCTTGGATATATTTACTAAATTTATCTGTCATTTTTAGACTTGAAACAACCTAAAAATGCAAATAAAAATATTGCAAATAAAAAATGTATTTTTATCGAAATTTTATTAAACCATAGACAATCCAAAAGACATATCTATCTTTGCATTGTCTATGGTAAACCATTGACATATATATATATATATATATATATATATATATATATATATATATATATATTTATCACATACTTGTGCCTTTATCAGGGCGATAACAGGGTGACATAAAAACGATATCGTCACTGATATCGCTTTTTGTCACTGATATCGCTTTTTGTCACTGATATCGCTTTTTGTCCCGCTGCATTTGCCGCTGTCAAAACAAAGATGGCTGACTCGAGCAGTTCGAGGTTTGTTTCAGTCGATGTCGATTGCTTTATAGAAAAAAAGGAAGTATGTGATAAACAGGTTATCACAATCGGGACGAGGTGATATCAGTTTTATCGCTTTCAGGACGATATCATAAATGACCCTCGTTCGCTGCGCTCACTCGTGACATTTATGATATCGTCCCTCAAGCGATAAAACTGATATCACCTCGCCCCTCATGTGATAACCTATATATATATATTATATATAATATTATATATATTATTATATATATATATATATATATATATATATATATACCTGGACTACCTACACTTTTAATCAGCGACGAGCGTGGCACGTCAGATTCAGATTTGCTGACGAATATGAGAGTAATATCAAATAAATCTCTCGTAGGGAAGAAGTGGTAAATTGGAGAGCTCAGACGTGTCTTTAGAGCTCCGTGATTTTTCTTTGTTAACTCTAAATCAAAAATTCCTTTCGCTTAAAATGGCTTCTGTCTGTGATAACCTACCGTATTCACCGTATTGCTTGGGCTGGGGATTATGGCTCTTTAAAGAAGTTTATCAGCGAGGATTTAAAATTAGACGGAACTTGGGAGCAACCCGGAGGTGATAAGAAATCTTTCAAGACTGATAGCATCTCGATCTCGTGGCGAAAGACCAAAAATCTGCTGCATTTTGAAAGTAGTGAAGCAGGTACAATTATCCAATAAATGCTTGTCAGTATTGACATTTTGACATTGGCAATTCGAACCGCTCAAGTGAAGCTATTTCGAAATCGTCTTCATGCAAATGTGTTAACTTTCACGCTACGATTGAAGAGCTTAAAGAAAATCAGAGTATTAATAACGAAGCTGTCTTAGCACTATCAAATTTAATCAACTTTATTGCTGATACCATAAAACAATTTTGGGAAGACTTTGTTAAAAGTGGAGAAAGAAATCGCTCCACAGTTATACCAAACTGGGCTGCAGTACAAACGATCGTAGCTAATAGAATAAATAGTAATGAAACAAATTACTTTGATGCCCCTGACGTAAGTGTTATTTTCTATTGAAATTCCCAACGTTCCTGGTTCTAAAGTTGTGGGCGAGAATGAATTACTAAATCGAAATAATGTAAATCACACAACCAGATTTGAATAATCTACCACCTGGACCCACAACCACCCCAAAGGCCCTGATTCCATGTCCATTTATACGCAGAAAAGGCTACTACTTGAAAGGCTCAAATTGTGATTTCTTTCATGCCAACGTACAGCAGCCCTCAATCTCACCAACAGCGATACTATGATTACTATCCACCCCTCCTCCTTTTTACAAGCAAATTCCATACCACCTTTAAGGTTTTTCACCAGTCATGAGTCACCCATATCCCTATCCCTACATGAACTACCCTTCTATTTCCTCCGATGAATTCTCCAACAGGACCACCGGAGCCTCGTCAAAGAAACCGTTAAACACGAATTGTGAAAAATATTTTAAATTAATCTCTATGAATGCCCGAAGTCAGCCGTTTTTAATGATTATATTTGTGATGTCAAACCTGAGCTTGTTGCCGTTACTGAAACTTGGTTCAATGACAAAGATACTGTTGCAAAATCTGACTGCACCCCTGCTAGCTATCGTCTATCTGATTCAGTCATCGCACTGACTCAAGGGGGGAGGTGGAATTACTCTGTTCTATAAAGAGACTTTACCTGTTAAGAAAGTATCATCTGAAATACTGAGTTCCCAAACAATTTTCAAACAATTAAACAATCACCTGTTACTGAATGCACTTTATCCCAAATTACAATCTGCATACCGTAAGTAGCATAGTAATAAAACAGCTCTACTTAAAGTAAACGATGACATTTTGTTGAATATGAGCAATCAGCGTGTTTCTTGATTGGTTTTATTGGATTTAAGTGCTGCCTTTGACACGATCGACCACTCTATATTGTTAAACTCTTTGAAGTACAAGTTTGGTGTAAATGGTGTTGCTTCAACCTGGTTTCAATCTTATCTTACGAATAGAAAATTACGTACACACTTCAATCTCGGAAGAATTTATATTAGATTACGGTGTTGCACAGGGTTCTTGCCTTGGTCCGCTACTTTTTATCATCTATGCGAGCGAGATGTTTTCCGAAAACAAAAAATTGACAAACAAAAACTCACAAGAATCACATGGCTATGCCGACGATACCCAACTCTATCGCTCCTTTAACCCAAATTACCCGAACGAACAAAAATTAGAAATTGAATTTAAAAAAATTAGAAAACTGTATTTCAGACCTGCGTGACTGAATGATGATTGAAAGTAAACTCAAAATGAACGATGATGAGACAGAATGCATGTTAAGTATCAAAAGTAGACTTTAGTCATAGCTTCTGTCTGCGAGAAGCAAATAGCTCCTTCCTCTAACCTCAAGTTGTGATGGATACAAACTTCACCTTCTCACAACAAATTAACTAAGTATGCAAAACATCTTTTTATTTCTTGTATAATATTCCAAAGATCCGGAAATATCTAACCAAGGATGTTACAGCAACACTTGTTCGTTCGCTTGTTCTTTCTCGCTTGGATTATTGCAATCGTTTACTGTACGGATTACCGGCTCATCAAATCTCAAAGTTACAAAGATTTCAAAATTTTCCTGCCAAGTTGATTTACATAGCCCCAAAATTTGCGCACATCAGCCCTTTTTAAAGGAGTTCCATTGGCTTCCTGTTAAATTTCGGATTGAATTCAAGATTCTCTTATTAATCTTTCAAGTAATCCATGGCTAGCTCCACAGTATTTGAGTGATCTAATTTGAATCAGAGAACCGCCAAATTATTACCTGCGAATAAATAATGAAGTACTTCCGGATGTACAGCCTCAGAAATCATTTAAGTCAATCGGAGACAGAGCCTTCAAATTTGCACCACCAAATTTATGGAATCGTCTTCCAAAAGAACTCAGTGTTAAAAAAAATTTTAACTCTTGACCGTCTTCTTGCGTCAAACATAACTCTCTCATGCTAGTTCAATTGAACATCTGGAGAGTTGGGCGTGGTCATGATCATGACTCTTCGAAGTCATAACCCTTCGAGATAACTCTCCTCTTTATACCCAACACTATCAGTTACGAAACCGTTGACATCAAGGGTAAACTTACAATGATCGTTAACTCTGTTATACAATTCATTTGAATAACTATCGTTTCAAAGTTTTCAGTGGACTTTATACGCCACTTATAATGATTCAACCTACTGAGTAGTTTTAATGTGGCCTAAAAAGCATGCATATATAGGATGATTGTGTATATTTTATTAGTATATTTATTGTCTGTTGACAAATGCGCGCCATTACACTTCCGATGGTTTTGCAATATGGAGTTAAACAGGAGATGGTATTCCTTGTTGTTCTGATAATATTCTGATCTTGGAGTGCACACAATCCCAGTCCATATATGCCAGTTGTAAAACTCTGTAGTTATTTGCTGTATCTTCGTATTCAGTACGAGCATGAAGTACACGGTGATTATTGATACTCATACCATCACCGTTTTGCATCTTATACCAAAATGAAGATTTATTGTCCAGTAATAGTTCGCTAAAACGTATATAAGCCTTGTAAAATGCCCTCATGTTCTTTGGTTCGAGAGGCATGTGTCGATCACGGAATTCATCACAGTAACCGACTTGAGACAGCTTACCATTATCGTCCACACTGAAAACGTAAAGAAATATCGCACATATTAAATACATTTGTTCAGTCTCAAGTAGCTCAGTTGAGGCCTGCATCGGTTGAGGTTCATGCAGTTACACTGATCAATTTAGCTTCAAATGAGAGTTACGTCTCACACCTAAATGCACTAATTTGTGTGGAGAATTTTGTTGTTTCCCACAATTGGTTTGAAGAAGTATTTTCACGCTTTTGTTTAAGATATTTTTATTTTAATTCTAATCTCACTTGCTCGCACGCTCTCTCTCTTGCTCTATCTAATATGTCAATCAAGTGTCAGTTTTTGTTCGCTCACGAATTAACTTGTTAACGATTAACTTGTTCCCTTGCTAATAACAACTAAGACGCTACTAACATTCACGACACACTCCCCCTATTTTTAAACATCCTAAATATAAAAATATGAATATAAACTGTTTTACTGACTGTTATTAGATTGTCCCAGTCACTTCCAGTCGTTTGTATAACTCATGCATAAATGTTAGTCACTTTCATTTTCAAGCTCTTGCATTCGCCGAATATTCACTGTTGCCTCAACCGCCGCTTTCCGCTTTGGCTTAAACTCTTCAACTTCGGGATTCAGTGGTTTTTGTTCCGAGCCCCTTTCATCACTGTGTAACTCCATTGGATAAAGAAACTGAATAGGTCTTTCTAGATAACTTTTGCCGGCACGAAGTCTCACCGCCCTGACAATTCCATCTCTCCCCGGTATTAATCTTTCCACGATTCCGATCTTCCACGTTCCTCGATTCTTTCCTTCTCCTTTGATAAGTACCACATCACCTTCTCGTAAATTTCCGCTTTTCCCGTTATGTCGTAAGTCGTGTCTTTCTCGAAGCGCTCTCATGTATTCATTTCGCCATCTCCGCCATAACGCCTCTTTACATTTCTTCAAATATTTTGCTCTTTTTCGCATATCACCATCTTCAATTTCAGCACTCGGAAGTTCCAATAAATAATTGGCTTTACCCAATATCATCAGGTTAGGCGTGAGAACAGGTAATTGCACGTCATCTTCGCAATACGTTAATGGTCGATTATTGAGTGCTATCTGGATATCTAGCAACACATCCTGCAACTCCTTGTAGGTGAGTTTTGCAGAACCAACAACTTTGTACAACGAATTCTTTACCAACGCGACCATCCTCTCAAACATACCTCCCCACCAACTTGCTTTACTCAGATTAAACTGCCATCGAATTTGATAGTCGTGCAGAAATGCGTGAAACCTTTCATCTCGGGTTGCTTTCTTAATCCACTTCGCCGCAGCATGAAAGGTCTTACCATTATCTGAAATCATCTTCTTTGGTCTACCGCGAACCGCTACAAACCTCTTGAAACTTGCCAGGAATTCCTCACAACTCAAATCAGGTAAAAGTTCCAAGTGGAGCCCTCTTGTTAAGGAACAGGTGTAGATAAGGATATACGATTTCTGTTCATTGTTCTTGTTTCGATAGTAAATAGGGCCAGCATAATCTACACCAACGATTTCAAATGGCGTCATCCCTTCGGTTCTTTCTTTTGGTAAATTACCTTGAGGTGGAGTTGGTTCATGCACTATATGGAACCGCTTGCAACCATAACAACAACTGAGAACTTTCTTCGCCAAAGTTCGTAATTTAGGAATCCAGAATTCTTCACGGACTTTGCTCATGATCAGGGCAACTCCCCCATGCAGGGTCTTCATATGAGCTTGCTTTACGACCAATTCAGATAATACATGTTTTGCTGGCAGATACACTGGATATTCACCTTGGATTCGTCCTTGGCACACGTATATTCCCTCGCCATTCTTTTGAAGATTTAATCTGGTAGAATCCACTTTGAAGATCTCAAGTGCTTCGCTCTCGGATTGTGCGCGTTTAATCAAGAACTTCATCTGCTTCTGTGTTTCTTCGGTCACTAATGGTCCGTTGACTTTCTTGCCACACACGAAGTTGTCAATAAATCTCGTGACCCAAGCTAAAATTCGAACAGTTTTAGTCAGACCGAATTTCTCTAGTAAACAATCGATGAAATCGGCCTCTTTCTGAATGGTAACTTTCATTACTTCTCTCATCATTCGACTTTCTGACTCGGACTTCTCGCTCGGTTTGATCTTTACTTGCTCCGGCCATTTTTCAGTTTCACTCAACCAACTAGGCCCTTTCATCCAGGTTTCATTCGCTTGAAGATCTCGTGTTGTACCTCGACTGCCGATATCTGCAGGGTTTTCCAGAGTTGGAACATACTTCCACTCGATTTGCTTCTCGGTGATCTTTTTCACTCGATTTGCTACGAATTGCTTATAGTTACCCTGTCCGTTAATCCACTGTAGACAAACGGTCGAATCGCTCCACGCACAAACGCTTATCACTGGAAGATGACTAAGAACCTTTCTGACATTGTCAATAAGATTGCAGACCATATGACAACTCACTAGTTCCAATCTTGGAATTGTTAAATCTCGCTTTGCCAGTCTCGTTTTGGACACTAGCAGCCCTTGAGAAACTAGAGCACCCTGTTTGGTCACAACGTAGACAGCGGCACAACATCCCAGAATACTTGCATCAGCGAAACCATGAATGTAAATCTCGGTAGTGACGACTCTCTCTCGAGGGATACTTCTTGGGAAGGTTAAACTGCCTGGTAATCTATCTAACCACCGCTTCCATCGATCCTTCAGATCTTTAGGTAATTCAGCATCCCATCCGAGCTTACGATCACATATATCACGGAAGATTACTTTAGCTGTGAGTAAATATGGACTAGCTAAACCCAGGGGATCATATACTCTCGCCATTGTTTGAAGAACTATCCGTTTGGTCATTTCTACTTTCTGCTTTGGTAGTGATACAGACAAAGTATCCTCCTTTTTGTTCCATCCCAGTCCCAGGAGCTTGGTCTCCGATGGCTTAGTTCCCAAAGTTTCTTTAGCAAAGGTAGATTCTCCGTCTTCCACGTTGTCACTCTCTAACTCCGCAGCATTAGAATGCCATTTGTGCAAAACAAAGCTTCCCTCGCTGAGAATTTCTTTGGCTTGCTCCTTGAGTACTACCGTCTCCTCTACTTTATCACCTCCGATGTTTATGTCATCAACATACGTTCCTTCAGATAATTCTTCAACACATTGTGGATAGTGCTCTGCATACTTCTCGAGATGAACGTTCAAAGTCCCTCCGAGTAAGAATGGGCTTGGGCCTAGCCCAAACATCGCTCTGGTCATACGATACACCACCATCTCTTTGCATTGTAGATCGTTTATCCATAAAAATCTCATCGCATCTCGCTCGTTCTCTCTAATCACTATTTGTAGGAACGCTTGTTTTATATCACCAGCTAAGAGAATAGGTTTAAGTCGATTACGAAGTAGTATGTCAAGGATTCTTCTTTGGAGTGGGGGACCAATGTCCAAGCAATCATTCAATGATGGGGATTTTTGATCAGCTTTTGCCGAAGCATCAAACACAATTCTTACTTTCGTAGACTCGGCTTGCTCTCGTACTACCGGTTTGTGGGGAATGTAATGCTCTCGGCTCCCTTCAGGTTTCTCAGGCGCAATCTCGACCACTCCATCTTTGAGTTGATTTTCCACTATATCATGATAAGTCTTCAGCAGTTCAGGCTGTTTGTCAAGTCGGTTGAATAATGACTGAAATCTCCTCTTGGCTACAAGGTAATTGGTCGGCAGCTCCGGATGGTGAGCCTTCCATGGTAACGATGTCTCATATCGACCGTCCTCTTGCTGAGTAAGCTGTTCTTTAAATTCTCGATACACGCTCCCTTGATCTCCTTCAACATGGTCTTCTAATCCAAGCACGTCCAGACTACAAAGATGCATGTAGTCTTCTTGGGAGCTCTTGGTAAACATCAAGTAGGAATGGTTCTTCTCTCGCCCCGGTGACATGATAATCCATCCCAAAGCAGTTTTCTCAGCGATTGGCATCCCATCGTTCCCAACCTTAGCAGGTACAGTTGTCTTGATTCTAGACATATCACTGGCACCTAGGATTAGATGCACAGGTAAAAGTGCTTTCTCATCAATATCATTCATATGTACTCCTTTAAGGTGTTCATGGGTTTCAATAAGTTCTTTATACCTCGGATTTGGCACTTTCATTAGCACATCCTTGTCGATTCGATTCAGTTCACATGACATCTTGAAATTGCCATCAACAGCTGCAATCTCCACCTCATAAACATCAATCTTCCTTGTTGTTGTTTGAAGCATCATCTCTATTGATTTAAATTCTTGTCTTATTGGCTTTTTTCCAATTGCGTTTAACAACGTGCTTGATGCAAATGAACTCCCAGACCCAGTGTCTAAAAGTGCTCGACACTTTAGTCCTCCTATCTCTACCACCACAACTGGATAAACTACATCCTTCCCACTAGGTTGACACAGCAGTTTTTGATTTGCGTTTAGTTTATCACAAATAGAAGTGTGATGCCTTCTCTTGCAGTTGTAACATTGGCTCCTACTTCTGCAATCACTTGCTCTATGCTTTTCGCCAGTGCAGTTGAAACACCGGTGCTTGTCGCTGAGAATTTTCTTCCGGTCACTGACATTCACCACTTATCACATTCCACAGATCTGTGATCTTTGCTTTCACAATATACGCAATGTTTAGATTGTTCCTTTGTTAACAATAACTTATCTCGCTTACCATCTTTCCATGAAAATCCATCTTTTTTATCACTTTGTTGTAATGGGTTTCGCTCAATCCACTGTCGTAATGCCTCAACTAACTCCGGGAAAGTCCACCTTTTCCAATCTGATGAGGTTCTCGTTAAATCAGCTCGAATGCCTTCTAATTTATCCAACGTCATCCTTACATTTCCTGCAACATCCCCCAATTTTCCGAATGCTTCAAGAGCTTGAACATGCCCCAAAAGACTGTCATAAAAGTTGTGTATCTTTTGTTTTGATACGCCAGTAATAGTAGGTAAAGACAGAATTTCTTGAATATGTGCATTGACTACCTCGCTTGCGTCACCATATCTTTGCTCCAACATCCTTTTCGCTTTTGCATACCCTTCGCTATTCAGTGGTAATTGATCAATTGTAATTCGAACTTTAGGTACAAGATGTTCTTTTAAATATGCAAACTTTGCTTCGTCTTTCATGGGAGCTTTATCAATTTGGGTCTCAAATAGACCCCAAAACCGAACCCAATCTAAATGAGTTCCTTGAAATTTCGAGATTTGCAGCTCAGGCAACTTCGTTTTAACCCGCTTCGCAGCAGCTAATTCTAGCTTCTTTTCCTCAAGAGATAACGCAAACTCTTCTTCTCTTTCACGCTTTGCCAATTCTATCTCTCTTTCCTCATCTCTAATTTGAGCTCGTGCTTCTGCTTCTTGTCGAATTTTCTCCCGACGCTCAATTTCCTTTCGTTTTCCTTCGTCGTCTAAAAGCTTATTATTTAACTCTTCTATAACCTCCTCAAATACGCGTAACTTGCCTTTGTTTTCGTTTGTCCACTCGTCAATAACTTCATCTTCTTGGCCCGCATCAACCTTCAAGCCTTGTATTAATACAATCAAATCATAAGCTTCGTCTACTTTGGTTTTTAGTGTTGTTTGTTGTCGTTTAATCGCTTCTATCGAATTCCCTCTCAAAATCTCGGTTGTTGCTCGGTTAAAATATGATAATTTTCGCAATACTGACTGGAAGATTCCTACTTTCGTCTCCGTTTCATTAGATAAACCCGACTGCTCTTGTGCTTCAAGATCAATTCGTTGACTTTGTTGTCTCGTCACCGCCATGTCACGCTCGATTTTTTAGTCAAAATACATCCTCAAACCCCGATTAATTCTCGATAAATTCCAAGTCACAAATAGATAATAATCGCCGTCGAAGGTGCCACTTTGTGGAGAATTTTGTTGTTTCCCACAATTGGTTTGAAGAAGTATTTTCACGCTTTTGTTTAAGATATTTTTATTTTAATTCTAATCTCACTTGCTCGCACGCTCTCTCTCTTGCTCTATCTAATATGTCAATCAAGTGTCAGTTTTTGTTCGCTCACGAATTAACTTGTTAACGATTAACTTGTTCCCTTGCTAATAACAACTAAGACGCTACTAACATTCACGACATTTGTATAATTTTTCAAACCTTATAAGATTTTGCCTGGAAGTATTATGGAACTCCCCAACTTCTGTTTTAGTGATATTGCGGTAAGCAACCGCTGTTTTCGTGAGAATATGAAACGATTCTGGATCTTCTTTGTAGAGTCTGTGAGCAGCGTCAAAACCATCAATCCACTGATTAACACCACCTTTTGATTCTGTTTGGAGCAAACAGTGGAACATTGCGATCTATACAGCCAGGGTTTGTGGAATAAGAAACAATGTCAATTATATTATTGAGAATCTAAAACGAGTCATCATTGATTACTTACAGCTGGTGGTGAAGAAGTAAAAACATAATCTGAATGCATTGATAGATCTGTTGTTGTATAACCAGTGTCACGTGCTACATCCTGACTGTAGGCTTTAATGTCGTAACAAATGCTAAAAATATGAAGTACATGTAACAATATGAAGTTTTTGTCAGATCTCGATTCTTTTAACGCGACCTGCCTGGCTGAATATATTTAATCGGGCGTGCAGTGTCAAAGAATTATTTACCCATAGTTTGTTGACAAAAGATATCCAGCTCTTTCACCCAATCTGCTCAACTGTTGTCTTTCCTGTGGAATATTTTCTAATTTTGCAATTCCTGTTTCAAACGCCAGAGCAACGAGCCATTTATAAAGTAATTTGTCGTCTACCAGTAGTTCATGGAAGTCGAACACTGGCAGAGTACCATTATCAAATGATGCTTTGTCGTTCCACAGTTGCATATTCTCTGTCAGTACGTCAGGACTATCACCTGCTGGTTCGTATCTAGTGAAAAAAAAACTAAATCTTTAAACTAAAACAACTGTACAAGACAAAACTATTGCAGTAACACAGATTTTTTAGGAAATAATTGAATGATTGATATACAATCTAACCGCAGTTTCCGTCACCATCGGCGATGTTAGGGATTCCGGATTCATCTCTGATATCACATGTGCTCATATCAGTGGCAGTCTGGCAGACAGTGCCGTGGAAAAACTGGCAATGTCAAGGACTGTAGTTACTCGTGCATCCCGTATTTTGATTTATATTTCGATCTCAGAATATACGATTGATACACAATTGACAAAATGGCCTTGCCATAGCCTCAAAAATGCGAGTCACAAGTAAAATAATACGCCGAGGTCCATGCGAAGGGCAACTAAAGGCTGGTCAGTGAGGTCTATTAGTATATATAATCTATAGAGCTCACTGACACTGGTCTGGGTCTACTTTAGATGCCAAAAACATCAATGACAATTTACAATGATTTAGGATGAAAATGATATCACTGATGCACAGCCATGTCTATGCAAAAATTGCCTAAATTTCAAGGATGCTGTATAAAACTGCCTTTCTATAATGGAATAACAGCCTGCCTGGATCTTAGACCTGTTTCAATTTTCGCTAAAGTACCACAACGAGCAACGTACCCAACGAAATATTTAGCGTGTCTGCAATAATTACGAGTCGATACGGTGTATAATTAAACAGGATTTACAAGTTTTTTCCGTGATCTTCCTCTCTAACATTGCGCAATCGATAAGTAATGTTTACAACACGAGCGGCCGTGTTGTATGACTAGTCAAAATCGCATATTTTCACTTCTGAGAGTTGGGACTAAAACCTTTGAAAATTAACTTCCTTTGGGACTTAATTGAAGAATTTGGCTTCTGAATAAACTACCTGCATATGCATATTAAGTAGGAATAATTCACATCGGGAGAACATTGCAAGCAATGCGGCGGCGATGTCAACTTTGTTTCGATAGAGATGGTGGTCAAGTTGAAGGCATCGGCGCATAATCTCTTTAAAAATTGTAAATGCATGTAATTGCAATAAACAATTCGTTTATAGACTACGTAGTTCATGTACAATAGCGTGTTGAAGTTGGAACCTTTTTTTTTATACAACCTGTACACTCACGCTATTCAAATGAGACTTGAAGAGATATGCAAATCATTACAAAGACCTTCCGATACAAAACACTAGCGTTTGGAACTGATTTGCATGTCTATCAATGATACCATTTGCATAGCCGTAGAATTATAAGTATTAAGAATTGAAATGACTAACATACCTTAATGATTTTAAACTTTCCAGCGAATAGATGCTTGTGTGCCCGTCTGTCCATTTAACATTTAAATGATTGGAATCTAACTTCGCTGTTTTCGCAGTTACATTAAAGTCTAATTCTTTCGGTGCGAACATATTTCTGGCATTTTTTAAAGGTTGAAAACACTTTGGACAGCTACAGTTCTCTCGAAGATAAAAATGAGGAAATTCGTCCACCTTTCCATCGTTCCAATGCACGGTTAAAAATTCATCATTTTGTTGGACATTCAGCGCAACAGAACTTAACCTAGTCGTAACGCTTAACAAGCCATGACTTTTACGGAATAGTTGGCGAGTTAGTAATCTCAACATTTCTCCACAAGTCTTTCAGGCACTTTCCTAAGCAAGACCTTGTTAAAATGATAGTCTGAGATCTGAGAGAATATTGTCTGCCTTTCATAATTATATAAAGAAAACAAGAAAAACAGGTTTTAAGTTCCTTTTCGAGCCAATCATATTTTACATCTTATCGTGTGATTTTTTTTGGAATTTGCATTCCCACAACTTTCACAATAGGAATCAATTAAGCATACCAAGCAATAATATTCTTGTATGTTTGCATGGTGACAATCGATAAGTAATTTAGCTTGTAGGTACACCACGTAAGTATAATTATTATTTATTGAAAATGAGTCAAGAGTTTTGATTGGCCAGCAGCTGTTGGCGAAATCGTCATATCCGCTCGGCAGCTGCCCAAATTTGGACAGTGACGTCACTTCGTCGGATATGAAAAAAATTATTGCACGTTTGACGTCACTTCGTCAGATATGAAAAAAATTATTGCACGGTATGACGTCACGCTAATTTATGCGGCTTGTGCCAAAACCTAAAAGCGGGAAAATACGAATGGCTAAATCAAAGGAAAGGTAAATTTTTGCAAATAAATAATAAAACAATTATTGAATTCGGTTCTCGCAGGATATGAGGAATTATCAAGGCCTCGGTTTGTGTTATCCGCCTCAGCCTTCGGCTTCGGCAGATAACACAAACCTCGGCCTTAATAATTCCTCATATCCTGCTCAACCTCATTCAATAATTGTTCATTATAACAGCATTGTGAATGTAGGAGGTAATACTGTGGTATATATTATAAACCCCACGAGTAATACTTTTGTATGTACATTTAACCAACAGCATGTTGCAAGGAAAGTTGCATGCTGTAACACATTTTCATCCATTTCACTCAACAATCATTTCTTTGAAATTTCATCTAAAATTGCAGTAATTTCCGGAGAACAACTCGAATATTTAGGGCCCAAGCAAACAACGCAATGTGGATTTTCCAGGTTGTTTTCGACACCACAAAACATACATTTCCACCACTCAATGACTGCTCTCTCGGCTGTTAACTTTCTTGTTACGTTAACTTCAGGAGTCGGCTTTACTTTTTTGAACTTACATAAAGATGGCTGGAATATTTGAGGCTTCCTTATCTTCTTTAAGACTGAAAGGTCTTTCGCGGTGAAAATATTGCCACATGCCAGACATGATGCATTCTCTAAACTATTCTCAACTTTACAATCAGGACAAATGCGCCAGATATGAAAATGAGATTCTGAACCATCACATGGTTGTAATTTAGCTGCGGCAGGGCTTTTGGGCTGATGAGATGGAAGTTTATGTGCGTTCGAATTAAAGCTAGCGGCCATTGCTTGAACATGCCCTTCATGTGGAACTCCACTTGCGTCACGACATCCATCAAATATTTTCTTGAATTCAAACGAATCTTCAACAGTTTGAAACTCGGCGGCCAATTTACGTTCAGCAACGACAACATCGCTATGATCCGCCAATGTAAACCACACCCATGAGCGATCTGACCCTGAGTTTGGTTTAAGATCCATTGCAGGAGTGATCTGGTGAGCTAGAAATGTCTTCTTTTGGTCTGACATGAAGATATGGTATTCATTATTGTAACATATAATCTGCAGAGATCCAAATCCCCGTTCACACCAATTATCTTCAGTCTCGTCAAAAAAGTAAACTTCAGCATCTCGAGTAAACAGCAGTTGTAAAGTTCTTTCTTGAATATCTTGATTTGACAAACTGCGCAGGTAATCTCTGTAGAACGGAGATATGGGAAATAATCTGTGATGTATTTCTTTCGCAGGAAATATCGCCTCTTTATTTTCAGCTCTACTGCCTTTAGACTTTGCTTCCTCTTTTTTCTCGAGTTTTTCTGTATCATTTCTTGAGACCAAACCTTTGTCACATAAGTTCTCACAAGACAAGCTACCGCTGGAAGTCTCAGATGTGACTTGTGAAGCCAAATCTTTCTTCTTTAATGAAACACTGAGCGAGGAAGACGCATGAATATCCTCGTCCTTTTCAGTTAATCTAAAATCACCAAAGGTAATAATCATCAGAGTTTGAGACGTGTGCGATTCACGTGATCAAATTCGGTCCTTGCAAACTCTTCTATGTTCCAAATTTTAGGTTATTTAAACTGAGACCATTCTCAAAATAATTTTTTCAGGTACAAAAATAAATAAGCCACAATAATGCACCAGATTTCAAAACATTTGCCTGCATCTCATCAGAATTGACAAGATATTGGCAGGAAAATCAAGATAAAGAAGAGGAAAATGAACTCAATGGAAACAAATAATAGCATCATTGTGAAAGTTTCCTGAGGAATTCTTCGTGTAATAGTTTAATGCCTTCTTTTAAGTATGAAAATATCTCATTACAATAACATGCTATAAATAACTTTAGATTACGCAATAATACGACGGAAAAAAGTCAAGAAAGCGAAAACATGTTTGCCATATGTCGTTAACTACCTTTGCTTCTCAATTATGTCTTTACCATTATTGTCAAATATTTCACATGTTTTTAACTCTTCTTTGCACAAATCAAACTTTTCTTTAAATTCTTGTGCTATTTCAGCATTCTTAAATTTAACAGCAAGTTGTTCGACTTTAGGGTCCCCGTCAGCTATGTCTCCACTGGTGTACCACACCCATGAACGATCTGAACCTGCGTTTGCTTTCAGTTCCATGTCAGCGGTCAAGAAATGATTAGCACATATTTTAAGAATTTGATCGCGTCTCATTAACACACGAACCTGCCCTGTTATTTTATGTTTTAGTAGTTTTAAATTTCCAACACCTCGTTCTTTCCACTGGGCAGCATCTTTATCATAACGATATAATTTTGCACGTTGACTGTAAATTACGTCTTCATTTTCTTCACCACTTGATTGTTCAATCTTTTCAAGTTGGACAATTGCTTTGAAATCAACTCCGCTAGCTTCACTTTCAGGATCATCGTCTCGAAGGTCTTCACTGTTCTTTTGGTTGAACAGTTTTGAACCAGCTCCAGCAAATTCTTTATTTGGAAAAGATTTTCCAAAAGCAAAAGTTCCACCAATGCCACTGGCAAGAGCACTGAATGACAATGATGTAATATCAGTTGAACCAAAGATAAACGATTGTTGATTGGGTTCAGGAGTTACACTTGCTTGAGCCGTTGATAATCTACAAATAAATTACAAAATCAGTTTGAAAAAATAGCTTTGATGGGAAGATATAGAAATAATTATGGCTTACGTTTTCAGAGCATCTTCCTCCACTTCACGATCTTCATACGCGAGTTTATTTTGGTTTTCATAAACGTAAAAGTTTGAAGGTAACAAGAACATTTCGGCTCGTACACGTTGTTCTTCCGTCGCAGAAATCTCATTAACCACAACAGCTTCACTTTTACCAGAAACCTCGTCCAGCAAGTTCACTTTCGCATCTAAACACTTTTCAAAAGCATATTTAAACGCCAAAGCAGTGTCTACATCTCTAAATTTAACGGCAAATAACTGTTCCTTTGTCTCATTGTCAGCGAAATCTCCCTGGACATGCCACACCCATGATTTATCAGATGAACCCATTGGTTTGAGTTCCATATCCTTTGATATTATATGGTTGGCACATACGATATGGACTTGATCTCGTCTCATGATGATACGACCACGTTGTTGACTTGAATCAAACAACACTTTGATCTCTCCAACACCTCGTTCTTTCCAAGATGATTCACTGAAGCGGAAGAGTTTAGCATGACTACAAAATAATGTTGTCTCGTGTTCTTCACCTGTTGTTTGTTTTGTTGGACTCGGGAGTGACACAATTGGTTTGAATACAACAGATTTATCTTCATCCTCGGGATTATCCTCGCTAACATTCAGATCTTTGTTTTTTGGCGATGTCAACGTTGGTTCTTTTGGGATATCCAAACGGAAAGTGAAAACACCGCGGGATAGAGGCTCGGTAGAGTTTTTAACTTCTTCTTTCATCGTTGAAATGGACTTGTTCATTGGTTTTTCATTTTCTATTTGCAAGCTACCTGTCTTATCATTATTTGGTTGGTCATTTGTTGCAGGTGATACAAAGCTAAATTGTTTAACGATATCCTGATTATCAACGCCACCAAAACTAATAGTGGGCTCTCTTTCTGAAGTTCCGAACCCAAAGCCTGGTTCTTTATTCTCACTATTCTCACTTGAGCTTTTGCTTGTTGGTTGATTAAAGTTAAATCCAAATGATTGGTTTTGGCCATCTCCAAATGTGAACCCATCACTTGGCGTCTTTCCAAAACTGAGCTCATCACCTGACGACTTTCCGAAGTTGAAACCGCCACTTGTCGTGTTTCCGAAGTTGAAACCGCCACTTGTCGTGTTTCCGAAGTTGAAACCGCCACTTGTCGTGTTTCCGAAGTTGAAACCGCCACTTGTCGTGTCTCCGAAGGTGAAGTCATCACTCTGCGAAACATCCAATTGTACACTGCCTTCTTTTTCAGAAGATGGTTTGTTTGTACTACCGCCAAATTGAAATGGTGAACTGATTTCCTCTTGCCCGGAGAAAGATTGACCAAACACGAAGGTGCTAGATGTTGTTTGACCAGGTTTGGGAGTCTGACAAGCAAGACAGGTTTCACTTTCCTTAGGATTTGATATCAAACATATATCACAGTCCCACGAACCTTCAGGGGCTTTAAACATCTCTTTTAGATCCTGAGAAGCAGTTTGTGGATGAGACAAAGATTGTTTTTCATTCAGAGTGGAAGAAAAGCCAGAGGTTTTACCGGCGGCTTCAATGAGAGAGGTATCAGGAGAACCAAACACAAACGAGTGTGCGTACGTTGTCGTTGTCGAGCTGTCCTCTTTGGCTTTCATTGGACTAAAAAAATCAAGCAAAAGAATATATTGAGCATATTGTATAATGAGCACACGAATGTATTGAGAACATGGCGTTATTACAATACAATTAAGTCACGAGATGGTCCTTTTTTCTAACATTTTTTAAATAAATATGGTCTCGTGAAAGACATGATAAATATATTTCAATTCAGGTGTATTTCACTCTTACATACGGGTATCCACAACAATACCTTACCTTTCATCGACGACACTAAATTTATATCTATATTTTTCATCTTCAAAATAAATTCCCGGTGAGGTGATAACACTTTCTTCACCATCATTTTTATTATCTTCTTTGCTCACGTTCGATATTTCCGAGACATTTTCCACTTTCTTATTTATTGCCTGCGATGATTTTGAATCAAATTCAACGAAACTGTCATCATCAGTTTCTTTGGCAAAATGGAATGTTTGTGGCAACTGATAGAGTTGTGCTCGTTCTTTCTGTTCTGTGGATGCAATCTTTTCAAAAATAATCACAACATCATCTTCACCACTCTGCACATCATTAACTTCATAATCTCCATCACACGTCTTTTCAACTTCGTCGTTCAAATCATCTTGGAAGAAATAAAACGTCTTCGGTAATTGATAAAGTTCTGCCCGCTCCTGCTGTTCTTTGGATGGCAGTTTTTCAAAGATTATGTCAACGTCATCGTCTTCATTCCTTGATTTTTCTTCCAAACTTGACAATTTATTCACCTCTATTTCATTTTTCTCACCATCACGACATTCTATAAATTTATCACGAAACATCACAGCATCTTCACGATGTTTAAATCGAATTGCAAGAAGTTCGTTCTTCGCCACGCCATCTGCAAAATCTGCGTCAACTGACCACACCCAAGATCGATCTGAGCCTTCATTTTCCTTAAGTTCCATACCAGGTGATATATAATGATTGGCACAAAGTTTGTGTATCTGGTCTCTTCTCATCACCACTCGAGATCGTTTTGTATCATGATGAAGTAAAATTTTTATATCTCCAACACCACGTTCTTTCCATTGTTTTGCAATCATGTCATAACGATATAACTTAGCACGGTGAGAATAAACAACACTCTCATTTTCTTCTCCAGTTCTTTGTTCAACAACATGAGGTAATGAAACGACAGGCTTGAAGTCAGACCCTTCAACTTCTCTTTCAGGATCATTTTCATCATTTGAACTGAATAACTTTTCACCACTGCCAAGAAATGCTTTTTTATCGCCGGGTTTATCGGTGAAGCCACGTGACTGACCAGCAAGCGAGGCAAATGATAAAGTTGAAATCTCGTTTGATCCAAATTTGAAAACCGATTTACCACTTTTAGGGAGCGAATTTGACTTCACGTCAGAGTCGATTTGTTCATCTTTTTCCCCATCTTTTTCACTGCCATTCGTTTCAAGATCGGGGAAGAGTTCTTTAACAACGTCTGTTTTTCCTGCATCATTATTTGTCGTTTGAAATGTGACTTCTTCTTCTAGACCAGTGAAGATTGCTTTACTTGCGACGATAGAATGTAAATTAAAGTTCACTGTTGAAACTGGCTCAGAACTTAGACTCGCTTGATCGATACTGGTAAGAATTTCCCTTGGCGGTGATTTAGTTGAAGAACTTGAAGTTCTTGTTTTTATTTGGTTACTTGAATACCCCTTGCTTTGTTCAGGTGACGCGTACTTTGATGGAGTCTTGCCAGGATCATTGAGAGGTAAAGATAGTTTTGCGGGTAAATGTTTTTTTTCATGATTTGTGGACAAATTTTGTTCTTCAGTGTCTTTGAATTCGCTAAAAATGCGGTCGTCGGCCAGAAGAACAGTTGTTTCTTTTGGCGAAGTTGCGTCGTCGGACTTAATTTGTTTTTCGCTATTTCCCAGATCTATTTCGGTCTTGGAAGCATGGACTGTTTCTGCAGTTTTATCCAATGCCTTAGTCCTAAACATCAAATCCACATCCAAGCCGTGTTTCTCTGTCTGTTTCAATATCAAAGGATCAACCTCTTCATCAACATTCACTTTATTCCCATCTGGATCATTCACAAGTTCTTCTTTGCACAAATTAAACTTTTCTTTAAATTCTTGTGCTATTTCAGCATTCTTAAATTTAACAGCAAGTTGTTCAACTTTAGGGTCCCCATCAGCTATGTCTCCACTGGTATGCCACACCCATGAACGATCTGAACCTGCGTTTGCTTTCAGTTCCATGTCAGCGGTCAAGAAATGATTAGCACATATTTTAAGAATTTGATCGCGTCTCATTAACACACGAACCTGTCCTGTTATTTTATGTTTTAGTAGTTTTAAATTTCCAACACCTCGTTCTTTCCACTGGGCAGTATCTTTATCATAACGATATAATTTTGCACGTTGACTGTAAATTACGTCTTCATTTTCTTCACCACTTGATTGTTCAATCTTTTCAAGTTGGACAATTGCTTTGAAATCAACTCCGCTAACTTCACTTTCAGGATCGTCGTCTCGAAGGTCTTCACTGTTCTTTTGGTTGAACAGTTTTGAACCAGCTCCAGCAAATTCTTTATTTGGAAACGATTTTCCAAAAGCAGAAGTTCCACCAATGCCACTGGCAAGAGCACTGAATGACAATGATGTAATATCAGTTGAACCAAAGATAAATGATTGTTGATTGGATTCAGGAGTTACACTTGCTTGAGCCGTTGATAATCTACAAATAAATTACAAAATCAGTTAAAACTATAACACAAAAACGTAACATTTGCTAGAATCTACCAAAATGTTTCACTAGCTTCCACTACACACTCTCTCTCTCTCTCTAGCAACAAATGGAATAAAAATAGCTTTGATGGGAAGATATAGAAATAATTATGGCTTACGTTTTCAGAGCATCTTCCTCCACTTCACGATCTTCATACGCGAGTTTATTTTGGTTTTCATAAACGTAAAAATTTGCAGGTAACAAGAACATTTCGGCTCGAACACGTTGTTCTTCCGTCGCAGAAATCTCATTAACCACAACAGCTTCACTTTTACCAGAAACCCCATCCAGCAAGTTCATTTTCGCATCTAAACATTTTTCAAAAGCATATTTAAACGCCAAAGCAGTGTCTACGTCTCTAAATTTAACGGCAAATAACTGTTCCTTTGTCTCATTGTCAGCGAAATCTCCCTGGACATGCCACACCCATGATTTATCAGATGAACCCATTGGTTTGAGTTCCATATCCTTTGATATTATATGGTTGGCACATACGATATGGACTTGATCTCGTCTCATAATGATACGACCACGTTGTCGACTTGAATCAAACAACACTTTGATCTCTCCAACACCTCGTTCTTTCCAAGATGATTCACTGAAGCGGAAGAGTTTAGCATGACTACAAAACAATGTTGTCTCGTGTTCTTCACCTGTTGTTTGTTTCGTTGGACTCGGGAGTGAAACGATTGGTTTGAATACAACAGATTTATCTTCATCCTCGGGATTATCCTCGCTAACATTCAGATCTTTGTTTTTTGGCGATGTCAAAGTTGGTTCCTCTGGGATATCCAAACGGAAAGTGAAAACACCGCGGGATAGAGGCTCGGTAGAGTTTTTAACTTCTTCTTTCATCGTTGAAATGGACTTGTTCATTGGTTTTTCACTTTCTAATTGCAAGCTACCTGCCTTGTCATTATTTGGTTGGTCATTTGTTGCAGGTGATACAAAGCTAAATTGTTTAACGATATCCTGATTGTCAACGCCACCGAAACTAATAGTGGGCTCTCTAGTTTCTGAAGTTCCGAACCCATAGCCTTTATTCTCACTTGAACTTTTGCTTGTTGGTTGATTAAAGTTAAATCCAGATGGTTGGTTTTGGCCATCTCCAAATGTGAACCCATCACTTGGCGTCTTTCCAAGACTGAACTCACCACCTGACGACTTTCCGAAGGTAAAGCTATCATTTTGTGAAGAACCCAATCCTATATTTTCTTGTTTAGAGGTTGATTTGTTTGTGTTGCCGGCTAATTGATATGAAGAACTGGATTTCTCTTGCTCGGAAGAAGATTGACCAAATATGAATGTGTCAGCAGGTTTTGTTCCACCTTCTGAAGCTTCAAACTTGTGCTTTTGATCCTCAGAAGCATATTGTGGGTGAACATTGGTGTAACATGATTGCTCTGTTTTGTCTTGAGCTGGTAAAGCAGAAGCAGTACTATCAAAAGTGCTTGAATACGGCATTCCAAAACTAAACCCTTGATTTGTTAACAAGTTGTCACGTACAAGAAAGTTAAAACCAGTGAGCTCAGTGCTGGATGATTTGCCTGGCCAAAATGCGACACCACTGTTGTCAAGACCCACATTCTCACCAAGAATTTGAGGAGTTTCACTGGATACACCATGTGAATGCTTTGGTGTTTTACACGCCGCGCATTCAACTACATTTGCACCATTTCGTATTAAACATGTTTCGCATTCCCATGAACCTTCAGAGTGTTTGAAAATTAACCGAAGATCCTTCTCACTCAGATCGTTCGTATTATTTCGAGTAGGCAATTTAAGAAAACTGCTTTCCTCAGAACTATCAGAATCAGAGTCCGTATCCTCACTGTCAAAATAGTCCTCGTCAAACGTTTGCTTTCCCTTCTCCAGTTTACTCGATTCTGCATCCTTACTTCTTATCGCAGGATCAAAAGTAACATCTTTACTAACATTACTTGACGACGTAGGTGCGTTGAAATTAAATCCAGAATTTGGACAAAATTTTCTACTGTCGCTTTGTGCAATTTTATCTTCGCGTGCTTGTGATCCAAAAGAGAAACTTGGAGAACCAAATGAGAATCCTGAATTAGGATCAGATTTTACTATGTCGCTCTGTGAAACGTCATCTTTTGTTTCCAATGAACCAAAAGAGAAACCTGTTGGAGCAAACGCGAATTGATTGCTTGGTTGTTGTTTCGACAGACCAGGTTTAGTTGCTTGGCATGCAATGCAATGAGTATTTTTCTCGGGATTTTGGACCATACATGTGTCACAAGCCCATGAGCCAGCAGGAGGTTGAAATTGAAGCTTGAGATCGCTGTTCAATTGTGAAGTTGCTGCTACGTTAGTTGACGTGTCTTGGTCGGCATCGGGATCGCAAGCTTTAGACGTTGGAGAAATAGATTGAAGCTCCTCAAATATTGTTTTAAATTCCGATGCAGTTTCTTCTTGTTGAAACCTGACGGCAAGTTGTTCAGCTTTAGGTTTACCGTCCGACATGTCAGCGGGAGTGTACCACAACCATGAACGGTTAGATGTTGTATTTGCTTTCAATTTTGTACTTTGGAGGATTAAATGATTAGCACAAAGTTTGCGTACTTGATCTCGTCTCATAACTACACGAGATTTACCAGAAGAAGGATCATACAACAGCTTCATTTCACCAACACCTCGCTCTTTCCATTCCTTGCTTGCTACATCAAATCTGAATAATTTGGCTCTTTCACAGAACTTCACCATCTCGCCTTCTTCTCCTGTTGCCTGATTCTTTACAAGCGAAAGTGAAACGATTGGTTTAAAATCAATATTTGCCTCGTTTTCGATGTCATGTTCCTCTCGTTCGTTGTCTGGAACGGAGAAAATTAGTTTTCCAAAACCAGTGAAGCCTGCACCGCCAGTGCCATGTGATGAAAACGACTCTCCATCTCCGCTTTGTGAAGCCAGATCTTGAAATGACAAACCTCCAACTTTAGAAGCGTCACCGAATATGCTCGTATTCTTTGGATTTTCACTACCTTCCTCTTCGTTAGATGTACCACTAGGAATTGATGAAATCCTTTCATTTTTATCAGAAACAGTTTGTACATCGGGATTCTTCGCAAAGGTAAATGAAAATGTGTTTTGTGGATGTAAGGCCGATGTTAGACTGTTTTGTGGGGGAGCTGAAGATGAAGTCTGCTCAGGATCAAGATGGGGTGATGGTTGTGGTTCCTGTTTGCTGTCTGAAGGTTTGTTTGACTGAAAAAAGGGCATGTTAAGACTTCCATGAAACATCTGAGGTTGGTTCCAAAAATTTAAGGCATTAGACACACCATCATTTTTCTGGTTTAGTCCAACAGGGATGCTGAGCGTAAATGGTGTTTCAATGGTAGATCCGTTAGATCGGCCATCAGCAAGGTTCGGTTCACCAGGCTTTGTTAATTTCAATTCAGCATTGGATTTACTGGGTGTTGATGACAAATAAGGTACGTTTGAAGATAAAACAGGAAGATTTATGCGATCTGGCGATGGTTTTGTCGCTAAGGGATTAGCCGCAAATGGAGAGACTGCTGGCAACTCTGGTTCATAAGAAGCTTTTCTTTTTTGTAATTCTTCAAACTTGGTCTTAAAATTTTCTGCAATATCTTTCGTTTGAAATTTGGCAGCAAACTGTTCTGGTTTAGTTTCATCATCGGATATATCAGCCAGAGTGCTCCAGATCCACGACTTTTCTGAGCCTATACCAGCTCTCAATTTCATATCTGGAGTGAGGAAATGATTTGCACAAATCTTGAGAACTTTTTCACGTCGCATTACGATCCTTGCTTGTCCAGACGTTTTATTCCATAACAACTTGAGATTTCCTAAACCACGTTCCTTCCACTCGCCGTTCTGGAAACGAAATAGCTTTGATCTTTCTTCAAATATCACCGTCTCATCCTCTTCTCCTGACCTAAATTCAACTGGAGTTGTCAGCTGTACAATTGGTTCAAAAAAGATATTATCGCCCTCGCCATCTTCTTCATCCTCACTATCTTCTGTTTCCTCTCCGTCCAAGTCATCTGGACCACCCTGAGTTCTATCAGGAGTATTACTTTTACTCAGACCAGAGAAAAACGAAGGATCATCATATCGATCTGTAGGAACTACGATGTTATTCGCGAAAATTCCCTGGCGCGTGAATTTCTCTCCTGTTTCAAGATGAACTGTAGTTGATTCAGAATTATCTAATGGACTTGATCTTTCAGAAGGAAATGAAAACGCCGGACTAAAGTCTCCGTTTTGTTTATATCTTGCAAGTTCACTCTAAAAAATCGAACAAAAATAAAACTTTACAATCAATACCGGATAATTATGTTCATTTTTTTACCAATCAGCAGCGGAAGGAATCCTAACCTTTCTTGCAATCTGATTGGCTGCAGCAGTGGGCGGAATTTTACGATATCTGACCAGGGATATTTTTGACATCTCGGGAAAATATTTTGCCACCTTTTAGGGACTCGAGGTTGACCAAAACTTGCCGACATGGAGGAACACTTTAAAGGACTGTTACTATTATAGTTCGCTGATAAAATTCCAGCAATAATAACCAACACTAAGAGATTAAAACAATCTGTAGCTGGAAATGTCAACTGACCTGCAGGTCTTGCACTTGTCTGGAAAGTCTTAAAACTTGTTCATCTCGAATAGAAACTTGTTCACGAAGAAAGCCATTATCCAGAGTTACTTCACTCACAGTCGCTAACAGTTCCTTAGTGTCGTTTTCCTATATCAAACGAGTTTTGACACACACTTCAATTTCTTTTATTTTGCTTTACGAAATAATAGGGAATGGAATATTTAACAAATTTATGTTTTTGTGTTTATCGCAGTGAATGACCAGACTAATATCTCCAGACTGCGAACTCCATGCAGTGTGTTAGAGCAATTGAATGTAACTTATCCTCTCTTGTTCTCCGAGAGCCTCAGGTTAATAACCGTCACTAAAGCTCCGTGAAATACTCATTGAGCCACACAAATGAAATTCACATAACGCAAAAAACTATTTTTCAAAAAACTGGAAAAATATGGAAAAATAAAATTTTTTCTCCACCTTCAAAGCCATGGTTTCTCCAGACTCCGTGATATCTGAGCACACTGGACTTTTCAGTGCATCAAAATCAAGTTGATGAAAATCGATGCTTTTTCCTGGAATAGAAAAATGAGTACGGTTACAAAATTCAGCTCTACAGGGTTTACAAAACATCTGTTGGTGTAGCATAATAATAATACGTTACTAATACGTTAATAATACGTTATAACACACATAGCCTTGTAATAACTCACTCGGGTCAACATGATAATACGATTTTCTTTCATTCATCAAAGATTCTACTGCAGCAAGTTCTTCTTCAACAGCCTCACGAACAACCTTGAATTAATAAAAATTGGCATAGATGTATGAGAATAAAATAATTGATGGGTAGAGGGAATGATTCCAGCAAAACATTGCTAGACTTAACATTTTACTAATTCTGCCAAATCTAGAGGACTACATGCACCCCTTAGACCCCGTTTTGTACGCCCACTGAATTGGACGAGCATCGCATTTACTTTCTTGGTACAAAAGTAATCTACCGTGAGCTAAATTGACGACTGCACGATATTTTTAGGTGGATTATCTAAGTTGAAACGACATACACTACCTTATCATACTCGAGTCTTTCAAGGCACAACATCAGTTTATCTTTTGTATCACTTAAATAATTTATGTACGAATCGTATGCACGATCATCAACACCAGCATTGCTTGATTCAAGTCCTGCTAAATGTTTGAAAATCTAAACAAATATAAATTTGAATCTAAATTCTTGCCTATAAGTTCATATGATAGGGCTATATGTCATTATTGATCGTGGACTGACACAATCTCGAACCCAGAGTCTCTCTTGGGGGAATCCAGTTTAGGAGACTTGGACTGGCACAATCTCGAACCCAAAGTCTCTCTTGGGGAATCCCGTTTAGGAGACTTGGACTGGCACAATCTCGAACCCAAAGTATCTCTTGAGGGGATCACGTTTAGGAGACACAATCTCGAACCGACAGAGTCTTAAAAAAAGGGGTAGAGAGGCTTGGACTGACATAATCTCGAACCCAGAACCTGTTAGAGGACTGAGGACTTAGACCAACATACCTGAGCTTCATTCCACGCGGCATGCGATGACTCAACACGAGAAAAAAGGTTCAATGCATGTTCAAAATCTCCTCTCTCTACAGCTGCTTCACCCAGAGTCATACACGCTTCTCGGAAATATCGATGAATATCGTGGTGCTATAATAGATACATATTACATTCAACATTTGAAACACCATTCAAGTTCAACAAGTTCGACAATGATATTTCATTTTTCAGGGTTCGTCAAGGCTTGAATACGCATGACATGAAAGATTTGCAATGTCTAAAATAATTAACATGATAGCATAGTAGAAAGTACCTCGAAATAGCTGAGATTATGCGGAAACAGCGGATCTTTTGGGCAACCTGGATTTTTATTCCTAAAAAATGATCCATTGATAATATTACATGTTGGAAGGTTTAGCATAGGGTACATTTATAAAATATGGAGAAAAACAGGAAACCTCTTCATGTCTTCAAAAAGGCTCAATGCAACGTTCCAGTAATGCAAACTCCTAAACTGAAAACTCTATATAAAAAATTATAAAACAATTTTTAAGCCATTTCACTCGAACATAAAATATAATCAAAAAAAATATGGTGAGATATAGTTTAGTTACCTTCCAATGAACAGAGTAGAACCACTGCGAATACCCTGCAGCATCTTTCAATAACAACGACTAAAATATTGTGGTTAATGTCAATATTTTGTGTAGCACCATGCAGTGGAAAAATATAGAAAAATATTTAACTGAATTTGTATAAAACAGAGCTACAATATTCAGTGTATTAGTACTAGGAGATAAGGTGCAAGGAGATAAGCTTGCTCTACCTTTTGGCCAAAACTTGTGGCTAAATGAGTAACAAGCTTAGGATGCATTCCTTCGTTCTTTATCACACGTATTTGTTCAAGTCCTTGCTGAACTTTCATTTTGGCTTTACCACTCCCAGATACACTAAAATATTTTTAAGATGCCTGAGCCGTATCCATGTAGATTTAGTCGACGTTTTACGAAACGTTAGGAGTGTTGCTATTAGCTACTTACAGGGTCAACAACGTCGTGCAGAATCTAAATATATCACGACGTATCACTTCATAACATTATATACCTTTGTGTTCCACGAAAGAGTGCATATACAGAACTCCACCAATCCTTTTGTGTAGGGATAGAGAGGGAATCACAGAGACATAATGGAAGTAGTTTTGGCTGATAGTATTCATAAACAACATCAAGATCTTCAAATATTTCATGGGCGCTGCATTTAATAACAGCATAAATAAACGCCTGCAATAAAAATCATTTGTATTATTTAAAACTCATTCTCATTTTGAAATAGTATGCATACATCCTCGTTCCCCGGTTTTTCGCGTACTGTGTGTGAAGCCTGGGAACGAGGATGGTATACAAACGGAGTTAATGTCCAGGGCCAGAGCTCTAAAAAGTGTTTTCAAAGCGCGGTTTGGCATAATATCCACCCATTCCTCCAAGGTCTTTTCGTAAAGGACGAACGGTTGAGTATTTTCTTTGATTTGAACGTATATTTACATTCCATTTAATAATCAATTTGTAGGCGGGGGATAAATATATTGTTAGCAGTAAATTTAAAACTGGTTTATCATTACAGACTATGACAGCACGAGAATTATATGATGACAACCAAAGAAAGTCTAGTTATGACTAGTTTCTACACTGTAAATGTACGATCAGCACTTGTTGAAAAAACACAAGTTTAAAGAAGAACCGCGTTATATACAGACTAAAGAAGTGAGGCGAAGGAATGATAAAGATCAACTGGGTATAATCTATTTATTGATCGTTATTTTACCTCAATATCTCGGAGACAAACAAAGTCTGCAGCACATTGAGACACGTCATGAACATCCATCCGCAATCCTTCAAACAACTGACTTACTAAAATTTCAACTACACAAAACAAAAAACAAGCGTTTGCTATAATACCACACTTGATAAAAGATTTGAATCAACCGACAAGGCTAGCTTAATATTTCTTCCTGATCACGGGTTAACTTTTAACCACAGTTAGTAACGGAAATGTAGTTTTGAACACCTGGCCAAAGGTTGATAAGAAAGATCACAGTCCAATTCAAAGAGATAAGATAGCAAAAAATAGAAGTAGTTTCCTAAATTATTCTGAGCTAAAAAGTTGAGAGAGTTTTTCATACTTCCAGCTTCTGTTTCCTGGCCATGTTGATACCATTGAAGACCAATCCAGATTATCAGATCAAGATTCAGAGGATTTTTGTTAATAAGCACTACACAAGAAAAAGATTAACAAAATTAATTCAATATTTTCAGTTCAGTCTATCTTGAAGATCATCCAGCATATCAATGTGCGTGAAAACCACGACAATCACCCACCTTCATCGTATTTTATAAGTTGACCTGGTATGATGAATTCTGGAGTTAGAAATGATTCGTCTTCACTCAAAAACAACTGAAAATAAATTGAATTAAAAAAAGAAGATTATCTTGCATGCACTGTTTTGATATGACGTCTCTTACCTTAGAGAAGTCGTTGTCGTGACCATATAAAGTAGATATAATGTCCTCTTGCCCCTAAGGTGCATGTGAACATAATTAAGCTTCTTTGCAAAATTTTGAAATAACGCGAACAAAGTGGATAACAGAATGTGAGTTGAGCTGTTGTTAACTGACAACATTATTGTTACAACTCCAGCAGCATGCTGAGATATGTGTTGCATTGAAATGAAAAATCGTTTCGATGAATCATCATACCTGAGGTGAGCACAAATTCAAAAGTATGTTGTTAATTTTTTCTTCACCATAACGATTTAGTGTAGCAAGGATCAAATGTCCTAAAATACACGTTCTTTTAGAAAACAAGAAAAGCAACAGTTGGAGCCATGCACAGTGGGAAAATTAAAGAAAGTCTCGTATTAGCTACTAACTATTATAGATTTAAATTTACTGGCCCAATGGTAAAAAAGGAATTATGATTGAAGTTGTATACGATTATCAACAAACTTGTAAATAAAAATAAATAAATAAATACTAATTTCCTTTCAGTCATGTTGCAATCGTCTTGGTTTTATAAAATCAATTCTCAGTTATTCTCACCAGTGACACTCAGACGTGAAGAAGCTAAAATGGACCACATGATGGGATTTCTTTCACTCGATGATTTTGCAACCCAAGATGACGTCATTTCTGGTTCAGGGACACGATAAGATGTTACATAACAGGCCGTAGCCATTTCTAACGATTGAGACCATGTTGAGTAACCCTGCGTCAAAAAATATTAGCAAAATTATTATATCAACCTCCGTCCTCTAAGATGAAGCTTCGTACTAGATCTACTTTAAGCCCAATTCTCTGCTCTTTAACCACATTTGTCCCCTAACCTTACAATACCTAATTGTACGCGAGCGCTGATTGGTTGAAACTCATGTTCGAAATTTAAAGACCCAGTAAATTCCCGCCAAAAGTGAACCTTTTAATGTATATTTCTTGGAAATGTTTCATCTCGGGCTATCGTAAACAACAATCGCGTGTTTTAATAAGATCACCTCATCTAAACACAGAAATATCTAGTATTCTTAATGAGAAAGATAGAACAATTTAATAAACAAACCTCCTTAGCCAGTCTTAATAGCAAATTACCACTCAGCATATATAATTGAGCTCTGATTTCTGTGATTGCAACATCCCATTCATTTGCTTCACTTAAATCAGTAGAATTACTAAAACCATTGTCAAGATTTATTGCTTGGTACAATAACTGATCAAGCCTAAACAAAAACAAAATATATCATATTGCAAGCATCTAAAGATTGCATTTGAAATAGATGAACATTATTGAAAAAAAAAAGAAAATACAGCCAACCATTAAACTGGGTCTACTAGCTCAGAACATTTTTTTTAAAGTGACAAAGAATACTAAAAATAGCAGCATTAAAAAAGTTCTGCTCCTTATCACTACTCTTGATTAAGCATTCCGTTCTTGTTTGAATACATGGACATTTTAAAATATACAAGAATTGACAACAGAGGTTTTGCAATAATAAAGGTCTGTGGCAGATCAAAACTGGATAAATGAATTATTAAATACTAAAAGATATCACAGGAGAAACAACTTGTACCTTAAAAGTGATCTTGAAGATCTTCTCAGGGTTGATTGAGAGAGATTGAGCTCAATGAGGTTACAATATGAAGTCAATAGAGCCATGTAAATTTCTTGTAAAATACTTTGTCTTGACATTGGAGAATGGTTTACAACTTGAAATATAATAAAATGCATTCTCTACACATTGTCCAATTACAAAGTGTTGTTGAGACAATATCATAAAATATGGTATTACCTTGTGCTTCTATAAACTCTAGGTATTTCTAAATCAACATATTAAAAAAGAAGATTGTGAACAAGGTTGAATTATGGCAGAACACCAGTCAGAAATCAATGTCAAAGTATGTAGAGACATTTTTAAAAAATATATAGTTTAATACCTCTAAAACACCAACAGTCTGGACAAACCATGGCAAGTTTTTATGAAATGCCTTTGTCTTGTTCACTGATACACAATGTTCATAGGCATCATCCAGATGGTCTGAAAGAAAGAAAGAAAAAAAAATTAGTTGCCATTACAATACACTCAACAATCCAGACTGTACACTTTAATAATTGTCACATACCAGGGATATTTAACAATTATTGAGCGTGCATGTGTGCAAAAAATGCTGTATCCCAGTTATTACGTTATGTGTTGGACACGATAATTTCACACATGGCCAATGCAACTCATCAATCAGCAATCAAGGCAAAGGCCAAGAGAAACTCTCGTATAATTTCTTTGTATTTGGAAATTTTTTCTCACCCATTTTAATGTAGGTCTCCACCAATCTTGTATGTACAGAAATATCATGTGGCCGTTGGGTCTATATAAATTTATGTGGACAAAATTATGGTATGTTATTTTGGTAGTTTCAAATTTCTTAAAAAATTTGAATGAACCATTTTGTAATTCTCATGTGTACCAGTTCGCCTGCAATCAGGTCAATCAACTCATCAAAATTAGAAGGTCTCTTTAACTCAAGTAAGTGAACCTAAAAATGAAATTAAACACAATAAATACATTGCATGGTCTGTTGTATACTTTATAAGGGGACATTGCTTCTGCACACAGGCTACAACACCTTGGACTGTTTGAACAAACTTGACATATAGCCCTAACACGCAGGGGAACAAATCAATGAAGGATTTTATAGGGATGGAGGTTTGCACACCACTACTGGCAAGCCATAGGGAGTGTTGCACGAGACATATTCTAAGCAGCACCATCTCTGTTTTAGAAATTTTTGAATAAACATATTCTATATATATTCTAATATTCCTTACAGATTGTACTTGCCCCATCCCCCCTTGCCCTACAAAATTGCACTGGATCCACTGCTGAATTTAGACACAAACTGAAGGGAAAAAAAGAACTCACTTGCAAGTCAAATATAGCTGGATGTCCAGGTATTCGTTTACTTGCATGATCAGCCCAAGCCTAACAGAAAATCTGTTTAAGTTAACTGCTCTAATATAAAAACGTTTTCCATTTAAATAAAATCTAGAAGTTAAATAAAATTTTAGAATTTCTGGTTTGGTGTATTGAATATATCCTGACAAATGTTTCTACTGTAGTATGTTATGAAATATAAATACCTTGGCAATTTCAGGATCAATCTTCAGTTCAGTGTAAAGTTTAACAACTGTTAATTAAATGCTGTTTGTTAGTGGAACTGGAAGAACAGTTATGCATGCATGCATAGTTACTAGACCTTGACATTCCTTGTACTCATATACCATTTATAATAAACTGTTACCTTTTTCAGACTGCCATATATAGTCATAATGCATGTAAAATTATTGATCATTTAAACTTACTTTTAAGGAGAACATCATTTTGAGAATTGTTTATTGCAAATGATCTAAAAGAAAACAGAAATATTGATTTAGAAAGAGTGTCAAATACTAATCAAAAAATATTCATAAACCATGGACCAATTATAATTTTATAATATAAGGAAGTCCTGAAAGCTTTGCCACTTTTACTTAATTTCAAAAGTCTATATAGTGCATATACATGTTTTTTAGCTAAAATACAGCAATAATGCTAAATTTCAGAGATAGTTGGGAATTATCATCCTAACTACAGGTGCATATTAGAAAAAAATTAACCTTTTGTAGGACTCCAAAGCTCTTTGATAATCTTGACCTTCTTCAAACAATTCACCAAGAAATTTGTGAGCTCTAATAAAACCTTATATGTTTAGCCTTTAAAAGTGTTTAGAGGCAAATAAATATGAACTATAATATAATGTACAGTAGTTAAACAATTGCTATTTTTTTCTAGAAAAGCATACCTGTAATCATTGCTGTTTGCACTCATGTAGGCAAGTGTATACCTATACAGGATGAAGATACATTAATAAAATTACTCAAATCCTTAGTAAAGCTGAGCGATATTAATATAGGGAGCCTAGAAGCCATAGCAAAAAGTGTGACTGGTTTGACAACTTAATTAATAAACAATATTGCCTTGGATATGTTTGAAAATTTGGTTTTACAAGATAGTTTGGTAGTCTTGCATTCATGAATTCTATAGTATCACATGGAATATTTCAATTGAAGAGTTTCTTCCAATGCTTTAATTGCTATGATGAGAAGCAAATCCTGCAAAGTTCTTCAACTATCTTTCTTCTGACAAAACATCAAGTTATTGGAAACAAACAAATAAGTGAGAAAAATGACTTTGCAACTTCACTCATGAGGGTGTCATCGATATGACATAAATGACAAAACTAACTCCTTGTCTCCTTTTACCTTTTTGCCGTTTTTAATTCTCCAGCCTTCTTAAATAAATCGGCAAATATTAAACCTTTCAGGTTTCGCTAAACAAAATATTAACAACGATAAACCCTCACATAATGAACATTTCCCGCCAGTGCACATATTTTATATTCTATATACCTCGTGTGGACTCAATCGTCCTTCGATTTTACTGATATACTTTTCAACTTCAGATTTTGTCAATGCCATAGCAGAAACAAGGTTTGATGTTGTTTACTTTTTGCAAATTATTGTCTATTTAGACCTTAAAAAACACCAAATCAGAGAAAAATAACGAAAACGAAACACGTTCGTCAATCTTCCGTCCGCCATATCATAATTTGAAATCAGAAATTCCTCAGATGGTCAGAAAACATTCCATGATTTCCTAAATTTTGAACTAGAACCACTGACCTATCCATTCAATCCGAGGAAACAACTATTTGGACAGGGCAGGCACCTCACAATTGCTTTATTTGCAGAAAATAAATTTTCATGACCATAAATTACACCCCCTCTACCACCAAACAATGTTGATGAAGGTGAGCAATCACCTGGCACTCACATGAGGCTGAGAGATGAGTACACTAACAACTAACCTGCGAGGTTAACTAGGAACCAACATTGAAACGGGGAAGTGGGGGTCTGCATACATGTACATAAACACGCCAGGTTTTTAGAATTCACCTGAAATATTGCTAATAATTTGTCCTGCCCATATCAATTATGTCCAGGATTGTACCTCTGGCTGGAAATGTGAACAAATTCTTGGGGTTATGTCCAGTCTTTTCATGCAACGAGAAACATAGTTTTTTCAATCTTTCAACTACAAGCAATAAATCTTTTAAAATTTCAACTGTTTTTAAACTTCTTAGCTGGGCTCTTATATTTATTCTAAGAGTTTGCTTCCCGTTACTGGCAAATCTCTGGCTGGGATTTTGATCTTCGACTAGAGTCACTAGACAAGAGGATGTAAAGTGCATTTTTCGATGCACTTTTGCGATTAAAAGTCAGTCAAAACTATAGAGTAAAGAAAGTTATCTGAGTGGAACTTGTAATGAAATTGTCCTATTTTGTGAAAAAAGTAGAACGAGGTTTGCGCCAGAGGAGTGAAGGTTTCGGTGTTTCTAAAGTGTTTGTGTGAATTCGCGTTCATTTTTTTTTTACTTGTATAGTTCGTTTATATGTGACCAATGTCAACTTGGGATATGTATTTGCCACATGTGTTGCCATTTGAAAAGATCGGAATTCCGGTGCCGGAACCAAAGCAGCTTGACTTCGAAGCAGACGCCGGACTGTATCCACAGTGCTTTGCGTGCCTATGATATGGAATATTAGAATATTTAATAGATAGTATATAACACAACATTATGGCAGCAATGGACACAGATGAACAACAAAATACACCTCAAACTAACTTACGAAGATCTAATTCTGCACCACTTATAAATGGAGCTAACCTTATTGAAACAAATATATCATATCTTCCTGCTGTAACGCCACGAAATAGGCGCTCAAGCACAAGTCAAATGGCTAATGGATCACCTATGTCAGCTGTGAATGATCGGCTTTACAATCATTTGAAATACATTACTATATCTTTTGGTTTTAAATAACGTTCTTTTTGTGTTTAGCCCGTGGGTTCACCTCATTCAAGATTGCTTCAAATAAGAAAGGTAAATGCCAAACTATTATGTCGAGCTCAGAGTGCCTCTATGAAAGTCCTTGTTTTGTTAAATAATAAGTTAGCGATTTTCTAATTACCCCAGTTTTTCCGTTCTATATTAATTAATCAGAAATAAATTAGGAGAAAAGTACAATATGTTAATAGTAAATTCCCAAAGTCCATAATTTGGCAATTTTTCCAGATATCAACTATCCAGAGCACTCAACCATGAATGATTGAGAGCGAAGTCTGTTATGATCGATTGATTGTGAACGTTCATATTAGTTGACTCTGGTTTGCAGCCATACCCAGACAAGCTGTAGTCAAGCCATTTTTTTTCAGTTGGCTGATTAATGTTTTTCTTTTTGAATAACATGATAAGATCTAAATGTTCTCATAAGGATGCATGAGCATTGCTCTAGTAATCATTAAATCAGTGAATATACATAACTGTAAATCTGTTCCTATGTTCATGAGCAGTTGGTACTGGAAAATTAGCCATAAAAATGTTTTCCAAAATTTTCACCTTCATTTATATGATTAGTCTGACGAATAAAGGCAATTGAGTTATTGCAACACAACCAAATGCCTTTGTCACAACCTCCTAGTCCTAGCTATTGTAATATTTTTTGTAGGAAGAGTTTATAGATGAGACAGAGCAAGATAGGTAAAGTAATGGAACTAAACACAGATTGTGAAAATTCTATTTGGTTTCTTTCCATGTATTTGCTACTGTATAATGTGGAATTAATTGAAACAGTTTTATTGGTCATATATTTAGGATGGTAAACACATCATTATTCCTAAGTTCAAGCTGTGAATCCTTGATGACGGTAAGCTTGATGGACCAGCAAAAATTGATGTGTCCTTTGCTGACATATGTTTCTTTTCAGTTATTCAATTATTTTTCATTATTTCCTATACAAAATTATGTACAAAATCTCAATAACTGTATGTAAGTACTTTAATGTTATAGAACCAACCTAGAAGAAACCTATATAGTCCATCCAGTTGTGATGATCGACGTCATTCTATTGATGATCCAACTAATTATTACCCATCTTCAACTGCATCTTCACCATCACCAACACGAAATATCACACCAAGCTTGCCTAAGGTATGTGAATAGGCAAATTGCAATTATGGCGCTAAGTTTCTTGTATTTTTCAAGAATTGATATGTATTATCATATGAATGAAAGTATCAGTTAAATTGGTTTTCCAACCAAGAAAGAAAAATCAATTTGGAATGTTTTATGACATGAATCTTGTTTAGTAAGAGGTAAAATGAGATTGGACCATGTTAACAAATTCCTGTGTGTTTATAGCTTATCCCAAGATCTCGAAGTTTGACACCAAGTCCAATTCCAAGCCCAACTCGACAAGTATCAAGGTAGTGTATTGAAAATAAACTAAATAATTATTCTAAACTGTCTCTTGTGTTAATCAGTTGTTAACTTTGGCTAAAAATATCTGATATTTTAGAAGAAGTTCAAGCCCTGTTCTTATCCGACAAAGCACACTAAGCTACAAACGAAAATGTAAGTGTAAGATGTGGATATTCAAAGACAACCAAAATTACAGTATTTCTAAGAAATCTTATGTGTTTGTTTGTATTTGAAGTCTTTCCAGATGGTGTTGATGTTAGTATGCAGAGCCCGGCAAAGAAAGCATTCCATGAACCAATGCAACACTCGTCCTCTGATGAGACATGTGAAACAACTAACTCACATATAAACAATGATGATGACTCAGGCATAGAAACCACGACCCCCACCACTCCTGTGACATCAATGTTGTTTTGTGATACCTCACATCATCCTAAAGTATCCTACTATCGTCCCAAGTACACCCCACCTAGGTCACCTTTAGCTAGATCACTTAGTTCAAATAGTAATGAAGAGACAAACAAGAGATATTCTCTGGATGGAACAAATTGTTTTACATTTGCTCCAGTACAAGATTGAAATGGAATTCTAAACATCAAAAGGTGTTATGTCTGTTCAGTATTACAGTAGAATTGTTTAAAATCAAAATCAAACGTTATGTTGTGTGTCATGGACACAAAGCCCGGAAATTTTTGTTTGAAGAAATTACCTAGTAGATAACCAAAAGAAGAGGCAGTCTTTTTAACACAGCAACGTAAAACTCCCTTACTTTATTTTTCTTGTTTTTAACAGCCAAAATCGATGCTGAATATTATGCTGTCAAGAATAAATACAAGTCGATATTTCCCGAGTCCCGAGAAATAATAGTATCAAAGGAATTGCTGAACATCACAACAAACTATAGTCCTCTTACTTTGGAAGTTGTTTTCTTGATTACTGTTTAACTTTGCCGCGGCGTTGAACAAAACATTTTAGTGTATCATATTTTGTTCAGAACATTGACGTGGTGGACTGTTTAGTTCTGTTTCGTTAGATTCAAACGTTTTCTCAAACCGACATATATCACAACGTCCTAAAGGACGACCGTCCGTAATGGCTACAAGTTAACCATCGGCATAACTCGTCTGATCAAAAATTTCAGACTGGAGGGTGCGAATGTCTTTCAGACAATAGACAGAGGAATTCCCACAAGCTCCAGGCTGCTCGTCGCATTTCACCAAAGGCTAAGCTCTCACTTTGTTATGTATATATCATAGCGTAAAATCAGACTATATTTGTCTCTGTACGACGGTCAAATGTATTTCTATTTCACGACTTTCAGCAGGCTATTCAAAACTACAAAACTGATCAGTTTTGTTCTTTGTATAGACAACACTGGCTATACTTTTTTCTTATAAGAACCTAATATCATGTACTTTAAAAATAAACTCTCAAATTCAAATCGGTATCGCATGAAACGATACTGAGGCTATGTGCACACGGTAACGTTTTCACATTCGTTTTCATTCCAAAACGGTTTCGAACATCGTCAATTTACAATAGAAGTTGAAGATTAACATATTGAGCAAATATTTCTTTGGATCGTGTGGACAGGGCGTCTAAACAATAAAATATAGACAAAAACGATTTTTGAAAACGCTGGAAAACGACACTCGTGTGCACATAGCCTGAGTTACCATATCCATATATATACATCTTGTGAAATGCGTTCGTGGATAATGTAATAATGTAGAAATATATAATGGTACTTTTGTATAAACTGTACAGAAAAAGAATATAACTATCAATCCATGACTTATTGCGGTTTTATCGCGGTGAAATCTTAATTTGGGTACAATTATGACTTTTAAAGACTTGCAAGGAAACGCTAGAAAAAAACGTTAGAAAACCTTTGAAGAGATAACTTGAATACCAGGCAATGGATACGAATAAGGATAACCAGAGGATGTGCTGATGAATACCAATAGTGGGATAACCCGAGTACCCGCTTATAAGTAACCCATGCAAATGTGCACATGAGACAAATTACCAATAGCGATAACCAGAGAACCATTTATAAGATAACCTGATTATCAGGCAAAGAATACTAATAGGATTAAAAAAATAGAATTTGAAAAAAAAATACTAATAGGAACAGCCAGAATACTAGCTGTAAGATAAATAACCTCAGTACAAAGTACAGCCTGAGTACCAGCATTAAAGATTACCTGAATGTCTGCATTAAAGATTATTTGAATATCAGCATTAAAGATTACCTGAATATCAGCATTAAAGATTACCGAGTACCAGTATTAAAGATTAGCCCGGAGTACCAGAATTAAATGTGAATAAGAACAGCCTGAGTACTACCTGCATTAAGATTCATCAGGCAAAGAATACGAATAAGAACAGCCTGAGAACCAGCAGAGTTGCAAAAATAGTTCAACCTTCCTCCGGTAGGTTTCAAGTTTTGAAAACCTTGACGTTATGTCACTGAGTCAAGTGGCAACCAGCATAAAGAAATATTCGGTATTTTGTTACACGCATGTGATCAATTAGAGCGTTCAGCTTTCAACCTTCCTCACAAACATCATTTAAAGCAAACCTTCCTCCGGGTGGTACCCGCAGCTTTTTTGCAACTCTGAGAACCAGAATTAACTGGATAACTTGAATATCGGTGAAAAATATGAATAGGAACAGCCGGAATACCAGCATTAAGATTCACCAAGCAAAGAATACGAATAAAAACAGCCGGAGTACCAGCTGTAAGATTACGTGAGTATCAGGCAAAGAATACGAATAAAAACCGCCTGAGAACCAGCATTAAGATTAACTGAATATCAGGTAAATACTAATAGGCACAGCCTGAGTACCAGCATTAACTGGATAACTCTAATATCGGGGGAAGACACTAAAAAGAACAGCCTGAGTACCACCAGTATTAAGATTCATCAGGCAAAGAATACAAATAGGAATAGTCTGAGTGCCAGGCTTTATAATAACCTGAGTATCAGGCAAAAATAAATTGGAATATCTAAGCTTGTCATCCATTATCATTTGGAGGTTGTATTTTCATTATGGAAGTTCCACCGCCCGTCACCCCATTAAATATTTAGGTATACCAAAGATGTTTTATTTTACAAGAGAAGAAAGACAAAGGAACATCATATAAATATTACACTGGGCTACTAAAAATGCGATGGACTACTAGATACAAAAATAAAAAAATCTAAGGACGGACACGCTGCGATTTCGACGTCCGATTTCGACTTGAATGGATGATGTGAAGACAAAAGCATCCTCTCTCCTGTGCACTGTCTGGTACTGTCATACACCAAACTAGACAATTCAGCGATCAAAATACCAACAAGTGCTCCTCGCCTTTAGTTGCCAAACTACTGTACGAATGTAATTTTTGTTTTCGAGGAATTGATTTGCCAAACATTGAGATTTTCATAATCCATTAAACATTTCTCAAACTGATCAGGAGTGAATCCCTTCGTTAAACATCGTTGTTTTGCTTCTTCCAATCTAAAAAAAGGAAGATCAACTTTGCGTCGTTAAAAAAATACAAACATACCAAGGAAACCATTAATTTTACATTATTTTGACCAGATACGACTGCTTTATTATCTAAAGAGTGTATAGTTATATTAAACAAAAACTTTTGCTATTAATCTTTCTTACGAAAACAATAGATTTAAGCGATAAAAGGAAACCAAGATTGATGTACAATAATGCTCCAATATATGTGCGTAATTAAAGAAATTGCTATAATAATTTTACGCATAAAGGATAATATATACACAAACCATGCCAGGCATTTTCTTCTTAGGTAACAGGAAATCTAAGATGTTTTACTTACTTGACACTGCTAACTTGACCAGCCATTTCACGAATGATGCCATATATAGCATCTACTGGCGAAACATGTCTAAGTGAAGAAATAAGAACACCATTCTCTGTTACACAGTGATAATTGAAATCTGCTATATAGGATTAGGACGTATACGACATGGAAACAATCAAAAAGTATTAACTTGTAGAATAATAAGAAACATTACAATTCAGACTTCGGGATGAAGGAGAACATACACCTACCTTCCCACTGATTCATCATCAAGGAGAGATATTTTAGACATTTCCATCAACCGCATTGCTTCATTCACATCATCTTTTTCAACAACATCGGCCAAGCGCAATCGAGCCTATTACGTTGGAATAAAATGTGAACAAAACCGTGACATTGTGAAATATTCCTAGGCCAGCATTAGACTTTGCTCGTTTCTTACCAATGCTGTTGCTAGACGTAAAATGGCGAGCAATGTTCGAGGTGAAGTGAATGTTGATTCACGATTTCCTCTCGCTTCTTTCCTCATTTCAACATAAGCACCGACGATGAAATCTGTCAAATTTTCTGGAATAACTGGTTGTTTCTCTTTACAGGCAGCGACATAACGTCTGGAAATAAGAGTCAATGCAAAGAATGAGAGCAAAGAATATCCTTTATAACACGAGCTCCAGTAATAACCCCGGGCAAAAAACTACAATTTTAGCTCGTTTGATCGTAGTTAACTCTAAAGTACAAAATTCTGATTGGCCAATCATATGCACACCTCAACATATATGTATATATTTGTTGTCCCACAAAAATAAAGCCTTAGAAATACTTGGTATATACGTAAATTACGAATGCACTATTTAATGTTTACCTCATTAGGTTCATATTCAAAGGCTGAAACTGTGTTGGTGGGTGGGAGCAATATTGATGTACATATGATATGTGTTGAGCAAGTCTAAAATAAAATCACCAGATTGTGAGACATTTTAAAGGTTTGAAGTAGTGTAATTTACCCTTTGAAAACGGGGAGAATAGACTTGAATAAGAAGACTAAGCCATGATATACAAACAAAAATAACGAACTTTGGTACACACAATTGAGTAGAAGACAGAGAGAAACTGAGATTTCGTTTCACTCACACATATATAGTCATTTTAAGAATACGGTTTAACCCGGAGTAACTAGGGATAATCTGGAGTAACATGGGATGTTCATCATCCTACTAATACATTAGGGAAATATGATTAGGTATCTTTTTACCTTAAATCATTCTCACGATCAGGTTTATCTTGAATCAACCATAATATATCAAATCTTGAAAGAAGAGCTGCTGGTAGCTGAATATTCTGTTCAGCTGATTTTTTAGGATTATAACGACCATAAGCAGGGTTAGCTGCAGCTAAGATAGACACTCGAGCGTTCAATGTTGTAAGGATGCCAGCCTGCATGGAAACAATCATAAAGGAATCAGAATTAGTTCCAGCTTTTTATAAAGATATGCACGTTTTTCCAATTGCACGCTTGCATTCACTATATTCAATCACCCACAATGATAATCGTACGGTGATCGCACGCAGTCCGAATGATATGGCCGATAGGATTATCATTTATAAAAACAAATTGTTAACCAGATAAATAACGCTAAAGTATTCATTGCTATTTTGGTGCTATATAAATCAAATAATGAAGATGATTCCAAATCTTTTACCTCATGAAGATATTCTTACCATAAATATTCACTATTAGTATATTTATAAATCTAACCTTGGCGATGGATATGGTCTGTTGTTCCATCACTTCATGGATCGCTGTTCTATCACCATCCATCATTTTATCAAACTCATCAATACAACATATTCCTTGATCAGCTAGGACCAAAGCACCTCCCTCTAAGGTAGAAGAAGTTGACGTGAGCGAAGGTGGTGCCAATGGCATTAATGAACAAGGTATAGTTGTCATTATTTTTATACTAAACATGTAGACGTGAGCTATAACGGATGTACTGTCATTCAAAATCTTCCTTTAAGTTATGATCTCCAGTAAAAATTCGAAATAAAGGCAATATCAACAGTGAACTGAATTAATACTGTATGGCGTGTGTCAAATATAGAAAATAAAAGATATTGAATTTCAGCGAAATTTCTAAATAATATGTTTTCAGGTTTATAAACTGAACAAGCTAATCTATGCATATCAAACAAGTATATTCGTTTACACAAAATGATATTTTAAATATCTTACCAAGAACCATTTCACTTGTAACTGGATCTCGTGTTACAGAAGCTGTCAAACCAACACCTGATGAACCTCGTCCAGTTGTGTATTGACCTGAAGAAATACGTTTTTCACTTCACCGTTATATCTATCAAAATTCTGGCTGAACTTTTGCTATAAGTCAGAGGGATATGCAAGATTTACCCTCCGAAATCACGAAAAGGAAATTCTAAAGAAATTCTAGTTCCAAAGTAGATAATTCGGTATATTTTTCTATATACGAGATTAAATCACCCGGAGATTTAGAATTAATAATTTAAAAATTATATGAGAGAAATAAGCTTGGAACTGATGCAATTAAAACGCCAGTGATCAGAAGTGGAAGAAATCATCCTTTAACGTACTCCTTGCAGCGAGACGGTCAATGTAGGATAACAGTTGACTTTTCGCTACACCAGGGTCTCCCATTAGTAATACATTGATATTCCCTGTAAAATGATATGAAATGTTGGTAAAACTAAAAATTCCACGCAGAACACGATACAGCACACGGATGGCATTGTTGTACAGTATCTTACCTCTAATCTTCATTCCTTCTGGGGATCTATCAACACCACCAACCAACAATAACAATAACACTTTCTTAATATCTTCATGACCATATATTTCAGGAGCCAAGGAGCATGCCAACTTCTCATAGAAATCAGGTTCTGTATAATGAAGATACAGTCGACAACTTTACCATATTAAGATTTAAGTAATGGTTTGGTTTATAACGTCATTGTTGTATCATGATATGCAGTATCGTAATGGCTGGCGCAGTATCGTAAGGACTGCTTTCCACTGTCGCGTTTTTTGCACGTACGTACACGCACGTAAAGGCTTAAAACCTTCTAAGTTGTTGTATAATTAATTTTATGCTGGAAAAAACACACCAAATTATCAACAGATTCCAACCTTATTCATCTATTCAATCGCTGATTTCATTCAAATGATCATTTAAATGATTTTAAATTTTTACGTGCGTGTACGTACGTGCAAAAAAGGCGACAGTGGAACGCATGCAACCCTAAGTGACAATAGGAAACGTATTATTCACCTCCTGAAAGATTTATAATTTCTTCATCGCTTAGTTGTTCTTCCGTAATTTCTTCGTCCTCAGTTTTGTTCATTTTAACAATCCTCTGGTGAAAAGTTGAAAAAACCTGTTAAAATCTACTCGAACGGATTGTGACACACGAGGAAGCGCAGTGAAGAACATTACTACGCATTTTGCAAAGATAACCCTAAGTTTTAAAGGAAACGAACGAATATCCTTTATGACAGGGCATGGGAGAAAATGACAAAAGGTATTCGGGTACTTGAGCAGTTAGAATATTATTTTGCTTCACTGTCCACCCGCTTGTTGGCTTAACTATGACAGTAAAAAAAAAATTTTAAATGTGTAATCCATACTTACATGTGCTTCTAAGAATGTATCTGACATTAGTCCTTGCGTCATGCGCATAAAACCAGTTTTCATCATGGGTAAAAATATTCCCGTGATAGCCACGTGATCACCAGGAACAGCCAATCTAGTTAGTTCACCTCTGGCTATGATTGTCATGGATCGTGGTATGTTTCCAACTGGCACTTGATCACTGTGTTCCTGAACTTTTAGTTCTTGACATTTCAGGAATTTTGATCCTCGGGTTTGTAAGTAAAGACGTCCACCGGATCTAAACAAGTTGATCATTCACAACATTTATCACGTGTGGAAAAACATCTTATTTACAAAATATGCAGTAGTCTATATTTGTTTCAACAACAATATTGTTATTTCTGAAAAAACAAACACCGTACTTGTGAAGCGTGTTTCACCTTAAAGGCTTAACTACATGCAGTATATATTCGAGGGAGTTTCTACATACTTGTTTGTTTCACATTCCTTGCCAGGGCACATGATCAGTGGCATGAAGGTGGTTGACATCACCTAAAAACACATTCTGTTGATTGATCCTAAAATATTTTTATAAAGCTCTGACAATGTTACACAATATCAACTTACTGTTTGATAAGACTCAGTTCCACATCTATCGCAAGTATATGTTGCAACTTGAACAACTGGTTTAACTTCAGTACACCTTGTTACAATACCCCGGACACAAACCAGTTTACCAATACTAGATGCATTCACGTCTCGCACTGGTGATGCATTTTGACTTGAAAGTTGTTTGAAATGAACCTCACTGCAATAAAACAAAGTCATCAAAATGTAATGCTTCAATTTTCTTAGTATTTCTGGGGATATTTATCATGCAGTTATCAAATTAATGAAGTGTAATGCTTACAATCTTCTTAGTAATTCTGGGGGGTATCTATCGCGTGGATCCCGAACTTCCCCCTCTCGGTGATTTTGACGTTCAATAAGGAGACGATGTTCAATGTAAACATCCAATGAATCCTTATTTTGAACCTACAAATGTATAAACAACATTTGTTTACTCCTTTGCAGAATAAAAAATATATGAGGTGTTTCTACAAAATCAATAATTTTATAATTATGTAGGGTCAGTGGATTACATAAAACAGGTTAAGACAAATTCCCCTGACCTCTCTATCTTTGTAGCTTGGTAGCATTTCATCTATTGCCTCAGAGAAAATCTTACTGTATCTTCGCGTATTTTCCACTATACGTTCAGCAAAATCTGGATCAATCTTTAGAAAAGAGAGCTTGATTAAAAGTTTTATTGCATGTAACCATTTATATGCTAATTGTCTCAAAAAATGTTGATTGGAGTTAGGATTATATCTGCATAACCTGCTAACATGCTTTGTATGAATAACTCTTTTCAACATTAAAATGAGAGGAATTACACTCAATACTTCAGTGACATCATTAATATTATGTAAAGAATGAACTACCATGTACACCACAATACTATTACCAAGTATGATGATCAAGTTGAACAAATGAAATACCTCTGCAATATCATCCAGCTCCACGAGTAGTTCCACTTGTTCCCGATGAGCAATCTTAACCTAAATAAGTGGAGTACATCAAAAAAATAATGTTAAAAAGCTAAGACAAGGAATTTGTCATTTCCAGGTATTTAAAACCTTTTGTTCAAAGTGGGACTAACCTAGCATTTTAAAATAATATTCAGCTCCTAATATAATTAATTTAAAAGGACATGAAAGAATACAGAAATTGCACATGTGATAAACCATGAAAATTGCTAAGAAAAGCAAAGAACATAGCCTTAGCCTGTACAAAGAAATTTCTGACCTCGATCTTTTCTATAGTATGATTTGAGAGGATGCCGGAGTCAAAGATACTGGGAAATAAAGTGACATGTCCATTGCCATATAGTAGGCTTTTCAAACCAGTTGAAAATTACTATAGCCTCCCCAACATCGGTGTCAGGTCGTTTCGTACTCTTGTCATTTTGTACCCATATCCCTGGTCGTTTCATACTCTAATTGATGGTCGTTTCGTACCCCGATTTTAGTCGTTTCGTACTCAAACGCTATATGACTGCTTTTATTGCAATCAGTTCATTAAAAGCGTTGATAAAAACCACTTTCTTTGTTGACTTGAAACTCTGTATTGCAACATTTAAGTTTTTCATTCGGCAGTTCAAATTAATCGTTTTGAAAATGGTCCGAAAGTCTACACACACACTTAAGCGCAAATGGCCATGTGGTACTTGCAGTCTGCAATGCAATGACAATTCGATCTTTTGCGAAGGATGCCGAATGCATGTGGTACCATTCTTGTTGTGAGAACCTGTCTCCGAGAGATTTAAAAATTTTACAAGACCTAACCGAAGATTATCTGTGTTCGTCTTGTACGCGTGTTGGACTGTTGGCGATGTCTTTGATTTCCAAAACGCGCTCCAAAGTGCGACACGTGTTGGGAGGCTAGAAAGTGCTGCTAAAGTTGAATGTATTTTGGTCGTCGTGGAATACCGTTCTACAGGCTAATTGAGCTATTTCATAAGGAAGCCTTGCTTGTAGAACTTAACATTCAGTTAGTTTCTGAAGGAAAAGTGAGGCGGATCCTTTAATGTAACCCGGTGTACAAAGATCTTTGTGTCAATAGTTAGTGTTCAGTTGTATAAGTAAAAAATAAACGGACAGATCACGGATATATTTTTCGGCAGTTGAAATGAGCTTAAATAAAATATATTCGTCTTCTTGTTTTTGCAAAGCTAGCTCATTAAGTCCCTCATGTGTAAAGTTCGAAACGACCTTGTCTGGGTACGAAACGACCATGTCTGGGTACGAAACGACCAGGCCTGGGTACGAAACGGCAGAAGTACGAAATGACAAGACTACGAAACAACCATAAACCACTATAGCCTCCCCAACATCTCCCATAGTATCTAGTCAATGAGATGGAAGATGACAGAAAACATGCCTCAAATTAGGAAATTCACATGAAGCTGCTGTCATCTTAATCTGCTTTAGTAAGTGATTTAAAAGTAGAGGCAATAACGAAAGCTGGTGGAGCTCATTTCTACTTCTGGATGACACAAAATCTCGTTCCTCCAGACTTCCAGTGCATGGTCATTGACGCATTGGTCATAATTGAAATATTTAACGGGTTGGAACCCACATATAGTCAAAGTACCGGCCCAAGTTTATCAACATTTACATACCAGCTGTTCTCCATATTTGAATTCTTTACCTTGAGGACCATCCACATAAAACTCGGCTAAAAATCTTTTAGCAGTATCTAGTCAACAACACAAAACAAATGAATCAATAACTAGTAAACATGCTTTGCACGTTCTGTCTAATAAAATACACGAAAAAGGATTGAAGGGCCAAAGTAAAGAGATGAAAGTCTCTGAATGCATAAAAAATTGAAAATTATTTATCTTTACATAAACTTTTCTTTGTAAAACGAGATAAAATATTATAAATACCTTTTTCAGCACTATAGTCAACAGCAGCCATGTTGAGAAATAAATTCAATTTCTTTATCACGTGGTTAATATGGCGGGAAATCATGTGGTGGGGTTGAGCACAGTTGAGCAATGGCCTCAGTCACTGGGTCGAGCTAGTGGGAAGTTAGTGGGAAGTGGTCAGTGGAAGAGGTATGGAAAGCCAATGTATGATAAATGATCTCGCTGAGTGGTTAGTGTATCATGTTTCGTAATCTTACTAGCACTCGCATACCCCACCATATCTCTCTGTGTTGCTTCATAGACCACCATATCACTCCCAGGGGCGGACTGGCCTATACATGATTCACCGGGAAAAATAAAAAAGGGGGCGCCATTTGTAGCTCTAACATGAGCAACAGCTATTGAAAATACGTGTGCTGCCATGTCGCGTTTAAAATTTGACCACTACAATGTTGGCAGTTTCAATTGATACATGATTTAGAACAGATTATCTTTCCTGCATGTGTTTTACTTTCAATGGTTTTATCATTTCTTCCATAATTTTCTCCAAAATGGGGCGCCAAACGGCATGTAAATCAGGGGCGCACCGGGAAATTTCCCGGTATCCCTGTAGGCCAGTCCGCCCCTGATTCACTCCGTACACCTCTATATGCCTCCATGGGCCTCCATAGACCACCATAGACCTCCATATGCCTCCATGAATATGTCTCCATTGGCTTCCAAAGGCTGCGATGAAACTACAGGATTTAGTCCTCTCCTTTGAGAAATTGTTCATTCCAAGAGGCATATATATTTTTACTTACTAATAAATCAATAGCACCACAAAAATAGCCAGATTAGTAACTAATAAAGATAGCTGTTAAGCTGTAGTGTATTATGACATTTTCAAGATGTAAAATATTCCACTCCACTCGTCCATATTTTATGAGTAAAATGATAGCTCAACCTCAACGAAATATAAATTGTTCGGATCGAAAGATAGAATAACAGGTCAGGTCATTGTCTCATTGATCAAAAGCCATGATATGCATTCGCGTATTTGATCGTAAATTTGTCTAAAAAACAAGACTGGAAAAACAAGGTACTTAATTAAATATACTATAATTGTATGTTTCTGCCTTTTCTCCGGAAAAACCACCAACATTCAGTAATTTATGTACTTAGTTAATCAAAGTTGAAAATTGCTAGTATAAGTGAAGAAAAGGGGAAAATTTCTCTGCCGCCGCGCGTGAGAAATTGTTTTGTACTTGTGAAGAATATAAAAAGTTTAAGCCGCTCGTTGCAATGATGGTGGGGCCATGTTAAACATGTTTACAACAAAACCTGCCGTTAAAAGAACATTGCTATCGTCAAAAACATAAGCAGAATAAAAATACAACATTCTAATGTTACAACGGAGTCCGATGCAGGTATCTCTCCATCCTTTGTCTTGATAAGAATCGACTATATATGACGCAATTCTAGATCAAAACAAGTATCTCCTACTATATACAAGAGAAATTGTTCATAGATATATACTGTTTTCCAGCAAAGCAGATTTAAACTGGCGAATTTGGTTGAAAGAATCACTGATTATAGTTAGAAGGTGTGCAAACAACTTGTCTTCTTCGCGACCTTTTTTTAATAAATCATAAAATATTTAGTACTGAGGTAGCATTATTCAGTAGTCTATACTACGTTTTCTTTTTTTACTTTACCACTAGATTCAAACAGGATTTGTGCACACAATGCACCTCATGAGTGATCTGAAAAACGTACTTGTTGTGTTGTGTGTCCTCATATTGTATCAAGGCTTGTCAGGTAAAACGATTGTTAGAACCAGCTTTGCTCGCAATTTGAGTTGTGTTAAAACTGTTTTACCTAAAAGATCTCGAGTAGCCGTACGAAGCGAGCGGTGCATGGTTGGGGCTGCAAGCCAGATTGGCCAGAGTTTATGATAAGTCATTTGGATTTCAAAATTTTCATCGGGTCCCCCCACCTGACCTCATGTCCACTCTCTCTAAATCAGTTTTCAGGGGGGTGACTGAGAAACTTCTCAGAGTATGGAAATACTGTCTTTCAATTCTAGACCAATCATTATCCAAACTCTGGAAACACAAACGATTTCATGAACCACAAAATCGAACGCAGGTTTTGAAGAATAAGCAGAAAGTAAGTTTCATCATCCAGTATTATTTATGTCATTGGCGAATAAATAGTAATAATTGTTCTTTTTTTTCTTTTCTGATGAAGATTTTCCAGAACAGATTGTTTGTCAACAGTGAAATGGAAATAGGAGAAAGTGAAAAACGCTCTCTAACAATTACTAGGTTAGTAATTAACGTACCAATTTCCTAACGTCTGCCGGAACGAGGTGAAGCGTAGCAAAGAGAAAGGCCAGTCATACGCCGTCAATTTCAATACTACAACGTCCTAATAAAAATATTCAAATACAACGACTTGTAGAAGGACACCGCTTCAAAATGGCGATGAGAATTTATACTCGACCATGGTCGAATATACCAGAATATTGAACATACCATATTCAGGTGTATTAGACCATCACTATTTTTTATCGTGTCTTAATTTAGACTAGTCTTAATTTACACCAATTTTGTATTTAATTTTTTGTGTTAGAAATTGTTTAGAAATTTTGACTAATGCAATCACCTAAGTCGCATCAGTCTGGATTCGCTCCTGTTCGATATACTGATTATGGTACAAACGAAAAATCTCTTAATCTTCAGAATACAAAAAGATGGCACCACGATGGATACAGTCAAAATTGACGACCCAAAAAGGTCGGAGAAAAATAATGGTGGTGAGGATTCACAACGTGATATTTCCCACCAGCAAGGGAGCATCAGTCATGTCAACACTGGCTTGTCTAGAGTTCTTCCAAAACTAGAAAAGTCACCTCAACTTAACATACCTTCCGCACAAGCAAACAGAGAATCGACTAAAGTGTTAAGTCAGTAGTTTTCACGGATATTTGACTTCCTCTAGTAGTTATACTTTTCTGCTATTAAATACGCTGCATTTGAATTTTTAAGATAATTTCACTTTCTCTCCATATTCAGATCGTCTGCCACTTGTTGCGAAACCAGGGGGTCCAGTCCTACCTATACCATGGCCAGCATGGTTGACATGTCCTACAGCTTCCTTATCTTTAATAAGACCAAGTACTACCAGGATAGCCCTATCTGTCACACCCTCATGTTGTAGTTGTCCAGGTAAAGTTAGCCTGCAATCAGGTTTAGATAAAGATTAAAGATAATGAATACAGACTAGTGTTAAATGTTATACGTCTAACTGCCGACTAAGGCATAGAATAAACAAAATCTTTCATCTCATCTGAACCGCAGATGAACAAAATTTCATCTTTCATTTCATCTGAACAACTACTAATGTGGAATTTTAGTTTAGATACTTGCATGACATTAATCAATATTAACCATAACTTATGCTGAATAAATTCCAGAATATCCTGCCTATATTTCTCGACCATGCAACAATCTTTATTATTTTCTGTGGTAAATATTGTTGCACGGTTTCAGGCTTTTTTACACTAAAAATCTAAAATCATTTACTTTTTAGGAATATGTATCGATATGAACCTTTGCGCCAAACAACTTCCAATATGTTCAGCATTACCGAAATGTGCGACTGGTCAATGTGCACAAAATTGTTGTGGTCGTTGACATCGCATGACTCACATCACTGAAGATATCAAGACGAGAACACAAATGAGGACAGTAGCTTTAGCTTTGACGATATTTCAGATAGCTAGAGTATAAAAGCTCGCTTCTGATTTGACAGTGACTTTGAAATAAAGTCGAAATATCACCCATGTTGAGTTTTCAAAATGTCATTTTTCGGAGTATGTTTTTTCTTGTATTGTAAAAAAGCTGTCTATAGCCAATTATACATTGCATGTAAAAGCTATTTGCACGCAAAAAACTATTTTTTGGAATTCAAAACACCACATTTAGTTTCACTTTAATAGGGAGATCTGTATGTGAAACTGAATCATTAATAGCATTGAAGAAATGCTATCTTTCCTCACAAGAAGATATGATCTACCCGCTTCAATAGTGCAACCAAAAAACTCTGTCAACATTAATCATATAACTGCGATGATCTAATCCGTTGCTCATGAAAATGCTATAAACTGGGCAAAGTTGAATTCCTCTTAATTCAGATAACATTATTAAGTTTAGCGCAGCGCTAACAGTTATAATGAAAACGCATTTTCTTTCTCCTCTTCTGGCGTTTTTTCTGTCAATTTACGAAATTCAAAACGTGAATATGTTGCCGACAAGTTTCAACACAAACACTAGTATTAGAGCAAACAGCAGTGGAATTCATAACAGTAAGTATATAACTATATTATCACTATCACAAACAATGAAATGTGGAGCAGCGATTAATGAAATAAAGGCCTATATGAACTAGCTATATATAATAATAATTTCATATATATGTTTGTTTACTATACCAGAGAGCTTTTATAGCTGGCTTATTCTCTTGCAAGTCTACCTTTGTCATCCAGAGCAGGTGTTTGTTTATGTTTTTACGGTCGAATAATGCTAACATTAGTTCAACACTCATCTTCCAATAACAGTAAGCCAATTTTATTCACTGTTTAATTTTAAAAAAAATGTTCTCGACATCGTACAGTCGATAAAAATGTCATCGCAGGGTTTTTAGATGAAAATATTTCGAATCATCAGGAAAATTTCGAATTTAATAGAACCTGGCCTGGTAACCTCAGCAAAAAGTTAATCTCTAGGCCCTATATAGTAACTACAGCTAATCTACAGCTAGTATATAGTGTTAACCACAACTAAACTTTAGCCACAAGTTTAGTTTGCACGCTTGCAAAATGCGAACTGAAGACAAACTTGCAAACACAGGCTTGTATAAGGGTAAACTTCAAGATATTTCTTTATTTATCTCTCTCAAACGGGTTCTGCACTGAAATCGGTAACAGGTATACGTTTCCATAGAAAGATCGCAAACCCAGTTGTACTTAACCTTTCTCATGTGGCAACCACAGTCAATACTAAATTTTGTGCCCCGCTGGTAAAATTTTGTCTCCCTCCCTGAGAAAAGGAAGTGAATCATTGTCATGCCGGCAATAATGCAAAAATCTGTATGTGATCGTGCCCATCGAAATTGTCCATCAATAATGCCTCTGACTGAAATCCTGAGACTTGTCTCGAGTCCCACTGCCGGCCTGGTCCACTTCCTTAAAATCCTTGCTACATCTCTGGGGGCAACAAGGGCCTGGCGCAGGTTTGACGTTAGAATGCATGCATTCCAATAATAACAAAAAAACTAGCTCGCAAATGAAGCTAGAGCTAACAATTAAATAGCTATAAATTGCGTTCGTTTTTGCAAAACTCTCTGCAATGATTGCATAGACGCATGTAGGCTTGACTATTTTTATACTCTTTTAACACTTTTAATTTTATATCTACTTTCAGCAACACAGGTTAAAGAACTTGCTCCAGTAAAAAAATGTAACGTCAGTTATGTCAAAATGGGATGTTATGCTGATCCAAATATAGCAAACTCATCATTTCCTTCACTTATTCTAAAACCAGTATTACCCTTGCTCAAAGAGGGAAAGACGTGGTCTGTTCGTGGTGAAGATTGGAACAAATTTCTTCAAGATTTTGTCTGTAGTTGTGCACAAAAAGTAAAAGAACTCAAATATAATTATTTTGGCGTGAAGAGTTTCGGTGAGTCTAAAAAATATTGTTTCACAAATGTTTCACATGCCCAACTTTTCTAGATTTAAATGTTTCTAGGAGGCAGCTCTCAATCCTCCATATAATGTTTCACCTCCCAACTTTTCTAGATTCAATTGTTTCTAGGAGGCAGCTGTCAATCCTCTACCTATAAATTTAGTGAAACAATCCGCATTGGAAACAATAAATAAATGAATACACGTAGTAGTTGGTTAACTATTGAATAAGCCCCTGACATGGTATAAGAAACCAAAACTGAGTTCCTTCAAAATCATTGATGGACATTTTGTTTCTTTCACTATAGATCAATGCTGGTCTGGAGATACAACGTTATATTACAGGAATCCAATATCGAATGGTTGTCTAGAACAGGACATGAAATCATGCAGCCCAGAGAGTCTATCTCCCTGCGCTGGAAACCGCACATCAGTGTTTGTTTATTCTTTGTAATGTCACTGAAATTATATAACAGACGGAAGCGTGATACTAATTAGTATACATAAGCTGGAGTCACTTACGAATGGTATACCTGATCAGATATCTTTCAGTTGCAAGAGATTTTTTTTAGACATGTAAACTTCGGAATTTGGCTTTCCAATAAAACTTTCCCTACAATAAAACCTTAGTATTAATGCATCCAGACACTGATATACATCCAAAAAAGCTACACAACAAAGCGACTAGTGGTAGAAACCAGTAGCAGAAAAATAATTATCAAAGTGGTGGTGACAGATGGCTCTGATAAGGTGACAAGCGACCAAAACTATCGTTCCATTTCAAACGGCCATTACAAGTTTAAGTATAGATCTCCGGAAAACAAGGGAATATAGTATGAGGATACCAGACATGCAACTGCGAAATATCTCATGAGAAACATACCAATCACAATGCTGGATCTCTCTGATACCTTGATACTTGTTATTGATGTATCAGATGATATAACATGATATAACAATTGGAAGGATTCCACTAATAACCATCCGAAGTGACATTGCACCCTTAATCGCAGTGCCTAATTATTAAACTACGTCTAATACCAGATTTAGTTTATTCGTTATATAGAGCGATCGTGGTGCTGTTATGGATTTTGCATGGTTATTAAAAGTCTTTTAATATCTTTTTCTCTAGTTGTCTTAATGGTTAAGATAAAGGGATGTCTAAATGATTGAGACAATCAACTTTACAGAAAGTTATTGCATTCAATGAGCCAGTACAATAAATATTGAAACAGTTGAAAAAATCAGTTAATAATTAAAGCACGCAGCTATATATATAAAGCTTTTGGCACACTTGATTTTTTATACGTTATTCCAAATAATATTCATGCAGTAACGTTCCTCCCTAATATCCACAGATATCGACATGTTTTTCTAAATAAAGTTGAGATGAGGCAGATAATATTAAGGTGGTTCGTGAAGTTTTTCGAAACAAAATTTGATTTTTTTCGCTTGATTTTCTTCTTAGTTGTAATCAGTCAAATGAACCCGCTTCGGTCGACTTATTATTACAAATGAGGAGATTAGTTCCAGCGTAGGAAAACAGTGGGTTTCGACCGTTTGCAGACAGTGAAAGAAACGAAACTATTCTACTTAGCTACGTCTGGTTTACTCAAGAAAAATTCTTCTTAAGTAATTTTATTTTATATAGCTACAGTATATACATTTTACGAATGAGGAATGGAAACGGCAGATGAATTTCGACTGATTATCGAATGCTATAATTATTAAGAAGGATGCAACTAAATTGTTTTGCCACCTGGCTGGGTAATTGGCGTTCAACGATTACGTTAATTTGTAACGAAAAGTGAAGCCTTACCAAGCAGTGGATATGCATGCACAGTCATGTTCAGCATGGCCAAGTAGTAGAATAAAATTATCATGCTAGAAATATTTCATTAGGGAATGATTTTCAAAATATATAGTATAAAAATATAGAAATTCCTACTACATTTTACGCGGTAACCATACATTACTGATTAAACATAGCCTCAGCCGCATAGCCATAGCAGTCCAAGCCGCGGCAGTAATGTGACGCTATATACTTGATAACTGCCGTGTGTATAGAACTTTGTCTATGATAATATATCAACAGGTATCAACATGTCTATATATTGACCGGCTATGATAATCAACTGTCCATACTCTTACTGATATGTTCTGATTTACTTCGCAGCCACAAAACTCATAAAATCTTGTTTTTCCAAAGCAATTAAAGTAAACTAATCTTTTGACTTCAAATCATTGCAACGGGTGGTATTGCAGGTGGGTAATAATATTCTTTACTGGACGATGTCATTGCTTTGAAGATCTTCATATTGTTAGTAATTATCGGAAAAAACTAGAAATGAACGATCATTTTTTCTTATTTGGTTTTCTCTTATGGTCAGTCAAAACGACGGATGCTGCAGTTGTTGGTAGGTTTAATTGATAATGTATGTTGAAATGGATTAACAAAGTGTTGTTTGATTTTTATCGAGATGTATTGTTTTGACTTGATCTCCGCCATGTTGATATGAAGATAAGATGATTTATATCATTGACTTGAAAATTTCCTCGATATAACTTCATCTATAATGATATGTACATTGAGATGAAGCATTGTGTACATAATTTAAGATAGATACCTAGCGCCAAGAACATAACAATATTGGACCCATGTTTGCTGTGAATGCATGTACAAGTCAAATTAGTTATAGATTTCAGACATTTCGCTCGATGGAAATAAATATCAGAGTGTTGTGGAAAATTGACCTTTCCATCAACCACGAACCTTTCACCTGTCATGTGATACACTAATTAAGTTAAAGTTTATATAAGAATTGCGATACGCCCTCGTGCATGATTCAACAATAACGTTTTGAAGTACCGAGACGTTTTTATTGATCACAATTCTTCCAAGGAGTTTCTTGTCGAGTGTTATCTTCCATGTTAGTAGTGTAGGAATGACAATATAACTCTATTTATTTAATACTTTCTTGCGTATATGGCGTATATTTTACGTATTTTCTGACGGTTTATCACAACGGCACCCTGCATGGTACTCTTCACTGCATAAAATACCTTTAGCTTTTATATCAAATATTCAAATATAAGTTTTAAAACAGGCGGGTTGTCAAGGGAAGCCCTAACTGCATATTTTCATGATTGCCTTCATCGTTGGGAAAACCTTCGCCGCACAACTTGATTACGATCTATTCCATGAAACATGATAAATTGTTTCATTCCAGCGCCATCACCAAACCAAAAACCAGCATATGGTATCTGTGTTGATATCACACTGTGTCAAAATCCAGCATACAAACCCATCTGTTCACAAGGTTTGCCTATATGTCCCTCCCCCGTTAAACCTGCGACACAGACCGCAACCAAACGACCCTCACCAACACCTTCACTTCCTCGTACCACCAACAAAGTGACCAGTTCAGCGATAGTGACCACTGGTGCCTCAGTAAAGCCAGCAACAAAAACTATTGCACCGTCTAAACCAACCGCATTCGTGAAAAGTACACATATATCTGCACCAACAAAACAATTGAACATATTGACGATACAGAATAACTACAAAATATCCTTTGGAAAGAAATCCAATGTTACAAAACCAGGAACATAATTAAAATGTAATACTCGACGTCTTAAATGCATATCTCGTACTTATATGATGGTATAGTAATTGGTATAGTAAACTTCTAGTAAAAGATCAATAAAAATAAGCATATTTTTAGGAAATAAATGTGATTTTTGTTTTGTCAAAATATGGCAATACTCCGAGCTGAACTGCACGAGCTGCAAATGCCTGACAAACTCTTCGACTCATAGTTTGCCAATCAAAACGCTTTTTAAGAACGAGGATTCTAATGTTTGGTCGATTGTCTACTCTGAGTAAAGTCATGCATTTATTTAGCTACAATAGTTTCATTGTGCAAGTTATTGAGCAGATTTTCTTCACTGAATCAAGTTTGTGACAGATGATAATCATGACTACGGTCTGACATGCTCTAGCAGCCGTAAGTCGCTATGAAAAAAATTAGCAAACACTTGTCTTCGGCAATTGGACAATCATGCTCTTCGACATTTTTTTAATTGACTGATGATAAAACTTTTACAAACTCGTAATTTACTGCACCTGAAAACAACCATTGGAGTTCATTTCATTCTTTAAATCAATCCATACATATACGCAGGTGTAGTTGACAAGTTTCCAGTGAATCGGGCGTGTTTGACAGCGAGCGGCCAGGCATAGATCAACATAAAAATGCCACACGTTGCTTTTTATGCATTATGAGAGAAAAGCTTGTTCGTCTATTATTCTGCTTTAATTACAATGATGTAAATTTACTCTTCATTATGCATACAGTCAGACTAGCTACACTTGGTATCGTGAATATCACTATTTATTAATAACGCCACAACGACGTTCTCGGAGCTTGGGAACGAGAATGCCTGATTATCAGTAATCACAAGTCACAAGTCACGTCAATAAAGTCACGCCTCTGTCGCCTCATGTAACGACGGAAAAGCAATTATGACTAAATTCTATAATTGAGTCAGCTCAACTAATTATTATCAAATTAAGGAATTTGATCTTTATAATACCGTTCATCAAGAACACTTACAAGCCGAAGAATATATCCTTGTTCACTAACTGAATATAAATTATCGCAAATTAAATTAAGTAATTTGAACATCACTTTGATGAAAATCGCGCATTAACCTTTGATTATGTAGGGGGGCCTCAACCACGGGGGAATCCAAAGAAGCCATTTCCTATCTATGTTATAATTGTGATGCCCGCTCTTCGCATTAAAATTTGCTGAAAATATTTTTAAAAATCTTTTTTACTGTGCAAAAGTGTGTAAAGTTATACGTTTAAGCTTCCTCTTTGTGTCAAGGTTAAATGAATGCAGAGTTTTCTAAAATTCCATCCTCTAGGTTCTCATGATGTTCATGATGTTCAGGCCCCCCTCGTTATGCCTAATGAATACTATTAACTGAACTCATAACAATCGATGCTTATTTAGAATAATCAAATGGATGCATTACAATGTTTTGTTCATCATAAAAGACATTATATTGATATGATGATCGTTTACGTCTGTAACAAACAATAATCACAATGACCAGAACAACACCAAGAGATAGACCAACCGCCAACCCCACAATCAGAGGTGTGTGTGACTTCTCAGAGCTTGGAGCTACAAGAGATCAATCATTCATTATTATTTGGTTTTAAACAGGATTTTGTAGGAACACTTCGAAAATGTAGAAAGTCGTTTAGTTGCAGTTGTAAAGGATCTGTGAATCAAAAGAAATGGACACAAATGACACAAACAAGTGCAGTGGCTAGCTCGGCCGGGCGTAATGAATTATATTAATTAATTAATTAAAAACAAGAAACATTAAAACAAAACAAAAATCACCTACCTGATGTATGGTGAGGTATTACAACGGATTCATTTTTTTTATACGGCGTAACCATAGTTGAAGAAGAATTTATCGTGAAAAACGGCATTGGAATGGATTTCTGAATATTAGATTTAGATACTGTTGCATTCATTGCCATTGGGTTTGAGGACTGACTGAGAGAAAACTTTACTTCAGACTTGGTCTTGGACGTTTTAGACGTGGGTGGGAAAGAAGTAATGACGGTCTTATTTGCTTTTCGTTGGGGTGAGGAAGGTTGGAGGGTGAACATTGTCATTGAGGAACTAGTTTGAGCCAGTTTGGAAGATGCAGAATTCACGGCAACACTTGTTGAACCCAGCACAGAATTGACTGAAATAGTTTTGAAGCAAAAAGATATTCAGGCTTGTTCACGAACGTTTGATATATTTTAGAAAATCAATTCACTAAAATTCGATCGTTTAATGAGAATACCTTATTACCTACCTTTGGATGTATTGTGACAAACAGCAGTGGATGCATTCTCTTTATAATGATAACTTATATTTCTTGATATTATATTCCCTCTTGTGGTACTTGGTTTAACTGGCGTATACAACATAGTTGATGAAGAATTCATCATCAAATGCGTAGATGGTTGCATGGATTTTTGAACGTGAGATAGGGAAGAAAGGGCAGTGTTTTTCACGAACGTTTGAGATAACGCTTTAGATAAGGTTGGATTTAGCTTCGTAATAGACAGCGAGGAAACAGGACGGTCAGGACCCATAGAAGTAATGAATGCACGAGATGATATGGAGATGTTTGGATTCGTAACGACATTACTAGATGGTGACGATCTTGCCAAGTATGAATCAGAACTAATGGTTAAGTTGCTAAATAGCTGAAAGGACACTGTCATTGATTGTTTTGAAGCATACATTGTTGTTGATGTTGCTCTAACAAACAAATTAGATGAATGTTTTTGTGGTTTTGTTGCCTTTATACGATGCGTCGAAATTGTGGGAGGTATTTGACCAGAGGTATCAGAATGCGTCAGAGTCTGCCCAAAAGATGGTTCGATGGAAATATGTGAGCTCAAAGCAGAATATTTCAAAAAAGTAGAAGTGACAAGCACCTTTGAAGGAAGTGTTGGTAAAGCTGTTTGAGTACTATTTCTCTGGTTAATTTCTGTATTTAAAACACTAGTTTGACCTGGTTTCACAGTTGTAAGTTGACCAGCATATGACGAAGAGACAGGCAACATGTTACTAGGTGACACATGGCCAGTAAAGGTTTGACTCCCAATTACACCAACTCTAACAGACATTTTACTTTCAGAATATGATACAGCAGAGGTACCAGATTGTAAGATTAGCAGAGTATTTGAAGAAGAATGATTCTTCTGTCCATATGACAGAGCTACAATTAATAAGTAGAAAAATTAATAAGTTATGGATTTACAGTGTAACAGTATATTTGTTGCAACTATTATATTGATGTTTGTCATGTTTGTCATGGCCAGTGTGCAATCAATTAAGGCCAGTCATGTGATACCTCATTATCAAACAAGAGAAATGCACTTAAGAACCATGCTGAGCTTTAAATTAGAAGATTATCATCACTGATACCGTATCATCATGGTAAAAGAACAGCCTTCTAAGGCTTCTGAGTGAAAGAATGTTCATCAATTGCTGTATATGCCTCATCTTAATTGTTTTTCAGGATAATCAACCATGCAATATATTGCTATGCATATTAATATAGAGCTCAGATAAGTGAGATAACAGTTTCTAAACTTAATTTTCGTACTATTGAGACTTTAATATTCTAAGGGCTGGTGGATTTTCACATTTGAAGGGTATTTATTGTCAGGTAATTTTTTCTAGCAAATATATTGTAATGATAATACAATATATTTCTAATATATTGTAATGATAAAATTATATTGAACTCTCATTATGTTTGCAACTATGACCACTCTAATCCATGTCAGTCTGTGCTAAAAATAATTATCAAATGCATGCATGTGGCTATGAAATTAAATGTTACTTTTGTGATCATTCGGCAATGCAGTCTTATTCAAGATGTAAAGTCATGGCTATAATTGTTCATATTAAAGACATGATGAACTTTATTTGTTCCAAACATGCTAACTGATTGGAGCTATGCAATTACTCTGGGTGATTTTCATTACAGTTGTGCAATTTGAAAGATCCTAGCTGTTTCAGGTATTCAGTGATGTAATGATTAAAAGCCCTAACTCTTGTGACTATACAAGATGCATTGTTCACTAACCCTAGACTCTACATGTAATCATGTATTACTCACAACCATTACCCATTCTTGATTCTGCATATAGAATAGTTTTCTTAGTGAGAGTAAAATCCATTTAAAATTTTAAAGTAAGTTAAAATAACGTCTGCTTTATAAAAGGACAAAAGGAGTGACATTGTGTACATTTAAATTAAAAAAACTCAAGTTTCTCACGTAGTCGCAAAATTAAACAAACGTTTTAGGCCACAACTAGTTTCTTGCTCAATTATCTGTTCTAAATGTGCAACAATCGTGCTTCTAAATTACAGCACGTGATGATTGCGATTTCAACGGGACAGTGATTAATTATTTCATTCTATGCCTGCAAAATTATTACAACCTACCATTAATTAACTGTAGTTCAGAAATTTTGCTAAGGTTTGGTCAAGTTAATAAGAAATATTAAAATGATTTGTATTACCATCGAACATGATAATATAGACATATTATGTCCGGGCAGTCCGGCTGCCTATGGAAGAACAAAAGCGCAATAAAGTATTATATAAAGTAGACTCACAGAATAAATATACAAGCAACATTATCGCAGGTGCCATTTCTTCCGCTTTTAATTATATAAAGTACAATTTTGAACCAAGGAACAACTTGCTGCTATGCTCTGCTATTCCACTTGTGGGACCAGAAAATAAATTTTTTGAAGACGAACTTATCCAACGTTCCCAAAACACACTGCAACAACACAACTCAGCCTTCTGAAGTGAAAGTAATTTTGATATGAATTATTATTTACATGATGAATTGACGTTTTATAATATTTAACTAGAATGCTAAGAATAGTTAAGTTACTACATATTTCTTTCTGACCAATAAGAGCACCTCACGTTCTGAATGTTAAATTATTAATATTCGCGTCTTGCGCGGAATCAGGCATGTGTGTGGTATGCATATCTGCATGCCATGAAATCTGACATTAAATCATCCAATATTTCCTCCGGCTCCTGGTGACCACTGCTGGTTCTACTGGTAACCAGTCGCTAGCACTGAACTCTGTCAAGTGTCAAATCCAATTCCTATTTGCCATGGTAGTTACCACTGACCAAGGCTCAATTCTGATCCCACTACAAACCACCCCCCTGTTTTTTTTAAATAGTATTATTTTATTCATTATTTTATATTCCAAAAAAGTTAAAGTCGTACAATCGTATAATATTCACTAAACTTTTCATCAGTGGCGGCAGTGCAGAGACAATGCTCTTGAAACGTTCGACTGTTTTAAATGGTATAAAAAACACCCAATGTATAAAGCCACTTATCTTTGCAGCCAAACTTGGCAATTTTACATTTTTACTAATTTTAGTGCGCTTTTCGGAATTTCCGATTTTTCAATCTGAAGTTCCCTTTTTGTTGCCTAAATCAGAAGTTGGTCTATTAAGAAAAAGGTCTATTGTACTCGTATTTCAGCTTACCAATAATCTACAATCCTAGACCTAGAGATAATTGATGTGGGCAGGACAAATTATTAGCAATATTTCAGGTGAATTCTAAAAATCTGGCGTGCGTATGCGTATGCAGACCCCCACTTCCCCGTTTCAATGTTGGTTCCTAGTTAACCTCGCAGGTTAGTTCCTGAAGTACTCATCTCTCAGTCTCAGGCGAGTGCCAGATGATTGCTCACCTTCATCAACATTGTTTGGTGGGAGAGGGAGTGTAATTTATGGTCATGAAAACTTATTTTCTGCAAATAAAGCAATTGTGAGGGGCCTGTCCTGTCCAAATAGTTGTTTCCTCGGGTTGTAGATTACATTGAAAAAAGAGCTGTTGATATTGAGAGTAAAATTATAACCACCTACTGTATATGTTTTACAACCTACTTTATTGTTTATTATTGTTACAAAGACTCTCGATACAATCAAGACTACAAGGCTATTTAAGTTATATACGGGGGGAAAGGATGAATAAAATTTTACATTTTTAAGTGAAAAATACCAAGAAAGCGGATGTTTTTGCACGAATCAAGGTTTTTAAACCATTAAACAGTGTATATTGGTGATTTGATCTTTGGCAGAATTGCGTTGATAATCCACTCTCTAGAGTGTATGCTTTATTGCATTCACATGGAATTTCTAACCGGCAACGTGTGGTGGTGATGAGGATTGAATAATAAATATTTCGCTATAGAAATATAGGCATGGAACACACTGCATATAGCGCTTATACACAAACATTGTAACTACCATCACTATCCTACACAATTTCACACCACCATGATTCTACAATGTTACTACGATAAAACACTATATGTATACATTGCATTATATATCAGTACATTACACTAAACAGCGCCTAACAAAGAAGTTTGGGGAACGGGGCAAGAATAAATTTTAAGGGTGTCCTTTTTTAGCGTTTCTGTGTTTTTTCATGTCTTTCTATACGTACCTTTGTTTGTATTGCCCCAAGCCTTGGGTACTCCACTCCTCCCCTATTCTCAGAAGCCCTATATCACACACTTCTTTACTACAATCTTTACAAATAACCCTCTGGGATCTAAGAGTTGCTACTTTTTAATTTACAAACTAACTTCCCCTGCTTGGAAATAAATGAAGTGATTATTTGTTTTTGGTTTCCTGTTCATTTCCTTCAGCTATCTCCATTTCGGCATTTTCTCCCACGTTATGTAAAGGATGAATTGTTCCTGATCCTTGTCGTGCTGAGCTTTTCAGACGCCACACGATCTGTCGTGAAACGAAAGAAACAACATTTAGTTTTTGTAACTTTTTATATAAAAACTTGCGACAAAATATGCAATAATGGATGCAATCTGTGGCGAAAAAGAAGAGAATAATTGAAAACTAATGGCACGATACGAAATCATTATATTCTCATCTGGCCTTCGCATACCCTCCTATTTCATGTAACAGATTTATTTGTCTGAACTGAATGTGTTTTTCTGTTTTTTTTTACGGGATCTTATAATTTGATTATACTTTTACATTTCCGTAATTTCGTAATAGCACAAGACAAGTTAAACATTTGAGGTAAACGACTAAATTTTCGCACTGAAGATGGCTTAGTGTAAGCCGAAACATGTTTGCTATTAAAAATTTAGTCGTTTACTTCAGGCATTATAATACGCGTGTTTTTGACACACTTTGTGTCCTTGTAAAAGGCGAATGTGTCCTTGTAAATGGAAAAGTGTGTAGTTAAAAATCATGCCTCATGGACAAAAATGTCTAATATAATTTTAATTTGACTATTTAAAATAATTATTGTTTCTATTATAAAGAATATAAATACGCTTGGATAGTTGGGAATTTAAAATTATATGATCTAGAGGCCGAGACGCGTTTCCGCCCGACAGCCCCTGAACATATTCGACAGCCACTGAACACATTATTGAACCTAAAGACAATGTGTGTCCTTGTAAAAATTCCGTATTATAATGCCTGGTTTACTTCAAATGTTTAACTTTTACATTTTAAAGAAAATAAAAAGTGTAACTAATGCTGAGGGTTGCAGCACAGATTCCAGTTTAACAATGTTCCCCCTCATATCTACATATGTAAATACACTATGGTGGATAAGACTCATAAGAGCAAGAGCTTGGTTGTTCTGTCAGTGAGGAAATACTTACAAGAATGATAATGAGTATAATGAGAGCGGCTCCACAACCTCCCGCTATTGCCGCAATTTGGGTGGTGCTCAAACCATCTTCATCGCCTTCAGGGTTTTTTTTAGTTATATTTACACTTGATGTCACGACGTTTGATGTTTGGGAGGCGTTGATATTGACAGTGACAGTGGTAGGGTTTGCTTTAGTCGTCATGGTCGCATTGATGTGACTTGAATTTACCGTGCGAGTTGTACCGAAATAGACCGTGGTGGACGTGTCTGTGGCTGTGACTGTGAGGAGGAAATTCAGTTATTCAAATGAACCAGATTCGTCAGTTATCACCGATAACATTGCGAAGACCATTTCTAATCAGACTACGGGATTATTTATGTAAATATGTGTAAGTCGTTTTTTGTGTCTGGCAAACATGTACTCGAGTTTGTAGCTTGTTTGTGTGATACTTGAATTTTAATTAACAAACTAACGACAAATGATGTCGCGTTAGCGTCAACGAAGTCTTGTGTTAAGATATAGTTGTTCCTGTTGGATTTTCTTGGAAGTTATTTGACCCCCCCCTCTCCGTATTTTGGTTGACCTGTGTCCTTTTACAGTTCAAGTATCTTTTTAAATTCGATTTGAAATTATTTGTTAAACTCCAACAACCACGTTTGGTTTCGTACAAAATTACGTATTTTACATGTTTGTATATTTTCTCGTCCAATGGCATGCATTTAAAGGTTATCACTTATCAGTTCTATTCCTACAACATTGATTCACCAGACACCAGTATATGCCGATGTTTATTCATGGGTTTACACTGAAAGCTGTGCTTTGCTTAAAAAATAGTGTTTAGTTAATAAGTCTTAATATGATTTTAGAGGTAACAGCCTATATATAATGCTGAAAGAAAACTTAAAAGTCATGCATAAACTTATACACAAACATAAATCCGAACAATATATCAGGCGAAATAATAATTAATTCAATATAAATACTGGTCCACTTAGTTGCATGTTATATTTGAGAGTGAAAGCCCCTGACCCTGTATGCCTATGTCTATGCTAGTGAACACACAATTAGACCCGTATTTCAAGATCTCCGACTAAAAGGCCTAAAACCAGCAATACATGAGTCGCTAAAGTTGTGGGTAATTATTATCAATATAATAAATAAGTATAAATATCCGTGTTATAGAAAATATAATCTAAATTGTCCAGTGTACCCAATTACAATCTCTAAGAATAAACGTATATTAAGTGCATTAAAATTCTAGAAAACCTACCAATCAGTGTTGTGATTGATCTTTTATGTGAAACTAAAAAAGAATGGAATAATGTGTAAAATATCACATGCAGTCTAAGACTAAGAGTTAATAAATATTTAATGTTTTCAAACCAAGAATGCATTATTTCTAATCCAGAATTTCTCATAATCGTTGATCAAATGTATTAATATGTGATTTATGGGGTTAAAATATCAGAAATATACAATTATTTTCTGTGTTTGATGCTTTAACTCAAACTGAAAAAATAAAAAAAGTGTAAAAAATCACAGAGGAACTACAATATAATTGCAAGACTTATATATACGACCAGACTGGTCCTGTTGTATTTCAGTACAGACATATTACTGGTATTTTTGAGTGTTTTAAGAAGTCTGCATTCACGTACATCGATATTTACATCCGCGCACGAAAAATGCAGTTTCACCGCTATATTTTCAAAAAAAATACTCGATTTCAATTCAAAATATGACCGGTCTGATCATTTTGGCCGCGCTTAATGAAAAGCGCCCAAAATTGATAGAACTCTGAATGGAAAGCGCAGAAAGATGATAGAACTGTTTAAGTTCTTCACCCACACCTTTTCAAGGCTCTGAATGGGACATTTATACCTGAAAATTTAGACTTCTATATTACAGACAAATGTGAAAACGAAGCCAAGTTATCTAAATTATTAATTTCGTTAAATTATTAATTAAGTTAGTTAAATTATTAATTTCTTAGCGCAGGAAAGGGGTTAGATCCCTCCCCTCCCGCCAGAACTTGAAGAAGGGAAGCTCGGCCTTACGAGCCGGGCCTCAATTCTACACCAATGATTAAGCGTATGTTTACTGAAAGAAAATAGGGTATTAAGCAACCTATGGCATTAAAATATCAGATAAATACTAGAATATCACAGAAGTACTAACTTAATTAATTAGTACTTTAATAGTTGTAGATTTGTACTGTAATATCTCCAACGAAAAACCGAAATTTCATATACACACTAGTTCTGAATGTTTGAATTTGCAACATTTGAAACATACCAGTTGTCGACCAACTTGCTATGCTTGTCGTAGCAACTGAAAATGAACAAAATAAAACACGACGAGTAAATATCACAGAAGAACTGCTGGAAAAACACGCGCTGGGGACGAGGCTGGTTCAAATAAATCCCGAGTCTGTCTGAACTCGTAGTACAAAATTGGGGTGTCTTTGAAAAACCCTGTATTTCATCGCCGGTGATGGTATTGGTATGGACCTAAACTCGTTTAATACTAGCTTTCTTTTATTCACTGTTTGCAACGAACACTTGTCTCGAATCTTAACCGATTATGATCTCACACTTCATAAACATCTGATTAGTACTTTACTGGTAGTAGATTTGTACTGTAATATCTCCAACGAAAAACCAATTTTATATACACACGAGTTCTGAATGTTTGGATTTGCAACATTTGAAACATACCAATTGACGAGACACTTGCTGTGTTTGACGTAGTAACTGAAAATAAACAAAATAAAACACGACGTGTAAATATCACAGAATAACTGCTGGATGTGTTTCTCTATGAAGAATGATGGTGGAGGATATTTTTCAAATATATTTTACGTTTGCGTTAGCATTGAGAGAAGAACGTGAAAGATAAGAGAGAAGTCAGACTTTCCCCGGTGACTCCAAAACAGAGCAAAGGTCTTTGTCGGTTGACAATTATTCTACATGCACCCTCCTCTGCATATTATTTTTTTGGTAACGACTGAACGGAATCAAGAGGGAATATAGCGTTGGAACTGTAAACAAAATTAAACATACCGGAGAAAAATATCACATTCAAAAGAGGTGCAGTGATAAGTATCCAAACGAATTCATCGAACAAGTGTATGCGAATAAATAAGTGAGATGTAGTGTGATGATAATAATAATCGTAATATATCCTATATAATAGCTAACTACAAAGGCTACATTGCCTTGTCAGACCCGCAAGTCGCCCGTTGTAAATAACAGGATTTAAGTATATTAGCATATAAATAAATGACATATATATGTGAATTTCATCAAAGTGTACATTTTTACTATAAATAAAAAAATTCGTCATTGGGCTGCCTATGGCGATTCAAGTAAAAGAATGTTTTCGCAAAATAAAGTTAGTTTTTACCTTTGTAAAGTAACCTCAGTAATCACCTTTGTAATTATATTAATTAAAATAATTCGTCAACATACCATAATCAGATCCCCTGCTCGTAGTACTTGGAAATTCTATGTCGATTACAATGTAAAATAAAATATGTGTAAATATCACAGAAGAACTGTTGTAAATTATGTTTCTATATATGAAAGATAATGGAGAAAGATCATTTATGAATATATTTACGTTTGCCTTCGCATTAGGGTCTGTTTCCATGGAGCGAGTTTTCCCGGCTAGGCGAGGTAAAAAGCGCATCACATCTAAGGCTTAACCTGATTAATCTTTCATTATATGCAGTTTTCACCTCGCCTAGCCGGGATAACTCGCTCCATGTAAACAGGCCCTTAACAGGAGAACTTACAGGTTAAACCTTCCCTTTAATTTAAAACAGAGCAAACGTTTTTGAAAAATTGGTTAAAAAGTGCTATTTTCAAAAGCATTATTATAAATTTTAGTGCTGATCTCAATCATTTGTATCATACTTGATTTAAGAAAAAATAGCGTTGGAACTAAACAAAATTAAACACATGCAAAATATCCCATTAGCACAGTATAAAGAATCCAAACAAAGAATGGGTTTTTTGTTAAAATACAGCCTCGTCGCGCGTATAAAAAAAAACACGCGCTGGGGACGAGGCTGGTTCAAATAAATCCCGAGTCTGTCTGAACTCGTAGTACAAAATGGTGTTGGCATGGACCTAAACTCGTTTAATGCTAGCTTTCTTTTATTTACTGTTTGCAACGAACACTTACCTCGAATTTTAACCGATTATAATCTCACACTTCAGCTGTTTATGCCATTTACCCTTAGTTGATATCTACATATTTTTAATAAGGAGTCAGATCCCCCCCCCCCAGAACTTGAAGAAGGGAAGCTCGACTCTACGGGCCAACCCTCAATTCTACACCATTGATTAAGCGTATGTTTACCGAAAAAAATTGGGTATTGAGCGACTTATGGCATTAAAATATCAGATAAATAATAGAATATCACAGAAGTACTACAGTATAATGTATCTATAGTTGAAAAATGTTGGAGGCGGATTTATTTATGAATTTCACGTTTGCGTGAGAGAAGAAATGAGCGAGCAGAGATTAAGAGACTCTGTCTTTCCTGGTCACATGTCAAACAAGGCAAATGATTCTGAAGCTGCTCATTTTCGTCCGTATTATTTAGCTTGCGAAAGGCTTACAGCGAGGCTTACAGCGTGTCGAAATTGCCAGATGAAACTGATATGGAGTGGGATTAACTATATTGTATAGGGGACCCTCTAAACATCTGATTAGTACTTTAATAGTAGTAGACTTGTACTCTAATATCTCCAACGAAAAACTAATTTTATATACACACGAGTTCTGAGACTGAATGTTTGAATTTGCAACATTTGAAACATACCAGTTTCTGAGACATTTGTTGCGTTTGACGTAGCAACTGAAAATAAACAAAATAAAAAACGACGGGTAAATATCACGGAAGAACTGCTGGATATGTTTCTCTATGCAGAATGATGGAGGAGGATATTTTTTAATATATTTTACGTTTCACTGGTTTCCCCGGTGACTCCAAAACAGAGCAAACGTCTTTGTCGGTTGACAAGTGCAGTTTTCAGATGTATTTTTAAAAATGGAGAAAGATAATTTATGAATATATTTACGTTTGCGTTCTCATGCTCGTCCGCATTATTTAGCTTGCGAAAGGCTTATAGCGAGGACACAGTGCCGAGGGCGCAAAGGTGTCGAAATTGCCAGATGAAACTGATATGGAGCGGGATTAACTATATTGTATCGGGGACCCTCTAAACATCTGATTAGTACTTTAATAGTAGTAGACTTGTACTCTAATATCTCCAACGACCAATATATCAAAAACCAATTTTATGTACACACGAGTTCTGAATGTTTGAATTTGCAACATTTGAAACATACCTGTTGCTGAGACATTTGCTGTGTTTGACGTAGCAACTGAAAATAAAGAAAATAAAACACGACGTGTAAATATCACAGAAGAACTGCTGGATGTGTTTCTCTATGAAGAATGATGGAGGAGGATATTTTTCAAATATATTTTGCGTTTGCGTTAGCATTGAGAGAAGAACGTGAAAGATAAGAGAGAAGTCAGACTTTCCCAGGTGACTCCAAAACAGAGCGAAGGTCGGTTGACAATTATTCTACATGCACCCTCCCCTGCATATTATTTTTATGGTAACGACTGAACGGAATCAAGAGAGAATAGCGTTGGAACGGTAAACAAAATAAAACATATTGAGAAAAATACCACATGCAAAAGAGCTGCAGTGTTAGGTATACGGCAAACGAATTTTAATCAAGAATCCTTAGATCCAAGAATCATTGAATAAGTGTACGCGAATTAATAGTGGGATGAAATATTTTTCTGTATGAAGATATATCAAAAACATACCATTTATTGTGTTTGATCCAATTGTAGTCACAACTAAATCAGTAAAATGAATAAATTATTTACTATTATATTTTGTAAAAATTATCATTCTTCTGTTCACACTATATTATGTATACCTACTGAAATAATCGAGTTAAATTAATAGTGGTTGAGATGTCTGAATCATATGGTGATATGTATCAGTGAAATAGTAAATAATAAAGAGTTAAACAAAAAAGCGAGCAGAAAAATACTGCAACCCTAAAAAAACGGGGGTTCAGGCGTTCAGGCTCAAAATCAACGGCCTTTTGCATGATCTATAGTTCGTCTAAAATTACGCATTTTGAGCAATGCAGCGTTTGATTATTCACATCTCAGGAATAACATTTGTCTATTGATTAATGTCGCCTGAAATGTGAGTAAATTGGATCTTAGTTATACTTAGTATCATTACAAGGCAGACCTGCAACAAGTAAAACTAATTCGATCCGACGTAACCGAGACCATACTCCATAGCAACCAATAAAGTACAACGTAAAACTAAAAGCGTTTTGAATTATGAGTGATATATAACGACATTATGGGACGGAAACTTTGCTTTTAAGATAATTTAAGTATGATGCAGTACGGGTAAATAAAGAGTAGTATATCTATAAGGATATAATATCCTGTTGTAGGAATAAAAGTCTATAATTCTCATTAAGAAACAAACTTATGGTATTAAAATATTAGCTAGAATATACCTGAGTTTGAATTGTTGGTGGAAGCGGTCACTTGTGGCATGTTAAGTAAGATGAGAAATGCCACCAGAGATAAAATATTACAAAACTTCTCCATTCTTTATATATTTAATTCGCCTTTCTGTCTTTACATCAATGTTTACAAACTGATAAGCAACAGACTGCAGTGTTTGACGGTTTCTATGATATGATAGATCATGCAACGTCTTGATATCATATTTCATGTTTCCTGCGTGGAAGCCGGAGGTCTTACCCAGTAAATAATTAAAAATAGACATAAATAATGTCCTCTCCAAAGTTGGAGATGGCCGTTGGCATCCAAAAAGGTACAACTGCATGCCCTCGGACGAATAAAATGATTTCATTTCGTGCATGCATTTCGTCGTTAACGAAACATGAAACGGGCATAAAACGAGTTAACGACGTTAAAATGTTTATGAAGGAAGTTACTAATCCAGAACAGGAAAGACCAAAGGATTTAAGTGCCCTTTTGTATGATAAAATATCTTATGCTTTTTTGTGATGAAAAATGTTTCCTCTTTGTAGAAGCCGCGTGTTTGCTGCATGTGAGCCATTATACATTCTACGGTGTCTTTTTAGCCTTCTAAACACGTTTACCCAACCGTGCAAGCCAGGCAGTTGTAAGTTGACGTTAGCGCCGTATAGCCGCTACAGGCCCTAAGAAACATTCTATTTGGTTAGATGCAGTTGAAGTATTACTTATTTTGACAACGAACGTCCCCTTGTTCTCCTCCTGAACGTTTATCTTGTTCCCAAATTGAGCGTGAATTATGAATTTCAATTTGCCCATATACCAATACTCATTTATAATTTAAATATTTACTAAATGAATGAGAAACATCACACAGCCTGTCTACAGCCACGGCCACGGCACAGGTGTAATCAAGCAAGAAACCTCGAATCGTTAAGGAGAACTAAAAATGGTGGTGTTGCAACCTCGACAATTGATGTATACAAATTTTAGTTCCCTTTTTACAATTCAAAAGTGTCCATGAAAGCTTGCACAAAAAATTATGCATGCTTCCTTCATAGATATTCCTGTTATTGATGCTTCCTTCATAATAAATGTTTAATTTATAATTTGATAGTAGAATGATAATCAGGTTGAACATGCCACTGCAGGTGTTTTTGTTTTCTTCATTTTTGGACCAGGAACTGGTCCCTAACCGCTGCTAATCTTCGTCTTCTTCTTCTTCTTCTTCTTCTTCTTCTTCTTCTTCTTCTTCTTCTTCTTCTTCTTCTTCTTCTTCTTCTTCTTCTTCTTCTTCTTCTTCTTGTTAGGGGGCGACGCTCTTTAAAAAAACCCTAAGGCTCTAGCATTACTTGTTTGATCGGAATGAAACTTGGCACAATTATTCTAAGCAATATTCCGCATCGATTGACGGAGTTCGAATTTTTACTTTTGACCTTTGAAGCAAGTTACAAGCAATTCTTGATATATTTGCAGTAAATAATATATACATAATATTCAGCCTATATATAAGTAAACGGAAACGATTACATTGTCTTCTTCATTGTTATAAATACAATGCAGTTCAGAAATTAAACTCGGTTAGCCGTATTTAAAAATATTGATTTGTCTCAATGAACAGTTTCTTCTTTTTAAATTGTCAAACGAAACAAATAATAAACATTCAACAATACATATACAAAGCTGCATGGACGTTTGTAAGAATCGTTGAACGTTAAAGTCAGAACATATAAAGATTGACGTATTCAAGTACTTGTCATATAGATATCACTCGTGACGAGCATATGAAATTTATTTTGTTTAAAACAGTTATTAATTACATTTTTTCATACATTAAAATTATTCTGCTTCGGCGTGTTTTATTGGTCTAAACCCTTTTTTATTAAAAACAGTTCTTAAAATAACTTACGTAACCTGTTAATTTCTGTTCATAACTTTAAACTATAAAAAGCAATATTTTAAAAAAAAGTTTGAATTAAAATTCATATTTATCCTTGCCTGAAAAATGAATTAGGAACAACAAGATGAACTAATGGAATGCACTGATTGTTCTTACTTATGCTATGTATAAATCCAAATCCTTTATTCTACAAGCTTTGATTATTTTACAAAGTCAAAACACATCGCTGACGATGGAAATTAATTGTGCAAAACAATGCTGTAACGAGATCAGAAACTAAATATCTCACCTCAGTGATAATGATCTGCTTTCTTTATTGTTATTTAGATCTCAAACACAACAATATTTTCTGACTAAAAATAATACTATTCATAAATGCCGACAACCTGCAAAAGCAGCCAAAGCTTATTCTCCCTCTGCTGAACCTACCTCCCTAGCACCTGCGGAGGAGGTAGCTGCTGAATGGAAACAACAGGACCACTTGGGTAGAAGGGAAAGCTTCCTTCCTCTCTTGCCTTTTCTCAACAGGGGCGAGGGGGAAGCAACGGATGCATTAAAGAATTGCATCGATCAGGTTTAGATAACAGTGGAAATACATATAGCATGCACAATCGTCTGGCATGAAGTGAAACGCAGTAAGACGGGTACTACCACTTTCAAAAATCTCTAGTATGTGATTATAGACACGGTAATTCACAAGAAAATTATCACTGTGCCATATTAATTCTCTGCCGTTGTGCAGGGCAATATTTTCCAGCCCCTACGAAGAAATTAAAAATAGAAATAATCTTTATTTATCGTCTTCTGTTGTGCCGTGTTAGAGGGACTGTCTGGTCTGGACTTTGTCCAAAAGAGCACATGTCAGGACGGAAAAACGTAACGACTGTGAAATCTTGACAGAGGCATTTGTGAATGTTCATTGCCTCATGTCTCTTCATTGGTAAGGGTTGACAAATTTGAACATCGCGGGTTAGTTCCAAGTGTTCTCTCTTAATCGAACGAAGGTATTGGGTCAAGTCGCAAAACCGCGGAGAATCATGGATGGTTTGGAAGGACAAGAAATGCAAAATTCTGAATATAACAAGTAATAACCATATCTCTGCGGGGCTCGTTTGGGAAATATATTGTAAAATGGCTAGACAAAGTCACTCCCTGCACTGCACCCTCCCCTGCATTCAACACAATCAAATGAAAACAAACATCGCTATACTTCGAAACTATTAAAAATACACGAGAACATCTAAAATCAAAGAAAATTTTGTAGAAATGAATTACTAAAACGAAAAACATAGACAGGCTGTTGTCATTTGACTAATATCTTTGTTATTCTGGACAGGATCGCCATTGGCTTATCAGCCAAGGTACAAAATTCGAAAAACAACGAGATAGTGTTTGCAGAATTTGCAGAATATATGTGACGATTGTTACATGTAAATGAATAAAAACAGCAGCGCATTATAAACTTTTTATCACAGTAAATAACGAATTAATGAATAGAAAAACATTAGATAAAAATGAAGTTGTCAAATAATCAAAACTTGTGCTACTTGGAGGTGCTCAATGGACAATAATTCACGCTGATTATGTTAACTTTCAGTTTCATCAAGTAATTTACAAGGTGATGATGAGAAATTTGATTATTTACTAAATTTGGGATACTAGGATAAACCCATCTCTTCCAAAGCACTTCTTATTTCACCCTCCTAAAAGACAAGAACAGAGGTCACCACAGACCATACTCCCACCACCTTACAATTTGATGAAAATTTTAGACATAAAAACAAACACATCTCATTATTACAGAAACTATTATAAGCTCACTCAAAAGTTCTGTTTGAAAGAACTGAAGAAACTGTCTTTTTTAAGAATGTACAACTTACTTCTTGCAAGAGGTCCTGGGCTTGAATTGATTTTAAGACATTCTTTTTACTTGTTTCTTGAATTTCACCTCCAAGAATTAATTCATCCAACATATAGTATGCCTATAAGATGATAAAGATGAAGTTTTGAAAATATTGTTGGTTGGAGTAGGTATGGGCTAGCCAAGTTTGGACAAGCATAGTATGGACATTCTACTAACCAGGCATAGATTGACCAGGTACGGACTAACCAGGTTTGGGCTAACCAGGTATAGGCTAACCAGGTATAGGCTAACCAGGTACCGGTTAAGGAGTGATAGCGATGAGAACTGCTGATTGATGTCAACTTACCTTTTCAAAGTTGAAAATTATATCAAGTTCACAAACCTAGCAATAAAACAATGATAATTAGCTATCATTACTACTTAATACTAAGCAATTTTACCCAATCAAAAACTAGTAACACACCAGACTTAAAGACAGACAAAGGCTACTGGACTCAACCTCTTCATTAATGCTCATATTTGGATTTATTATATGGCTCATTTTTCATATGGCTTGTGAGTAGTGTTGAGATTTTATTTCAAGTTTTTTTAGTTATATACTTTTGAATAAACAATTACAAAAATTTAAATAAAAAGACTAATGTGAATTATATGACAGTTTAATGTTGAATTACATAACAATTTTGATACTTACACTTCCAAAATATTTATCCAACAGTTCTACATATCTGTGAATGATCTCAAGAGTTATCAGTTCATTGTCACTATTCTCAATTGCAGCAACAAAATACAGACTTGCATACCTGCAACATACACAACATTTGAAGTAACAATGTTTCAAACTGTATTGGGAAAATTATGTTGCTGATAGTAAAGATCATTATAATGTGAGCTATGTTTGAATAATGAGAGTAAAATGTGACATTTATTATTATTGTGACAATAATAAAATTGTTGTGGAGCTGCTTCAAGATTTTAAACCCAGAAAATTCTTACATCAACTAGTGCATGAAAATTTGGTAAAAGTTTTATTACAAATTGCCATGACCATGTCATATTTAAATAAAGTAGTCCAATAGATTACAATTGGGGGAGCAATTAATGCCAAAATCATATGTATTGCAGAATCAACAAACTGCACAGCAAGTTTTCTTTAACAACATTATTCTATTATTATCACTGGATGGATTTAGTGTTTGAACAAACTAAATGTTTGATGTTCAACAAGACAATTGAACATGACAATTTTCATATCATTTTTATAGCATATAATTCATTGTATGTGATAATCTTGGCAGTACATTTTATTAATAATTATACCACTGATCATTGTCAGTTTCCAACATTCTTATGTCTAGTCTTCCTAATGTAAAAAATGTCTCTGTACATTATTGTCGAAAGGGTGTATAATTTTAAGATTGTACATATATATCATACAAATATTATTGTGCATAATGGTAGCTGCAAGGAGTCTTTTGTGTTATATAATTACCTTTTATAAACAATCTTCAAATCTTTATACTCTAAGAAGCTTGACATTTTCGGTTTTCTTGCAAGTACAATTGATATAAGCTCTCTTGTGATTTTTTTCTTATCTTTTTGACTCATAGCCATGTACCATCTTTGAAGTCTTAGCTTTCCTTGTCGACTGAACAGCAGTATATACTGAAACTTAATAATTGCACAGAAATATAAGTTCTATTGTACTGTAGAAAGAAAATCTTTACTATTTGACAATAATAATAATAATACACAAAAACCCTCACCATTTTCACAAAAATATTAGGAAATTCTTTCCTCACCATCGATTGAATTGAGCCCACCCATACACCTGTGGCTTGCGGAAATATCTCACATTACGTCATTTTACATCATGTACTAAGCAACCGAAGCCAGACTTATTCCACTGATCCAGGGCTGGTGGATTTTTGAACATACCCCACATAAACTTTGTTTTGTTTGTTTGTTTAAAACAAAGAAATCAAAGGCCCGTCAATAGCAATATTTGGCTAATTTATTCAGTAACTTACCAACCATCAACTGCACGAGGTACACCAACCCTGAGTTGTACCAAGAGAAATAAGGTGGGAACGGATGTAATTTATCCTGGGCAAAAAAGGGGCTAGGATCATATGCTATATTTAGAAAGCGAATGAATTAATGGGTTAACAAAGCTATGAACTAACAACTTACTGACTCATAGCGTGCGAAAAGTCTGTATACAGTCAGGAAATGAAATTTCTGACTGTTGACAGCCTGACTGACTCAAAAAAGCGACAATCGGCTAGATAGGTTCGCGTTTCAAACATTTTCTCCGCTTTCTCGCCCAGCGCCAACTGTGCCGGTGTATGAAATTATGATTGAGAGTTCATGTATTTGATACAGAAAAACGACGAGGCTGTCTCAGCTCTAAATCATTGTTAAAATGATCACCAAACTTGACTATTGTAGATTTTGGAAGCATGTTGCTTATAACGATGAAGAAACACAGCAAACATTGTTGCTATCTGAATTCTGGGATTGTAGCAACATGGAAACTGACTTACTGACAAGCAGTTTCTGTGGTACATAGGGTAATAGCAAATTGCAAAAAGGTGGTACAACTGCTCGAGAAATAAATTACTGAAACAACCTAGCAGTATTTAATACTCCTAACAATGGTTTGTAATTTCGTAAAACGTCACTGATAAGCGTGATGAGTATCCTCGAGTCCAGGGTCACCTCAAGGCCAGACTACTTTTACTGCGCAGGGGCTTGGACACAACAGATGATTCACTCAGTTTGTTTGTAAACAGTGAAGCATTTCAAATCACATGATCACATGCTGTTAAATGGCTACCTTCCATTCGTCATTTCACTCTCATGTGGCTTGTAGTGGTTTCATTTACATACAAACTGAGAAGAAATATTTGTGTCTTGTGTTACTTCGTGCGTTTCTAAAAACAGCAAATATCTCAGAAACAAACAAAAACGGAGTCACACCACTACACAAACAACAGACGGCAAAGATTTTTGTCATACTTCGAGATATTGACGTCATAATATATAGAGACATTCAGTGGTCCAACGTAAAAACGTGCAACGATAATGCTCTTATGCGATTGACCCTCTTTAAAAACGAGTGGTGAAAAGCTGCACTGACAAATGTGGATATCAAAAAAGATAAAATATAATTAGGCAAAAATAGGCTTAGTAGTGGAAAAGGGAAAGATTTCAAGCAACTTTTAGCGACAACTTATAAAATAATTGAAAACCAATGAACTTTCGCACATTACCGTTGAATTGCAATCATCATATAGGTCATCTAGGGTTCACCCTAGATACTGTAGCCTGCGGATAAACTGACTTCTATGGTCTACTGATAAATATAAAGTCTTGATAATAAATCTTATCTGCTTTTCCCTTTTCGTCATCCACTCGAATATTTGGCAATTTTATATAAAGCGTCTGTTTTAGCATTCACAAGGGTAAACATTTATTTTACACAAATTTATTTCTTTCGTGTATGCTTATCTTTATTTGGTTTTAATAGCTCCAATCTCTTGCATGTCACGCGTGTTTCCACTAATAAACGTTCAGATTATAGTCAGTGATATGAGCGTCTAATTCATGAGTACTGTGAAGAATGATTTATAATTACCGACTATTATTAAGCCTCTTTAACACGAGCAAATTTGTTTTGCAAATTTTAATTGATACGAAAAAATTAGCTTTCAATCTTTTGTGCAAATGCATTTGACGTGGCACTTTAAAATTTATCAAATTGAGAAAGTGTTTGTTTGTAGACCTTTGTATTTATAAACTAGGCTTTTTTGGGAAATCATATCTTTTAACAGCTGGCCATTTTCTTATTGTTTTGTATATAAAAAACACACTCGCAATTAAGGTTATGAATGTTGTGTTTAAACCTAAAAACAGTATTTTTACACACAAATTTATTATTTCAATTAATGCATGCATAGTGTGCTAATTGTCGCGCAGCAATGTTAAATTCAGACGCGGTAGTTTCTGCTCTGATGTAGGTTAAAGCAGTCATACTAAGGTTAAACCGAGAACAGGGCTTACTAAAGTTTCCGGCTTCCTAATTACTTCTTGAAGAATTTATTCAAACGACTTAATTGATACTTTGAGGATTCAACAAACGGTCGTAAGCTTTACAAGTTATCCTCCTCGGCAGAGCCAAAAATGAAATACTTGATTCTGTGAATTTTTTTCATATATTCATTAGAGTATTTTTCTAAAAAGACAACCACAACGGCATGCTTATTTGAATTTTATTATATTAAAATATAATCAGTTCAAAGAAATGAAGCCGGCAAACTTTTCTTACGTCTTTACCTACAACTAGTGGACATACCACCGCTCATTGATACAGTGATATGATACTACCTGATACTAAGTATCTATATTTTTCGTACCAAGATGTTGCTTTATTCCGGTATCGTGGAATTAATAAACTCACACCATTGATTAAGTAATGTTGTACATAATTTCAGCAAACGGTTTTTATCCCCCTTCGTCCAAATTTGTTCGTTAAAAAAACATTTGCATTCCTCCTATTAATTTCGTCGATAAAGTTGATTGAAAATGTGTTCATTGTGCTGTGCGACTGTCTCATTTGCTCAACAAAAGCGGCTCACTTTATTACTACACACCATGCGCTTGGAATTATTGAAATTTAAACATTCACTTCTTTTATATAACAAACGTTCACTGTTGAAAGTTTGAGGAAAATAACACTCATGATTCTTAATCTCTTGCCAGACTTTGGTAGAAATTCGTATGCAGCCGTAAATAAGAACAATCACCATATATATGTCAAATTCACAGATAAATACGATCTCCTGGGGTGCGGTTTTGTTGAATAATAGTTTATCCCAATCACACTCAAATCAACCGCTTTCTATAGAAACCACTTCATTTTGAAGACAGAATATCAAGTACTGCTCGATTAGGATGTTTTCAGTTTGAGCTATCTTTATACCATGTCTGTTTTGCATGGGAGTAACTGTTGATTACTACGACCTCAATTACTATCAGGATATTTCGTCTGCTAGTTAAAAATATTTTTCCTCTGACAGTTGGAGTGAAATTTCATGAATATCAATTGAGTATCAGTTATACAAATTATAAACGCGACATATATCATCATAGCAGCTGGCTCGTAATGAAATATAAGCGATCGCGGAACTTTAATAATCTTTGTCCGTAAAGAAAGTACCAGTAAACATTGTTTTAAATTGCTTTTCAACTAATTTCATAACTTTAAAAGTCATCACAGCTAAAATAGGATTGTTGACAAATAACGACGAGAAAATCATCTTTCTTGGGCAGCTTTTAAGAGTAAAAAAATGCAGTGATTGTCAATATTTGCATAAATAGTATATATCAACAAAAATATTTACAGCATATTATTGAGTACAAAAACCATTTCTCCGACAGTGAAGACATTTAAAAAATGCAATCTGAGTACGCGTCTTTCATGTCATGCTATCTCAGTTACGACGCAAAAAAGTCATACTTCTAACTACGTTCAATTTAAGATGATCAGCATCAAAACAAATAAGTAAACTTTAATTTTGGTATGAAAATAAAAGTTCTTTGATCACAGGAACATACTCATCCAAACTCGTTCTTGTATAATCACGTAGCGTGACTCCGCGGGTAACTTAATTAACTGAAACTATATCGGATTGCCAGCTCATAAGATTATAATAATAAATAACATAGCAAACTGAAATTTATTAATAATAACTAAGAGAAGTCCTAAATAGCTGTGACTTAGCGACGAAATATCATTATTGATATAACCGAATGTTATGCTCGACTTACAAGTACTGTCTCGAGTATTTACGTCAAATATTTCCGGCCAGAATGCAAGCCGATTGTATCGACGGCAATATATATTAATAATTCAATGTGATACTTCAGAAAGAAACAATGACAATTTTTCCAACGCACCCGAAGCGACAATTGTTTATATCCTCAAGCTTCTTTTGCCTTCTCATCAAATGTATTTTAACTCATGTTGAAGAAACATTTTTCTTTCTTCCATTAAAACTTGGATTGTTGTCATCTGTAATCTTGAGAGCATGCCCACTTTCATTAATATGCTTGAACAGTTGATTGCGTGTTGAATACGTCTGATCACAAACGTTACACCTTAACTCCACACCTTCATTTTCCGCATCACCGTTTTTGTCTTTCTTAGATCTACGACGATTTTTCCGTTTTGTTTCATTCTCTTTAACTTCAAATTCAATGTTTATGTTTTTGCCTGCAATACTATCAGTGATATTAAGCATGCGGTTTTCAACGTCAACTTCCTCTGTGTCGTGTTGTAAAATAAGTTCAACCATTTTCCTTTCACATTCATCAAGACCATACTCTCCAAGACCATCAACATCCTCTTCACTACTTCGTTTTTCCAGACTTCGTCTTTTTTGGAACCTTTTCTTACCCTTTCCTTTATGCGCTAGTGCACTCGCAACCTCATCTGCAAACGACTTACCAGACTGTTCTTCATGACCTTCACCGGGCGATCTTACAATACGACGTGAATTTGACCGACTACGTCCACTAATATAGGCTGGAAGATCGAGAGAGTCTCTTAGATGTAAAGCATCTACATCAATCGCACAAGTTTCATCCGTATTTTCTGTAATACCTTCAACATTCAGGCTAATAGTCAATTTACATTCACTTCCGTCATGTTGTACGTCTACTAGCCCAGTTTCTCCGCCTAAATTCTTATCCATATGTTCTTTAATCAAACTAACTCTTTCACGATGTTTCTTCGACTTTTCGTGGTTTTTCAAGGCTTTGTCTGACTTGAATAATTTCTCGCATGCTGTACAATAGAAGCTCTCCTCATCCTCGCATTCTGATTGGCTGCTTGAGTTGTCATCCCCAAACTCCTCATTAATATGCGAGTCGATCTCAGTCAAATTCTTCTCCAAATGACACATCGAGTTCCACTCCTGTTCCTTGTAATCTTTGAGTTTCTCTAGTCTTTCTTTTTTCTCTGTGGCTCGTTTTTCTTTTATCAATAATAACTTTTGCTTTTCTTCTTCCTCTTTCTTCGCTCTGTAAGCCTTGACACGTCTATCTCTCTTCCTAACATGATGAACCAATTCTCTGATTTCTTCGTTTCTTTCTTTCTTGGCAGCATCGCGCAACTTCTTATTTTCTTTCTCCATTGCTCTTAAATATCGCCGGTTTGGAGCTTGTCTTATATCATACTTCTCATGCCAGACAAACGTTTTAAAAGTGCAATAACTTTGCCAGTAATCATAAAATAATTTAACTTCCTCAAACGGACTAGTTGACGAGCCAAACACGGGAATATCGTCAACGATTGATTGATCAACAAATTTCGAATCTTCTTCAACAATCGTCTTAAATACAAACGAGTAAACAGAATAGAAACCTTTCTCATCATCATCAAAACCACGATAAGCTGAGGGTTGAAAATAATGCATTAAATTCAAGCTATCATCGATATAATCATCACCACCATTTATTATCTGTTCTCGATGTTTATCGTACCAAGATCGTTCTTGACGGTCAGATAAAACATCATACGCTTGCTGTATTTCTTGAAACATATCCTTAGCTTCTTCTGGGCGGTCTGTGTTTTTATCTGGGTGCCATTTTAAAGCCAAAACACGATAAGCTTTCTTTAATTCAGTGTCGGTAGCGTCTCTTTCGACACCCAACACTTCGTAGTAACAACGCATAATACTGCTTCGTCGTTATAATCACTCCTATGCTGTTTTGCTCTATATTTAATACGCTGATTTCTTTTATCTACTGTATTAAAAAAGCCAACTTCTTCACTGTATCTAAAATTTACACACGTAGTCGGCCATATTGGACCTGGACGGCACGCGCATGGCATTCTGTTAATAAACGCTGTATTGATTGTAACAAAATTTCCTCGTGGTTATGTGGGTGAATGTATGGGTCATGGGTGGGGTGTTACCTGTGGGAGGTGGGAGTCACTGGTGGGTGTATGCGAGAGAATAATATAAGGCCACGTTTACACTGAACCGGACGAATTTGAGACTGGCCGAAATTCGCCTTTTCGGCCTGTTTACGTGGAACCGTTCAAATTTTGTCCGCCTTCTCTCGAGTGTTTTACTCGGTAATTCGCTCAATTCGCCCTGTTACTAACTCGTTCTGACGTTCTCTCGTTCAAATTTGTCCGTAAATGGTCGAAGAAACTCTTAAAATTCTTTGGTTTGGTTTTGTCTTCCATTCTCACTTTCCCTTCACATGCTGAAAACCGAGTCAATCGACTGAGAAAAGAAGTATTATACTTCAATAATCTGTAATCCTAGAGCGGTAATCCGGTTACTAAATAATCCCACAGCTGTCGATGACAGCTGACAGCACGCTGACTAAAGTGCGTCGTGTTTATCTGCTAACTTAGAAAATGCACATATCATAATTTCAAATATAAAATAATTATTCTTCAAAGGAAGATTCTAAATTTGAGCGTTAACATTCATTAACAGATACACTAAAATGATGTGACAATCACATTGTTTTCCCTCTTATGAGTTATCACTATAACAACAGGTTCCTAGCAACCTATATGACACTCCGGTAACCAAGTGAGATATCTTTCACTGTGATACCGCAAGACACAAGATTTGGTAGATCTTCTTCCCTTCTCAGCTCAAAATGTATCGTTCTTACCAACCAATAACCCCGGCGAGTAATAAGTTATTAAAGCAAAGATGGGACGACACATATTTCGAAGAACATCGCAGAAAGGTAAATTATTTTGTTATCAATTTAAGTAATACTTCGAATTTCGATGCAAACATCTCATATTTATATGATCTTTGGTTTGTTTTAGGTTGCAACATCAAAAGCGGTAGTTGATAATAAACCACCCAGAACATACATGCACCTTCATTTGAAATTAAAAAAATTACAGGTTTGTAGTGAAATGAATACATTCAAAGTATTTATATGCGCAATAGTTCCTACCTGCTGCGAAGGTATTTTTTGTAACGCAGTTCAGAAAATACCACATAACGCTCACCTAGTTCTGTGCTATTGATAAGATAATTATTTCTACAGAATATATAAGATCCAAGATAAGGTCAAAGATATAAAAGAATGGTTGCAATCGGGCAAAATTAATATAGGATATCTCAATAAATTCACTTTTTTTTATATTTTATGTAAATATGTAAAGTTGTCATTATTTTATTTGTCCATAAGATAACAGCCAGAATAGACTCTGTTAAAAATAAATATATAAGCATAAATATATAAGTATACAGGGACATTCATAAAGTTCACACGGGGTATTAAAGGCTGCGAAATATGATCTCTAAATGCAGCTGTAAATTATGCCAACATATACGAGAAATAAAACATGACCCTATGAAGTAGTACCAATAAGCACATTTAACTTAAACATGCTTAAATTATAATTGATTATTAATTTGAAATAAAACGACATTTGTTTATTTCAATGTTGTGTTTTTTCTTTGGCAGTTACACTCAAGAAGGATAAATACATACCACTAAAATGTTTTTTCCATGACCCTATATATAACACACAACAGACAACAATAATTAATATATCGCAAAATTGTCTACATTTTGCAAAAGTATCTCTCCTCCTCAATTCCAGATTCAAGAAGAACGAATAGCAACAATTGAAAGAGATAACAGAATCCTTCTTGAAAAGATGTCTCAGATCATGAGAACAAAAGGAAGAGTGGACAACTGGAATGACTATACTGCCAAAAGTCTGAACAGGACAAAAAGACAACAAGAGTTGTTACGTGTTACTCATGAGAATCAGGTTTGAAAACCTCTATAGTGTCCTATGATTTAATTATCAATCTGAGAAATCTATTTCTTTAAAATACCAGCATTTCGCTTAATTTTATAGGCTATTTTAAAGAGGGTTCTGGCTCAAAAACCAGTCTATGACCATTCAAAATGGGTATGTGGAACATTATAGCTGTCTATTTGAGGTAGCCATGCCTGATCTGTGCAAATGAAGAACCTCTGAGGATTACATAATCTTATTTTAAATGCTAAACAATCTTTCATTTATTTTCAGGAGGATCATTGGTTGGAAAAAGAAGGATACATGGACAGCATTTCAAAATATCCTAAAGAATGGTACAAAAAAAGCGCAGCTAAAAAGTTGAAGGAAAGAAAAAATGATGGAAAAGAAGACACAAGCACCTCAAAGAAAGGAACTAAAAAGGACAGAACGTCACCAAGGGAGGAGAAAAGCAGCAGAACGGCGAGTCCTCAAGAGGATGTTGAAGGAAAATCAGTCAGTCCGAGAGAAAAAGAAGAAAGGTCAAAGAAGGACAGTGGAAAAGAGAAAGAAGTTCATGAAATAAAAGAAGAAAAAGTAGCAGGTGAAGATACTGTGATTGAAGAGCCAGATGAGAAACCTGTTAAAACAGATGAAAATCCAGATGAAATAGCAGAAACTATAGTCAAAGAAGAAAACTGAAATAGATAGAAAATATAAAATGTTGATGACTGATGTTATTAGTTGTACGAAAGAGACATGCATTGGCTTGCACACAAAGGTTGAACGTATTTGACAGCATTATTGAACACAAGGACACACAAACCATCAAGTTAAATACATGATTACTTTTCTATTTAAATTATTAAAAGTAAAAATTGGGATGTTTTTAGCCAAATTGATCATAAGAATGACTTTAATCTTTGAAACACTTCTTCTTCATATTCTGTAACATGTCTATAATCTCCTGTGTCGGTATGTTATCAAGGTGATGAGTGACTACCAAACTATTCATTTTGCTTCAGATAACAATTATTATATCTATGAATTACGTTTATGTTTAGTGGTGAGGGTTATCGCAGATGTATCAGTCTAACCTAGATATAAAAATGGAAGACAAATGAAGACGTGTTCAATTATGTATATTTAAGATTTTTAATAAAACATAAAGAAAAAAAAGTATTATGTTGCTATGTTTGTACCTGTTTGTTAGTTTTAATACGACATTTAGGAGAGATCCTTTAGCAAGGATTTACAATTTTACATACCTAATCGAAACACGCGATAAGAAAGTGGATCTTAGTCTTAGCACAGTTAAGTCCTAGTCGATGATTTTCTGTGATGTCGCCCGCGCTTGCAAATATTTTCCACCTGTTCAGATTTTGCTGCTTCAAATAAAAAAGACGCGGTCAGAATGAAAACACGTCGTAAAAACTAAAACGTTGCTGGATATTTTGAACATTCCAAAATTACAACGAAATTTCTGAGTTGGAGCTTTGGCATTGCACAGCACTCAACTTACTTTCCGCAAAATCTAGTAATCGATTGACGGCCATGCTACTTTTAAACTCAGTCGACAAATATGCTTAGCCTTAGGGCCAAGAGGCAAGACAACCAGGTCGCAGTTTTTTTAAATATGACATTTCTAAAAACACAAGCGTCAAATTATTAAACCGTTAATTCCCCATGTTATATGACAGACTTCACAATCTGAACAGTGATTTATTGTCAAACTCGAACTGTCAATTCTCATACTAGATATTTCGCAATACAAATATCCCAGCACAAGGTGCAACATGCAAGTAAGGTTACATCATTCTCTAAATCAAAAACTGTCCTGTGTTAGGAATTCAAAATGATGCTATTCTCGTTTAATAGCGAGCTTGTACGAGTAATGGCCCAGTAGAACTACTGGGGTCTAGGGCAATATTGACAATGAACGAGGTATTTTTGCTCCGATCAACTTGTAACTAAATCTAAAGAACCCTGTTAGGAACACAGCAAAGAATGGCAGGCACGTTATCGCACTCGAATGGTATGACATGAGTTCATTTCAATTTCCTTAATGGGGTTTGCTTAACTCAATATTAATTAAAATAGCCCCGAGCAAAGTGAATTGTCTGGCCGATGGTATGAACGTTGAAAAATAGTAAAATGCCAGGATATAGGACTAGTATAACGACTAAAGCCCGTTTTCTATTAGGCTAATTTATTCGCGCGATGTGAAGATGCAATGTTCCAAGATTCGCATGCGCGCTAACTATGCTAATAAGATGACGTAACAATTTGGAAAAAGACTTCGACGATAAAACTGTGGTACTTTAGAGCGTTCACAACATTTCATAAATAAATTAAAAATAAAAAAATGCATCGCGCGTATCAACCGATAACCCCAGCAAACAACATGTTGTTGAAAAAACGTTGGGATATTAGCAGGTATAACGCACACCGACACAAGGTAATAAACTTCCAGCACCCTACTTTTCTGGTCAATATTTGCAACTTCAGAAATGATCAAGTTCACATCCACTTTGATAGGAATTTTGATTAATAAATTAAGGAATCTTAGGACAAAAATTTGTTTTTAGGTCAAACATTCATCCCCTGTTATTGACAACAAGTCACCTGAGACGTATATTCATTTGCATTTAAACTTGAAGAAAATGCAGGTGAGTGACTTGACGAAAATCATGATTTCTGATTTCATGCACGAAGAATAACTAAATGAAACTTCATGATTGTCGGTCGTGTGCACGGCGTGAAAATCGTCAACTTGTTGTAATGTTTCTTGTTTATACTTGTTAAAAATATAAGTCAGCATTGTCGCAACTGATTCAAGATAAACAATTAATGAACTGTGAGCAATGAGGCACAGTACGATATTGTTGCTACCTGTTGTACGGCAGGCTCTACGGCATCTTATATATGCAGATGGGATGATCTAACAAATGCTTACTTTCCTTGACAAAGACGCTGTTTCCAATCATCTGTACAGTATACATACAGACAGTGGTTGTTGCCCAGTGATGGTTATTAAAAAAATCAAGGGCGAGGTGGACCACTCTCCAATTTTTTTAAAATCATTTCACGTATATGGTGAAGTTGAACAACTTAATTTGTTACAAACTTGCATGACGAGGCTTGGGTTAAAATGTTTGTTAAAAACTGTAGTTTGCAGAACCACTGGTTACTTATTATACATTTTGCAATATAATAGTTCACACTTAATATTTCACATATCACAAAATGAATGGTGAAAATTATTAGAAACAAGAAGAACGATCTGCGCTTATTGATAAAGAAAACCGACTGCTGTTGGAGAAAATGACTTCAATTATGCGGACAAGAGGTTCTGTAGACAACCACAATAATTATCAAGCTAGAAGTTTGAATAAAACTAAGCGACAAAGAGAACTTCTTCGCCTGACTCATGAAAACCAGGTAAGTTTAGTGTTTATAGCATCAAATATACAGCCACATTGCATTGTATGATTACAGACGAATATCCAGCATGCCCTGTATCCTGATTATTGATAACAACCTTCAAGATATTCATACCGCTGTCATTTTTCTTCTATAGTGGTTCGTTGTATTTTACAAGATAATATTTGCATGTGTTTAGCTGGCGTTATCTTGTTTATTTCAGGCTATACTAAAGAGAATTACCTCGAAAGAGCCTATCTACAATCATTTACAGTGGGTAAGATCTCATATAATGAATTCAAGACCCTAGCTTGGATGGTAGAGCTCTTTAGGTCGATTGCTGAACCTAGGTCTTTCCTGACATGATATTTAGGGAATCTGCACGCCGTTGATTTTAAAAAATTTAATTTTTTGTTTCTTCTGCAGGAAGAAGAATGGCAAATGAACATGTTATACATGAATAATATCTCAAAATACCCTCAACAAAGACGAGATTCGTGCGATATAACTCAACACTCAATGCATGGTAGTTTGTCAAAGATGAAGCACTGAATACATCTATTTTTCAAGAAGTATATCACTCACAATAACTAAGATATGGAATAAATACTGGATCATTGGATCACAACTTATGTTTTTAACTAAATTCGTACATTAAGAGTCTCGAGCAATTATTAAAATATTATACGTTACTTAATTCAGTTCTATATGCCTGCCTTTTAGATATATATATACCTGCATATTATTTTCATATTCGCACGAAGTCCCCACACGGAATTTCTTAAAAATAATAGTATATACAGCATCGTGTTCAGACATTTTGAAAAGTGCCAGATTTTGAAAACTCCAGTTAACAGTTAGACTGCAACTGCCTTTATTTCACTATAATAGCATGTGTAGCCGGCGTGATCAAAACACAGTGTATAATGTTCTGAAATACATACTTGATAAAATGATCCTATACCTTGTTACGAAGGAGAGGGTTTCTGCTTTTTCGGTGTTGGTAAATATATCTAAATAATACACATTAACTTCAATTACTTCTTATCAATGAATATACAATTTCTGGTTTTGAAAGTGGCAGATGTGAGATTAATGGACGTGAAAGGAACCGAGTTATGAACCCCCAATCATCGTGCTTAATTTCTACGCCACTGGTTGACAGAAAATGTAAGCAATCAACATGAATCATTTCATGCACAAACCTTATCAAGCTTCTCAACAAATCTCTCGTATTCCGCCTCGTAAAATTGAAAAACCTCATCGCAATCCTAAAGCAAAAATCGTAAAAGTTACACTCGAGTTACACTACCAATTATCACAAAAATGATTGTTAGGGACATTATATGAGGAATATTAGAGCTACATATTAGCATTTAACAATAAATAATACGAAACGATAGAGTGTCTATACATTTCTATATTGTTAACGTTTTTGGGACTTTCAGTTTCTTTAAGAACAATAGATTAGTTGTCGTTTTGTACGACATACTAGGAGTATGAGAAACGCAATATATTCATTAGTATATTTGATCTTTTGTGATCGAATAGAAAGCGAATAATCAGTATGAATATTTATTGGTTTATACAGTCACCCTGTACTAGATTAGGTAAGCAGTAATTAATCAAATTTTCCATCAGCAAAGCCAGAAAGTCTGTTCCTAATGATTTGAGAAATAAGCTGATCTAATTAATGAGCATGCGTGTCAGAGTTTAGCCAAAACCTCAAGTCTGCGGTCGGCTTTAAACTAGAGAATCAGACACGCGTGGTCGTGAGAAAGAATTTTATTGTTTTTTATTTCTACTCGTGCCCAAAATCCCCCGCATGTGGACTATATGTGAGCTATGAGGTCTCTGTGAGCTGAGCTATCAGCTCAGTAGCATTAGTCATTACGTGTGCTTATTGAATCACATACACCAGGAGGAGGGGGGGGGGAAATCGACTTATTGTAATCAGTATTTCCTTTTTCTAAAACTTTAAAGGTTGAACAGCAACAGTCATGCGCAGGACGAGGAAAATATTAAGAAAAGCAAGCTTGGAACTAACCTTGCGAACGACGTGACCAGGTGGGTTATATTTACAACAGTTAGCTTTTACTAACAACATATCGCGGTGAAAGTCACACGGTGCAATATATTCACCTGCCTGAAAATAAAACACACAACAATAAGATCATTCTTGCTAAGTGTGAGGAGCTAGCAGAGATCTTCAGAAGTATATAGGGGACCAAGAGGACCAAGAGGACCCCAACTTTAAACAACCATGCAGGTCGAAATATTTTCTGTCTATTAACTGCCAAATATATCGCAACACTGAAAAACTCATTACTTTCAAGATTTCTCAAATACCTCCAATTTTGTTTTTATCGTCCCGAAGTCCATTGGACTCTTGATCACTTTATAATAACCAGGTGCTTCCGATGTCGCAACTTTATGAAAATAAAAAAAGGAATAACATAAAATGTGTAAAATAGAAAGCATGCATTAAATAAAACTGGCTATTCACATGATACCTTCACGTCCATTTAGCCCAACTGGTTTCAAAAATATCAATTTACATTTGAAAATACCTGGTTTCAGAAACCATGAAGCTGCACTACGAGCATTTTTCGATCGTGCACTTCCGCGAAATCTTGAAACTTTCTGTAACAATCTTTGGACAAGAAAGAATCAATCGTAAGGTTTATACTATGAATTAACCAAGAGCTAATTAGCTTCGTGTTGTGTCGTGTTTAGCTTTGTGTTGTGTTTATCTTTGTGCTGTGTTGTATTTAGCTTTGTGTTGTGTTTATAGCTTGGTGTTGTGTTGTGTTTAGCTTTGTGTTGTGTTTATCTTTGTGCTGTGTTGTATTTAGCTTTGTGTTGTGTTTATAGCTTGGTGTTGTGTTGTGTTTAGCTTTGCGTTGTGCTAATCTTTGTGTTGCATTTATATAGCTTTCTGTTGTGTTTATCTTTGTGTTGTGTTGTATTTAGCTTTGTGTTGTGTTTATAGCTTGGTGTTGTGTTGTGTTTAGCTTTGCGTTGTGCTAATCTTTGTGTTGCATTTATATAGCTTTCTGTTGTGTTTATCTTTGTGTTGTGTAAGTTGTATTTAGCTTTGTGTTGTGTTGCGTTGACGCCGTTGTGCTTATCTTTGTGTTGCGTTTATATAGCTTTCTGTTGTGTTTAGCTTTGTGTTGTGTTTATCTTTCTGTTGTGTTTAGCTTTGTGTTGTGTTTATCTTTGTCAGTGTTGTGTTTAGCTTGGTGTTGTTTTGTGTTTAGCTTTGTGTTGTATTTATCTTTGTGTTGTGTTTAGCTTTGTGTTGTGTTTATCTTTGTGTTGTGTTTATAGCTTGGTGTTGTGTTTAGCTTTGTCAGTGTTGTGTTTAGCTTTGCGTTGTGTTTATCTTTGTGTTGTGTTAAGCTTTGTGTTGTATTTATCTTTGTGTTGTGTTTATCTTTGTGTTGTGTTTAGCTTTGTGTTGTGTTTATAGCTTGGTGTTGAGTTTAGCTTTGTGTTGTGTTTTGCGTTGTGTTTATCTTTGTGTTCTGTTGTGTTTATCTTTGTGTTGTGTTGTGTTTAGCTTTCTGTTGTGTTTATCATTGTGTTGTGTTGTATTTAGCTTTGTGTTGTGTTGCGTTGTGTTTAGCTTTGTGTTGCGTTTATATAGCTTTCTGTTGTGTTTATCTTTGTGTTGTGTTGTATTTAGCTTTGTGTTGCGTTTATATAGCTTTCTGTTGTGTTTATCTTTGTGTTGTGTTGTATTTAGCTTTGTGTTGCGTTTATATAGCTTTCTGTTGTGTTTATCTTTGTGTTGTGTTGTATTTAGCTTTGTGTTGTGTTGCGTTGACGCCGTTGTGCTTATCTTTGTGTTGCGTTTATATAGCTTTCTGTTGTGTTTAGCTTTGTGTTGTGTTTATCTTTGTGTTGTGTTTATAGCTTGGTGTTGTGTTTAGCTTTGTCAGTGTTGTGTTTAGCTTTGCGTTGTGTTTATCTTTGTGTTGTGTTGTATTTAGCTTTCTGTTGTGTTTAGCTTTGTGTTGTGTTTAGCTTTGTTGTGTTGTGTTGTTTTAGTAGCTTTGTTGTGTTGTGTTGTGTTGAGCTTTGTTGTGTTGTGTTGTGTTGAGCTTTGTTGTGTTGTGTTGAGCTTTGTTGTGTTGTGTTGTGTTGAGCTTTGTTGTGTTGTGTTGAGCTTTGTTGTGTTGTGTTGTGCTTAGCTTTGTCAGCAACACAGTCAAGCTTAACAAAAATGTTGATAGAGCTCACAACACAATTCACAACTACATCCCACAATACACATTGAATATACATTATTAAAAAAAAAACTCACTGCAATGCACTTCTAACCCAACCAGGAGGGTGCACCGACAAATCACGAGGTGGGGGTGCTTTACGCTTTCTGTTACTTGTGCGAACAAGATTTCCCTCAGGCGAGCCAACTTCTGACCCACTAGATGGTTCTTCTGTATTTTCTTGTCTTCCTTCATTCAATTTTTCTTGAGTGACTTGTGTTTCATTTGTCTGTGAGCATTTCTCGACTACAACAGCTGCTTTATTTACAGAACTTTCTTTATTATCACGATCAGGTGCGATATCTTCTTTCTCTTCTTTTACTTCAGCTTCAGTTTGTTCTGTGGAATGTTTTCCACCACTTTGTACTCTATCCCAGAAAACGTCTTGTTGTCCTTTTCCTCCAGATGCTTCTAAACTAGTTGTGTTTACAACTTTTGGTTTATTTTCTGTAACGTTGCTGTGAATAATAATTTGTGAATTCTCTGACATTGTATCTGCCGTGCTACTAACTGAAATGTTGCCTAATTTTTTGTCATCTTTTAGGAATTCAGACAACGAAGTTATGGCCTGCTCTGAATCTTTGATCAACTTTTGCTTGTCCATAGCTTCAAACGTTTTCATCGTCTCAGCGATATGGTCTTCCACCTTCTCTTTCAGGCAAACATTTTCATCAGATGCTGTGGGCTCTCCTTCTTCTTCATCACCAACCTTGTTATTTCTCGGAGACGCTAATTTGTCTTGTAAATGTTCTGTTGCGTTAACATCTTTATTCACATGACAAGACACAACCGCATCTCGAGAATCCTTCTTCTTATTATATTCTTGTTGTTTTTCTTCGATTGAAGCAACACTGCCTCCTGGCCTATCACCAGCTGAAAACTCTTCAAGTGGTTTAGTAGCGACGCTCGCATGTTTTTCAACAGGACTAAATTGTTTAATATTTTTGTCTTCTTCCATTGTATCCATTGAGCCTATATTTTTAGCATCAGATTTCACTGTTTCAGAAACATTACTGAGCTCAGTGGCGAGATCTAACACAGGAAACTCGCCATCAAAAAGATCACCATTATCATTGGATTGAACAAGATCAGAAACATCATCGAATTGCTTCTTATCAAAATCAAACGAACTGCTGGAAATAAGTTCGCTTACTAAAGGAGAAAGGTCAATAGGTTTTGAAGTGCTCGTTATGGTAGCCGGTGTGGCTTCATTTCTGCCCTCCACAGGACTAAAATCACCCTCAGCACATGGCTGCGCATCTTTCAAAGTTTGTTGTAAAGAATCTGTTACAACATCTTTCTGGCTTTCATTTGTTTCGTGGACTTGTTGGGTGGACGACGAAAGATTAGCAGATCGCTTCTTAATCGCAATTTCATCATCTTTAACCAAGTCCTAACAAAATAATATCGAGTTTGGTATTAATATTAATTATACAGTATTTAGCATCAACTGTAGTATGAAAAGTGCCTAAAATAGACAAAACACTTTTCGACGTTTCGACCTGAGGGCCTTCGTCAGGAAAGTTAGTATGATACTTAGCAAAGAGTTTTATTGTTTGCTTTCTAGCCTTGATCTTTTACTTTGCAAGTATCACGCGGTATTATCCTATCATCAGTAGTATATCACGTATTCTGGAATAAACACGATTAGAATACCTCGAGCAAGTTTTCGTTGCATTCCAGAGAAATTTCACTTGTAGTGAGTGATGGGTTTGAACGGGATTTCACAGGAGATGAAGGGACAAATGGAACATTTGATGGTGAAGTCACAAGGGTTATTATTTCGTTCACAGGTGACAGTGTTTCTCTGAAAACAAAATACTTCAACAGTTTACAAAAGGCAGACATTAGACAAGCAGAATAATCGGATTTCGTCTTAACAAAGAGAATGCAGCGTTCCTGTTTTGAGCAAACTAACTGACTATTGAGACTTACCTTTCATGAATATTATCCAGAGATTTACTGGAAATAGGGCTGGAATTTTGTGATCCTGAAGGAGATTGGGCATGCACATCTGATGACATGTTGTTTTGGGTATCTCTGCAAAATAATTCAACGCTTCGGGTAAGGTTTAAATGCATTGAAACTAACGTACTACACACTTCATACATACTTCTTAAAATCAGCAGTTTGTCCGGGTGCAATGGAAACTGTGGTTACTTTGTTGCCAGCAGAGTTAGTCAAGCTTGCAGGACGTGCCTGAGGTGGGCGGGGTGAGGGTGCTATGGGGATTGGTGATGAGCCTGAACTTCCAACGACAGGAATAATGCGAGGATTGGGGAGAGTTGAGGACGTCGACTTCGTTGGGGCAGGTAATATAGAGGCAAGTTTTCGACCTGGGGATGAGACAGTTGTAAGAGTTTTTGGTGAGATTGTTTTAGGAAGAATAGCCGGAAGAGGTCGTCTTGAAACAGACACTGCTTTGCCAAGTTGTGCAGAACTCTGACGAGAGATTCCCTCAGCATTACGAATCGTAGCTGTCGTGGACTGCATTAAAATAGAAATATAACAAGTATTTTTTAATAATCAACACATGTAACGACATCCACATACCTATATTTACTGTGCATGTAATGTCCACAGCAAACCTAGATAGTTAGGGTACTGTGGGATAAAGTGCATGTAATGTCCACAACAAACCTGAGGATTTTGTTTTGGTTGCATTGTTGTCTTAAAAGCCGTCAAAGAAATTGAACTTCTTGGAGCTACAGTTATGGTTGATGGACTTTTGGACACGTGACCTATCTTATTTGTTGAGCCGCCAGTTTCGGGACCTGAGACAAAGGCAAAATGAATAGTTTGAAATAAACACGCGAGATTACAGCACACTTAACTCAACTGAAAGAATGCTATCAGTAATGCTGTCATTATACGCTTACACTAAGTACTTACCTTTGGTCTTTGCAATAGATAGCAATGACTGAGCGACGGTCTGAACTACAGAAGGCGCCACATTAATTCCTGTTGATACACTTTTTATTTTCACAGAGGCTGGCAATGTTTTTATCTTAGGTTTTGCTGGTTTTGTCTTCACAACATTGAGGTTCATTCGATTTTTGTTGCCACTCACTACAGATGCGTGTGCCTAAAAATATAATTAGAGTTGCCCTTGACTCATCTGGTCACTTTTCTAATCTTCGTGAGTGATGTGTTGCCAAGTGTCGTTAGTCTCGACTTCATCAAGAGTTTCACAGTAAACCTTTTGTATTGAAATGGCAACGAAGTAATGTGGAATACTAGCTGAATACACTTGATATCATGTTTGCCAACTTTGTGAAAACTTCTTACTTACCTGTAAACAACTTGCGGGTAATGGAGCAACGTATTTACTTGGAGCGACGGAAACAGAGGACTTAGTTCCCAAAATCATTGACTTAGATACACTAGTCGCTGATGACGTCATCTTCATGCCTGACAGTTGGTTGTTTTCTTGTTTTCCAGGTAATGTTGGTGTTTTTGATATGGTCGTGTTTTTACGAACTGTTGTGGGTGATGTTGATGTTTTCGTTACTGAAGTCACAATTACTTTCTATATAAAAACAGTAAGTGATGCTTATTAGAAACCTTCACTCAGTTGATCTTGTGATGTCAAAGAAGTTTAACTGATGAGTTCTATACCTGGACAGTTCCGGGACTATTTGCTCTCTGTCGTTTCCTTGATCTAAAATCTTCATCATCGTCTTTCAACCGTACTGCATAAAGACAGAAGGCAAGTTTGGTAAAAAGCGAGTATTGAATCAACCTCAATAACCGGGAAATACAAAAAAAATTTATCTCGGCTTTTAAGGGTAGTTTAGTTATGAATACCAAACGGGCGAGTTTTCAATGACGCGAGTTTTCAAAAATTTAAAGAACTTTCTTTTTTATCATTTTAATGCCTCGTCGTACACTGGTAAAAGACAGCGTATTTCTAATATACACGTAAAGAACAAGCTTCGACTGTTGTTGTAAATTAATAGTTATTGCAAGTTAAAAACGCTGCATGGAAGCATTACCCAACAAATTTACAAGACACCAGCTCAAGAATCAAGAACACAATATAATTGCTACAAACAATACTTACCCTTTGTTGTTGATGGTATTGTAGAGTTTACACTAGCAGCATGATTAGCCGCTGCTGTGGCAGAGCTTGTAAAAGCAGTTTGAGGAACAAGACGAGGCATTAATGGCACAACACGTCTGCCTTCGGATTCCCACTCTACACTTGCATCTGATCCGCAAACACTAAGTTAGAAAATTGTGGAGAATAAGACCAATGCTTTTTTCTAGTTATTAATTTGATATAACAGGCAGAAAAATTACCATTCTGCAATCATAGATAATCTATCATCACTAATTGCTCTACGAATCTCAGCACGATGTCTTTCTGTTGAAATGCTATGAATCAGATAATAAAATTAATACATAAAAGAAAATGAGAGAAATGAACAAGAGAAAATATCACAAACCTCAACTGTTCACCCAGTTCTCTAAGAAGTTTTTTCTTCTGTCTGTAAAATTCAATTTATAAAATGAATACAACTTGGATTAGACCATTTCAAAGATACATCATGAAGTATATCACCTGTCTAGTTCACCTTGAGCTCTAAGAGCAGTAACAAGTGCAGAATAAGCTTCAAGCTCTATATAATAGATAACATACTGAGATGATGAATAAATTGAAATTGAAAAAAGGAATTAAAAAAAACTGCTAAGGTTTCTTTCCTTGATTCTACTAAAGTGGCTGGGATTATGACCAAAATATTTTACAAAAACTGCATTTTAATAAGAAACATGAGCCAATGCATTAGGTAATATTAAAAAAGCCCTAAATCTTACCAATTCGCCTCAGAATTCTCTTAGATTCATCTCTAGTCAGCTCCATATTCTTATCACTGTAGTGACTTAATTGTGCCTAATCTATAAGTGAAGAGTGAATAGACCTTTTTTCATAATGATGTCAAGTACGGAAAGTATAATGTAACACAAGTTTGATTGGCTCGATAATTTTGCGGATCCAATTAAATTCCGTGCAACATAAGACTTTCCGTGTTTGACGTCATTATAAGAAAGGTGTATTTAATGCGACTGAGCTCGAATGTGGTGCTACATAATATGCATAAATATGAAATAAAAAGCCATGTTAGACCTGGTGATGTTCCTAATACACAAGTGACTTGATCAGAACAGCCAATCGAATAGGTGTTCATACTCAAACATCCAGTTGCATTGGAGTAAGAACAAGATGAAATCAAAGACAAAGAGAGGCGTAAGATGCGACATGCTGCCTAAGTTTCTTGATGAATTTATGTGGCAAGAATGAATCAGTGATAATAAGTTCAATGCCAACTTGGAGAATACTAAGTGATATAAACGAAGACATCGAATGAACTACCTGGAAAACGATATTAAAAGCAAACGCATACGTATAAACAAATTTAAATATTCTGATTTCTAAATAAATCCTATATTATTATTTTTAATTTTTGTGTACATTAATTTAGGCTATGTGACACGACACACGGTAACATTTTCGCGCGTTTTCACATTCGTTTCCATGCCAAAACGATTTCAAACACCGTCAATTTAAAATAGAAGTTAAAGCTAATTTAAAATATAAATGTGTGCCTTGAAGTGACCGATGCGGTAAACGACTCTAACGGCCAGGGGGTGGGTAAAATCATATGATCCGAATCTATTATGTAGAATACGCACATTACCTTTGCTATTTTATCAAAAGGAAAACTATAAAAACCACTGTAAAAACCATATCACAAGAAGAGTCATTCCTTCCGCCATATTGAATTTCTAATTACCTTCGTCCCACTTTTCTTTCCGCGCTGCGCTGCGCAATGACGCAGTCGATCCAGCATTATAGGCCGTAGGATGAGCATCCAAAAGATGCTTAGAAAACGGATTCCGTTGCACCCCTCGTGGAACTACATAATTTTCACATGAATCAATAGATAAAAATTTACTTTATCAGAATCCGTTGTTCCCCAAGCGAAACAGGTGCACAATTGGGAGAACAATCCCTCCAAAGTTTTATATATTCGCGCTTCGAAATATTCGAACCGCCATTGTTTTAGTAGCAAATACGCATGCGCTTGTCAGCCAAACTCGCACTGCGCACGCGCATAAGCACACACATGCTTCAAAGTGGAAACACGCTTAGTTATGCAAAACAATCATGGCTGAAAATATTTATAAAACTCGAATATCCTCATGTTTTATTCATTTTGTTGGCGTTACGGAGCAACTTTGCAAAGTTACACGCCAAGGGCTTAAGAAATGTCTTGAGTGTAGGTCTAAATGGGCCAAACTTAAATGTCAACAAGCTGAAATAGCTAAGAAATCGTACGAGAACATCGATGACGGATCTGTCAATTCATACATGGAGAAGGAGAAGAACCCTGACAGCATTAACTTAGAATGGTACCATCGTATGAAATGCTGGAAGAGATTTTCTGATGAAGAGAATATCCGTAGACAACAGCGAAAAGAAGAAAAAGGAGAAGGAACTAGCTCTAAAACTGTAACTTCTACCGAAGAACTACATGTGGAAGTGGAACCAATAGAACCAAGACGAAAAATTACACGCCAATCAGTCGCAGGCGTTAAGACCTTGCCTAAAAGAAACGAGTCCAGAGATATGTATTGTTTGTGGAAGAGACGCCTCTTGGTCCTCACTAGACAAGGTATGGTCATTTTGATAGATATAATTATACTAGTGCAATAGTGCAATGTGTACTAGTAGCACAGCATTCTCGAGTTTGGTTTTAAAATATCTTGAATTGTGGTCAATTAAGTTTATTTAGGGTAAAATAGTTTTTAATTACAAACATCCAACTGTGTTATTAGCAGATATTTAGTTTAATAGTTTTGTTCGCACCAGGTAACTAAGAAGAGAAAAAGAACCCCACTCATGTTGGCAGAAATAATTGATGCTGGTCTTCTACGTACAGCTGCCGAGAGAAAGAATGATGAACGGATACTTGTGCAAATCCGGGGGAAAGACTGTGTAGCACTGGAAGTCCCCTATCACAAAGTTTGCTACTGCAATTATACAAAATTTCTCACCAGAGAGACAAAGAAGCAATTGGAGATTGAAAGATCTACATAAGTGTACGAGAAGTCTTATGATGTCTTCTGTAAGAAAGTAATCGAGACTGAGGTCATTGCAAATAAGCAAATAAGGTATATGAAAGATTTGCTGGAGAAATTTGTTGTCATTGCTAAGGACACCGAGAATGTGGATGCATCTAAATATAGAGCTTTTAAACTCAAGCAACAACTGATGAAAAGTTATCCCCAACTTGTGTTCTAAGTACCGAAATGAGAAATGTTAGTGAGATTGTATATGTGGAAAATTTGGATTCTTCCGAATTGGTTGAGGAACATATGTCAAACAAGTCAGAAAACAACGATGAAGACTTTGATGAAGAGAGCTACACCGGTACCATTGATGATGATGATCTGAATTCCAACACAGAAACTGAGGAAAATTCGAGAGTCAATGAGTTACAAATTCTATACAATGCTGCATTGATTCTTCGCCAAAAGGTCCAAGATATACCAAAACTGAATCTTCGTTGGCCACCATTGGCATCTGATTTGACAATGGATAATGTGCAAAAAGTGGTTCCATGTGAACTTTTTAATGTCGGCTTGGACTTGTGGATTCTCTTCAGAGCCAACTTTAAGTGAGTACGTGCCAATTGAGGGCAAGAACAATGCCAAACTAACATTAATTGTACAAGACCTTCTGAATTTAGCATCTGGGGGAAGGAATCCTACACCCAAGAGCATAGCACTTGCCATGGCACTTAGACAACTGACAGGTTCAGCCTCAGTGATTTTTCTATTGAGTGGCTTTGGACATTGCATGTCACACTCATTTGTATTGTGCCATGAAACTGCCCTTGCACAGATGAATATATCCAATGATTCTGCTATTCCTCCAGGCTTTGTTAGTGATGTTCCAACTACTCTTGCATGGGATAATGATGATTTCTCAGAAGAAACTAGATCTGGCAAAGGGACAACTCACATCACTGGGGGCATTATCATTCAAAGGGAACAAAGTGCAAGTACTGAGTTACAGAAACGGGATAGCATTCCAAGGCTATAAGCGAAATATTTAACTTGTTTCTTGATTGTGTGAGTTGTATGTATATTTATATATTCTCCATCCTGTTTGATACAGGTGGGTTTTTTACCTCACAATTTTTTATTGAATTAAGTTGTTAATAAGTAGAATTATACGTTAAAACGGTATTTTGAAACAATAGCCAATGAATTGAAGTGATTTAGCATATGAGCAAGCAAAATGTACAATGTGTTTTAACAATATTTAATGTGTGTGTATTTATTCGTTAATATTACAAGGTTTGATCTTTATTCCGTGATTTTATTTTGTTATTTTTACACGGGAAATCGGGGAAAACCCACAGGGAAAATCCATTTTTCCTGTCTGCGCGTGCGCAGTGCGAGTTTGGCTGACATGCGCATGCGTATTTGCTACTAAAACAATGGCGGTTCGAATATTTCGAAGCGCGAATATAGCAAACTTTGGAGGGATTTTTTTCCCAATTGTGCACCTGTTTCACTTGGGGAGCGACGGATTCTGATAAAGTAAGTTTTTATCTATTGATTCATGTGAAAATTATGTAGTTCCACGAGGGGTGCAACGGAATTGCATCTTTTGGATGCTCATCCTACGGCCTATTATTCTTTTATCATTATTCATGTTGATCTTTATAATTATATGTCTTTCTATTGACAGAAGGCCAGTATCAAATTACCTTGTCTGTATTCATTAGAATATTTTATCATTTGGGTTAATCCATACGTATAAAGTAACCGTTGTATAGAAGAGGGTCTGATTGTGAAAGATATCTGTAAATGGTTGTGAAGAAAATCACAAGGTAATTTTGTGGAATGAGCGCTTTGACCTCTGAGAAGGGAAAATCGTAGATGTCATGAGTCATCGTGTCGAAAATCTTGCATATGCACGATTCTCCTTGACGTTTCAACTTTCAACCACAACGCCAAATCACTAATTTCAACGATTTCAATCAATTGCAACGACAAATTGTCAGGAGAGTTAGCTGAACCTCAGGTCGAAACTCCAAATACTCAATATATGCAGCATAACTTTCCTTGTGATTCTTAGTCTTTTAGATATTCTCAGGGCTTTAGCGGGGTGTGGATATTAATTCACATATAGTAATAATAATATGTTCACAATACGGTGAAACAATATCGTTTGAAAGAAATCAGTTGGGCAAAAGTGGAATATGTGAATATGTTTTCCAACACTGATTAAGCGTCTAGTTGCGACCCTGGATATTTTAAACATGATGAAAATAGTTCGTTTGTTAATTTACAGTTAACTGTGATTATTAAATTTATGTTGCTGGAATGACGCCGGTGTTTTCGGCCAGTGTTTCCGGCCAGTCACGGTTTCCGGCAGATGGGCAATCTCGTAGCAGTAGACCCCATCAGATCTTCCGTCTACCGTGCAGAAAATTATCCACATATTTTATTTATTTTATTTACCGTGTCCTAAATCCATGCGATCTCATACCCAGGACCATAAGTGAATTAAAAGAGAAATTATCCTCGATCTGGGAACGAGGTTGCGATTTTGCCAGCTCTTGGGGAAATATTAACGACTTTGCCGAGTACGTCTTTTGTACAAGGAAATTGTATAAATAAATCAGAAGACAAGGTTTATTTCCATCGGCAGACACGAGGGCAAAAGTCTAAATGTTAAAACATGCAAATATTTCAATTTTCTAGGAATTGAAGTATGGGTAATTCACCGTCGGCTCGAAGTGAGAGTAAAGTTGTTATTGTTGGTGGAGGTTATGCTGGTGCTGCGGTTGCTATTAACTTAGATAATTATTGTCATGTCATTTTAATCGACCCTAAACCGTATTTTCATCATTGCGTTGCGTCATTACGAGCTACAGTAGTTGATCCGGGGTATGAGAAGAAGGTAATGATCCCATATGAACCTGCAATAAAAAACGGAGAGTTTAAACAAGGCACAGTAATTGGTGTTAACACGTCAGAGAAATATGTCACTTTGCAAAATGAGGAAAAAATTGGTTATGATTACTTAGTGTTTGCTTGTGGTTCCTCCAATGATTTTCCAGGTATATCATCATCATAATAGATTTATCTGCGGTAAGTTACGTATTAGGACTGTTTTGTATTTTTTTTTTGTGTCCTTATCAGGCAAGCTTCCTTTGGGCTCATCGCAGGAAAATGCTACGAAGTTGTATGAAGAGTTACGGAATAAGGTAAAGAAATCAGTTTGCCAACACTACATTAACTGGCAAGCATGATCTATTTTCCATTATTAAGAAATCGTTAAATATTGCTGTATATATAGGTGAAAGAAAGTAAAAACATTGTTATTATTGGTGGAGGGCCAATAGGCATTGAATTGGCGGGAGAAATTGTTGATAAATACGACGATAAAAATATCCATGTGATTCACAATCGAGAAACACTTTGCGATCCTTCATTGACTGCAAAATTTCATACGAAGCTACTCTCTGTTGTGAAGCAAAAAGGAGTTAATGTTTTGTTGGGGGAAAGAGCAAATCTTGATGATGTAGATGTAAGTAACGTGCGCTAAATATCCCTTTGAAAAGCGCTTTTCTCTATATAGAGAAAGTTTATAGGTAGAAAAACACCGTGTCCGTCTAAAAAGGTGTAAATCGTTCTTTAATTTTAGTTTAAAGGTGGAATTGGTTGGGTATCTGGTCCTCTGAAGATAACAACGAGCAACCCTGAAACAAATATTGATGCCGATTTGTTGATTAAATGCATTGGTCTCCGTGTTAATAGTGGAGCATACCAATCAAGTCTCTCGGATAAAATGGATGACAAGAACCAACTCAAAGTGAACGACTATTTTCAAGTTGAAGGATTAGAGGATGTTTTCGCCATCGGTGATTGTTGTAATACCAAGGAGATCAAAGAAGCTTTCGTTGCAGGAATGCATGCAGGTACTGCATCTCATATTATTTCTATTGAAATAATGGTAGATTTTTTGCCAACGCAGCTACCAACAGCCGACAGTAAGTGGATGTAACAGCCTTGAAAGAGTCCTAAAATTCAATGAATTTTCTCGCTTTCACCCATTGCCCGACACAGTGTTTACACAAGACCAACAACTGAGGGTTTCATTCAACATTTCTAGCCTCTAGGCATCATTGGATCAAAAATCTGCATCCTTGAATTATTAGCTCTATGTTCTTCGTTATAATCTCAATCGGAACGCCTTTGGCTTTGTTTAATGCACGTCTTTTAATATTTCTTTGCAGATAATCTCTGTACCAACATACGATGTTTACTCGATGGAAAAGTTTTAAAGAAGTACAAAGGATCAAATCCTGCCATGTTTGTTCCTTTTGGAAGAAATGGCGGAGTTGGGCAGTTGCCGAATGGGATGGTCGTGGGAGATTTCGTTACGAGGAAACTTAAGGCTCAGGATTTGTTTGTTTCACAACAATGGAAAACCATGAACCAAATTGTTCCCAGTTAAATGCCACGTATATATTTATAAAGAGAGAGTCCGGCGAAGTTTTATAACCAGTGTGGGTGTCAAAAGCAGACTGCTTGCAAGGAATAGCTATAATAGTTTTCATGATGTAATATTTTATTGATTTCATTGAAAAATAAAAATTGAGAAGTTGTGTGGGTATACTGTCTGATGTGCACATTATTTTTGGTGCTCATTACTCTTTCTAGAAATCTAAAAATCGCTAGAATTTGACAGAGAGAAGACTTCACCAGTTATCTTATAGTAAATTAGTTCATTTAGTTGTTCCCCAAAACGACAGTTCAAGTGTTTCATTTTTTTACGTGCTTTACTGCAGTTCACCGACAAAAACAGCGGTATTTCAAAGCAGTTTACAATGGTTAGATAATATCTTTCTGACACATCACAAAATCGTGAAGTCTACCTCAACGTATTCTTAAAAAAATAACACGCTCATTACTTCGCTTCACTCGCACGTTATTCGCAGTTTTAACTGCAGCATTACCAGCCAAAGTGATGACTGTGATGGTTTTATAGTGGTAAGAAGAAACTAGCAATTTTTTATTCAAATAAACTGTTTAATTTCCATACTTGTTGAAGCTATTAAAGCAGGGCAAATGAGTAAATATCAATTGTAAGGTAAAACAGTTGAACCACGAGATTGTATAAAGTTTGTATATTTACATTGTACATATAATCACATTTTGTCTTTCTTAATCAAGTTCTGGTGAAGGACTATGCTTATCTACAAACTGGTCACCCTCACCTATCATTATTAAATTAGTCCACAATTGGTTCTATAATTTGCATCATTTATCTTCACACAATCAATGTAGGTTAACAAACTATTAACTTTAATACATATCACTAAAATATTCTATGTATATTGCATGATACTAGATATACTTTAACCATTGTCTGCTTTTTGATCAAGTTTACTTTTTCTTGTTTTTGCCATATAAATAAAGAGTGAAATGGTTTCCCTCTCTGGTGCTGGAATTGTCTTGAAATGTCGGCTAATTGTCTAAAAAACCAAAGATATGGTTGGTGTGATACCCGGATATGGACTTTACCGACCTAACGTTTGTAGATGTAGATGTATCTTATTATTTTGATGTTTGCTTAGTCACATCAGTTAAATATATATATATATCAGTGGAATATATTACACTGATGAGACTGATTATGCAAAGGTTGCACGAGACTGGACAGTTTTGCCGCCTTGCCACAAGCTATAAAAGATTTAGTATTTAGTTTCGGTGGCACTGAAATGATACAACAACACCCAAACAGGATGTCAATTCACTGGTGTTAATTCAGTCAAATTTAGGAGAATTATGTATATATGAAAATTAGTACTCATTTATTAATACTCCAGTGAAATTATCTCATGCCCTGACAATCTAAGCTAACAAACATACATAAACAACTATTATATCTGGCACTTGCTTGCCTGCCTCTCCTCTTCCCATAGGGATTTTTAATTTTTGGGTTTCATGTTGTATCATTGTAGTCCAGTCAAGTAAAACCCAGTCAAGTATAAAAACCCAGTCAAGTAGGAGAATGTGAGAGGATAGTTTTCTGACAGTTTTCTCATAAGAATCAAAACATTTGTTGACATTTGGAGCCGACCCCCATCATAGTCACTAGTGCCGATAGGAGAAATTTCACCAGGGAAGTATTGACATGTATAAACACGCGGTCAAAATATATTACGAAAACATCCGTTTAAAATTTTGCTTACCTCTACTAACTGAGTTTTATTCAGACCAGGTCGTGTTTGCAGTTTAAAATGCCTCTTATATCTTCGCAATGTACTTGTTTGCAGTACACTCACGTCCACCTAAAACAAGGATATATAAATAGTGAAATATATAAATCATCAAAAATTTTCAAAATATGATCTCAAAAATATACAGTTCCAAATAATTACAACAAAAAATTAGAAGATCCGACATTTTTTTTGTACTAGAATTGCAGTTTCAATATACTCTTTTGAAGAAATAGATTTTTGAAGTAACGGCATAGAATAATGGAAAGATCTACAAGACATCAATCCATACTTCTTCACGATCTATCTCGTCTTCTGAGTCCTTGCGTTTACGTTTATTTCGAGCACTTTGAATCATGTCCTTATGATAGCCGCAAATATAAATATGCCCGGCCTTAAAATGAGAAAAAGCAGTGAAAATTAATAATACGTATATATTCAAACAGTATAAGGAGAGAAATAGTAGAACTTACACTTTCAGCAGCTGCAAGTTTTAGTTTCTTTTGAGCTACAGTTTTTTGAATCCTCTTTGAATAACAAGCATGTCCTGCCAATCTCTTACACCTATCTTTGTCTTCAATTAAGCAACAAACTCGATGAGGTTTAGGGGAATTATCTTCGCTTTCGCTCTGATAACCGTTCATATCGACATTTTACAGATTTACGTCGTGGAAAATTGTGTACGGTTAGTCTTCGAACTTCCCGTTTCATCACTTTAGCTAACACACGTGACAACATTCTATTCTGTTATTGGCTGTTTTCTGTACCGGAAGTAAGTGTTAATATGATGCTTTACGCTAGGACTAGGAAAGACTAGGAGCTCTGCGCTAGGAGTAATGAAATAAGAAATGCACATAATACTACCACAAGCACAGGGCCAACACATGACAACGAGCTTACTGCAATTACTGCATCGTAATTTTGAGATGACAATAATTGTGCAGCTTTTGTTAAGAGTTCCGAGGATTTAGTTTTCTTTCATAATTATTACTCTTTCTTTTCAGTCATTTGGTCAAGGCTCCTTCCAATTTGCGAGGAAAAGAGGGAATAACAGTCGAGAGTTACTGTGTTTAGCCGGCTGAATTAGACAATAAGATGGGATTAGTTTTCACTTGGCCAAAATTATTTTTATTCCCCACGACTGCCCGGTTGTGCTTAAGTTTTTATGACAGACCTGTTCACGATTTTGGAGAAGGGCCTTCCATTTCCAAAATAGGGAAAAATAACCTGAATGGGTCAAAATAACTAAATCTTGCCGACAAAAGCCGTGACGCCGGTGACGCTATAAAACCACGAAGACTGCAAATTTGGTCCCCGGCCGGCTACCTATACCGGCTCTCCAACGATCCTGGATCTAACTCATCCGAGACAAGCAGAGAGATAGAACCTTGCACGTAACACCTTCTCTAAGTGCACGAAGACAATTGACCAGCCTCAAACCAGGTTTGACTGAAGCTTGCAATCTTAAAGTCCTGTTCCAATGGTTTTCGAATAATACAACAACGAGTTTTAGATATATTCAAAACAATTTAAAAAATAATTTCCCTGTGTACAAAGTGTCTGTAAAGTGTCTCGAGTAAACATGGAGACAGTACAGTTATATGATATCAAAATTAATGTTAACTTCGTCAAAACATTTTTGGTGAACTAAAAACAATAACAGCAAGCTTTATATACATCATTAAAGAACGTCTTATCGGATTCCCACGAAAAATCTAAGGACCATACACACGAATGCTCGTTGTTCATTTCTGTTTTTTTGCACTCGATGTATCTTCACTAGTTGTCTTCCTGTACTCTTCCATCTCCTTTGCATAACGTTCGCGGTCTTCTCCTGCCATCTTGTTATATATTTCTTTCTTTTCCGGATCAATCGCTGCCCACATCTTACCCAAGACTTTTGACACTTCTGTAATTTTCAACTCAGGTTGAGATTCACTAACTTTAGATCTGTGGTCGTCACAGAAAAACATAAAGGCCGCTCTACAAAACAATTGAAAAGTTTGGAAAATAGATATTACCTTAGGTTTAATAGTTTAAAAGCAGAGACGTAGGAACTAGGAAGCACATTAGGGTTGGCTGGGCGGCGTGTGGGGGGTTCACTTCTTGGGCACTTGCCTGTTTAATAGGCATTTGTAACGTTGACACGTATTATTGTATACTGTTAAAGTTGAATTATGTGAATTGTTGCGCTGGAACAGACGTTTCTACAACGAACTAGGACACTTTATCTCGAAGCAAAACTGTTTTTCAATGATTTTTAAGGTTTGGAGGAGGGCTTGGGCAACTTGGCCGCTCTTGGTCAAAACCTGCAGTCACGCGTGCATGCGTTGCTTCGTTGCTACGTCAGAGAATGTCACGCCCAAGTCTCTAATAAAAAACATTGTTGTTTTCATTTCACTGATCACGCGTGCAAAATACTGTATTATGTGACATATTTCTCGGACAGTAAACTGACATTACTCCGCCTCTATATCTTAACCTTTGGCAATTTTAAAAACGCTGTATATGCATAAACCCATAATAAATAGCGTGATTGATAACGGCGGGGTATATTTAATCGAAGGTGTATCTACCAAAAATATAACCTAGTATCAAGCATTTTTGAATTTTGACACGGGTAGGGTAAGACCGGCATTTATGATCCCATGAAGAACTTATTACATAAAACAGTCCCACGCATTTAAATATCAAATTCAAATATCAAACAAAGGGAGACAACCTGGAATGTATTCAACTAAATTTAGTACTAATGTCTTTTGTTCCAGCCACATTATTTCATGCATTTTACATTTTTGTTTACCCCGGCTCTTTACCTTCGGCCTTCCTTTTGTGTTTTATGCTTATTTGTATAAAATTATGTGTAGAATATTTTAGTAACTTGCGTTCAAAACCAGATGAACTTACTGTGGAGAAAGTGTACAGTTAATAATCGCTATAACAACTAACAAGACATACACTGACGTTTGTCTGCACTGGTCTGACGTTTTTGTAGTCCTTTCTAATTGAGAACCTTTTTTATAAGTAATATGCTTATGCGAAATTAAATGATATATTCTATAGCCAGCAATGCTTAGCAATGATAATCGTGCACTTCGCATTTGACTTACTTGTTTCTTTTTGGGTGATTTTCGTCAACATGTCTTTTTCTTTTGCGAGATTTCTTTGTCTTCGGTGTTTCGGTGTTATCGTTGCTTGCTTCGTTGTCTTCGCTTGGGACATAAGTGGCCATTTCTTTCTCATATCTTTCTTTATCTGCCTCAGCTAGTTTCAAGAAAGGAGCTTTCTTCGCATCGTCTAGGCACTTCCATTTCTCGCTACAGAATTTTGCAAACGAGGTATTGCCACCTGGCATATCACTTTTACCGTTCTCTTTATTTCGAATTCTCATGGCTTCTCTTTCGCTTTGGACGAAGAATGTATAAGCTGCCATTTTCCCTTTTGGCTTGTTAGGGTCTTTGCTACGCCGTGGCATATTTCTGTGCGAAAATCCTATGTAATATATATCTTCAGTAAGTGGTCAGGCTATAGCGCATACAAGATAAATGTTTAGGGCGAACAACTGTAATACTCTGTTAATTATTATACAACATTTCCTCACTTAGCATTCTATTGGCCAGATTTCCCGCCACATGTAATATTTAAAGCTGAGCTCTATATACAACCTGAACCGAAGAAATATTTTTTACATTGAAAGAATATTACCATAGGCGTGCGTTTGGGTAGGAAAGTTGGGCAAATTTTTATCGAATTCCACCAACAATCGGGCAATTTTTGCTAAAATCGGGCAATTTGTACTCGTAAGTAAGTAAGTCGGGCAATTTGTACTCGTAACTCGGATACTCTTTGCTGAAATCATTTGCTCCACGCCTCCACCCCCCAAATTTTTAGACCGACGGCTGGCCCGTACGTAAGGTACGCCGACACGCCTATGTACCAAGTATCGGTCTACAAGTCCACCACTGACGACATCAACACTTTGGACGTCTCCACGATGGGAATTTTACAAATTTTTTCCCATACATATTTTCACCGATACACTTATACACTGACCTAGTAACCATTCCCAAAAACCCCAATTGTCTCGTTTAAAATTTAAACCTTTTCTTGGAAGAACCTTCAATTTTTGGTAAATTGTAGAGCTAGAATTCGCAGTTTCGTTCAAAGAGGGGAGAGAGTGTTGAAATCAGACAACTGTCAAGTGACAAGGAATTACCCAATTAGCACATTTTGTTGCTTTTTGAGGAATGTATTGAGAGAATTGAAAGCAATTATGACTGATACAACGAAGATAAGATAGATAGAATTCTTTAATTGTTATGTTACATCCTATCTATTTTTCTGTGGCTCATTTTTTATTAGTCTTACGTTTTATGTAAATCCTACTCCTTTCACGCCATTCATTGATCCTTTAGTTAGCACAGCTAACAAGTCAGCTGAGACTTATTATGCAGCCCCAAAAAGTGTACAAATGACAAATGTATCAGTTATATCTTTCTAGCGCAGAACCAGCTTCCATCAACTAATGGAAAATGCCAAGTTGAATTCCCCTTTTGTACAACAGGATCATATGTCTTTCCATGAAATACTAGTGTGTCTTTATCATAACCAAATGTTATAGTTTGTGTGCGGGCCCATTTAAGATATGAGGCATGATTAGGCTTCGCCAGGAAAAATCTGTGCTCACGAAACTTGTCCCGAGTCACAAGAAATGGTGCCATATTCCAAGTTGCACAACCATACATTATGTACAGGTCATCATCATAAACATCACTGATGAAGTACTGAACATCCTTTGAGAGAAATGATGGTGGTATTGATGTGTTAAGTACAACTAATACATTTTTGCCACTTTGAACGAAATGATCTGAAACTTTTGACAATGCATTGTGATTAAATCTTTTCTTTAGTTTGTCAACATTTGATGACAATCCAATACTCATTCCATCAATAATTATATCACATGGAGTACAATGCTTCAAAAAAGTGACATAGTTACTAAACCTTTCCTTCCGGCGAATTTTTGTTTCTGAGCTGAATATATTTTCTATTTTGCGCAAAATATCTAATTTCAACATATTTATTTCATTAGACATCAGCTGACCTGAATTTAAACATTCTCCACAGTTGTTACAAAGTCCTTTTTCTTTTGAAATTTGACATTTTTCCAAGGCCCAGTTATTAACAGGATCATTGCATAACCACACTTTTATTGCATTCATTATTTCCATTGTCAATGGTCTTCCACTATAGTTATACCAGTGCAAAATATCTTGAGTTTTGTTATATTTTCTTTGAATACATGACATAATTAGAGCAACAACCATATCTGAGGGTATTGACAGGGTGACACCCTTATTTGATTTAAATGTATGATGTTGCATCTCCTCAAATAGTTCAAATGCTTTATTCTGAAAACCATCTTTAGCCAGGCTTGTTATTACTGGAAAATATGTTCTTGTGTGTTTTAACAATCCAGTTTCTTTTATTTCATCAAGCACATGAACAGCATCTAATGGTTGATTTCTTGCAACATACGATCTTATCAATGTTGTCAAAGCACCTTCTCCACAATTTATATCCAATTTCTTTGTAAAAGCTCTTACCTCATCTAGCATTTGAAATTCTTTATTTTGGTTTAAATTATAAAACACATCTCCCCATAATCGTTTTGGCAAACCTGATAAGGTATTGTTGTTAGAATTTTTCAATCTCTCCAAGATTTTTGCTGCTTTGTTTGATTTTATATCAAATTCAATTGATTTTCCCAACTCAGTAGTTTCATTTGAATAATATGTTACTAGAGGCAAAGCATTACCAGTTTTTGAAAATTGTAAACATCGAGAGAAAATAGAATATATCTTCACTTTTTTGAGAATTGATTGGTTTTGAAAATAGATTCGATGATAGTTTTGAAATAATCTAACCATAACCATACTTCTTTCAGCTTTATCATTTCTAATTCTTCTATCTTCAGAAAATTTGGAATGACCTAATACAGGGTTATTTGGGGTTACTTAGAGTTACTTAGGTCCGCCAATATTGAAACTACCATTATCAACTATTATCCCTCGGCCAATGGCCTGTGCAGGCTAATTATCATAATAGGCGGGCTAATCATAATATCATACCTGCAAAATATCAAAATAGCAACAAATAAATTTTTTTAAACTCCAAACCTTTTCTGTTCATGAAATATAGAAGGAACAAAAATTTTGAATCACCAAACTATTTTACCCAATACAATAAGAATAAACGTTCGGCACTATTGCCACATCATGCAAGGCCATGCACTTTCCAATTATATAAACATCTAAAGAAGCTATGTTGAGAAGTTACTTTACGTGATTCTGCAGGGTGCAAAAGTCAAATCATACCACGTGGAATCATGCACTCATTTAAGACTGTCGCAAAAGGGAATATGTTCATAGCATTGTTCACTAGTTGAAAAGAACTTTCCACACTGCCAACATATGTGAGCCTTACACTGGGTACAATGCATGTGCTCACATCCGGAATTTTTTTCTATCATTACTGAACATTTCGGACATTCGCGAGTATTAGCGCCCTTCGCCCACTCCTTCAACTGTTGATCTGATCTTGATATTCCTTTACTGGCTTTAAATGCTTCACACGTATCAAATTTTTCATGACCTGAATCTCCGCATTTTTTACACGTTTGGGTATTACACTCCGGACATGTAAAAACGTTCGGGTCTGCAGTGATTTCATATATCCAGGAACAATCAGGTGTGGGGCAGGGCTTGATGTTGGGGTTACCAATCATGAAACATTCCAACGAAATACGGTAGAGCTTTTCAATTTGATCCACATCTAACAGCTTTGAGTAATCTTCTTTGATTGCATAATACTCGCACTTCTCACACATACATTTCTGTGGAAACATGTCCGCACTCTTTACTGAATCAAAAACATTGTTAAGGTACTGTGTGATGCAAGCAAAACAATAGGCATGACCACATAATGTAAGAAGATACGGATCTTCAACTTCACCAAAACAAACTGGACATTCATTAACTAAGTTTGCTGTTTCCCTCTGTGAGTTGGGTAATGTTTGAAGAAATTCTTCTACTTTATTTTGAACTTTATTAACAGCTTCTTTGGAACCATGTAAAACAAGTTTTCGACGTCTGATCTCCATTGAAGCTTGGCAATCTTCCCCTTCAACGAGTTTGTTAAGATCTTTTCCAAAGTGTTTCAGAATCTCTCGGATTGCGCCAACAGGTCGATCTGAATGTCGTAGATCAATCTCTGAATGTCTGGTTTTTCGCAGATCTTTGATCAATTTCTCAATCTGTACCCGAGCTTGGCGTTTTGATTTTGAATTGGCGGTTATTTGAATACGGCGACCAAAGTTGTTGGTATAGATTATTGCATTGGTCTGTTTTTGGATCTGTTTGATTTTTGAACGGCCATATCCACTTGACAAAATCTCGGCTGTTTCTGCATCTTCTATCAAAACGATCTCCGGGGCAACTAAACTTGATATGGTAACTCCGATATCTTGCACCACCTAAATTAAGGGCATAGAAAAAATAATAGCCTCTCATGGTCATCGATTATAATAAAGTAGAACGAAACGAAAAGAGAAAAAACCTAGGTGTCACAAAGAGGAAAAACTTTAACCTACTATGTTGCACACAGATAAACGAGCCATTAAAAACACAATTTATATATTTGCGTTCACGCAGATATCTCAGTGTAGGATAATAACCATGCACTGTGCTCGGCTGGGTATTCAAACTATAACAATTAGGTTTTCAATTTCTGGAAATTCTACTTTCTGCAGAAACAAAGCACCTTCGTTCACAACAATGAACAATACACTTATGAAAGCAAACATATATAAGTCATATTTACAACCAACCTTAGGATCGTCTCCAGTGACGATGATCTTTCTACGTCTCTGACATTGCTCATTACTGATGGTGACATCATCTTTCTTTAGTGCTTCGATTTCTTTCCTTATTTTTTCAAATATTCTTCCATCACACATGACTTCTACTTTTTTCGCAAATTCCAGGTACATTGCTCTTGCTCCAATAACGCCATTTCTTTCATTCAACTCTAGTACAGTTTTTTCAGCGCTGTTTAAGTCCTCAAATATCGCATACGCCAGAACCTTCTGACTATTTGCAATCCAAGGTTTCAAAATTCGCACAGGTCCAAAATCCTTTAAAACTTCTATCAGTTTTTCTTTCTCTTCTTCAGGATCAATCTTAGACTGTTTCGACGGAACACTAATTTTTGAAATGTTTTCAATTTGTGATATTGTACAACAACTTTCGAGTTGTTTTCTTACTGTAAATTCGTCGGCCGTCTCGCGTACATGTATACAAATATCACCTGAATCCTTTTTGACGAATATTTTGGGTTTGAGTGATTCAACGGGTGCTAATACACAATCGAGGTTCTGGACTATCATGTCAGTTACCTCTCTACTCTTACACTTGATGTAAGCTCGTCCACTTGCAGGAAGTGGAAACCAGCTAACTAAAACTTTGATTCCAGAGGGCTGCGTATTATCCTGGGAAGTTGCTCTTTCAACGCGTATGGGACTGAGCTTTATTTTTTGGACATTGTAAGGTAAATCAAGTGGATCCACAAAATTCAGAAATTTTCTTGCCTTCTCGGCTTCGTCAGTAGAAATGTAGGTAACATTACCCCACTTGAAATTTCCTTCACTCCCAGGCTTGGTTGTCGTGGCAAAGTGGAGAATTTTCCCGGCGTCTTTGAGCATCTCAAGCACAGTCATTGATTCAACCTAAATGAAAATAGAAAAAAAAAAAATGAAATAATCTCTTATCATTATCTCATTTACGTTGTCCCCATGCAGGCCCCCTCGTAACTAATTACTTTTATCTTAAAAAAAGACATCATATAAATGTTTACACGAAGTGATGGAACAAACCTTTTCACTCGGGTCGATTGTGTCAACAAAAACTTCAAATTTGCATGAGGTTCTGGGTTGAAGGATTAACTTCGTTTGCAAATTGTTTGAAACTAACATTTTAAGGCCCCCTACATTTGAAATGACAACCTCTGAGTAACCATCAAGTTCATGTCGTCTTCTCTGGATCACATCGTTCACAAGTTGACTGGCGTAATGAAGAGAATCCTTTGAGGTATATACATCGACCATTCCTTTATCCACGCTACATTCGACTGCGCAAAATACAGAATACTTTTCGGTTACAGATGCTTCTATCTGTTTCAGAGTAGAACCTTGAAAACCAATTACAGCTTTGACCATCTCTGGACCAACTGGGTGGAATCTTTGTCGTATAACTCTTGATTTATCAATGGCGTCTTCATCAATATACTGTAACATATGCATAGCAACTTCTGCCAACCATTCATAATGTACTGGTGTGATATTGAGTAAAAAGACTTGATCATTTGAGCTCTTGAGTTGCTGGTATAGTACCCAATCAGGTTGATAACCAAGACTGGCGAGAACAGATGATGGATGAATTCTTGCCTTCTGATTGGTGTGATTTGACGATACCACCATATAACCAAGTCTATCATGACCAAATGACCAAGCTATATTCTCGAAATATCCAGTTAATAAACTTTTAATCAAAGATTCCTGAATATTCTCTGCTGTCACGTCCAAGTTGATGCCGCGATCTCGCAGATGAGACAACGCTTCTCTGATCTCCCGAAACGTCTCTCGAGCAGCGCGAAGTAATTTGGAATTCAAAGCATTCTCCTTGCACCAGGCAACTTGCTCTTTCTTGGATTTCTCTGACCATTTTTTGTACACGTCAATTGCACTCAGCAGGTCACCACTGGTCTGACAGAATTCTTGTTTTTGAATGGCACATTCGTTTCTGATCTCAAGGTTTCCTCGATAGAAAACGTCATGACCGCTCGACATAAGTGCCGCAGCAATGATGATTTCATTTCCACATCCTCGATCAAGTCCCTCAAGAAGCGCTTTTGAAAGCTGTGGTTCAGTCGGTAAAAGAAGCATTTCTTTTCCCAAGTCATTCAAAGTTCCGTCCGGGTCTAAAGCCCTCAGCATTTTCAAACTCTCAATTGCTTTCGTCAGCGCATCAGCTGGTGGACTTTGGACAAAATCAAATTGTTGGATGTCTGTGACTCCTAAACTTAACAGCTGAAGAACAGCCATTCCAAGATGCATTTTTAAGATCTCAGGTTTTGTATTTTTCGCCATATTCTCGTAATCTTCGTATGTGTACAAACAATAACACTTGCCTGGCTCTGTACGTCCTGAAAATAACAAAATAACATATGTCTAGAGTGTTGTGTTTATTATAATCCACTTCCTAAGAAAAGTAAAAAATTGGTGGTAAAATCGCAAAGCATTTTTATAATATTCATAAAACGACTCTAATCTCCTATTAGCAGAAACAGTGTGGGTTATGAAACCCAGTGAGCTAAAGTGCTAGTCATCACTGCTTCATGACAGCGAACAGGCTCCAGGGGACAATCCAAACTGTTGTTATCAATAAAGGCTCTTGTTAAGGTCTAAAATCTTGCTAAACATGGCCACAACGCACCTGCCCTACCGGACCGCTGTACAGCTGAACTTTGGCTCACAAGTTTAACCTCTAAAGTGGTCATATTTCTAGCAGGATCAAAAGATGGTTCTTTCACCATGCCTGAATCAACAACGATACGAATACCATCAATAGTCAGTGAAGTTTCTGCGCTGTTTGTTGCCACGACAATTTTTCTCTTTCCTTTGGGCGTTGTCTCAAAAACCTTCAAAGAAATTAAGAATTAAAAAGAGAATAGAAACGTTAAGCACATGCAGTTATAAAGTCCTTTACAGTTTTTCAAATATTTTTTACCTTCAGAACACTTGCGAAAAAGCTCTTCATTATTAAGGTTAATTATGGCCTAAATTTTGGTATTTATATTTGTGATTGCGCCGCGTCCTAATTAATGCACCGGGGTAGCCTAAATTGATAAAATGTTTCAAAATACCTTCTGTTGTTCATCTGATTGTAATTTGCCATGAAGAGGAAGGATGATGTTTCCTGTTCCTAATCTCTGTTCCAACTTATCACAAGTCTTCTCAATTTCATTCTGCTGTGTCAAGAATACCAAAATATCTCCCTGTTCTTTACTTTGACACACTTCAACAATCTTCTCATAAACACCACCAACATAGTCTGTTGGCCTTTCCTTCATGTAAACACGCTCTACAGGAAATGTTCTCCCGGGTACTGTCACCAGGGGGCAGTTACCAAAATATTGCCGGAAAATATCAGTATTTAACGTCGCAGAGGTCACGATCAGTTTGAGAAGAGGAAACTTAGCAAGTTGTTTCTTAAGCATGGCTACAAGTAAATCTGTGTGAATAGATCTTTCGTGTGCTTCATCGATCACAATATATGAATATTGTTTCACAACATCGTCTCCTTTTAAAACTTCATTCAATAAAATACGGTCAGTTACAAACTTGATAATTGTCTTGTTTTTTATCTTCTTATCCAAACCAACATGATATCCTACTTCTTCTCCAATCTCGCATCCAAACTCTTCAGACACTCTTTTTGCTAAACTTATTGCTGCTATCTTACGAGGTTGGGTTACTACAACTTTTTTTCGTTCATTTAAATTTTCTTCTGCTAGATATTGCGCCAGTTGAGTACTTTTCCCTGACCCAGTCTCACCAACAAGAACCACAACTTGACCACAATTGATGCGTTTCAGTATTTCTGTACGCTTGGCATATATTGGTAAACTCGCTTCAAACTTTCTAAATTCTCTTTCTGTTATGTTTTTATGAGTTTTTAAAACATCCTCGATTCCTTTTCTATAGTTAACGCTGTGGTAATCTTCAATTTGCTTGTTGAAGCTTTCTAAAAGTTGGCAATATTTATTCTCAAATTCATTTTTTTGTTCTTCCAACTCTTGTTTCTTTCCTTTGTATGTTTTTCTTGCTTCTTTCAGACGATCAAACTCTTCTAATGGCATATATTTTTCTCGACGACTCAAATCTGGGGTGCGATCTTCAAGATCTTTCAGTTTTTTATCATTTTGTTTGAGAAGAGCTTCTTTTCGCTCATGCAATTTCTTCAAATATTCAACACGCTGACATTCTAATTTTCTCCATTCCAGTTCTTCTGTAATTCCAATCGCTGCTGTCACTTCGAGACTCTTTCCTCCAAGGCACAATTTGTTCCTTTGATCAATTGCTTTTCCTGCGGAATCAACGGAATCGAAATATACGCGTGCGTAACTGTCTTTCACTTGTCTTGTTACATCAACAAAACCTTGACAGTTTTTAAAAACATTTTGTACGTCTTTTTGCTTGAACTTTTGATCTAAATTATTTACCACAACATATGGCCTGTCTTGGTTTGTTTCTTTTGGTAGTCTTTTCCAAAATGGTTTTATTTTTACACCGTTATATGACGATTTTCGCATAGCTTCGTGTAATTTTTGGCAATCGCTTTGTGAATTTAACTTAACAAAGCACTCCTTTTCTATTTGAACAACTTTTAAAATTTCCACACTGTCGCACTGTTCATTAATAAATCTGAGAATGTTTTCTTCATTGCAATCGCGAGGGAATCCATCAAATTGGACAATATGATTGTTGCTTGGCATCTTTAGCTTCTGGTGTTGCTGTGGTTGGTCTGATGAATATTCTGGTTGCTGGCCAGATAAATATTGTTGCTGTTGTTGGTTAGGAGGCTGTTGATGATGTTTTTGACTTAGTTGTTGCTGAAGTATTCTTTTTACATTTTCTTCCCAATCTTTCTCTTTTTCTGGCAACTTCTGGTTTTCCAAATATCTTTCATTATCCTGCAGGTGACATTGCACTTTCGAAAATTTATTGTCTCCTATAATCTCTGCTTGTAATGGATTACAACTAAGAACATATTCTTCTGAAAATTTTGAAGGTTTTGCTTCTTCGCTACGTTTTTTCCTCTCTGAAGGCACTTTATTAGACAAATCTGATTGTTTAAACTCGTTATCACATTTTGGCTTACGAAAAAAATCACTGGCTTGCACTTGCTCCTGCGAATAAGTGTGTTGTAGCGGCATTTGTTGCATCATTCCTGGTCGAGATGAACTGGTTTGTAGCGGCATATGGTGCATCATTCCTGGTCGAGAAGAACCGGTTTGTAGCGGCATATGGTGCATCATTCCTGGTCGAGATGAACCGGTTTGTAGCGGCATATGGTGCATCATTCCTGGTCGAGAAGAACCGGTTTGTAGCGGCATATGGTGCATCATTCCTGGTCGAGATGAACCGGTTTGTAGCGGCATATGGTGCATCATTCCTGGTCGAGAAGAACCGGTTTGTAGCGGCGGATGTTGCATTATTCCTGGTCGAGAAGAACCGGTTTGTAGCGGCCGGTGTCGCATCATTCCTGGTCGAGAAAAACCGGTTTGTAGCGGCGGGTGTTGCATCATTCCTGGTCGAGAAGAACCGGTTTGTAGCGGCGGGTGTTGCATCATTCCTGGTCGAGAAGAACCGGTTTGTAGCGGCATTTGTTGCATCATTCCTGGGCGAGATAAACTGGTTTGTAGCGGCATTTGTTGCATCATTCCTGGTCGAAAAGAACTGGTTTGTAACGGCGGATGTTGCATCATTCCTTGTCGAGAGCGAGAACAACTGGTTTGCGTCTTTTTACGTTGCATCTTTATATTTGTTTTTTCAGTGACATTATCAAGCGTGTAATTTCTCTTGGATATTAATTTATCAGAATTCAAGTCATTGACAGAAAAACATTTCGTCGATGGTGGCGCATTGTTCGCAACCACTGCTGAATTTGTCTTTAAACTTGATACACAATCTCTTTTTCGACCTTTTTCATTTAACGAAGGATTGTTAGTGAAGAGAGATGTTTCTTTATTACATTCAACATTTTCTGTGTAAATTCTGTCAGCAAAGTCCTCATTCCAACTACCATTCCAATTACCACTTCGATCAACAGGCGTGTTAACCATTGGTGGATTAAAATCTGTCACATTTTTCTTTCCTGGTAATTTCTTATGATTACTGTACCCTGCACCTATGACGTCATCACTTGACGCATCACTTGAAGCAATCATGACACTGGAACCTTCTTTACTTTTCAGCGATGTACATTCTGCATTTTTGTACTTGTCATTTGGAATCACTTGGTCTTGGTTTTCTCCCAGGGAGGTTTGATGATAATGTTCGAGCATCATGGATTTATCACATGGTTCCTCACCAGGCTGGGACAACTATAAATACCCCCGCAAGCTAGGTGAACTATAAATTATTTCATTCTCTACAAAGAGGTTTTATTTGTGGGTCAGGTTTTTCCTAGACCTATAGTTATTTTCTTTCAATCTTACTTTCTTTCATTTTTAATCAAGGGCATGCACAAGCTTCCAGGGGCAATTTTGGTTATCAAAGGACAAGGAAATGCTGCAGTTGTGTCATGTAAAACCTGAATTATACAAAAACTTCAACATGCAGTTCTATGAACTTCTATCATTTTCATATTCTGGTAATTTTGCTTTTCACATCATTCTGTCTTTGAATGATTTTGAAATAAAGTTGAAAGTTTTAATTGTGTCTTGTATGAAGCTTATATTGTGTTTTTTTCAAGATGTCTTTTTTATTTGTAATTTGTTCTTTGAATTGCCTTTTTTAAATTGTCAGTTGGTCAAGGACTCAAGGTCACTGTACAGTATGTACAAAGCTTGTGTATACCGGGCCCAAATGGTACAAAAAAAACTGTGATAAACACAACAATTAAAGGATATTACATACCAACATTTTCCAAACAACTTTCCAATTCTATTATTAAATTTTGGATTTTTAGTATGCTCTTTCCAGCTGTAAATCTCTAGTCTGAGTAGTCTCTATCTTCTGGGGCCGGTTGTTCAAAGGCTTTTAGCTTGAACGGCGGATAAGTTCAAATGGAAAACGAGTTAAACAACTGAAATATCTATTTATAATATTGAACAACTGAGCTGAAATATTAGATGTAAATAGTTTAATTTTCAATGGAAGACATATTCAATGCAGGTCTATGCACTGTCCAGTCATGCAATAGATGATTGAGACTTTGAGAGTATTTTTGCAAATTTGGCTTATCCACTGTTTACCTTAAAAAGTAAAGCCTTTCGAACAACCGGCCCTTTGAAAACAAAAGAATCTGTATTTTAATGATTACCCCCTAGTATGAATAATTATGTCACTCCATAGTTGCGAGGCGTACTACCGCATGGATATATTATAAATTAAACTTACCACATATTTACTTTGGTCGGAAACATTGAATCTTTCTTTAACAGCAACTGAATGACTTGTACTTGTAGATAAAAGACTGTAGACGTCGGTCAATAGTTCGGTTTCAGGTTGATGACACGGATGGGATGATGAAATTTTACAAATAGAACGACGACTCAATTCCTCGCTTGACAAACATTCAAAAGCGAACTGCAGGGTCTCACAGTTTCTACAATAAACTAGAAATTGTTTAGGTGCATTTGTAAATTGTTCATCTAAATATTGAACACCTACAATCATTGATGTCGAATCCCCTAATTGTTCTGCTAGCCATTTGTAAAGCTCATCTGCTGGTATAATTGATTGTTTCTCGAATAGTTCCAACAACAACCAAAATTCTGTTTCTGTGCCATAGCGAAAGCAAAAGTTTTCGTTAATAGGTTCAAATTTGTCGGCTTGGCCAACTCTATGTCTGTGATTTTCCTTGTTTTCCTCCGGTTGAAATGTTTCAGCTTTTTGCGAATTACTTTGGTTGCCGCCCATCTAAAACAAAATGGACACTGTTCCTCGCTTGGTGGCAATATTTCTATTTTTCAGACCACCCTAGCACCTGATGAATTTATACATTATATTTATAGTATTGCCTCACCGATAAAAACCTGCATTATTACAATATACAACCCGAAAGTAGTATAATTACCGGTAACTACTCGATTTGCTTCACATACAAAACTGATATTGTTCATAGAGGAGTAGTACTAAATACGTTTCTAAAAGAATTCGCTAGTCATGCGCCGTTTTCAGCAAAAGCGACATGTACAGTAACATCGCATGACGGAAGTTAGATTGAATAAGTGAGACGTGTCAACTCCTGGAAACTTGATCTGTTGTTCCAGGAATTCCAAATTTCGCTCATATTTCTGGATTTCAGTTTTCAGAAGACTCTGTTTTAATAGTCTGTTTAAAACAGTTGTGTTTATAGGGTTCAACGCAAAATGCGGTAATTATCACGGGCGAAAGTCATTATGACGGGCGAATCAAGGTGAACTAAAGTCTCTTGGTCATAAATGGGCAGCAAGAATACTAAGGCGTCTAGTGATAAGGCTCAATCCACCTCTGCAGAAACGTCGAAAAATGGAAAACCAGTTGAAGCAGTCATTCCAGGGAATAAATGCGTGGTAAGGGTGGTAAGGTTGTCGGCGAATACATGTCTTGCATATAATATATACACAAAAATCCTCTCATTGACCCTTGAACTAGAAATGTGTCTTCATGATTATCAATTTTATATCATCATGCATCATCATAAATAACAATAATACCACGGTACTACAAAAAAGTCACAATTTGGTGATCACAATGCGTCGTTGTTTTTTTGAAAAGCGACAAATTAAGTAACTGACTATAAAGCTTTTTAGGGAATATAGGGTATTAATTAGAGTAATCAATCCAGCCAGGACAAACAATAACATTGGAATTCAAATGAAAGAAAAGGCAACTACATCCTAATGTTGGGAAAAGTATGCTCACCTTTAGTTCACTGGCAGTGCCAAGTAATGTCTGAAAAATGAAAGTTAATAAATCATAGTTAATTCAGTTGAAATGACCAATTAGTATGCCTCCCTTAAGTTTTCAAAGATTTGCACATCCATTCTTCCTATGTTAATTGCTCAACATCATGAATGTTTAATTACTTTAACCAAAAAGGTTTGAATTAGGTACAGCCAGTGGCATAGCCAGCAATGATAATTGGGGGGGGCGCATATTTATATATTCATGTTCACAGACTGTAAAGACAATTTATTTGAAAAGAAATTAATCCTGCGTATCACGAATACATGAATATGTGCCCCCCCAATTATCGTGCTGGCTACGCCACTGGGTACAGCTGCATAATTAACCTGTTAATTGAATCAAATATACACCACGATATGGTACATAACACCGTGTTAAAGTCGATTGTACAGGAATGTATGTGGTATTGGTATATATTCAAACTTTGTACAGTCAATTATACTGAAATATGGTATATTAAACCTTGGTGATTAAGGTAGAATATACCAGAATATGGTATATTCACGCTTGGTAGGATCGAATATACCATGTGGTATGTTTACTGTGTGGTAATGACATAATGTACATGGTATATTAGACCTTAATAATGTCAAATATACAGGAATGGGTGTCAGGTCGTTTCGTACTCTTGTCATTTCGTACCCATATCCCTGGTCGTTTCGTACTCTAATTGATGGTCGTTTCGTACCCCGATTTTAGTCGTTTCGTACTCAAACGCTATATGACTGCTTTTATTGCAATCAGTTCAGGATATACCTTAAAAATAATAGATATAGAGTGCGTATCTCGTTAAATAAAATAAAAATGGCAGAATTTAAGATCAGAAAATCTATATAAATAAAATATATTTGTCTTCTTGTTGTTGCAAAGCTAGCTCATTAAGTCCCTCGTGTGTAAAGTTCGAAACAACCATGTCTGGGTACGAAACGACCAGGCCTGGGTACGAAACAACTATGTCTGGGTACGAAACGACCAGGCCTGGGTACGAAACGGCAGAAGTACGAAATGACAAGAGTACAAAACGACCATAAACCACAGGAATGTGGTATATTCAAACTTGGTACGGTCAATTATACTGGAATATGGTGCTTGGTAATGTGGAATATATGGCACCAGATGATCAAACCATAGCAAACACAAGATTATTACTGAAGAATTCACAAGATTAAAGAGATCAGCAGATAGTTTGGACAAACCACTCACAAATATCTCATGTTTCAGGACCAATAAACTTAGAAGAATTTCCTTAGCTCGTGACCAGGGTGCTTCCAGGTGGCTGGATGTCCTTCCTTTGGAAGAAGAAGGGTACGTTTTGAACAAAGACGCCTTGCGAGTGGCGATATGACAATTTATCCCAAATCCTCTAAGTTACTGCACTTGTGGAAAGCGTTTCAACACGATCCTATTCGATGCGATGGACTGTAAAACTGGTGGCTTCTTTTAGCTCGTCATGATGCTGTTAGTAATTTGGAGGCCTCCTTACTGTCCGACGTAAGAAGAGAATCATTTGATTAACATCAACTGCATCAATATTGAAGATGACGCAAGGCTTGACGTCAAAACCAGGGACTTCTATAGGCAGGGTTAGGTTGCTTTTTGACACACGGATACTCCGTAGGAGCTCTCTCCTCGGCAGAGGCTTCGAATGCAAATGCGCTAGATTTTTTTAAAAAGATGACCGCTGCTGAAATTAGAAACGCGGGCCCACGTTTCTAATTTCAGCAGCGGTCATCTTTAAAAATCTAGCGCATTTGCATTCGAAGCCTCTGCGGAGGGGAGAGCCGTAGGAGTATCAGGGAGTCATTGCTAACGGTCTCGCATTCTTTATTAGCATTAACTCGACCAAACTGCTTTGCGCGCTTAGTATTAAAAACTTGTTTATCTGGTTATCTACTAGCCAAGAATTAATCGGCTATTTGTACATCCGTGAGTCGTCTTGATTGAGACCTTTGATTTGATATTAGAATTGTACATCTCAGTGCCGAATCAAATAAGTCCCAACCAATTGACAAAACCTTCCTGACTCCTGAGACATGAAAACGAAAAAAAGAGAGCTTTCAACAGAAGAGTTTTGGGTCTTTGGATTTAATAGAACAATGGGCAAAGAATGTATAAAATTCCACAATGAAAATCGCAGATAAACAAGCCAAACCTTATTCAACCGTCATGGCATTGGGCCAGAACCAAACTTTCTTTTTCCCAAGCTTATTAGATTTTCCTTCTTCTAAGGGGAACTAGAACAGTTTTTTAATTTATTTACTATTAGAACCGATTTAAGTTTTATTCAAAACTTTTTTTATCTATACAGTATAATTTTTACTTTTAGTATCTTAATGTATTTGTTTCGCAGTGTTTTATCTATTTCTCTTAAATCTTGTATCTATTTCTCTAAATTCTTTCTCTATGTTACCGCTGTAGCTAGTTACGCCAATTAGTAACGATTTGGGTGGGAGAGTTTAAACTACATTGTTGTGATGTTTCACCCTAGCAGAGTTATTGCAGAGTTATTTACGTAGAACTGCTCAACCCTCAGACCTACGTAGCCTAGATCATTTCTATCAGATCGTTTCTATCAATTGAAGTCGTAAATGTCTTAGCATTAAAATGGCATGCGCATTCTTCAATAATTTACGCCAGGTATGTTTGTTTCCAGGCTGGTATGGAGCGCAGTGATCTCGGAAACACACATGGAATGTGTCGGAATGTTGCATCCAAAACATCCACTCGAAATGACATCACAGCAGCTCCGTATAGTCAAGTAAAATATTCTTTAGAAAATAAGAATGTCAGTTTATCAAGAACACTATGTGACACCACAGACGGAGGACCATCCAAGAAGTGGCATCAGCAAAAAAGATCTGTCGAAAGTCATCAACCAACAGTTGATCAGAGAGAACTGAAAACCACTGCAAATGAACACTCACGCAAGATTGAAGCAACTACCGAGAGAAAAGTCACAAAAATGGTTGAACTAAATACCCGAACAACGCCAACCAGTGACAATCGTCAGATCTACAGTAACAATTCAAAGTACAGCATCAAGTATAGTACGACAGAGAAAGATCAAGATGGAAGCAACGTTAAACATCAGAAGACAGCTTTTATGGTTGATGAGGTAAATGCTCCTGTTTCAAGCAAATCCAACAATGTCTCACCCTCTTATCATTTCTCCAAGAAAAATGCCACAATTCAACCTAGAGCTATGAATGAGAAGACGATGCATGAAGAAAATCTTCGCGTGAAAGCGACCACGACAAACACTGATTCTCCTGTCAAAAACTTCCCTAAGACGATCACTGGCGAAAATGCAATCGACAATGAAGCACATGATGCGATCAAACCAGGAAAAACCTCATACAGTGGCAACTGCAAACAACTGGGGCAGAATTCCACCAATCGTTACTTTCAACCAGAATATAATGAACAAATAACATCAACACATTCGTTCCGGAAATACAATACTTCAGTTAGTCAAAGGAAAAATACTAATGCTTTATCTAATAATGGAGCACCTTTGGTCAGTAACAATGAGTACAACAGCAAGATTCTCGTAAAAGATTCTCATAATAACACCTTGGATGAGGCAGTTACACCAGAATCAATACTATGTGTCCCCAGCAATGACTTCACCTCTGAAAGCATAATACTTGCAAACGATACACTTCTTACTGGCCTAGGGGAAGTTAATGACAACTGTATAGTTTCTTCTGATAAAAGTGTTTATGATTTGATGCCATCACCCGGAGCACTAACGCCGAAGCTACAGAATTCTTATAAGGACAATGATGCTGTGTGCAATTCAAATAAAATTGGTTTTACAAATGGTGTGCATAATGATTGTACTGAAAATAGAAGAGTAGTTTCGGTTTCATCTAACAAGGAAGAAAGTCCGTCGGATTGCAATGAAATTTCTCACCCGCTTGTTAAAGGTAAAGAGATGAAAGATGAAATGCCATTATCGGGTAAGTCTAAGGATTTTAAAATGAGCTTAAAAAGCACTTCGTTAAAAAATGAAGTCAATCAGCATATCAAGACGGAGAAGCAGGACGAAGTATCCGATGATAAGAACGCAACAGGGTCATTGACCACTGCAACACAATCACGACATTTTGAAGTTTCATTAGATCATGATTGTGTGGACGTTACAACAAGTATTAATAAAAAATGTAAAGCCAATGAAAGAGTTCCGCAACCTGCAGTTCCAAAAACCTACCAACAAGGATGTAAATTTGAAAGAAACCAGGTTGAGAGTTCTCAACTAGGAAAAGCAAAAAGAAATGATGCCGACATTAGAGAAAATGATACAAACGATGGAATGAAGAACGATAATACTGCTCAAAATATTTCAGGTACTCTGCTAGTCGAAAAAACAGAGAACGTGTGCGATTCAATGTCTGTTTCCTCCAAGACTAGTGATGTTACTGACGAAAGTAGAAATAGTACAGACTTTAAAGATCCATTTGTTGTGTTTCTCTCTAACCTTCCACACTCTGTAACACCAAAAGAGATTGTTGCTTTGTTCAAAGGAAAATATCCCGGCTTCAGAAAGGCTTTCAAAACTCGACAATTCGGCGGAGCTATTGCTGCATTTTCAAATGCAGAACAAGCATTGAATTGTGCTAAGCAAATGAAAGGTAGCTATTTCCGTGGACGAAAGATCCATGTAAAGGCGAAAATTTCAGATAAACCTTTGTTAGGTAGTGAGGAAATACCAAGAAGCTATGACAAAGTTAACGCCTGGCTTAAAAATGAGAGTTGCCTGACACTAGCTAGTCCGTCCAAGGGAAACCAGAGAGATGGCAATATTCTTTCATCCGATGAAAATATAATCGTCGAAAATGAGAAGACTGAGAGGAATATGTCTCATGCATATCATGTTCAAGATGAACATGTTCAAGATGAACATGTTGTTACCGTAAAAAATTTACCACACTCTGTGTCCACGAGCAAACACCTGTATGAAATATTCAGTAAGAAGTGTTCGGGAATAAAAGGGACTACCCTCGTCAAACCCGGTTGTGGTGAAATTGAATTTGACAGCCGAAACGAAATGGAAATCTGCATAAAAATGAGGCATACAGTCAATGGAAAACCTCTCACTGTCTCTATTAAGGTAGCTGAGTATATGCAGCAAGACGATATGCACAAACTGAAAAATCAAACGTCAAGCAATGAGAGACAGGGGGAAAACCTGAAGGAGCAACAACAACAAAATCAACCACAGAAACAACACTCAGAAAAACGACAACAGGAACAGAAACAAGAACAACAACAGAAAGAATACTCAGAAAAACGACAACAGGAACGGAAACAACAACAAAATCAACAACAGAAACAACACTCAGAAAAACGAGAACAGGAACAGAAACAACAACAAAATCAACAACAGAAACAATGCTCAGAAAAACGACAACAGGAACGGAAACAACAACAAAATCAACAACAGAAACAACACTCAGAAAAACGACAACAGGAACACAAACAACAACAAAATCAGCAACAGAAACAATGCTCAGAAAAACAACAAGAGGAACAGAAACAAGAACAACAACAGAAGCAACACTCAGAAAAACGACAACAGGAACACAAACAACAACAAAATCAGCAACAGAAACAATGCTCAGAAAAACAACAAGAGGAACAGAAACAAGAACAACAACAGAAGCAACACTCAGAAAAACGACAACAGGAACGGAAACAACAACAAAATCAACAACAGAAACAATACTCAGAAAAACGAAAACAGGAACAAAATCAACAACAGAAACAACAAAACAGGAACATCAAAAAACGAAAAAGGAACAGCAACAGAAACAACAACCAAATCAGAGACAAAATCAACAACACAATCAACAACATGGCCCACAACAAGAAAAACGACAGGAACAACATCAAAATCAACAACAAAATCAAAAACAAGAACGACATGAACAAGAACAGAAAGAAAGACGACAAAAACAACAAGAACAACAAAAAAAGCCACAAGAACAGAAATCACAACAGCATAGACAGCAGCAGCAAAATCAGCAAAAGGAAAAACACCATAAACGACAACAGGAACAACAACAGGAAAACCAACAACAGGAACAACATTGCCAACAAACACAACAAAAACAACAAAATCAACAGCAGCAACAAAAAATGCAACAGCTAAAACCTAAGCAACCGCACCAATCACTTGAACAACAACAACAGCAACACCAGAAGCTAAAGATGCCAATCAACAATCATATTGTCCAATTTTGTGGATTCCCTCGCGATTGCAATGAAGAAAACATTCTCAGATTTATTAATGAACAATGCGACAGCGTGGAAATTTTAAAAGTTGTTCAAATAGAAGAGAAATGCTGTGTGAAGTTAAAATCACAAAGCGATTGCCAAAAATTACACGAAGCTATGCGAAAATCGTCATATAACGGTGTAAAAATAGAACCATTTTGGAAAAGACTACCAAAAGAAACAAACCAAGACAAGCCATATGTTGTGGTAAGAAATTTAAATCAAAAGTTCAAGCAAAAAGACGTACAAAATGTTTTTAAAAACTGTCAAGGTTTTGTTGATGTAACAAGACAAGTGAAAGACAGTTACGCACGCGTGTATTTCGATTCCGTTGATTCCGCAGGAAAAGCAATTGATCAAATGAACAAATTGTGCCTTGGAGGAAAGAGTCTCGAAGTGACAGCAGCGATTGGAATTACAGAAGAACTGGAATGGAGAAAATTAGAATGTCAGCGTGTTGAATATTTGAAGAAATTGCATGAGCGAAAAGAAGCTCTTCTTAAGCAAAATAATAAAAAACTGAAAGATCTTGAAGATCGCACCCCAGATTTGAGTCGTCGAAAAAAATATATGCCATCAGAAGAGTTTGATCGTCTGAAAGAAGCAAGAAAAACATACAAAGGAAAGAAACAAGAGTTGGAAGAACAAAAAAATGAATTTGAGAAGAAATATTGCCAACTTTTAGAAAGTTTCAACAAGCAAATTGAAGATTACCACAGCGTTAACTATAGAAAAGGAATCGAGGAAGTTTTGAAAACTCATAAAAACATAACAGAAAGAGAATTTAGAAAGTTTGAAGCGAGTTTGCCAATATATGCCAAGCGTACAGAAATACTGAAACGCATCAATTGTGGTCAAGTTGTGGTTCTTGTTGGTGAGACTGGGTCAGGGAAAAGTACTCAACTGGCGCAATATCTAGCAGAAGAAAATCTAAATGAACGAAAAAAAGTTGTAGTAACCCAACCTCGTAAGATAGCAGCAATAAGTTTAGCAAAAAGAGTGTCTGAAGAGTTTGGATGCGAGATTGGAGAAGAAGTAGGATATCATGTTGGTTTAGATAAGAAGATAAAAAACAAGACAATTATCAAGTTTGTAACTGACCGTATTTTATTGAATGAAGTTTTAAAAGGAGACGATGTTGTGAAACAATATTCATATATTGTGATCGATGAAGCACACGAAAGATCTATTCACACAGATTTACTTGTAGCCATGCTTAAGAAACAACTTGCTAAGTTTCCTCTTCTCAAACTGATCGTGACCTCTGCGACGTTAAATACTGATATTTTCCGGCAATATTTTGGTAACTGCCCCCTGGTGACAGTACCCGGGAGAACATTCCCTGTAGAGCGTGTTTACATGAAGGAAAGGCCAACAGACTATGTTGGTGGTGTTTATGAGAAGATTGTTGAAGTGTGTCAAAGTAAAGAAAAGGGAGATATTTTGGTATTCTTGACACAGCAGAATGAAATTGAGAAGACTTGTAATAAGTTGGAACAGAGATTAGGAACAGGAAACATCATCCTTCCTCTTCATGGCAAATTACAATCAGATGAACAACAGAAGGTATTTTGATGAATTTTATCAATTCAGGCTACCCCGGTGCATTAATTAGCCCGCGGCGCAATCACAAATATAAATACCAAATTTTAGGCCATAATTAGCCTTCATAATGAAGAGCTTTTTCGCAAGTGTTCTGAAGGTAAAAAATATTTGAAAGACTGTAAAGGATTTTATAACTGCATGTATTTAACGTTTCTCTTCTCTTTTTAATTCTTAATTTCTTTGAAGGTTTTTGAGCGAACGCCCAAAGGAAAGAGAAAAATTGTCGTGGCAACAAACAGCGCAGAAACTTCACTGACTATTAATGGTATTCGTATCGTTGTTGATTCAGGCATGGTGAAAGAACCATCTTTTGATCCTGCTAGAAATATGACCACTTTAGAGGTTAAACTTGTGAGCCAAAGTTCAGCTGTACAGCGGTCCGGTAGGGCAGGTATGCAAGCTTTTAGACCTTGAACAAGAGCCCGTATTGATAACAACAGTTTGGATTGTCCCCTGGAGCGTGTTCGCTGTCATGAAGCAGTGGTGACTAGCACTTTCGCTCACTGGGTTTCATAACCCACACTGTTCTTGCTAATAGGAGTTTAGAGTCGTTTTATGAAATATTATAAGAATGCTTCGCGATTTTACCACCAATTTTTTACTTTTCCTAGGAAATGGATTGTAATAAACACAACACTCCAGACATATGTTATTTTGTTATTTTCAGGACGTACAGAGCCAGGCAAGTGTTATTGTTTGTACACATACGAAGATTACGAAAAGATGGAGAGAAATACAAAACCTGAGATCTTAAAAATGCATCTTGGAATGGCTGTACTTCAGCTGTTAAGTTTAGGAGTCACAGATATCCAACAATTTGATTTTGTCCAAAGTCCACCAGCTGATGCGCTGACGAAAGCAATTGAGAGTTTGAAAATGCTGAGGGCTTTAGACCCGGACGGAACTTTGAATGACTTGGGAAAAGAAATGCTTCTTTTACCGACTGAACCACAGCTTTCAAAAGCGCTTCTTGTGGGACTTGATCGAGGATGTGGAAATGAAATCATCATTGCTGCGGCACTTATGTCGAGCGGTCATGACGTTTTCTATCGAGGAAACCTTGAGATCAGAAACGAATGTGCCATTCAAAAACAAGAATTCTGTCAGACCAGTGGTGACCTGCTGAGTGCAATTGACGTGTACAAAAAATGGTCAGAGAAATCCAGGAAAGAGCAAGTTGCCTGGTGCAAGGAGAATGCTTTGAATTCCAAATTACTTCGCGCTGCTCGAGAGACGTTTGGGGAGATTAGAGAAGCGTTGTCTCATCTGCGAGGTCGCGGCCTCAACATGAACGTGACAGCAGAGAATATTCAGGAATCTCTAATTAAAAGTTTATTAGCTGGATATTTCGAGAATATAGCTTGGTCATTTGGTCATGATAGACTTGGTTATATGGTGGTATCGTCAAATCACACCAATCAGACGGCAAGAATTCATCCATCATCTGTTCTCGCCAGTCTTGGTTATCAACCTGATTGGGTACTATACCAGCAACTCAAGAGCTCAAATGATCAAGTCTTTTTACTCAATATCACACCAGTACATTATGAATGGTTGGCAGAAGTTGCTATGCATATGTTACAGTATATCGATGAAGACGCCATTGATAAATCAAGAGTTATACGACGAAGATTCCACCCAGTTGGTCCAGAGATGGTCAAAGCTGTAATTGGTTTTCAAGGTTCTACTCTAAAACAGATAGAAGCATCTGTAACTGAAAAGTATTCTGTATTTTGTGCAGTCGAATGTAGCGTGGATAAAGGAATGGTGGATGTTTATACCTCAAAGGATTCTCTTCATTACGCCAGTCAACGTGTGAACGATGTGATCCAGAAAAGAAGACATGAACTTGATGGTTACTCAGAGGTTGTCATTTCAAATGTAGGGGGCCTTAAAACGTTAGTTTCAAACAATTTGCAAACGAAATTAATCCTTCAACCCAGAACCTCGTGCAAATTTGAAGTTTTTGTTGACACAATCGACCCGAGTGAAAAGGTTGGTAGGCATTACTTCACGTCTACACTTCAATAACACAAAATACTTAATGTACTACTTTACTTAATAACCATACGTTAAATATAACTTGATATACTTTTATTTAGGTCGATTCTGATGAGGTGCGTGAAGTACTTAATAAGCGTGGAATGATAATTCATTTTACCGTCTGGAAAGCGAAAGATAGAAATAGTTGTATGAAAGGTAACGTTACTTACTCTGATGCTCACGAAGCCGAAGAAGCAATAAACTATCTGGAAAATGAACTAGATCCGGAAGAAGATCTGCCCTATAATGTTGATAGAATTATGTTAAAGCCTGCCCGCGTTGAAAGTATTTCTACCCTGGAGTATTTCCAGCATTCCGGTGTTAGAATTATAGTTAGCTGGTTTCCTTTGCCTGCTCGTGGAATAGCTTATATCAAGTGTAAAAATGACGATACCAACGCAATACTCGAAAATTTAAACCATAATATGGCGAACAATTGCAAGAAAGCATTTTTGACGAAATCTGGCGATATCTGCCTGCCAATTCAGGTGACTGATGATGAGTTTACAGTTAGAAAAATACTTAACAGTTGCTGTACAATTTGTCAAGTTGAAAGCGTCTCCAAGGTTATTGTTCCCAGCATTTTGAACGAAATTAACCTTGAAGAAGAGAAAAAGGAATTGATTGAGTTAATGGAAGATTTTGGAGCTACAAAAGTTATTAATATTTGGGTTGCTCATAAGAAGGTCTGTGCAAGAGTACTGTTTGAAGATCTGATCACCGCTGAGGAGGTTATTCAGGAGTTAAACGAAGAGATGGACGAAATCGGAGTTAGAGCAGTGTACATAGAGTTTGAAGAGAAAGCAGAAGTCATGTGTGATGGAAGAATGTTTGAAAAAATAAAAAAAGAAATGGAAGCACTAAAGAAAGATGATGTCACCATCAGTAATGAGCAATGTGGAAGACGTAGAAAGATCATCGTGACTGGAGACGATCCCAAGGTTCGTTATGATGTATATATGAAAAATAATTTAGAATCAATCTATTCTGTGACGTGGTAATATATTTTTTACAAAAAATGATGGCTTTACTGTCACAATAAATTTACAGATCGATTTGTAATTTTTTTTTGAGCTGGTGATTTCATTCAATCATAGAATGAACCTTTGATCTTTGTTTTTTTTTGTTTTCTATAATACCATACTGCATCTTTATTCCAGGTGGTCCAGAGTATCGGAGTTACCTTATCAAATTTAGTTGCCCCGGAGATCGTATTGATAGAAGATGCAGAAACAGCCAATGCCTTATCAAGTGGATATGGGCGTTCAAAAATCAAAGAGATCCAGAAACAGAACAATGCAATGATCTATACCAACAACTTTGGTCGCCGTATTCAAATAACCGCCAATTCAAAAGCAAAACGCCAAGCTCGGGTACAGATTGAGAAATTGATCGAAGACCTGCGAAAAACCAGACATTCAGAGATTGATCTACGACATTCAGATCGACCTGTTGGCGCAATCCGAGAGATTCTGAAACACTTTGGAAAAGATCTTAACAAACTTGTTGAAGGGGAAGATTGCCAAGCTTCAATGGAGATCAGACGTCGAAAACTTGTTTTACATGGTTCCAAAGAAGCTGTTAATAAAGTTCAAAATAAAGTAGAAGAATTTCTTCAAACTTTACCCAACTCACGGAGGGAAACAGCAAACTTAGTTAATGAATGTCCAGTTTGTTTTGGTGAAGTTGAAGATCCGTATCTTCTTACATTATGTGGTCATGCCTATTGTTTTGCTTGCATCACACAGTATCTTAACAATGTTTTTGATTCAGTAAAAAGTGCGGACATGTTTCCACAGAAATGTATGTGTGAAAAGTGCGAGTATTATGCAATCAAAGAAGATTACTCAAAGCTGTTAGATGTGGATCAAATTGAAAAGCTCTACCGTATTTCGTTGGAATGTTTCATGATTGGTAACCCCAACATCAAGCCCTGCCCCACACCTGATTGTTCCTGGATATATGAAATCACTCCAAAGCCAGATGTTTTTGACTGTCCTGAATGTAACATTCGTTTGTGTCGAAAATGTGGTGATTCAGTTCATAAAATGTTTGATACATGTGAAGCATTCAAAGCCAGCAAAGATCCGTCGCAGTCAAACAGACTTTATCAAGAATGGATCGCGAGAGCAGATACCCGCAAGTGCCCAAAATGTTTTGTCATGATCGAGAGAAACAAGGGATGTTCGCACGTAGCGTGTACCCAGTGTAAGGCTCACATCTGTTGGAAATGTGGAGAAACGTTTGACACAAGCTCTGCATGTTATCATCACATAGAATCGTGTAGAAGTAATTGATTGTTAGAGTCATAGGCGTACGGGCCTAAAAATTTTGCAGGAACAGGTGAATGATTTTAGCAAAAATTACCCGACACTAGTTCAAATTGCCCGACTTATCGCCGAGTTCTGCAAATATTGCCGAAATAGATTTAAATTTCCTAGGGGGAAAGCAGCTTCCCTTGCCCCTTCCCCTTGCTCCACGCCTGTCCCATACGCCTATGGTTACAGTCATTAATCTTGAAACCGTTTCAAGACCTAAGCAACTTGATTTACCTTTAAATCAAACTTATTGATTTAAACTGATTACAATTTTGTAGTTTTGCGTTTGATCTCACGCACACCACTCAATGTATTTGCCATTAATTATCTAGGTTACCCGATACGGGCCGATAGGTAGAAATGCTGCCGGAAAGCACGACAGTGTTCAGCTTGCGAATCTCGTTTCCATCTGGAGTTCTTTATAAAAAAGTAATACCCAAGGATGGAGAATGCAGTCTTGTCAGATCTCATTAATTATCATTAAAATTGATTAGTACCGAAATTACATCAGTAATAGGGTAAAAATATACTAGAAACTATTCACAGCTCTTTTTAATGACACGTTGTGGTAAAAATGAATTTATAAAACGATTAGTCTTACAGAGGAATGGTAATAACGTCTTAATTCATAACTGAGTAAAAAATCTATTTGGTAAAAATATCTTGTAGTTTGAAAAAGGTATTGTGCTTCTAAAAAAGTTTTAACAAAGTTTCTCGTCTCATTCTGAAGCGTCGGTATAACCCAATGACGGTGCATTATTCTCAACGCACCGCTCTGAACCACGAAGCGGCCTACGTAATCTGCCCCACTTCGCCCCCCCCCCCCCGACTCAGTCTAGTCCTGAGGCCGCTTGGCGGCCACCTAAGACTTTGCATTATCACTATCCATTTAAGACGCACAGATATGGAAGGAACTAGACTGAGTTTCGAAATATCAACTACTCGAACCATCTTGACCTTATAACTCAGTTGGAAGAGCATTGCACTAGCAAACCAAAGGTCGCGGCTTCAATATCCCACGGCGCCGTGGTCAAGCTAATTTTTCAGCTTGCCCGGTTGGTGACACAGAGTAGCAACTCACATATACATTTAATATACACACCTGAGTCTTGAGTCTTTGCATTATCACTAACCTTTGATTGGTCCAAAGTCTATGAAATCGACGAGATAAGAGGAGAAACGTTGCATAATGGTTGATAATGTAATAGATGCAAGTGAGAAATATTAAAAATAGGTACGCGACGCGTACATGTGCCTAACAGGTTTTCATCAGATGATCAGTTGTTAATATAGATATCCTTAGGGGTTTTTAAACCTTGTTAAACCTCCATAGGTTTTCCTACACATTTTTTGTATTTTTTACACCTCCTTATAGGCTTATTTTAACCTTTTATACCTTTTGCAACCATTTTAACCTTCTTTAGGCCCCTTTACACCTTCAGTTAGACATTCTAGCTTAGCTCCTTACTCCTTTTAGCCAGTTTACCCAAGTTTATGTGATCCAACAAATTTACCTACATTGAATTATTGAAAACAGTTGTAAAATTCTTTTATTCAGAAAGGTTTGACAAGTAGGACCAGCATTTACTGTTTACTGTTAATAAGCTTTTATTTATGACATGAGTAAAACGTCTAAAATTACAATGACTCAGGTTTATTTGTTGTTAAATTTAACAGCAGGTTTTACAACACCAGAGCTTTTTGACTCCATTGTTAACTGTCTTGGTCCTGATGTTCTCACAAGCCTGTCACCGTAGAAATGGTTTCTCAAAAATTCTGCAGCTGTTTCCTGAACTTTCTTTGATTTGATCACTTCATCCTCCAGTATCACAACATGACAATTTTCCTCTCTTGCTAGTTTTTTCTTGTTTCTCTTTGTATTACTATGTTTGATGGCTTTTTTTCTTTTTAATTTCTCCCTTTCTTCCTCAATTTTATCCAATTCTATTTGCTTCGGTTTATTAGCAACAGCTTCTATAATGTCGTCTGGTAGTTTTGTTAGTTTCCATTTTGCCTCTTTTTGAGCCACGAATATTTCGTTTTTCTTGCGTCTCCTTGCTTTATCCACAGATCGGGCATAATTTATTGCATTATTTCTGTCTCTTTTGTCTTGTTCAAACACTGCTTTGCTATCTTTCCATGACAGTCCTACTGGTGCATCGCTATCGTCGCTTGGTAAATCCTCTGTCTCTGTGGAGAGTTTATTACTCACTTGAAATGCTTCAACTATCAAGTCGTTGTCAGAAGCATTTGAACCATCAGAACTGTAATTTTCTGAACAGATTTCTCCACCACTTTTGGCCATTGTTGATTTTTTCGTTTTTCTGCTTGTCTCGGGTTATAAATAAAAGACGAATTTACCCTCACAAAATATTTAACAAAATTTAAAATTTAATCAATTTGCCGGCCATCTTGAATTTTCTCGATTTCGAGGTCTGGGTTCTAATTTGTCTCGTCACTTGTTTCCATGGCAACAAATTAACAAAATGGACGAAAAGCGAAAATTTGAAAACAAGTTTGGTTGAATGTTGAGTTGGATTTTTGCATTGAAAACAGCTGTAAAAAAGAGAAATTTTGCGTGGAATTATGGAGACAGTGTTAAGTGATTTTCCTTTGGACGAAGGGATCGCAGTGCCTGTTGCTAATGTGGAAAATAAAAAACTTGAAACCGAGGTACAGGCCAGCCGTACAGGATGTTTATATGATAATCAACTAACACGATTGTGTGTGAATTTGCCTGTTTAATTTCTTATTATAGATGGTTGCATCACCCTTTTAATTTTCCATTAATAAATAAGAACAAAATGCATTAAATCAGACTTCGCAGTTATACATTTATGACTTTATAATATCGTCAAATATGGCATTATTGGGCAGCCTTAAAACCTACTCAATATTTCATCCAAAAGCCTATAGAGTATAGAGGCGCCTAACTGGAGATATCAAAAAGGTTTTTTGTCCATTTTAACAGCTGTTATGCCACATTTCATCACAGCATCTCCAAATATTGGATGTTCTTGAACCATTTTTGCTTATAAAGGCATTTTGTTTATAAAGGCTATTGATTTAGTTAAATTTTAACTCAGATCTTAGCTTGCATTGCGCTCACAACAGATTATTGATCCCCTCACAGTTTGCAACTGATCATTTCAGATCACTTGCAGATATACAAAGAGAATTTGATATGAGTTTTTGTAACCAACCCGAATTTCCTAATATATGTTTAATTATTATCAACATGCCCCATAAATCATGCATGTATTTGGAAATTTTCTTTTTCATCATAAGCTAGATGTATTTGGGTTTTTCTTTTAGCTTGATAGCAAACAGAAAGAAATTCTAAATGGAAAAGATAAAGTAGAAGAACATAAAGAAAGAATTGATGCAATAAATGAACATTTAAAAAATGTCCTGCAGGAACTTCAGCACACGCAGGTGAATATGATGTATATGTATTATGATAAAATTAAGTGAAAAAATTGCTTGTTTTGAAGCGTGATAACCAGTTAGTTGCTCAAATATTTTGTCCAGTTAATAGTCCATTCAAAATGACATCTGTGACAACTCTTCAAAATCTAAGCATCTCCTATATATGTTTATAATATCCAGACTAAATCCGTAAATTTTAACTGATATTTTTGACTAAAATGTGGTTAGAGTTTGCTGACTTGTACATACTGAAACATCCTCTGCAATTTGATTGCTTTGTGATTATTAGGAGCTTCTTAATGCCAGAAAAAGGGAACTGGAAACTGAAGATCACTTTAGGCAAATTGGTAAGATTTTGGTAACCAGATAATGATCTGGTGATGTTGTGATGGTCACACATTATGTTGCCTTATTAAGTGGATAAAAATTGAAACAGTATTTTTGAAATAAGCGATTCCAATTATTTTGGAAAAGAAATTTTATAAGATTGGACTTTTATTTGAAATAAGTCAATAAATAAAAATATGACTTCTACTTATTGTGATATATAATTTCACGTAATTGGAAATCATCTTTCATTAAATATCTGATGTAATTTAGTTGGCTAAACAAGCTATAGTGCTGATTAAGACAATTTCCCATATATTAGCTGAACGTGAAGAAGGAAGATTGCAAAATGAAATGAAACGTATACAAAATGACTTGAATGAGCTGGACAACCGTAGAAATATTGCAGAGGTTTGTAACTAATGTTGAATATGTGTTTCTGGCAAATGTTTGGTCATGCATTTACTATATGTATTTTGCAACAGCGATGTCAGTCAATATTTATATTTCTTAATTACTCCATGCTATTATATACAAACACCCCCTTATTAATTATCTAGAACAACATATTTACAAAGACAAAACAGTTGGAAGAATTAAAATCTCAAATGAACTGGGATCAGAAAGCTTTAGAAGCTTGGCTTGAAGAATCAGCAAGAAAAGATGAAGATGCCTTGATTCTTGAGAAATATACCAGATCAGATGAAAGTAAAGTGAAGGTATGTCAGTCAGAATTGCAGTGATATTTTGTAATGTTCACAGATTTATATATGTTATGAAATTTATCTCAGAACACAATTGAGAGCCTAAGTGTAATAATTCATAGTTGACATAATAATTAATGGTTGATCATAATGTTCAGGGGCGTAACTAGAGCGATAATTGGGGGGGTGAATATTCTTATAGTCAGTTCTGCCCTACGGATTTCTATTGTAAGCTATTGCACTTACAAAAGAAATCCGTATGGCAGAACTGGATATCTATCGTTTATCGGATTATCGTTCTAGTTACGCCACTGATAATGTTTGATAATAATGAATGGTTAATTAGGATATTAACTGCTGGGTCAATATCAACCATTGATATAAACCTTCATAGTCATATATAATTTTTATGATTACTTTGGAATATAGTTATTAATGTTTCTCTTTAGTCTCTGTCATTGAAAACAGAAAAAATGACGGAAGAAAGTCAGAAGAAACGTCGTGATCTTGAACATGAATTAAGTCGTACAGCGACTGCACAAGTAAGATAACGGCGATGATAATATAGCTAATATAGAACAGATTTTTCATTAGAGTTTATTTGATTTTGTTTTTTGTATCATTGCTATATATAACTAGCACGATTGAATTATGATATCTCTGGTTTTTCATCCTGCAATTACGCTCTATTTGTAGGTTGAGTTGGATAAAACAGCCGAAGAATTCCGTAAGATTCACGCACAACGTCAAAATCTTCTGGAACAATGGGAAAGTACCATTGAACAGATGCAGAAGCGGGACAGAGAAATGGACCAGTTGGCTGTGGTGTGTGTTACAACACTGACATTCTTCAATTTTTTTACGTGTAGCAACTGTAGCGTTGTAGCTATAGTCCTTAACTGGCACAACTGTATGTATCATATCTGTAGCCAGGCTACAGCTAGGCTATATTGAAGATGTTTCTTATTTCATAGAGACTTGCCGAATTTCGATTGGAAGTCAGATCAAAAGAAGACTTGATTAAGGATAGACAAGTGAGACCGCCGGTTATTTATATGAGAAACATTTCAACAAACATCATTGATAACATGGATAGCTATTCAGAATTGACATCACGTTATAAATAATCTTTACTACATTTTAGAATTTTCTAGACAATGAATTGAACAATAACGCTGAAAAAGAGAAGAAAGTGTCGAATTCGGAGAGACAATCTGCGAGATTACGCTTACAGTATCAAGAAGCGGAAAATGACAGAATTCGGTTCCAGGATGAGGTAATTACTGTGTGCGTGCATATTAAATATAAAAAAATGTTTCTGCGGTTGACTGTGTATACTGTCAATAAAGATTCGCTTGCACAGCCGAGCAAATTATCCCCGGGTCGCCTGTACACGAGAACAATTTCCCCGTTAAAGAAGCTGATGGCATGACTGAAAAATTTATCGTTTGCTTAACTTTGCTAGCAGGCCATAAATTTTCAAAGGTTCCCCCTACCTGCCGACTTAATTAAATACATTGCAACAGTTAGTGGAATGTGTTAGGAAATGTTATGTTTAAGTCGCGCACCGTCAAAGAGAGAACATGCAGACACCTTGCAATTTTATTGCAATCTACGTTATCTAACATAAAGTCTAACATAAAGTATTGTCCTTTACAGCTCGAGACCCTCAAATATTCCGTTGACAGAACTGGTAAAGACCTCAATAATGCTCGTGAAAAATCTAATAGTTTGAAAAAGGAGGTGAAAACACGACAAGAAAAGTAAGAATAAGAAGTCTAGTATCTGACAGTCACTTACTGTATCTATTATATACAGTATGTGGTATAGTACTGTACGTCCAGTCTTGATTGTCGCCCAGGTCTGGGGTTGTCCCAACGATAAGCACATGCAGTTATGAAAATACGCGTGCATTCATGTTTATTCTTGTTGATTTAACAAGCTAGCTGGTATTCATGATGTTTTAACCAGTATTCGTTTTAAAATTTGCCTAAAAATCAATTCCTGACGTTCGTTGTAGACTGTCAGATGTTCAAAATGAACGGGACGTGTTAAATATGAAATTGAAAGAAACCATCGAATCAACTATGACAGCTGAAGAACGAGCGTTTGCAATGGAGGAATTATTGAAAGAAGAAGAAGCTAGAATACATCAAGTTGAGAAAGAATTAGCAAGACTTCGAGAAATACAGGTGGGTTTACTGGCAGAACTATACCACAAAATGTTAAATTATCTTAATGAATGATGTTGCAACCCAACTTTTTTTACTTTGCTATTTTAGTTTCGAAAAACTGAGGAATTACATTCGTGTAAAGTGAAGGAACAAAACACTTCAGCTGAAATCCAGGTGCAGTGATCTTTATGAAATAATATTTTGTGTCAGTTTCGTTAGTTACATTATAGTCTGCACACTCTGCACAGAGGAATGGTGATGAAGAATAAAATCAATGCGGAATGCACGATTGTTATAGAAAATATACAGAATGCAAATATGAGCCGAATTTATGTGGTCGTGACCATGCTGCATCTTCACAGATCCTAGTTAACTCTAAAGCACTCTAATATTTCGCATGTGTTTTGCATTTTGTTACAGGGATCTAGAGCTGCATCAAGAAATTTAAGCAGCAAGCTTCACAAGTTAGATCAAGATTCTCTTAAACAGCAGGAAATACTTTACATGCAGGTAAACGTTGTGCAAGTATCCGCAAATAACCTTTGATATTATTATAAGTTGGATTCTGTTGTCCCGCGCTGGCCGCACAAAATTTCACGTCTATTAAAACGATCAAAATTTAACTTATTTTCGACGGAGAAGTCAGCAAGGCCTTAGCAATAAAGCAAGAAGTATTCATAGCATAGACGGATTTTCATATTTTCTACAGGGGTGGTGCCAGAAATTTTAGGGGGGTGAAAATTGAGCATTGTGAAAATTGTAATTGCTTGAGATCGGTTTTGCCGGCTGACACAATTTAATAAAAAAAAATTTACTTCAAAATCAAATGCTGCGGAAAATTGGGAGGGGGTGTAATTTATTTTTGGAGGGGTGAACAATTTGTTTAGGGGAGTTATGACTCATACTTGGGGGGGTTGCACCCCCCTGCATCCCCCCAGAAAATCCGTCTATGATTCATAGTCGTTAATTTACGAAGAAAGCGTGCAATAACTCATTAATTATTTCGTAATATTTTAAAATAATCGTCTTACCTCCAGACGTGTGTCCAGACGCTTCAAAACGAGAAGCAAAACGTCTAAAAAGGGCGGGAAATATATATCACGTGATCCTAAGCCGCTTTTGACGTTAAAAACTTTCAACGAAAAGTAACGTTATTCGTTAATCTGTAACTTGTTCTCTGTTCGCAGAATTTTGTTATTTAATGCATTAAGAGAGTTTAAAGAATTGCGCGTCGTCTTAGCCTTTCGTTAGGAATGTTGGCGAGTTTTTTTTTAATAAAATGTTCGATAAATTCTCAAAAAAACATTCGTTCAGGACTTTCAGCTTCAGCAACTCGAAAGAAAGTTCATGCGAATGCAGGGAGAGAGAAGTAACGAGGAGAAACAACTTTTAGAAGAGAAAATCAAGGTATTTATTGCTTGAATTATAGCACATTAAATAAATTATTTAAAGATTCATCATGCACTTGCAATAATTTTCTACATACACCAAGGATTCATAATTTCTGATCAGACATCACAGGAACACTTACAAATCTACTTGTATAGGAAGTCTATTTTGCCAATTTGGACACAAAAAACTGTTCTATAACTCTTTCATTTGCAAACTTGCCATTGTCTTAACGTCTTAGGCAAACTATATATAGAAAACATTGAGTTACGAAAACATTTGTGTTTTGGGATGTGTCCTCGAATCATGTGTGAGCCCTGCCCTCCCGTGAAGAAATTGTTGTGGAAACAATTTGCTATGATATTTAAAAACACTCCATGTTTCCTGATCTAATAATTCCTGATCTTCGAATTTTAAATAATAATTTGTTTATTTTTTAATAACCTAGGAGTTATCCAGTCAATTAGAAGAACAAAACTCAGTAAATACTTTGTTGACTGCACAGATGAAAAAACTTGGTGTAAGTTAACTATTGTTTTATTATGTTGTTCATTAGATGAATCCTATAAGTTATACTTTAGACCTTGCCATAGAGTTCTATATATATGTGTTATAATATTTTACAAAAGAAATGATGTAATTTAGGATGATCTAAGAAGAGAGAAACGTTCTTTGGCAAGTGGTGATGACGAAAAAGCTGACCTTATCAGCAAAATTGGTGAGACCTTAATCAGTTTTTATTTCATCACGATCCAGAATGTTATGACCTCAAATAAATGAATGGAATATACAACCGCGCGTGTTGTTGAAAATCTTAAATTCGTATAGTGTAAAATATTGTGATATATATGTGTATGTGTGTATGTGTTTTTACTGTTTAGAGGAGCTTAATCTTCACAATGACAGTTCACAACGTGAGTTCAAGAAAATTATCAAAAATAAAGAGGTAATAAGAGACGTAATGCATGTGTTTGTCAACCGTCATCTATGAGTTATACCTGCATGCTAGGCCGGCTGGTCTGTGATTGTCGTTAGAAATGAAAATCACTGTTGAATGGTTGATGTTCATCGCAATGAATTTTGTTAAGCTCTTCTATGATCTTTGAACATTGCCTATTTTAGGAGGCAATGGTTGATGAAAATATTCTGAAACTGGAGATCAAGAGATTACGCGATTTCCTCAGTTCCAAGGCTGATGATGTTTTAAGTTTAGAAACACGGAAATTGAGACTGGAAGCAGTAAGTGTCTATTATATTGATCTTTCTAGAGGATAAGATTACGATGCATGTAGCTACGAGAAAAATATATTGTCTCAATTTGAGAGCTATTGTGTATCTGAAAATGAGAGCTACCTGATCATACCTTTGCAGTTCTGTTGTTCTTTCGTATTTTGGTTAATATTTAGTGAAATAATTTCATTACAGTCAATGAACCAGCGACGACAGGAGATTAAAGATCATAAAGAGATGCTTCGAGCTCAAATAAAAAGCGCCAACGAAGAAAGACAAACTGTGAGGTATAAATGAACAATATTGAATACATTTCCCCAAATTGAAAAGTGTTGTAGCATGCTTCGTGAGAATTGAACTATTGTTATTTGTAACTCGGATGCATTGTGTTTTATTATTCCAGCGCAGAACTTCATGATCGTATATCTAAGATCGAAAAATTGAGAAAAAGGTAGGATGAATTAACATTACTAGAAAGAATTAGAAAGAATAGTATTATAGAATAGTGATGATAAAATATCCGTTGACTAGGATAGGAAGACGTCAAACATCTGTAACAAACTTTATTTCTCAAAATCGTATATTTTATCTATCAATTGTTGTGTCATGACGTCATAGGTACGAGATTTTGATGGTATCAATGGCACCTCCGGAGGGAGAGGAAGAGAAATCTCAAGCATATTACGTCATCAAGGCTGCTCAAGAGAAGGAAGAATTACAACGGGAAGGCGATGAACTGGATGCGAAAATTAGAAAAGCTGAGAAAGAAATTAGGTAAGTTATATAACTGGACAATGTTGAATAGTCATACAACAGAGTACGGTTCTTCTTTCTGATCATGTAACAGGATTTGTGGTAGAATATATTTTGGTAGCTTAGCTAGTCCTGCAAGTGCCTCGAGGAATCAATCATAATTCCTAATACATGCTCCAAGAAACTTCAACGAGTGTTTTATCTTTTCAGGGCGCTAGAAAACACATTACGTTTGATGAATGACCGAAATGAGAATTATCGCAAAAGTTTTAACAAAGTTGATGCGACGAGTGAAGAATACGAGGAGAAAGAAAAACTCGAGGAACAACTTCGCGCTATGATGGAGAAATACAAGTTCAAACGACGTCAGATCCGTGAAGTACAAGAAGATCTTGAAACTATGAATAGCTCATTAAATGCACTTGCTAAAGATGAACAGGATTTAATGGAGCTACTAAAGGAAAGACAGACGAAAATGACCCATCTCGATAATGAACTGAATGATCAGAAAGCGAAACAGGTTTGTGACCGTAAGATAGAATTATCAGCCACTTTTGGTCTTTTTGATATCCAACAATTCTTTATAACCCAGTCATTAACTGCTGACGTATTCACGTTACTAATTTGTTATATGTCCTGATAACAAAATCTATTCTCACATTATAAATATGTATAAAATCTCTTTAGCTAATCAAAATTAAAACTCCGGGTGTTAGAAATACTGGTCTTTCTGTATTAAACAGCTTTTGTCACAAGGTTTTTCTGTGTCACAATATCATATCTAGTGCCTAAACTACAAGAAAATATGGAGCATCAATGATTCTCTTTTGTTTATTTTGACTTTTAACCAGGAGAGAACAAGGAAGCACAATAGTCGTATGGTTCGTGAAATCAGAAGTGCCAAGAAAGTAAAAGGGGAGTCTCATGAAGAGAGAGATATAGAGCTGAGAGAAATTCGTGATTTTAATACGGATATCATGAAACAGATTGGTGTTGTTGTTCAAACACATGTTGATATGTCCGCCGCAACACAATTATATTTTAATCAGGCTGGATTGCCTGCACCACCCTCACCAAGTCGTTTAGGATCACGACCATCATCAGTGCAGTCATCCCGAAGTTCATCCCTGGCTTCCAACAGGTAGGCTTTTCTACAGACTTTTGACAAGAACGAATGTGGAAATGTTTCCTGCTTCTGGTGAATAATTCCTGCTACCAAATTGTGAACTTTTATGTGAAATTTTTAAGGTCTATGTCTTCAGTACGAAGTGCTGACAGTCAACGTAGCGTTGGTTCAGTGAATATTGGCTTAGATCTCGAGGAAAAACCTGCTGTTGGTGAGTGTTTATTTACTGTAGTTTCCATTTACACTGTACTCCCCTTTATCTCATATATGCCACTATTGTCCTTGAACAACAAGCGATTAGAGTATTAAATCGATAGATTAAGACCTCAGTTGCACCCTGTTCTTCTTTGTATTACATTCTCAGCGTGGTTTTCAGAAAGGGCAGACCACCTGTTCAACAAAGTTGAGTACCGCCTGAATGTTAACCTAACCTGGGTTGGTTTCCAATTATTTAACAGGAACATCTCGTTCTGGTATCTCAGCGAGCTCTGCCACAAAAATGAAAGGCAGCAGTTCTAGATCAAGATCTCAAATGCAAACTGCTTCAAAAGCAGGATCAAAATCTGGATCTCAACCTGGTTCACCAGGAGGTTCTAAACCTGGATCCCGGCAAGGTTCGGCACGTACAGGGCGTCGGTCGTAATACATTCCGAGAATTAAACGCATGATATATCACATAGTCAACACTTTAACGAGTCTTTTTTAGAAAATTGTAAAATATTGTTGAACATTTAACGTCCAGATTGTCCATCATGCTTCAAACTAACATAAATATATTTATATGATACAGTTTGTAGTCCACTGTATCTACAATAATTGTTTCAACATTGAATATTATCTACAAACCTTTTAAACTCCCCGATCGTCGTTATAAAATATGATAAATAGCTTTGCTGATACATTAATCAGTCACTTTCTTCTGACGAGTCTAGGGTCTTTCCCATCTTTTTTAATATTTTGTTTTCTTCTCCAGTTCTTCTTTCATCTCCAGTCCCCTCATCCTCATCCTCGCTCTCATCACCCTCGCCACTATCTCCTGATTGGATGTTATCTTCCTTATCTTCGTCACTTTCTAAAACAATCGTTTTCTTTGTTTTTCTTTCACGTTTTTCATTTTCACTTTCATCGCTATCCAGAAGATCACGAAGATTGCTGAATACTCCCTTTCCTACGGGACTTGGTGTGAACGCTTGCCTGGAAACGCTGCAACTGCTTGATTGTCGCGTGACTCTCTTGCCCTTTTCTAAAAGCAGATAAAATCTCAACAAAGCATTTCCGAGAAATCAAACACTTTCCTAGTTAAGAATATTGAGATTAAGGCCTTGAAATATTTAGTTTTAAATTAAGGAGAGCGAAGAACTACCAGATAATTGTTTCACAATATGTTAACAGCTGATGACTGCTGATGGACAAAAATACGACATACCCGGAGTTCCAATAATCTTGCTCACATCAAGCTCAGCTAACTCATCTGCTTCTTCCTTCTTTAACTTGTATTTCTTGCATTTTTCTAGCGTGAAACGGCCTAAATAGCAGAAAAGTAAATTCTGACACAATCAATTATTCTGCAAACTTCTTGTGTACATGTGTAAAATGCCGCAAGAAAAATGGCGTGTGGGGAAAACTTGCCACGAATATGAAGTCAAAAATAAGCTTACCTTCAATTCCAGTAACCTCACGAATATGTTCTTCTAATTTACGTTCTTTTGCCGTCATTGAACGACACTCTTCAAAAAACTTAATGTAGTTTTGATGCATTCCACATGCACGCAGATAACGTTTTAAATTCTTCAATTTTGAACTATCTTCTCTTTCCTTGCGGCTTGATTTTAGATCTTCCTAAAATTGCCATATGTTTTTTACGTTATTGAATTAAATCAGTAATTACTTCAAACTAAAAGTTATAAACATCGTCGCTTTTACGAACCTTTCCAGCAACATAGGATCCGCGTTTTTTCTTTTTATCAAAAAATTTCTCATCATCGCCACTTTCATTCTCTGCTCGTCCACCTCTACTCTGCTTTTTTCCTGATGCAGACTCACCAGAACTCTTTGTACTTGATCTTTTATCATCATCATCATCACTTGATGATGAATCACTGTTTCTTTTCTGATTTTCACCTTTGGTATCAACCGAATCTTCAAAGTTTTTTAATTTACTCTTGAGACTTGCCAGTTTATCATCACTTTTGTTATCTACAGGACTTCTATTATCATTTTTTGTTGTCATCTTGTCTTTTTTCGTAACAGATACATTTTCAAAATCATCTTCTGATGATGATATATCACTATCATCTTCTATTCTCTTATTAGTTTTTTTTAATTTCTTTGTTGTGTTTTTCTGTTTTTTCTTCCTTTGTTCTTTACTGTCTATGGTGAAATTTGAATCAGAGTTCTCAACAGAATGTTCAAACTTTTTTAGCTTATTTTTTAGTGACATTAAATCATCGCTGTCAGAGGAAATGTTACTTTTATTATATTTACCACTTGCTCCAACTATTGTGGGCTTATTTTTTGAACTTGTACTTTTCCCTTCGGACATTTGGTTGTCACTACTGTCTGTAGTGTCAACTGCATATTTCTTTTCACTTGAACCTTTAGCCTTCATCATGTTTTGTTTTTCTTTGACAACCAAAATTTCATTCTTCTCATTTTCACTTTTTTCATCTGACAAATCACTGTCATCACTGCTGTCTTCTTTTCTTTTGTGTTTTCCATTCAAGTTCTTCTTTCCATTCCCTTGGTTTGACTGCTCTTGATGGGTACTTGCTTTCTCATAAGATTTCCTGCTGCTATTTTCCTCTAGAGATATCTTCACAGAATCATCTGAATCATAGTTATGTTCGATTTTTTGTTTCTTGTTGTCTTTCTTTCTTTTGTCGTCTGCTGAATTTCTGTTACTTTCTTCACTGGATCCATCTCTTTTTCGTTTGCTTTTTGTTTGGGGGTATTCCTGGATATTTGACTTCACAGGTGTCTTTTTAGTATCAATTTCATCACCTACATGTTCATAAAAGCATGAGACTATTTAATATACTTCTCCTTAAATTCCAACATAATTATATTAAATCAAACTACTAGCTAGCAATGCATTATTACCTTCTTTCTCATTTAATCGAGAATATACTTGATCCACAGTTTTCCTCACTTCAGATTTCATTTCCTTCTCAATTGAGTCCAAGCCATACTTCTCTTGGAACCCATCTATGATTTTTCGCATTGTAAGAGAACTATACACAAAAGAAGCAGAATAATTGTTGAATGTGCGATTCACATGTAACAATGAAATATTTAACAAATAAATATACTTTGAGTATACTTTGTGACTGGCATCTAGGGCATTGCTTGCCACTACCTTACAGAACTGATCATCCATTTCCTGATCAATCAAGTGCTGTGATCAATCAAGTGCTCACTAGAGAGCAGTATGATATGTTCATTCTCTATTGTGCCTCTAGTGACACACCATGGATAGTCTAGTTTTCTTCTCCAATGGCAACTAACTAATCTGGTCACATGCAGTATAACTATTAATTGCCTTGTCCTGTTTTGACACCTTGCCATCAACCTTATCAACACAAAGCCGTTTAAACAAAACCGCGGACTGTATCACATGGGTAGTTTTATCACAACTATTTATAACTATTTTACTAATTTAACCCATTTCACAATGAAATACAGAGCAATTAATGTCTGTACGTTCCTCTTCTTTATAGGGATCAGGCTGCACGTGTGCTTATAACTTATAACTTACTCAATATCGTCGCTGGTGCTCAAAAGTTTGAAAACATAATCATATATTTCATCTTGACTGATATCCATTGTGAAATACACAACAGATATTATCTACTGGATCAAAAAGAAATAAAAAAAAATGTTCACATATTCCCGCCACGGCGCCACTTCTTCCCGATATTTTTTTCCAAATAAGAAACGCCTCCCCCCCCTTTACAGGATAACAAACTGCTAAGTGCTACGCTATTAAGGCGAATATGCTATTTACAAAGAGCTATGCTGTGAAATTCTAATTCCAAGGTCAAATTTGAAATACCACGAATGAGGAAAAAGTCTCATTTAAAAAAAATACTGTTTTTATTTGGTGAACTATTGGAAAGTAAGGGGGGAAGACTTCATGAGGCATGTCAATTGAGATTTCGAATCAGAGGATATGCACATTGCACATGCGCTTTGTTTTATTCCAATTAGTGATGGGCGATACCAGCTTTTTCAAATCGATACGATACCGCTTCGATACCAGACAATTTGTAGTGGTATCGATACCAAATTTCGATACCGATACCAGAAATTTGAGCCGTTTTTTACCGTTTGTAATTTCATATACCAAACCATAACGTGCATTTATCCACTCACATTTTTGGCTTTTCCCTTTGTTTTTTCGCGAAATGAAAAATGGGCAGAAATTATTGTGATTGGTAGCATATAATTAAAGAACTAAGGAACAAAAAGTGACGAACAAAAAAAAATAAATCAAATTTTTTATACTTTTTGGTGGAAAACGCTGACCTAAAATACTGTAGGCTCAGTATCGAAATTTTGCAGTATCGATATTTACTGCAAATCATAAATATCGGTGAGTATCGATACTTGGTATCGAAGTATCGCCCATCACTAATTCCAATATTCTCCAATATGGCCGCCGAGGTAAGCGTGGGGCTTTTTTATTTTTATATAACTTAATCTGTATTGTATTAGACAAGTGCCTGTAAAAGTAAAACTATTTTCTTTAAGGATATTGTAAAGCATTCTGTACATACGTTGGTGTTTCGTTCTTTAAAACGGACCCATGATATGTTTTTACACAATCACACATTTCCACTTGAGAAAGATCCTGAAAGGTTAGTAGTTGTAGAGATGTTTATTCATCATAGTAACTTTTGATTAAATACAAAGTGGATTGTTCTAGAATCCACTGGGAATGAACATTTAGCCACTGCTTCTATTTTTTACATGATTTTCTTACTATAAAATAAATGGTGGTAATATTGGTATGTAGCACAGACCACAGACATCAGACATGCAATTTGCAAAGAACTTCTCCACACCCAAAGATTTACTCCTCAACATTTTAATATAAAAACATAAGCAAAGAGCGCATGGCAGCATCCTGTAAAGTATGATTTTTGTGCTTTTTTCGGGAGGGAATGTACGGTTTTTTCAATAGTAATGCACAGGTTTTTCCTCTTAAAAATTAGTATTGCGTTTTTTTCCTCTTCCATAGATGCAAATATAACTGAAATATATTTTTCCTTTTTGTATCCACATCAATAAAATCTTTCTTTCCTTTCAGCAATAAATTAAGAATTGAATGTAAGATCCGTGATGAATATTCTGCTGTAAAAAATCTTCCCATATTAAAAGAAACAATCCAAGGAGAAACTGAACATCATAACACACATCATACTGAACAAGGTGACATGATGTTTTGAGCATTTATCTAAGAGTAGTGTAATATAATTTCAGATGATGGTGGATTAACCACAATACCATATTGTCTGTGCATCTTGATATGCTGTACGCCTTCTTTGTCAGCTAATGTATTTGTCTTTAAGAAACTCATCCAATCCAGGAACCACAAATACTTGGAGGTCATCCATATCCTGCTGCCCCAGGTATTTAATGATATTATAGATTCATTTTTATTATGAGAGTTTTTTTAAACATATGGTTGAATTTGATGCTACGCAAAAGTAATTTGATATTAATTATCTTAAAGGGATTCCTCTAAGCAATCAAAATATTACAATTCCACAAGAACCATCCCAAACTGGAATTCAACAAGTTTTGAAATCATTACCTCCATCAAAAACACAGTAAGTTGTATTGGATCATCAAATTCCCTTTTTGTTACTTGAACCTCATTTTTGTTATACAATCCTAATGAATGTTTCTTTGACAGGATTGAAGCAAGTAAGAAGACTCCAGGTGTTTCAGAGATCAGAAACAAAGCACTGTCATCCGGTGGCAATGAGCGACTATCTGGTCCTTCTAAAGCCTTAGTACCATCAGACAAGATGTCATCTTCAGCCATCGTTCAGAAACGAGCTTTGACAATGCCGAAACCTGAGTGGCATGCACCTTGGAAATTAATACGAGTAAGATCACTACACATACCCTTATACCCTTAGCACCTCAATTATAAAAACAACTATCAGCATCATGGTTAAAAATGTTGAGGCTCTCAGATTTTAGAGATTAGGCAAGAGAGCCAGGCTCTGTTTTGCGAATACATCAAAATATATAATAAATTCTGAATGATAGACAAGATGGACTTTTTGAAAGTTCAAACTTTCATCATCAATTGAAATATGTATTTTTAAGATTGATATGGGTAATATTATCTTAGGTGATCAGCGGTCACACAGGGTGGGTTCGTTCAGTTGCTGTAGAACCTGGAAACAAATGGTTTGCCACAGGGTCAGCTGATAGGACAATAAAGGTAAGAGCATCATTGTGCTGAAAATCCTGCTGAAAATACTTCACTACCATAGCAATTCCTTGCAGATTTGGGACTTAGCAAGTGGTCGTTTAAAACTCTCCCTAACTGGACATATCAGTACCGTGAGGGGTCTGGTAGTTAGTACACGACATCCATATTTATTTTCATGTGGTGAGGACAAACAAGTGAAATGCTGGGATTTGGAATATAATAAGGTGAATATTATCACTGTTAAAATTAGATGAAAGAATCATTTTTAAAAACTATCCTGCAGCATGTGTTGTTTGAGAGTCTTGTACCTACAGTACAGTTTACTAAAAACTTCCTGTACTGTTCACCCAAATATTCGCATTTTCCTTTTGAAAAATGAACCTGTTATATCACGTAGGTAGCTACCTGGTGACAGGTATACTAGCGCCTGTTACGTTAAAACATGTTTTTTTATTGCAGAAAAAAGAAGCAAGTTTTATAATAAATTGTCTGATGTTTTAATTCTACTTTAAGGTTATTCGACATTACCATGGTCATCTTAGTGCTGTTCATGATATTTCTCTTCATCCAACGATTGATGTATTAGTCACGTGTGGTCGCGACTCAACAGCCAGGGTAAATATTTTCGGCATTTTATTTTGGCAATGCATTTTCTTCTATCGCCAATCTCCAGCAAAACTTTTTATATTCTGAATTTTTGGATCCTTTTTAGAAGACGTATAATATCTCCGCAAAAAATTTCCGTTTTCTTAAACACTTTCATTGTCAAGAACATCGAATATGATTGCTTACATTCTTATAAAATATCGCGTCTTCAGGCTTTGCTGGATTTTGACTCGACTGAGCAAAGAGAATTACAACAATTCATCTGAAAGAGTTTTACATTTTGTTAACTGTTTCAGGTATGGGACATGCGCACTAAAGCGTGTATTCATACATTTGCTGGACACACAAATACTGTTGCTGTGGTTGAAACACAGGCTGCGGAACCACAGGTAAACTACGGACAATCAAACCACATGAAGTACATCTTCATACTGTGTTGTGACTGGGGCTTTATATAATTAAGCTTAACATTGAACGGTCAAAATGGCCAAAAAAGGTCCGAAGTCGAGTCTGTATTGATGGATTTGTTGTTTCTTTCATATCCCTAGGTGATTACAGGTAGCCATGATTGTACAATACGTCTTTGGGATTTAGCTGCTGCCAAAACTAAGGCTACGTTAACTAATCACAAGAAAAGTATTCGCGCCATGGCGTTACATCCAACACAGTAAGTTAAATGTCATTGTGAGATGAATAATCTGACTGCTGATGGCTCACTCTATAACTTGGTTAATATTTGACTTTCTCTACCATTTTTCTGCCTGTTCTTTTAAGATATGCGTTCGCAACAGCATCACCAGATAATATTAAACAATGGAAATTTCCTGATGGCAATTTCCTACAAAATCTCACAGGACATAATTCCATTATCAACTGCATGGCAATCAACTCTGACAATGTTCTCGTTACCGGAGGTATGTTGACACGATTCATTTCATCGAGCATTGCCTTTTTCAAACGAGGTTTATCAACATGTAGCTATAAGTAAGGTTGAAATGATTTTGTTTTATTAACCGCCGCAGGTGATAACGGTACAATGTATTTCTGGGATTGGAAAACTGGTTACAATTTCCAAAGATTTCAGGCAACAGTTCAACCTGGTTCTCTTGACAGTGAAGCTGGTGTATTTGCCATGATATTTGATCAAAGTCAGAGTAGATTAATCACGTGTGAAGCTGATAAAACTGTGAAGATATACAAGGAAGATGACACAGCGGTATGCAGGAATCCATGCTTAGATAATCATTCTCGTTTTTTAATCATGCACACTTGAAACATACGAAACCTTGATATTGTGTATTTCTGTAGACTGAAGAAAGTCATCCAGTTAACTGGCGACCAGAGATTCTGAAACGAAAACGTTACTAAGAAATGTGAAACAGCGTGAAGATGAAGGTATTTTATCTTTGCTGTACGTCACTTTTATCAGAGACCTGATCATTTTCGATTCGCCAAAACTTCTTTTTGAAAGGTGAGATTGCGAGTACTCGACTAAGCCACAGTGGTAAAAAAGTATGAGAAACAACAATCAGGCTTATGTACATAGTTCGACTTTATTAACATACCTGCGTTTTTATTTATTTTTCTTTTTATTAATTATAAAGTCTTTTGGGTTACTCCACCAAAGTGTATGATCATAGTAATGACGTCGTACCATTATTAAATTATGAAAGATTATTCTCTGCTTGTTCGCGGGCAGGGAACGAGTTGGTTCGCGGGTACAAAACAATCACATAAATGCGGAAAATATATCCGAAGCCGGCGAAGGTGGAAACACATTGATTATCGTAGCCAGTGAGCTCTATATATATAATTATATAGAGCTCACTGATCATAGCGTAATTTTGGTCGGTTAAAAGGCGAAAAAGAAAAGCCTGAAATCTCGACCGAACGGGGCGAAGGGGCCTAACTGTCCGGCAAGGACAGAAAGGATTGTTTAATTTGAAAAATGACGCTCATGCTTAAAAAATTTTTCAAAAGAGTGATGGAAGTTAGCTCATACGGTAGACTTTTAATTGATATATTATATTATACATCATACGTGGTAATAGAATTACTACAGCCATACATTTCGTATAAATTATAATTTTATAGTCTATAATGATAAATATAAAAATTATATACAGCAATCGTAATAAAATGATCTATATTTCTGCAGTGTTATCCTTAGAAAAAAGTCTTTCCACAGCATCTCGTGTGCCCAGACATCCTCTACAAAGATATCGTATTGATATTAATGAAAATTTCGAACTACTTGGCATGGAGGAAGGCCTACGCCTCGTATATGGGCCTTTCTCGAAACCGGGCAGACTGTCGCATCAATAATCAATCAGTTTTATTTTAATCAACCCTGCATGCCTTTAAGGCTCGAAGCTCACTGACACTAAATCACAATGATTTAGTAATATATACAGCTTAATCAAATGTATATTCATTAAAAGGGTGTTTATATATAAGATGGATCATTAATACAGAGATGTCCGCGTTTAAACTTACGTCACAATTCCCAATAATATTAGAAAATAATCCAAAATTTTTTGATAGATTGTTAGTTCTCTAAAGGATAAAAATGTTCGTTACGATAAAAGTCGATAAGTTTGGGTCTGTTCGTGCTTCGCATGTAACGAACGCATTAAAATAATAAAAAACTAGTTTAGATACAAGAGGAGCTTGCACGACGTTTGAAACGAATCCTTAATGTACATAATGTAACCACAATATAAACAAAGTTACCCTTTAAATATTCTCAAATGAAATAATCCTGGTAAAATAAAAGCTAGAAGTATGCAACACGAGGATCCAATCAAAGCCATTAATGTTGAAAAACTTGGTATGGTTAATACAATCACCAGTGTTAGCAACACTAGACTTGAACGAACAACACTCTGAAAATAAAGAAAAATTACTTGACACGGAAAGTACACAGTATAAGACCAAGGGAGACGTACGACGTACGCAACTCGGCAACTGCATGCGCAAGAATAGAACATAAATAAGTGCATATTTCCTCTGTTGTGGATGTAAGAATGCTTGTTTAATTTATAGTTATATAAACATTTAACTATTTCTGCTTAAGTTGTCGAGAAACTGACACAAACATAATTTCGTTATAGTTGCCATATATCTCGATTGAATTATTTTCGCTTCGTCGTGTGGCATTTCAAAAGAGGAATGCATGTGTGTCATTTGGGTTAGGTAGTATTTAAAACACTATACAGCAGTAATAATTAAAAAACAACAACAAAAACTTACAGACTTATAATAATCTGCTGTTTTGGGGTCATTGAATAACCTCATTTCTAAGATTCTTGACACAGGAAACATCATGACTGGAAAATATATTACAAGTCATATATTACTATAGTAATACATTGCAATTTACAATAAATTGTAGAAATATTTCAATAAATCATCTCATACCAGGATACGTAAAAAATAATGAGAACATTAGGCAACTCTTTACAATCACTGGAAATTTGCCTGAAAATATAATGACCAATTTTAAAGACCTGATAAATTTGTTTGCATGATAAACTCATATTGGTAAAGGCGGTGAGAATGCATGGATGTCTCTTCTGCATGCATTCCTCTGCCTGATGATAAATCTACGCCACTCTTACCATTTGGAAGATTCAAAGTTATGATACTTTTCGTATTTTCACCGAATGACTACAAAAAAGGGAAAACGATAATCTATATGTTCGTGAAATATCATTCTATTTTTCGAAACTGTTCTGAAATTAACATCAAGATTCAGGTGAATATTCTCATGCAGACTTAAACGGAAGAGTATGCTTTTTGTCATCTCGTGCAGGCTACCACCGTTTTACAAAGTGAAAATATATAGTTCCTGAGCTTTCTATAGTTTATAGTCTACATACTAGATATCCACATATACCAAACGTCATATAGAGTAATGTAATGACCAGCATTGCTAATTTGAATATTCTGGTGAATAAAAAGAGATAAATGAGATAAAATAACAAACAATAAACTGAACATGTTTTAACGCGTTTCAAGAACAACGAACCACGGTGATTGTGGATTCGTATATTCGTATATTGTTGTCATAAGATTTTCCTTTTACCAATAATAATTACCCGTAAAATTTACTCTGACATTCTTTGGCGACAGATGACTCCAAGGAAAGGATCATTCCAGCTCCCTACCAAATTTGCAGTTATGATAAAATTTATGCATGTAATTGATTTATCATGCATATTAAATCACTACGACAAAGCATCTCAGGAGTATTACTGTAAAGTTTGCGAAATATTAAAAGAAACGTGGATGTCCGCATTTTTTTTACTTATTTAGTGTGTTATTCTTGCCGACTTCCTAGCCTCTTTCCATTCTCTCCTCTACAACACATCTCACCAATATCTCACCTCGTAACAATAAACAGCAATCCCGATAAAAAATGGTAAACCTTCAGCGGAATAATTATGAATGTCATCTCTAAACAACAAAATTACAGTGTTCAGACATGAAATCGATGATGATCATGATATACAATGAATACTCACCCAATTTTTTCAAAATTCTCAAAATCAAACCAAAATACGACACAGTAAGCAAATATGTTGGCAAAATCTGCGAATAAACTGTGGAGAGGACAGTAATGAAATAAAACTACCAATGAAATAAAACTAACACGGTTATATATACTTACCTGAATATGCTGAGATTTTTTAACTGTCTCACGTTTGTAAGAATGATTAGCGGAAAAACCATTGCAAATAAATACTGATTTCTAAAAACAAATGCCGAAAATATTGAACGTGTCCACAGCAGCGGCCAGAGCTCACTGAATGTACGTTACCTTGAAAATCTTGGTAGGAAATTGGTAAGATTTTCTGAAATAAATATTAAATATGCACAACAAAATCCTAGAAAAAAAGAGTGAATTTTTATAATTTAGGAATAATATAATTCCATATCATATGAAATGATTGAATGCGCTCAATTACCCTAGGCCTAGACAAGCTTACCGACTTGAGACAGAACCACAAGACCGTCCACCAATACGATTCCAGATTTACCCAACGCATGATATCCTGAAGATAGAAAACACATAATTATTCCAAGATCTATAAGCCTGTTCACATCAATCAATTTTGTCCAAACAAATCCACTTCTGATGAATGCTAAGTAGTCTGTTGATGAATATGGCTCATTGATATGGCTAAGAAATCAGCTAGAGCCAACGCAGTACCACTGCGCAGTACTGCTTTATCATCAATAACAGATTACATTCCATATGTCAGAAGTGAATTTGATCCCAACACACTCGGGAGAAAAAATATCTTGTACACTCTGATACTTATTACGAAACGGAAAGTTATTTGGTGAAATTTCGTCAGTAAAACAGAAAACTATAGTGAATCAGGCAATTTGTTTCGCGCATCACATGCAGTTTAGAGGGTGATTGATTTAGGTATATCAACTCCATAGGCGGCCCAAAATTGCGCGAGGAATTTTTCGGTAATTTATCAATATGATGTAATAATGTACAAATTACCGAAAAATTTCTCTCGCGCGAAAAAAATATAGCGCAAATGATCAACCTTTAGTTCAACCTTTGGCTTTGAAATATATGACAATATGTTTTATTTGAAAATTGACCACGCAATGGATCAGTTTGAACCGCTAACATTAATACGTAATATTCCCTTTTTTTGTACATTACAAGTATAAGGAGTAAGGTAAGTGTAATTTGATCAGCTAAAAATTAACCCACCTAGATCGCCAAATTCTAAGTCGTGATGAGCATTGATCTAAAAGTGTTATCAAAATCATGAGAAATTTTCCCCATCTTTTTCTCTCAGAGAAATGACCTCATTTCTCTCAGGGATATTACCTCATTTCTCTCAGGGGTATGACCTCATTTCTCTCAGAGATATGACCTCATTTCCCTCAGGGGTACGACCTCATTTCTCTCAGAGATATGACCTCATTCTCTTGGGGATACAACTTCATTTCTCTCAGAGATATGACCTCATTCTCTTGGGGATACAACTTCATTTCTCTCAGAGATATGACCTCATTCTCTTGGGGGTATGACCTCAGACTATGGCCATCATCTCATTTTGTTAACCTGAGGTTATATTGCATGTCATCAGTATTTTTGTATGAACCAGGGCACTTGGCATCTGGTAATAAACATACTGCATGCCATATATATGCCCTCCTAGGCTTGAAGTGGTTAGTCTTTTCAGACTATATCAAGAGGAATTAAGAGGTGGGTTGTTTGGTTATCTATAAAATCTTGGATAAATTTCTGTCAGAAAAACTGGACTGGACTTTGAAGTGTTTCCATGGAATGGCCACACATTGTTTGCTATCTTTGGTATGCAGTGTTCTCTTCCTTGACAAAGCATGTTTGGCCCAACATAATACACTCTCTCAATGTATTTACCTTTGGCTTCAGTTCCTTCACCTCAACATCAACAACATTGCCATTGGATTGTTTTGCAGGCTTTTCATCAGGCTCAGATGCTAACTTCTGATAATTATATGGTTGCTTACCAAGAATCTTGTATTTACAGTCAATCAGAAGTAACATGGCCCGGGTACTAACAAAAAATAAATACTACAATGAAAACTAAAAGGTGACGACCTATCATGTAAACTAAACAATTTCTCTCACCGCCACTTATCTACTGATATTACTATTAGTTTTAGGAATGAAATGAAAAGATTAAGTACTGGATGGTAGAAATTACAGAGGAGAGGAAAAAGCAATTCAAGCAGTGAGGTGGTATAGATTTATCTCTGATTTCTGAAATTATATTCAACTTATATTCTTATTTAACTAGATTTTAGCCGGCGAGGTTGCCAGTATAGTATTATAACTATTACCTCACAAGACCTATAAATCCCAGTATAATAGCTCCTTCTATAACCCCAGCCTAGTAAAAAAGAATAATTGCATGTCATTCTATTTTCTAGAGAATACTATTTGGGCCAATGTAAATATAATGTAAATATCATAAATATATCCTAAATACAATAAAAAATTTAAGCTAAAAGAGCAGTCTATGGACTCAAGGAAAATACAGTTATTATGGGTAATAAATTAAATTAGGTTCTGTGTTGGAACTAAAATTGAACTTGCTTCAACAGGTATGAACACTGGAATTAATATGTATTTAAATGTGAAAAAAAGTCAGCTAAAAAGTCCCCACTTGACATCTTTATGCTTTAAAGTGAGATTAAAAAGAAAGCCTCTAATAAAATTTGATTTGTGTGTCATAAAATCATAATTTGCTCCTTTTATCTTGGAATCACTGCCATAAAATATTACTATTGGTCTCCAGCTTAACAATAATAGATCCTAATCTGGATAACATATACAGAAAGCACAGAAAGCAGAAATTATAACCACCAAGCTACTAAATTTATACATAACATGAAATCATTGAAAAAATAAATCAGTATGGAGACTGGAGTATGATTTGGGACAAAGAAAAAATAATCAATTGTATTCTGGACATTTAACCATCCATAAAGTAATTAAAATCTATCTGATAACAAATATTTATAAGAGGAGACATTGGTTTTGGTCCATTGGTTGGTTTATATTCTACGATTGCAACATAAAAAACAAATATTTTATATTTTCTACCTCCTTAAAAGCGTAGGGAACGCCAAGAACTCCAGCGCCAATAAATGCAATAAAAATATTGGCAAATATTTTAGGGATGCTTTTTGTGCCATCTTGCATCGTTTTGTCTGATTTTCTTTTTATTAGCGACAAACCTTCCCCAGTAGTTTTGATGTGGTGTGTATTCGTTCGTCGAAGTTACAAAATCAAAGTCAATATAATATTTAAAACTGTAGACGTCACAAAGCGGTCATTCTTCGAAATGCCTGTAATCTCCACGCAATTTATTCATTATATTTGATATTTTATACAAAAGTTGACGATATTTCATTGATTATAAAGGATAGCCTGCAAGTGGTCAACGTTTCTTCATGCTTTTCTGCCACTTGAGAAGGCTGAAAATTAATTTAGGAGATTTGAAAAAACAAATAATTTGAAACAATCTCGCATGTCATTGTGTGATACTTCATGTAAAAACTAAAACGGAAAAGTTTTCTCACAATGGATAACTGTAAAGACCCTGGGTACGAGGTTGTGGATAACTACGAATTTTTGGGGAGATTGAAGAATAATTAAGGTTTTAATATTGAGTGATAGATTGTGATAGAGAAGGCGAGGTTACAAAGCTTGAAGAGGTCTTTTTCTGAACGATCATAAACTTGGAGGTAAACATTTTCTTTTCATCATTTCAATCCGTCTCATTTTACTTCAAACTTCTTGACATCACAGCGTATCAACTCTCCATATTCTAGCTTATTTCATTCACATTAATTTTGCTAAATATGTACAGCTAATTCCTTTAACATCGCTGAAAATTTCAATACTTCTTCAAGAAATCCTTTCCACAAATAAAGTATGAAGTTACTTTAAACGTTGTATCAAATTGAAGTATATACATTATCAGCTTGTTTCTGTTGTTGTATACTTCAATTGAATGCAACCATATGCTTGAAATAGTAAGTAAAATTTTCAATATTTAAGTCTGAGACTCTGAGTGTTTGGTTTACACTACTCAAGAAACACATGCACACTGACTAAGTACTAAAAAAAGATGGAATCAGAATGTTAGTAAATGAATGTGACATAATAATGGAAAACATTTGTTTTGAACTTCCACTAAATGACATGCATACAGAGCTCTTTTCCATGTTTATTTTGTATATACAGTACCATTCATGGAAAAGTTTTAAAAATCCAGTACCTCCTCCCGTGGGACAGGATACAGGGTTCTTATCCTGCGGGATGGAAATGCATCCCATGGCTTAACGAAAACTTGTTTCATTCATTTTGTTTGTGCAATTTGAGAATGGGAAGGTTAACAAACCACAGCAAAGAATGAATTATCAAATTGAAAGAGAGTGTCTACAAACCAACATAAATTTGTGCAATATAGGGTAAATTTGCATGCTTCACTGATTCAGTGATTGATGCATGCTCACACTCATAGACTTTGTTTGAAATGCAATAATCTTCCCACAGTCTCTTTTGTCATAAGTTGTGAACAGAAATATGAACTATAGCAGTTTACAGTAGTGCTGGTGAACTAGAACACATTTTACAGTATGACGTAAATGAATTATGAGACTACCCCAAGAGACTTGTTCTTTCAAATAGTTTAATTCAAAATGAGCGAATGTCAAAGTAATTTGCACTATGATAAGTTAATAACAAACTTTCCCTGGTTGACATATTTCTGCAAAAGTAGGTGAATGTTTCATTCACGTTTACAATTCATAGCAAATCATTCGTTATTACTTTAATGGAATTTAATGGAATGATCTAATTATCAAAATAGTGTCTTTACCATCACTTAACATAACACAACTTTATTTATACAAAATTAACCCATCAGTGGGCAGAGCAGCTCTGAATTAGGATTTCTTTGAGCATATTTTATTCCTAATATTACTATGACCACATATGTACATAGACCAAGAGAACCTCACACCAAGTACAGTAGAACTATTCAATAAAAAACCAGTATCCTTTGTTAAATCAACATGGCTATTTGAAGTTTGGGAAATAAGTCCTGACTTCTTTACTTTTGTATAAATGGCTTACAACACCTGTAATAAGGTTTTTGCTTCAAAGTACAAATTTACACTTATCATATTTCTGCAATTCTATGTAAAGCATTCTAATATTGATATGGGTCCCTTGTAGCCATGAGGACCATCCTGGCATCTCGGGAAATTTCAATCCCGGAAAATGGTGAGTATTTCTTTGTTACAATGTGCAAGCATGTCTAATGTTCCTAGTTTGCCTAGAGCTCACTGGTAAATGCTATTTATTCTAGTTGAGGTTAATGTCAAAAGCAGATCAGTTACTGTAAAGGGACCACGAGGGACGCTGAAAAGAACATTTAAGCATCTTCGTCTTGAATTACAACTTATCTCAAAGAAAAAACTTAAGGTTGATGTTTGGTTTGCCTCCCGAAAAGAGTTGGCATGTGTACGGACTATCTGCAGTCACATCCAAAATATGTTCAAAGGGGTTGTCTATGTAAGTGACATTCATGGATATATTCAGTGATAATAATGGATATTGGGAATTTACTGGAGTGAGGTAGATTTACTGGGAGTGTGGGGGTAGTAAAGCAACTAAATAGTGTGGTGGTTTGTGGTACAAGGTGTGCATGTGTTTGAAAAATTTACTGAAATGTGGTTGGTTTAGTGAATGGGATGTAGTAAAACCATTGAGTGTTGTGGATTTTTTGGAAATGTGAGCAGTGTGTGTGTTTTGTTGAATTTACTAGAGTATGGTGAATTTAGTAGCAGTGGTGAATTTGCAGGTTTGGTGGATTCGCAGGTTTTGTGGATTTATTTACTGTGAAAATTAATGGTGTGAATTAATTTCAACAAGGATGTGAACTATTTCATAGTGAACTATTTCATGGTGACCTTCAGACTTTAATATATATATTTAGTGTGTGTATATATATATATATATATATATATATATATAATTATATATATATATATATATATATATATATATATATATTGGTTGATTAAGTATTTCATCTTTAGGGATTCCGTTACAAGATGCGAGCTGTGTACGCTCATTTTCCTATCAATATAACTTGCACAAATGATGGAAACGTTGTAGAAATCAGAAATTTCTTGGGCGAGAAGTACATTCGTAAGGTACCTCTCAGACCTGGTGTGACCTGTGCAAATTCAAGTCAGAAAGATGAGATCATTTTGGAGGGCAATGATATCGAACTCGTTTCAAATTCTGGTAAGAGAGAGAACACTTTGTCTGTTCAAGTATTTGATTGAAAATTATTTTACGACATTTGAAGGAAGGATGTCTGTCCTATAATTTAGCCTGGTTTCAACCTAAGTTCAGATCAATTGTGTTGAGAATGTCCGATGAGATAAATTGAAATTTTCTTGTTATTTTAGCTGCGTTAATCCAACAGTCGACGAAGGTGAAGAATAAAGATATCAGGAAATTTCTGGATGGTATTTACGTCTCGGAGAAAACCACCGTTGTTTCTATGGACTAAATATTTGCAGATGAAATAAATGTGTTTAATCCTTCAAATTATTTTTATTAGTTGGATGTTTATTTATTTAGCCATGAAACTTTGAGTTTTCGTTCCTCAGAGCCAAAGTGACGATCGCTTGCAGCTGATGGTAGGTTCATGTGTTCACACAGTATTCAGTAAAGTGGATAAAAATTTGACCGGTTCTGCGTGTGCACGTGTGGACATGACGGATTTGAGCACAATCCCAAATTCGTCCACCCACCCTGTGTGAATGCAGCCTTCACTAGTACTATGTCGTTTACGATGCTTTTATTCTCAATCCTTTTATTCTCAAACAGCGCAGTGTTACTGTTCCGCACCTTCGTCTGCTATGTATGTTTTTAGTCAACCGCCTAAAGTTACATAAATGAATTTCTTCAGTAATAAAAAGCCTGGGAATGATGCATCCGAACATGTTTCTTGTCGAAAAAACCCATAAGTTCTGAACTGAAGAATGATCGGAACACTGACCTCGAGGGGTCAGATTGTCCGTCTTAATGACGTCAGACAGAAGAATGTGAGTGGCAAACTTGCAATGCAATCAACTTGTCACACAGCAGACACTGGGCAGGCAGTCAGGCACGGTTTCAACTTTCTAGCTGTAGTTTATCAGCTGTTTTAACCTTTCACTATATGCAAACACGCAGCTTTTACTGAAGTTAATTTCAACTAAAAAAACTTTGTTTAACTATACTGTCTCAATAAACATACGAGACTCTATGACTAAGCTGTGCAAAAGGAAGTACCCCTTGTGTGCATAATTGCATGCAAACATTACGTCACGAGGGCGTAATGACGTTGTTTTAGTCACGTGATCCATGAATCTTCCAAGGAACTGAGTACGTACGTTGGGGTCGCGAGAAAGAAAAATACGAAAATACAGCAATCTGTGATTTTTAAAAGATGCTACAACAAACATATATGTTTTCTATAACCCTTGTACTACTGTTAGGGAACGCGTGTGCTTTATATAACGATAAGTCAGAACCAGACACTTACTTCGCAAACGTAAATGTTACTGTGTGTTCGAAGGATGGTTGCCGTTCTGATATCAACGAAGCCAGTTATGGATCGAGCAGTTCACACAGAAAAGTCGAAGGACATTTAGTCCATGCTTCTACAGACGGTTGTAAGAAGTTTGTATTTCCAGTGATGAAGAGTCCTTGGATTGCATTGATACAGAGGGGTAGTTGTTTTTTTACATGGAAAATTAGAAATGCTCAGCAACACAATGCCTCTGGTGTTATAATATACGGAGATAAACCAGGCAATTCTTTTACAATGGAACATAAAAATGCTGATGTTGTCGCTGTTAGCATTACTCATGGTTTTGGGAATGAAATAATATCAGAAATGAATAATTCCAGTGTATATGTGACGATTACATACAGCAGAACACAAGAAGGTCGTAAAATCAATACAATCTCGGTCTTGTTTGTTTCCGTTTCATTTATTGTTCTCATGGTCATCTCGTTAGCTTGGCTCGTTTTTTACTATGTACAAAGATTCCGATTTTTATACGCCAGAGATAAAACTGAGGTATGTAGTGTATAGTGTACGGACTATTATATAGGCTAAAGCATTTAATGTTAGCCTGGGAAATTTTCCATAAACGCCACATTAATGTTAGCTTTGTATTAATCCTTCTTACATTTTTAACAATAAATCATTTAGATATTAAAATTCAAAGTTATATTTCTATATAATTTGAAAAATAAGCTATGTCGCGGCCCTTTTGTTTTGATTAATCGTCTGTTCAGACTGTTCTTTTCCGCATTTTTATGCCTGACCGTTCTTGACGATTTGGAAATTGCTCAACTGTTTTTTACTTAATGGACGACTTTCGTTACATATATTTTGTTTTCTTTATTTCTTTCATACACCAAATGATAACTGAACGAAGTTGATATATTCTTTTTAGGTCTAAATGTCGTGTCGATAATAAATAATTCAAAGTCACGTTCTAAACGTACATTGCCTTTTTTTGCCTTTAAATTGATTCTAACAAGTCAGAATGTATCAATTTTCGTTTCTTATTTTATAGAATTACAGTAATTGAAATAATATTTAAATATAAACTTGCAAGAGTAAACTAAACAGTTAAAATTGGGAGTACTAGGATACAAAAGTGAGCTCTTTAACAACCATTGCATTGTATGATTATTTTATTCACCAATTATCTGGGAATATGTATAGTCAGATGCAGCACATCTGTGCAATAACACCTAAATTTTGTCTGGAAATATTTAACTGAAATGAAATGTGATTAGACACTTCTTGCTTTGATTTCTGCAACTTTACCATATTACTCAATTGTATTTGAAATATCACAATAAATAAAATATCTAAGAGTTTTGCCGAGACAAACATAATTTTCCCCAGGGAGTGTTCAATATCAGACAGTCATATAAGGCTCTATAGATGGCCTATTTATATCATTATAGCTGGCTATGCCATTAGTCTTTACTCATGTAACATATAGTTCAAAACATATGTTTCCTGCTTCCTATTTACTTTCTTTTTACTACTTCCTATCTACTTTCTTATTAAACAGTTCAAAACACTTCCCCAAACAAGCATTTTACGCTTTTTATTATATATTTCATTTTATAATATAGAGACGTCTAACAACTGCTGCAAAGAAAGCAATTGCAAAACTTCATTCTCGAACAGTTAGCAAGAAGGTCAGTTGAAAGTCCCATGAAAAAATTTAGTGACAATATTGTGCAAAATTGCAAATATAATTTTATGACAGTACATAATAATAAAGAATCGTTATTATAAAAAAATGGTGGGCATCACACTATTGTCACATCCTCAGCAGAAGGAACTTGATAACACTCTACCTAAATTATATATGCCTTATTGTTTCTTATTTTCTTAGGAGGAAGAAGATGGCACATTGAACAATTCTTGTGCTGTCTGTTTGGAAGAGTATAAGTCTGGGGAAACACTTCGTACGCTTCCTTGCAAGTATGGACTTATTTTTCAATAGTTTTTCAAACATGTTTATGAGCTCTGTTTATAGATATGTTTTATTAAATTAAAATAAATGTCAATCTTTTCTAGCCATGAGTTTCACAAGCATTGTGTGGACCCATGGTTAATTGAGCACAGAACTTGTCCTATGTGCAAGACAAATATCTTGAAAGAATTGGGAATGGTAAGAAAAAGTCACTGCAGTAAATATGAGTAGATACAAGCTTTGAAATTATATGAAATGACATTAAGACATATGTTGTAATTTTCCATAGTACAGCAGTCTCACCTAGATGTAACTTCTTGGCTATAGTCTTTATTTTATTTGCATTATTATTTAGTTACAATCAGAAGATGAAAGATTATCATCTCAGGAGAATGATGTGACTGTATCTATCACCCCAAGTGATCATAACAGTGCTCTTCATAATGGTGGTTTAGTGGAAGAACATGGTAGCATATCTCGAGGACAACTTGTCCAAGGTACTGTCACTTTTTCTTAAATAAGATAAGACAGTGGTCTCAGAGTTTTTATAGTAATTTTTTAATTCTTAATGTATAATAATATTCTTAGTGTATATGTCTTTATACATGTTGTTTACTAAGCAAGCCTAAATAAGTATTTTTATGTATTTAAAGCAACACCAAGTCAGCAACCATGTGCAGTAACACCAGTTGAAACTACTGCAAGTTGTGAGTTGTCTTATGTTAGAACAGACAAAACAAGAAATACTCCAGGGGCTGCTGTGTAATGTGCTGCTCATTGGTAGTGTTGGGTAACTACAATTGTCATGTTGGTTAAAACAAAATTTATTTTGTGAAGGTATCTTGGCACAAAGTGATTATTATCATAAATTACTCTGTAATATTTTTCAATTTCATAAATGGGGGTCAGTTTGTGCAACTGTAAGAGTAGTTTTTTAGCACAAGTTTGATTTCTCTGAAATTAAGTGGAAACATTTTCTAATATACATTAGGTACAATAATCAGGTTTTAATGCTAAAACGTTTTGCGCAGTCCACATTACTCGAGTTAGTTCAATTCTACAAATCCTTCCCAAAGATGAAATACATCACAAGTCATTATTCAAATGCCCTGTCATCAGGCTTCTATTTTTGTACAAGGCACATTCTTTAGTTGGTTAAACACTGTTAACACCAATTTAAATATACCTAGAAGAGTTATCATATAGTTCCAGTCATAATTGTGTTAACGATATATGTAAAATTGAGATTGCCTGGAATTTTCCTATCATGCAATGATGCAATTGTCCAAAACCACATTGTTGCAAGCGTCCATCGGACGTTCATCACCAGAGGCATAGCATGATGCTTTTTAATAACCAATTCAAGACTGATTAATATTCAATTTGAGATCCTGACTCAGGAGTCTGGTTGAAGAACAAACAAGTATTTATTTTAACCCTGTCCTTTTGAGAAACAATTTTTCTAACTGTAGTTAAAAAATCGTTACAATCGCAAAAGGGTTCGCATCCAGTTTTTCCATGGATCATAACGCAGTGCCAGTTTGAATTAAATTGTAGCATTACTATAGTTTCAAGTTTAGTTGTACAAAGTAGTTCAAGGTTTTAAGGTAACGATACTCTATAGTAAGTGAGCATCAAGAATTTTTAGGCCTATTAAATTATTTCAGCTTAGACCTTGGTGCATGAATCGTACATCTCTATACTATTACCGCCGTGTAAATATGTTATTTTTTAATCAATTTATTTTTTAAGATTAGTTATGTAGATATTCAATTTTTCTCTAATATAATTTTGTGTGCACATTTTATATCTGTGTTATAATGCCAATTATTAAAAGGGATATTTTTGGTCATTGAACCAACCAAAATGGCAAAAGCAAGGTACAATTGCAAAATCTTGCACATCCCGGGTGCATATGTCACAAAACAACTCTTTCTAAATTGTAAAAATTTTTAAGAACAATTTTGTCATATTTTAAAGATTTTTGATAACAATTAACATCAACACAGCTTTATGACAAATCAGGCGGACAAGCGTTTAATACCTTTCATCGTGAAATATTTCTGTCAACTACTCATAATTATGGCATAAATATGAACACCCAAGAACAGTCGGTTTTTCTCGATTTGGTTGATAAAAAATGAATAAAATGTGGATTCTAGTTCAGATTCCATTTCCGACGAGTGTAGACGTTTGAATCAGTTAACAGCCAATCCAATGATCCAATCACATGATCTATTTTTGTTTTTTATTAATGTAGTTTTACAGTCATAGTTCTTTTCGTCAATTGTGACAATTCTAATTGTAAGCATAAACTGAAGCAGTCGTGAACGAACCCACTAAAACAGCACCTGGACCAAACACCTGAATCTGGAACCGTAGATTATTTACGAGATATTTATTTCTTTTTTCCTTTTGTTTTTATTTCATCTGTCGTTCTGTTTTCTTTTATCACTTTTCTTCAAAGTAAAAAGTGAAATTAGGGTATTTCCTTTGACAATATTATCCATATAACAATTAAAAAATTCTGGGAATTGGCGAGAAATTTCAGAAATTGAGACACATGACAGCATATAGTATCAATTATATTTAGTTTTACTTCTCTTGAAAATCTGTGATGTTAGAGGATGATAGCAAGATGATTTCATCTTCTTCACTACTTTCACCAGACAAAACAATTTCGTCTAAACATGACATAGAATTGCGATTGTTTTCTTTAGTTCATCAACATTGTGTCATCCAGTTAACTTGACTACAGATAATCACATACCAGTAACTTGTTTACTATCATTCTCTTGATCTGATGCCATGGTATCTTCATGTTCTAATATGTTTTCATCTATCCATGTGTTCCATCCACCCAAACCAATCTCGGCAGTATTAAGCCCCTTTGATTGTGAAGAGGAATTAGAATATTACAATATAGTTTCAAAACCTAAAACTATCTTAGTCTTAGAGATGATAATCAGTTATGTCCAGTTTACCTTTAGTTTAATAGCGGTATCTCTAAGAGTATTGAATTAGGGAAATTACAAAAAATACGCATATTATGCTACGTACAATATTATGACAAATTTTACTAATTTTAGAGGATACGCTTCTTCCGTTTCGTTTCTTTTTGTGCGATGTTCTGCAACAAAAGATTTCAATTCTTCAACATATAACCAGTTATAATCCGCATTTTACCTAGCACGTTCAACTCAACCAACATCTTTGTTCTCTGAATTCATGTGTCTCATGTTAGATAAGGTAAAAAGCGTTGTTGTATCAAAAAAACCTGGAGTTGTGATGGATTCCAAAGTTTCTGTAATGTCCATTTCAGCTTCTTCTTCAGTTGTTAGTGTTATACGACGAACATCTTGCGTTATTCCGGTCGCGTTTAACTTGCCCGACTTTCTAAATAATTTCATCAATAATTAAAAAAATTTGATGACATAGCATGTGTAGTATTATCCAAGTTTGAGTATATTGCCTGGCTTCTTCATCCATCCTTAATGCTTTATGAATCAAATCAGTGATATCAGCCACCTTGACAGCAGTGATTTGGGAGCATCTTAACACCTACAGATAAATAATGGGAACATAATGCATGTTCAAAAGATCACTTCTAGTTCTTAGTTTCAGATCACCAATCTTTTATCACATTCACACACACAGAATTCACTACATAATTTACATGCATTCACTACATGATCATAAGGATTGTGCTGAGTACCTGTTCAGCTTCTAATGATAATCCTCCATTCATTTGAACTGCACAAATTTCACGATCAATATTCATTGCCATCATCATTTGGCCATCCATGACACTTTCCTCCCTTTCTGTAGGATCCACTAAGAGTAAGCCTCTAAAATATATATTTGAATTAATATCCAGCTTTGTTGAAACATAATTCTTGCATAATTTTTAAAGTTGCAGCCTGCCTCTTGCTTGTTCTCACCCGTTATCATAAAATGCGAATGTCACATAAACAGGAATGTGAAGAACACTTAAAGGAACTGGATCACGATCTTCAGCTGAAAACTAAAAAAATTAAATGACTCTTTTAATTGCGCTTTTAATAGGATTAAAATGGTGCACTTATGTAGAAAAGGAAACTTATCAAGGTCATGTTGCATTATTTTTGCATATTTTTGCCGACCAAGGCAGTATAGCTAATTCCTAATGGAATGTTAAAAATAAACTGAGTTTATTAAATGAAACAATGAAAATTAACTTACGACAGTAACTTCCTCACCAGAAACAGACACATCAGGACGTCTGAATTAAGAGATTTTTATACATGATTTTGATGTATAAGTTGCATATTTCACTAAGGAATATACAAACTCATATTTATATGCTAACCCTACAAAAATAACAGCTCCAGAAAAACCAACCTATAATGAGACAATGCAGTGATGGTAGCAATAGATGCACAATCAATAATATTTCCACCATCATCTAACACAGTAATGTCCACACGAATTGACCATACCTAGAGTAACATAAACTTGTTTATTTTAGTAATAAATAAATTCACCTTATTATCTAATTATATTTAGATCTGATTAGAAAATACAATAATTGCACAGATATAAATTATTTCAATATTCGAATAATACCTTCTCACCAGCTACAATACACAGGGACTCAACATCTACACAACGAGATTGTTTGTAAACCCTTTCAAGTAATCTGTTTAGTTCAGCTGTATGTTCTGATGGTCTAAATTAATAGTGACATCAAAATCTTGTTAACTCTGTTGTATGGTGATTCTACACCTTTCACTTCTATACATCATTCTGAATCAAAATATGAGAACCTCACCTTCCTGTTTCATAAACAGGTGATGCCATTGGCGAAAGTTCAAGATTAAAAAACAATTGTCCTTCTGATGGTCTATTGGGTGGTGGAGGCACTATCTCACTAGTAACTTGTGCCAGCACTCTGAATAAATAAAAGATACTAGATATACTATTTAGGGGACAACAATCACAACATGCTTACAAAATTTCATATTTGGGGTAAAGTCAGTAGAAAGATCGTCATATTGTACACCTTACCTTGTTTTGCCTAACTGAACCTCACAGTGACCTCTATCTACTCCAAATGATATTTCTAGTTTTCTGTAATCATAACATTGACGACGGTCTATACGCTTAGTAGATAAATATAAGATGCAAATTATGGTATGTGCAGTGCAGATGCATTGTACTAGTGACTTCCATTATATTACACAACCAATATAAAACTATACCTTCCTATTGCGTATACACGTTAGGATGAAATCTTTTTCACAAGAAGATATAACTTTTTTACTATTCTTCATTTTGTTTAATTTGAAATGTAGCGACGGGGGTGACCATTGTCCAGTGCGATTTCGCAGGGGGGGGACACCAGAGCAGCCAGCCCCGAGGTGGTACGTACAAGGCACATAATACATAAACAGTCCGAAATTCTTTAATTTCACCGTATACTTTGTGAAACTGACAGAACTGGCAAAGCGGGAGGAGTGTTTTTGTAAGATTTCGCAAAGATGTTCGCTCTGAATAAATGAATGTTCCCAAACGATTACTAATTGGAAAATTAAAAGTTGTAGTAATAGTGCATAAGACTCAGGTATATATATGAAATTAATATTGTGATGATACTACTCTGAGTAACCAACCGGGTTAGCTGGAAAACTATATTAACAACTGATCATCTGATGAAAACCTGACAAATATTAAAGTCAATAATTTTGGTAGGCACATGTACGCGTCGCGTACCTATTTTTAATATTTCTTACTTGCATTAATTACATTATCAACCATTATGCAACGTTTCTCCATCTTCAGCATTACATCAAAACGTGTTAATATACTTTATACAAATATTTATGCAATCCTCTATGATTCATACTTAGTAACAAATTAACCTTTCCTCATTTTGTCACCAGTCAGTAAAACATAGTTGACAGTCAGTTTTCCTCATTGTTATAGAGAAAGAGAGGTCATTTTACAGTGCAATTAAGGCAGATGTTATATTATTAATGAAAATTTACAGTTGTGAACTAACTTTATATATAAGAAAGCATGCACTTGGTAATTATGATAATTCCTTAATTTGTTTTATGAGGTAAGTTTTTTCATCTGTAAATTGTTCATCTTCTGTTAAAAAGAAGACATCGAAATTTAGCGTATCTCTGGGCTTGGAAAATCCATTAAATCTAATGTTAGGATTTGAATATACTGTCATTAGCCTAAATTTTTCAACTTCAAAAAACTCAATTACAAACCTGTTCTATCCGTGTGGAAATTCTCCAAAAATTCTACAAGTTTTTCCTTATTTTTTATAAGAATATCTCGTATAGGTTGCGTCTTGTTCGGATTCGCTACAAAGATCTAGATGATAAATGGTATGAATACAATTATATTTTTAGACAGTACGCAATGAACAATGTTTTAGGAATTCTTATAAAAAGGTTTTCACATCAACAATATAATTTTCACTGGCATGGCCTCGAAAGCCGATCTCAGGCCCTCCTTAACGCCAACTTTCGTGATGACATTCCCAGTATGACATCATTTACATTATGACATCATTTACATTATGATATCATTGATAAACTTACCTTGAACACATGAAAAGCTTCAAACTGGATATTTCTACTTTTATCTCGTAACATGTTCATCATTAATTTGAGATTCTCTTGATTGCTAATATAGCGAGTCATGACAGTGAAATTGTGTCGATCCAATAGAAGTTCACCAAGTAACTAAAAAAACATTGCGTCGATCATAGAAAGTTTGATGGTGGTAAAAATAGCTATTCTTCCAAAGATCTGGATAACCCCAAAGTCCCCTGGGCTTCGTGGCTACAGAATCCAAGTACATGTGAACAAATTTGAAAATGTTAGGTTATATTAACATTATGTTTCACACTTATAAAATGAATACACGAGATATTACCTTAATTGACTGTCGTTTAGTAACATAATTCTCAGAAAACAACAACTTGCGATAACATTCGAAAAACTATAAAGAGAAATTCATAAGGTACGGCCTCTGTTGAAATAATTGATGGTACTTCCAGTATATATCAATCTTACTAATACAAATACATTTTGACTGGTATCCTCTCAGGGCAATACCTTGTCGTATTGTTCATCAAGGAATGAAGCACAAATCATTTTGTGTCTCGTCAAAAGTTCCTGAAGGAAATAAAACATTTTTATAAACGATCTGCGAAATACAAAACAGATCGATCAACATATTGAATGCTATTGCTTTCTTAGGAGGACAACGATCTGCGAAAATTGCAACTCTTAAAACTATCGAAATTTAATTCATGTTCTAATGCAAGGAAAGAAGTGCAAAACCCAATAATATAAGTAATTCCGATTTTCCATCAAATGTGGTGTAACAACTCCCTAAAGTAGACAAAACAATTATCGACGTTTCGACCTGAGGGCCTTCGTCACGAGAGTTGACCTAATTCCGATATAAGACACGTGGTAAATCAGATAACAATAATCCTCCACCAGAAAGCACCTTGACACTCTCTTAGTTAGATATATATTTTATAATAAACATGCAGTAACATATTTACCCAGAGCATTACCTTAAATGAAGCAAACGCATCCGAAGCGATGTCAAATGTTGAAAGCTCAACATATTCAAAGAAATCATAAAAATCTTCATGAGTTAAAATATATTTGGCCAGCAATTCGTAGCGAATACACTCACGAAGCATGACTCCACAATTTAATGCGATATCTGGATTGTTATAGCTGAAATTATAAGTGAAAGTTCATGAAAGTTTACCATGTTCGTTAGAAACCCTGAAATGCTGATTTATTAAGGAACGTTGCATCCACAAAATACGGGAAAATAATTCACGTCTACAAAAAAGGCAACTAATTGTAATAATAATAATAATAATGTGCTGTGTCGTTGATGAATATCAGGAAAAAAAAGTGAGACAAATGGAATGGTGGATGAAATTATTATCTACGATATTGGCTCTATTGTATATAGTGAAAGGCCAGTGGTGGAAAGTGGCTTGCGACGAGGGTTGGAAATGGCAAGGTTCATTCCATCATAACACGAGACACGACATACCCTTTGACAAGAACAATGAGTATTTCTGGTTTTGAATGGATATATTCGACAGTTGGTGAGCGAACTCCTATTTGACGTCGCAAAACATTGTTGAATATTTGAGCAACATCTTTCTTTGCCTAAATGAAAGGGTTTCTTTTTGACGAAAACGTGTGTTTGATGTTAAAACCGGATTATAAACAGGTGTTCTTGACTTTGCGCAAAATTTCAGGTATGCGCGCCCTGAGAATTGATGAGGTCATAAATAGTTGCAAATAAACTAATGACAGGCTGATATAGAATGACATAATCAAATATTTAGTAAACATATAACTGGGATGGAATTAGTGTTTCCATTTTTATTATTTTACATGCAGGAAGGAAATGATTTCTTATTTCATGATAATTACCAGTAGCTATAAAACATAACTACAAAATTAATGTTGCACATATTAATACCAGTAATATCATACTTCAAAGTCCATTTTTTTCAGATTTTCCAACAATGCTTGAATGGTGTTGTTATTATAGAACTCCTGGGACAGCTGGGCAACAAGTTCTGTTTGAGGTTCTTGTTCTGAATATGTTAAACATAGACAAACTATTTTATCAAAACACAGGGTTGTAAGGACTTATTAACAGTATAGTGAATAATAAATGGTGGATGAGACTTAAAAGGGGGCTGCAAGTTCATTAGAGAGGAAATTTTGGGTATAGAAACAACATTATTTCTTGACTATTATAGAGTACAAACCCCCAGTTCCATATAACATTCCCTTCATTGCTGCTAGATATTTGCCAATATCTTCTAAAGCCTAAAACACCAAAGGTGTGAGATTGATAAAAAACATGTGTTTGTTAAAATACTAGGCTAGAATCCTGCATTGCAAAACATAATATTGCAATATTTTGTGAACATGATCAGAGTTCAATATCAGCCCCAGTTTTCTTTCAATAAGCATATCATCAAAACAAACAGTGTGTTTCTTTTATTTAGTGCTAATTTCACTTTTTGGAGTAAATACTTTCTCATTCTTTTTCCCAGATTGTTCCTTTGAAATAGTACTTAGTGCTTCATGAAGTGACCTCACAAGTTCCACTGGACTTTTCTTAGCTGAGCTAAATAATGGCATCTTCCCTAAAATAAAAAAAATCCAATATTGATATAATTATAATTCAATTACACATAGGCAGTAAGATTTAACCTGCTGATTGCAGTTAATTCTTGGAATACAACTGTGATTATATCCAGATGATTTGAAAAAAAAAACAATTGCTAATAGTGTGAATTGATATGGCACTAAGTATATTGCATAGGTTTTCCCCAGATAGACAAGTTTAAAAGTTTTCTATGTCTCAAAACAAGTGTCATCATAGGCTAAGCAAAAGAAAATTCTTGCTAGCCTACTTGCCTAAAAAATTGCCCACCTGTTCAGGGTTTTACTCCGTGCAGTGATGCTAAATATTATATACTAGAGAGTTTCAAACAATGAAATCTGCAGAATATTTTAAAAATAATATATTCTTGACTATATTTTAATCATCATAGCTGAAAAAATACCCAGTGGTTCTTCATAATTTCAAACAATGTTGCGTTTAACATGAAAGTGGCAAATATTGTATACTAGTATAGCTAGCCCATAACACACCTTAAAGTTTAGTTATATAAAGTTTATTTTGGCCACACTAGTATAGTCTGAAAGAATGACACTAAATTGAAAATACAAAGATATTTTCTACAGAAACAAGTTGTGCAAATACATAATATTAATGTTACAAGAAATAGATGTCTAAAAATGTAAATAAACCTGTGTAAACCAATAATAATTTTTATAATATAAGTTGAAGTATTAGATATCGATCTCAAACCAGGAATTGCAACAAAATGCTTTAACCTCGCTTACCTTTGAGTTCACAAGCTTGACTGGTCCTTTTTTGATTAAAGTATTGATAAAATTATGATGTCAAATGCTTGACTGACAACAAAATAACTCAACCACTCCTGCTACTGCAAACCAATAATCAATATGATTTCCACCGAAACATGAATTTTTAAGCCCACCACTTTGAACAATCACAATGAAGAAATCTCTTTATTGCCATTAATAACAATTTTCCAAAGTAAAAATGTACAAATTTTAATATTTTTATATAAAACTTCAAAACGAAGCTCGGCACCACACAGCGAGGGTCTGGAAACTGGGATGCCAGAACGCCCACGCGTGTCCTGTGCGTGGGAACCACGAAGGGTCAGTAAAAATAAAAACACATCTCTAAACTGTGGTAAAAAAGTCAGTAAAAAAGTAATTTATAGTCAGTATTGTATTATTCAGTAACCTGGTCCGTTTCATAGAAAAATGAAAAGTTTATAAAGAGTTGAATATTATGTCTTTAAAGGGAAAAAAACGAGAATTAGATGACTCTAATGATTGGGTAAGTTTTATAAAAATAACAATGTGCTTGTTACCATCAGTTATCACCCCTCAGTGACCCTTGTGATGTTTTATACAAAGGTGTCCTTCCTAACTCAGAAATCTTTTCACTAAGGTGGATCGGAAACATCGGAACAGTCCTGCAAACTGGTTCTAATTAGTCCCAATAATTGTTAATTTGTTATAAATTTCCAACAGAAAGAAGTTCCCACTATATTGCACTATATATGGGAATGCCAAGGAGTAACTGTGGCTAGACTGCAGAGTTTGTCAAGTGTACCTATGATGTGCATAAGATCTATTCTACACCTATTCTCATCTAAAGCCATAAGCTATGCGTCAGCAAATGTTTTACTTTGCTACTTAGTGTAACCTGAAAGATCATATCTATATATTTATATAGGGAGGTTATATGCAAGCAAAAATTCGCAAGTTGGATAAACAATTTGATTTTATTAAAACTCAAAAAAATGATAACAGGTATGTATAATTGACCCAAAGAACTGCCATGTTAAATTTAATTTTTCTTTTGTAGTATGACTAGTGTCTTTACTCTTAGGTACCATGTAAACCATGCATGCATGCATGCATGTATTATACTGGTACAAAGATTTTCTTTGACAATATTAGAAATGGACTCTTCTCAAAGCTTCAAAGCTTATGCTAAGTCGTGCTGTCTGCCCACAAGTCGTCCTATCATTAAAAAATCTGGATGGTTTTCAGAGAATACTTTCACAATGCAGCAAGGCAATTTATATGTAACCTTCACACTCTCTTGCCTTAATTGGACTCAGTGCTTGCATAACTGCTGCCACTCAGCTTATTTCATACCAGATTTCTTTTTAGTTCTCTAAATGGTCTTTTTAAGAATGTTGTGATATTTGTCAATGGATATACAGGTGATGCTCTCATCTTTACTATGATCATTTATTTATCCAGCTATAGCTGCTAGCTTATAGGACCAGCCTAAATGAGATGCTAGATATGTTATGTGGCACTATTGTTTACAATATATTTATACGAGTTTTTGATTTTAGAACCCAGTTCTGATGAACTGAAACAGTTAATGAAGAGATATGGTGGTGGCTTTCAACATTACTATTCTAGATCAAAGTGTACTCATATTATTGCTACTAACCTACCAAACAGCAAAATAAAGGAACTAAGGTAAAGGCTATTGATCACCACACTTTGATTCCCAGGCCATCTTTGATGTACCGTTACATTTCTTTTCCTTTTCATAAATGTTCCTTTCATATTTCATTTCCTTTTCATTCAATTCAAAATTTTAATTTAACTTCTTAGAGGTGAAAAGGTTGTTCATCCTGACTGGATATTGGACAGTATTAAAGCTAAAAAATTACTAGCCTATCATAAATATCTTCTATATGGAGCTGGAAAGGATTATGGAGAAATTTTAAGCAAGTTCGATAAACCTTTGCCCCATTCAGTATGTTCAGTTGCACATGAGAATCATGCAAGTGTAACTGACACAATAACTTCAGACAGTCGTGAGAAGAATGAAGAATCAGAATCTAGTGTTTCTGGTTTATATCAGGTGGACAGTAAACAAACTACTTCCAATGAGAATTCTGATGTGCTCAGATCAAGTCTGAAAAGTGATGATAAATCATTGCTGGAATATGCCGTGGAAAGCAAGGAAAAGTGTTATCAAAGTTCTTCTGGTTTAGTTAATGATAAGAAGACAGCACAACGTAATTTAAAGAAGGGATCCATTCCTAAAGCTGGAGATGCCAACTTTGTCACAGATTACTACACTAATTCTCGCTTGCATTATCTTTCCACATGGGGCGTCGAATTTCGGGATTTTATTAACAGTTTGATCCAAACAACGGAGTTAAAGACTCGTAAAAAATCACTACCAAAAACAAGTTTAGAAAAACGTGTTATAATGCACATTGATATGGATTCATTCTTTGTATCTGTTGCTTTACGAACCAGGCCAGAGCTACGAGGAAAGCCTGTCGCTGTTTGCCATTCTGGTAGGAGTAATGATCCAGGTGAGCATTAACTATCAGTGATATTATACGTCTGTTACAACATAATTGCTCTTCTGACTGCTACAAATAGTTTAGTAAATCATCTACGTTGTTAAACATATCCTAGATAACTCTCATTCCTCATCGACGTATTCTTCAACTTCCGAAATTGCATCATGTAGTTATGAAGCAAGAGCTGTTGGTGTGAAAAACGGCATGTGGTTAGGAAATGCTCGAAAGTTGTGTCCAAATCTTATCTGTGTTCCATATCAATTTGAAGATTATCGTCAAGTTTCACAACAGTTTTATGAAATTCTTGCTAGCCATACTCATGAAATACAGGCTGTAAGTTGCGACGAGGCTTTTGTTGATCTCACAAATTACATTGAATCAGGTTAGTGACAATGCTTGATATTTTTTCACTCGTTATGTTCAGTGTTTACTCTGCGTACGCATTAAAGGGATACAAAATTCGCAAATTTTTAAAAGGCTAAGGCTATTTATTTCACTTTTTAAAAACACGTATAAAGGTTTGCAAGCATTTTTGTCATCGTTAATTTCAAATGCTCAATGTATAGTGTATCTTCCTAGCACTACAGCGTCTCACATTCTCCGGATATTCTTGGAAATGTGTGATATAATCATTCGCACACCATTTCTTTAGAATGTCTCCCAGTAATGAAAGTTGTGCAGAATATTCGTGAGGAAATAAAGAAGAAAACCAACTGTCCAGCGTCCGCTGGTCTTGCCTCTAATATATTGCTGGCTCGAATGTCTACTAAAGTAGCAAAACCCAACGGGCAGTTTCATTTACAAGATAATGATATTGCTGAGTTTATTGGTTCGTGTGTATTTTTGTCTTTACTCGATAAACCTATTTAAAGAAGTGAAGAAGTTTAGAACTAAATCAAGTTGTAAATCATTACCTGCTATTAGCAGAATAATTTTGAATATAGCCTTTAGAATTTACTCGGCTGATTGGTTACTAACCCCCCCCCCCCTAACAACAGAGGGTGGCTCCGCTAGCTCCTATGCTTTGACTAAGAAGTTCTTAAAACTCATTAAATATAGGACAAATATATTATAGATATAAATATAAATAATCAACTTCATATTTTCTTCAAAGGTAAGCAGGAAGTTGCGGATCTACCAGGTGTTGGACACGCTCTTAATAAGAAGTTAAAATATCTAAATGTCATCACTTGTACTGAACTACAAAGTATTACCATGTCTGTCTTGCGACGTGAGTTTGGGCAAAAAACGGGGGAGATGCTTTATAAATATTCCCGGGGCCAAGACGACCGACAGCTGAAAGTTGAGCGTGAAAGAAAATCAGTTTCTGCAGAAATCAATTACGCAATCAGATTTTTAGAGGTGCATGAAAGTGTGACTTATATCGTTAAATATGTTCGTTGGTGAGAAACATTGGTGGCTTTTGTCTAGATAATGTTTTCCCTACTGCATGTTCTAGGAGTCTGAACCAGAAAAATTCATCCATGATTTGTCAAACGAGGTTCAGAGAAGATTGAAATCAGCTGGTTTAAAAGGAAAGCAAGTAACAATAAAAGTATGTATATTATTATAACGATTGTTGTATATAAAATATTCCTGTTAATTTATAGTCAGACATTGCCAATATTCAGTATAGAATGATTGTGTACAACTTTCAGGTATTCCCGGATCCTTGAAAGTCTGGGCACTTTAATTTTACAATCCAAATCACTATAAATATATATATAATCCTGATATGACATGTTTTCTCTCTTTCTTATCTTAGTTACGCGTACGGCAAAAAGATGCTCCTGTTAACCCAACAAAATTTATGGGCTGCGGCCGATGCGACAATATATCGCGATCAACAAATTTGAATTACTTCACTGACGATGAATCTCTTATCGCAAGAGAATGCATATCGATGTTAAAAACTCTAGCTCTGTCTGTTTCTGATATTCGCGGAATGGGGATTCAAATATGCAAACTTTCTGACGATGTTAGGAAACAATCCACAATGCCCAAAACATTGCATTGCTTTATGAATCCTAGGAAAGAGTCTTCTTCTAGGAATGAAACAAGGACGGGGACGAATATGACTTCAGACAAAAATGATAATACTCTTGATTCAGCTCTCGAAAGTGGTTTTGAACAAAAAGAGAGTTTGAACACGCCGCAACAAACTCCGTGTGAAGAGATTCAGTGTGAGAGAGAAACGTTTGAAGAATTCAGGTTAAAATTGAGTGATAATGAAGATGAATGTGAACAACACGAACTAAATAAATTACCATTGTTACCTGGCTTACCAGTATTCTCACCAAAACGCGTCTCATCATCAAAAAGGTAAGTAACAAGTTCCAATAATCTTGTGTTTTTCTATGTTTTATGCTACCACAAGGTCCTATAGGCCATGCAGAATGTATTTCAACTAGGGTGGAAAGGTTTAAGTTACTTTAAATTGCATGGCTCGAGCTAACTTCAAATGAATACTAGCTACATGCATGCATGCATAAATATTCGGTGAAACAGCATGCAGTGTTTGAATATGCGGTGTTTACAACGCCCGGTGTCTATATAACGATAGGATAGTTTGTTTGTTCATGCAATAAACACTCATAAGCTTCTAACAAGTGATTGAGATGAAAGATCATTCATCGATTCCCAGAGTTCACCTTGCAAATGCTTCACCTCTAATTAACATTACGAATGATTATAAACGTTTCTCAGGCGGTTATTGTTTTTTTTCAAATTGCAGGAAATCTTCCTTGCCTCAAGCCACTTCGCGGTCAAAATGCTCTGCCAATCTTAGCAAACGTTCGCCTAATAAATCTCCTTTTAAATCACTAAAAAAATCCCCCGAAAAAAGCGGTTTTCAGAGCTTCAAAGAAAGTGGTGTAATTGGTTCATTAGCTTTGCCATCGCCTTCACAAATTGATCCAGCCGTTTTTGCCGCTCTGCCGGAAGAGATAAAGAAGGATATCCAGACTTTTTACCAACAACGAAACCAAAAATTTGAGATGAATGCTGCTGAAGAGGTATAAGTTATCAAAAAATGATTAAAAATCATTTTCACTATATACACATCATGCAGTGTAGACAATATTAAACTTTGTAATCATTATCACAAGATATAATATAAACTCCCTCTGCTGTTCTCTTTCCGTCTAGGTGCCTTTTAAAACCCAAGATGCACCTGAAGAAACTAGATATTTACCAAATATTCTAACTAAAAATGCTAAACGAGATCAAAATACTGCCGGAAGAAACATAAAGAAATCAAAAGTCAAGCATAAAAACATTAAACGTTTTGCCTCGAAGACGGTCAGTATAATGTCATTGATCTGTCGCTACGAGTCTGACAGATCTACATTTGTTATGTATTATTCACTTTTCACCCATCACGGTCTTGGCTAATACCAAGAACCAGGGCACATGCATATCTCAGTCAGTGCTTCGTACGAAAAATTGTAATGACATTCTGACTCTCTATCTTATTGTTCAAGCATGAATTACGTAGCTGCATGGTAACTTTACTTTTTTCAACCTATTTTCAACTCTTTTACACTTTATACGTACACGAGGATCCTTTCAGCATTCCGCACTTGATCACGAATGTTTGAAACATTTTTATTTAGTCGAATAGAGAAGAAAGTAGCTGTCAGTTTGATGCCAGTGTTCTTGAGGCCTTGCCAGAGTGTATCAGAGACGAGCTCCATTTAGCTTATCAACAACAAAGGAAACATGATGAAAAAGCGGAGAAAAAGAACGGCAAATTAACAAAGAATGATGCGGCTATATTCGTATGTACTGAGCCAAAAGACGACACGATTAATACACCAATTTTGCTAACAACGAAAGTAAGTATGCTCCGGCCCAGGTCATTCACATGCTCTCTTTATTCTACAAATCTCAAAATTGTGCTGCAATTGTTTTTCTTGACCTTTGCATGGTTGTAACGACAGCTCTCACTTCGTATAAAAACCTCGGGATGACGGACCGAAAGCTTTGCAATAGTTTGTTATTTATGTATCCTCAGACTCATTTTGCGATTAGAATGTCGTATTTTTTTAAAAACAAAATGATCACAACTCTTGGAAACCATGCAGTATTACAATTTGCACCATCAACCATCATACTTCACCACAAAGAGGTAAAATCTTAAACAATCTTCAGGTGAAGCTTGCTGGTGCTGAGTCTCTCTCAGACGTTAAGAAAATGTTAAAGCTGTGGACGAATGATGCAAAAGGTATATAGCTACTTTTCAATTCGATGTTTTTATATATTTATATATTATTGATAACAGAAATTATCCACAAAATATATTTCACAAAGTAAAACCAATTGACTAAAATAGACTCAAATAATCCTTGCAATTTTAAAAATGCTGTAGATCCGTTAGAGGAAGATTTGAGTGTATTTGTGGAGTATTTGCGTAATCTTATCGCTGAAAAAGATCTAGAGAGAACGTGGCTAGTCTTAAAATTTTATCGCAGGTAAAACTTGTATGTTTCATTCAAGGTTGTTACTGTAACCGAACAAATTTGGATCGATATCTCACTATTTTAGATTGATGATTACGAAAAAAGCGTGGCAGGCTTCGTTTAATAGAGGATTAGATAATATTCAGAATATTTTGAAAGAAACTTATGATGGACATTTAGCAATTAATTATTTTATGTAAATATTTTAAAGTCTAAAGACGATATACGCATCTTGTATGAAGATGTATAAATATGATTGTATTTTGAACCCTCGAAATGTTTATTCAGTTTGGACCAGCGTATATATATAGTATATTGATGTGGAAATTGCAAATATTTTGAACACACGCTTAGCCTACACATGTTGGGGCATATCGTAATATCATTTGCCAAGCGCATTAATCACTAATCAGATTTTAAAAACAAGAATAAATAAATTAGTGGAAAAAATCCTTGAACTTCGTCGTCGCGGTTGACACTCCTGTGGTTTGCATGTCTGTTTGTTTAAACTTTGACGATATCCAACTTCATTATTAATATTTTTTACTTTAATAATATCGTATGTATAGTCAGAATTATACCAGTTAGAATTTTATGAAACATTTTAGGCTTTTAGCATCAACTTTGGATTGAATTCAATCGCTATAAAAATCTTTAAAACGCGAGAAAGCCATAAAAAGCCAATTAAAACACAATTAAATTTAAAACCCATCAAGATATATGTTTCAAATAAATAAGTAATTTGTCGCTGGCGTAAAACCTCATTTTGCCAACAGCTGCACCAATGTGCAAAGGTTTGAAAGTAATCGAAACAGTTCTATTCGACTGTTGATCGTGAGTGAAAACAATTCAAGAGATGGCAAGCTTTTCCGAGCCAAAAAATGTTCGTAAAGTTTTCTTATGGACTGCACCGAGATGTATATCCACCGCATTTGAACGAACAATCATGAACCTTAAAAATGGAAAGATATTTCACGAGCCGTACTCATTTGCGTATTATTTTGGCCCTCAGAGAAAAAGCAACCGTTACTCTAAAGATCCAATTCAACCAAAGGCTACTTTTGACGAAGTGAGTAAAAATCTTATGGCAGAATATGAGGGGAAAGAATTTATTTTCTCCAAAGACATGGCATATTATTTAGACGGCAATTATGATATCCTACGCCAGAAAAGTCTAGGAGAATATAAACATACCTTCCTGATAAGAAACCCGAAAAGATCTGTTCCATCGCTCTACCGAGCTTCGATCAACTCTAAGAAAACAGGATGGGATTATTTTGATCCAGAAGAGGTTGGTTTTCGTCAATTACTGGAGCTATACGAGTTTGTTGTAAATGAGCTTAATAGTTCTCCAGTAATTGTTGATGCTGACGATCTCTTGGAAAACCCTGAAGAAATGATGAAGAAATATTGTGAAGAAACTGGATTGGTTTATCAAGAGAATATGACAACTTGGAAGTCAGGAACACCGATACCAGAGTGGGAAATCTGGGATGGATGGCACGATGCTGTCTTGAATAGCACCGGTTTATTGCAGAAGAAAAGAAACCAGGCAAAACCAATGAAGCTTGAGAAAAAAGCAAGTTTTGAAAAAGAAGAAGTTGTTGGTTCAGTAAATGATAGTTTAAAGTGTTACGAAGTTTTATACGAAAAAAGGTTGAAATTAGTTTCAAAACCTGATTCTAAGCAATAAATAGCTTCTCTAAACATGTATTAAGGTAATAAAATAAAAATGTGAGTGGAGCCAAATTAATTAGTAAGACGGATATTAACAACTGCAAAATATTGTCCAACATATGTCGGACTTTCATATGAAACAATTTTCTGACTTGGCAAATGATATTGGAAACGTTAATGATAAATCTCTTGCTATAAAAAGTGTAAAAAAATACCGAATAAAATGATTCATCCGTCACTTTCAGCCTAAATAAGGCCGAGAATAAAAGTGTATTTTGTTGAGGTTTTACAATCCCAGATTTGACCAGATTCACCAGGGTGCATATTCATATATTCGTCTTATCTCCAACTATTTTCTTTTGCGCGCTATTGTTCCTACTTGGGGCGTTTCTAAAATAACAACTTACCAGTCAACTTTAGGAGAAAATAAAACGTCATCACTGAAATTGTTGTCGAAGAAATTACTAATGCTATTGGCTTCGGTCTTCCTCGAACGGTCGTCTGTTCTATTAGATAAAAATTAAACATTAGATTAGACCTTTTTCTGGATGAACACAAAGTGCATGTTTCGGAACACCATAACGTTACGTCCTCACGACACCGAGGCCAATAGAATTTTTCCTTTATTCTTTCGTAGGCCTTTTGTATCCCGAAATGTCCCCCCGTTAGAAGATGAAGATGTAGTAGCACTTCTTTGCGCAACACCTTAGGCAATATGATTTGAAGTCTTATTGAGGCAACGTCCGATGATTCCCATTTTCGGCACAAGATGTCGTTGCATAAACAAACTGTCCCATTGTGCCCAGCAAATCTTAGTTTTTTCACTTCAGCTAGTTCTTTCAGCTACTGGAAAACATCTTCAACGCGAGAGTCCTATTCAAACTTCATATCTTTTCTCGTAAGGTAAAGAAGTGGCTGTGCAATATTTGCGAAGTTATCAATATACTTCCGATAGTACGAACATAAGCCCAGAAAACTTCTGAGCTCTGCGAGACATTTAAATTTGGTCTTGGCCACTTCCCAACTGTGTCGATTTTATTTGGGTCTGTAGCTACTCGACTTTTCGATGAAATAAACTGCACTTACTTGGCAGCAAGAGTTACTTATATTTTCTTCGGATGAATGTAGAAGACTGAGGTATTTCAATTCATCACCCATTAGCATGACTTCATCACAGAAATCCAATCGATAGCGTTGCTGTAGCAGGAACTGCCACATGGAACTTTTGTAGTATTTATCGGTTATCGATTGCAAGTTTTAGGGTTTACTTCTGCCAAGCACTACTAACTTCTCGCCGGTCACTGATTGTAAACAGTTGTGAACAGGCTCCACACACGAGAGATCTTTACCAAATTTCCGTAACAAATGGAGAGTGACGATAGACACATTACTCCCAGTATCAACAATCAGTCCCTCTTCTCCTCGTTTTGACGCTTGTACGTGCGGTCTATTACTTGGGACGTCTTTGCTTATGGTCGAACCCTGTCCCTTGGACTCGACGATCTCTCGTTTCCCTGTTCTATATTATTTTCCCCCTCACCGCGGGAGGGACATTCTCTTTGGAAGTGACGTTCGTTACCACAGTTCCAACATTTCTTCTTGAATCTTGGTGGCGACGTTCCTTCCCCACCTCACTACACTACGAATTTCGCCAGTCACCTTTTTCAGTTCCGTCAAAAATTCGTCGTTCCTTTTTAGCGTCTCATCGAACCTACTTGCTGGCATTTTTCGCTCTTTTCCGTGGACAAGTCAAATAAAGTTCTGCCAGGTCTAAGTCTTCTACGCGCTGCTAAACTGAACGACTCAATTTCCAAAGCAATTCCAGGCAAGACCTTCGTCACTCCGAGCGGGCCATCCGCAGACGTACATCATCATCATTTAGAGCGTCATGAACTGGTCTTTCGTCAAAGTTTCTAGCACTTCACTAAAAGCTTCTGGATAAGCCAGGCAAGCCTTTCGATGTCCTCGGTCAACTCGGATAGACTCTCATCTCGACGACGGACACGATTTCGAAGTTTCATTCTGTGTAACTCGGCTTGTCTCTTGTTTCCAAAACGGCTCTCTAAAGCAGCCACCAGTGTCGAATAATCACCTCGGCTCTTCATTGGCAAATTTGACAAAACCAAGAGAGCTTGACCCTTCAAGCTACTAGCCAGGAATCTCAATCTCAAATTGAGTGTGATACGCTTTCCAGGACATCCGCCCATCAAACGTCGCTGGCTTCTAAACTGGAAGGGACCTCGCAGCCAGTTGTACATGGCCAGATGATATTTGCTATTTTGTTGTAGGAGTTGAAACGTCAGGCGAAGGATATTCTGAAACACGCAGACAGGGGCTGCTTTCGGTCCAGAGGCGTGGAATTTCGTGTTGACACAGGCTGTGGTAGTTGTAACATTGAGTCGCACAAAAATTCATCTGTCTGTTTAGCATCCAGGTAAAACAGTGATTCGCATGGCGGTTTCTTACTGCCGACTCCAATTTCCGCTTTAAATTTCTCCAAAGTAGCTTGTAACTTCTCTCGTATTTCCTTCTTCACAGCCTCCTTGTTAGAAGCTACCATTTCAGCATGAATTTTTACCAGACGGTCTTGACTTGTCTTAGAGTCAGATTTAAAATTTCGTACTTCATCCTTAGTTCCGCAACACGGCTTTCGAGTTCTTTGCTTCTTACGCCTAATTGATTAACATCCGACGAGAGCCGTTCTAGTTTTATGTTCATGATTTTATTATTTTCAGAGAGTTGGCTTGCTTGGGTTTCTTTGCTCTTAATCAGAAAAATTCTTTGTTCGTTGACTGCCGCCAATATTAGCTTCCATCAGTTCTTTCATCAACGAACTGTGGTATGGTCGGAACTAATGGATCAGTGGACGGTTCCGGCAATTCTAAAACTGGAAAAATTCCGAATCTGGAAAGCAAAATTTAGAGAAAATCCATCTTTTGACTTATGTACTTCTCATCGACTGCACTAAATACCATACCCTTTTCAATGGCATAAAGCATTTCTGAAATACGTACAATACCCCCACCTTTTTCCGAAAAAAAGGCGATGTTTATCGCTCAAACACGTCGTTTTCGAACATGATGAAAGAGGGTACCCTTTTTCGTCGATCTTGTTATTAAGAAGTAAGACGATAAAAGGTACCCTTTTCGGTATAATACGTCATTACATCGTTCGATGAAAAAGGGTACCCTTTTCGATGACTTATGACCTTTGTAATAAGACGGAAAAGGTATCCTCTTAGATTGGAATTTGATCTGTTGAATTCAAATAGGATTATATAGAAATGGTGTCAAATATTTATACCATTGATATCAAGGCTGAGTGTATAATTTATTCTCTCTTGTTTTTTATTAAAAATGGCAGGGAAAATATCGAATATATTATATATGCTAAAGACAATGTTCAAAATAATTATACTTATCAGCAGAATAGCGCATATTAATGAAACTGGACTTCCCTGAGGTTAGTCAATGTTCCTGGAAAGAAGCTTCCGGTTTTTATTCTGTTAAAGGCCTAGCACTCAGAAACTAGACATTTTTAAAGCGACACAGCCGACAATAGAGAATGCATGTGCCGTATACTATACTCTGCCGCACACGATAGAGTGCGCTGTAAATAGTACACAGAGTAACTAAAAAATAATTCTGGCCATGCAGTGATGGAAACAGTCACATTGCATGCGCTACAAAGCCAAAAATACTTCGCTGCCTGTATCTGCATGCCACTATAGTCTATCAACTATAGTCTAGCCATAACATATGTAGTACGGTATGCCCATTATCATAGTTGTTATATCCTTTCCCAAGGGCTATATTAATCTGTGGACAGGCTACACTTATATATATCGATCGATTTAAAAAAAATTATTATAGACTGTGAAATAATGGTGTCCTCTTGCAATGCCATGCTTTAAACAGGAATAGCCGAATGCTTCTACCGAAGGGACTTAACTAACCTCAGGGAAATCCTGCTTGAAGGTGCCGCTAATTTACCGATAGTAATAATTATTTTGGACATAGTCACTCTTTCGCATATACAAGGTGCCCTTCAAAAAAACGGAACCTGCATAATTAGTTTGTGAAAGAGTTCTTACATGTTTGGTTTGTTTTGCTTTCACTCATACGTGTCAAAATATATGAAATCCCATCAGAGGCACAGAAATGTAACAAATACATAAATATTTGCGCAGGTTCCGTTTTTTTAGACACCTTTTATTTTCGATATTTTTCTCTATCAGTGCTCTTTTTTACTGTAAAATATACAATAAATTATACACTCAGCCTTGATATCAATGGTATAAATATTTGACACCATTTCTATATAATCCTATTTGAATTCAACAGATCAAATTCCAATCTAAGAGGATACCTTTTCCGTCTTATTACAAAGGTCATAAGTCATCGAAAAGGGTACCCTTTTTCATCGAACGATGTAATGACGTATTATACCGAAAAGGGTACCTTTTATCGTCTTACTTCTTAATAACAAGATCAACGAAAAAGGGTACCCTTTTTCATCATGTTCGAAAACGACGCGTTTGAGCGATAAACATCGCCTTTTTTTCGGAAAAAGGTGGGGGTATTGTACGTATTTCAGAAATGCTTTATGCCATCGAAAAGGGTATGGTATTTAGTGCAGTCGATGAGAAGTACATAAGTCAAAAGATGGATTTTCTCTAAATTTTGCTTCCCAGATTCGGAATTTTCCCAGTTTTAAAATTGCCGGAACCGTCCACTGATTTAATGGGACTGTAGCCATTGGCGAAAACTGAATGAGTATTCTTTTGAAATTTGATATAATTCCATGGTTAACATGTAACTTAATACTCCATTCTTCTTAGGTCATGGCAGTGTTATTGAATTGCAATAACAGAAAATCTTCAAGCGTGAGCTATGTATATTTTTTATTTTTTCGAAGGACAAAACACAATACTACGAGGAAAATTTTCCGATAACAAACGTACGCTCCTCTCTCACCCCTCCCACAGGAAAATTCCCATTTAGCACCCAGAATCTGGGTGCCACGTGACCAGCGGCAACAGGCTCAAGTACTAAACCATTACCACAAAGTGCTGCCCTAACCGCCAAACTTGCGCAAGAGTCTCTCCTATCAAAATTATAAAAAGGTACATTTTGTGTCTTCACTTCGCCTTTCATGGTAGATGATGCTTCATCTCTAATCACCAACTACGTAGAAAATTCTCCCGGCGACAGCGTTCGTTAAACCATCTGAGGAAGTGCAATCGACGTACGAAGTCACCTACCAACAATTCGGTAAGGGTGCCATTTAATTTCACTCATTGTTATCCGGTTAACGTTTAAGCTTGCTTTGGAAATCGCAATAGGGTTGCGACGAGCATTTACGTGAGGATTTTGCTGTATACGATTTTCACCTTTTTTGGAGGGCTTGCCTGAGTTACCTCTGTTTCATTAGAGAGTTTTAGATTGACGTTTTTTCTTTAACCGCGAACCGCAAACCGCGGCTTGACGTTAAAATTTTGCCGTTTGACGTTTGCGGTTCACGTTTTCAACCGCTGGAGGTGTATTTTCACGTAGCTCCTTTACCTCAGCGAATTGTCATTGCAATTGTGCCACGTTTCACGTTTAAACACTTCTAGTAGACATATTGGATATCGAAATTTTCTTTGTGTTAATTTTCCAGCCTGTTTTCAATAAGTTTACCAGTTTTATATACCACTATTCTACCACTATTCAATAACACGACTGGCAATATGGCGGTTTACCATGATATCGTATTTCGATAGGTTCTTTTCAACCCAGGTGTAAATAACATTTGATTTAGAAAAAACCGAAGCATTAGAAATAGCTAAAAGCAATTTAACAGCAAAACTGTTTACTGAATGCCAATGTTGAATCGTTCGAACATAAGGTGTAGGTAAATGACCGCGAACTAAAAGTCAAATTTGTGATAACGGCAACGTGAAACGGCTATCGTGAAACGGCGGTTTGCCGTAAACGTCAAACTAAAACTCTCTATTGCTGATTCAGAACTGGCATTTTGCAAATTTCAATGCTAAAAACCAGCCTCGTACCCAAGCGCTTTATTGGAAAACATAAAGGCTACATTCAGCGTATTATAGAAATCTGTGGCTAGGATGTGCGAGCGCGCAGGGTGCTTGGGGAGGACGCGACGGGAGAGCGAAGCTTCATTTGTCGCGTCCTCCCCAAGCACCCCTGCGCGCTCGCACATACTAGCCACAGATCTCTATATTACGCTGAATGCAGCCTTGCCTTTTTTTTTCCAATAAAGCGCCTGGGTACGAGGCTGGCTAAAAACCATTGTCGCGCGATTTTCAAAGTTTGAGGAAATTTTTGCTCATTTAAGAAATTTTTACAGCCGAGTCTAAGGAATATTCGGCATGACGTTCTGAGATAACAGTAGGTAATACAGTGGGTATTCATGATCAGTGGCGTAGCCAGCCGGACAATTTGATCATGCTCAGCAAATTTTACGTTATTATCATTATTCATTTCTTTAGAAATTCATTGTTTTCACAGTCAATGAACACCAAAATATTAGCATAACATGACTAAATTGTCGGGATGGCTACGCCGCTGGTATTCATAACAGTATTGTTGGTAGTTTAGTGATTTTCGTAATACCAAAATAACAAAATTAACGCTCCCAATTCCATTCGACTGTTTATAATAACAGATCGTGAGTGAAAACAATTCAAGAGATGGCAAGCTTTTCCGAGTCCAAAAATGTTCGTAAAGTTTTCTTATGGACTGCACCGAGATGTGTATCCACTGCATTTGAACGAACAATCATGAACCTTAAAAATGGAAAGATATTTCACGAGCCGTACTCATTTGCGTATTATTTTGGTCCTCAGAGAAAAAGCAACCGTTACTCTAAAGATCCAATTCAACCAAAGGCTACTTTTGACGAAGTGAGTAAAAATCTGATGGCAGAATATGAGGGGAAAGAATTTATTTTCTCCAAAGACATGGCATATTATTTAGATGGCAATTATGATATCCTACGCCAGAAAAGTCTAGGAGAATATAAGCATACCTTCCTGATAAGAAACCCGACAAAATCTGTTCCATCGCTCTACCGAGCTTCGATCAACTCTAAGAAAACAGGATGGGATTATTTTGATCCAGAAGAAGTTGGTTTTCGTCAATTACTGGAGCTATACGAGTTTGTTGTAAATGAGCTTGATAGTTCTCCAGTAATTGTTGATGCTGACGATCTCTTGGAAAACCCTGAAGAAATGATGAAGAAATATTGTGAAGAAACTGGATTGGTTTATCAAGAGAATATGACAACTTGGAAGTCAGGAAAACCAATACAAAAAGAGTGGAATATCTGGGATGGATGGCACGATACTCTCTTGAATAGCACCGGTTTATTGAAGAAGAAAAGAAGCCAGGCAAAACCAATGAAGCTTGAGAAGAAAGCTGGTTTTCAAAATGAAGTTGTTGATTCAGTAAATGATAGTTTAAAGTGTTACGAAGTTTTATACGAAAAAAGGTTGAGATTAGTTCCAAACTTAATTTAAGCAATAAATAGCTTCTCTCTCTCTCTCTCATCGCTTGCAAGTTTGCAACTAAGGATGAATGATGGCAGATAAAAGAATAGTAGTGAAATATTTTGTATCAGCTAAAATATATAGGCTAAAAAGGATCAATAGAGAGTAGAACATTGACTGGGAGGATTGAATATTGATTCATCTTAATTGTTCAACTGTATTACGTATAATCACTATATCATCTTATATCAATTTATATAATATATTCATATAACCATATAGCATTATCTTCAGTCAAACTTAAGCCTGGTTTCCATATGACGCCGACGTCGGCAAAGTATTATTGTCGGTGATTACTGATGAGTGAAATCTTTTGTCTTTCTGAAATCATTTTCTCCTTGGATGATTACAAACAATGAGTCGGCGACAGGTCGGCGTCATATGGAAACCAGGCTTTACATGCATAAGTAAGCAAATAGTTACATGCATAAGTAAGCAAATATAGCTATCCACACTTATCTCACAAACACGTAACAAGTTGTCGACCACAAACCACGATAGCATGCATGTGCTACAACGCACTGTATTGGGTAGGGGAAATGACTTGTAGTTTTAGGTTAGCCAAGCGTATAAAATCTGAGCGCAACCAACCACGGGCAGAGAAATGCGTATGGCATACTTCGTAAGGCCTCATGCAGTGCCTAAATATTATATGTAAAAGCAGAAGTACTGAACAAAAAAAGTTGAAGTTGAAGACAAGGCTTTGTGAAGTTGTGCTCAGACAGAGATAATAAAGTCAAACGTTTAAAGATATATTATATTCTTAAGGTCTTAATCTTATAGAGACGTTAATTACTGTTATTGGAAAGCAGTGGCGTAGCCAGCCTGACGATTTAGTCATGCTATGCAAATTTTATGTTATTATCATTATTCATTTCTTTAGAAATTCATTGTTTTCACAGTCAAAGATCACCAAAATATTAGCATAGCATGACTAAATTGTCGGACTGGCTACGCCACTGTTGGAAAGTTAAGGAATAAATAGTTATATAAATATAATTGACTCACACTCGAACGTTATCAAATTTCAAACCAATTGACGCAAAAAGTCAAAGTTCAAATATCTAGGGAATTGGCGCGGCATAAACACAAAACATAAACAGTAATTGCAATTGAAACAAAAGTAAAGTAAATAAACTGGGTGAAAAAAAAAGGTAAATGAAATAAGCGGAATTATGGCGGAATTTTTACCGTGTGAACCAGTTATATTCGGGAAAATGTCGTAATTTAAGTCTGAAGAGTCGGGAACCTACAGATGACCTTATATCGTTAGGAAGGCATTAAGATTGAAATAAGAGGTACTTTGCGAGAGCGCGAAATACAAATAATTTTAGCGAAACACTTAGTCAAACAAGGAACATTCGAGTCGACCCCGTTAAAGGAATATCAACGTGAGAACAGTCAAAACTCTTTGTCCATAGAAAATAGCTCTGTAGCAGCTAGAACAGGAAGAAAGGCAGTGGCAGCGAGAGAAAAAAAAATTGAAATGGAGAGAGAACGGTTGCGTGAGGAAAGAGAATTTGCAATTAGAGAACGAGAGCTAGAATTACGAAGATTAGAACATCAGAACAAGAATGACAATCCTTCAGGCAGTAGTAGGAGTTCCATGTTTGAGTTTACAAAACACATTAGAATGGTTCCACCTCGTATTTTCTACATTTTAAAAAAGTAGCAAAAAATTGTGCATGGCCAAAAGAGCATTGGACTATTTTGCTCCAAAGCATTTTAGTAGGAAAAGCTCGTGACGTTTATTCTGAGCTTTCACGGTTTCACCCGAGTTGTCTTCTGATTATGATACTGTTAAAAAATTAAAACCTAAAAGGATACGAGTTGGTTGCCGAAGCTTATCGGCAAAAATTTTGGAATCTCGACAAAAATACAAATAAGACATATGTTCAGTTTGCCCAGGAGAAAGAACAACTTTTTTATCTCTGGTGCCTTTCCGAAACTATATACAAAGATTTCCAACGTTTACGCGAATTAATGTTGCTTGAGGAATTCAAGAAATGTATCAGTAACAAAGTCCGCACATTCATAAACGAGTAAAAACCAAAAGACTTGACAGCCACCGCTTGCTTACTGCTTAACAGACAAATTTGCATTAACTGATAAATTTTCCACTAATAAGTCACAAACGCAGTCCTTTCCTCGAAATAGCACTGTCAATCCGGAAAACAGACAAACATTGCGGAAATATCCTTATCCAGAGAATTTAAACGGTCTTAACAACGGTGAATTTGAAAACAAACACTCTCACGATCAGAATTTTCGTAACTATCAAAACCAATCGCGTTACATCCCACCACCAACTTAGGCCACCAGAACAAAGGAAGCCATTCAAACTATTAACCAGTAACACACAACAATCTGGTCTTGATCAAAAATCACTTGACCACGCTGACCCTATCGTGAAGGTATTTGAACCATTCGTGTTTAACGGCTCGGTTGCATTTTAAAACAACGACACGTTTGCCAATTGAGATACGAGACACCGGTTCGTCTCAGTCTTTGATTTTGTCCAAAATTCTTCCTTTTCCGAACTTTCCTATTCAGGAAAAAATGCCTTGATAAGAGGAATTGACGCACAAAAATATACGTCGAAATTAGTTTCTGGTGAAGTTCAAATTGGCGTTATAGACTCTCTCCCGTTTGACGGAATTCATTTGTTGCTTGGGAATGACCTAGCAGGAAGTAAAGTTAACGTTGATCCGATTTTTAAGCCATAAACCGATTATTTCCCAAAGTCTTATATCCAGCGTACGCCGTTACAAGGGCTATGAGCAAAAAGCAACGGGTAGATTTAACTGATTATATTTCCGATACATTTCTTCATAAGCTATTTGACAGTTCTGAAAATAGCGAAACATTTTCAACATCAAACCTTATTACTGAACAACAAAATGACCCAGAAATTTCAGCACTGATGCAAAACGCGCCGAACGAGGCCGAGGCAGAAAATGAGCCCATGTGTTATTTCATAAAACAAGGTATTCTCATGCGTAAATGGCGGCCTACCACAGTTTCAGCGAAGGAAACATGGCTAGTTCGACACAAAATAATAATATCTAAATCATATCGACCCGAAGTTCTAAGTTTGGCTCATCACGCTCATGAAACCCCATTCCACCATTCCCTACCAGGATTTTTGCGCAACGACCTGGAACGCGTTCAAAAGAGAGCGCTAAACATAAAATCTCCTGCATGGACTCTTCTACGTGGACAATCTTAATATCTTCAATACAACTACTTTGAAAGACAGGCGCCAAAAACTTTGTGATAAACTATTCTCCTATAAATTATTTTCTCTTGACTGGTAAGTTGTTACTTTAGTAACGTCCCAAGCAGGAACAGTAGCGAACAAAAGAATATAGTAAATTAAATATTATTTGCGCAAAAATTCTGGTAGCGCATGGTGGAATACAGGCATATTCTAATACAGGTCTGATACAGATGAAGTAAAAAGTGATGATATCTCGACTACTCGAGCAGGAACGTTAGCACGCTTGAGTAAAATCAGGAATTGAATACAAACGTTTATTCGCTTTCTTTATAACTTATAATAGTTTTCGTCTTTTTTGAGACACCCTGTATATTTTAGCACAACGCCCTTTTATGCAGTTTACACAAAAAGACAATTACGAAAGATTTACAAAATTAACATGACAAAATACGATTAACAAAGTTACTTAAGTCAGCGTCCACGCATTTACAACAGCGGTGTCATAGCTTCATAACCAGGGCTCTCATTTTATGGAAATTTCCTTAAACTAAAGAAAACTAGGCTCTTTAAGGAGACTTTTAAGGAAATAGAAGTTTTAAAGAATTTTTAAGGAATTTTGAAGCAGGGTAATTTCTTTAATTTTTAGATTAAAAGCATCTCCAAATCAAACAATTCTCAAAAATAACGTTACTTTAATATTACAGTGTTTTGTCACACTGTTTTCATTCCTATGTTTAGGCTTTAGCTAAGATAATTCACTGGTCATACTCAGTTCAATTGTATACTTTTTACTTTTTCTTTACGATTTTCGCCTTTTTTGGAGGACTTGCCTGAGTTGCCTCTGTCTTCTCTGTCTCATTGCTGATTAAGGAAATTTTAGTGAGTTTGAGGAAATTTTTGCTCATTTAAGGAATTTTTACAGCCGAGTCTAAGGAATATTAGATAACGGTATTCACAGTGAGAAAAGTGGCAGTGGGTGGGTTACCCATTCATCACGGTATTGTTGGTATTTAGGTGATTTTCGTAATAACAAAATAACAAAATTAACGCTCCCAATTCCATTCGACTGTTTATAATAACAGATCGTGAGTGAAAACAATTCAAGAGATGGCAAGCTTTTCCGAGTCCAAAAATGTTCGTAAAGTTTTCTTATGGACTGCACCGAGATGTGTATCCACTGCATTTGAACGAACAATCATGAACCTTAAAAATGGAAAGATATTTCACGAGCCGTACTCATTTGCGTATTATTTTGGCCCTCAGAGAAAAAGCAACCGTTACTCTAAAGATCCAATTCAACCAAAGGCTACTTTTGACGAAGTGAGTAAAAATCTCATGGCAGAATATGAGGGGAAAGAATTTATTTTCTCCAAAGACATGGCATATTATTTAGATGGCAATTATGATATCCTACGCCAGAAAAGTCTAGGAGAATATAAGCATACCTTTCTGATAAGAAACCCGACAAAATCTGTTCCATCGCTCTACCGAGCTTCGATCAACTCTAAGAAAACAGGATGGGATTATTTTGATCCAGAAGAAGTTGGTTTTCGTCAATTACTGGAGCTATACGAGTTTGTTGTAAATGAGCTTGATAGTTCTCCAGTAATTGTTGATGCTGACGATCTCTTGGAAAACCCTGAAGAAATGATGAAGAAATATTGTGAAGAAACTGGATTGGTTTATCAAGAGAATATGACAACTTGGAAGTCAGAAAAACCAGTACCAAAAGAGTGGGAAATCTGGTATGGATGGTACGATACACTCAAGAATAGCACTGGTTTATTGCAGAAGAAAAGAAGCCAAGAAAAACCAATGAAGCTTGAGGAGAAAGCTGGTTTTCAAAATGAAGTTGTTGATTCAGTAAATGATAGTTTAAAGTGTTACGAAGTTTTATACGAAAAAAGGTTGAGATTAGTTCCAAACTTAATTTAAGCAATAAATAGCTTCTCTAAACATTTTTTAAGACTAGTTATTATCGCAAGTTATTATTGCAAGGGAAGTGCTGCCTTGAAGACATGGCAGTCATTCAAATAATTGTATATCGTATAATAATCATATATATATATATATATTATAATATATATATATATATATATATATATATAATCGTTTGCAAGTTTGCAAATAAGGATGAATGTTGGCTATTCCCATGAGAAGTTCAATATTCATACAGAGAAAGTTGAATATTTGTAATAAGCATTTTTGACAGTCTCAATATACCCTTGGATAATTATGTTATTTAGTTTGGGAACCTTGGTCTCATCAAGCATGAGCCAATCACCTTGCACAATTTACTAATGAGAGGAAGGCTCCAAAATCAAAAAGTATGTGCAATGTAATTATCAAAAGTGTGTACTACTTCCTCTCATTAGTAAATTGCACAAGGTAATTGGCTCATGTTTCATTCTCTTAGCTAATCAGCTTGGAATTGGTGGATCAAAATAAAACCTGTCAAGAACTCTTGACAAACATTGAAAATTGTCACACAAATAAAAAGCATTCTTATGTGCGGATGTTCATTTTAGTGCAAGCATCACGCTATCATGCACGAAATAATTTCTATACCTTCAACAGAACAGATGCTAGTATGCAATATGCATTTTCCAAATGGATGTGGCATCCCATATAAATTTCTTGAATGAGAATCAAATATTTTAAAGTTTCCTTCAGAAGTCTTAAAAATTGCAACGGCTTTACAATTAATGGTCAACATGCAATGACGATGATTAATTGAGTTTCGCGAAACAAATCATTGAGTGCATTTTCCAAAGCATAATGAGAGTTATGAGACCACTTGACACCGTTTTGGCATGGGAACGAATGTGAAGACGCTTGAAAACGAAAACGAAGGGTAACTACTAACTACATCTCGCGCGAGCTGTTTTGCGTTTGTGCCTAACTCATGCGGTAATATCTAGCCTGACCTAGATAATTAAAAAAATAATCCTATAGTAGTAGTACCCGAAAACATTTATTCGAAATGTTTTATTAGATCCTTTTTAAAATAATCTAAACTATCACTTGTGCCCTATTTCGCGTGTCGAACGTTTGTATCTATAACGGGTTGGGAATCCACCAATAAATAATTACATATTGCTGCAACTCCTGCAAGTGTTGACGTGTGTTTCATTACATGTAGTTAGAAGTTACTATCGCAAGTGTAGTGCTGCCTCACAGGTAGGGTATATAGCCACAGAACACAAGCAAATAGAACTACAGCAGTGCAATGTGCACAAAAGTCACAAATATTTTAATTTAGATATTAGTTAACTATCACTTATCTGAAATAATTGGAAGGCTTTACAATGGTATATAAAAATATATATATTTTACATAAGTAGAGCAGTTTAAATAGATGGCTATATAAATGTCCCAAGATCTTACATGTAACAAAGAAATAGCCGGGCCTGTATAATTCAGTAATTCTTAGGATTACTTCTTGCACCTTTCTTATGTAGGGCACAGATGTTGCCTTCCCTCCACTGATTCGGTAAAATAGCACTGTCAATATAGATGTTTAAAATATGTCTATAAGCATTAATAAGTATAAGCGATTTCGACCGCCGTCAGTTTTAGGATCAATGGGAACAACTTGTCAGGTACAGGCCTTATCATCCTTTAATTTCAACAGTTGTGTCTCTACTCCTTTACAATTAATTCTAGTTGTCTGGATATGGGTTTTACACTGTTCGATACATTATTAAGATCCTCTTCAGTAAATATACTTATGAATTGTGGATTCAGAATTTCTGCTTTTCCTCTCTTGACAAATACGTTTGATTTTTTATAAAATAAAATAAATAAATGAAAAATCGAATTGAGCCTTGGTAAAGGCTGGCACACATCGGACGCGATCCACCAACACGACGCAATTTCAACGAATTTTTGATTTTTGAAAAGTAACTAGGTTTTATCATGTTATGATATTCTTGTTAATTACTCAAGGACAGCACATTTTGACATGTTTGGGGCCCATAGCTCTCAGAATTTCCTTCAGGAATTGAATTTATTTGCTTCAAAAAACTGAAAATTCGTATCGCTTTTGCGAATCGCGTCCAGTGCGCGTGGGCCATGGCAAACTACCATGCCAAATAGGAGCTAGTGGCATGTTTTTTGCTCATTATATAGCTCAGTGAGAGCAAGTCTTCCATTCTCCATAGTCACTGGTGACTGATAGCTGCAGTACCTACCACCCACAGAATTTAATATAGAGCTCAGTAGTACCTACGAACCCGGTACCATAGAGGCCGGAAATAAGTAACAAACGACACACAAAGCCGTTCAGAGTAAAAAGGGATTGTGAAAATTTTGAATTGCAATCCTTGTATTTTCTCTTCCATCCTATTATCTACCGAAGAAAGAACTCCGTAGTTTTATTCTAAATATTCGTGAATTTTATTATTCATAAAACGGCAGAAATTTAAAACGAAACTATGAACGAAAATAATTTGGCAACAGCCTCATCTGAAAATATTTCCAATAAAGCTCTAAACATGCAAAGGTACTTTCTATCTTTTTGTTATCATAGATTCTGATTCCATAATGCTAACAACTGTTATATTTGCACTTATAGAGACGGAGCCGATAGCTGGAAGACAAAATTAAACCTACCACCTAAAGATAGACGTCTAAAAACCACCGTATGTTTAGTTGTTGGTTCGATAAATTGCCACCAGTTTTTTTTTATTTTATTCGTTGTCTACGTGCCATTTGTGTGCAAATATAGCTATTTCCTTGATTTTTTGTTGTATTTCTTGTTAAAGTACTTCGGGTATTATTCTTAGGCGTTGTTTATAAAGTGCAAGTACCATTAAGTCCCTTGCTTTTAATTAAACATAAAATATAAACTAATACGTCACCCGTCTGGCGTACGTTCGTTTATTACAGCGCTTTTTCAGTTGGGAGTATACAGCTTTAATTAATTTAGAGGATTTTTTTGTTCTATGGTTCTAAATTTGCAAGGAAAATGGAAAATAATAGGTCATATTTTGTAGAGATAGTGCTTCATAGAGTTATTACCACCACAGGTTAATTTGCAAGTTAGGTACATGTACAAGCACAATAAAACACATCTAGAAATGCTGTATTATATATGCCTCTCTGGAGTTTGTTAATGCCATCTTGCAAGCATAGGACTGATGTGGAAGACTTTTGCAAAGGGATTAACTCAGACTGCAGGGTTAGACAGCACTGCACCTGAGATATTTTTCAACAAATATTTTCGCACACCTAAGCAAATTTTACACATGATATTTGGCAGTGATTGTGCACCCAGCTACTCAGCAGCTCACTACTCAGCAAAACACTGTGCACGTGTCACACTATAAGTAGAGGTATTTAGAGTTGATGTAAAGGATATTCAATGAGTTAATTCCATCCCTATATTTCGCACGCTGCAAATGGTATATATTTGGAAACGAAATCCGAAATCATCAATATTCTTAGTTACAGCAAACTTGTGCTGCACTTGGGTGTGCACTTCTGGCTATTTTGCGCACCTGCCCTTGGGCTTGTCATTATTCTGCACCAGAGATCTCATTCAAAAGTGTCTAACTCTGCAGTCTGGGGATGAACACCATTTAAATAATTGAAAAGGCTTTGTTAGCAAAGCATTAAAAAATCCTTTATGGTGAAGATTTTCAGTTTCAATGATGAGCGGTTAAAAATTGTTGTTTAATTTTAAGACAAAAAGCTATAACTATAAAAAACTATCTATTTATAAAAAACTATAAAAAACTATCTATTTATAATATTATAAAAATCTAAAAAAACCCTGAAGAAAATAAGAATGATTAATTTTATGTTGTGAAAACTGCAGTGAATATGTGCCTAGTTCTCCGATTAACTAGCATTTGGGGGAAAAAGTTGGATATCAAGATCAGTTTTATTGATCAAACTATGAAACTTCTATGGAACAACTATAGATTGTTGTAAAATCTGACTGAATGGCATGCTAGTTTTTCCTACACATTTCCACATGTTATTAAATATATAACCTTCACCAAATCACTAAAAAGTGTTTTACAAGTATTTCTTGAATCATGCATGCTATTCTTTTGTGTGTAATTTTCATTTCCTAGTTTTAAAAAGCAATAGACAGTAGCAAAATAATTTTTGCCTATTTAGAAAGTGGTAATTCTGCTTTTGAGCAGGAAAAAGTATATTTCTTTGTAGATTCAAATAATCAACATTAAAATATATAATAATAAATATTTGCTTAATATTTATACAGGATGTAACATCAACCAAAGGCAATGATTTTGAGGATTATTGTCTTAAACGTGAATTGTTAATGGGAATATTTGAAAAAGGTTATGAGAAACCTTCACCTATCCAAGAAGAAAGTATACCCATTGCATTAGCTGGACGAGATATTCTGGCTCGAGCTAAAAATGGAACTGGGAAAACTGCTGCGTACCTAATACCTGTTCTTGAGAAACTTGATGTGGGAAAAAATTGTATTCAAGGTAAAAGATTGAAGAAATATACCACAGAATATGTGAATATTGATTATTGCCTTGAGAATTATGAAGATACCTAAAACTAGAGGCATTTGTTATAAAGCCTCCATTTGCCTTTAATGTTAAAAACAGACAAGTTGTATATTTTTGTGAATTTGCAGATGTTTTCAATGTTTAGTGTGCAGCTAACAGTTACTTTTTTTGGATGCATTATGCTTATAATACAATTTGGTGGAATTCTTTATTCTATGACTTTTTGCAAGAATCTTTATCCTTATTAAATAACTGTTGATTTGATAGCCCTTGTGTTAGTTCCAACACGGGAACTTGCACTTCAAACATCACAAATATGTAAAGAACTTGGCAAACATCTCAATGGACTTCAGGTTATGGTTACTACAGGGGGTACAAGTTTGAAAGATGATATCATGAGGTTATATAATCCAGGTAATTTATTGAAAACACACTGTTTATGTTACTTAGCAATTTTCATTAGGCATTGACTCTTGTGTACATATTCTACACAATTCAATGCCTACCTGTTTCTAACTTAAACTTGAAAATTGATTGGAGTTTGTTAACCCCAAACCGAATTAGATTAATTCCAATAAACTCTCCTGACGAAGGCCCTCAGGTGGAAACGTCGAGAAGTGTTTTGTCTATTTAGGCAGTTGTTATACCACATTTGATGCCAAACCTAATTAATTCAACCAGTCTGTTTTATTGATTTGGTCTACAATTATGAAGTAAATAATTTTGTGAAAATCCATTTTAGTTCATGTGATAATTGCAACTCCTGGGAGAATTTATGATCTCATCAAAAAGGAATTAGCCAATACAAAAGATTGTCAAATGGTGGTTATGGATGAGGTATGTTGTAGGCAATGAATCACTGAGATTGAAGTCTACTGTATGTTTTGACAACTAAGTTAAAGTGGTATGTCATATGTGTTTGATTTCATATTTTTGAAATGTTCCAAACCTTTTGTGTTTTAGGCAGACAAACTTTTATCTCAGGACTTCAAAGGAGTGATGGAACAAATTATTCATCACATGCCAATTGCCAGACAAATTCTTTTATTCTCTGCAACATTCCCAGTCACAGTTAAAGAATTTAAGGTATATAATTTTAACAAGTCTGTGTTTTAATTTGTACCATACTAGCATCTTTGGGTTATTAGAATTAACATTTCATTAATGTCTTAGGAAAAATATCTAGAGAAGCCTTATGAAATAAATTTAATGGACGAACTTACATTAAAAGGAATCACACAGGTTGGTTTTATATTGTTCTTCTAAATGTACAAACCAGTCACAAAACCACCTTATGGTGTGTATTTAAAAATTTAAATGAGATAATATGCTTTTAAATCCTTTCACCATCAGACAGTTGGTATAGATTATAAAATGAAGCAAACTTCAAATAATTTTATGTTGCAAGATTTAAGTTTTTAAAGACACAAAGTTCTGGTGAAATTTTGACTGTCAACGTTTAATTTGTAGTTAATTTTTTACACTCCTGAAGCAATACAAAGACAGAAAATAAAAAATGGATGAACACAAACTCTTAATTCTTTTCTAATCTTTTTTTTAGTACTATGCATTTGTAGAAGAGAAGCAAAAAGTACACTGTCTAAACACGTTATTTTCAAAGGTTTGTGTCTTCTGTTTTTACTTACAATATGTAATCTTGTTTAGAAGTCTTTGCCAGTTGTACATACATGTATGAAGGCAATTGATAGTGTGTCACCCATTCTGTGAACATGTAAATCTTTGCATTAAAAATATGTTTTGCAAACATGAATTTAAAAATATGTGTGAAGTAATTTTAAATATATATTGCGTCACGTATATTGTTTCATATATCATCTTGCTGCAGATCAAGTTTTAAAATACCAATGCTAATTTGCAAATATTTTACTTTTAGTTACAAATCAATCAATCGATCATTTTCTGCAATTCTGTTCAAAGAGTGGAATTGTTGGCAAGACGTATTACAGAGCTTGGTTATTCATGTTTTTATATACATTCAAAAATGTCTCAACCTCATCGTAACAGAGTTTTTCATGATTTCCGTAAGGGCGAATGTCGAAATTTAGTATGTTCAGGTACCGTGATCACATTTTCTTATTCACTGCATCAGTAAATACGTCTTTGTTAATTTGACTACACGTGCTTTTTGATATGGGAAAGCTCACGCAGTTTATCCACGGACACTTCAAACATGATGTTTTGTGGTACCAAATATATTTCTTTCAACCTCGTGAGCTAGTTTTTGTCAAGCATGATAGTGATGATATTTAAGAATTAGATCTAATTTCAGCATTGTCACCGCAATTATAGTCATCTGCCTGCCTGAAATATTTGATTTCATAATGATCGTTATCTTAGACAAATGATCAATGCCTGATGATTATTATCCATAGTTTTTTGTTCTAGAATGTTATAGAATTTAATTCTATCATGTCTTTCCTTCAGACCTGTTTACTCGTGGTATTGATATTCAGTCAGTGAATGTTGTGATCAACTTTGACTTTCCAAAGTTATCTGAAACGTATCTCCATCGCATTGGTCGTTCTGGACGTTATGGTCATCTCGGTCTGGCTGTGAATCTTATTACTTACGATGATCGTTTTGATCTTTTTAAAATTGAACAACAACTCGGCACCGATATCAAAGCCATTCCTTCCAGCATTGACAAGAGTCTCTATGTTGCCGAGTACCACCAGGTCCAAGATGAAAAATAAGTATCCTTCTTTCGCGTCATATATCGATTATGACGTTTAGAAATGTTGTTGTGAGTGAAGTATTTTACATATTGTGCGTTTCAGTCTCAGTGTGTGGATTAACACGTTATTGAGATGCATCATCGAAATACATATCGCAAAGTCTGTTATATTCTGGGACCAGGCAAGTACTATATGTGATATTCAATTTCGCACTTCAAAATATTTTTCCATTTAATACATCGGTACTTTAGGTGTTGATCAGTATATTGCTTCATTATGGAGATTTTAAAACCCTATTACTAATTCACGACGGCTAAACTACTCGGCTTGTCCTGTCCCATTTGTACAGTGTATAGATTGTGATGTCATTGTGTAAATTGTCGATAAATTATTTAATTATCTCTATCGCGGCAACGTGGTGTAGTGGATAGTGCTGGTAGTTTTAACATGAAGTGGATAATAAAAATAGCTAGACAAAGTAGATTCCTCTCAAATGACTTACCATCATAGTATATGTCGCCAAAAGAAATTCTGTTGATGTCATGGCGAAGTATTCTGCTCCATGTTAAAATTTCCTGTAATATTGTAACAGTGGTTGCTTGTTCGAAAAGTGACTTCTGGATTTAAAGTTTTTTCACGTTCTCTATAAGCAAGCAATAAGCAAGCAACCACTGGTACTCGTGCTATAAACATTTCAACATTCGTATGTCATTGTTATGATGTTTTATCATGCCCGACCAAACATCAAACATTGGCGTATGAAAGTGCCAATATTTATAGCACGGTAAAGGCTACGGTTAAACAGGTTTGTCTAGATGAGTTCAAAAATCCTTTCATTCCACGTAGCGTGATGTGACTGGTAGTGGAGGTTGCGAGCTCATCCAGAGTCCATTTAGTATAATCGTAACCTAACCTAATTTGTGTAAATATCTGTAAATACATAGAGTTCTATTTTCGAAATGGGGTTGGGTGGGTAATATGGCATCCAATGCCGATGCCAAATTTTGATTTATCATATGGCTGCAGGATTTTTCGACATTGTTGCAGTTCAAAAGAAAAATGTTGAAATATCGTAATTAAATGCTTTTTTACGAGCTATAACGGGAGCAAAATGAAACAGATTTCAATTATACAAAATCATCTAAAGGCTGTACATGAAATGCCTATTACAGCAGATTATCGTACGACTGATTTGACTGAAATGTAAAAATTCCAGTGAATGTGAAAAAAATAATTACTGCTGCAAACCAACAAACGGTGATTCCGGGCGCGGCCATGACAAGGATATAGGGTAGATGTCCTGTTATGTTTGAGCTCCGTAATTTAGTGTAACCAAACATAAGAGAAAGACGAGCACATATACAAATAAGTTGCTGCAAGAATAAGCTTAGCCAAGCAAATAATTATCCACACTGTGTGCTTTTTGGAGGATACTGTGGAGAGTAGTATTAAGAAAGTGAAACCAACCTGGAAGTGCTGCTTATTATGCAGCTTGTGAGCAACGTGAAGATCTTTGAGGAACAGGTTCGCATGCCTGTAAACCTCACATGCATGTGCTGTTGTGTTGAACATTTGTTCCTACCCAACATAACGGCGTATGAAAAGTTAAACATTCGCAGTAAACAGTATAGCATGTTGCAGGAAAAACCAGATTGATTTTTTTCTCAATTTTCAATCGTTTGCGGTCGGGCAACCACAGTAACATTTCTATCCTGTTTACTGCATGTGTTCCCTGTAGTTTTGTATGTCAACCTTATAACTGCCCAAAACTACAGTGTATTACCTTAGAAGCGCAGTTATACTGTTGTGTTTTACATGACGAATCCATGGATAAACATTGTATCTAGTTTCCATGAGTAATGTTAAGCTTGTCGACCGTTCTACTGTTGGAACGTTGACTTGTAAGTATCAAATTGTTGTGAAATTATAATACCTGTCCCCATGTATTATGTAAAAATGTGGCGTATAGTTAGTTTTGTAAAGGTTGTGTATACTGTGTAAAATTGAGCTAGCTACCTTCTGAGTTCTGTATCTTTTCAAAGGTGATTCTAAGGTTTTACCTATGATTGTCTAAAATTTTACCTAAAAAAAGGTTTTACCTATGATTGTCGTAACTTGGTAAAAGGCTAGTAAAAAATCGGCCTTATTATACATTGCTTTCTAGGCATATACCACTTATTTTACTTTCATCGTTGAAGAGGGGAAGGTAGCTAGTGTTGCATGTTGATAATTGTCATAAAAATTCCGTTTTGTTAACCATGTTTAGGTTTGATCTTAGTTGTTTAAAAACTGTACTTTCAGTTTAAGGAACTCCTTAGTATGGGACAATGTGTGAAGTAATTACAACTTGCTTTGGCAGGTTGAATTGTTTCTCATTTTGTTAGCCAATAATGTTGTGTAATTTAATGTCCTGTCTAAACGAATAAAATAATTGTTGATACACTGTTTAAAATTCATTGCTAGGGCAATGGGAAAAAACTCAAAGAAGCGAAATGTTGGGGAAGGGGGATAAGACACTTCTAATACACCTATCATATATTGTTGCCATCAATCTCGTTGGCTATCAAGATCTGGTATAAAAAATACGCGAGAAGTTGAACCCGGCTCTAAAGGTTTCACACAATTCCTCCACTGATGCCTATATAGGCTATAGCCTATACCTATATATTATACCATAATAATTGCATAATTTCTATAAATTAGCACACAATTACATAAGAACAGTATTCTTTGCAGCAAGTATTATCCCAGACATAGTCACATAACTTACTTTTAAATATATGGCTTAAATTTTGCCGAAGCATGATGCCGATGGTCAGAAAAGACATGCATTTAAATAGCGTTGTAAAATGCGAATGTGTTCTTCTAATTGAAAAGTGTACCTGAAATTAATGTACAATCATGATTGTTTAATACAATTTTCGTGAGTCTTGAAACCTTATCATGTCAGGTCTTGCCGACGTTTACGATCATTAAGAACAGGGGTTCAAGACTCTAGGGTAAAATCTAAAAAATTTCTCTCTTCGCGCCAGTTAAAGTAACACCTCGTGATTCTAGACTCCTCGTCTCCTCGCAAGCCCGGCTCTTTTACCTACTATGCTCCACGGCCCCAAAAAAAATTCTAAAAAAAAATTCACGGCCCCCAAAACCGGGCGTAACCTTCGACGCCTATGTTTCTTACGGTTCTTAAAAACAGACAAAATGTTCTCAAAAACAAAGAAGATTATCAAAGAAATTTTGACTTTGACATATTATTTATTGTATTCTAGCAAAAGTTAATCTGACTCAGAATCAGAGGCAGCCTGGCTGAGTTTTTCGCTATGCTTTCGTTGTCTTTCAGACGCCAGTTCAAATGGCGGAGCTTTGAAATGCATTGGAGCAATTACTGCATTTGTCGTTACTTCTTTTTTAAGAAATTTGAATGTATAATAGCCCTCCATAGTTCCTGTTGGTGTCGTAAAACTGGTACAACTGACGTAGTCGTGTCTTGCACCTGGTACCATTGTCGGAAATTTACCAACCACAGCTTCACCATGTACTTCTTCTTTTTCACCATTTCCATCTGTGATGTACCAATGACGTGTCTGAAGTTTACAACTGCCTTCCTGGAAAACAAGATTTTCTCAATTTTAGTCAGCATAGCAGGAGGACAAGAATGCCCAATTAATAAGCCTAGACTGCTGTGTGTATTTGATTTCCATTAACCAGCTCTGAGAATACTAGTTAAAAATGCTTGACTAACCTTTGGGTATGACAGATCCATTGAGATTGTTATTCTATATGTGAAGAAGAAACGTGGTGGATGAACAGAACTCAATTCTGGCAAGAAACACGTTGCTGCTTTCACTGTAATGCCATTATCACCAGTGTGGGTTGATGCTGAATTGAAAGGATATATTTCACCCCTGATCACTGGATAATGTTCTTTAACCAAACTTTCTGCATAAGATGTGAACCATTGTGTAAAATTATCTGCCATTAGAAAGCAGTGCAATCTACCACCACCACTGAGATTGGCAGTAGAATTATCTAGGGAAGGCCAGAATATCCGACCATGTTTATGACCAGCTTCTTCTGTAATAGCCATGTAATGTCCACATGTGTTTATTGTACATAATGTGATGGGTATACATCCACGAATCCCTCCTTGCATATGTGCCAGACTAAGTGTTGAGGCTTTTACATTGAGTATTGCTTCTTTTTTAGAATGGTTAGCAATACTTGTTGATCCTAACACACCTGGACGGTTCATATGTTTCTGACCATTGTGTATTCGCAGAAAACAACGATAGTCATCTGGTAAACAAACACCTAGGAACAAAGAAATGTCAAAAAGGTGTTTAAATTGTTGGTTAAATTCATTCTGTTACAACCCATTGACAACAAAAATGTCCAAGTAGCAAATTATTGAGAACATATACAAAATAAATCAGCATTATTTCTGAGCTCCTCACACCCCTTCTGGGTAGTACTTTCCCTATAGCAGATGATACTCCCCAATATTTCATTCATTATAACAGCATTGAGATATTTATTTTGTCATGCTTCTTAAAAAATCAGGGCGTTATGTCAAAAGAAAAACCCCCAATAACATCACACTTTCTAACTGTGTTAATGTTACTCCATCATTCGCTAACAAAGACATACAGTAGAGTTAAACCAGCTGGCCTCAATGTACCTGCCCCAAGATTCTGTATCTCAGCCTGATTCAAATCATCTTCTGAAGCACCTTCACTCAGCCCATGTAATAAAGTTGGGCAATATTCCTCTGTGTATTTCTCGATTAGATCCCAGGCTCTTCTAATGTTGCTATAACATTTTTCATACCGACCCCAGTTGATGTACATCTCAGTGTAACATTTCTTCCAGTTTTCATCTTTATCTTTAAAAATTCTCCATACTTTTTGACATAATGACTTCCATAATGATGGACTGACTGCTGCAGCATAAAATGTCTTTGATACTTTACAACATGAGATCAGGTCTTGCCTTGTTGCAAGATATGAGAATATTTCAATTAACAATTCAAGAGGGAGTGTATCTAACTGCAGCTGTAAAACGTCTTGGTGTTGTCCATCACCTTCATTTGATGCACGATTAGCTGCAGCCATTACCTGCCAGAATAATATCTGTTGGATACTAAGGAAGATTGCAGTGATTTCAGTTGATCAACTTCTTTCTTTCTGCTTCGGAATACCATTGATAAATTGCCATGAATATTATATTTTTACTTTATACGCAATCGATCTGTTAGTATAGTCCAATAGGTAAGGAATGTGGTCTATTTCGTTCGAAATATTCTGAACAGTTTTAACTTTCTTATACAAATTTTCTATATTCACCCCGTCCAGAACTATTCTTGACATCTTATCCTATCCTTTAATCTAAGCCGGAACGGGGGGGAGTGCGACATGATCAAAGGTCATCAGAGAGTCAGAGTTCGCTCAGACGAGAAGCCACAGACCACAATTATTTTATTTGACTATTAAGTCTATTAAAATTATCAATTTTATTTTAATAATCAATATAAAAAGAATCCTGAAGAAATATTTGGACCACTAGTCATTCGTATCTTTGTTGCACGGCAATGTAACTTACAAAGATGAGAATTTTCCCTACTTTGTGTCTTTGTACGTTGTATGTACCGAATATGAGTGGCTCTATGTAGCTGGTTCTATCAACATTCAAATTGTTTGAGCTGATCTTTTGCTTTTTTTGAGAGAAAGGAACAAAAATCGTCGGCCTTTTGTTCTGATAACCTCTGTTTTAGGTGAGTAAAATGATTACAAGTTCATAAACAATAAAATGTATTTATTGCCATATTCTCGGAATGGTGTTTAAAAGCTGACGTGTTCGAATTAGAACAGTGGCACAGATGATAGCTGGGTTTTATTTACAATCTAATTTGCAATCTCCGCCTAACCTTAAATAAAGTCTTTAGGAATGATCAAATTAGGTAGTCATTTCTGGAAGAAAACATGTAGTTATATTGTGTATTACAGTATATATCAGTTACATAACGCCACGTCAGAAATAGAAAATGAAGGGGGGGGTGTTCATCCAAGCCATCATCAACAATGAACAATAATCATGCTGACATTTGAGCTGCTCAAATTTTAGGTTTACATTCCAATTAGAAACTGTGCTAATGACAATGGTTAAAACTTTCACAGTCAATTATCCATTAAATATTTAATTAAGTCTTAATAACTTTAATTGTCTATGATGCTAATAGCCAAATTTTATTCTTATGTTTGTAGTTACTCCTAAATCCAAACAAATTCTTAAATTATTCAGTTTCTCAACATAAACAGTGAGCCAGGTTAAAGTTAGGTATATATAGGTACAAATCCTGAAACTGTTTTTTATTTTATTCATTTTGATTCATGTTTTTTCCAGAAATCATTGAATTCTGAATATGACGTTAAAGAATATTTACCGTGCTCAAACAAACCGTTTCAACTTGAGTGATGATGTTAGTACCAGTGAAGATGATGGTGGTGAATCAGGATCGAATGAGGTTATAGTTGCATGTAGTCATGATGAACCATTAATACCACCACGTCAAAAACATAAAATGTATCATGTTCGTGGGAAGATAAAAACAAAATCTGGAAACTTCACATGGATTGTGTGTTTTATTTTAACTATTGTGTGTGTTGTTGGAGTGTTGTTAATTCTGGTTGATCAGATCCTTGGGCAAGCTCATTCTGGTCAGAACAAAGTAAATACTGACCATAAAATGGCTTCAGTAAGAAGCAATAACAGTCATTCAAATGTCAAGCCTTGTAGTTCTTTTACTTCAAAAGAAATATGGCATCACATTATTCCAAAATTAATGACAGAAACAGCAATTAGACAAAATGATGTCAACCAAGACAATGTTCCCGATATCTTGATTGGATTTATGACAGTGTTAGATGGGTATTTTGTTGGTGGTCTTCCAAGGAAAGCTTGTGATATTTATTTTAATGGATCATTTCCATGCTTTGGTGGAATTTTAGCCCTAGATGGCCGCACAGGTCAAGAGTTGTGGCGTCATTATACAATACATGAAGTATTTGCTGTCAACTGTAATGCAGACCTTGATTCTGATGATGTTCGTGATTGTTTAATTTCTGGACGAGTTGGAGTGTTTGAGGCAATCAGTGCTCGGCATGGTACATTGTTATGGAGGTTTGGTAAGGATGACCCGGGATATGAAGAGATAATGGGAATATACACGCCTCAGTTTGTACGAGATCTTGACGGAGATGGTGTCCTAGATATACTTGCAACTCATGGTGGTGATCCACTCAGGTATGTTGTTTTTGAACTATTTTAATACCTTGATTATCCCATATGAGCTCACAATGCCTTCAGATGTGTCCTGCAGGTAGTATTTTGCTTTGCCAGGAAAATAATGCTGAAACTTTAACTGAACTACTTTACCACAACATTTGCTATGAAATGCAACAATTTTTTAACACATCCAACATCACCATATCTTAGCATGAGAAGAGAGTTTGGCAAAACTGTTGCAAAAAATTTGTCAGATTTTATTTACACAAGCATGTTCTTCTGACTTTATAATTTTCTAACTTTTTCTTCTATGTATATAGTGAGCCAAACAGTAAGAAAAGATTGGTTGGGAAATTATTTTTATTTTCTGGCAAGACAGGCAACATCTTGAAATGGCAAAATGTTCCAGACAAGCACGAGACATATTTCTCTCCTGTTGTCTATTCATTATTGAATGGAACTGACATTGCACTCTTTGGAACAGGTGGTGAAACCCACCCAGGTTCATTGTGGGCTATTGATGTCATTGAACTGTACCATGGAAATATTAATCGTGCCGTGGTAGTTTACTCTGATAACTACAAAGGTTTGGTCTATTATGATGTAGAGAGAGAGTTAATTCAATTTAATAGGTTGTCTTAAACATACTGTCATGATCAAGCAATAAGCCCACCTTATTTTGTATTTTAGGAATAATGGTTCCACCAGTTTTAGCAGACATAAATAAGGATGGGACAGTTGATATAATAATGGCTATGTTTAATGCCACTGTTGTTGCTTTTGATGGAGAAACGTTTAAGAAAATTTGGCAACATTCTTTTCCTGGTAGTGAAACATATAGGTGAAGATTCTATAATTCTCCCCTGCTGTGTCTTGTGCAGTATTTATTTTTACATTTCTTATTTAAAAGCTATGGTTTGCATGATATATTATTAAGGACGTTTTTAACGCTCTCGCATCACTTTAGCCTCGTGACTCGTGTGAATTTTCTGCTTCTCTTTCAGCACACCGGCAGCTGGTTATTTTAATGATGACGACACTCCTGATTTCTTTGTTCGTTATAATCGCGGAAAAGGTTTTCCGTTGTACTACTATTCTGAGGTGAGTTGTTCACATCACATCCCAAGCTATTTTAAAGACACTTATCTGATATACAAAACTGTTGTTTTAAAAAAACAACGTTAGGTGGCTGTACTTGATGGTAGAACTGGCAAACCATTGACACAACCATACTTCAAGAGTTCCGTAATGTCCAATGCGTCACCGCTAACCATAAGTATGACAGGCGATGGTAATGACGCGTTCGTCTTCTGGATTGCGGACTGTGTTGGAAATGAAGGAAAGGGAGACTGGTTCGACTTTGTGGAAGGAACAAATGTCCATGAACAAAGCAGAGCTGATACCTGTAAATTAAGATATAACACAAAGAGTTTTAGTCGATTGTCCGTCATGAACAAGCGCACTGGCTTTCCCGGACATACAATTTATGACTCCTGTGAGTAGTTCAGTAGTTCTTTCTTCCCGCCAGTCCTGACTCCTTTACTTAAATATCTTGCCCTCAAAAACTAATAATAAATAGATCTTTTATATAACGCGCGTAAGTGTATTAAACATCAGACTTTCCGCGGTTACCCTGAAATCTTGGGTTTCATGTGACGTCGTAACTCCAGTGGGGTCATCTCGAAATTGAGACACAATAAATTGGGGTTAGTTAATTGTTCACTTTATGCTTTGCACTTCGTAGCAAACATACGCAATTTCGTATCATTGACACACTCCTGTTTAGCATAAGGGTCGAAGGAATTAAGGTTGACCCCCACTCAAATCACTATGAAAACAATACGTAAAACCCACCAAAACGAGAAGAAAGGCTTATTAAAAACTCATTTTAAATTGATGCAGTACGTGATATTTGTATAAATATGTAAAAATATTCACATTTTCCTTTTAGTGGAGAATGAATGGTTAGAACATGGTTTATCCCAGCACAAGAAAAATATCAGAAAACGAAAGAGACGCCATGTTGGGCCTCCAGATCACGGTGGATTTCAAAGACTTATTCAAACTGGAAGAATCAGTGCAGCGTTTTCTAACAACCAATCAGAAACCCCTAAAGGAATCGACGTCATGATGGTGACGTATTGGATGTATCCTGCTAAAGTGAGGATTATTACTGACAAAGAGAAAGAATGTATTGAACACTATCGAAATCTGAGTAGACAAGGTAATGAAATTCCAATATTTTCATGGGCTCTTTGAGATTACCATTACCACATAACTAACTGTCCTGTTTATACTGAATAAGATGTCAGAAATGAACAGTGTGACTGCGTGGAGAACGGTGTGAAGCGTATTCAAGCATGGCATATTCAGTTATCAAAAGAGGCCGTTTATTCTTGACCATCTTTCCAATTTTGAAAATTTTATTTTTCAGGAAAATTTGATAATGCAGTCAATATCACAAAAAATATGAACGAAGGAAACTACGACGAAGGTGACGCTGCCACAAACTTATGTCTAAAGAAAAAACAAGATCAGGAAACATTCTACATCAGCCAAAAGAACTATGATTTTAACTCATTGAGATTTGGTAATCTTACTGTGTATAGGTTTAGGTTAGAATGCCAATGTGATCCTTCAGAAACATGCAGTGATTTTCTTCCCATTGATAAACAAGGTTGGGGAGGATATATGGGTACATTAGGTAATTCTTACTTTATCCCTAGATATAAGTGATATCTATCCATCGCCCTATCAAAATACCTCTGATTTCAATCATGCACCTGTGAATAGCATACGCACTAGTAATATTCCTTGAATTAACCACGCAATTATATGAAATAAACACTCAAGCATAAAGATTCGTGTGGTAGAGTCTACTGTGAGGCTATCATGTTTTCTCACTAAGAAGTCAAATTATGACGACCGCCGACAATAAATCGAACGTGCGCGACTGCGCGTATCCCACTCAGTGATCCAACTGATTCACTGCAATCGCCATGCTAACTGCAGGGAGTGTAGTTATTTAAGTGTAAAAATGTGTTGGTATTTATGGTTTGGGGATCGCGTTCATTCTCTCCCTCACATTTTGCCCTCATCATAGTCGATAAAGCGCAAAAAATACAGCCTGGCTTGATATCGTCCGACGGTGTAAACGAAGATGAACAACAAACAGTCGGAACAAACCCGTCCCCAGGCCAGGGACTTCTGAAAGATTCCAGGATAATTCTGCAGTCTAATTTTCCTAATGAGCCGTGATAAAATAAGTTGAGATAATATATTTAAGAAAAATAAATTTTCATAGCAGACTGCAAGAAGAAATTGTAATTTGTAAATTATTTTCCTTCAAATTATTTTTTTCCTTCAATCATTATAATATGGTAACCAAATTTTGTTTTTATTGGTGGATCAGTGTACACAGGTTTTGCTGTTGTGCTTGCTTCTAAACCAAATGCAGCGTCTTGAAAAGGACCAACCTAAAGAAGTGAATAAAATGAACTATTACTAACTGCATAACTCTTCCATTTTGGGAATAGCGCATCAAGCCAGAGTAGAATTGATTGGTAAATACAAAAAACTTACCATAGAGCCTCTTGTCATCCAGCCTAAATCACCCTAAAACATTTCACCACTTATCAGGCACAAAAAAATATTTTCGGGATGTTCAATGAATGGGATAAGGGAACCTATTTCAGTATTTCTTGTTGGTAGACTTAATATTAGTTGGCAAAAATCTTTTTTTTCAGAAGTGAAATAAACAGTTGTTAGACAGAATAAATAACGATATACCCCTTGTCTTGCTTTATCTTCGCTGTATGTTCTTGCAACATCATCAAATTTCTGCCCTTCTTTTATTTTACCCATTGCTTCCATGACCTTTGAATGTTTTTCGCACAAAATATGTCTCACCTACAATATATATTAGTATTTCATAAATCGCTCATTGCTAACCTCAGAATCATAAGTTCAGAACGGAGGATTAAACAACGAATTATCGTTTTGATCCATAAAACATGGTCTCAGGCCTCGCATTTTATTTAGTTTTTTAGCCTTAATTCCTGTGTAGAACTTTCTCGTGTTGAATAAGCTTTAATTCGAAATATGCGGCAAAAACCTGAGCTAATGGAATAGACTCAACTCTCAAGTACAGCCTCAAACCTTTGCTCAAAACCTTTCTTTATCGAATAGCATTTCAAATCAGATTTATGAATTACGTGCACTGTTTAAAATTAAGGGATTGATTTATAAGAAGATCAAGCGCAATCCATCACGTTCACAGAGAGACGGATGTACGTACGGGAAGACGAATAACAAAACAAAGAAAATAACTTTCTATTCTCGTCTTGCAAAGAACGTCAATTAGTTTTTACTGCAACTGAGCATTCTTGTCATTTGTCAAACGTTCAGTTCCCGTTTTTTTTTGGGTTTCATAATTTCATGATGCATTCTGACGATCTTTTCAGTAGGTTATAAGCAGTTTGAATCATCCCAGCGAGAATAGTTCTCCTTGTTAATGTGTCCTCAGCTGGTCTTAAGAATAAAGAATATTATTGCTTTTAATGCTCTTTGTCGTTAATCTTTCTTATGATTCTGATTTAAAATTGTTTTCATCATCAAGAGTTAAGTATGACGTCAAACTGTTTGCACCATGCATAATTTCAGTATGCAGTGATAAAAGTAAAATATGTTCTTTCCAATGCTGTTATGGTTTCTAGGTCTCTGCATCATGGATACTCAGACTGTGTGTAAAGCATAACTATCTTTATAGAGACCTTAACTGAAGTTCCTCCTTTCTTTGTTTTTCCCCCTGAAGCTTGCTCTCCATCATTTTCTATAAAATATCTATAATTTTAAAATGTGCACAATTTCTGTCTATATAGCCAAAGTAGTTTATGCATGGTTGGGAACCATGTCTGTCACTTAATTTCCCTAATCACTCATCACAATCACATATTTTTACCTTTGGGTCCCTTGTCTGGTTTCTTTCCCTTTTTGGGAGGCATTGTCTAAAATAGAAATTCTTACAAGAAATCAGAAAAACAAAAGCTAGGGAGGAAATGAATATTGGATAGCTAGAGATGGCTGGATTGATATTATATCAATATTTCAGACATTAGGGAAAGGTCTCTACGGAAAAACATCTAATGGATGACAATGAATGTGTGATAGGCACTGTGGAATGGGGTAATGAAATTTAGCCCAAGACACTACAGTATATGTTTTACACTAAGACTCGACATCACTACATGACATCAAGGAAAATGAAAGAATTTACAATCATAGGCCCATATATGGTGTAATGGCTTAACAGTTTTGTATGCCTGGCAGCTAGGGGAATCAGGTGTGGCTATGATAAGATGCTTCTCAGTTATTGGAGGATAGTCAAACACAATAAAATGAAAGCAAAATAATGATAGAGAGACCAGGGATAGTTTCATTTTTTGTGGAGTGCAGGCGAGCTGATCAATCACCAAGTGGGGTGGGGTGTACAAGCAAGCGTGATCACCAGTAACGAATTTAAAATATCTTTAAATTTTTATGGAGTTTACATCGTGTATAATTTTATAGAGAGGTGAGAGGTGGCACACCTTTATAAAAAAGGGGCATCACTTATGGATTATTTATAATTCTATTCGCACTTCCACAAAACTCAAAATAAAATATCGACATATAACGTTACTGTCTGAAGAGTGAAGAAATTTCTATAATTGCTATAATTTCAATAAAAGACTGACTCACCAATCTGATCAGAGATAATCTGATCGCTCAGTCACTTTTATAGAAATTTTCTATTTTTCAATGACGCGCGCTAACTGGTAGTGTTTCACAAACACAAAACCTCTGACATGATAAGACCACAGGCTCAACAACAAAATGGAGTTTGGACCTGAACCACCAAAACATTTGAGAAAAACACACAATAATCAAACACAACCTGCAACACTGAACGTCAAATATGATGATAATATAAATAGTGACTCTGAGTTCGTATATGGTCCAGCGTTACCGCCGGATTTAGTAGGAAATGTCCGAAATAATGAATCTGTTGTTCCTCTTTCGGACACAATATTAAAAAAAGATGATGATAATGATGATGATGATAATGATAATGATGATAATGACGATGATAGGCTATTTGGTCCAGCATTGCCTCCTAGGTTTAATCAAAATTCAGCAGGTATTATTGGACCATGCAGACCTCATGTTTCATATGAAGATAACACACTGTCAGGTAAAGACATGTGTATTGTGCAGTAGACCCTTGCAAGTAGTTGCACCTGACGGCTGATGTCAGAGTAGACCTGGGGGACAAATTGATTTGGCAAATAAGATATTGTAAAATACAGATATATTAACTAGTGAAGAAACCTTTCTTCCTTACTATTGCTTTTGTTAGCCATATGAACCTTTAGTACTCACTAGATGATGGCAGTGCAAATGGGCAATGGGGTTATAGACAAGACAAATATTCTTTTTATATAGTGACAACTCTTATATGCCCCTTACCCTATAATTTCTTTTATCAAGAAAGACAAACCAGCTTAGAAGATGACGACGATCAGGAGACTATTACCATTGGACCAAAGTTGCCTACACAAAATGTAATTGTTATAAAACTTAGTGTCAGTTAATTAAGTTTTCAATATTTTATGAGGTCTGAAATCATATAAATTTCATGATTTTTCCTGTAACCTTGTCATTATGAGTTACAAATGTTATAGTCTTGTTTTCAAAAAGTTGCCTTTTCCAAATAACATAAAAAGGCACATATATAACATATTCACATATTGTCTGTATAATATAATGACCAGCAGAGTGACAAGACTACAAATATTGACTAGCATAGTAACCAAATGCATTATAACAGTAAACAGTTGTGATATTTTTTTGGCCAATTTAGGAGGAAGATGAATACATAAAGAGGTGTAAAGAAGAAATAGAATCTCGTGCTAAAATTAAAAAAGATGAACTTTCTGATAACAAGGTATAACAAATATTTGTGAGATGGTATATGCCATTGTTTTTGACCAATAACTGCTGTGGAAATCATTAAGAAAAAAAATCAAAAAAATCTTAACAATCTTAATAAATCTTTATAACTTAAATCATCAGTTAATTTGTTTGAGCACCAGGTGTATTTGTTATATACAGAACTTTCTGTCTGTTAGCCCAGATCTTTTATCATTAATTTTTAAAAACTCTTTTGCATCACTTTTCATAACAGTTTACAGTTTGCATCTGTTTGCTTAGTTGCTCTTTAATTGTTAGTTAGTTCAAGTTAACTCATTCACAAGAACACAACTAGACTTATCATTGAATTGCAGATCATGTACTGTTTAGTTATTTGTTTTACGATTAATGATGGCTACAGCAGAACATTCCCACAATACTTCAAGATTGCATTTCTTTAAGTAGTGATGTGAAAATTTTAAACCTTGCCCTTCTAGAAGCCCAAGAGGCCAGGATGCTGAAAGCTTTGGATGAAAGCTTTACAATCTTCTATTAATAGGGTACAAGAAGTAAGAAGGTTGAGAGAGAAGAATGGATGACAGAACTACCCCCAGAACTAGGAAAAAATTTTGGTATAATTTTATTTTACCTCAACTACTTTTACTTTGGTATATATTTTACTTCAAGCTTTTGTTATGGTGTGAAATATTTAATTTGTGTAAAGCATATAATTTGTATACAAACCATGTACATATAGATTTTACAAAATATGCTATGTATGTATATGTCAACATATATTTGAATCTTTTAATATGACAGGCCTTGGTCCAAGAACGTTTCGAAGTAAAGAAGTAAATCTTGGTGACAGATCAGTTTGGACAGATACTCCTTCACAAAGGGAAAAGAAAAAGGAGGCACGATCTCACATTTTTGTTCATCTGAGTAAACTAAAGACACCTCCATCTCTCACATTTGTCTGCTGTTAATATTAAACGTTTTCCGATATAAACTAACGAGTATGATACAATACTGATTAGATTTATTTTGAAATGTTATATTTTCAGTCGTCTTCTAAACCACCAGAACAACGTGAAAAGACAAAAAAAGAAGTTGATATGGAAAAATACGTTGATGAGCATAACGTAAGTACACTATATATATAACATCGAATTTGAACGTGGTGTGAAAGGCTCGCAAAAATTGTGCGGACGTGAAGGAACTTGTTATCATGTACGTATCATACATTTTTTCGTGTTTATTTAGAAACGATATCGTTCAGAATCGTTATTGGACCTTCATCAAGATGTTCAAAGGAAAAAAAAGGTATGCCTACAAAGGTCAAGTATTTTCCAGGATTCTAATGCGAAATTCGAAAGACTAGTTCCTCCTTGTTAAAGATACGGGTGTATATTATACTTGACAAGGTTAACTAGTCAATGCAAAGGTATAAAACAGACTGGAAGTTAAAAAAGTGGTTATAAGCCTATAACAAGTATAAGGTAAAAAATACCGGGATATGATATCTTCAATCTTGGCACAATATATAAGGTGTAATATACCGGAATATGGCAGCTCTATTCTATCATTATTGCATGGTATCATTATTGTATTGTAATGGTTTTCCGTGCTGTTAATATTTCTAGAAAGCAGACGGTACTCAGTCAGAAAGAAGACCGTTTGACCGTGATACTGATCTGGGTTTTAGACAATTGGATGCTAAAAAACGAAAGTCTCTAATAAAACAATCAACACATTTAAATTCTAAGTTTCAAAACTCGAAACATGGACCTACGTATTTGTAAATACGTCAAACAATCTCAACTGCCAATATTGTAACTGAAGAATGTTGAATACAAATAAGTGTTGCTCAGTCAAGAACGGACGAACAAGGCAAGCAACTGAGGCAAGGGCAATTAGGCATGCAACTGAGGCAAGGGCTACAGCATACAAACAGACTTGATAAAATATTTTTATTCTTAATGTACATAGTATTATTATATTATTCAGTTCCGATACTTATACCGATTTAATTTTTAAGTTTTGTCTTTTCGAAACTTTAAACATCAAACTTTGTGAGTGCAAAGCATGACGGTGTATTACCTGTTAGTCCCTACTTTGAAGCTAGCTTACAAGAAAGTGTATTCACCTCACCTTATACCTCACGGCCTCACCTTATTTTATGACGTAGGGGAGTTTAGGGCCCTCTAGGTGAAATTAGGTTTCCCAATGACCAATCAGAGTGGCAGCTTTGCTATGGGCACAGAGGAACCAGGAAGGTATCGGGTAGGCGGGCACCAGCTAATTAGCCCATAATAGTTAGCCCAACAGTATACTGTATATATATAGTATGATGTCATTATCAATATGGCTTCTGGGTTATTGTCGTCCAAAAGTAGATGTGGTTTTGATTCAGACTGGAACGACGTTTCTGCCTCAATTGATTTATTTCTTGTGGAGCATGAACGAAAATTGGACGAAGGACGACTAAGGTTTATAACAAAAAGTCATTGGATATCTGATAAAGAAAGAAAACAATGTGCAAATAAATTGTGCAAGGTAAATTTTTCACTGACGGAGAGGAAACATCATTGTCGCAGGTAAATTATCCGCCAGGAAATGCGGTTATCGTGAGAGGAAAATGTTGATGAAGTGTAAAAAAAGTTGAGTTTAGAATATGTGCACAAACAAGCAACACTAGTCCTCTATGCATTTTTATAATACTCCTCGTATCGATCTGTATGGCGTTTAATTTGGATAAAATAATGGGGCAGTTCATAGTTTCATAGTTTCATACCCTCTTTTAAATGCAGTGATTCCATGGTATCAATTGTAATTTGAAAACCAAAATATGTATGCACATTAACATTGCCAATGGGGATGGTTTGGAGATAAAAAGCAATCATAAATTTTGCTTCACAATCCTAATGTAATATTGTTTACATCATTCTACTAGGACATGTCTTCCTGCATGACATATGTCTTGCAATTGTCATATTAAATTGTCTGAGACCAGAACTTTGGTGTACTTACATATATTGTCATGGTCATAAAAAGACCAAAATATAAATTATTATATTTTAATATAGTACAAATATTAGTACATTATTTCAATATAGTACAAATTAGACCTGCATGACAGTAGGTTTTTTAATAGTACATTAGCAGCTTAAAGGTTAAATATTTCAACACCTCATCTTAAAAATAAATTGGTATTTACTTTATGTTACCCCTATTATAGTGTATCAAATACTCTATTATAGCATATTATACTTATTCCTTCTTAGGCTTCCTTAAGCATACCTCCTTAGCCTTCTTGAGACTTCCTTAGGCCACCTTGGCCCTCCTTAGACTTTCTTAAATAACCCTCCATAGATTTCTTTAGACCTCCATAACCTTCCTTAATTCTCCTTAGATTTTCTTGGACCACCTTAGCCCTCCTTAGACCTTCTTAGACCTCCTTAGACCTCCTTAGGCCCCCTTAGATATCTCTTACACGCCAGCCCTCAACCTCCTTAGGCTCCCAACTCTCCCTAAACCAACTTAAATTGCCATAGATCTCCTTAGCGATCCTTAGACCTCCTTAAGTCTCCTTAGACCCACATAGACTTCTTTAGCCCTCTTTAGTCGTTATTAGCCCTCTTAGACCAGCTTAGTCCTCTTAGACCATCTTAGGCCTCCCTTAGGCATCATAAGCCCTTCTTAGATCTCCTTACATCTTCTTAGACTTTCTTAGATCCTTAAACCTCCATAGGCCTTTCTACACCATTTTGTATTTTTTTCACACCTCCCTAGGTTTCATTAAGCCTTTGTACATCTCCTTACTCCTCCTCTGGTCCTCTAAAGAGATCTGAGGTAGAATATGCTATAAGTTGTTGTGTCATTTTCTAGATGTGGGGAAATATTTTGTCATAAATGTACGTCGTTCACTCAAAGATTGTCCTTGCTTGCTCAAAGAGATCCTGACGGAATTCTTTACAAGGTAATTGAATGGATTATTAACTCACAGTTCTTAAACTCCTTTATTAAAAACCAGCATTAGGCAAACAATTTTTTTTCTAAAATATAAACTTGTCTATTTGTTGCTTTATAGGTTTGTATTTTGTGCTTCAATAGAGAGGGACAATTGTTTGGTAAGACTCGATCACGTATGAAAGAATTCCAAGAGTCCCGTTCACAAACATTGCAGAAAGGTCGTGACGCAACTGATTTTGTAGATTGTGATATAACCTCGACAATATCTCATAGATTAGCCAGGTTAACATGTAAATATCAAGAACACGTGACTGAGGAAAAACCAAGTATGGTGGATCTTGTGACTGTACCATTGTGGCAAATACCAAAGAATGGCTTGGTAGGTGGTCTTGGTGGCACGTCTGTGCTTTTCTAACATTCTAAAGAAGTTTACTAAGCTTTTAGAACGTGCGTAATCAAGTGACAATGTTATGCCAATAAATACTTTGAAAATATCTTTATCTCCATTACAGAAAAACTTACGATATTGCTACCTTTGTACAAAGAAATTCAACTTTTTACGCCCTGCTCATCATTGCAGGTAAGAGAAAATAATTTCACTGATTACTCTAGTTAGCAATGAAAGGCGGTGAACTTAAAACATTCATATTTACGATACCGTTGAAAGTTCAAAATTATTAACAACTTTTTACATGATGACTTATGCATTGGGATTAGCTGCATCCTTCAGATAAATATCCTGCAAGGATTGTTGCATTGTTTATTTTTCTAAGTATTTAATCGCACTACATATATCGAACGAAAGCAGTCAGTGTTCTATATAAAGTAAATATTTATTGTAAGTTTGAATAAAGTCTTCAGTCAATCGTCGTGAAAACTCCTCCATGTCCTTGTTTGACTGGGTATGAGAGGTGATCATGAAAGATGATCAAACTCCTATGAGAATCTCGTTTGACTGGGATTTACGTCATCATTTTCAGAATTTGTGGCGAAGCTGTATGTCTGGAATGTTCAAGTGAGGAACTTCTGCTGTATTGTGATGCAATCTCAGGTATTTCTTGTTGGGCTATACTTGATGTTGCGGGCTGTCCACCTGAACCTCCTGAAACACGAGAGTGCTTGCGGTTATGTGCGAGTTGTCACAGTCATGCAGTTCATATTCAAGTTCAAAATATGATCAAAGAACGCCAGGATAATGAAGGAACTGTACTCAAGAATGTTCAAAAATATTATGATCAACTCATGAAGTTAAAACTCAAAATCAATGAAGTTTTGACCAAATATCAAGAGTTAGTCAACGCAATTGAACATGAAAGAGATTTGACAAATATTATTCCAAAAGGAGGAAGCACTACCAAAATACTTGCAAAATATAATTCTGATACATCAGACCTTTTCACTCAGTTTGCTATTGACATGCAGGGTTTTAAGAAAGTGAAGCCAAAAACAACCTCCCAGTTACAGCTTGTTTCATCCATCATCAATGCCATGTATGGATATTACTCGAAGAATTTTTACACATTTCGTGATTTACAACGGTCTCTTGAAACTACTCTGGGATACCGAGCATTGGAAAGTGTACAATTTATTGTTGATTATCAGACAATCAATTGTACTTTTCTTGCTTTAAAACAACTTGGTTTAGAATGCCTCGAATTGTCTCAGAAATACAACATTGATTCTCATATGGTGTCGCTACTAGCTCTCTGTGAAGATGTTTGTAAACGTGATTTACAAGAGGCAGTGAAATCGTCTGGTGAAGATTGGAATAAACACGAAGAAAGCACGCGACAATTTGTAAAACTCCAACTCAAAGAGAAGAAATTGCTAATTTGTTTGAAAAAGACAAAGAGTACGGAAATGGAAAAACTGGTATTACAGAAGTGTGATTTATTTCTCCTGAAAGTTGAAAGACAATTGAATGCTAAGGCCAGAGTCAATAAATTTACACGTACGAAGGAATCTTTGCAAACGACAAAAGTTCAAATTGAAGAACTTTCCTCAAAGATGGAAAAATAACGTTTAAATGGGCATGCAGTCATTGAAAATAAACACAAATTTCAAAAAACATCCTAAAATCCAGTGACTTTATTCAATAATGATTCTTATATCCCATTCTTTGACCAAAGCATTGAGGCAAGTGTCATGATATATATGTATACATATATTATACCTACAAATTCGAAGATCACAGCATCAGTTAACGTTGAATGCTTTTAAAACCTTTGAAACTTCGAGCTGCACAGGGTAAGATGTAAGATCCTTTATATTTTCTTTGCTTCATGCATTATCATGTCTTGTGCGCTCAAAGATTAAGGCTTAATGTTTGTCGAAGGACAAATATATGAATAGCTATAATTGATTTTGAATTCGGACTTTCACAAGTATTTAACGTTAACATTTTATGATAGGCTATACAATTATGTCATTTAGATGAAAGCAGGCTCGCGGATGATTTTTAAATAAATTTGAAATCAAAAATTCTGCAACCAAGCAACGTCTTATAGCTTTAAGGAAAATTGTCAAGCATTTATTTCATTTACTGCCAAATTATCGTAAATTGGTTGTTTTGTATTATTGGTAATGTTTACGTTTTCATAGAGTCTTTCCTCTCGTTTTTTTCTGGCAGCGTTCAATTTTTCCTCATCAATGATAGCGTATTGCGTTGGAGGGTCATTGCTCTTTCTTCTGTTGTTACCGCCTCCAGAATTTAATGCCAAAACATCCAAGTCTGTATACACGATGTTAGGCTAGAATTAAATATAATTTGCAGTTACATCAGTCCGCCTGGGTGAGGTTATATTCATTGTTTAAATAAAGTACTGGATTTTATAATAATGGCGTATTTCTTTGGAGCACAGGCATTAGTCTCCTGCGGCTATTTTTATAATTAAAATTGTGTTCAAATCAAACCTCAGGCACTGTGTATACCCCATCACTGGAAGTGGCTCCTTGTTGATGTCTGTTTACGTCTGGTATTTGGTATTCACTTTCTGATTCTTCGATTCTGTTAGTATCAGGAGAATAAAATTTACTGATTATAGCGTGTTTAATTTTACATTCAGTAACATGCAGAAGTAATCGAAATTAATATCTGGCAAATTTTTATCTATTGTTCGCATGCATTCTATCACAATACATGATCGGTAATAGATTTTGAATAATATTGGAACTTTCTTTTTCCGATTTTTTTTTCTTGATCAACGACCACCTGAAATACATCACTGCAGGACTGGCGCCAAGTATAACGGCAATATTTGAAAAAAAAATCCATTGTTTCTTACCAAGGATAGCTGGTGTATAATAAAATGATGACAATACCTTGCCTGACTTGTGTTTCTATCTTTTTCTGTTTGAACAAAGAAACGAATATGTTATACTGATTACAGAACTAACAGAAGAAGCTAACGTGGGTAAAACTATATACGTACGTGTGCATGTGGCCTCTTAGACAGGGGTATAATAGAAGTTTAGGAGACAATTCGTCTCATGCATGCAGGGTCCTAAATTTCAATGAAAATGCTTTGAATATTAAAAATTTTTTCTAGTCGTTGTCAAGCCGTTGTGTCTTACTTTGTTTACGAGAAACACAAGCGAAAATCACGATAATCATTATTACAAATGAACCAAGAAGTGAACCAACTACATTCACGACATTGAGGTAACTTGATGAGAATTCCAAACTTTCCTTTATGTTCATTGTTCTGTATTTGAAAAGAAAGAACACAGTAAATGCTTTCTCATATAGAAAATAATTCGTAACAGAAGAAATTTCTTTCGCAATGATCAGTTATTCATGAACAAAAGAATATGTTTTGAACGAATGCTTTGGAGAGACTCCATGATTAAAGGCGCTGTTATACACGATGATGCAATTCAGTTTTATTCAAAAGTTGCACAAGTTATTGCGCGGTCTAACATGCCTTGCAATGACCATCATCATGACGAGGCAAGGTTTTATCAAATATTGCAAAAGTATAGCACTAACGTTTACCGCTTGATGCAGCTTGTCTGGCAATTGCATTTCGATGCATGTCGCATGAAAAAAGTTACCGCGTGTAACAATGCCTTAACTAAACTTTTGATGCTTTTTATCATATTTAAAAATGCTCATTACCACTGGGCCCCCGATGCTTGCAAATTTGTTTATGATATCCTTGGTAAAAAAAAAATTAGTTTCACGATAGTTAAATGAATCCCACCATGCATGCAGGGGGTAGCTATATATATGGAAGAAGATGGTAGCTACATCCATAGATATACCTTGGTATCATGCATACGAACAATGCATGAATAACAAAGTACCATCAACCAGGAAATTGTCATGACTCAACATAGGCGTGCTCATTATATATTGTTTACAGGATACAGCTCACTAGTGACAAGGAATCTCTCTTTACTGCGTGTTTGCAGTATATATAATTTTTTGTATTTTATTCTCATGTTCTGTCTTAAAATGTTTCCATTCATATAAGTGATATATCACCATATAGACCTATAGTGTCTGCCTGTGGAACAAAATTGCAGTTCATTTGTTTTGAATGAAATATTTATACATATATATTATATATACATGATATAGCTATTCAATGTACAGGTCAGTCGAATTTTGTCTGTAGTGATATATTCTTATCCTAATAGTTTGCTGTTTAATTGAAAACTGACTAAACGAGTGGCTAATGGTCCACAATTTCCCTAAATCCTATCAGTCATATACTTTGCAAAAATTGACTTACAGACCTATACTTATAATGATATTATATGTCGGATATATATACCGACGGAATATCAGGAGTTTTATCAAGACAGACGCAAGTATGACACATAAGCATTTTGAAATGTATTCATGTATAAATATGCAGTATTTAATTTCCCAAAATCAGAGCTAGCAGCACAAATCACATATCAAGGTATAGGTAAATGAAGAAGTGAAGCAATCTCAATAAATTAGCGTTCAAGGAAGGAAGTTGATCGTAAAACATGATATTAGCTGATATCTCACAACATACCTGCATTGGTCTTAGCTATCATCGGTCGTGACTTTGTTTCGTATAATATTTTAAAAACTGTTTAGCCTATATACCAACTAATGAGATTATCTTTAAACTCTTATTGAAATATGAATATTTTTCACCTCCAAATGACTTACCAAATTGTTCCTAACGTTAACTCGATCTTTGGTTAAGAAAAAGGACACATTCATTCACATACTCATTATCTTTTTAAATACACGCGACTACCATTCAAAATAAAGTTTAAATCCAGCTATATTCCGTTTCACATTATCAATTTACCATGATGTTGAAATATCCGTGTATAAATATCCGATTGTATGTATCTTTTCATCTGTCATTTCATAAAAATTTGCATTTCAAATAAGCTGTTCAGTCTAAGCACAATATTGGATATGTAATAAACATACCTTTACTGACGTATAAGTTGAATAAACTGAAACAGATAATTATACATGGAGAGGGCTCGTCGCCCTAGTTATGAGCATGCATATATACTATGACGGTATATAGATATTTTAGTGAAAAGAATAATTTAGCACCCATTGGGAAACCATATACCTAAGGTTAAGTAATTCAATGTGGCTGCGCAGATCAGACTTATCAGAGGACATCTATAATGAGGAAGCTCAGACCCTAATTTGGGAATGCACCTAGTGTACATACATGCAGTGTTGTCTTACTGACTCAAAAGCGTTTTTTCTATGTAGCGATGTATATTGGCATTAAAAAAACCTTAAAAAAACCATAGTTTTCATGCGCGGGGGTGTTTGGGGTGGTGCGCTCGATTTTTCTCAGCTGACCTCTATATATAATAACGGAATGCAACGTTATATGTCTTTCCACTAAATGCATGCAGTCACGTAGATTGTTTATTAGGAAAACGAAGAATTAGAATATCACTTTTTTCTTCTAAAGCACCATCTACAAGTAATTTAAAAACGATCCTTCGTTAACATTCAATAATCTATATCGTTTGTTATTTCTTCAACATAAAATACTAGCGGACCCGCTGGGCGCTGGGCCAGGCCTCGTAAAAATATTACATCATTGTTCATTAATATAATATTTAGTCTATTTTGTCCCACAGCTGATATCCCACAGTGCCACTAAGGTGAAAACCGCAACTTGGCGAATTTTATTCGTCCATAGCAATACAGTTGTCATGCACCCACTTTTTCAACACCATTTTATCAATATATACAACTAGAAAATGTGCTGTCACACTGCTTAAACCTCTTGCCTCATGGAAATAAAATTTAAATTGATATAGAATTTGATCGTTCAACATCTTTGGTACTTGCGCATGGTTCTTCGTCAGAACGTAATGGTATGTCTTCATAATCGTTATCAGTACTGGCCGCTGTAGCTTGTTCTTTTACAACATGCTCAATATCTGCATAGTCAGTATCCTGTCTTGGAGGTGGCCTACTGTCATCGGATCTGGGAACAAAATCTGATAATTCAGCGTACACCAAATCCTTCCTGTCATTCTAAAAAAGAAGATATTTTACTTAAGTTGAAATAAGTAGCTTGGGCATAGCTGTCTTCATAGGGAACTAGAATTGCCAATAGTATAAAACGAAGAACTAATATGTATATGCTATTAGTTACCCTCCCTCCGTAGTAATGGTGTTAAAAGAAATTTTCTCCACTTGTCAAAGTCGGAAGTCCGGATTAAAATACTCACAAATCCTGGACTTATTTGAGGGGGAGGGGGTGTCATATCTCATACATTTGTCTGATCATATATAGTGTCATATCTCATACATTTGTCTGATCATATATATACGAGTACACCCAGCCCCGCAATTAAGATTCTAACGACGACCCTGACCAAATCATTCTGTCTTAACTAAAAATCCAACAGTGGATCCAGTCCATACAGACAGATTGGATAAGAGATCTCTGCTGATAGATTTCGGTTTTTAAAAATAAAAATAACTATCCGAATGATTCCATCAAGGGAGATATCAATATTTTTCATATTAACCTTGTCTTTTTTCTTGGTATTTTTTCTCTCAACCACAGCATACACATCACCCAGTGGTCCTGTTATATGCTCCACATTTCTTACAAAAGAATAATAAAATATGATTTGTACCGTAGATCAACACACAAACCTTGGCGAGGCTTATAGGAAATTCCACCGAGGGACAGAGTTGTAGTAGAACTTTAATAATTTTGCAATTGAAGTGAATTACAGGTTGGTGGCACGCATTCATATAACAATGGCGATTTGCGGTGAAAAATAAAAAAGGGGTCAGATTAAGCAATACATGATATAAAGCTATATTTTGTTTTGCTTCTCAATCTGATCTAAGCTTAGACCATGCAGACTACAGTTGTATCTAACTAAAAAATAAAGGATACCTACGGCTGATTTCTTTCATTGCCTATACAAAAATAAAATGAAACAGGTAAGTTTATTTTCTCATGGCGTTTTAACTCTAGAGTCTGTTTCCCATGAAATGTTAAAAATATCCAAATTCTCTTAATTTCTCTGTAAAATCGAACTTTGATCTTGGCAAGTATTAAAATAATGATTGCAGTAATGAAAATGCTTGCATGTGACCGGCTATAGAATTTATTCCTGTTAAAGAATATGTGAAAATCATCGCAAATCAAGGTTCTATTCTGCTGCATATTTTTGAAAAATTTAACGAGCTTATTTTTTTCTTAGTAAAATTCCCACACAATGAGTCACTTTCTTTCCACTACTTTTACTTTACTCTATGAGTACTTGACATTTACATAATAGTTATTGTATAAGTAAGCATACCTTGAGATCTACGTTTGCAAAACATCACAATGAACAAGACAGCAACAATAGCTATCAGTCCACACAAAATAGCAATAGCAATAATGCCGTGGATGGGGAAGTCGTCTGATGATTCATCCAACACTGGTTTTTCTGTACTGCTGCTACTACTAGCTTCAGTTGAAGTCATTAACCACGTCACTGTACTCACCGATGCAGCACTTTGGTAAACTAAATAAACAAGAGAATAATTACATCTGTGTTTACGACTGATAGTCTTTTTCCTTTACTTATGATTCTAACTTCGTTCAGTTTGGTGTGTTCAGTGTACGTCATCATGGGTGTCATGAAATAATTGCTATCAATTGGTATCATCAGTAAAGGTTTACTTTTAGCAAAGTTTTATTACTGTCATATTAATACGTATGCGTAATTAAAACTGTCACATGGTTACACCCACTGACTATTGCAAAATGGTTGTATGGAATTTGAGGTCTAGGGAACACTTGAAATACACTGCCTTAATTGGTCCTTTACTGCATGATGGACATTCTAAACTGACAATTTCTAGTTATCCTTGGCGTCAGATTCGATTTCGAAAACGAAAATCATTGGATTGTATACTAACGATTTAAGTTTGAGAAGTGAGCGACTTTTCCATAGGTTAATCCATGTTTATTTTGGGCTAATATTCGGACGTCATATAATTCCCCAGGAACAACATTTTGTATTTCATATCGCAATATTTTCACTCCTTGTTTTGCAGATATCATCCAATCATATTCTTTTGTTTTGTGCTCCACCAAATAATAATCTGGATTTCCAACGACTTTCACCCATTTTACAACAAGTCTGTCTCCGTTAAGGGACAGTCCCGGCGGTTCTGACACACCCGGTGGACCTAAACGTAGAACAACATTGTCATGTATTCTTCAGTTGCGTGACTATACAAGCAGATATTCAAGTATTGTCTGCTTTGAAGTAATAATACTTGATATATGTGATTATTTCCACTAAAAGAGCTAATCAATAAAAGTGAAGAGTCGAGAATTGAGAAAAAAACGCAAGTGCTGTTTGCTGTAATAGAATTCATGCACTGACGAGTTTTTATATAATTATTACTTTCCTGTATTAATTTGCAGTTGAACTGCGTTGTAAAGTAATTAAAATGTACCTTCATACAATGTAGACACCTCCGCACATGTTTCATTACTAGTTCCCACAATGTTTTCTGCTGTTACACAGAAGGTATACGTCGTATTTCGTTGAAGTTCATCTATGCTATACTGAAGTTCTCTTGTCTTTGAATTTGCAATGACCTGTGTTTTATACTTCACTTTAATGAAGTATCCTGTGATGATAGATCCACCATTGTCATCTGGCTCGTGCCATCTTATAGTGATTTCAAATGTTTTTCTAATATATGTCAAAGCCTTTGGTTTACCAGGGACAACTAAGATACAGAATTATATGATGATATTAAACAAACACAAGCTTAAAACGCTCACGTTCTTCCGCGCAATAACAGTTTAGTCTGTTTTATCAAAAGAGAACAAGCCCGAACAATTTGCAGGGACTATGGTATGAAGTTTTTCATAGTTATATACACCTGATAACTTACGTAATTGTCTTAAGGTAATGTTTCTCGTATTGTTCCCATGTATGTTACTTGCGATACAAATGTAAGCGCCAAACTGAGCAGAACTATTCAGCGTCACAACCAATGAATTTGTGCCAGTTACCAAAATTCTGTTTTCTGGTGTTATCCAGGAGTATACAGGTGCTGGATCACCATCTGTGGTGCAGGAGAATTTTATCTTCTTCCCAATATATGAACTTGTATTAGACGAAGTAATTACAGGAAGTCTTGGAGGATCTGCGGAGAAAGGAATATATTTCCTATAAGTATAACTAACTCATCTATCACCGCTGATGCAAGAAATGATGTATTCAGCTGATCTGAGTACAAAAATCAACAAATCAGATCCGACATCAGATCCTCGACAAAATAAGTAAATTATCATTTCCTTCGTTTCAAATAATTGCAGTCCAGTTCAAAATATAATACTTATTAATTCTGTTATATTCTTTGCAAAAACACATTTTTAGTTCCAGACGCGGTATTATAGAAGTGTTCCGGAAATTATCGAGCAATTAATTTGCTCAAATTTATTAGTAATACTCACTTTCACACAGAAATACTAAAACTTACATTGAACATGGACATTCAGCACAGATTGGTTGTGAAATCCATATTGATTATTTGCTACACATGTGTAAAAATTCATTTCCTTTCTCGATATTTTTTTAATCTTCAACACGGAGCTATTACTTCTTTTTCCAGCTAATTTCCAAACAACATTTGGCAGAGGTAATCCTGTTGCAGAACACAAACACTCAAGATCATCACCTTCTTTCACGATTATTCTGGAAACGTCGTCTTTTGCACTGTCACATGTTATTCGAGGTTGTGTTGGTTTCACTGTATTGAAATTAGATGTTCGTGACGATCAATTAATTATAAATATTAAGAATGTCAGTTAGGGAAATTAGGGAAATCTGATTGGATTTTTTCCAGAATTTCATTTTAAAATGTAAATGTGGTGCCATGGAAGTGTGAGCAATTACAGAGCAAACTTGTCACAAAATAATAAGCCCAGCTATTTGAGCAATAGTCAGAGATGGCTGTGCCCTACGACAACACTATAATTTTATAGCAAAAATTTCTTACCCCCCTTTTGAAGAGTTTTAACCGACTCAACTGCTTTCGCTACAAGTGTGTGTTCAATACGTATTTTATAGTTTGTAAAATCATCAGAATTGAAATTCTTTATAGTTATTGTCACCAAAGACATATTTCTCCATCCTGACAATCTATTTTTGTAGAGATCATCAACATATTCGCCCGTGCCAATAAGTAATAAAGCACGTTTATAGCTTTTACTTGTGTAAACATAGAGGTACACTGTTGGTTTGAAAGAGATACCACTGGTCTAAAAAGAATTGAATTCGTATGATAAATATAAGCAACAATAAGCTTAAAGTCAGAGTTGCAATTGAATCACGTTTTTAAATATTTATTTTAGAATATCCAAACCGCATGTAAGGTTTTTGAGGCTATGTGTGCTTACGACCGTCGTTTTCATGCGTTTTCGACATCGTTTTTGTCTCGTTCATCAAATATCGTTTTAAATCCCTGTTCACCTACCTGTACACATACGCGATAAAAGGGAAATATGCTCAATATACATTAAACTGGTTTCAACTTTACGCTATCGTTTCGCGTGAAAACAAATAAGAAAACGCCCGAAAACGTAACCGTGTACCAGCGGCGTAACCAGCGTGACAATTTGGTCATGCTATGCAAATTTCAAGTCATTAGAATTATTAAATTCTTTAGAAATTCATTGTCAGCCTGGCTACGCCAGTGCCGGGTGTGCACACGGTGTCATGGTCATTGTCATGGTCATTGTCATGGTCATGATCATTGTCATGATCATTGTCATGGTCATTGTCATGGTCATGGTCATTGTCATGGTCATTGTCATGGTCATTGTCATGGTCATGGTCATGGTCATGGTCATTGTCATGGTCATTGTCATGGTCATGGTCATTGTCATGGTCATTGTCATGGTCATTGTCATGGTCATGGTCATTGTCATGGTCATTGTCATGGTCATTGTCATGGTCATTGTCATGGTCATTGTCATGGGGTCACAATAAAATAAAAACCGTACTTTGAAATACCACGTAAGGTGAACTTCACTTGTATTAAATACGTATTGTACCGGGGAAGAAAGTGGATCAATTGTAATGCTGGGTTCACCTGAAATAAAAATACATTCATATTGCATAAAAATACTAATATGCCTAATATCACTTGCGGCACGGTTCTGTAATTTCTGCAAAATAATAATTATAATATAGGATGACCAGTGCCGAGCTTTAACCCTATTTCCCGACAAATAAACCCGTTTGATTTTTAAACGGGTTTATTTGTCGGGGGATAGGGTTAAAGCTCGGCACTGGTCATCCTGATTCCCTAGTTCTGCGAATAATTTATAATTACACTGCTGATGTTGATAAATGACAACACCCAACTATAACAAATCACGCCTATTTTGTCGGCAAAATTTAGATCTGCATCTCCTCCGGCCCTCTCCCAAAATATGATGTGCTAAGTGCTGTCCTGAGAGGCTAGTATAAACACGATTTTCGAATTTTTTTAGTTCCTAAATGTTTAGTTCATTAATAATGTTTGGTTGTATAATAATTTCCATAATCATAACGCTTTCAGTTTATTATAGGTTTATTCTCTATTCTGATGACGTCAGTAATGGCGTCCATGTTTTCAGAAAAAATACGTTTTGAATTACTACATTGTGTGTGCTGAACATGAGGTAATGCCTGTAAAAAAATTGGTATTTTGATAGAGTAAACTGCACTTGAAGTTTTTATTGATATTGTATTATTAATTATCCATTTATCAACTGATGAGATGTTATGTTTTGTAGCCCAGATCAGATGTTGGGGTCATGCAGAGGTGGGTAGTCTCCTTCTGGTGAAATGTTAGTGTGAAGTAGTAGCATAAACTAGAAGACATCTTGACATGGAAGTATTGAATATTGATTATTATCACTTACTGTACAGAACATACCATGCAATTATGAAAGGGTTTGACAGTGTCAGATTGCACATCAAATATACATAGTATGCATTATAATAAAATGGATTTCTTCAACAGGATAGCTATAAGCAAGTTAGTCATATATTGACTTTTCTGATAAACACCCTTAGGCAGGGTTGTACTGAGGGCATTCTGATGGAGGAGTGTTTTTTAATAATTTACAAACAAAAAGGAGGCCTGTTGGCAGATTTTGATATTATAATTCGTAAATTTCCATGATTATATCGATCCTAAAAATGAAATTAAAAGCACCATGACAAGAAGATAAAATCTTTACATGGGAACTGATCAAGTTAAAGTAAGCAGGAGGAGAGGGCCAACCACTATAAAACTTATATAAATGAACCAACCATTTTTCAATAATAAATAGGGGTGCCATATCACTTCAGAATTTTATTAGTAGGAGTTGCATATGTAATACAAAAATGTAGTCAAACATGTATCAGGCTGAAATATTATAAAATACTTTTATTTTTATTGTTGATCTGGTTAGTTAATATGAATAATTGCATTGGTGACTTCATCCACCTGAGAGAGATCATTTAATAATATAGTATTTACTTTTTGCATTTTTTAGACTTAAAATGAGAGTACCACTTAAAAAGGTGCCACGTTCAATATTTTAGCACTCAACATTTGGAAAACGTTACCATCAAAAGGTAAGTTATTGCGTTGGAGATCCAGCTGTTAGATTAAACAATAATAAGTGTTAAACAATAATTGAACATTGCCTGGCATATTACAACGAAAACTGAAGTATAAGAATTTGCAATTAATATAAAAATGTGATACTTGATAACACAATCTATGTGTTTGATAATTCAGAATGCATTTTTACATCAGTGATTTCATATGGCACAGGGTTAGGGTTATAATCTAGATATAACGGAAAGAATGTTTGTGAGTTTGGCTCACTGGTTTAGTGGTTGTTTGACAAACATTGTTTCCTATTCCGAAGTTCCTTAATTTCCTTGTGCAATTGAAACTTATAGTCCATTATTGAATATCTGGATTAGTTAATGGCGTTGTTATGCTATATCAAACCTAAGTTATGCGGAAAATACGTCTAAAATCTAAATCACTGTATCAAATACATTGTTATAAAATTTGTACTTGACACAATCGCAATTTTCACAATTAAAACATTTTAACTTTGTTAGAAATCAAATGTTACTACAAGTGCAACATGTTTATAGTTGTTTATTATAAACAGGCATATGTGACTGCGGACTGCCTGCCCACAATGTAGTTAATTCCTAACCGCGTCGATACTATAGCTATAATTTATATAACACTAGCAAAATGTGATATAATTATACCGTCGCAGGTACCGAGGTTCAATTAAAACTGCTATTTTGCGGGTTTACTCACCTGTTATTTCCTTAAATGAACATCCCAAGAGATAGAACAGAAATATTAAAAACATTTTGAACACTAATCCTTCTCAACAACTCTCGAGTAATTAGGCTTTAAAAACAATATACAATATGCTTGTGTCTCGATTAGGAGTCGATGATAACTCGCTGGACGCTGGTGCGTTATTAATTAGCATGTGCTTGAGCAAGGAGGGCTTGACGCCATAGAAACGGACGTGCCAGTGGTTAGAGTGTCAGGTGTTTGTTTCCGCTCTATTTTTGTAGATACCACTGACGAAGTAAACTTATATTTTTTTTCTGTCTGTAATAGATTATACGAATCCACTGTAGTCTGTAGTAAGTATTGTGTTTCACCACTAATATTCTTGTAAGCTCTAGTTTATACGTCACGTCTCTCATGAACCGAGCGAAGCAGAGCCTAATTCTATAAAAGTTCTTTATTGGATCATTTGATTTGCATTAGTCATAGCCATAATCCATAAGGTTCGGGTCGTGAGCAGTGGTCGTGAGACATGACTCATGAAAAAAACCAAGTCTATAAAAGCGGGCCTAACTCCTAAAAAATAAACCTCGCAAACCATGGGCCCGACGTTTTATCAATCTCACAGTGTGAGGATTTAATTGATAAAAAATTCAGAAACCACAAGCAATGCACGCTAGGAACATCTCTCATTCGTGCAAGTGTGATAATCAATCTTTCCGTCATCAATGTCGTATTTCTATGCTGTAATACGATACATTTGACATACATCTCCCAAAAAACTGTACGTTTATGAGTAAAATATGTTTATATGGGTATATACTCTGAGATATACACTTTATACAGTATTTCACAGTATGTTGTATCGTGTATATACACATCAATATAGGGGTTGGTCCCCCGGCGTGTCAATTGTCACACCTCCTGGAATTCCGGCGTAATAATAATAAAATATTTTAATCAGGTGCATTTATGCAAGAAGAAGCGTCTCACAAATTTAGAACTAAATTCTCGCAATGTGGACATTTCTTTTAATAGGTGCTTTCATTGTAATACACATCTCTAATGGAAATGGTATGTTTTATATTTATTTGGATTTATTAATATCAGTTAGTGTTTATTTTCTTCTTTTAAGCTTTATTCCATATTCCAGCTGATATATTCATGACTCTATTGTGTTTTGTTTTGCCTTTTTTACTTTTAATTTCATAATTTATATCATTTTTTCCCGGACAAATAGTGTGCTAAAACTCAAACAGTGTGTGTATTCTACATTCAAGGAAATTCTATATTGTTTCAGCAACGTATTAAATAAGTAATATTTGCGGTAATGTTCATTACTATAAATCTAACAACATTACCCCTGCCCATATTATTGGCATATATCACTTGCATATATCATGTTAACTAAAGAATTAACTAGATCTCATACAGCTAACCAGCAGAACTTGCTCCAGTTAATTATCAACTCTTAAGGTCTGTTAACACGATCCAATTTTCACGTGATCCAATTTTCACACGATCCAATTCTGTTGGATCCAATTTTGTTGGATCCAATTCACTTCTTATGGATGTTTTATAGTCTGTTGTCTTGTAATTTATATGAGCAGCAAAATCCACTGAAGCCATTAATGCAGTACTGCTTTATCAATAACTGACTATATTTCATCAGACCTTTCATCTGTTTAGTGTTACTGAGTCAAGCATATTTACACATTAACAATATGATTGTTTAATTGTTGTATGTATATGTGCTGATTAAACATTTTTTTATATTTGTAAATTGGATCTTCCATATAGCATTAGACTTGTTTTTGCAATATATATCATAGACATGACAGTTACAATAATGTCTTGTTCATATACAAGACATCAAATTAACATTATGCATCAATATTGCATATAGGTACAAGTTATTATACACTTAATGTATGCTCCCGAGGGAAATAGTGAGTTTTGTTTTTCCAAGAGGCTGAATGTTTCCCGAGTTTGCATGTCTAAGTGTTTTGTTATATAGGAACGAAAACATACATGTTACACAACAATTTCATTTAAAAAACCCACTTTACTTTGTTATGATAATATGCAGGCAACAGTTTTTCACCTGTTTCCCTGGGGGGAAACATTGCATTTATTTAAAGTCATGTGACTATGAATGAGCCAATCACATTTAAAATACACAGCACCAAAATAACAAAAATATTTATACATCCTTTATGTTGTGCATTGTCTATAGGAGAGGCTCGTTTTCGTGTGAAGCCATATGACAAGATCAATAAAACAGGTTCCACAGTGACATTTGTCTGGATATTTGAGGATACTAATAAAGATATTTTGAGGGGAGAATTATTCAGTCACATTGGTGGGGACAGTTCACTTTTGTTCAAAGTTGATCCTCATACCAAGAGTTTTAAATCATTTGATGACAAAACTAGAGTTAACATCACCTTGGCTGTTCCACTCACTCTTACTACTGTCTCTGTTAAAATGGTTTTAAATAATATAACTACAGCTGACACGGGTTATTACAGTTTTAAAGTATTAAGTCTGGGGAAAGATGGTCAGTCTAATACATCCAATGTGTCTTTGTATGTTACTGGTAAGAAATTTTTCCATACTGTTTTATTTTCATTTATTTTTATTTATTTTCTTGCTGTTTTTTATGCAAACAGGGATATATTATCAATGGTGAATATTTTTCAACTAGTACTAGTGCCTCAAAACGTTTCGCCTGAATCAAGTAATAGAATCAAGTTGCAGCTTTGTAGCTATTTTCTACTTTGTGACATGGCTATGGAAAAACGTTTAGGGTGTTTCCTTTTTAGGGTAACTTTTTCATAGAGTCTTGGTTTTAGGGGGTTTCACAGTTTAGGGCAGTTGAAATAAAATTTAGCGTGTTTCAAATTTTCTTTCAAGGCATGCATCTTGTGTCTGGGGTAGTTATTAAAAAACCACACATGAAGTGCATCTCGGCTGAAGCATCATAGCATATTTTTGGGTAAATGATAGGATGTACAACACAGATGCACGGCAGTTATATGGCAGAATTATTATTTTTTCCGGATGAGGAGAATGAATTCTTGTGTATTATTGTGTACATGCATGTGCACGTAAAACTCGTGTATGGAACAGTGCCGTCCATGATCACAATTTTTTCTCGTAAGATTTTTATTTTTGTGAGTTTAAATTTCAATCTTTCCGCATATATCACGTCACACAAGTGTTTTTTATTGAAGAAAAGCCGCATAGTATGAGCGTTAACAACACTGGCGATATTACAAAAGATATTGGAGAGTCGTTGTATGTGAGGTGCCAGGTATCTGGGGTGCCTACTCCAACGGTGACATGGATCAAAGAAACCCGAGAAATTGCTGTCGGTAATGGAATTGCTGTACTTCGTATAAACAATATAACCAAACAACACGAGGGAAGATACACATGCAAGGGAAAAAACTCTGATGGCCAAGTACAGAGTTCCATATACATTAAAATTAAAATAATTTGTAAGTAAACTGAATTAACTGTTTATTGAGAAATTTAATATTGCGTTTATTATCTATTATTCACGAACACATATTAACGTATAAAAAATACATTTTAAAATTTAGTCATGCAGACACAAACAAGATGTAACGGATAGTGTAAAACTATATTATATATAGTCAACGTTTGCATGCCTGAACTGAACTTGTGTTTCTAGACAAAATAACAGACATGAGTTGTAAAATTTTGATAGATTTTTTCTTCTTTTAGACTTGGACATGCATTGCAGTGTACTTCATTCCAACGGCAACGATACAGTATTCGTGAGTTTAAAGGCTGTTGGTGCGCCTGCCCCTGTGTGCAGTTATAATATAACTGGCAATGATAGTACGTCTACGGGTATTATTGACTGTGATGGAGGGATAGTGGAGTTAACCAGAGATCATTATAATGTCCGTCTTACAGCCAACAATAGTGCGGGAATGGAAAAATCTTGCCAACACACCTTAAATTTTGGTAGAAAAACAATTATTTCTGACTTTTAAATTTGCTATTCATAGCGTTTAATGGCTGGCATGCCATATATATATATATATATATACGGTACTTGTCAATTTTTTTTAACACATTGTATATATTTTTCATTTAGATGAAGGTCCACAATCTGGTGCAGTTCAGAAATCACATTCAAGCATTTTGTTGACTCTACTGACAGTATTCTTCTTGCATCAATTCATTTGTGAACCTCATAAATAATGAATAATGCCGTGATATTATGTAAATACTTATACTTACTACTCAGTACTCAGCAACTCCACTCTTTGTCATGCACGAGAGCAAGCACTCACCATCACGAACACTAGTTGAAGCAGTTATTTATAGACACATCACCGGCTGTGCAAGCATGTATCCTTGGCCACGACTAACCTACAGCCAGTATAGGCTATAATAGCTGCCATCTTGGTTGATACATACCATTCAATACAACGAGATATTTTAGGTATAGATACTAGATAGGTATATAATAAACAAAGAAAGAAAAAGTAGAAATCTACTTTGTAGTGTCTGTCAACCAAGATGACGCCTTATGACAGATTATGACGTCATGCATGCAAACAGATAACAGATAATTGCTTTTAGTTACTTCGGTTCTATAATATGACTGAATATGACTGAATATGTAGTTCAAACAAGGATCGAGACTTAGAGATAACTTTAAAAATAAATGTAAAATGCTAGGTCCCCTCACCACTTACCACCGTAGTTAGTTTTGGTAATAATTATTACTTTGCTTGTTCAGGGTTAGGTTAAGTTCAGGCAACTTTTTTACATAGTACACATGCATTCCCTTTTACTTTTAGAAATAAGATATTTGGTTCTTATACTAGTTATGGTTGGAAGAGTTTGAAGATCATCTCTCGTCTGAATTAAAAGTTTTCTGGAAGTATTTTGCCTCGAAACTTGACTGAAACATTAAATACATTTTCAAAATGCGCGAGGAATTTTTGACGCTAGTATTTTATGGGCTCAACACAGTGCAACACTGAAAGAGCAGTTAATCAGAAATGTAAAGATTGATAATGTCCTTTATTACATATTTGCTACACGCTAATATAAACTACAAGGTTATCTAATATCTATCATATGATAATAATATACGCACGATCATGTCCGCATTCAAACGCTAATATAAACTAGAAGGTTATCATATGAACAAAAGTTTTTAATATAAGCACGATCATGATTGTATGCAAACATGGTTTATTTACATTTTTGAACTTCTGTACTTTTTAGAATACGATGTGCTGTCTCTGAATATCGAACAACATTTAGGTTCGCAGCGCTAAATGAATATGAACTGTAGCGTTTATGTTCAGAAACTTTGTGTTGGGAAGACTGGCACATGCGCGGTGCGTCGGGGTTAAAGCCAGAGCAGGCGTCTTGTTTCAAGAAAATTCCCCAACTTTTTATCGTATTGTTGTAATTCTAATGTCTTTGCTACACGTCAATCTGACTGTCAGATTGCAATGAATTATTTCCTTCTGTATCGAGGTATAAATTGCCATCATAATCCGAAATATTGATATAATCCTGGAACGTAATCAACAAATTTAATCATTATTATTAAAATTAAAGCATTTAATTTACCATGCATCAGGTTATATGGTAAAAAGCTTATTGAAGGTAATAGGTTCCATGCAGGAGCAAAGAATGCCATTGCCAATGCGATTCGTGGGCTTGTGTGGCTTTCCACTGTGTTATAGTTGTGGCTTTAAAAAGCCGGTTTGTTTTTTTGTTTCCCGAAGTGAAGTGAACACAATTATCTATAATTTATATCAGTATCAGATTATATTTTACTTACACTGGCGTCTCTGCTAAACGAAGCAAGTGTTCTTTCAAGGACAGAAAATGACGGTCTGTTACCAGGGTCCTTCGACCAGCAATTTAACATGATTTGGTATCTACAAATATATATATATATATATATATATATATATATATATATATAATATATATATATATATATATATATATATATATATATATATATATATTTATATGGTAGCCATCCATAACAAGTATCAGCTGGGTACAAAAACTGCGATCCCCTCAGGTATAACATTTCAGGTATAGTAATGTATAGCTATGTTAGCTACACGGTTGAAAACAATTGTTGCGATGATTAAAGTGAAAATGATTGATTCCGTCCATGTCATTATCATCAACATTGTGAATATTATTTATGCAATATGTATACAGTACTGTGCGAAAGTTTTAGGTCACACCCGATATTTTAGTTTTCATCATGATTTCTCAGCTTTGGTGAGTTGGGTACAACATCCATCCTAACAGTCAATAGAAAATGTGTACAAGCGCAAATGACTACAATATGCACTTCACATATATCCAACAAATAAAACATACAGTTTCGCAGTTTAAAGTACAGATATTCTAACAAGCCAAAAGTTGTCCAGAGAAAAGATGGGAAAGAGACGAAACTTGACAGTGGAAGAGAGAGCTGCAGTTGTTGTTCTGGAAAAAGAAGGATACAACGAGCGAGCGTTGCAAGGAGGCAGAAAATAGGTCTGTATGCTGTTCAAGAAATTTATAAGAAAGTGAAGGAGACAGGCACTGTAAAAGACTGGAGTAGAATGTCTAGTCTCCAAAGTTAAACACGGTGGGGGGAAAGTCCATGTCTGAGGCTGCATGGCTGCCAGTAGGGTTGGTACCCTTAAAGTGGTTCATGGCAGGCTGGATGCGCCAACCTTGGGCGAGATGAGAGAAAGTTGTGTGGTAAAGATTTCATTTTCCAACAGGATGGTGCTCCATGTCATACAGCGAACAGGACGAAGTCATGGCTTGAAAGAAAGAGAATATCACTCAGTCCCTGGCCATCGCAAAGCCCTGACCTAAACCTCATTGAACACCTTTGGGAACTGATAAAAAAGAAGTTAGAAACTAAGCTGTGCAAGAATTTAGAGGAACTTAAAACAGCCATCTTTGAAACATGGAACGGTATTGATGGCCATGAAACACATAGCCTGGTAACATTGATGCCTCGTCGTTGTGCGGCAGTAATCGCTGCTCGTGGTGGTAGTAGCAAATACTAGAACGTCGGAGTCACTATACCTGTATAAATACGCTGCTGTTTCATAATTGCACAATAGTTGAATGTAACATGTGAAGTGTGTAAAACTGTGAAGATTTCTAAAATTGTGATCACTAAGGGGTGACCTAAAACTTTTGCACAGTACTGTATATGATCGCGTACTATATATGATCGCAATATGTGTTAAAACTTCATGATCACACGTACAAGCCATATCTTACAATTTAGAATCGACGTGCGCTGGTTTCGGCATCCGCCAACCACTTTTTAATCGCCGAATCACTCCACTTGCTCCCAAACCTGGGTAGGGTTTGCCCCCTATAAAACAGTTTATAACTTTACAATGGGTTAAAAACTGGCCATTACAGCGATTAAAAAGAGCAATATAGTATTCAGTATTGTGAAATCTAATATTGCATTGATATATATGACATAAATGAATTACAGTTCTATCATGACATACCCATTGTTACAATTTCGTACAGGAGTATTCCAAAGCTCCATCTACAATTATTACAGCGAACAGTAAATATAATTATGGATTTAAATACAAATTTCTCTATAATGGTAGCACTTACATATCACTCTCGGTGGTGTATTTTTCATCCACAAGAGCTTCAATGGCCGTCCATTTTAATGGGATTCGACCCTAAATTTATATAATATATAGGTTGATAACATGCATGCATTCAATTAGATATACTATATATAATTGATATTGTCCAATCAATTTTACCTACCCTACTCTTTTTTCTATAATAATTGCTTGACTTAGCATCTCTTGCCATTCCAAAGTCTGTGATCTTACATGCTAGGTTTGCTCCAACCAAAACATTTCTGGCGGCCAAATCGCGATGGATAACCTAACGAATATTAATCGTTTTGGCTGCATGAATGTGGAGAGTTATTCGTTTTGATAAAACACAATAATCAAGATCTATCTTGATGCATAATGTTTTTAAGCACAATTCCAAGTCGAAGAGTTGTGCCTGACCGAAATACGCTGAAAGTTGTAGCCATACATACATGATTACGAGATAGATGAGCCATTCCGCTGGCAACATTACACGCCATCTCTAGCAACTGACATTGGGATAAATGTGATTGTTGAATGTGATTTGGTACAACGTAAATAGTGTCAACCAAACCACGAGTTTTACGTAAGAAACCCAGAAGATCCCCACCAGCAACATATTCGATCACCACACACAACTGACCTGAATGAATAAATAGCGCAACTTGAATGTTTAGTAATTTGTCATTCTCTAGCTATACCTCTAAAAAGGCTCTATGCATGGCAAGGGAATGGTGCAAGATATCTTAAGACGCGGTGGCACCCGTCTTTGGTCTTTCGAGCTAAATCAGTTTCGAAATACATTAGGGCAATTATCTGTTGCACTGCTAAAATCATTGTGAATGATGTAATTAGATCATACGCTTCTCCTCAGTGCATGCCTAATTCTTGCTTCGTAAATTTGGAATTTTTTTAGATGCTGCATTTTACCGTCATCCCCGCAAGCTATACAAGCCCTGACTGCCCTGTATTATAATAATCTTATAACGGAAGAGATTTCTGCTACTGAGTATAGAATACCACACTGAAGCTGATCTTTACCTGGTTTTGTGACGTATCCAATCAAGCCTACGACATTCTTGTGTGGTTCAAGGTCTCTCATTATTTTTAACTCTGATATTAAATCTTGTTTGTCTTCTGGTGAGGCAATTTCTACATGCAGTAGAGATAAAGATAAAACACTCTTCTTATACAGAAAGTATAATTTAATACTTAACGTAGAATCGGTCTTGATTTGAATGATTTAATTTCTTAAACAGGGTTGCGATTGAATTTCGTTGTGAGTTTTAGCAAATATTACATGAATACGAATTTTTAATACGAATATTTAATAAGCCTTGCACAGAACCCTAACCCCAACCCTTTCTTTGACAAATTTTCTTGACTAATTCACTTCTTGGCCCTTCTTTGCGTAAACTGTTGGCTAGTTTTCTTGACGAGTTGATTTTTCACGAAGTTTATAGTTGTTTGAATGTCGCCGAAAATATATTCATTAATAAGATTTATTTTTATTGTATTAATGCATAATTTTGTTACTCTTCTGGCATTACCAACTTTTGAACAAGGGTGCCATGCTTGTCATGTAAAACTTAATTATTAACCACAATTATTTCGCGTTCACAAAAGCAAATAAAACACACGAGGCTTTATTACTGCATGTGCCAACCTTTCAACATTTTTACGGCAACAGTTTTTCTTTCCCGGCCATTTTTTTCTTTCAGTAATGTTGCCTTGGCGACGATTCCAAATGCACCTTCCCCAATTAACACCATGTCTTGAAGTAAACCAGGATCAATTTCATACGATTCACCATTTCTCAAGATAAGATTGTCTGATCGCTGTTGAACACGAGAGAAACGCACTGTACTTTCTGGTAAAAGTAATCCATCGCCAAACGTAATTGTCGTGATTCCATCATCGAGACTGTCTCTTTTGTAAAACACGGTTGATTCTCCACTTGTGTTAAAGTGATTGCTCTCTGGTGATATAATTGGCTATATTGCAAGGATAAGTAACATTTAACAAGTAAAGATAAGTGATATAATTTCTCGTCGTCTCAGCATCTTCATGACACCATTATGAATTAAGGATACAAAATGAAATAAAATTAAACGAAACGTCGAGAGATTATATCGCTTATCTCCCCTTGTTTATGTATTATTAAATACGAATTAGAATGTAAGTAATTTTTTCAACAGCACCTCCATATCTGTATTTTGAACTGAAGTCTTGACATTTCTGGTAAAGAAAAAAGTTAAAACAGGAAAGTTTGCCATGCAACATTTGGGTATATCAGTAAGCCAGTGTAAATAATTTTATTTCTTATGCAAATGTTTGCAAGTTATCCCGAACCTTTTAGTTTCCATACCTATAGGAAAGCCAAAACAAGAAGAAAATTCATTAAATAATAGTTATACATCGATACATGTTATTATGCCCCAAATAAACAGCGCTGCTTTAGTATACTTCCAAACAATTTCAAATTTTCCAAAGGTGAGGTACAATATTCGAAATAGATATAGTTCTAGTTATTCCATTATAGATATTATTTATTGCGGTTTGTAAATGATCGATTCCATTCACTGTCAAATTACTTTCTTGGTCTTACAACGGAGATCATAAACAAACCAGTTTTGATGTTTTCAACTCTCTTTCGAATTTGGTAAAATATGCATCTCTATACAATATCGTTTCATCATGTTATTTTTTTTTCCTGTCGGTAAATTTTTTTCATATCAGTTTAGAAATTTTCACGACGGCGTTAATCTTGATCACTATTATACTTTACTATTTTCTTGTGCAAAACATGTGAAAGTTTACAAAAGTGATAAAACAAACAATCCTGAAACATACATCTCCGTCGTCTTCTGTACAGCAATATTGCCGCTACAACCACAGGGACCAACCCAACTGAAGAGGTGACAACAATAATTGATTGTTTGATGTTTAAATGAGAAGACGTTCCTATAATAATAATAATATGACTCATTTATGACTGCATGAAATTGTTTTTCAAAAAGTTATAAAACGACATAGGATATTACACATACGTAAATCCAGGTGAAGCGGTTGCGGTATATGTCGCGTCGTGGAAAATGAGTAACTTACTGAAAGAGAGTATGGGGTATGAGGAGAACCTCTACATACAGTAATTTTCTTTTAAACAAGACTGTATTGAAACCTTTGAGGACGCTGAGTTGTTACCTCTGGTGACGGGAGAACCATAGTGAATTTTTGTAGGTGTTTCTAGACTTCTACTTCGTACGTAGATCGTAATTGTTTTTGTTATTTCAGTCTCGTGTGTTCTGCCAACACATTCATATTTCCCCTCATCTTCTTTAGAAAACGTTTTTGTAAAACTGACATTATTTCCTTTAAATGGTACCAACTGGTGAACATTATCTTTAAACCAAGCCAAACGCACAAGGTGAGCAACAGAACACGTCAAAGTAACTTTAGAATTTTCCAATACAATAGTTGTGTTGCCATCTCCCAATAAAGTTGTAATTTTACCATTTAATTTCCAATTTGAAAATGCAATTCGAAAGTCATCTGGTGACGAAATTTGTGGTGACCTAAAGTTCGGTGAAGTAGTAGTGGTCGATGACAGAGGAAGGTCTACACAAAGATAACGTGATTTAAAATATCAAATCGAATCCTAAGTTAGAAAATTTGAAGACTTGGTAGAAAAGAATGGCAAGTCATTTGCATTAGGCTACTTTTTGATCTAGGAAAAGAGGTTGGTTGCGGAATATGTTGTAAAATGCGGAAAATTTAACTTTACAAATTTTGAATCAGCTACTCTATATATCGACTCTCCGAGCAGTGCAGACGTGCCCTTTTGAGCTCTGTGATTTCCACCATTTAATCCATGATAAAGGCATAAAAGCTAACAAAAAACATTATTATGAGTCTTGCCAAACATTTATCGGTCGACGGAGATGTTTATCAGTGGTCTGGTTCATTTGATGAGTTAAAGCTATTTGTAAAAGAGAATTTGGCAGTCAGAGGGAGCTGGAAATCCCCAGGAGGCAATATTAAACAGTTTAAAGACCAAGAATCGGACCTGATAATTAAATGGTACGGCGCCCAATCGAAGAAAATTGTAGTTCAAGCGAACAATAACGAGCTTTTAAAACTGAAGTTCGAAAACCTCGCTACTACGCCTTGCTCTACAGAAGCGTGTAATTATATATGTAACTGTTCGGGTACAGTCTCCGTGGCTGATATAGAAGGCATAAAGCAGGATATAGCAATCCTTGAATCACGACCGGACGCGGTGAGTGTGTATAATACTGTGATTTCAGAGTTAAACTCACTTAAAAGCAAACAGCAATCCTTGGAAGCCATTATTAGCAGGCAAGAAGAAATGATATGTAATTTGAATAATGAGAACATGTTCTTCAAAGCGAAACTTATGTCTATTGTTGAACAAACCCCTATTGTGCATTTTCGTGATCATAAGATTAGCTGATTATGTGCTACGTGCAAAAAACAATCAAGATATAAATACCCAACCTAATAACCAAGGGATTAATACTGAAAGAGAGTCAGGAGAGACCAACAATCAAGTTACTAATGCAAATGTAGGCACAAACAAACAGAATTCAGACAATAAGGAATCTCCTCTAACGCTATCCCCCGATGAATCCTCCAATGTTAATACGTCTCCACAGGTTGTGTATATCGTGTATATCGCAGACAATTCCGTAACTCCATTTTCTAACGAAGTACGTGTAGTCCCGATCGCAAATGATGATGCAAATAAACTTAAAAAACCGGAACGGCAATCCCCTCTCAAGGTAATGAGTGAACATGGGAAAAGAAAACCAGACCACCCTTTCCCCCGAAAAAGTTCAATCCCATGTCCATTTCTTGCCCGCCGCGGTCGGTGCTTAAAAGGGGACAGGTGCGACTACCAACACCCAAAACCATCTCAAGTACTGAAACGGAACATATCTTGCCCCTTTCTGCGCAGAAGAGGATACTGCTTGAAAGGGAATAAGTGTGACTTCTCTCACGATGACCTGGGGCAGAATCCACCTCCTAAGCCTAACCTTGATAGCCGTGTGTATCCTCACCCTCCTATTTACCAATGCCCCGAGACACGATATCTTAACCGCAATCCTTTTTTGTTACCTCAGGAATATTACCGGGACCCATGGAGGAGTCCACATCTACTAAAGCCCCTGATCAATATCCCTGTGCCCCATCCGAATTATTATCCAATCCATCATCCGATAAATTGAACTGTGAATGGAATTCAAACAGCTCCGTTCCACCTATAATTAATCATTTCTTTCAAACCTTTCCCCCTATACTTATGGCAAATGTTAGATCTTTAATGTCAAAAATTGATGAACTAGATACCGTTGTCCACCTCAACTATGCCCACGTAGTATCTATTACTGAAACATGGCTGAATGATGCAATTTCTGACCGGGCAGTCAATATTCCTGACTATATTTTGATGAGGAAAGATAGGCTAAATTGTAATAAAGCTACTGGTGGCGGTCTCTGTGTTTATACCCACAAATCTCTCCCGGCAGAAAGATTGAACAGATTGGAGTCTCCTGGTTTGGAGACATTGTGGATCCATCTTAAACCGTATCGGCTCCCACGTCACACATCGACCATTTTATTCGGCGTAATTTACCATCCACCGTCCGCGAATGCAGAGGATAATGATCTATTGATTGAGCACATTAACTTAAACGTTGACTCATTGATTTCATTCCTTAATAAGTACCCTGACGCACTAATAATTATAACTGGTGATTTTAATCCTTGCAGTACTAATATATCTATGTCCTCGTTTACAAGGACCTGTGGTCTTACACAACTGGTGAAAATACCAACAAGAGGCAATAACATATTGGATTGGTGTATTGTGAACAAACCTAAATTATTTAATGAGCCAGTACAACTCCCAAATATTGGTAGTAGCGACCACTATGCAGTACTTATCAACCCTAAAAATGTGCAGGATAAGCGTAAAGATTGTAAGAGAACTGTCTATAGGCGAGAAATGAAAGATAGTAACGTGCGTGCATTTGGCAGATGGATATGTAACAAGTCTTGGACCAATGTCTTCAATGAAGTCGGCCCACAAAATAAATTCAACATTTTTTATAAAGACATTATGAGGGCTATCAATACTCACTTCCCGTTAAGAAAACAAAACGTACGTGCTTGTGATAAACCATGGGTGTCAAATAAACTAAAACGATTTGTATCTAAAAGACAAGCATCTCTCGCAAAGTATGGAAAACATTCCTACCTTTTTAAATTTTGGCGTAACAAGGTCCAAGCTGAGGTAAAATCTTGCAAACAGACATATTATCATAATCAGGTTCACAATATCAAAGATCGCGATATATCCAAATGGTGGAAAGAAGTGAAAAAGCTCGGGTCTGGGTCTAGTCAGATCGACTGGTGCGAACAGTTATTGAGTGAGTCTGCCATTACATTAAATGATTTGGCTGAGAACATAAATAACTATTTCGTGAATTTAACAGCGGACTTTATTCCCCTTGGCGATGAGCTGAATACCCAAGATGACTATATAATTGACTCCGACTTATTTGTTGATCCATATAAAGTGTATCGCACCTTAAAGAAAGTCAAATCGCACAAATCTGTCGGTCCCGACGAAATCCCTAATAGGGTACTTCGTGACTTTGCCTTTGAGTTATCATCAGTGACAGCTGACATTTATAATAGTACTCTGGTTGAGGGAACGATACCTGATCTACTAAAGTCATCAATTATCTCCCCAATACCCAAATGTATGCCACCGAAGTCGATTGAAGATGATCTTCGCCCATTAGCACTAACACCACAGATAGCTAAAGTAATAGAGAGTTTCACCTTAGAGCATTTATTAAACGATATTGCTAACCAGATTGATCCATACCAGTTCGCAATAAAAGGTCGGTCCACAACACAAGCATTAGTCCTCTTGCTACACAACGCCTTAAAGACCTTAGATAGAGGAGGCTGCTCGATTCGGGTATTCTTCGCTGACTTTAGCAAAGGATTTGACCTAGTCGACCACAATGTCCTAGTTGCTGAGTTAGAAAAACTGAATGTGCGCCCTCCCGTAGTAAGATGGATTCGAGACTTCTTGTCGGGAAGGAAACAATGTGTACGACTTCGTGATACGATATCCTCATTTAAATGCCCTAATGGAGGTATGCCCCAAGGCACCAAACTAGGCCCCATTCTATTCGCTGTGTTGGTGAACAGTTTACTCCGTGACTGGGATCTTAGAATCAAATTTGTCGACGATTTATCAACCGCTGAAGTTGTTCCAAGATGTTCACCTAGCGTTACCTCTTTTTTGGTTAATCATATACAGGAGTATGCCTGCACAAGAGGTATGCGACTAAACCCAAAGAAATGTAAGGAGATGGTAATCGATTTCCTCCATTATAGACTGCCACTGCGAGACTTACAAATAGGTGGAAACACAATAGAAAGAGTAACGTCGTATAAGCTACTGGGTGTTTATCTAAGCAGTGATTTCACGTGGAATTTACACTGTGATTATATCATCAAGAAAGCTAATAAACGTTTTTACATTCTTCGTGTATTGCGGAAAGCAAGAGTTGGATGTCAAAAACTAGTAATGGTATATTGCAGCCTAATTAGACCTATTTTAGAGTATGCTGCCCCTGTGTGGTCTGCGATCCCGGAGTACTTAAGTGCAAAAATAGAACAGGTTCAAAAAAGAGCTTTGAAAATAATTGCCCCTGGCTTACCCTATGAGGAGTCATTGTGCAAAGCTGGTCTCCGCACATTGTCAGAAAGACGAGAAGATATTTGCAAGAAGTTCGTCAGAGATAATAAACTAGCTGGTCCCTTGAAGGAAATTCTTAATAATAATAATAGTGCTGGTATTAACCATGAATATTATTTACGGCAGATACATGAACCAAGTTGTTTAAACTCTATAAATACTGATAGAATTTTAAACTTCGTAACTTGTAAATACAATTGATAAGTAACTATATTCTCTATATAGTGTAGAACCCTTAAGGTATCATCGATCTACCTGAATTGAACTGTTTTTAGTTTCCCTTCTGGACTTTTTAACCGTATGATAGTAAGTTCGAAATGTAATATGTTTGTAATATCACTCCTTTCAACTTGTAATTCAGCTTATGCTGCAAGAAGTTTTAATAAACCTCAAATAATAATAATAATAATAATACTCAGTGTATTACGCACAAAAATCGTTGCCATGCAATGCGTAAAGTTTTAGATTATATATACGCCGTCGTAGGAAAATATTAGAAGCGTTCTGACATTTTTTTAATATTTTTTAAGATTTTTTTAAAACACCCCATACGATCGTGTTTATATGAGCCGGAAACGAAATAGGAATGAATATTGCCACTCAGTCCAGTCTTAAATCTCCTTCCGTCAATTCCGTGTATTATATCAACTTCATTCATCAAGCCATATATCCGTGCAATATACGCGTTTTTACATGTATCCAAAATATTTTTAGCTTTCCTCGAACATCAATATAGTTTTACGACCTGCGGCTGTGATGTTTGGAAACTTCATTTTTGTGCTTTCGTGGAATTAAAGTTTGATAATATTACTACTGCATGTGACGGAAGTGCCACAAATTCACTGTTTCTGAAGAAAAACAATTCTCGCAAAATACGGGTCTATTATTAGAGTACCTAGAAAATTTCGGTCAATAACTTCCCCGATTTGCCTGGGTGGCGAATTCAAGGGAAAGCGAATTATCTCGAAGTGAAATCATCGAATTGAAATTATCTCGATCGAAGTGAAATTATTTCGAATTGAAATTGTATGATCAAAATTTCACTTTGCTCACCTTCAACTTTCAGTTCAATCTGACTGGGTCCAATTTTAGATCTTATAACATGACAGACATATTTATTTTCATGTATGTCCTGAACATTTGGAATAATAATTGTCAGTTGTACTTTTGTTGTATTTATTGTTTTGGTTGCGACATTCACGTCAAAATCAGACCGTCCTTTAGTGTGGAAATGTCGATACACCTTTTCGTGTTTGTTAATCCAAACCAATTTCGTATAATTTTTATGTATTCGATCGTAAATGGTCCATACAATCCCGTAAAATGATATTTTCTTGTTAGTTTGAAAGATCCAAGTGAGTCTTGCTTCTTGTCCTGGTTTACAAAGTACTGTTCGCATTTTAGCATTCAAAAGTTTTTCAGCGCCACCTTAAATAAATTGTTATAAAACAATTAGTTTGCTATAATTGTTATACTACAGTTATACTACTATCAAACATCGAACTGATCGAAGTCACTTAGGACAACATGGTTGTTAATGCTTGCATACATTATACAATCTCCACGCACGCTTGATCACGCCATTTCCTGCTGATACAAAAGGACACACATATATTTTATTTTACGTGAATACACATGCATTCTAATGATGACTTGTACTTATGATCCTGCTGCATGCTTCTGTGTGTTACACAAAGCTATGTGAAGCATGCTTAAACCGCTGGTGTTAAACAACATTCGATAAATTTGGCAGCATTTAAATGACATAAACATCCGTTGCAACTCATATTACATTACTTTATATCGCTAAAGACAATCGAAAATTTGTTCTTGTGTACGGTTGTTTGAAATTTGTTTGATAACATGAACCGTACGGGCCGTGTCGTACGCGCCATCGTTTATGCAGTTACGGTTTATTGTGGATTTCCTATGAATTATTATTATTATTATCATCTTACTAACCATTTTTGAATATCCGCGGCGAGACCTGGGAAAAGCTGTAGCCTAAGACGAAGTAGCAAAAAACTTTAAACTGCATTATGACCAAGTTGCCGTCTTCTTCTCTTGTATGGAATCATGCAATTTGTTAAAAAATACCAACAGCAACGGTTATATGTCCACCAATTCTTTGAAATATCCATTCGCAGAAGCCAATTTATATCGATTCTTAGAATACTTTATATCTAGTTCCCAGTATTCGCCCTTAGACAATATCGTGTTTCAATTTATTATTTATTAATGCAAATGTAGAATTTTTGAAATTTGATATTCTACCATTTGAAGATTTTCGTTACATTGGGTGGACCCTTCATCTGAAATTATATTTCATTGTATTATAAGGCCTGTTTTAGACGTCGAACTCGAACTTTTCATGTGCCGAACCTAATGTTCACGAGCTAAAGTCTTTGTTTAAGTTTATTCGATTCGGCGCATGAAACGTTCGACGTCTAAAACAGGCCTTAGACGATCATTAAACAAATTTTTCTTCCTTCTTTTTATTCGTATCTCGAATTTCAAAATTTCGTTTATTCTTATTATTCTTCGGAAATTTTAATATTTTTTGGAATTGTCCGCTAGATGTGGTGTTGAATAGGTGTTGAAGCATGTGGATATGCATTCAGTCAGGATAGGCATATAGCGTGGTTATATATAGCAGAGAATTTCGAACTTAATAATATATTTTGAAGATTGTGAATATTACTCACTGTAACGAGCAGTGTAATGTTTAGGTAATAAAGTGACAAAAACAGTAATACTGACTTGGCGAAGCATGTCAGTTCTCTAATTTGGGAAACTTAAATATTCCCTGTACAATACTTTAATTACTAATATGATATACAAGAAAGTGCATAGGAAAATGAAACACTCAGTTTTTCTTTACCATGCAAATAAATATTTGCGATGAGTGATATTTTGTAGGAATTCTACTTTCTGGTTAGTTCTATTCCAAAAACCAAAAATGTGGAGATTAATTCCCAAATGTATAGTCTTTTCTCTTGGCATGCAACGTTTTGATGAGAAGACGCGCAGTTTCGATGCATTGAACTCACTGAATACACAATGAATCATTATTATTATTATTTTATTGGTGTGTGATACACATGACCTATAAAATATTACCCATTGAACTTTAGTTGCATATAATAAAACAATAAATATCAAAGAGTTTTCTCCCAGTTATTATATAAACACATGCAAATTACATGCATGATATATGCCTGTGCATGCACGATAATCGTATCGTAGAGACTATATATAGAGATTAGGGGATATTGTCTAATTCGTCTGAATAGCCTTCGACCAGTTCAATTATGGACCAAAAACAATAATGGATGTGTTTATATATTTATGGTAATTGGAAATGTGAACCATCCCTTTTTTCATTCCTATACGTTTTGTGTATGTATGAGATTGCATCACAATAAGTAATTCAAAGGCAATCTTGCATGCAATGTTATTGATGCTGGGAAAACAATACATGGGATGATAGATTTACAATAAAACGAATATGCCCATTGTGTCCGTATATACATACATGAAGTATTGATCCCGTAACTGTTCTTTGTTTCAACTACGCAGTGAGTTTAATTATTTCAGCCAGTAGAAGGAGCAGAGTTGACAGAAATATATTTTCTTTCACGATGATTCCGGTCCCTCGTTGAACCTGAGTTGGAGTTTCGTGTGTTACAATACTTGGTATCTCCGTTGTATCTGCATGTGTTGTCTTATCATTTGTCACTGCCGTCGCTTAATAATAAAAAGTACAATTGTTTGTTGAAATTATCAACATCGTTCCCAGACTTTTAGTGCGGTCTCACTCTCATCCTCTGGAAACAAATGATGTTTTAGAATGAAATATCAGAAAAGCCTGAAAAGGAAATAACTATTCTGGCTTCTCTTGTGATCTTTCCAAAGCAGGTGACCCAAATTACCTGTCAGGGTCCATTTCTGCGATAGTTTTTTTTGTTATATATACGATACTGTGCATGCAAATGTAATATTTTGAGATAGAGAGAAGAATTATTTACTTTTTTTAACAGTTGGCGGAGATGTAGTTTTTTTCAGTTTCTCCTCCCAATAACCAGGTCTCGCTGTGAAAATAGAAAAAAATATTACAAAGGGTCTTGGAATATTCTCAGGACTCACTGAACGCGAAATGACATTTAAAGTGGTTATAAGTCATGGCTGAGCGTTAAAAAGTTTCAGGATAAAGTGGGAAATCTTTTTGATGCAAAGCGGTCAGAACTGCGGATGTCTTGTTCAACCAAAAAATTTACATTGCAGATTAAGCGTATACTGCGATTGTATCTCTTACTTCAAACCATGCTTCCGAAATAAAGACTGTTAATGATTGTTGTTATATGTTGTTAAACAGGAGATTTGGTAACTAACCTAGAACATACAATACAAGGGTCTTATTTTCTCCCTGACCAGCTTTGTTTATTGGTATGCAACTGTAGGTGCCATTGTTTTCAAACTTTACTTCTTCAATTACGTATTTTCCACTTGAACTCTTCGCAATTTCCTTTCCGTTGTGTAGAAGTTTGTAATAAGTGATGGGAGGATTTCCTTTAGCAGAACATGTCAAGCGAACACTTTCTCCTTCATAAATTGTTCCATCTAACGCCGTGTTATGAAAGAACTCTCTAACGTATGGTCGACCTATAGAAACATGAGAAATATTGATTTATCAAGCCTTGCAGACAAAATAAATTGATCAATTCCTGAGGCTTGTTGTTAAAAGTGAAGTGATACTCACGGTAGATTATGTATTCAATGGTACGTTTTGCTTTTCCAGCCCTGTTTGTTGCAAGACATGTATATTTCCCTGAATCCTCGTTGGAAGCAGATTTGATTTGATAAAGAATGGATCCAGATGACTCTTTTAGAGGTGAATCACTGTTATCTTTAAACCACTGTACTTTAGGCACAGGACGACCTTTGGCCATGCAAAGCAGGTTTATGGTAATTCCCACGTAGAATATTTCACTTTTTGCGTGAGTGGGGAATGTTGTTATAGCAGGAGCCTCTGAAATGGAAAATGATTTAAAAATTGTTTTCAATTGTTTTTTGTTTCATGTACAAAACAAAACAGGCGGGATAAAAAATCGCTGCAGCAAATTTAGTTCTATAAGAACAGACGAAACGATTTCTTCAATACATTGCGCTTGAGCAGTGCTTTACCTTGAATTTTAATTCGTACTTCATCCTTGAGAGTTATGCCCATGTTGTAGACGATATCAATGGCGTAATATCCTTCATCTTTCAGTCCTGCCTTCAAAATGCTCAATGCTCCTGAATCTTCTATTCTGATGATACTCTTGGTGGCGCTTAAAATTTCAGGTTTCACTGAACCTTTTTTAAAAGCAATAGTAATTCCATCCTCGAAAATTGTTGACTTCTTCTTATAAGTTATAAGTCTCGCTCCTGAAGGAAATCTCCAGTCTATTTTTGCTGTTTCTCCAGCGTTTACGAATAACGTGCTTCGCGGTCTGCTGATCCATTCCACTGCTGCTTCTGTATGAAAAAAGGAAATTATTTCAATGATAACTTCGTTAGTCCTGCATGAGAAACTGAGTTATGAGTTTTATAACACCTGTTGTGATAAAGAAGAGGTCCATTTACAAACAACTTCAAGCTAAGAATTTTGACGACGTGGACACATAATGTAGTGAGAGTTAGGAGGGAGGATGTGCCCTCCGGAAAATGTTAAAATTTCGGCCTCAGAAATGACCGCAAATACTTCTAAAATGCTTCTAAAAAACATCATTTTAAACAGCTAATGAATGTTGCTACATTTATTTCCTTTTTTCTAATATTCAGGTTGTGATGAAAGATCGCGTTTTTTATCTTTGTCGTATGAACACGAAAGCAGCACGAATGATGCATCATGCATGCATGAGGGTGGAGGAAAGCGGTCAATATTCAAAAGCTGTTTTTCAAAATCTAACTGCACATGGTAGAAGATTATGAAAAATCAATAATGTTCTTGTTTGATATATTATTTGTTTATAAACAGCTTTAAAAAATACTAACATAAACATATCTTCACGGATATCTTCACTACATCTGTACAATAACAGAAAGACTTGAAAGTTGTATAAGAAACTTTTTGACTTTTTGATCTGAGGAATTTTGCCAAGGCAGTGGTAATTAGACCACGCTGTTGTCTGTTTATTTTGGATTGTGTCTGATTTAAATATGTCTTGTTTTCTGTCCAAAGCAAATGTATACACGTTGATCAACAGAGTAAATATATTTACATTTTACAAAATATAATCACTCGCCCGTCACGCTACGTAGAAATTCGGCACGCAAAACATCTGAATACTTTCTAGCAGCAATTTTAGCTTTTTATGCACGAGTTTTTATTCACAAAGTCCTGAGTATGAAGATATTTCATTTTTTCATCGTATAAACTATTGTTACTGTGACTTACTGATTCTTAAATATACAATGTCAATGAAGGCCTGCATGTCATCATACCTATTTTGGTTGCTATTAATAAAAATAGAAACCAGAATGGTTTGTGGAATGAGCTAGTAATACATGTACGCTTTGATTTAGTTTTAATTTCTATAGCTAACATTTTAAGATTAGGCTTAGGACGTAGAATTTGTGTGAATTTGGCCGCACATGCAGAAGACGCGGCCAATGGCAGGATGACGCACTCACAAAACAAACAAATACCTCATGCGAGACAAAAGATACGAGTATGAATGAAGAACGCCGGGCCTTCAAATAAGAGGTTTTTACGGCTTTTCGACGATATAAAAGCAATTGCATTGTGAGAAGTATTTTATAGCGTAAATGTGGCGGCAATATCAAATAGATATCGGAGGTTCTTAGCACAATGGAAATGTTTGTATGATTATTTAAAAGTCCTGGCAAGACTTAGTGGCAGCATTATTATAATTCCCCGTAACATATTTCAAGTAAAATGTGGCTAGCAACGTCGAGCTGACCGCGTCACATGCAGTCATAAACTCGTCAATGCCAATGGAATTAATTTATCAACCAGTCAACAGGCTTCGGAATATGTGTCATTCTGAAGTACCTGCCGTGTCTGCTGACAGTGCATGATGAAACAAACGACAGCTCAGGAGTCATGTACAAACAAGCTGGAATTTGTGGCATGAAAAATAATTTCATATCCACCATATATTATCCAAAATTTTAAAAAACATAGTCCGCAAATGCATAAAGCTATATATTCACCGGAGTCTAAATTGAAATACTTTCCACCCAGCCTTTTCTAATAGCGCTTCACCCCTCACAATTACGCCGCCACTCACACTGCATCAAATGTTAGTAGCGCAGTTCATAGAGCATTATTGAACTAGTAAACCTAGACTCCAGGTTTGTGTTGACAGCTTATCAGGTTGGCAGATCATAGTAGCACCATATCACAAATAATAATCATTTAACCATCAAACTAATCGACACTATATCCTGATTAGAAATGATGCCACAATTATGAAAGGCGTGTCGTCGCGTCATTTGAGATACGTTTGTTTATAATTTGAACGTTTCAATGTAAAAACAAGATAATTGACAAATTGTGAATTCCTTTTATTCAACATTTAAAATCATGTAATTATCACAATTTGTGAATACTGAACCGTGTGTTGAAATGGTGTAAGTTGAATAGTGGTAGATCGTGTTTTATGCGATAATATACAGTTTTTGAGTGATAAAACCTAAGCATTTTCATTGCAATAATTGTCATAATGGTAAAAATAGCGAACATGCACACCAGCCTGCCTGCCCTCGCATAGACGTAAATTCACGCCTGCTGGCAAACGGTGACTACACCGTACCAGCTCAATGCACCGTACATGCATTTGTCACTTTTTCGCATTTATCGAATTTCCTATAATTGGAAATTTGAACCAATTTATTTTAACTGATGTATTTTTCCAACTAAAAATATATACTGTCTTGTCTCTTGAGCTGTCCAAACATGACTTATTAAATTTTATCTCACCGAAACAAAAACAGTCAAAGTAAACAGGTAAATCAAACAATGTATGATCAAATATCACCTGAGCTTATACACTTTTCATCCCCTCAGTAAATATTGCATGCCGAAATAGTGTTTTGAGCAAATTCTTAAATCCACTGTGTTTTACCAACTTAAAGTTCGCCTTGTTGGCTTTATGTCTTGATATATACAACGCATTTATTACAGACAAAACGCTTTGAAAACTTTTGCCTTCTGTGAAAGTTTTTCGAGTTAAATATTCTGTAATACGATCCAGTGTGAGCATAGCCAATGGGCGTATGCATGCGGAAATTTTCTTGCCAGAAAAGCAGAGCCAGACTCCAGAGTATATAAGTTGTTTCAGGAAATCACCATATAATCACACAGTTAACATTACCTTCCACGACGTTCCATACCCATTTATTTTATACTGTAATGAGTAACGATTATAATACCTCTCGAAATAGTAAGTTATTAGCATTCTTTTCGTTTTACACCGTCTTTTATACAACGCGGAGGCCGCCTGTGTTGTTTTTTGTAATATTTGTCAACAGTTTTAATACCTTGTCACAATGATGCCATATTTTGACCCCTAGTACGATTCTGGCTTAAAATAAATCCCGTAAATTTTGATCATGACTTGCAATGTATTTGAGGTATTTGCAGGGATTGTATTAAGCCTTCAATGACATATCATGAAAACATTAGATAAATGATAGTTTGCGAAATAATTACCCGGAATTTAAAAGCGACTGTATCTTTCCTAACATAATCACAATAATGCCCGTATCATTTTTAGTAAATCGAGTCTCATTAAATGTAATTGTTTCAGAAAATTTCGTCTCACTTTCGGGTTTTTAACATCACGCGAAGTCATATTAGTTAAATCAAGGGAAAATTTCAACTACAATCTACACAATAAGTCAATATTCATTACAAAATTTTGAAATATTCAATGTAGGATGCAATGAATTGAAAATTAAGTCATGCAAAGGCAAATGTGGATAGCAGGAGATATAACTTTATAACCACGACAGTCAGGCTAGTTCTTACTACACACAATGAGCGCTCAAGCAATTTCATTTGATAAACATGAATTGGACTAACCTGTATAAATAAATGTTGCACATGAGAATAGCAGATAAAACCAGAAATCAACCATATTTAAAAGGTTTTTACAATAAAATCTCAGCCTTGTCCTTGTTATGACTTGTGCTGTCTCGCGAGATTAATGCAGTGAATAACTAGAGACGGTGTGACCATGTATATCAGTTGACACAGCAGACAATATGTGACGATTAAGTAATTAAGCTGCAGCTTCCGTTCACAGTCGCACACGTCCCACTTTTCACCCGCCTTTCCGTTTTTAATTTCTTTGGCTTTGTAAAATTAATTTCTTCTGAGATATTCAACCGCGCAAAATGGCTAAATGGCCTATTACCCCTGCTGTGTTTGTAACTTTTAAACTATATATAACAAGCTACATCCACTTGTCACTTGGTTCTAATTTCTGCGAATATATACAAAACATGTAAAAATTCCAGGCATTCATTAATATTAGTGATCTCATGCCTATGGCAATGGCGTAAAATTGAAAGGATTTTATTATTTTCCATTTAACGGCTTAGTTTGACAGACAGGAAAAACGCTTAAGCGAAAGGTAATTTGACCTGCTCAAAGAAAACTCAAACATAATTACCGCAAAAACCTTTGTATTTGGTTACTGCGAAATATTAATATCTCACGCTCAATGAGAATGAGGTCGGAGAAGTAACAGAACGAGTAGCTATCAGTTATTTTTCAAAGTATTTCAAGCTTTGCCAGCATTTTCGCTGTTGTAACCGACTTCCATTTTATAGAAGCATATTCAAAAAACCGGCCCAAAAGTTACCCGCGAAGTGACATACACCTGCCGTTTTTGACAACTGTCAATCAAATGCTTGCCAAGCATATCCTAACAAGACATATCCTAACTTTCCGTATGGCCGTCAGTAAAATCTCAGTCAGTGCACTGTCTACATATTAAAAAGCATGTTTAAAAATTTCACAATGAATAATCTACAAATCTTGAAACTATTTAAACAATGACAATGTTGAGGAATTATGCTGTTGAAAGATGTTACACACCAGATTTGAAACCTATGGAATATCTCTTTGCAAGACAATTTTGCTGAGTTCTTCGATCTTGACATCAGTTATTCCTTGTCTTAATTATTTTCTTTGGTTACAAAAGATTTTGATGTTGACCATTTGATTAATTGATTTACATTCACTTGCAGGGGCGTAGCGTGGGGGGAACTGACGGGGGTTCCGGTGCTACACCCTCAGTTTTGGTAGAAGTAGTAGTCAAACGATACGATGTACGATATACACCACGCTACAATACGTCACGTGAGCAAACACACGTGTCAATAGTATATTTAAAAATACGAAACTTAGATTTATGGCTGAAAGAGTTTAATATATGAGCACGAATTCGTTCTTTGAATGATTATCAATGTATCCGAATTCGTATATAGAGAGTTCCAAATTTTAGCGCCATCGTATTATTCGTATAAAAAACTTTTCTTTAAGCCCGTTCTCCACTAAGCAAATTTGTTCGCGCGAACAGATAAAAAAGTAGAAAGCGATCCTACTTTTTCGCGGCGAATTTTTTCGCAAGCCAATCACATCACTGGATTTCAGATATCGCTTCGCGTTGTGCGAATAAATTCGCCAAGTGGAAAACGGGCTTTAGTCTTGTGTTCAAACAGTTCCGTAAGCGAACTCGGGGTCAATTAAATTGTTTAAAACCTTGTACATTGTCCAGTTTATCTTTCAGACTTGGCTCGACGAGTCCAATGAGATTACCCATGCATTACATTCTACTCCTTTTATTGCATTTGGTCTAGAAATATCCTTACTAAAATTCACTATTACCCTTGCAACTCTATTCTGAAGTTTTTGTAGCCTGTGTGAAAGACTGACACCCATGGCATCCCAGACTTCGCTACAATAGTCGAAATGAGGATTGATGAAGGTATTATAAATCGAAATTCAAGTGTCTCGATTTATTGGTGGTCCTATTCCCGAGGTGACTTTGTTAGTTAATTTATCATGAAGTTCCACCCCAAGTATGGTAGCTTTATAGACAAGTTTAATTTTTACTTGATTAATTTGGAGATCAGGCTGTGTGACAATATTATTTAACTTGTGGTGTTCAGTTAAACGCGACGTCGGTCAGTCGACGTCGTCACAGTATAATTTTGCTCAACTTGCCTAGTTGCCTAGTTGCTGGCGGTAATTTGAAATGTCGTCTCACTCATCTGTTGATAAATCGTTTAGTGATGAAACAGATTCTGAAAGTTTTGCAATCAATAATCATGTGCTGGTGTTATCGATGTATTTATCACTAGAGTGATACTAATTCAACCTTGCACCAACATTGCCTAGGGACCTACGACCTTTTGTGATTGAGAAAAAGGGAATATTTAACAGTTATTCTGCGAACTCAAGTAGTATATGCGCTGAAATCTGACGATCACTGTACTATGAGCGAAATCTATTAGCGAAATTTAGCTCTTAACACGACATGACGACCAAACGCCGTGAAAATGGCGTGGATATGGCGTAATCCCAACCATACATGGACATATTACGCCATATACGCCCCAAACGCCATTTTCGCGACGTCCTATAGTTGTTAGCTCAGCCCGAAAACTATCCGCACACGTGAGAAACCTGCCTTTCGACGCGAATTCCTCACGAAAAACTATCCGCACACGAGAGTAACTTGCTGAGCTAACCCTTACGAAAAAACAACACATGCAAACCACATGTGTTTCACATGTGCTTCACATGTGATCACATGATCTTCACATGTGATCACATGTGCTTCACATGTGATCACATGTGATTATATGTGGTTCACATGTGGTTATATGGAGGGTACATGTGAACCACATGTGCTTCACATGTGATCACATGTGCTTCACATGTGATCACATGTGATCACATGTGATTATATGTAGTTCACATGTGGTTATATGGAGGGTACATGTGAACCACATGTGATGCACATGTGGTTATATTGGATACACATGAGGTTCACATGTGAAAACATGTGGTTCTATGGAGGGCACATGTGAACCACATGTGATGCAGATGGGGTTATATGAGATACACATGTGGTTCACATGAGAAATGTCTCTACAAACAAGTTGTTCATATGTGATCACATGTGGTTTATATGCGATCACACAAGGCTTACATGTGAAAATAAACCTATGTGAACGAAATGTGGTTGCCATGAAAATGTATTTCAAACTTATAATGAATCAGCAAACTTCTGTAATGTGAATGGATACATATACCACATACCTATTCCCCAAATACACGTGCATAATCATCTAAATAATAGTTACTGCTTTGCTCAGTTTAAGTAACACTGTATATTTAAGTTTTCTTCTTATTTACAATTAATCTCTATCTAACATATTTGGTAATCTATATATAAAGTTATTTACATAAAAACACTGCTGATTAAGACAATCCAGAAGATGTCTTGTGGATTCATTGGATTGTCTATATATGCCGGGTTATTTACAGTATATCAAAATTCTGCTGCTTATTAAATGCTATAGTTTACAATAAAACAATAAGATAACTCAGCCTCGTTGGCTATGAGCGAATAGTAAACTCAGCCTCGTTGTAATAATACATTCGTCTTAATATTTATAAATCTGAGGCCAATCTCCGACCGGTGTAATAACCCAACGACCAACAAGTGTGACGCCACATTAGGCGAAAACCCTGGGAACGAGGTTGCGCATTCGTTTCAAAATTCAAATTTTTTACAACGACATTCTTGGCTGTTCGACGAGGAGATTGCAATTTTATTTGATAAAAGACATAAAAGGATAATCTTTGTCACTCTCCTAATACGATTGGAAATGAAATAGGTGCTGGTTCACTGGATTGAGTCAAAACATCCCCTAAAACATCCCGAGAAGGATCGCATGGTTTTGTTTGGATACTCAAAGATGAATTCCCCAAAGACGGCATGGAAATCGTATTTTGAAACGTTTTGGCAGAAAGTGGTAAGCATCTCAGTGACACTTATATAATAATATAAATAATAATTTAAGCTCGGTCCGCATCGAATTGTATTATTGTAATCAGAAGATTGTTTATTAAACTTTATCAATCATCATTCATCTTCGTATAAATACTTCGCTCATACACACTAGTGATAGCCGGGAAATATCCTCAATAGCGGTGTAATAATGTTTTAGCAAAGAAAGAAGCAGAACATAGTGACATTATATGCGCTAGAAATATATTGTTTATAGTTTTTTCTAGATCAACATGTCCTTCCAACTGAGACTGGGATATATAATCGTGTGGAATGTTGTCTTCCAAACATGTGCACATCTCGCTCGCTCATACTTAGTTGTGTATAGCAATAAAATATTTGTGTATATATAAAATTTTCTAAAGCGAGTATTTGTGTTTTTTCACAGATAGCAAGAATGAGTTACTAATGAAAACTTAGCTTGAATTGAGCAGTTGGAGGATAACAGTGACAATAACAGTGATGATAATAAAGCCAAGAAGAGGCGATTAGATGTGACCAGTGCTGACAATAAGAAACCAAAGAAGAATATAAAGGTTTGAAACATATTACCATTTGATATATACCGGTACACAATATGGTCTAAATTAGGGAATACCCCTTGCACCTTAACTTAATTCAATAACCTTTGGATTCTTATAAACAGTAGCAATATTCTGTGTACAGTATAGCAGTATTTTGTTTTTCTAAACACCTAATTTAGAAGAAATTAAGGTATTTTTACATATGATATTTCAAATATTTTGTATGTTCTGGCTGGGTCTAAAAGCCTCACAGTATCAGATTGGTACTACCAACTGAGCAACATGGCCAGATGGATTTAAGACTTTAAAGAGGCAGTTTTAGCAGCACTTGCTGAAACCAAGAAAATATGTACACCATCAAAGTTCCACCATCTTTTCCTAAGATTCAAGCCCCTTCCTTGCCTCAGCCATTCCTTCCCTTAGCCATTCCCTAGGTCTGCACAACCTTATTCACTGTTGACCATGAACAACAGCAGTTTCTCAGAAGAATGGATTGTTATTTTGTTAATGTTTTTGTATACAGTAGATAACATTCTCACTTTCCATTTAATGTTTTATTTTGTAGGCATTGAAATTATATTTGACTTTAAATTATTTATTGTTTGCAATGAACTGCAATTGCTATTAATTAACAATCCTGTTTATATTTTTTCCAGCTTTTGTCATCATGAAATTTCCTCAAGCAAATAATACAATTTTAAAAGCTGTTATGACACAAGAGTGCAAAGAATTTAGGCTGTCAATGGAAAACCGAAAAAAGAATCAGGAAGATCTTAGCAACAATTAAGGACAGTAGGATGACTAAATAAATTATAGTATTATAATTCATTTTATTTTATATTTACAGATGTATCTTTTACTCTTTAACATAGTCAAATGTTTCACTTCATTTTGTAATATGGTTTTTAATATATGTGCATTAATTTACTTCACCTTGTAATACTGTGTTTGAGTGATTTAATGATCATTAAAGGTGTCATGCAGTAGTTTGTGTGGATCACATGTGAACTACATGTGAACGTCAAAACAGACTAACATGTGAACCACATGTGGTTGTTCCAGATCCACATGTACTGAACCACATGCGACTCACATGTGAAACACAGGTGATACTACCACATGTGATGATACTACCACATGTGAACCACATGTGATACCACCACATGTGAACCACATGTGATATAATGGTTCCAATTTCACATGTGAGTCACATGTGATTCCACATGTGGTTTTCGCATGTGTTTTTTTCGTAAGGGAACAGCCACGCGTGATCCTTACTTCAGCTCACGTGTACGGCGGGCTTTACTCTTTAGTCATATACGACGTGAGTGGGACGCACTTCAAGTGCCACGTGTTCGTCTGGAAAACGCACGGGTTGCACCCGCCACCCAGTTAAGATAATCACCCTACGCCTCTGTTCATTTGGTTTGACCATTTCTTTTCTTTTTGCAGGACAAACCTTCTGATCGTTTATTCTTAGGCCAAGCGTGAAATTGTTCAACGTTTTGACTTTTGGTGTCGACCTTGACTTTAGTCTATTGTTCACAATGCATTAACTTGGTTCGATACTTTCTATTTTGACCTCTTGGAAATAAGCTGCGTTTCCAGTTATATGTATTTGTGACTATTGTTTTGAGCTTCCGGTTTTTTTATTATATTGATTCAGAATAGCAGAGGAAGTTGACCAGAAAATATCTACAAAATAAAAATAACTACCACTTCAGAAATAAAACAAAAAGGCACGAGGCATATGTACTTGTAGAACATATGTAGTGGTTAGCAACATTCATCGAGGTAGGCTCGACCGATAACTCAACAGTCAAGCTATTATTATTACTAGGAAAACGAAAATATAATTATATGTTAATACAGCGATTGTTGGTTTACTAAACGATAATCAAACTTCAAGGTAGCGTAAGGATTTCTGTGTGTTTGTTAGGATCTTTCAGTATCAAACGTCAGTTTCATTTGTATACCATCGTGGATTTTGGTTAACATTACTATCAGTATAGTAATAACTAATCAATAGGTATTTATTGATATTTATTGATATAGTGATAACGTTCACGTATATACAGCATAATTTATCAAGTATAATTATGAAATATACTTGTTAAATTGCATAAACAACACCACAATCATGCCTATATACTAAATAATATACACGAAACTGTTCATCGTTGTTCATTCTGCAAATTGACCAGCCAGCAATCTGCATTGGGCATACGCCATACCGCGCTAGCGAAGCAGACCATAAAATAGTAATAAAAATTGTCGTAAAAAGTGAGGTTGGTCATTTAAGGGGTTGCAGACTTGCAGTGCAGTTGTGTGTTGTATTATACCAGTACTTAGTGAAAGGTTAGTGTCCTTTTACTGGCACCAAAATCATTCCTGAATGCTTATTACGGGGGGTTGCTAGGTTGTAACTTCGAACTGATTTCACGAAGCGATACCTGAGAAATACAAAGAAAACTTTGACCTTTCTGAATGAACGATGATTTAAATTTCTTAATGAAAATCTGTGAAAATAAGTCATCTTGCATTGTTTTCGTCATCACATATCATTAAATCCGACGCATTTTGGAACAAAGGTTTATTGTGACCAATTTAAACTTCAAAACCTCCGCTTTTAACACCCTGATTGTTTATAATACGTGGCTCTTTACGTGCTTTATGGAATTCCGTTTTGTAGCTAATCCTATACAGCTAACGAGAATCGTTGTATTGTGAACATGTATTTGAATTATATCGCTGCATGCATGTATGGCGTATGCCCAATGGCAATGCAGATTGCTGGCTGGTCAATTTGCAAAATGAACAACGATGAACAGTTTCGTGTATATATAGGCATGATTGTGGTGTTGTTTATGCAATTTAACAAGTAGTATATTTTATAATTATGCTTGATAAAATTATGCTTTGAATGATATCGGTTGATTTTCTGCACTGTAATTGTAAAGCCATGCAGACTCTCTGGTTATACGAAATATCTTGGCAATCATTACTTAGTTCATCGTATTCTTTAATCTGATAATTCGTCTGCGGTAAATCGACAAGGAAACATTTTTACTTTCTACTTAACTCTTGTGTCGTTTTGTGAAGTACCATAAATAGCGGTTTCAGTCAACTTTGACTTATCGTTCTCATGCTAGTATACTTTGCTGTTCAATATACGTCGTGTAACTGTTAGTTTTAGCTTTTGAAGTTACACGTTTCAACATTTCTATAATCGTTTATACATTAGTACATGCGGTAGATACCATTTAGAAGATGTTAGTAATTTGTAGTACGGAAATTGAGAAGGAAAATCACATGATACATTTAATATGGAATTTTATAAATAGCTCGTGAAAGGTGTAAGCGAACTGTAAGTCGGTCATTTCTGGGAAGTCTAATAGAAAAAGTCACGCCCTCTTTCACTTTTAAATTACAAATTGCCTATAAATTTGCTTAATTCTGAAATGATCTTCATTGCGTGAATATTTTGGGTAACTGAACAACCAACAACAGACAACCAACGTAGTCATTATTTGTCATCTCGACTTGGTGGAATGACAGAATTACAAGTTTAAGCGGATATCCTGCTGTGTTCCTGAAAGTCTGCAACTATCTCACGATATCCGTACAAGTCGCCCTGATTTAGGTGGCATTGGTACACTATATACTATATACTCTTACTACGGTATAAATGAAAATGAAAATAACTATGCTATGCGCATTCACTTAAAACGTATATTCGTCGAGAATATATCAATATTTCTGACATTTTTAGGAAATTTTGTTTGAATCCATTTGTATTTAACCCTTGGGAGAATTGTTCAGCGTCATTGCTAGTTTGTCACTATGGTCAAATTACGGATAATCATCGTTACAGTACTGATAGCCGTGGAAACAAAGGGTAAAAATATATGCTAACTCATTACTCATTTAAGCCTCGAAGGTTTAATAAGGCATCGTACAATAAATTTGACATGATATAGATTAGATCCGATACGCCCGTCCACGTTATCGTGTCTTAAATATTTTTTATATTGCTATAGCTATAGCTTATGAAATAGGGTGAAGACATTACATGCACGTAGAGTGTATGCAGATAAACGATCTCACATTCAGTTATGGCGCAAGTTAAAACTATTTTATTATCAATTTTACTTTCATTTCATACCATCATTATCAGTCTTCACAGATCATCATTTGCCAGTGCTATTTCATATAAGTCTTCATCTGCAGGTGCTGATCTGATTCATAGGTCATCATTTGAACTGAAGCGATCATTCACCAGTCGTCATTTATCAGACTTTAATTCACCGGTCGTCATTTGTAGTTTTGATGCCTGGTTTCCATATTGTCGTAACTGTCGTAAACTGTAAACATGTCAAGGTGATTGATGTGATAGAATATATTTCTATGTGTGTGCGGTCAACAATGACCGATATAAATACAGAAATAAAGACAAATTTACATCCAGACTTTTTCTCATCTGCAAAAAGGACTTGTTCACGACAATTACGACTAAATTGAAATCAGGCTAAATTCACCAATTGTCATTTGCAGATTTGCAGATAACAAAGACGGTAAAATTTTGAGTTCTTTCCCCACTTTTTTAGTTCTCGTCTCGTTGCAGTCAAGCAAAATAATTTCAAGTGTCCTGTCTACATCTTCTTCAACATCACATGCAAAAGGCCAAACTTTGATTACATATAACCCAACTGAAACGACATTACGTAGGTCAACAGTGACAGAGTACCCACATGTTAGAAACATTAAATCTTCTGCTGGAACTTCTGGTGAGTTTCTAAATTGATACTTTTAAAATATGCCTTGGTGAAGGCAGATGTTAGCCCTCTGCCAGGTAAAAGTAGTAAAAGTCGACATATTATGGTTATAGCTGATGTGATTTAACAAAGAAAATCACTTTCAGCGTGTATTCGGTGTAAATAATTCGTATACCTCGGCGAGAGACGGAGGGAAAACTATTTGAATTTTGCAATGTAATAAAGAAGAGCGTAATGTTTTTCTATGAGATTATTTAGCTATTTTGTTCTTTTTAATTTATTTAGGAAATTCATCGAAAAGAACCCAAATTTTAATAATGTATATTTCAGTCTCGGTTGCTGCTTTCTCTCTCTTGTCTGTTTTATTTATTGTCCTTTGGTTTTGCCGTACAGAAAGAAAACGAAAAAGTAAGTATCACCGCATGATATTTGGTGAAATAAATCGTTTGTATTCATTTAGAGAGTCTCTTGAAAGAGGAACGGGAGGGGGGGAGTCTGGGCAGTTTTTTTCCACTCAGCGATAATGATTTCATTCTTTTGCTTAATATTTAGAAACGCCAAGCACGACTTCAAGGTAAATAATTTCTGTTGTGCTAACATTGCATATTATTCTAAGTTCTAATTTTCCGCTGAAAACTTCGTTTGTAGTACAACAACTAATGGCGAGGTTCCTCTGGTAAGCAAAATAGATTAATAATTTATTTGCAATTATAGTAAAAAGGTGAAACAATTCTGTATAATCAAAATTATTTTAAACCTTGAATTCCAGTTACCAGCTGCACCCCTTCTTCGTAAGGATATTTGGAAGATATCGAGAGATCGTTTGAAACTTGGTAAAAAGCTTGGAGAAGGTGCATTTGGCTTTGTGTTCAAAGCAACTATTACAAATGACGAGAATTCATGTGAAACGAAGATGGTTGCTGTTAAAATGGTGAAAGGTTATTATTATTATTATTATTAAACTTTATTTACACACGGTATTCTCAATCAGGATTTTCATGCTGACAAATGACAAGATTATGAATTACAAAATAAGATTACAAAAATAATTAATATACCTGCTTTTCATGAGAGCCGTGTAAGGAATATATACAAGAAATATAATATAATACAAATGTGAATGTAGATTAAAATAATTTGGAACAGCCCGCTTTAAAATTTGATAGGTTATTTGCTAGCCGTAGCCCAATCGGTAGGCTGTTCCATAGCATCGCACCACTATAACTAAAACTATTCTTCAGATAGTTTGTGCGAGGCTTAGGAACAGCCAGCTTACTATTTGTGTTTCTCAACGAATAAGGATTGACACTGTCACGGTTTACAAACATGGAACCCATGTATTGTGGAGCAAGTCCATTGAGTGATTTATAAACCATGACAGCCTTTTGAAATTGGCGTTGGGAAGATAACTTTTTCCAGCCAAGTCTATCGAGTAAGATGTCGGCATTAGTGTCATAGCTTGAAAAGGTCAAAACTCTCGCTGCGCGATTTTGTAGTTTTTGAAGTTTATCTGCCAAGGTTTTATTGCAATTGTCCCAAACTGTACAGCAATAATTGAAATATGGCTGGACAAGGGAATTAAAAATTAAATACAATGTTGCAACTGGGACAAATGAACGAACGAGTTTTAAAGCGCCAATACCAGAAGCAATTTTTTTTGTTAATTCCTTGATCTGTATATTCCAAGATAGATTTTCATCAAGGTGAACTCCTAGAGATTTTGTATGTGAAACCTTGTCTATAGGAATTCCGTCTATTTTAAAACATGGGTCTGATTGGAAAGTAGCTATTCTTTGTCGTGAGCCAATTAGCATAAATTCAGTTTTGGATTGATTCAATGTAAGCCTATTGGCGATAAGCCATTTATTAGTTAGATGCTTAATATATATAATAATTCTTAATAGAGGAACTCCAAGAGGAGACATGCAAGTAATAAGTGAGATTGATATATATTACTTTTTTTGGTTTTGCTCAGAAAATGCATCATCCAGCGATAAAGATGATCTTTTAGCTGAACTAGAGATTATGAAGCAACTAAAACCTCACCCAAACGTGGTTAGTTTGATTGGCGCAGTTCTGTATGAAGGTTAGTTTTTGTTAATCAAGACAATACCATGCTTCGGGTTATGCCAATCTATTTAAGCGAACGAGGTTAATAATTAAAATATTATCTATGACTATGTATTCGAGTATGGCATCATAGAACATGGAAGTGTTTTTGTTTCCACTTACCACTTAAAAATCGTATTTTTGCCCCTAATTTTCATACTAGTATTTCTATCTCAAATTCATAGCAGCGTGCGCCATCTACCAATCCATATTTTTTTGTGATAATGTTTTTAGTGGATTGTCCTTTGGTTATTGTTGAATTCGTCCCATATGGTGATTTACTGGGATACTTGAGAAAATTAAGAGGTGTTCAAGATTCATGTTATTTTGATCCTGATCATCTTCCAGCGGCAGAATTAAGTACTCAGGAATTGATGAAATTTGCGATGGAGTCTGCACTAGGAATGGAGTACTTATCAAAAAAAAAGGTGTGTGGTTCAGTTAACCTCATCAGTGGCAATGATGGCGTATCGTTCGCTTGCTGTGATTGGCTTGAGACACTTGAGTGCTTCGCAGGTGATATATACGTAAACTGCATTTTGAACGAAAAAGAAAACAACCATCAACATCAACAAACCACTTTGTTTAATTTCCTATTACCTCTCTTCGCAGAGATGCAACTCCACAAATATTTTTCCGGCAGCGCTGCAATCCTTAAGCCCCACATATTATATAACTTGGCGATGTACTCAAAAACTTTAATCATTAAACGCCGCGATGTGCATATTTAATGCAGAAATTGTTACGAATTTTGATTGCGAAAACTAAAATTTCGGTTTGGAAATCACTTTGGTCGATCGACTGCATGCTTCGTCTACGGAACAGTAGAAATATTCAGGGATATTCAGGAATACACAATATTGAGAAAATTGTTAAATATATCTCTTTATATATCTCTTTATATATTTCTTTATTTAACCTCATGTTGATTAATAAGGTAACAATTTTGCCTTTTTCGAATCAAGATTGTCCATCGTGATCTTGCTGCTCGTAACGTTTTGGTTGGTTCTGGTCGGACATGTAAAATAACGGATTTTGGCATGGCGAGGGATATCAGACGAAATGAAATATACATGAGAACAACACGGGTAAAGATGAAAGATTGTTAGTTTAATACAATGGTTAAGAAGTTAGAAGTCATGCAGTTCACCTTAACTTAAATTAATCGTAGTTGAAATATCTTGATCTCGTAACTTCCTTTGTAAATACATTTCATTTCCACTTTCCTGTTTTGTCTATGAAAACGAAATTTTTCAGGGTCTTATTCCAATCAAATGGACTGCTATTGAATCAGTTCTTCGTGGTATTTACACGACAAAAAGTGATGTGTAAGTTATTGAACTTTGATGAACCCTTGATAAACCCAGAAATAACCTTGTTGGTATGCAGTCAGCAATCTTAATTGTCATTTGTTAATAGATGGAGCTTCGGAGTTCTGCTGTTTGAAATATTTACAGTAGGTAAGATGGTAGAGAAAGTAAGTATATAGACAGTATAGTAAATATAAAGTCAAGACCAAGTAGTTGATTTTTGTTTAGTTTGCCCAAAGATCGTATAATATTTAATATATATCTAGCATTCTGTGATTCTAAATAACAGGTGGATATCCCTACCCTGGAATGGATGGTTATCAAGTGAGAGATTTTATATCTCAAGGACGCAGAATACCAAAACCAATGCACGTTGATAACGAACTGTAAGTATGTAAATGCATAGAGTAAATTTATTTGTGAACTTCTTTCGAGGTTATTCACGTCTATTTTCTGTTTTTCAATCCTTGGCACGAACCTAAGCTTGCTTGCCTTATGTTCCAATACAGTTATCACTTCTTGTGATTAGCAGCGTAGCCAGGGGGGGTTGGAGAGACCTGAGAGAACTCCAGTTTTCGTTCAGACTAAATGAATTTTCTAATTGCTGTTAAACTGAGAGAAATATGTTGGAGGGATCCAACCGTCACTTCTTTTGTGTAACTGCATGACAGTTGGAATCCCACCCCTCTTTTAGCTTTCCCTGCTCATGATTTATTTAAACTGTCTTCCCATGATTGAGCCAGAAATTCTACAATCAATGTCCACAGTTGAGATGGTGTATCTCCCCTTGAGTTGGAGACAGACACACAAGCTGTGGCTGTGTTGACTGAAATTTTTTGATAAACAGTTATCAAGTCATGTTGGATTGCTGGCAATCGAATCCCCGAAAACGGCCAACATTCGAACAGTTGGTGTGTACATTGAAAAGACTTGAACCTTGTCACGAAGTAAGCAGAATGTCAATAATTTGTTTTGTACTCATTTATAATTTTTTTCTAACTTGAATTTTTTTATTTTCAAGGAATATCTGAATCTGTCTGAATATAATTGTTGTGATTATGAGAATTTGTTGAACAGAAGAGCGGATATTATTCATTAAACAGCAGGCAGATTTCTGTTTGAATATACTCTGTAAAAAAGGATAAATGAAATGGCACGACAGCCGACAGGTTTTAAAATTGTAGAATTAACGGAAAGAAAATGTATAATGTATATATAACTGTATAAAAAATAAAACATACGAAATACTAACTACTCAAATATGTAAGTTATATTGGTAAAAACTTGCTCTTGCATTTTTTTTGGCATTTCGTTAGTTTTCACGGCGATCGCGCAGAATTTTTCTGAATTTTTTCGGATTGGGTGTTAGTCCGCCGAAAAGTGGCGAATTCGACCATGGTCGAATTAAACGGAAAATGACGAATTCGACCATGGTCTAATTGGCCGGAAAATGACGAATTTGACCATGGTCGAATTGGCCAGAAAATGACGAATTCGACAATGGTCGAATTGGCCGGAAAATGACGAATTCGACCATGGTCGAGTCCGCCGGAAAATGGCGAAAATCCACCATGGTGAGTCCGCCGGAAAATGGCGAAAATCCACCATGGTCGAGTCCGCCGGTAAATGGCGAATTCGACCATGGTCGAATTGGCTGGAAAATGGCTAATTCGACCATGGTCGAGTTCGCCAGAAAATGGCTTTTTAAGGTTCTTTAAATTTAGGTTCTTTTTTAAGTCGGGGGCCCCTTCAGGTTTGGGGCCCGGGGCAAAATGCCCCGTCTAGCCCCCTTCTTAGCGGCCTTGAATGTTACTTTATAGAAAACAATTTGTTTGAATATAACGACTGGAGTGGTGGAATGAAGTCGAAGTAGTGGGCGATTATCTCGCAAGGCGCTGAGGATAGCTTTATATAAGAAATACGCCTCAATACAATTAACAGAGCAAGGGCTGGTTCAGAGCAATTAAATGATTGTATCAGGTAAAAAAAAACCCCTTAAAAAATTAGGTTAATAATGTTTTTAAATGACACTTCTCTCTCGAGGATTGGCTATCGACCTTTTTTTAAATATTTGACTGATAATCATTTGAATTTTTAAATATGTAACTCCTATCCACCACTTTGGTTTTCAAAAACTCCATGTTTACAGATTGAATGGTCGCGGTAAATGCACAGTAGAGTTAAACCATCTTCATTATCAGTGCATGTTGGAGCCGTATATATACAAAATGACGGTAGCCATGCTCAAACTCAAGTTAAAGCAGAAACTAATACCTCGCGCTTGTTCAAAACTGGATTTACAGCAGTCCTATAAATATGCCTTAAAACCTGATGGTGAACCAACAAAGATTGGTAGACACGGAACATTGTCACGAAATGTTGCAATGAAAACTAACGGAAAAGGGTGATTACCATCAAGTCTGAAGTAACCTCGCTCCTGAAGAAATCGATTGTGAAGGCAACTTTTGCGTTTTGTGTGTACTGCTTTACGTACGCTGGAATTGGTAGCTACAGGATACCAATAAAAAACAACACAATTGCCCTAACTGGTGCTCTAACTCCAAATGCTGGAAAGTTTAAAAAGAAAACTTTCGCTCTGGCAGGAAAAGTTAAGAAATATAACGTTGATTGGAAATGTACGAATTTACTGAATTTTTACGTTTGGAATATTTAGAGACACACTACATAATTCGCAGGTATAAGCAAATAATTGTTCCCGCGGTTGACGAATATATATATGAATGACCAATGTTACACTATAGCAGCCTGATTTTGAACAACGTTTTTCGCAGGCTTTGAAGACATTGTTCATAATTATAGCTTAATCGCTGCTTGCTGAATCGCCGGTTAACATCTGCTTTAGTTCCGCGAAATAGCTGAAATGTCCAGCACAATCGTGATGCCCTCATGTTGGTCAGTGAAGGCGTACGGAGCAAGAAAGCATACGGATATAGCGTCTATTTAGGAATGTTGGGTGATACTTTAAAATATCAAGAAACTCTGAATAACGAAGTCAGTGTGTTTTACTTCAAGGAATCTCTGGAAGCTGGCTTAACCTACTGACTAGAAAGTTGACGCAGAGTTCTCACCAAATGAAATTTATCGCGGCGATGTCTTGAAATTTAAAACTAAAATGGTCACAATTGAGCGCAGATACCATTTTTAATGCTGTAATTCAGTGGCACAAATGTTTCAGGAATATGGGTAAATAAATCATTCATTCAAAATTTATTTAATTGGCTATATTTTTCTCTCTTTCTTACCTTTTTGACGATCACTATGAAATTATTTTTAATCAAACCAATTATATAGTCACTTATGATTATTATTGCCATTGTTCGCATTTATGTTTGTCATTAAGTAACGAAGAGGATTGACACAAAGATGACGAACTGAGCCAATGCACAATGGCTGACAATCTTCGAACCATACGACGATACTGTCGATACCACTGATACTGTCGATACTACTGATCTGGTCGATACATCAATCTCTCTACTGCTACGTTTCCCATCAGCTGACTTGGTACGAAATCTTACGTTTCCTGACAACTTCGGCACTGAAGAATTATATTCTTTCCATTCTGTTCCAGCGTTATACTCTATCTTCAATCCAGGGAATGCAGAGCTCACTAACCATCTATCAGATTCCAACTTTGCCCCAGGTAATGGTACTCGATATTTCACTCCCATTTCATCCAATTTTCTCAGCTCACGATGACCAAGTAAATTTGCGAACTTTCTCCATTCTTTTTTTAACATTTCACTCCGACCACTTGCATCTTTTTCAAACTCTGCTTTATGCCAAGCTCTTTCAGCTAACGCTAGTACCCTTGGGAAACACATATAAAATAGCTGGTCTTCAGTACGCACAGTTTCTGACCAAAGGTGACCTTGGATTCCAACTATATTATCTTTCCTCACAAGAGGCGGACACTTGCTTGCCTTTTTACAAAGTTCTTTCTTATTTAAGGGATTTCCATATCGATCTTCTTCAGCATTGTCGTAAACACTATCAGGCATATATCCAAACGTCTTCATAGTGTCCGTGAATCTCGTCGCCCAGTAATATCCACGTTCTTCAGGGTTTGGTTCATAGGGCATATCAAAATATAGATGAGTTGCATGGCCAAGAACAGTTTTGTATCCTTCGTTTGCCAGGCGATATGCTCGATCAAATGCACCCCACTCCCATACATTATCCCATGCATAACCATACACACTATTTTGAGAAAGATGGGTTTTGTTGAATAATGTACCGTTCTCTATAAGACCGTCCTCCCAAGCAGCAAAACTTATATTCAATTTTGCAGCAATCGCTGAAAGTCGACTAGTGAAGTATTTCTTCAGTGAATCAATTTCTTTATCCGTGATATTAAGTGTCTGACATGCGGTAGAGTTTACCCAGGCACCTTTCGCTACTTCATCGCCTCCCATATGAAACAGTTTTAACGGTAAGATATTTTTATGGATACGAACTAAAGCGGATAGGACATGTTCAATGAAGTTGTACGTTGAATTCAAACAGGGGTTAACAGCGTTATCTCTAAACATTTGGATTGAAAAATATTTGGAAGGATCGTCAGGTTCTGCTAGCAAAAATTCAGAAGCATCTTTTCGCATTGTTTCATTGCTCGAGGCATTATACAACAAAAATCTGTGTTCCATAGCTTTTATTGCGGCGTGAGAGTGGCCAGGCATGTCAAATTCCGGGATTATTTCAATATGAAGCGTCTTTGCGAGCTGAAGAATTTCTTTGTATTCTGTAACAGTAAGATAACCGCTCCCAGAAGTTGATGTTTCCGCACCAGACCCAATCTGCGGGGCTAAGCACTTCTTCGCGTCAAAACAGCGCAATCCACCAAACTTTGTCAATTCCTCTAAACCAGGAATCTCTAAACGCCATCCTTCGTCATCAGAAAGGTGGATATGAAGTTTATTCAATTTGTAGTTCGCCATTGCCTTTAATACTTTTAAAATTGAGCTCTTGCTGTGGAAATTACGTGAAATATCCAACATCAAACCTCGATACTTGAAGCGTGGTGCGTCTTTTATTGATGCCTTTATAAAAAGAATCAGTGTTTACGTATACTAGTTAGTCTCAAGGCATATCTATCCTCTGTAGAGATTCGTTAACAATAATAATAAGAAATGTTCCTGGTCCTGGTGTGAAGTGACGACAGGTCATCTGAAAGCCAGCTTTCGGGTAATCTTTAAATTTTTTTTTATTTTTCAAGATACATGCAGTGCAGCTATACATACGCTTCTTGTTTTGTTTACAGGCAAATCTGAGAAAATAAATATTTCTTCCAAAGCTTACCTTGAGTACTTGTTTTTTTTCAATATCTGTAATAGCTAAAAGTGATGTAATGCCATAGAAACAGCCACTTGGGTTTGGTGCCGATATAATTATCATATTCTCTTTTACATCAACTGTGTATCTTTCTTCACTTGTACTGCTTTGTCCATCTATTTTCACATCAACATTTTTGTGCAAAAGATGAATGATTTTACTATCCATTCCGCTAGTGTATTTATTCACAGAAAGCTTTAGCTTCTGTCCTAGATAGTTTGCTTCATTCACGAATTTTGTCGAAGTATAAACAATCTTCCAGTCATGGATATCAACATACAGTTCATCTTTTGCATTAAGTTCAACTGGAGTTGGGATGATCGATCCCAAAGCAGGTTTCTTTTCCTCGGTTTTTATTCGTTCCCATCGCTGTGTTGGTGTGAAAGGATTATATTGATCCGTTTTGCCACGTTTCCATTTTTTTGCCGTGTCAAATTTGCCAACAAAACTTAATTCTTCTCCAGCTGTTCTTTCAAGATTTACAGCATCAAGTCCATCGGCGGAAACATACCAGTTAGGCATCGCATCTGTTCTTGCAACGGAGTGATGTTGTGCATTGAATTTGATTGATAAATTTTGACTGGATGAAAGTGGTTGAAAACCTTGAACGCGCAAAAAAAATTATTGAGAAAACCAGCGGCATGGTAGCTAATAACTATATCTATGCATGTTTTCTTGTACGGGCGAGGTACAGACGCGGAAGACCGGAAGTCCTCTTCTGAGAAAACATTGATCCACCACAAATATTAAATAGATCCGGAAATATAGCAGACGTAATAACTAACCTTGAACTGGTTCAAATTTAAAAAGAGATCCACTGACGTGAACGAATTTTAAGCCGGTATCTGGTATAACATATCCACTTGGATTATCCTTTAAATGGTCAGGTTCAATAAGACGAATGAAATTGAAATAAATTGCCCAAGGTCCTTTCGTTATCTCTTTCTTCCCTTTGTTGGTGAGAGTTAGTCTAGATGTGTAGATCTGGTCACTGGCTAAGTTATCAACAACCTCATAATATACATCCAGATTTGAGGCGATATAATTGAGGTCTTGTTGAGTTAAACATAACACATGATCGTGATTGAAAATTCCTAGATAAAATAAACTCATTGGAGAGCTGATCTTCGTAAAGAGGAGAGGGAAATTCCTGAAATATTTTCAAATAAGTGGAGCGAAACTTTGTCTTTGGACTAACCTCTCTCTGACAGCTAATTAGCTCAAACAATGTACTATTCTATATAATTTCATGCATAAAAGTAAGTTTACAAGTTGCATATAAACTTTGCAGTCGGCAGGGAAATATAGTTTTAACGCCTTTTAGAAATTGACTTCTATGCGACCATTAATGTTACGACATGTAAAGCATAATAAATTTAAAATAAAATAAATAATTACCTAATAGTAACAGAAAAATAAGGAAGAAGTTTCTGACTTGGACCATTTTCTAAATTTAGGGAAGATACTGTTAATTAAGGAGAAATGAAGTTTCACCGAAATGCTGTATTTCAATTCAAAATACGGCCGGTTTGACTATTTTCACCACTGATTACTTAAAGGCCTTTATAATTTAATAGAACAAGGCCGTGGTTGTCTGCAAGCAATCGATTTTGACTAAAAAGAGGTAAGGATGCGGTTATACCAGCTTCAAAATAGATATTTTTTAGTTGCTTTGCTTTTGTATATATCGAATCAATTTTACTCTAAAGTCTCTATTCTCAAGCCTATCCTGTATTCATTTGCGAATAATGAGATATGAACATCAAATTTCTGATCATACTGCTGGTGATGGATAAACATACCCATGCAACATAATAAAACCAAAATACTGTTTTTATCGTTTAGATATTTACTGAATATAACATTATATAAATCTGACGATTCGAGCCAGTGAAGCAGAAAACATGGCTTGTTGAATATTTGAGCTCGTACAAAAAAAACTAATTCCGAAAATAAGGTCATCTTGAAATTCAAGATATGAATTCATTCTGGAATCAATATTCCACCTTATTTTAAAGTCGTCATGAAATTTCGGATAACCAAAAAACAAAGGAGCAGTGAGGAGGTGTCTTTAATTATTATCAATATTATTCGAACAATAGATATATTATTACTTAGACAATAACTTAAAAAAAGTTGATTTCCACCACGTACTTAACAATAGAACTGATATAAAAGAATTGCTACCTAACGCTGGCAAAGATTGTAGCTACCTGAGAGTATCTGGATCTTGCCTTGGTTATGCCTTGGATGCTGAGCTTTTTCTCACGATAACTGAAATAGGACAATATTGTAGAAGCTTTTATTTATACACATGCAGCTTGTGTGAACTGTAACTTCCGTCGTGTCCGTTTTTGTGTGGAAATGTTTAATCTAGTTTAATCAGTTGTCTGGGCTTGAATCGAGTCTTGCATATATTGGTTCATATTACAATGTCAACAGATAAGATCAATTTTAATCAACAGATGTTTTTTCTTCTGTATTTTAACCTATTATTCTTACTCAATTCGACGCTCCGCATCGAAATATAGAAATATGGTTCATGACAAGGCCGGTCGCAACAAATATGCACACACATGTCTACTCCATGCTTTTAGCTTGGTCTATTAAAACTGGGTGACTGACTGAAGGTTCTAGAGGTCCTTCGTTGAAGGCGGTACTTCGTGGACAGACGAAAAGTATCATCTGAAAAAAGCCCATAGATTAGACCTTAAATTTTGTTTTAAGAAACAATATATAATTACCGTTCATGTTCACTCTATAGTATACTCTACTAGTATAGTATAGAGCCGACCCCGATGGTTACAACTACTAGGGATTATAAAGCACAGTGAATGGGGAAGATTAATTAAAAAACGATGAGGAGGGGCGTATTTTTAGTATGACAAAATTCTTTGCATTATACAGATGATTTCGAGGATTAGTTAACATATCCTGAGTGGATTGAAACGTCGACGTCGTGTTCCGGCTCTGATAAATCAATTGGTAACACCAGATCTAACAATCTTGTTTCATTGCCAAAAATTTGGACGAGTTCGTAACGCATGCATGAAATTAGAATCTCTCGTAGTCGTCCTGAATTTTCTTGCCCACTTAGTTTTGTTGTCCTCACAAGAAAGCTGAAGCTGATTCTCACACATGCTGTTACAATTGAAACGTCTTGGCAGTAAAACAAATTCTATTGGACAACGGAATATTCGACGATGTACGCCTTTTCATCCTTGGATAAATCGTCGAATATTCCGTTGCCCAATAAAATTTGTTTTACTGTCAAGAGGTTTCAATGTGTGCACAGGCACTCCTGTCTCTTTTATTAAATAAAAGCAAGGAAGTTGGGCAGATGCGCGAGAGATTTTATTAGACCAAACTAACCTTGCTTCATTCTTATTTCTCACCTTCCTAACTTTAATTAATTGATCATTATAATACACAGCACGTTTGCATCTTTCTGAATCGGTATTCTATAGAAATTATTCTTCCGTTGTTGAAGCACTAAACAATAACAAATATTGCTTAGACAAAAGGAAGACGCACTTATAGCATTAAAAACGACACAGGTGTCTTTCAGTTTTACATCCCCGACTCCCCGCTGATGAGAAAATGCACCAAATAGTTTTCAGGCATTTTACTTATGCACTTGATCGGGTTTCACAAATCATGCTGCAGTTTGCATGCACTAGCAAAATAAATTTGTGCCGCAGCTGATAATATTTTGTTGCCCAGTATGTGTTGCACGATAATAAGTATAGTGTTCAGTAAAACGACGTCGAATATTAATCTACGTGTGCATAATGCATGCTTATAACATGTCTTTTTGCTTTTCATCAAATGTCGTATAACAACTGTCTAAAGTGAACAAAATCATTTCTCGACCTTTCGACAACGTAAAAACCTTCGGGAAAGGAGAGATGGTAAACGGTTTGTACTTGTTATACCACATTTGATGCGAAGTTTTTTGGACAAGCAGCCACGCTGTTTTTGGTTATATTCGAAGGTTGTGAATTTAGTTCATTGAAGGATGTGTTTAATATAAGAAATGCCAAAGAACAATCACTCCGAAGCCTGAAAGAAACTACCAGCAGGTAATCAGGTAATCGTCGGGTGGTCGCATGTATGTCATGAAACACTATAGGACAATTTTATTCGCGAGGGTATACGAAAACGTGGATGCCGGATGCATGCCGAATGACCATGTGACCAAGTCGAAATATCACTAGAATTTGGCGTCTAGCCTGCGTGAAGACGTACAGAGTAGATCTAGACTCTATACGTCTGCATACAGGCTATTGGCGTTTTGTGAAAGAACTAAGAACTTAAACCACAATTACCACATTTTAGCCTATAAGGTTGATATGAAAAAAACATACTTCAATATTGCATTATTAGTACATAGTTAGAAATAATTAGTGTGAAAAAGAGTGAATGGACATATCCTTTTTGATAATATACTGACAATGTGTATTCGGTTTTATACTCAGTAAACACAAAGCATCTGATATCCGTTATCCCTTATCCGCGTTTACCAACATTCGTATTCCGCTTATGAACAAATACTGAATAATTTATCTATAGAGTATGCATCACGTGGCTTAAATACTGTCATCTTATTGGTTTACTGGCGGAAATATCTGACAGGCTTATTTCCGTCGTTACGAATAGTTTACAGTTCAATGTTCGCACATTCGGACCAAGCTACAAATTCATTATTCAATCTGTACACTCTTTATGGTTTCAAAGAACTACTATAAGTTTTGTTTTTATATTATATTTTAACACTGTTCTAACTATGGCTACATAATTGATAAGTTAGGAAGCGTGATTGTGGTCAAGAGCCAGTATGTCCTCGATAATAATCTTGTTTTGTCTGTTGAACATCGCAGGTAAGTTCAAATGTTGATCTATTCCTACCTTGTTTCACTGGTTCATGAAATGATTATCAGAGGTGGTCGAATATTTTAAATTGATAAAAACCATATAAAGAAAGAGAAAGTATTTCATAAACAAGTTTGTCTCCATTAGTTATGTGAAAGTAATTATAAATTATTGTGTTTCAAAGCATTCTGATCGAATGTTTATTGTTTGCTATGTAATTCTAAAATTCCAATTTCGTTTTTTAAGATCTTTACTAGTAACACTGGGATAATCACAAATGATAGATACATTTGTACATTTCTAATTGTTGTTTCCCTCCAACACAACCACCCGACACCGTTTTCCCAAATTTATCCTAGTGCAGCATAGCAAATATAAAGTTTCGATCTTTATGACGTATGTAAGTTCTTGCATGTTAGTATATAAAAACAACTGTTTATATCTTAGTTGTATTTTTGGTATACAACTTCGTGTTTGCCAAAATTTTAGTCTTTTTATACAGTATTACATAAACAATATACATAGTAAGATAAAGTATATTAGTTCAATAAAATGATGTAAAATATTGCTGTTAATCATTATTCCTGAAGGCAAATTGACTCCATCTTGTAGACTTGTATAAATTAATTCCTTGACTCATTCTCAACCATTGCCTCAATCTATTCTTATCCTTGTGACATTTTACAATGAGAGAAACATTTGTAGCGTACATACCTAAAGGCTTAAGACCACAACTGCTTATACACCTTTGAAATGATTTTTTAATACTTTTATCTTTAAATTTTTCTTTCACCCTAGTAACTAATATTGCATTGTAAAATAGAACTAAGCCATAATCGAAATTTTTGGTACTTATAATATTAATATTGAGTAGGGTGCAATATTTTATGAGACTGCTGTCTGTCTCAAGTGTTTTGTTTATATAGCCTTATCATTTACAATATTTAATTCATCAAATATAATCCAATGGAAATAGCTAATACTGTAAATTTTAAAATATTGCAAAAGGCTACTTCAGGTATTCCTCTATTTTTTCATTCGTCCCAGAAATTTTATTGGTCAGTGGATGATTTGTGTTGGATAAACGGTTCAGTGAACAAATCAACAGTATCTTATTAACATAATACACCTAACGTGTGCTATTATTTTATTCTTTGGTCGAACAGTAAGGCCATGAAAGCGGTAATATAATTTGTCCAATAATTTTATGATAGATTATTCCCAATCTTTAAGTTAACTAGCCAATAAACTTTAATGCAAAACTGACATCAGATTGAATAGTCAAGATATGATGGAAACTATAAAACTGAAAAATTGATAAATAATTCTTAGACATTTTCAGACATTGGTAGAATGTCACCATAAAAAACCTTAGTGAAAATATTGTATTTAGAAACAATGCTTTTCTTTTCTTCACTCTTTTTTACAGTTGCAGTGCAGTTTCCCTCTGCTGTATTAACTCATTCTTCTCTTGAATTTGAATTACAATGTTTCATATTTGCATGTATAGAGCTATCACCTCACATTGTTTGTTAAGTCAAGTTGACTTGTTTTCTCCTATCCTTCATGAAAAGTTTTTGATTTCTTTGATTGTCTCCTTCAAAATATGTCAGTAGGACAGCACATTTTGCATATTAACACATAAAAATATATTTTTTCATTTAGTAAGTCTAAAAATATTTGGCTCAGATTCAGATGAGGTGGATGTCCTTGAGGGTCGTAATATTCAATTAAAATGGACATTTTCTACAAGTGGAAGTGAAACATTTAGCCTAGCCACCATCGACGTAATACAAACTGGAGGAAAACTGGTCAGTGTTGCACACTCCAGTTCAGAATTCAATATTATTACTAATGCTGACTACTCGAAGAGAAAATGGACGGCTTCACGCAGTCGAAGCAGTAAAGAGATTGTATTGAATGTTAAAGATGCTAAAACAGAAGATGATGGTTCATATTACTTGAAATTAATATATTCGTCATCAACCCAATTACGTGGAATTAGACTAAATGTTCTTGGTAAGTTACGTAATTTAGTTAGTTTAAGGAATTTGGCAGTGAAGGGAATTGACAGTCAGCTTTATCTCCTATTTTTTATGTCTTTCTTAGTTCTTAATCTAAAATATCTAGACTGAATCGACTGACGATTTTGTGCGCATCAGTAATTCTGCTCACATCACATGTGAGGTTTTGGCTACTTTGGCCAAAATTGCATAAAATTAGTTAAATGTTTCTTATTTTTCTAAAATTCCACTCCTGCTCATATTCATTTAAAACTTTAGTTTTAACTTATTTCTGGCACTGACCGGCATTACCATCATCTACAAATTAACGACGCTTGCTCTTGTAAGCTACCTCTGTAGCTCAGTGGCAAGAGCATGCATTGCACCGGCATCGCAAAAGCGTAGATTCGATTCCTGCCGGAGGACCGATAGTTGACTAATTTTTCCTTTAACTGTTCCTGGCTTGAATTTGAAGTGTGTATAATTCCACTCGAAATTAAGACCTCTTAATCTCGATCTATGTTTATTTTGCATGTGCGGGCGTTCTTCACATATAAACGGTTATCCTGCGTGGGGGTTATGGACGTTGTAGAGTATTGCAGAGATCACTATTGCCCTATTATAGTAAATAGTAATAACACTAAGTTGTTTCATTTTTCTTCGGATCAACCAGTGCAAAATATTAACTGTGCATGGTGACTCTAAATTTGAAGTTAACTGGTTCTTACTGTAGCTGTCTGATAGAATGAATGTCTTTTGATAAGACTGGTCTGACTGGACGGCAGGACGGGCCACAATCAACACTGTCAATATTTTCATATTCAACATTTCTATTTAGTAAAGCCACACTATCCAGCGGGTAGTTACACCCAAAACTTAGACGCGGTTGATGAAGGAAGCAAGGTTACACTAAAATGTAAACCAGAAGGAAGTCCACAGCCAATAAAAATTGTTTGGGAAAAGAATAATGTCAGATATTTAGAGACTGATACAACAAAAGGATCAGATTTAGTGTTTAACAATGTCAGTAGAAGTGATATTGGAAAATATGTTTGTAAAGCAAGTAATAAAGCTGGAAGCGCTGATGAAGAACCTTCGGTGCAGTTGACTGTCAGATGTAAGTTTTTAATATTATTTATTACAAGAATCATTAACAAATAGAAATTCATAGACCAACTTCTTCGCATAACTTTCTGTAGCATTCGCGTGAAGGGCCATGTAAAGGGGCTCTGTGTAAACACATAAATTTAAATGTGCGATATTTTGTTCCAAGATAAACCGGTGAATACAAAGTTCAATACGACTGAAGCTCTTCTCATTGGTAAAACCGTCACTCTACATTGTTCTGCCGACGCCGATCCCGTTGCCCGATTTTCTTTTACGGGAGCCGTGGCTCCAGTGAGCAATAGCGAAACAGGAAAAATAAAAGTGAAGTTGGAAGCTAGTATTGATGGCCGAATTGTGAGCTGTACTCCATTTAATAGACTTGGTAACGGACCAACCGTTGACTTTGTAATTGATATTAAAGGTAAAAATTTATATACTGTACATACACTCCTTATTTGGCTTTTCATATGATGGGAAATGTAAACAATACACTTTGCAGCATGTAGTAATTAAACCATTGACCAGTAGAGGTACAGTAACATTTGTTTTCGCACTGCAAGGAAGACTGGGAAACTAAACATACAAAATTAATAGATTTATATAACTTCATGCACTTGACTCTTGACTCGTTATTCAAGTTTGTCATTCTCCAACACAATATGTTGTCATTATATTTCTTCATTTTTTAACTAGTTCCTGCGAAAGTAACTGATCTTCCTGATAAGTTGAGGGCAATTGAAGGAAGGAACGTTTCCATAACATGCAAAGCGAAAGGAAAACCCGCAGCTAAGATTATTTGGCTCAAAGATGGCACACCAAGAAAATATACACCACCACATTATATCACTGGCCGACTTGCAGACAATACGTATCAGACTGTATCTACTCTCATATTACCGTTTGCATCCAGAGACGATAATGGCAATTATGTTTGTCAAGCGCAAAATCTACCTTATGGAAGTCATGAGAAAGCGGTTAAACTTAATTTGATGTGTAAGTATAGAGTCATAGAGAACAGACAAGTGTGGCGTAAATAGTTTTTCAATTTAAGATGACAGTTCCAAAAGATAATTTGAAAAATATTCACTCCCCGTTCAAGCGAATATACAGTAAATGATTAAAACAATAGAACAATGGAAAACAGAAGAGATTCCCGGCACACAACAGCGTGTGACAGTTCATTTAAGATTAATTGAGTATGCAAGCAACAATTGAGTATAATGCTCTATAGCAATTCCAAAGTATTTCGCATGCAAGTGCAAATAAGCTCAGTTTTGAACACTGTATACATAATGAATTCTTACATGATCACTACTTTAAATAGAAATCCCTTTGTGCATATTTAAAACAAGTGGTTTTGTCTGCCATTGTGACCTCCCATTGCTTTTGAAAAGGGTTACTGGAAATTGTTTCGATAAAGTATCTCAAAACTAAGAATATCAGCAGCTAAGATATGACCTGTCAAACAAACCTGTACATTGAAGAAGAGATCAAGAAAGAAAGCTGATGTAGTTCCCATGCAGTTGTCAATATGATTGTTTTAAATATGTCATTGCAGATCTTCCAGAAGTAAAAAATAAAAATGACTTCGAACAACGAGAAGTTCGTGCTGGCGATGACGTCACATTGAAGTGTGAAGCCCATGGAAATCCAGCAACAACTTACCATATTTGGAGGTGGGAAAATGGCACGGTTTTACAAAACAGGTCTAAAGGAGATCTACAGATCTTAAATATCGAACCTCATCAAGGAGGTCGTTTATCTTGCGCTGGTGGCAGTTATATTGGCGAAGGAAAAAAAGAATATATAAACCTTTTAGTTAGAGGTAAGTTTGAGTTAACTCTTCCTTTAGCAGTGTCACCGTTCCATCGCAATTATCGCTACTCTGGTTTAATTAATGGAAGTAATCTCCGGTCTACTGTCTTCATCAGGGGTGATCTGACGCTCAAACTTTGATCCTTATATATATACTCTCAACATGACGTCATTTATCAATCAGCCTTTCAGACATTGGAACATATTTTCGGCAAACCCAAGGATCGCGTAGCGACCAAACAGAAAAATCATGCTGTATACTCTATTGGCTGTGGTGAAAGAATATCTTGGCGAAACAAAACGTCAGTTCGGCACACGTTTATGAAAATCAAAAAGGCTGTTTTGAACTTAGATAGTTCAAAGTCAGCCTTGGCAGAACATGTGTGTCAAACAAACGGTCCATAACATTGCTTGGAATGATTCTAAAGTCATTACCACTAACGATCGTTATGGACAAAGGCGTTGTTTGGAAGCTTGGTATATTAATGCGAGTCTTTGTGCCCTAAATAGGGATGACGGAAGCCATTTGGCAAAATAATATTTACATCTGATTAATAGATGACGTCATAACATCAGATCACCTCTGATGAAGACACTAGACCGGAGTGAGGAAACGTTGGGTCGTTAATGTAATCTTTGTGTTATGACTACTCTCATTGATTAAACAAGAGTAGCGATAATTGCGATGGATTACAGTATATAGTAATACCTGGTTGCCGTGAACTTATTAGTGTCACTTCTAGTTATTACATGCGATGATATTTTTGGGATATAAAATAAATGTAATGTTTTTGTTTAATAATATAACGATATAATGGTTTTAATCACTCACATCATTTATAATTTGTTTTTTATTACTCCGGCGTCAGCGACGGAGTTGAAAATTCGCCCCGGTTTTTTTTTTTTTTTTTTTTTTTTTTTTTTTTTATTTTTCGTCGTCGCAAGTGTGTAATGGCGCGAAATATTACTTGTATTTAAAACGTGTATGTGACTGTATTTATCTACGTCCCAGTCTTATCTCCCAAGAGTTGTGGTGCACAGCTTTGGCTAATTTTCCAATGCGCGATTCGATTTCGCTCGCATGATACGGCAATTTCTCCAAGAGGAACAAATAAACCGTTCTTTTCATGCTGTTCGATTAAGTTTAGATAGAATTGGGGTAAGAATATATTTAATACATGTAGATTCCGGTCCTATTTTAATAATATCGCTGCTATTTCGCCGTTTAACAAGATGATGTGGTCGTGTATGGGCGCGTTGACACGTCGCGTTGTTTGCACAGGATCGGAGATTTAATATAACTATATAAGCGCAAATTCCAAAGGCAAACTGTAAGACGAAGCGAATGTATCATGCGGTTTATTTACATGTTTGAACAATTGAACTTCTATACTGCGATATGCTTCTGAATTTCGCGATCGAACATTTAGGTTCGCAAGGCATCTAAATGCGAATATGTATGCGAAACAATACGCGAACTGTATTGTTTATGTTCAGAAGCTCTATATTGAAGACTGGCACGTGCGCCGGAGTTAACGCCAGAACGGCGTCTTGTTTTTCATAATTTCAACAAAACTATATAATTGTATTTCAGTTCCTCCGATGATAATTGTTCCTCCTCAACCAAGAGTTTTCCTTAATGAGTCAAAAAGATTACTGCTGTTTTGTAATGCAAGTGGCGTACCAAAGCCCAAAATACATTGGATCAAGGATGGTGCACTACTTCGTTATACGGGAGATTATTTCAGTATATCTTACGTAGATTACACGGACAAAGGACTGTATACTTGTACCGCTGACAATGGGATACCGCCCAACGTTTCTGCATCGAGTGAGGTCATTATATATTGTAAGTACCTACTGCATTTTTATAGTTGTTAACATGCAGTCACCACTTTCACCTTACCGTCATTTTTACTCCTTCATTATCAGCAACTATGTCCGCCCCCCCCCCCTGGAATATAATCCAGCGCAACAGTCGAGCAGAAAGCGATATAGGCCGCGTGGAAGAATGAGTCCGACAAAACCCCTCATTTAACTCTTACAAATTTCTTCTCTTGACAAATCGTTGTTATATTCAACCTTTTTTTTTTATCGTGTTTAGCCCGTCCTGTTATCACAACAACGTCAGCTACTGACACATTACTAGGCGCAGAATCGGGAGAGGTTGTGAAACTAGTTTGTATTGCTGATGCTTTGCCTGTTTCCAAATTTAAGTGGTTTTCATATCCTGCCATGCAAGAATTGAACGAAAGCATGACAGATATTATCAGTATACAATCATCCAGTGAAACGTCATTAACCATGGAGGTCAGAGCTAGATTCGGTGCGAAGTATTTATGTTATGCGTACAATAATCGTGGAAATGATACTCAAATCTATGAAATTCGTCCTAAAGGTAATTACTTCATCTTGTGTTTTGTATTGTAATGAAGAAAATGTTTCTTCTTACATTGAATAAAATATTCTTAGATTAGCTGGTTAGGGAGCAAAATGTCGATTATAATCCAACTCAATGAACCATATTAGAAAAGGACAATGTCCTAACTTCACTATGAGATAATTCTCATTTTCCCAGTTTCTTCGTCTTCTGCATTTCGCTTGTTTGAAGATCGACGCTGCTATGCGCTGCCCGGCTTTCGCCTTGTTAAAAAATTTGCTGAATTTTTTAACATGGCGGAAGGAGGCTGAATTTTTTAACAAGGTGGAATGCTATTTCAGGCCCACCAGAAGCTCCAATACTTGAAGTAGTGGAAAGTAACATTAAAAATTTCGAAGATAAACTCTCCGTCGTAAGCGCTTTTCTGAGGTGGACACCTGGATACAATGGGGGACAGGCCGTGTGGTACAAGGTTTATTATGGATCACGAGCTGACCAAACAGTGATCAGCGACGATATCGATGATCCATGTAATTGTTTAACAATAGAAAAAAGTCTTGAAGCAAACACAGATTATGTATTTTACGTTCAAGCTCGCAATAAAGATGGAGCGAGTAATAGTAGTAACCACATAAAACTCAGGACTGAAGGTAAACTATGATTTCTATAGTGTAAAGAATAAATTCATGCGTAATCAATTTAGCCATGTAACTTGTGTAGATTTCTTAATTATTGCTAATATATTTTTTCTTCTCCTTCCAGCGTTTTATGGCTCAGGTACGTTCTATGTGTTTTTTTTTAAAACTGTTTTATGCTATATAGCTACTGTATATATGGGAAGATTTCTGGATTAGGATTGAAAAAAAATAGAACAAGAAAATATTTACAAAATTATAAAACTTTCGTTTTGCTATAGCATCGGTAGAACGACTTCACAGAGGAGAGATTGTTAAAGTTTCGTTTGTGATTTACACGAGAGAAAACTTGACAAAGGAAGTTAGATATCGTGAGAAGAAAGATGAAATTTCCTGGGAAACAAGGGCGACAGACCCTGATGTTCAACAACCTCTCATTATTGAAGATTTAGACCCCGAGAAACATTATTTGTTTCAAGTTTTATGGACGGTTGAAAGAAACTCGAAAAAAATTATTCAAATTACTAACGGAGGGGAAGGTATATAAATATAGGCATAAAAATAAACAAATATTTGTAATATTCATGCTAAATTGCAATTTTACTACAATTGTAATGTAGAAATTGAAAATGGGAAAGTGTATTTAATGTAAGTTTTCATTCTTGCAGTGGCACCGTGGAAATCTAACGTAGTCGGTGAGAGAACCGAAAGTACCTTAAGTAAAGAGGAAATAATTGCTGTCATCGCTGGTGTTGGTGGTTTTCTGCTTATTGTTATCCTTGTTTTATTTTTGTGTCTCATTCGAAGACGACAAAAACCAAAACGAGGTAAACATTTCTCAATAGTTTATCCCTTGTTGTGTTCTCTAAGTATCGTAACGTTTTAATTACCGATTTTTTCTTTATTTCAGACGAAACAGTTGTTGTTATGCGACGGTAAATTATAATCATATCTGAAATAGTCCATATTCTTTAGTAGTGATAATCATAATCAAAGAAAATCAGGAACTTACATTCTACTTTCAGGCAAACACAAAATGCTGAAATAGTCACAAGACGCAGTTTGATAGGCTCTGTTGAAGATGATCCCTTTGAATCAGCCTATTATGGAAATCATGAAAAAAAGAAAAAGGCGAGAGGTAGGGGAGTAACTGCCGATAATAGCATAATGCATAATAATATTTCTTTCAAATTCTTCTCATGCTGCCCCCTATCCAAATAGTATAATAATACATTTGAGGTATATATTTGATGTGTATTTTTTAGATAGCTATTATCTTCCTGACTCTGAAGATATGAATACATTCACCCCAGACGAGACAGGAAAAAACCCTGCAGAAAATAGTCAAGCTTACCAGCCATATAAATTTGGCCAGAAATCGCATGATGACGAAAGATCAAGTAGTGATGATGATTCATACAGATACAAGAAACAAAAACAACAATTGTCAGATGAAGAATTATCTTCCGAACCAGGTTATGCTAAAGTCGGGCAGAATGGAAAAATATCACGTGATAATATTGATACACCACGTGATGCACCCCGCGCTAACCCAAACGATGTTTATGCCAAAGTTAATAAAGGACGTAATAACAATCTCCCAATGTCAAATGGACGTAAGTATTAAGTGAAATAGTCGTTTTTTATTACACCGATAGTATTCGTAGATCACGGATTAACATTTGCGTTCCATGGAGTTTTAAACTCGTCTATGATGACATTTTGGTCTCACGAGTGTTTTGAAACTATAAAAAATTTTAATTAAGTTTGTATTTTTTTCGCCTAGGTGGGGCTCCTCCCCCGTATCGACCACGTTCAACAGCAGATGCTCCCCTCCCCCCGTATCCTGATGGTAATTTAGATCTTGATGACCCAGCTGCCGTCCCATTTGACGACCCATTACCTCCTCCTATGCCAGTTTTACAAAATTCACATTCTATACCAGGTATTGTTGAATGTTTCATGTTTGAATATTTTATGGTTAAACAGTGTAATTGATGTTTGGCCTTGAACGAGTACTGTTACTTGGAACCCCTTCCTGAAGTCTGAACCTTCACACCAACTTTGTCGGTGGAAGCAACAGCGAGGAGTAAACCAACAAGAAGTAAACCAAAGATGAAAAATAAAATATTAAGATACGGTCAACGTTACTGCTCGCTCGCAGTTGTGTTGTTAATGCCCCCCCCCCTGTCATATGAGTTGCAACCAGCCCCCATGGTTTGCCCACGTGGTTTGCTCCACGTCGTCACTAAACTGGTTTCCTCGTTAACTTCGGTTATTACATAATTTCATTTAGATTTCATGACGTATATCGTAGAGGCTTCTAAAATTTGTTACTGCTAGTGGTATAATTTATTTTTATGTAAACTTGATTATGGGTTCTGTTCAGAAGGAATTTGGAACGATCGTTACTCTGATGACCCACGTGACTCTGTTGATACGACATTGGAGAGACACAAATCTCCTGTAAGTAATTATTCATATTGATTACTGCATGCTTGAGGGCAAAACAGAGGCTCTAAATTGTTATACATGATTTGTAAGAGCAGCTCAAAAGCAGGTTTATTAAATTATTACCAACAACTATTCCAACAACTGTGCAATGCAGAATATGTGCTCACCAGAGAGAGCCGTATTTACTAAATTCCTCTTTTGATATAAAGATGTTTGACTTTAATCCCTGCCAAATTCGTTTCCTTTGTAGTCCCATTCCAGTCTTGGGGGAAGTAAGCCGTATATAAATGCTCGCGGCAAGTTAGTTCGTCCTGGTTCACGACACAGTTCATCTGAGCATTTTTCTGATTCTGAGCAACGGACCCCGGAACCCGAGGTCCCTACAAGAAGATCGCGTAATGTCAATGTAGACAATGATGAAAGTAATTTGGTCAGTTATCTTGTGTAATTCCAACATTTTTGGGCTGCCTATGGTAATCCTAGTTTTTTTGCCAACCGGCGGCTGTTGCGGTATTTTACTTTATCCAAATACCAGGTGAACAAGGCTACTAATTCTTAAATGGAAAGACCTCATCTTTCCTTTATTGTATCTCAGTCATTTCTGATCAAAATTTGTGAAATCAGTTAAGAGTGAAATCAGAAAAGTGTTTCCTCGTTTAAGGATTTTGTTTTAGACCGTCTCGAAAACATGCTAGGAATGTGTTCTTATCACCATTTTTTAGAATATTATTACATATTTTTAAATACACATTTACTGTAAATATAATTGATATTCGATGGTATAAGTAGGCCTGTTCTTGAAAGAATTTACGTATTTTGTACAAACTTTTTGAGGGATGATTTTTAGATTGTAAAATGTAGTTTCACTAAATTAATTGTATGAAAGAATCTTTTGATGTATTCTACTTAAGTAAGATGTACAAATAATTAAGGATTTACGGTACATAAAAGCTATAATAATATAACAATCGTGATCCCAGGTGTTTGTTTTTTTGCACCTTGTTGTCCAGGTACCTACCTATAAAAAGAATCCACTTAAACATTGAAATTGCAACAACAATCTCGTACACGCAAGGCTAAGCAATAATTCAAATATCTTTTCTTTACTTATGGCTCTGGATACAAGATTTATTCCAATAAAAGCTTCATTTTACAAAGAGAGAGTTCTACCTTTTAACTCATTCACGGTTCATTATCAAACATTTTGCGATGAGCCAATGAAAAACCGCTTTCAAAGGTAAACTCAGGTATTTAGAATCATCTCGGGTAATCGGAATCAGCCGACTACATTTGCAATTTTTTTGCATGATGTTTAAGGTGAGACTAAGAAAGGTATGAAACCTGATGTACTGACTAGGCAATGCTGACTTGGCAACGTCCCACAGACTCACACTTGCAATGTGTCAGCCCTATTTTTAACTGCAACTCGGGATCCGTCATGGCATTAAAATAGAATTTAACACAAATAGTTGTATTTTCGTTCCCCATTGCAAAATTGCTTGCCTCAATGTCGGCTTTTCAGAAAATCAGAAAAAGTAGTTTGAAAGCGCATTTGTCCTTGAACGTGCGCAAATTGCTAACATACAACCTTGTTTCAGAACATTTATAGCTAGGTTACCGTTTTATTGCGAGGTGCAATTATGGTTAACAAGGGATAATAAATTTATTTAACTGCATTTAATACCGTGAAAATGACGAGTTGGAATTTGCCGAACTACACCGAATGACCTTCATTTCCTTCATTTAAATGGATAATGAAACCAAATATGGGCGTTCGGTTGCCATTCCCATTGTGTCGAAGAGGTACTTCCGTTCAGGACGTTGTCATCAGGTCAGCCAAGTTTCAAAAACGGAAGGTGCAGTTAAATGTCAAGCCATAAAACGTTTCAACCTTGGGTTTTAATGTTACTATCGAGTTGCAGTTAATTAGTGTTCCAGGTAAACTTAGTTATGTAACGTTTTCTTGTATCTCTTTTTATAAATATTTCTTGTTTTAACAAGAAAAACTGAAATCTTTCTGGTCATTGTTTACAATATTTTATCAATTGTTCTAACCGTGCCTTTGAACCTGTTTAAACACCAGGTTTAAAGTAATAATACATTTACTTCTTGAGCTAGGCTCTGTCCATCCTTCATGCCATTTCAATTGTAATATATCGGTGTTAATAATATTGAAATATGTCCATGTTAGTAATGTTTTTAAAAAACTAACGCTAAAATATAAAAGGTAGTGATCATACTTAATATAATATTGATAGCCTGATAGGTAATATTTGTCCCATGAATAATTAAGTATTATATAAACGCACACATATGATGCGGTATTTAAGTGTTCATTTCTTTCATTATCTTTTGTAGATTTCTCAGTAAATATGTCCCGTAAAGTGCAAAAATCTTTGGTGCAAAACCTTGTTTATCTGTGTGCAGCAATATATTTGATGATATCCTCAGGTCAGGATAGTATTTACACTAAGCTGTGGACTAAGCTGTCACTAGAAGCTATTACATTACTCAAGTACTGTTGCATGCAAATGTGGAGCATCTGATTGGCTAGTGCTACTAGCTATGTATTCCATTGTGGTTCTGGGAGGAATCTGCAACCCTAATGCATGCCTGTCAGTTGATTAAATCATTCAAAGCTCAGACCTTATTCCCTCCATTATCTGTATGATTGTCCCCATCCTATATATCTCTCATTGTTTTTGTATGTTCCCATCATTCTGAATTGATCTTTCCAATCAGACTTATATTTCTCCTTGTCTGTACTACAAAACTTTCCAGCATGTAATATCTCCTCATCCAGTCTAACTACTTTGATCCCTTCTTGTTACCTGCATGCCTACAGTACCATTCTGCATCTTAATCTGAATTATTGATTTTCTTAACCTAAATTTTTCTGTGCTATGTGCCTATGGCAATCACTAGTATCATTGATCTTCCCAGCCTAGCTTTGGCATGGCACAGCACAGGTATCCTTGCCCAGTTTTAATAGTGTTTAGGCTACCAATTAATACAAAGGTCAAGCACAGATAAAATTAGTATGGCTTCCCATTTTAGCTGTGTCATTTTAGTTTATTAAAGGAGCTTATTAAAGAAGTGGCTTGTAAACTTAGTGGTAATAAGTGGCTAGTAAATTAAGTGGCAAGTAACAGTAAATTTAGTAACTGAACCTTTTTTATCAGGTGTTTATGCAAAAATAGAAGATATAATTGTAAATGTCGGAGATACAGCTACTATGCATTGCAATATGGATAAACCAATATGGGTGAAGAATGGAACAGAATTAAAAAAAACAGCACGAGTGAAGCCATCATCCTCATATTTGCACCTGTTTTGTGTGGAATTATCCGATGGTGGAATTTATGAGTGTAGAAATGAATTGAATGCGTATAAACCAAGACAGTTCAACCTTACTGTTAATAATCCTGGTAAAGTATAATGTAATAAATGTTGAAATGGAAAAGTAACTTATTTTACAACAAAGCTGTTTTAGCATCCTTTATATTAAAAAGTAAAACTCTTATTTATCAACAAACGTTGTATAAATTTCAAACCGAAATTGTTGCCCAAATTTCAAAAAAATTCTCCTGACGATCAAGCCATTTGGTCAAAACGTCGCGAAATTCTTTTGTCTAATTCTACAAGTACTGTTTAATTTGTAAGATATTTTTTGTAGTCGTCAATAGATCTGCTTCAATACTCAATAGATCACATTTTTATACGCTTACTTTTATAACTTACACGCTTAAAATAAGCAGAAACTGAAAGAAGCCATGATGCGTTAATAGCAGCGAACGCCATTTATTTTCAGAAACTCACTCATTTCAACATGCTTTCTCCTCGTTTTAGATAATAAAGAGTTTTTTCAAATTTACAACAAAGAGAAGGATAAGTGTTTGAGCAACATTCTCAGTTCATTACATTTAGAAGATTGCAATAAACATAATTGTAGACAGAAATGGATGCGGGGTGGTAATGGCGCACTCATGAGTGGTTTAGACTTTACCTGCATATCAACAACTGAACCTGTTGTCTCAGGGAAAACTGTTAAACTGGAAAATTGCTTGAATAGAACGACACAAGAATGGAAATGTCATCATGATTTGTTAACGATACCAGGTCATGATTTATATTTAAACTGTGATTCCAAAGAAAATATCGTTTTTTCCTCAATGACTGGACCTGGATCACGATGGGTTAAATATACTACACGTGACAATATCTGTTCTGAAAACAGGAAAGGTAAGGCCTTCCGTTAAATATGTGATGGCAAAAGTAATTTAGTGCTCTAGCTTTTATCAACTATAGTTGCACTAGGCGCTCTTTTTAAGACGACAGGACGATGATTATGGCAATGAGATTCAGGAGACTAACTAGAGGACAAAAGAAGATGTAGTTTCTTAAAAAAATATCAAGGCCAACAATGATTATCTGCCACATTTTCTTAATCTACTTTTTGTCGGGTTTTAAAGCCCTAGAATAATCTCTCTGCACCTCCTCCAATGATTTCCAAAAATATTTTTAAAATTCGCATAAAAATGAGAAAAGAGAAAAAATTCAAATTATCCTGGACTTTTTCTAGAAGTTGCCTCCTGAAAAAGAATTGGACACTGGATTATACGTTAAATCATTAATATTCAAATTGATCTTTTAGTTGTAATTGATCGAACACATGTTATCCTAGCAGAAAGAGGGACTGTCAAAGTGAAATGCAAAGGAATAAACTTTTTTAAACCAACTTACTCTTGGCTAAAGAATGGCGAACATATCAACGGGAAAAGTGGTTTGTCTTTACATATTTACTCCAATGTTTTGTTCTTTCCGTTTGCTGACATCACAAGTTTTGGTAACTACACATGTGTTGTGAAAGATCAATGGGAAACAGCTACTGCCTCGACAATAATTGAGGTTTATAAAGGTAATTTACTGCCATGATAAAGAACTAAAGTGAGCATTATTCCCAAAATACTAATATTTGCGACTTTTTTTTTCAGATCCGTCCATTATTCGACATTCGCTAAATCAAAGTGCATTGTTTGGAAAAGACGTTTGTCTAACTTGTCAAATGTTCGCTAATAAAACAAGTCCTGAAATTATTTGGTCAAAAATGGGGACTCCTATCCCCCAAGGCAACCCAAAATATCAAATAAATCGTGTTAGCACACCTGGAATATATATTAAGAAGTTCTCAACTGAACTTTGTATTAAATCGGTAAATTATGGTGACGCTGGGATATACTCATGTGAAATAAAATACACGTCAAAATTAGCTCAAGCTCAAGGAAAACTACAAGTTATGGGCAAGTGCATATTTTGTACATTCTTGTGTCTTGGTTTGTTTCCAGTGACTAATGAGGAAAATTGTTGATACTTTCACTGTCCTATACTATATTGTTATTCTTGTTGCATGATGATTTCCTCACAACTTTCCTTAGGACTCTGGGTCTTATATCTTATGTTTTTGCTTGGTAACTTTTTGTGTGAATTAGCGTAGATCACATGGTAACTCAAATACAACACATTATTTATTTATTGATTTTTTTTATATTTTAGTCAAACCAGAAGTGACCATTTATATTATTGATGGTTTGTTGGTGTGTAATGCGACTGGCTTCCCCCCGCCAAGTCTTATTTGGTATAAAGACAGTAAATACGTTGAAAAAAGTAAAAAAAACGAAAGATCTTTATCTATTAAAAAGACAATTGGAAATTTCACATGCGTTGCCTTCAACTCAGCTGGAACTTCTTCCCGTTCATTTATACCTACATTTCCAGGTTGGACATTCGTCGTTTTTTATTATTTCTGGGATATCCTTTGAATAATCGCATCAAGCCTGATTTAACTAAATTATATTGCATTTTCAGCTGGAAACAAATCCGATGGGACATCTCATGTGACCCTGATAATTATTTTGTGTGTTGTCGGTGGAATATTATTAGGAATATTGGTTATTTTGTGCGTATGCTTGTTCTGTCGACGAAAGAAAGAAATTGTGAATAATAATTCTGAAGGTGTTTACCATTCAGTTCGTTATACAGCCACGGTACGTTTAACCTTAAACCAGTGTTTCGACATAGAACGTATTTGTGAGTACCAAAGTTAAAGGACAGTTTTCGTAATAGTATTTCTGCTTTGTTTATATGAGATTGTAGATTCAGACAAAGTGACAAACTGCTGAAATGATAATGGGTATTTCTTTTGAAAAGCCTCAAATATTATAATTGTTTTGTCTTGTTTAGCCTGCTCAATCGACTAGTCAATCGGAATATACAACAGTTGATGTTGGAGCTCCTCATCAAAAACCTCACATCTCGTTTAAACCCCGCAAAAATTTAGAGCCTGGACCGAAACAATTCGGACTGAAAGCGAAATATCAAAGTTTGAAACCTCGAGCGAAAGGAGAATGGGAAATTCCTTATGAATGTGTGAAGTTTGATAAGAAACTTGGGGAAGGACAGTTTGGGCAAGTTTGGAAAGCAGATATTCTGGCTAGAAAAGGTTCAAGAACTGTGGCTGTTAAGATGTTACGCGGTACGAAATATTTTACCTGTTTTTTAAATTGTTTCTGCGTGAGACACACATGCACATTCATACAGGGTGTCCCAAAAAAAACGCAACCACTTAAATATGCAAGAATATTAATATTGTTCGGGTTTGCACCATAGTTCGGCTAAAATGACTTTTAGCATTGTAAATGAAGGATTAAGAGCCATTTTCAATTTCCAGAGGTGCTTATCTATTGCACTTTAGAGCTGTATTAATGTTCTGCATATTTAAGTGGTTGCTTTTTTTTGGGACACCCTGTATAGTGTGAGAGAATATTTTTAAAAACGTTTAAAAATTCACGAATTCATATATATATATATCGGAAACATATCTTATTGCAGAGAAGTGCATACCTGTGTCCTGGATCTACGTAGCGATCGTGGGAGGATGAAAGTTTGCACAAAACTAATATTTTGGCCGTAAATTGCTACGCAAACAAAAGATGGCTTCAACTAAAATGATGCTATTTTTTATTGTCATAGTTTTTCATTCGTTTATAGAAAACAACGAATGACAACGCCACGCTGATTATTAAACCGTGTTTTTATTACGTTTAATGTAGAAGGAGCTTCGATTAAAGATCGTAAAGCATTGATTGATGAATTGGAATTCATGAAAACAATGTCGCCTCATCCAAATATTGTTGGCTTGGTTGGTTGCTGTACTAGATCAGGTTCTTATTCTTTTATTTTTGTTCTTTTTCTGGTATTTCAGTTGTAAATTATGATTTGTATATTATCAGTATTTAAAAATGTTTTTGTGGTGTTTCCTGATTATTATTAATTGTTATAAACGCTTCTATTACATAGTAGAAAAGGTAACTTATGATCTTAAATTTTACGGCTGCCAGGCTTCCCCTTCCCGAGGTTTTGACTGGATCGTTCTTTTTTTTAGAGACAGTGATGATTGTAGTAGAATATGTCCCTGGTGGTAATTTAAAGGATTATCTTTTATACAGTCGTGGAAACACTAACGATGTTTATTCCAATCTGGCTCCTTTCAGTGCTACCTTAACATCAAAAGATTTGTTAACATTTGCTTACCAGATTGCGAGAGGAATGAGCTATCTTGAACAAATTAAGGTGAGTTTTTACACTGCACCGCGGGCGCGGGTGCTGCTTTTTCAGTCATTTATTTTTGACTAAGGCTTTTATGCGTGAATGAAACGGCTTCATGTGATTATATTATTTGTCATGACTGTAAATTTGACTTTTTTAGTGTGTTCACCGCGACTTAGCGGCTAGAAATATTTTGGTTGGTGATGATAAGACATGTAAAATTGCAGATTTTGGTCTAGCCAGAGATATCTATGCCGAAAATTACTATCGAAAGACCAATGGTGTAAGTTCAATTACGCTGAATTAACATGGACGTTACGTCTATAGCCTTGTCTGTTTCGCCTCCTTTTCTTACAGTACGTTTAATTAGATTCCAGAGAATCTGCATTTATTCTTGATTAGATGTCTATCAACGTGGATATTTTGAATATTTTTATTTAATTGTTGGAAAAAAGAAAATTCTAATTACGTCACTGAGTAGTTTTCTTTGATTATTATCATTAATAAACTACAATTTCATATAGGGTCGCCTTCCTTTAAGATGGATGGCATACGAATCGATATTTAATGGGATTACAACCAACCAAAGTGACGCGTAAGTTTTTAAACGCTCCTTGTTCCTAAAAAGCCTATCAAATGAAACTAGTTATTATAAGCATTACTTAAGCTGTGGAAAGCGGCTAAGATTTATATTGTGAAATCGTACCGCGTGTAGATCAACCATCATAGATTTAAATCATCTACAAATATTTCCGTGCCTGCCCAGTGAACCCAATGTCAATGATAACGCTGACGATTTTAGGGAAGTGATGAAGCCGATTCCTCTTTCTTGATTTTTTGCGGTAGTAGCATTTCATGCATATGTGTATCCTCAACTGACTGTTTAGGACTTTTTTCAACGAAGAGAGTGTACGAATCCTCACCACTTAATTTTTTTGGCTTATAGGTGGTCATTTGGTGTTGTTCTTTGGGAAATTGTAACACTTGGTAAATATTATATAGCACTTTTCTTTAAATATGATAAATGAAGGGCCTGCATGTGCATGGAATAGAGAATGTGACCAATATATTAATATCTACACACGCTATAAATTCTGTTGTTTAAATCTGTTGTTTAGGTGGAAATCCATACCCAGACCTCAACAGAGACGAGGTTATAGATGGTTTGCAAAGAGGATACAGGATGCCCAAGCCACATCATTGTTCTGATGAAGTGTAAGTTTCAATAATGGATAAAATATTATATTTTTGTATTTCTATTTTCTATATTATACAACAAGCTAAAACAAAAGTCCGCGTGTTTTACCCTAAGCCGCGTCAAACGTTTTTGGTAAGGTATAAGTGTAGGCGTATTATATATTTCAGTGTTTGTATTTAAAACTAGGTACTCTGTGATGTGGGACTGTTGGCAACAAAATCCAGATAAACGTCCGACTTTTGCAGAACTTACTGCGACATTCTTGCGTTTAATTTCTCTTCAGCAGGTAAGAAATGCATTTTATCGCTGAAACCCCATAATTTTTCTCTTTATGATTTTTTCAGTAATGCTTTTATTCCTTTATTATTGCGAAATGATAGCTTTCTTTATTAGTATATATATGTCTTATATTTATGCATGCATCATTTCAAACTTTCTATATAATTCTATATTAGTACGCGTCAATATTAATAGGCCTGGCATGCATTGCCATTGCATGGCATTGAACCATGTGCTTGGTTCAGATATTATTTGATGTGCATGAACGTGTTTCACTGTTTATACAAGAAACACTTTTAGCACTTCTTTAAAGGAAATAAATATTAGAATTGAAAGATGCAAGTAAACTATATAAATTTCAAGTCGAGATTAAATAGTGCAAAATGATCGATCAGGGATTATCTGTCAACTTGCTTTCATGCACATAAACCATGCATTAATGCGCTTATGATATCGCATTGGGAGTTTCATCTAGCTTCGAAATTGATAAACAGTTACTTTTTAAATAAATGCATAATGAATAAACCAGGAAAAAAGTATTGTTCTCTCCTTCCCGTCGCCGCTTGCAGGCTCTTTTTCATAACTTATTTAAAAATGATATTATTAGTATTCTCAGAGTAAACTCCCTTACAAAAATTTCACATAACATTTCATATATGAAATAGGAGTTTCATATATGAAATGACCATTTTCATATATGAAATGAAAAACTTCATATATGAAATTTGATTTTCACATAAGAAAAGTGACTTTCATATATGAATTTTGTTTTTTTAATATTAGTTTTCCTGTGTAAAAAAACAATTCATACATGAAATTTTTGGTTTCTCCAATGAAATAATTTAAATTGTGTATGACGTTCATTTTCACATGTGAAAAGTAAATTTCATATATGAAATGCTATTTTCACATATGAAATTTTGGTTTCACATATGAAATTTTGGTTTCACATATGAAATTTTTGTTTCATATATGAAATTTTAGTTTCACATATGAAATTATCATATGAAATTTTACGTTCACATGTGAAAAATAAATTTCATAATATGAATTGCTACTTTCACATATGAATTTTAATTAATTTTTAATGAAGTTTTCCTATATGTAAAACGATTCGTGCATGAAATTTTGGCGTCTCCAATCAAATAATTTATACCGTGTATGACGTTTATTAGTTTTTACATGTGAAAAGTGAATTTTCATATATGAAGTGCTAATTTCACATATGAAATTTTTGTTTCATTTGTCAAATTTTGGTTTTTCACATATGAATTTTTTTAAATATCATATGAAATTTTACGTTCACGTCTGGAAAAAAAAATTTCATAATATGAATTGCTACTGTCACATATGAATTTATTTATTTTTTTTATATTACGTTTTCCTATAAGTAAAACGATTCATACATGAAATCTTGGCTTCTTTAGTAATAAAATGATTTAAATGGTCACCATTCATGACATTAAATTTCACCTGTACATGTGAAAAATAAATTTCATTTATGAAATGCCAGCTTCACATGTGAAATTTGTTTCACATATGAATAATTAAAAGCTGATACATATGAAATTTCACCTTCACATGTGAAAAGTAAATTTCATAAATATGAAATTTCTTTCACACGTGAGATTGTAAAAAGTTCATAAATTATCAGTTTTCATTTTCATAACATTTTTGCGTATTTTAACATATTACCCATCTGGGCTTTGATGTAAAAGGAATTTGGTTACCTAGGAAATTACTTTCGAGCGCAAAGCTGTTTATGAAATGCCTTGGTCGCTACAGGGACGTTTATACAAGAAGCGGGCAACACAAGTTGTATCTCAAAATTCGTGATGCAGTTGCATCTCAAAATTCTTAATTGGACTGTCAAACGTCTTTACTGGTCAAATCCCACTAAAGCCTGTAGTGTTCTTATATTTATTTTTAAAGGGCTATCTTTAAAATAGGGAATGGGGAATGCGGGAATGGGGGAATGCGGGAATGGGGGAATGCGGGAATGGGGGAATGCGGGAATGGGGGAATGCGGGAATGGGGGAATGCGGGAATGGGGGAATGGGGGAATGCGGGAATGGGGAAACGCGAGAATGGGGGAATGCGGGAATAAGGGAATGGGGGAATAAGGGAATGGGGGAATAAGGGAATGGGGGAATAGGGGGATGAGGGAATGAGGGGATGGGGGAATAAGGGAATGGGGGAATAAGGGAATGCAGGAATGGGGGAATAAGGGAATGGGGGAATAAGGGAATGGGGGGATAAGGGAATGGGGGAATAAGGGAATGGGGGGATAAGGGAATAAAGGAATGGGAGAATAAGGGAATGGGGGAATAGGGGAATAAGGGAATGGGGGAATAAAGGAATGTAGGAATGGGGGAATAAGGCAATGGGGGAATAAGGGAACGCAGGAATGGGGGAATAAGGGAATGGGGGAATAAGGGAATGGGGGAATAAAGGAATGCAGGAATAGGGGAATAAGGGAATGCAGGAATGGGGGAAAAAGGGAATGCAGGAATGGGGCAATAAGAGAATGGGGTAACCGGTGAACAAGTGAGCAGGAGAACCGAGAAATGGGGGAACAGGGGGATGGGGGAACCAGGGAACAGGATAAAGGTGGAACTATGGACTCATTGAACAGCTAAACTAATAGTAACAGTCTTGAGCCTGAAAGGAACAATTGTTAGTATATATTAGGCGTGTATACAGTATTATGGCTCTCTGCATCTAGGATGCTACTTGCAAATATATTTATTGACAATTATTGTTATTATTAAATGCCAACCTGGCAATTAAGTGTTTTAAAATTGTTATTGTGAAACTCAGGCACTCTTGTATTAGATTTTACCAAAGTGAAAAATCAAAATATACTTGCCTTTCAGTAAAAATTAAAACTATAATTAAGATAATGGTATTGTTGTGTGCTAGTGTGTTCATTTAGTTGGCAAGAAACTGTTCTGTGTATATAATTTCCATGTATGTTTGCATTTGCTTTCAACAAAATCTATAAATGAACCCACTGACCCTTAATAACTAAGGACCGTCATCCTTTATTAGCGGGTTGGGGGCTGAAGAGAAAAGGGTAGGGTAACTGCATAAAATGATGTGTTATTAACAATATAAATCCTTTCATCATTAAAATCTGAGACCAGGCATGAACTAGCTGTACAATCCTAAATCATTATACATCAAGTGACTGACATCAGCAATATATAGTCAACATATTGGCTCTTTCCCAATCAGCATACAAAGCTTAAAATCTTATAAAATCTTAATGAGTCTCAGTCAGTCCTTGGTAGCTAGGAAGTCTCAGGCCTATAGCTAATTATATGAAAACATTATATCAGAAAGTATTTTCCCTATATATACTATTTAAATCTATAGCTTTTTCAAAATTAATAGTATATTTAGAGTGTTTTACTCCACTGATTTTAGACAACAAACTTTTTGGGAAACATATAATTATGATGAATATATTTTGTTGAAAGAAACATTTTTGGTTACAGTGAAACAACAATGTGCATTTTGTGAATAACTTGGTAATTATGTAAATAAGCAATGTTTGCACTGTATAATTTGGCATGCAAACATTGCAATACTGAATACTATGTATGTATATTACCTTTTTATGACATTTATTGGAATACATATAAATACTTCCTGTACTACAATAAATATCTAAATGCCCTACTTGATTATATACTTGATTATATATTTTCTGATATAATGTTTTCATATAACTACCAAGGAATGACTGAGATTCATTAAATATTTTATAAGATTTTAAGCTTTGTATGCTGATTAGGAAAGAGCCAATATGTTGACTATATATTGCTGATGTCAGTTACTTGATGCATAATGATTTAGGATTGTACAGCTAGGCTCAAGATTGTTACTATTAGTTTAGCTGCTCAATGAGTCCATAGTTATACCTTTACCCTGTTCCCTGGTTCCCCCATTGCCTGGTTCCCCCATTGCCTGGTTCTCCCACTCACTCGTTCACCGGTTTCACTGTTCACCTTATTCCCCCATTCCTGTGTTCCCTTATTCCTGCATTCCCTTATTCCCCCATTCCCCCATTCCTGCATTCCCTTATTCCCCCATTCCCTTATTTCCCCATCCCCTCATTCCCCCATCCCCTCATTCCCTCATCCCCCCATTCCCTTATCCCCCCATTCCCTTATTCCCCCATTCCCTTATTCCTCCATTCCCTTATTCCCCCATTCTCTTATTCCCCCATTCCCTTATTCCCCCATTCCTACATTTCCTTATTCCCCCATTCCCTTATTCCCCCATTCCCTTATTCCCCCATTCCTACATTTCCTTATTCCCCTATTCCCTTATTCTCCCATTCCCTTATTCCCCCATTCCCTTATTCCCCCATTCCCTTATTCCCCCATTCCTGCGTTCCCTTATTCCCCCATTGCCTTATTCCCCCATTCCCTTATTCCCCCATTCCCTTTATTCCCCCATTCCTTACTCCCCCATTCCTTATTCCCCCATTCCCTTATTCCCCCATTCCTGCATTCCCTTATCCCCCCATTCCCTTATTCCCCATCCCCTCATCCCCCTATTCCCCCATTCCCTTATTCCCCCATTCCTACATTTCCTTATTCCCCTATTCCCTTATTCTCCCATTCCCTTATTCCCCCATTCCCTTATTCCCCCATTCCTGCGTTCCCTTATTCCCCCATTGCCTTATTCCCCCATTCCTACATTCCCTTATTCCCCCATTCCCTTTATTCCCCCATTCCTTACTCCCCCATTCCTTATTCCCCCATTCCCTTATTCCCCCATTCCTGCATTCCCTTATCCCCACATTCCCTTATTCCCCCATCCCCTCATTCCCCCATCCCCTCATCCCCCTATTCCCCATTCCCTTATTCTCCCATTCCCTTATTCCCCCATTCCCTTATTCCCCCATTCCCTTATTCCCCCATTCCCGCATTGCCCCATTCCCGCATTCCCGCATTCCCCCATTCCCGCATTCCCCCATTCCCGCATTCCCCCATTCCCGCATTCCCCCATTCCCGCATTCCCCCATTCCCGCATTGCCCCATTCCCGCATTCCCCCATTCCCGCATTCCCGCATTCCCGCATTCCCGCATTCCCCATTCCCCCATTCCCGCATTCCCCCATTCCCGCATTCCCCCATTCCCGCATTCCCCCATTCCCCCATTCCCGCATTCCCGCATTCCCCATTCCCTATTTTAAAGATAGCCATTTTTAAAGCGCCTGGGAGCGAGGATGACCCGATTGCTACCCGAAGAGTCCTCGATCGGCTTAGTCGGCATTGCTCGTAAACGAACCGTGCTTCGGAAGAACGTCTCATATTACATCACGTCTCAAACTTTCTGCTGGCTGTCGTAAATATGGTTTGGGAAACTTGTTTTAGCGTAAAAATTTAATATATATCCGTGTGGAATAGTCCAAATATAGATATAAATGGGATATGTGGTTAAGCTGTGGTTAAGCTGTGTTCATGTGGTCTATTAAAGAATGGTTTTAAAGAAATTGTCGGGTATGTTATTGTTTGTGTTGATCAGCTTGACTTGATCTTATATACACATTATATAAAATCACGGTAATCACAGATAAATCACGGGCAATTTGTTCAATTTATATTGATTACTCTTAATCCTTTTTCATATAACAGTAATATGAAAATACGAGGGAATTTATATTGTTCCTTATGACTTATGTTATTTTTTACACATGAAATTATTGATGGGAAAGCCATGTCTTATCTGAGTCAGACTCAGGCTGACTCAAAATCATTACAGTCATCAATCACCAGGAATAACAATCAGTGGAATAAGATTTTTAAAATTTTGTTGTTTTCAATTAGCTGAAAATTAAGATTTGTTCACAATGAACTGACCAGAGTGCTGTTGTTGCAAAATAATGCTGCGAATAATGTATTGGTCATTCATTTTTTTTTTTTTACATTGACCTAATAGCTGCATGATCAGGTAATTGAACTTTACAAGAACTTTGGTCTTTCAAAGATAGACTTGTGTCCATTGCACATCATGGCATATTGAATGAATGCTAATAACATATTGACAAAATCTGTAAGAACTAGTATACAAATACATTGTATAATAGTAACACAATAATTTTTTTTTGCTCTTAGTTGATGCCCACATCACCTGCTTGGGTTGAAGTGAACCAAGCCAAAAATGAATAAAAATGGGCAAATATTCTGTTGGCAGCCATTGAGTTAGAAACACACTAGGAATCATCAGTCTTCGGCTGGCAAGGGAAATAAAGACAAACAATTTGATCTGGCTAAATGATAAAAGGTATGTATATCCGTTTTTTATATTTATAATATGATTAATAGCAACAGGCATGATTTTTCCTTAGCCGTAGAAGCTTTATATACTAAAGTTGTGATAAAGCTGGTAAAAATTTGTGTAGCTAGGAATAGTCTTGTATGATGAAATTAGTTTATAATAATTTTGAAAGTGAGATAACCTAAGAGCATTTGAATAAACTGATATATTTACTTTTTATTAGAATGTGTAAGGCAGAACAGCAAAGATAGTGAAAAGGAAAGCTATGTGCAAACAGATGAAGGATGAAATCATGAAAAAATGCCATGGAAAGGAAAAATAATAATTGAACTTGATAAGTGTTCTTCTCTAAATGTTAGCCAAATTGTTTTTTTTAATTGTGTATTTTAATTGTGTATGTAAATATGTGTATGTATTTAATATGATTAACTTTTGTATTTAGATTTTTATTGTATAAAACCTCTTAAGTTTTAATCCAATAAATGTTCAATCCATACATTGAAATTCACTCATGCAGCCATTTTATTATCTTCTGACTATTTCATATGTGAAACATTTCATTTTTGAAATCATTTCATATATGAAATATTCTTGGGTAAAAATCATATATATGAAATGATTTCACATGTGAAACTATTTCACATGTGAAATTTTCATATATGAAGTGTTTCAATTCCACACAAGGTTTCATATATGAAATATTTCACATATGAAACAATTTCACATGTGAAATTTTCATATATGAAACAATTTCACATGTGAAATTTTCATATATGAAACAATTTCACATGTGAAATTTTCATATATGAAGTGTTTCAATTCCACATAAGGTTTCATATATGAAATATTTCATATGTGAAATGGTTATGTGAAATTTTTGTAAGGGCTTGGTTTCGTTTCTCTTTGAAAAGACGAAAAGTCAGAATTACAAAATATTCTGGGCCCTCTTCCTCACCACACCAGCATCTTACATGTTTACGCTTTTTAGTTGCCCGTTTATTATGTTCTGTTGTCTTTTAGAATTTTATCAGTACCGAGAGTTTTGGTGATGATGATTATGTAAACGTAGGTAGTTATGAAGAGACTGCAGATGAATGATTCTTACGTATACACGATTTTTCCCATAAAATACATGCACGATTTAATTAGAAAGAATGTAAAACATTGCACGCACGCACTTGAACATCCACATTTTACATAAGCCAAGGGTTTTAATTTAGTTATCGATAAAAGTAAGAGATTGTATTCCATGGTTCATAAGTTTACAGAATTCGTCCTGCATGGTCACCCTTTTACCGAGAATATTTACGGTGACATGAAGTAAAGCTCAATTTGAAATATGGTGCATGCATGGAGACGTATAGTGTTGTCTTTAAGGAATAAAAAACACACTAAGTTTGCACTATAATAAAAAAATTGCATATTTTTTTAAATAATGATCTTTTTAGGATGTGATATATTAGTTAATGTATATATATATGGGAGAATATTCTATACATCTTTTTTTAATACGGGGATAAATAATATTGTTTTAAATATAAAATATGTGATATTTTACATTGTTGTTTTTATTTGGTACAGACCTGAGTGGTATACTTAAATGCATGGATATACTTAAAAATATTTTATTTAATTTTACTGTAACTACTTTGCATGTATTCTAGGCGTAGGAAAAATGTACTTGCACGACGAACACTTGCCTCTGAATCGTGTTTATATACTTCAAGTCTATAAGCTTCGACGATACCTACAGGGCAGTTGAAATGGGCATGCGCCATGTGCTGCTCCAGTTATTCGTAATTTTTAAATCCATGCATGACCTTTCGAACTTCGTATAGTCGCAAATTTTTTATTTGCTTGCTTAGCGATTGCAATCCAATGCTACTAAAGCCTCATTTTCAAATGTCGCAGGTGATAATAATAAAAAAGCTTTTAATAATGCAATAATATTTCGATTCTGTCGACGGTCTTCTCTGGGATGGTCCGTCACCTCCGAGGTGATCGGTCATCTCCGAGGTGATCGGTCATCTCCGAGGTGATCGGTCATCTCCGAGGTAAATAGCAGTGAATAGAGATAATTCTCACGTACTGGGGTCGAGGGCCTGTGCGATCAGTGAACTGGGGAAATGTAGTTCGCTATTGGTGACTGATATATATAGTATATAGCTTACTTTTAATTTGGATTTCCTAACTTTACGAAAATATTTTGGACAATTAATTGTATATATATCAAATTATCTATTTAAATTGTAAAGATATCTCACATCCTTTATTCAGCTTATAGCAACAATATAGGCCTTTTTATAACGATTCTGTAAGTTCGAAAACATTTCAATTCTGTGCATACAATAGACGTGCATGAATATCTAATTATTATCCTCATTGACTAACAAAAGGAAAAGCGGAAATTAGCGGTCTCAGTGACGTATGTTTGTATATTTTGTTTATGATTGCTCAGTCTTAGATATGTATTCATATTCAAATGCTATTCGCTCTAACACGAGAATATCAGCCAAGAAACAGTTACTTAGCCAGGTATGACAATTTTCATTAGAATATTACTTATATTATTCTATTAGGTTTTACTCGTAAATGCGTAGAGCTGGCCATGATAAGCATTAATTCAACCGAGTTAGGTATAAACCTCGCGGTCTATTTATTCGATGATATATTTTTTTCAAAAGTAGTTGTAAAATTGTAAGGAATATGATTTGGAAAGGTGTTCCAATATTTTCATCGTATGATGCTGTTGTTATTGCATATGTAAGTGTCACTCGACTTTAAGAAGTTTTTATACAAACATGATTTTTTGACTTGGAAATAAAGAGTCCTTTGGCGTTCCTAATATTGGCTTTACCAGCCTGACCTATTGTACACTTGTTTGATGTTGAGCATTATATCTCAATATTCATCATCGTTTATCCCAGTTCGTACACGCTATTCCGATTTTATTTCATAGTGAATGGTCATATCAATGATATACTGGCTCGTTTACTTCATGAGTATGTGCGTAAGAAAGACATGTAGATATATTGTAGCGAATGAAAAAAGAATATTGTATCCCCATCCGGTGGTTAGAAAATTTTATAAATTGAAAGTAAAATTTGACAAATTGAAAGTAGAACTTTTACCTGTCTGACTCGCTAATGTAACGTGTGTTCAGATGACAAAAGACCACCAGCAACAGCTGGCGTTCCCAGACAGTTTGTGTACACACGGTACGCAAGAAGACATGAAATGAGTTTCTTTGTGAATTTGTTTATTCCAGCTCTTTTTGTCTTTTATAAAAATTCCACCAATAACAACCATGCATGCATGGCTCCTTGATTACTCAGAAAACTCGGTCTAAAGTTCATTCTGTTTTACTTAAAATGAACATGCAATCTTTCCTAAACCATCAATATTTCAAATATCAAAATTTCATGCGACAACTTCGTTACCAATCTGAAATATCCGAGAATTCGGACAAATGAAACAAGTTTTGATAAATAATTATTATGCAGCCGCGTGAATGAAATATGCCATGCAGAAATGGCTGGAATAGTAGCTAGATACCATTATACTTCCGTCGTACCGTTTATAAGTTTGCAAAGGTTTCAGAGTTAGGTGGCAATATATTCTTACCATGAATATTCCTCTTCGAATATTTCTTCGAAAGCGACAGTCACTATATCATTTATCAACATTTCTTAGGCACACAGATTAAAAAGTTTTTGGGGTGATGCAGCCCAACGCCTGCCGAACATTTCCTATATATAACCATTCATCTATATATACAGTTGATTCGGAAAATCGTCATTCGTTAACGTTTTTTAAATATTTAAATTGTTTGGCTGCCCATTCTCTGTCATGACACACGCAACTGATTGATGTTATCAAGAAGGTTAAATGGTGGAAATTTTGCCTGTGTATAATAATAGCTACATGCATACCTTCAGAGAGTTGTCTCCTGATCAAAGGGACAAAATTTTGCCGGGTAATATAGTGATTAGTGAATAAGTTTTCCTTGACAAGTTTTCTTGACCAGTTCACTTGCTGTTGTGTATGACGAACAAGTTTTCGTTGAAAAGTTTATTTGCTCGTGCATGTGAACGCGAAAAATTTGACAAATTTTACGATAATAGGTATGAGTATACGTCGAGTATATTTTACGATAATATGAGCCATGATAAAATTCCGGAGTATACGACCGAATCTCAAAACCAACAGAAATTGAAAAACTTCAAAAAACCTGCTCGATTGGCTCGAAGATTGTTGCGGTGTTTCCTACTGCGCAATTCCTTGTCAAGTTTTCGTGGACGGCCGTACACACGAGCATTTTTCCTTGTTGAAAAGCTGGCACACAAAGCTCCTTGTCAAGGAAAACTTGCCCGTCTGTACGTGATGGCTTAAATTTTCATTAGATTTGTTTAATGATAATAACCAGTTTTAAACCAATATACTGCAAGATCATATTAAATCTTCGACTTTACCCTCCACGATACCTGCATAAGCCTATATAAGTTGCTAAGCGCCTTATACAAGGGGACGTGGGAAGGTTATTTGAAATGAAAACCATGTTAAGTATAATATAGTTTACATATATAACTCATATATACATGCATGTCATATTGTATTCGGTGGGCAAGGATCAATATATTTAAACTGGCACAAACGTTAAAGCAGACTTATAGCCTATATATAGGTGTGGCTTGCTTCAAGGGGCTTACTTCCAAGAAAATCAGAATATCTTCCTTTGAAAAAGGTTCGATAATTGCCCGTAATATAAGGAAATCTTTTTTACTTTCGACCTAATTAAGACTCCTGGCATATTATGAACGTCAAACAATTGTAGTGGCGTTCTTTCGACGTCGCTGCTTGATTGTATGGGAATGGGATGTAGTAATATCTGTTACAAATACATTCATATACATGCATGCATGCGTATATTGATTGTTATCGACCCTATAGTATGGAAATTTTCTGTTTAGAATAGCAAATTAGGTCTGGCTCATTACCATCTGTATGTCGAATTTGGCTGTTTAGAAATATAAATGTTTTTATTGAATATACATATAGCTATAACATAAAAAAAGACGTTGTGGCAGTGTGACATCTTTCTACTCAGTACCTTCATGCACGGTCATCATGTCACATGCACTGAATGTTTTAATTAGTTACATTTGTTGTTACCGACGAGTCATGAGGACGTGGAGTCGCAAGGAAGCTATATAATATCTTGGTCAATGACAATGGGCCAAATGTTTAACTTTGAACGTATTCTTTGTTCTTTATATGGCATGCATGTTGAGAAGCTTCCTGTCAGTTCAATCGTACAAAACAATTATGTCGTTAAAAAAGTTGTGTGTTTAGGTAAATCGATTGTTTACCATCTAAATACATTCAATGCTTTTCCCTTGTGTCTCTCCGCATGTGTTGCAAGACGGTAAATATATTCCTCTATCTCAGTAACTGTGTCATTGTTGTCCATGCTTTCGGATTTTACACAATCTCAATATGTGTCTTTCAATTAATTAATATTAGTTTCTTTCTTGAATTAGGGAAATACTCAGTTGACTATAAAGAAACTTGATCTCAGCTTATCTGTCATCATTCACTGCTATAAACCATCGTGTGGTTGGGCATGTTCAAACGTGCATGACTCTCAACTCAACAAGGTAGTCTCAAGTAAACGTGGATTTACCAGCTTGTGTAAATAAATTCAAATGCCACCTGTTATAATGCAGCATCGTATAGTTTACTTTCATATGAGATGAAGTGATGGCTGTGTCAAGCCCAGTTTCATACTTAAACAGTCTGTGTGTAACCGCAGTTTGACGATATCATGCGTACTACTCTACACGGTAGCCAAATGAACGAGTTCCTGAGGTCGCAAGATAATATGAAGTGTTGAGAAGCTGACATCAACATGATTCTGGTGGAGCTGTTTCTCTTGATGCTGTTTACAAAAGATTTTGCTCTTGTACATTCAGGTATGATCGAAAATTATATATATTTATCAACAGTTTATATAATCATCGTTTGAGCGTGAGTCTAAGCGTCAATTTATACTTTCTCGTCTGACAAAGATTGTTGTATTTTTACATGCATGCAGGGATCAAAATAGATATATTGATCGCTGAGTGTTTGCCTGCGTTTTCCAAAGAACTGGCTAAATAATTATATAGTGCAATTATTTGCAAAGAATAATATAACTATACTACCGTCGTATATGATCTGGTCAGATGTGGATCACTCGTCGCATATCACGTTCTCAAAGATAATGACACGGAAAATTCTTTTTAGTCTAGGTTTTAAATCCATGTACCGGCCCAATATCGTAAAATTCTATCTATAGTAAGCAGTGAGTGACTAGTGTTGAGGTGTTAATATATTGCAAGGAGAGTTTTATTCTTGTTTCGACAATTTAAGGTTCGTTTTATAGCAATAATATAATTATAGGTAACTTTCGTCAAAACGTGTGCAGTACTTTGTATATGACACTGACATGCAGTTTCTGGCTATGGCAAAAAATGCCAATATATGGATATATATGAGGTATATAGTATCTTTGAGATTATTATTTTATAGCTTTCGATATCCGACAATTTGTGTTTTCAAGAGAAATTTCGTTTTAAAATTTGAAATTCAGTTCTTGTTTGTCATCTAATCTTGATTGATCGTGGTTTATGCCGCCGCGTCGTTTCAATGAACTTCTTGCGTGTCCTAGGACCCAGCTAGGGTCTTGTTCTGACTATTTATTTCAGTCCTGAAAAAGTAAAGCGTTCGTAAGTATTTCAGACAATGTACAATATAATGTTCATACTGTCTATAGTTTCAAAAAGACAATATTTATCAAAGACAATTCGAAAATACAAATGAAAATCGTGACAATATGTATATAAGGCATGGTTCGCCAGTGCATGCATGCATGTTTCTTTATATGTCTATTTAAACCAAAACAACGTAACTATTATTTTGCGCTTTTGCAATAAAACTCGAGATAAAACTGGTTTGACAGTAAGATTAATAGCCTCAGATGATATCATCTGTGCATTCCACACGAAGGCAGGATATTAATATTTCACAGATAAACATATAAAATATTTAAACGTATTAATTTTAAACCTCAACTTTCCAGTTGACTTTATTGCAGATTTTGTTTTAAGAGTTTAATTATCGTCGGTAGTGACTGAATAAGTGGAGAAATGTCTCATTATACATAATAATCAAGAAGTTCTCATGCATGCAATAGCGGTAACCAGGAAACAATATCATTCTTAATGGCATGCATGATATTTTTAGCTATAGGAACTATAGGAAACATAAGATTAACAATTCTGGTTTTTCAACATTTACTTTCCTAATTTTTAAATTGTGTAAAACTAGCACTGAGAAAGAATAGTATTTTACGTGATTCATCGTGATTCACTCATTTTTTTCGGTATTAATTAATAAATTGTATTAATGTTGCTCTTTAATTATTTAAACATGCTCAGATCATTATTATTTATGACACAGATATATTTCACGACATATTCATGACAAAATATGCATCTTCGTCTTCAGAAACAAAAGTTCTCTCTCTCTCTTATTCATTAATAAAGAAACTTTAATAATAGTTCCAAGATTCATTCATAGACTTTCACAAGTGTCTTTGTATAGCTGCATGCGATCATAACATACAATACGATAATACATATATTACACATCAATAAATGACAACTGATGGAACTATATGGAAGAGTTTATTTAAAAATACGTAGATCATTATAACTTCATGTCTGCATGGATGTATCGTTGAAAATCTGCAGGTTGGGCCTGTAGCCTTGATTGACAATTTCCACCAAATCGAAATTGTATATTTTTAAGGCAGGCAACGATATTTGTTGTTCACTCATGGCTCAGCCAATTTGATATACGTTTTCATTTTGCAGCTGAATCAGCTGCTCCTCTGCAGTTCACAGAAGAACCCTCAGATATTCAATTTTCAAGCAAGACCTCAGCGCACCTTCACTGTAGTGCTGTAGCTACTTCAAGTTATGCTAGTGACAATCAGATCTTAATATCATGGCGTTTTGGAAATGGTTCATTGGTTGGAAACATACCAGACATCCTGCAAACTCTTCCTAACGGAACATTGTTGTTTAAACCGTTTAAGATTCTAGTTCCCGGTGTTCATCGTGCAAAATTTCAATGTTTGGCTAACCTAACACTAAATAACCAGGCGATATTGAGTAGACCAGCATTGGTTCATGGAGGTATGGTTTGTCGTTCCTTTTCTTCTGTCCAGTGGCAATCTAAGCAAAATCATGTTCGTTTTTTTACGACTCTTATTTTTACTGAATTTTTAGTTATCGTAAAATCGTTTCGAGTTTCGGTGGCAGATCAGTATGTATACGGAGCTGGGGAGACAGCAACATTCACCTGTCTTTACCCACCTGATGTTTCCTCGTATGTTCAAATCAGAAGCTGGTTTGCAGATAGGGAAAAGACCAAACCATCTCAAAATCTTGTTATTCATGATGTACAAAGAGAACACTCTACTAAATTGTATTATTGTATAGTTGTAAATATTCTTACCAAGGAAATCGTGGCCAGTAATGTCGCAAGGCTCTTCATAAAAGACGCATCAGGTAAAAATTTGTATGCTATACGCAAAGTACTCAGCTTCAGTACTTGCATGACTATTCACCACTTTCACAATGACACGAATTCAAATAATAATAAGGACCTGTTTGACTAATAACTGATTTGTAACAAAATTTTGAGTCATGGCTATATCCAGCTATGAAAAAAAAGCTCAGTCCAGCTGACTAACTCATGTAAAACGCAGATTGTTTACAAAGGTCTATACAGTAGTCAGTATATCTTGGGCTTTCACCGTTATCTAGCTGTTATCAATTTTAACTGTTTGTTCTGATCCAATCAAAGCATTTTTCTACTCACAGCTTTATTTTGTTCCATTTAGACGCTCAAAACGTTCCTTTTAAGTTTAATATTATCCCAGATGCAGACATGACAGCTGTACAAAATCAAATGGTATTATTCCAATGTTTGGCATCTCGAACAAGAAACGTTGAATATGTATGGAAACATAACAATAAGAAAATAAATTTTGATAGTCGTTATTCTATGGTCAATAGTCGCTCTCTGAGGATTATAAAAACGATTGTGAAAGACAGCGGTAAATATACATGCATTGCCCGAGACAAATCCACGAATGAAGAAATTTCAGTCAATTCCACTCTTCTTGTTCGAGGTAACCTGTGTTTTTTTTTGCTTAAAAATCAGCTGTTTTTACGAAGTATTTCCTTTTCCTTTTCGTCAGCAATACATGAGAAAATAGTGCTTTCAATCTCTATTGTATCCAACATCTCAACGTTTGTAAAACTTTTGGTTTCTCGTGTAACTGTAACTATTCACGGTTTAATTGACTTCACCAATAATCATCTTGAATGCCAACTGAGAAATTTATCAAATATGCAACTATAGTTGGTAATTTTCGAACGTGAATGCAACTTCTCGTTAGTGATATACGTCCTATTTTTAGTTCCTCTTGTGTTTCTTACTGGACCGTCAAAAATCTGTAAAACCTACCTTGTGAATGCGACATTTCCATGCGAAGTTGCTGGCTACCCTCCACCAAAGATTACTTGGTATAAGAATGCGAAGGAAATCACTAAGAAAAACAACTACAATGCTGTGAGAAAAGGAGACGATTTAATTATTACATCAGTTTGGGGAAAAAACGAAGGAATTTATCAATGTATTGCTAGTAATGGCCTCGAAACCATCCATCGAGCTGCCTCGCTAATTGTCGGAGGTTGGTAAAATATTAGATTTTTATATTCTGATGAGTTTTGCTATAATCAATATTATATGTGGACGAGTTTTTTGCTTGAATCTTCAGTTCTGTTCAGTCAGTTTTTTTGTTAAACCAGCTGAAGCGCCAAGAATAACAGAATCATTTAAGGCAGAAAACGTCACTCTTTACGCAAAACTTGACATTTCCTGCAAAGCAACAGGCGGCAAAGAACAAGCGAAATTATTCTGGTATCGAGATGGTATCCTGATTAAGAAGTCATCAGATCGTCGCATACATTTAAAACATTATAATGACTTGTGGACATTGCAGATAAAAAATGTAACTGCGGCTGATAGTGGCATGTACAAATGTAAAGCTATGAACAGAGCTGGCTCAAACTTTAGCGAGGCAAGAATTCTAGTTAAAGGTACAGGCGACTATATTAAGTTAATTATGTCAAAAATTTACCTGTTATGGAAAATGAATTTTCCAAGTTGTAATAATTTCCGGCGAGATTAAAACACTGAAATAGATAATGAGTTCGTACACATCCGCCAAATAGAATGATTTCCTTATTCAGGCCCAGCGAAAGTGATCTATGTCCCAAAAAATGTCATTGGACTGTCTGGAAAGGACGTGAGCATCACGTGCAGAGCAAATGGTTTCCCACGGGCTGAAATAGTGTGGTTTGATAACAATGGTGGTGTTGCACCTCAAGGTTTTCGACAGGAGGTCGTATCAATAAAAGACGGTGAAAGTACTTTGACGATCAAAGGATTGCAGCAGGGACATGATAATGGACAATATACATGTAAAGCCAGCAGTAAACTAGGATCTCCTGATTATGCCAGTGTTAATCTATCTGTTTATGGTATGTTTACCTTTATGACTAGTGTCGTGCTACTGTTAATATTTCTTTCAATTCCATACCGTTTTGCAATCGAGTTCTGTATCTATAATCTTTAATTCGTCGTATAGTTTTGCTGTCAAGCATAAAATATATCTTATGTATCACAATGTAATATTCACTTCCAGTCTTGCTTAACAGCCCGCGGCTGGCCGGGGTGTGTACAGAAATCAAAATATTTCTTAAAAAAACACGATAAACTGAATAATGTTTTCTAATTATGGTTATAAAAATCTAGAAAGGTTTTTGTTAAATGTTCAATATACTATTCATTAGGCGCCCCACAGGAGTCGTACAGGCTTCACATTATGGATGAAGGCCTTTCGAAACTGAATTTTTTATGCAGTGACCGTTGTATCAAATGGACAAAAAATGGTAAAATAGTAAAGGAATCGGCCAGAACTACCGTTAAAAGAATTGGTGATATATGTTTATTGCGGCTTAATGGTATATCGATGAGTGAGGCGGGAAATTACACCTGTCATAAACAAACGGAATATGGTATTCACAAAGAAACTCAAGAGATACTCGTAATAAGTAAGTCTTTATTTCGCCATGTGTAGTCAAACTGTTGAAAACCTTCATTTTTCTCATCTACAATGATTTTTTTTCCAGCTCGGCCGCGTTTCATCAATCCTCACAGTCCTAACACAACTGACGTCTTAGAACATAAAAACGCCCAACTGGCATGTTATGGAGCAGGATTTCCAACACCAAGGACAATATGGCGACGTTTAGAAAGAGGAAGCTATGAGAAAGTAAAGGATTCGTCTCGTTTTGTCTTGACAAATAATGGCTCTTTGACTATCTTGAACGCAAGTGCTGAAGATGAAACATATTACTCGTGTGAGATCAAAAATGCTCATACCTTTAGTCCTCATTTAACAATTAAACTGAATGTTAACGGTGAGTTTCCCATGCACGTAACAAAAAGAAACGTTTATATTATATATCCTACTAGACATAAAATTACAGAACTTCTTCGTGTACTTACCCCGTTTATGATGCATAACCACCAGAAAGACATGACACATTCAAATGATGATCAAACAACAATCAGCATTGCACGTATAGGCTGTAGCTGTTGTTTAGTACGCCTTTTTTCTTATACATTTAGTTCCAGCAAGAATTGTTAACTGGATAAGCACAGTTTTGGTTGATGCAGGAAATATCACCAGACTTACTTGCGAAGTTACCGGAGACAAGATGCTCAATTTTACCTGGATAAAAGACAGACGGAAAATTTTAAGAAGTTCGAATATTATCATTGAACAATATCAAAAAGAATCTAAATCTAGTTTAACCATTTTGTCGACGGCTGCTACATATCGCGGGAAATATATGTGTAAAGTTGCCAATTCCTTTGGAAAAGACGAAAAAACGTTGACATTGGAAATTCGAGGTTAGCATAAGAGGTTGAATGGCAATGGTGAAATAAGAATTTTTTATCTGACGACTCGTAGTTGCTTGTTTCTTCAAACGAACAGTCCAGTCTATTTCCAATTATATGCATTTTGGCTGACAAAATCTGCATGTACTTTTATATTTAATACCGTTTGGTGTTTTTTTTTGTTTTCAGAGCGGCCATATCCTCCAAGATTATACAGAAATTCCATTATTAAGACAAAAACATCAATTACGATCTCCTGGAATGCATCATTTGACGGCAATAGTGAAATATTGTCTTATGAAATTGAGTATAGGGTATCGACCTATCAATCAAGACGAGCGATTGTAGCAATTACCGCAGAGAAAAATTCATATACCATCACTGGTCTTGAACCATACACAAGTTATAAAATCTCTGTGCGAGCTAGAAATGCCCTGGGACTGAGTGGTTCATCTGACATTGCAGACGTTGATACGGAGGAAGACGGTGAGATTCATTTTTCTCCGCAACAAAACATGTTACGATCTATTTATTACCTGTTGAATTTAGAGCCGGGTCACGACTGAATCTTTGCATCCTCTTCTTTAAAAATCTTCTATAGTTCCATCCGCTGCACCAAATCTGACACTCGTGCCAAGTGATAATAGTATTCGAATTAAATGGAAGGTGAATATACTATAATAATTTATTTCACACATGATTTCTGTGGTATTATAAAACTGATGTACAATTTGCACCCAGGCAAACGCTCGGTACAGTGTGCAGGTGAATTTGCAGTATTGAAAGGCTCATAATGATTAAGGCCATAACATTTGCCATTTTTTTGTTTGAATGTTCGCGAAAATTAATGTTTTTAAACGCATTTTTCGACAACTGTTCTCATACACACAAGTAATTAAAATCTTCATTCAATTTGGTACACAGAAGCACGAATTTATCTTTATTCAAGTGACAATGGTTTGATTGAGAGGCTCGTATGATTCGCTGAGTCAGTCCAGGGTGATATTTCGATGAATTATGGTCGAGAGATTGCCTGGGAAGAACAATTATGAACCAGACGCCATCATGATTAGCACCAAACAGATTTGAAGCCTTTAGATCATCACAAAATGATTTTCGGGTTTATATCTGCCTAATTCAAATGAATCTAGCTTGATTATACTCCCTTATTTTATTAACACGGTGTAATAAGTCTTCTCCCCCTCTCTCGACACTGGAGTGTAGTATTAAAAGCTTTCGGTGTTTTGAAATTTGACTTGGTTCTTTCCAGGACATGAGAGGTAGCCTTATTCAATGTCAATTTATATTTCTGATTAGTGTGTGGTGTTTGCAAAGTAGGCTTCCTTGTTTGTGTATGATTAAGCCTGCAAAAACTAATAAAAAAAAATGATCAGTGAACTTTTGAACAGCTTAAATGATTATGTTAATTGTATATTACCGTGCTTTAAAATATATGTTATTCCTTTCATTAAAAGATTACACTGTCTATATTTTCTAGACTCTTAGTGTAAAGGTTGCAAATGGTGTTATAAAAGGTTATATAGTTTGGTATAAGATAAATTCAAGTCATTCAGCTTTCGCAAAGAAGATGGTAAAACTGATCGATGGCAGAAAAACCACAATACATTCTCTAAAGCCATACACGTATTACATAGTAAAGATGCAGGCGTTTACCAGCGCAGGGCGTGGTCCTAACTCGAGCATTGTAACCACGCGTACTTTGGAAGGAGGTATATAATAGCGACATTTTGTTAAATATTGCATTTGTTATTATGACGATTTTACGAAAATTGGACGATTAAACATCTAAAATACTCTTGTATAATGGTCCTTAGGAGACGTTTTATATTCATTTTATAATAAGTAATACCTCCGGGAATCGCTTCTAGTTCTCTCGCCCGTCATTGCCAGAACTGTTGAAATACAGAAAGACTGACAAAAAATCGTTTATGCTGTTTTAAAAGTTTGATATAGCACAATTCTAATTTCAGTTCCAAGTAAACCACCAACAAATATTACAGTGATTTCGAAAACGTCGACCAGCATTTTTCTATCATGGCTAGCGCCATCAAAAGAGAGTATTCATGGCATTCTGGTTGGTTACCATGTATGTTATGATGACAGACGTAATGCTATGAAATGTCGCGCTAGTGGTAACGAAACAAATTTCATGTTGACGAACCTTCGTAAATATACTTACTACACTATCACGGTTGCTGCATATACTGTCAAAGGCCCTGGTATATCAAGTAAACCCGTCAATATTCTTACGGATGAAGACGGTAAGTTTGTTCCACAATTAACAAAAAAACCACAAGTAACATGTTCACGAAATATATACAAAACATGCAGGAAAACGAATTTAGATATATTAGATATACTTATAGATCGTTACATGCATGCAGAATAGAAAATAAAATATCGCCCAGCTTATATCTACAATTCTCTATCATTATTTAGTTCCCGGTCCTCCTAAAGATCTAAACGCTGTGACCACATCAGTACACAGTATCAAGTTAACATGGTCTAAACCAGATGAACCAAATGGAAGAATTATTCATTATAAGGTTTATTATGTCACAAATGACGACGGTCATCACAAACAAAGTAACTACAATATTATTCATGTTGATGGAACGCGCACATCTCACGAGTTTGAGAAATTGAAAGAAAACCGAACATACTATTTCCGAGTCTGTGCTAAGACTAGCAAAGGGGAAGGGAATTGTACAGAGGACGTCATGGCAACCACTAGCAGAGGTAAGTACATAATGTAGATTCTGAGATTCGGGTTGAACGAAATATGATATCAGAATGATATTTTTAAATGCACTCGAAACGTCGAGAAGTTATTTATGTAATTTTGGCTGTTGTTTCTGACGTTCGTGGAAACGAAATCACGCTAGGTTAGCTTGTTTGCTTTTCTTTATATTTGTAGGTCCTCCATCATTTACTGACAGTCACAGTGGAGACGTCACAGCAAAATGGAAAACTAAAGTTCGTCTTAGATGTAGTTATTCTGGATTCCCTGAACCAAAGATAAAGTGGTTAGATTCAAAAGAGAAGCCTATAGATGTTACAAATAGTGATAAATATCATGTGACTATGGAAGGACATTTAGTTATTCATGACTTAAACAGAAAAGACTCGAAACGTTATGTGTGCATGGTGGCTAACAAATGGGGTAGCATAAAGAAAGGAATTACCCTGAAGGTTCAAGGTAAGCGTTTCGTCTCCACTAATTCAAAATTTTTTCAAGCTGCGCTACAGGTGGTGTTGTTACACTATGCAATTTTCCTTGCAACCTAAAATAAAATTCTACTCCTGAGGCATGTAAAGTTGTCAAATACGAACATTTCTTAACGTTTTCTTATTGTTTTGAACACTCTAACACGCCTTAAGTTACTAGTAAGTCATTAAATTAGATTTTAAAATGATAACGAAAGAGAAAATATATTTCTACTTATCTTTTCTTCCTTAGCCCCGCCAGATCCGCCCCAAAATATCGAATTTTTTGGGATCAATTCAACCGCAGTCAAAATTTTATGGAGTAACGGTTTCAACGGAAATTCCATTATTACTGGATTTCTTTTGAAATATCAGAGACGTATTGACCTTAAATGGAAAGCAGAACGTCTAGGTTATTCGAACGAGTTTATTATGAATAATGTTGATTCTGGAAAAAGCTATGAATTCAAGATTAGAGCTAGGAATGACATAGGACCTGGGAATTTCACCAAACCAAAGGTTATGATATTTGTCGAAGGAGGTTAGTAAAGATGCATGTAAATACTCTTTTTGTGTCAATCATAAAAATGATAATACAGATGCCTTGAACTAGGAGCTATTATACAGAAAGTATATTGCAAGTATTTCTGTTACCAAATCATATCTTCTGTTAGAAAAATTTCTTTATATCGTTAAAGCGATTCTGAAACCAGTGGAAGGGGAAGACGTAGAGAGTGAAGTTGAAACGAAGTCATCAAAGAAGACAATATTTAAAGATTCTGCAGTTTTGGGAACTTTGATTGGAGTTAGCCTTTTCATCATTATTGTTATTGTTACTCTTGTTTTGCTCACGAAATTAGGATATAATCCTGGTTCTAAACTAGCTCAAAGTAAGTCAAATAGTAAGACATTTTTGCTAAAATGCTCTTTTCAACTTTCGTTTCCTAAAAAAGTTTACTAATTGCAATCTAGGGTCTGTTGAGGCCTGGAGGTGGTTTGTTGCAAAGGGAATCTCTGCAAAAGATCGGAGGTAAAATAATATCACGCCAGTTGATGTGATTTCAATATAGATTGTCGCCCTTTGCAACGTTACTTTCCGCTTAAAAGCTCCATTATAACGTGTATAACCGCAGTCTTTTGAAAGGCGACCTCCTCGTTAACAACTTTTTATCCTGAAAATAGTAAAAGATCAATTGGTTTTTCGTTATTTTACGAGACAAGTTATAAGTTACAAACGATTTTTTTCCAGCAGACGAAATGTAAAACGTCGTTCAGGAGGTTCATCAACTGATGGTCATCTTGGCGGATCTTCGTCATCATTAAGTCAAGAACCGGCGTCAAACAATGGTTCAACATTCAGCTTACCACAAAGCTCTGGTAGAGTAACTGAATCAGGTTACGCTACCAGTGGCTACCCCCCACCACCCTTTAGTAACTATACACCAGGTAATAATTAATAAAGAACATTCTCTCAAAATAAATTACAAGCACAAATCCCACCAGATTTATACACTACATCAATTACTTCGTCGTTTCCTTTCTCTGACTGGATCACACAAACCTATTTTGAAACGGGACTTTGGTACCTACACGTTATCCTGTCTTCGCACATATAGGTCCTAATGGCGGAGCTAGGGCAAGTGGGTCTTCAGATGAAGGAATTGGGCCAGAGACACGTAGTGAAATACATACTCGTCCCGGGACAGGTGACAAGGAATATCATCAACCGTATTTACCACCACGATCATCTAATGGTACACCTGCACCACCCACTCTAATGATGAGTTCTAGGTGAGATTTTCTTTTTGAACTTTTTGAACTACCATCCAGTGAATTACGTTAAATCCTCACCAATCTCATTTCTAGTCTTTTAGTGTAGAATATATACATCTTATTTTAGGGAATACATAGATCCAGAGGAAATTGAACACAGAACAATCTCAATGAAAGGACAAATAGATGAAGAGCACAAAATTGACGACATTAAGTCAAATGAAAGTGAAGATATTTCACCAGAGACATCTCCAAAGGGGAAAGAGAGAATATATTTTCAATCAATGGGACATTGCTTTCCTTTAAATATGTCTCCAGGACGACCAAAATATGATGATGGACATTTCATAATTGCTCCAGATGTTGATCGCATTCTGGCGTACAGACCCCCCAGATGTTATGATTCAACGTCTTCAGAATATAGCTCATCACGTGACGAATTAGCTCAGGCGTATGAGTTTGGTAAGTTACATCATCTTGATGATTTTTATGGTAGACCCACGCTGGAATCAGCCTCGAGTTCAGGCGAGACAGCCAGTAGTGAAAAAGATGGAATATGCCATTTTACATCAGAGTTGTCAGTGGGACGGCCTTTTTTTATTCCGGTCGCCATATTACCCCCGCCACCAAACCAGCGACTGAGAACCAGAGATCGTAAAAGAAATCCTCATGGTCAACAACTAAATACATATTATGAGAAAGATGAAACTCTTGTGTAACCTATAATGTCATTTGTCTCGTAGACTTGGCTGACGATGCAAAGAGTGTACATGTATGTACCTATATATAAATATTATATTAGTATTACGATTCTTATGATTAATTGATAAATTCTATTATCTTTACAAGCAGAGTGGAAAATTATAGCGCTGACCAAAATATGACATCGTTACTGTAACCATAAACAGTGAACCTTGAAAAGCTGACCTCGGTTACATCCACGAGTTACAAATTTTGTTTTTTCTTCAAATTTCTGCTTAAATTTCTACAGCACGTCCATATATTTTATTTAAAGCTGAGTCTGAGAGGCGACACCTGGCTGAGGCTCGTATTTTTGTCGATTTCAAGCTATTTGGCAGAAATATTTATACTACATATCTAATTTAACAAAATATGATTTATTAACGCTGTAATAATTTATATTTAAAATAAAGTTTCTGGTCATGTTCAAATATTTCACTTCAATAACGCCATCAGTAACGATGAAAATAGCATATACAGTATATCGTAGTGGGCCTAGTTGCCTTCTAGACCTCTACAATTATAAACTTCTCCGGCTGCCGCTTTTAGCTGAAATATCATCGATTCTTACGCTCCCGCCTGAAATATTTGAAACTTCCATGTACTGCATGTACCATACAAAACGTCTAATCGTGTCACCCTTGCTATAACATCACGGCAGACTATGCCATAGTCGACATGGTTTCAACCGTTCTCATATACTCTGGAGTCTGGATGGCGCTTATTCATTAAGTAATTCTTGGGGAGCCTCGTGTAGTCTCAGATTATAATACACAGCAGCTGTGCAACAATATGAATTTGCACACTAACTCGTCTTAGTTCTGACCTACCACACTCGTTTAGCCACAGATTCATTGGAGCCTGAGTTGGCATGTTACCCTCAAAATCAAATACCTAAGCCTAGTATATTGATGGCAATTAAGCCTGACAAGCACAAACAATATACGTACACGGCCTGATATCAACAGAAGATACGAAATTAACACACAATGTTACCACTGAGATTCCGATGAATGTCCGTTCCACTTCAGCGATGATAACACTATACATGTGGTGCCTCTGATGTGGTGCACAGTCATGCCAATAATTAGACATGAAATAAAAGTCTTGACAGAGTGTGCCAAACAACAATTATTGTATATTACTATTAGTTAGGGCTATAACCGCAATGTCGTTTAACTTACAGTTTGTAACAAGAAAATAGTTTTTATTAAGAGAAGATCAAGACGGCTTTGTACTTCAGTTAATTAAAGCCTATTGTATTAAAATGGTAGTCTATTCGTGAAGGATAATTACTGATTTGCGTCGCACTAGCGAATTGGTACAATTTGAATAAAAAAAACTAGCTATTTTTGATACATCATTCTATGGCTATCAATTCATTTACTGGAGCGTCCAAAGACTGGAAACAAAAACTGCAAACAATTTGCATGCAATCCTAACGAGGTGATATTAAAATTCAACGGACCAATGGCTATGCACAAGAGGTTGACTAGGCATCAATATCAACTCTCTTAGTGTTGCATGCACATTATTCACAGAGAACTTAAGAGAGTTTTTTACTGCTAAGAATGAAGAATACAGTGTCCAAGGGATATTTCTTCAAGAAAAAAACAGTTTTACAATTTAGCCCCAGGAGCGGTGGCGCATGCTTCATCACTGCAACCCCGAGCCATTCATGTTTCATCAGCAGGACCAACCACGTGCCTACAAAGTAATCGCGTTGATAGTTCATTTTTTTAATAACACACCTAGAGATGGGGTATGCATGGTTATGCGAGTTGTAAACACATCGATTGAATCGACTTGGTAATTCTGCATTAACTTTACTTGCCTCCCTTGTGCACTTCCAATTTTATTCTCATGCACTTTTCAGTCCGTACCTCTGCATACTCGTTTTTTTTCAATAAAAGTAACATCTTAATATTATATCGTATTACTTGTTTATCTAGTAGACTGAAAATTTTGTCACCGGAAAACACAGAATCGAAAATAGTAATATTACGATTTCCGCCCACATGTAATAGCCTTTATACCAGCAGCTCCACCCAATTGTTTTCTGGAGAAGAAGAACGACTGATGAAACAGGGAGTGTTTTTTTCATAATACTTATCAGCAATTGCAGGTTTTGATGATCAGAGATGATTTATTTTTCAAAGGCTCCCCATCATAGGCAAATTCTGTTCGCAAAATTTTGCGAGCTTTTCTCATTTTCCTCCTGCGTAACCGGAAAAGGACTGGACACTAGTAGCCCTGTTGTGATCTATTCAAGCAAGATTTTCGATTTGCGTTTTGTTTGTTGGGAAGAAAGAAAGCGTTGAATTTGATTCAAATCTAAGCCTTTTGTTCAACAACCACAACACCAGAGTTTACGGGACATGTAAAGGTAAGTGTAAGATACGATATTTTATGTTTACTCAGAGTAATTGGGATTCCTAAGGCGACAAGCATTCGTGTTTATATGAGCAAGCGTTTAGGCGTACTTTTTCACTTCGTGCATTGCAACAGCGACACACTTAACCACTTGCAGCCCTGTGATTTGCATTGTGAAGAAAAGGAGATCTTGGCCCGATTAACTTTGAAGTATTCACAATACATACAGCACGTCCGCGGATTGATGTTTTATTTCATACTTGTCAGCATTTTATGGTAAAATCGCGACAGCTTGTGTCTGCATTGCTTCCTATCTGTTTCCTACTATCTCAAAACGTGTGAAGGCAAATTATTTCCGTTGAAAAGTCTATTGTGAATGTGCCGTAAATCTAGTGTTGTTTCGTTCTTGATAACTGAGGTCTTGTTTGTAAGAACCGTTGGAACCCATCCCCGGACCTTGTTTCTAATTCAATGTCGACTTAAAATGACGATTTACAAACGAACAATGTGCTCTACATTGTCTTGGTTTTATTTTAAATATAATATGTTTGTCAGTTATTGTTCTTTCTTTTTTTGATCTGTTCCCAGTTTATATAATTTGCATTTTTTAAGGATCTTAGCAGAGTCGGCCATCTATATTCTGCTTTGATTTAAACCGTCAAGTTTAATATAAGAAGTAATTATTACAAATCTTATAATAATATACTGGATTGGTTATTTTACTTATTTAGCTTTGAAATACCTTTATCGTGTAGTAGATGTTTTGGGTAAAGCGTGAGTGCTAAAATATTCTGATACTTCACCCGACGCCAAGCCATATTAGCGTTTGTTTTTAAGTACGTATATATTTATATATATTATATATATATATGTGTTAAATTTTCGTGTCGCACGTGTCATCCTTTACTGCGAAGATTTCCTTTTTATATTATCTTCTATAGGAATTTGTTATATTTGTTCAAAGATGTAGCGAAATTTGCGCGCATTTTAGGCTAAAAATATAAAATTGTAATTATATCAATGACGAAGTTGTTTATGGCTTTGCAAGACTGAACGCATGAGTACATCAGTAGTTTATGTTTAAATATTGAACCGTGAGTGCTTGACTTTCCTGTATTAAAAATCTCCGGAAATATTTACAAAGTGATGTATTTTAATCACTAGATATGAAAATGGTGCGTTTTAGAGTAATATTTCAATCAACGGACTACATCGCAAATGTATCGCAGACAATAGGACATGCATAAGCACATATCACAGGACAGCTGCTTACAATACATTGTGTATTGCTTTGCTTCATTGAACTTCATTATTTAGCTAAGAGAGGAAAATATTGCTACATAAATGCCACAAGATTTGTTTTAGCTTAATTTCTGCTTACCAGTGTTGTGAGTGTACACAAAAAATACATAATCCATTGTAAATATACCAGCATTCCACCATTCAGCCATTTTCTGGTTAAAATTAAATATTTACTCACTGGTAAATCACCAATAATTGAATTACTGTTGTTTAAATATAGTAGATTATAGTTGCAGTTGAAAAATTTGAAAGCAAACTTTCAAGATGTTTGTAAACATTTATTGTATATCTTATAATAGAAGGCTATTAGACAAAACACAGGAAATGTTTGGACAAAAAAGGAAAGGCTGTCTACCAGAGCACTGTAAAGAGTCATTATAATAGTTGTCATCATGACTGGTGGTGTAATTAAGATTCTGTCAGACTTTGTGGTAACTCCAGCGAAGTTCTGATACCACTTACATTAATCAACATTCATGGCTGATATATTTTACCTGTTCCATTGCTCATTGGAATGATGCTGTGTTGTTAATTTCTTTCTATTTATTAATCAAGTATACTATTACAACTATGGAATGTATTTTGGTGCAAATGGACTCATTTATGTGTTCAGATTTCAAAACATTTTTTTAATTTCATATATATTTTAAATTTTTTGATGGGGCATGTCAATTTGCAGGATGGCTTGATTTATATCCAATTGAATTGTGTTTTTGTCCATGAAAGACTTTCATAAAATATTTTACATTCTTTGTGTCCTAACTATGAATATTTGAAAGTAGGTCAGGCCCAGCTGGCATGGTGAAGATATGCACCCTTGTAGCTGTAATAAACTGTTAAAACAAGCAATGCTAAGCATTAATTTTTAAGAAGATAAAATGATGTGAGTGTTCTACTATTGTCTACATAAATATCCCAAGATTATAGGGCATCTCACTACATTTATTAACGTTTTTTATCAGTTATTATATTAAAGGTTCATTATATTTTTAATTCCAGAAAATTGGAAAATGACCTGGGAAAGATTATTAGAGAACCTAAAGCTTTTCTGTTTATATATTTTTTTGGATTAGAAGCAATAGATGTGGAGAAAATAGTTGATATATATTATATATACATAAATATATTAATATATATTAATATATACATAAAGGTTACACTGCACCGCACGAATTGGCGCCTGCGATAATATGTCGGCAGTGAATGAAGGAAGATGACACTTCATGTCGTTTTGCATAGAATGTGTTTAATATTTAACTAAAAGCAAATCCAATAGCGGGCTACCTGTGTTACTATATAAATTTGAGAGTAATAAGATGCTGCCTTATTTTTCTCCATATCCATGATAAAAAAACATTGTCTGTAATTAATTTAGCATTGATTATAGACATAGTGCCTCAATGCTAAATCAACGCTAGACTACATGCATACTACTATAGCTAACATGCGAATGATTTAAACCCACAAGTATTCGTGACTTAATTGTCAAAATTAAGGAAGAAAATAGTTAACATTTTTGGAAAATTACATCGCAAGTCAAGTGTTTTTTTTTCAAGGTTTCATACATCAATTTTAAAGCACCTCATTCTGCCTTATATATCCCGCATTCTTTCTTAACTATATCTCTGCTGGAAAGATACGTCTGGTATTTTTTAAGGACAACGATAAATGTACACCATATGTTAGAGCGGTATATTTTCACAAAGTTGACATATTTTCCAAATAACAAAAGCTGTTGGGGGTCTTTTTTATTAAAGTGCAGTCTTTTAGGTTTCATTAAAATGTTTTGAATAGGAGCTTCTATTTAGCCGTTCTGTGATACCGTCTGAGGATATCCGGAAGTTGTTGATCAAAAAAATTATTTTTATTAAATTGCTAAGGGGAGTTTATCTTGATTGACTTTGTTAGTTTGTCTTGTATGTTTTTCCGGGTTTTGACAGTGTCCTTCTGTGGAGATCAACAACACCACACTCGTACTTGAACTAAACTCTTTCTCATTTTTTAATTTTTTCCTTGTTCAAAAACATGTCGCAACTAATCGCTCTTTCTTTTCTGGATTTCGTTACAACGAATCATCCATTACGAGACTGCGACTAAAGTTCTTTGGGTTTCTTGTACGTGTAAATCACGTTTCTTTATTATGATGGATATTTTGTTTTATTATAACAAAACGAATTGATAGCAAAACTGCTTATTTTGTCCAAAATTCTTTACATTCATAACGCGGTTATGTGTTTTATGCACTGAAGAATTCTTTCTAAACACAATTCTTTCTAAATTGGTTGCCAAATTTATATTAGTTGTACCAGCAATAAAACTGGAACAAGCAATACTCGTGTGTTAAAATTTCTAATTGGGGAAAGTAATTAAAAGAAAGAAATTTCAATTGTAGTCTTTCACAATGTGACACCCTGCTCGTTAGTTTTCACAACTGCTTACGTAAGATACGCCGCTGTTTTATGAATGACAGCCTTAATTATAAAAACTATTGTCCGTATTTGATGACTTCGAACCCAGTGGAATATACCTTGGTATTTATTCCATTTCCTCACAGCTGCTCTGACGTCATTAATACAGTTTGTCACAGCTTGTTCTATAAGCGTGTACATTAGCTCGAGGTGTTCACAGCAGCTGTAAGTCATTACTTGTCACGGGATCTTTCATCTGATGGTTACCCTGTACACCAGCAATGGTTTTTCAGTGATATATTCTTTTTTTGTGTTTATTATTATAATAAAATAGTAATACTACTCGGTTGCATGTGAATACAATTTGTTTTCGGACATAATGCGTCGATCTTAGAGGATTTCCCGAGTGTATAACCATGACATTAGTCATTACTCTCAGTCCTTTTTGAAGCCCGTATCTTAATTGTCGTCATGTTAGCAAAATTCATGTTATCTGTGGCGTGTATACTCTTGCGGAAATTTTATGTTTCAAATAGTTCATATTTTCATATGTTTAGGTAAAATAAATGGCGAAGTTTGACTCAGGTTACTTTCCTATGCCTCCATTGCCCAAGGAAGAGACGAATGGCCAAAGTGCGTCTCTACAAGATGATGTTTTCACGGACTTAAATTTACAACCTCTTTCTGATAATGAAATCGGTCCAGCTTGTGTAGTCTGCTCTGACAAAGCTTCGGGTTACCACTATGGTGTTTTCACCTGTGAAGGATGTAAAGGGTTTTTTAAAAGAACTGTACAAAAACAACTGGTTTATACATGCAAAGAAAGTGGATCATGTGATATTAATCAATATACAAGAAACAAATGTCAAGCATGTCGCTATCAGAAATGTGTTTTAACTGGAATGTTAAAAGAAGGTAAGATTATGTCCTTCGTTGTTTTCGTATTTCCTAAATGTTTTAAGAAACTGTATGCACGCAAGCGTATATATACAAGCTACTCCTAGTGTAAAATGTCTTTCCATTTTCATTGTATTAGCTAGATACATTTTACTACATGGAATGTAAATACTTATTTCACTATCATTAAAGAAATGAAGTATTATATATATTTTATAAAATGTTAGCGAAATGATTCTCTAATCCAGCTGTATTTTCTTTCAGCTGTACGTGAAGATAGAATGCCGGGTGGACGGCATCGGCATAAATCTCAAACACAAGATGTTAAAGATAAGGGAAAGAAGCGACGTCCAAGTAAAGAAAATAGTCCAAGTTCTTGTTCTTCATGTAGTGATCCAGCCTCGCCTAGATCTCCCACTGATGATATTGACGTCACGGGAATGTTAAGTAAGTAGAGCGGCGTTGTAAAACAATGCTTGCCTCGATTGTGTGGATATATCACGAAGGTGTTTATCTCAGATGCAATCTTTTTCTCTGCCCTACCCAGAAAAGAAATGTAGTGATCCAATGCTTTTTAAATTGCCTAACTGCAATCCAAACGGTTGTAGCTATATCCTTTCTCTATGACACCGTAGCTCCTATCCGTCATTTTTTGGTCTCATTTTTAACATTGATATATTGAAAATTCCCACAATGAAATGAGAAAGCTGAGGAATATTTTTTTATTTGCGAAGAGGAATGTTGATGCCCTGAATCTGAGATGTATTATTTTAGGCAAACTTACAGAGGGTGAGCCAGATCAGATTCCAGATGCTGATACCTCGCACATACAAGATGATCATGGCGAGTATAATCTCAATGTCTTCTTGGCATCGGGACTGGAAGATCTCAAGAATTGCGTACGTTGGACGAAAAGTGTTCCTGGTTTTGTTGAATTGGGATGGGAAGATAAAGTATGTTTGATTCGCGCTTCGTGGATGGATCTAATCCTTCTCAGACTTTCCTACAGATCTCTAGGATATCCTAAAGGTACTACGGTGTTTGGTCGAAGGTTAGTCATGAATCATTGTGAAGTGAAGAAGATGGGATGGTCGCAAGGCATGATGGATGATCATGACGAATTCACAAACAAATTAAGAATTCTTCATCCGGACAGAAACGAGTTTGCCTGTCTTTGTGCATTGGTTTTACTCACCTCAGGTACGGTATGCAATTAGTGTCTTTGGTCTCTCTATATATACCTACTTGTAGCTACATACTGCTTGCCAGATATCTAGATCGTGTCCTAAAATATACTTTCAGATCTTTGTTTGCACCTGCAAATCTGACAACTTTTAGGCTTAACTTTGCTCAATAGACATATCTAAATGATTTATCAAAAATATTTTATGTTCTATATCTAAATTTTTTATTGGTTTCCTCCTTTACTTTGTATATAACCTGTCCACGAACTTGACAGTACTAAAATTAGTGTCGTAAAGCGTGTTTGGTGATTATAACTATGAGTATTAGTAGGTGTAAAATACAAATAATAATCACCAAAATATACTTTATTATAATCACCAAACACGCTTTACGACACTAATTTTAGTACTGTCAAGTTCGTGGACAGGTTATATACAAAGTAAAGGAGGAAACCAATAAAAAATTTAGATATAGAACATAAAATATTTTTGATATATAACGATGAGTATTAGTAGGTGTAAAATACAAACATACTGTATTAACAAACTATTACAGCATGCATGTTGATGTGGTCTGGCAAAACCTCGGTTAGTAATATAATCTGACCAATATATTAACTTTGAAGAATTATGCTCACGGTAATTTCATTAGTATGTTGATAAAACAATAATAGTACAGTTAATATTATAGTAAGCAATATTCTATGCAGTTGCGAAAAAGTAGTTTGTCGTTATTTTAGTTGAATGCTGCATGGGCCCTCAATGTTCCTAGGGTCTTACCCCATTATTCACCGGTTTTGTGGTAATAACTGCCTATTTCATTTCAGATTGTCCCGAGGTAGAAAATAAGGCCAGAGTAGGTTATCTTCAGTCACAGATTTCGTCAGTTCTTCAAGAATACGTACGAAGTCAATACAGTGATCAACCTAATAGACTGGCTAAAGTATTGTTGTGCTTACCGACACTCAGAACATACAGTGCTAATGCCACAGAAAACTATCGTGCGTTTGAAATGTTTGGAAAGATCGACGTGCCACCTCTTGTAAGAGAACTGTTTAAAGATTAGCTGCAGAGTGGTGCTTATGAAATCATTACAAGATAATTTCACGTGTTTATGAAGTTACTGCGAACTTTCCCAGTGCAGTGAACAGTTTTTAGGTATGGTTGTTGAACAAACGCGTGAAAAAAGATGAAGATTGTTTTATAGATGTATCATATTCGTTTGGTGTGTAAAAATCTCAACATAGTGGTGGCATTTCCGAAACGTATAGAAAGATCTTCGCAATATTTTCCAGGAAATCTGTGACCTCATGGATGTAGTAGCCGAGTTGTGACTCGTGCCTCTGAACAAAGAAAGGAATTTCCTTAACATGTTGTGTTTATCACTCCCCTAAGAGATTCCTCAGAATATTGTAGCGGGAAAAAACACAAACAAGTAGTGAATTAAAGTCTTCACACTGACACTGTTTAAAAACAGAATTCACCGACACGAAAAAGAATGGGTCTAAACACATCATAGATTTTTAGACTTGGTAAAGTGTTGCCATCACATTCAACATGTTGTTCATATGAACTTTCTCAAACATCATTACAGGACAACAACAATTTGTCTCGACAAAACAACACTGGTCCAATTGTCTCAAGTTTTCGCCTATGGACAGGTGTATAAAGCAACATTTAGAACTCGTTGAACTCTTTATTATGTTGGTCTGATGAGATGGTCTGATGTTGGCTCGTGTAGTCGGATGAGATCTTTCGGTGTTTCTTTCAAAGCACTGTCGCGGGGATTTTTTAGTTGCCATAACTCTTCTTAACTTTTAACTGGATAAAAATGTCCAGACAGTAAATTAAAACAGTTTTAATTTCGTAGTCAGAGAAACATTAGAACACGATAGTCCATGTTGTTGTCGAACTTGCAGTCACCTTTGTTTAGCTATGAGATGCTTGAATCAACTCCTCGTTTTGTTAAAACAAACATTCGCCGTGATTGAAAAGTGAAAAAATAACCCACAATTATGAGGTGAATATCGCTGAAAATCAAAACCAAAAAGCCCGAGTTTTTGTCAGTGATATTCACCGAGCTGGAGGTGAAAAATGGTTTCAGGAAAATTACAAAGGTTTTTACAAAATTGACCCATATTGTCGCTTTCGTTCTGTTAGAAGCAGCATTTTTTTCATCATTTCATGAATCATGGTCTTCGAAAAAACGACTTCCCGCTATTTTAATATATCCGGCCATATCTGCTTAACTAATCAGTGGTGACAATATTCAATAATCACCTTTGTAAGTATCCTGATTACCGTTAGGTCACGGAACATTTACTGCATGTTGCCCCAGCTGTTTCACACTCCAGTGACAGAGTGGTAGTATATGCATAATTTTAATATTTCTAATCAATCTTCCCACCTGATATTATACCTCCCATACTAAAATGGCTGCTGAGGAGACAAGCTATATAATTAGATTGAATTGAATAGCATATCAAAGTGTTTGGGAGGTCTGACAGGGATAGCATCTTAAGCAGTAAGATTCCGGAATGCATTGGAAAATACTTTGTCCCTGTTTCGGGTTCCGAAATTCTTTGATATTGTGATTTTAATGTCCATATATCTCCAATTAGAAATGTTTGATTGTAATAGAAAAATCGTTAATAGAAAAATCGTAACTTCTTCAATTTTACAACGAATGACGCGAGGGTTTTGCCGTAACACTTCAACGATTTTGAACGAACGAATATGTTTAGCTTGAGGAAAAATGGCGAATAAATAGCCTCTGGTCATTGCTTCAGTGTTCAAGCTATAGAGATTATAAATAACAGTGTTATTTTACTTATTTATAATCTCTACCTATGGTTCACTGGTACAATGGCCTGGTATCGAGCGCGGTGTCAAACAAACAAACAAGCAACATGGCGACTTCTGTGGAGATTCCTTTGAGAGATACAGACGAAGTAAGTGGTTATTTGTTGCTGTTAGTTGTACCTTGTAGGAACTTATAGTTTATATTGTATAAATGTAGTGGTTTAGGAATATCGAAATAACGTCCCGGCATTCTGAATAGCTAGGAAATTTGGATATTATTTGGAGAGAGTGTTTTTCTCCTCCAATTTCTTTCCTCTAGATCTTTGGAAACAGACTATTTTGAGCATTGGTAACGCATTTAATGCTCTATCTTTTTCATCAGTTTTTTACCAATACGAAGTATTAGGGGTGTCATTGCCAGTTGACTTGGTATAAACATCTGCTATTTGTGAAGATAAATTCTTTGCAAACTAAATTAGAATTTGAATACCTGAGCTCCAGAATGCTATTTCTTTGTCATAATCGATTTTGTGGCTTTTATAGCAAAATTGTCATTTTGCCTAATTTATTTTAAAAGAAATGGATTGGTCAATTAAATATCAGTGACAATTTGACATGCTCCACACCAATGCAATATAAATTCAAGTTGTTTTTTTTTTAACTATTTTTGTCTTTAAAAATAAAGGTAATTAAAATGCTGGAAAGTATGCAAACTGCACAACTGAGATTTCAAAATAATACTAGTAAATATATAAGAAATATCAAATGTGCCTGATATCTAGGTTGCACAATACAAACTTTCCACCATTGGTAATAGTTCTGTTCTTGAATGAATCAGAACAAGCTAAACTACTAAGAAATTTATTTTATCACTCTGTAAAATTTACCCCAAAGTTCATTTGCCTATATTTTTCTGTTGAATTACATAGTTCATCAAATTTAATAAAAAAACTCCTTACTTTTTTACCAAAAGAAACTGACGTCCTTAAAAACTAGTTTCTGTTGTTGTTCTTTTTATGTGCTGAATACAATGGATGATCATTTATCTCAAGTGATTTTGCCACAGCAAACAAATTGAATTAGTCACAATGCATTATAATTGAGATTGTTAACCATATTTTAAGAAACCACCCTGAGACAAATTAGTGTTCAAGCAATTAATTAATATACATTTTTTCAATCATTAGGTTATAGAACTGCAGTTTGATCAGTTACCAGAAGGGGAGGAAGTATTAAGTATTCTGAAGCAGGAAAATGCCCAACTAAAAATATGGAATGTATTAGCGGTATGTTTAAGATATGCAATTATTATTTAATTTTACAACATAAATCAATATTGATATACCTTGAATCAATGATAATTAAGCTTTTCTGTATCTGAACTCAGTGTTTCTATTTAGCAACAGAAAAGGTGAAACATATAGTAATACTTCTTGTGTTGAAGGTGCACTAGTCTTAATGTATAGTAAAATATTCTGTTTAGATTCAATATTTTAAAGAAGGGAGAACCAGAGATTTTGTTCAGTTGTTAGAGACTGCAAAGACAGGTAAGTGGTCATCTAAGACTTCTTAACACACAGTGTGGGCTGTGGAGCGTAGGTAGAAAAGCCTGGCTTGCGAGGTGATCTAAACCCCTGTACCATAAAGCATAGCGTGATGGGCGATACATTTTGTCATACCCAAGTTTGGCTGGGTAATGGCCTGACAAATCCGCCCAATCAGACACTTGCATCCATCTGCCTGTTGTTTCGCGGTGAATTGAGATATCTACCAACAGCACCGGCAGCAAGTATAGGGCGACAAACTAATTTATTGTTACAGATGCACACAATAAAAAATCATAAGTCAATGCATGATAAAAACGGTTTATTCATTTGCCATTACTGCATGATATTGATAGTTCTATATCTTCAAGAGCTCTTCTGTACAGTCAAGTCTCTGTTATAATAGAGATGTCTCGCAATTTCTGTTCTAACTTTATGCAAGTGCAGATGATGGCTTTTAATTTCTAAAATTACGAACAATAGTTTAGATACAATACAGTAAAAGAAGCTCAGGAACACTAACATGCAACGTGAGGCTATTACTTTAGTGACCTGTTACAAAGATTACAAATAACACAAAACAGCACAACATGGCACATTAAATTAAGATACCGATGAATGTAGAAGCACTACGATTGTCCCATGTGGCCACTGCACTTTCTATTAGAGAGTTGGTACCCCAGTTCAGGTCAACTGGTCCAGGTGATCCCGGAGTAATCTTTCCCGGGGTCTGTGTCTCTATTGAGCCAACACAAGTGTGAAAAACACGTTGAACTATTTTAACTGTTACATGTGTTTTTGCAGTGATTCGTTGACTATATTCTTTAAAAGATAATATATTAGCCACAGAATGATGCATGTGATAACTATTTTTATAATAGAAAGTAACATCAACTACACAAATAGTGATCGAGATAGGATGATTTGCCTGGATACTTTGGCTGCCTATTACGTTCAAGAAGCCAAGAAAGAGAAAAATAAAGAAAGAAAGAAAGAAATGTTCACAAAGGTGCGAAATACCAGAAGCAATCAGAATGAGTAAACTGCTCAAGGAATTTGGTTGTTTGGACCAGAATGCATGGATTATTCGCTATAAGCACACATTCTTTTTAGGAGTAGGAATAAATATTTTTTAATGCCATTCCGAAACTGGCGTCAGTATAGTAAAAAAAAAAACGTAGCTACATTTTGTGCATGTCCAAGAATCCAGGAGAGCATGGTTTATCTGCTTTTTCTTAAATCATGCTTACTGTACAATTATTTATAATATGTCGAAAAATAATTATGGCTGCATACTTCCTTGTGTCAGGAAGTGTGAAACATAAATATGGATATATAAAATATCAATATTTCGCGAAAATACTTGCATGCATTAACATGTGTGTGCATGTGTTTTTATGATCCCTAATTCTCGAATATGTTCATGATTTTATGAGGAATTTCAAATATAAGGAGAAATTAGTTTCATGTCGCGATATATTTTTAAAATTCTCTTTAAAATTTACAAAAATTTGAACAGATTTCTTTCAAATTGAGTGAGGAATGATCTGTGTATATAATAAAGCCTTCTTTCTGTTTCTTCTCTTCGTCTACGAGGCTACAATTTTTAATGAAGAGCTACTGTTTTTCAAAAAGATTAAGAAATAATAATTTAAATATATAATAATAATAAAAGAAAATGAATTCATCGTTTAAGGATTCGGATTTGACTTTTATATTATTGTGGCTACTACATCCGTAGAATCGATAATATAAGAAAAGATTTTCTTTTAACCATTCATTGAACTGTGATCTAGAGCTAATGTAAATATTCGAAGAAGTTTATTAATTTTCAGCCGTTGTCGTTGCGTTGCCGTTCTAAATATTATTAGCGCGATGTTAATTAAATGCCCACCAAATCTATAGCGCGGATATGAGTCTGTTCTAAATAGTATGTTCTTTAAAAAGCCGTGTTACACCATGCAATTTTTCTTGCAACTTGCAATCCAATTTCACTTTTGAAATATGTAAATTTGGCAACTACAAATTAGAAGAATACACGGGTAAGAATTTACATTTCTCGAATGTAAAATTGCATTGGAAGTCAACTCTATAGTAGTTCATCAGAAATCAGCCATGATATATGCTGGATTTCCGCCATATACAAATAGTGCATCTGTACATATATAACTACTTTGTTATTCAAATTATGCATGTTAAACCACTTTTCAGGCGACACAACTGTTTACAATGGCTGACAAGATCATTATGTATGACCAGGTAAATTTTTGACAAAACCTTTGTTGAAGAGTATATGATGTATATGCAAGTTTATGTTTTATTGGTAATTTGCTAGAACCATCTCTTGGGTCGTGCATATTTCTGTTTGCTGGAAGGAGACAAGATCGATCAAGCTGATGCGCAATTTAACTTCGTTCTTGCTCAGGTATTATTCCGAGATATTTGTTAATAATACTTTTCAAGTATGCTAAATAGCAAAAATTTGCCTTGCATATTAAAAAAGCTGCACGTGCGGTATTCCATTGTAGCTAATTAAATTTAATCTAACTTTATTTTTAAAGTACTGTAGTACCTCAATGCCAAATATTTGTTGCTGTTTTTGAAGAAATGTTGGAGAAAGGTTTATATAGTTATTAGGAATCTCCATCTTTTTCTTTTAGTCTGGAAACAATATTCCTGCATTGTTGGGTAAGATAATGTAAAGACAATAACACGACGTTTTCGATATGTTGCTTGTCTCAGCGTGATTTTAATACTACACATTCTTCTCTTGTGTCACAAACATTTCATGCAGGTTGTCCATGGTTTTACTACAATGATATCAGCATTTTTCGGGTTTTAGGAAAAGCTTGTATTTCATTCAACAAGAAAGATTATAAAGGAGCATTGGCATATTATAAGAAAGCTCTCCGGACCAATCCTAACTGTCCAGGTATATTTTCGGGGAAATTTGATCACAACATTGAAACTCGCTGGGTTTACGAATGAAACATATCTCAGTTTTGATGATTTTGGAATAAACAATTACTTAATGGTTTCCGTGTTTGGATGGCCTGATCCAAACACGCGGGAATGTTGCGAGAGGTAACTCTCGCAACATACCCAAGTGCTTGTTGTTAACAAGGTAGTGTGCCAAGTTTGATTTCAAAAAGCGAATTAAATTTCCTTTTTTGGATGGCCCGATCGCTAGCTTAGACCATTCACATCTATATATAGATCCCATTTTATAACGTTGTATCCCTATTCTAAAGGGACATGTTAACAAAGAAAGCTAGGGCCATGTTTTATGAGACCCAGTATATACAGTATATAATGATCGAAGCGATTGAAAATTTTCTTGATTTAGCCTCTGTTCGTCTTGGTATGGGCCATTGCTTTGCCAAACTTGGTAAAGATGGAAAAGCAAAACTTGCATTTGAGCGAGCGTTGCAACTTGATCCATATTGTACTGGGGCTATGGTTGGTCTTGCGATTATGGAGCTGAGCTCAAAAAAGGTAAATTATTGTGGAATAACGCGTACGCCCTTCATGTATGTTCACACGATCAAAACGGGTAATTAAATTAGCTCTAAGTTCTATCCTAAATTAATGGTGTTCGCAACCATTTTGGTGTGAAAACATAAATAAAAACGCTCGAAAACGTTACCATCCATGCGCACATTGCATTATTTAACAGACTAATCTCGTGATCACAGTTGCATGGTAATAAAGGTATAAAAGCATTTATCATTCAGAATGTATATTTTAGCCCGATGCGATTAAAACTGGCGTACAGTTGCTCTCAAAAGCATATTCTATTGACAACTCAAATCCGATGGTTTTAAATCATTTGTCAAATCATTTCTTTTTCAAAAAAGTAAGTATACAATCGCATCAATGTATATAATTGTATTATATATTTTATAAACGAAGAGTGCAGGTTGAAGAAGAGACATGGAGACAGAGAAGTTTTAGAGTGCAGAGATATCGCGGAATTACTAAATTATTTTTATCAGTGGCGTTTAGTTATCATTTTGACAAGTGCATGTGGTGTACAGTTATTTTTATTTTTTTCAGGATTACACAAAAGTTCAACATTTAGCTTTGCACGCTTTTCATGGTACTGAAGTTGAAGCTATGCAAGCAGAAAGCTGTTACCAAATGGCCAGAGCTTTCCATGTGCAGGTAATGTGCATGCTTGTTAAACAAAATTCGTCTTTCTCACGATGCCTAATATGCCGCAATCTATTGTTTTTATAACTCCAATCTTTGCATGTCATTTTCTGTCTTTCATAGCTGATTAAAATTTATTTAGAGTGATTTTGATCAAGCGTTCCAGTATTACTATCAAGCTACTCAGTTTGCTTCTCCAGGTTTTATCCTGCCATATTTTGGTCTCGGACAAATGTATATTGCTCGTGGGGACACCAATAATGTATGTAGCAATGTGTGTGTAGAACCATTAAGAATAGCATATAGCTCGTATATAACTCTGTCTGATATAAAACTTTTTTTCGGGGGTTTTTATCAGGCAGCTATATGTTTTGAGAAGGTGCTAAAAGCGATGCCTGGAAATTATGAAACAATGAAAATTCTGGGATCTCTGTACAGTAATTCTGAAGATATGGAGAAGAAGGAGATGGCCAAGGTTAAATGTCTACATGCAGTTAATGCATTATTACCCTGAGACTACTGTGTTAATAGGACGAGTTACTTAATTACGTTACTAAGTACTTAATTACATTGTTAACTTTTCGTTGGGAACGCAATGATTGGCTGATTAAATCGCTGCGAACACATCTTAAGCTAGGGTATATACCATTGAGACGCTCTAGGTTTAAAGTTACACTCTACCGTGGTTGCAGATTTTGAATATATCAAAAGTTTAAGGTATTTTAAAGGACTTTGCAATATATCTTATTATTTGGCAAAATTTTTTAAAATACGTTGAACTTTTTATCTATTCAAAATCCGCAAGCATGCATGGTATAAACACTTCTCAAAACGTTTTTCATCATCGTCCATTCAAACCTCACTAATGGGTTAAATATAAGTATCTTTTGTCATTGGTGTTTATTGCTACAGAGTCATTTGAAGAAAGTCACCGAACAATACCCAGATGATGTGGAGGCTTGGATCGAGTTGGCTGGTATCCTCGAACAAACTGATGTGCAAGCTGCGTTATCAGCGTATGGTACAGCATCAAGATTACTCAAAGAGAAAGTAGGAGCTGACGTACCTCCGGAAATATTAAATAACGTTGGAGCTTTACATTTTAGATTGGGAAATCTTAATGAAGCAAAGGTGAGTTTGGTACATTTTTCTCATGGAGATGAAATGGATGAAATAAACAACCTCACATTGCGAGGGTTAATCCTCGTTAGCATTTAAGATATTTTATTTTAAATATTTTTGTTTTATATTATCATAAATTTGATTATTCAGAAATTTTACGAAGCGTCGTTAAATCGCGCCCAAACAGAAGGCGAACATGATGAGAGTTATTACAACGCTATATCAGTGACAACAAACTACAATTTAGCAAGATTACATGAAGCTACTTCAGAATTTGATCTTGCTGATAAACTATATAAAAATATTCTCAGGGAACACCCAAATTATGTTGACTGTAAGTATTCATACGTACACTGTATATTATTATTTACATTCATTGATTGATCATATAGGAGGCAATTGAAAGTTCATATTTTGAAAGTTCATAGTTCCTGTTTATATTTTTGTTGTCTCAGGTTATCTTCGCCTGGGTTGTATGGCGCGTGATCGAGGTCAGATTTACGAAGCTTCAGATTGGTATAAAGAAGCATTACAAATTAATCAGGTAGTCAAGTTATTTCATGTGATCAGACGTCTGTAGATTGCTCTCATTCTTTTTAATATGCTTGATATACTACCGGCCACGTTAATTAGAATTTTCAATCCAGGATCATCCAGACGCATGGTCATTAATTGGCAATCTTCATCTCGCTAAACAAGAGTGGGGACCAGGACAAAAGAAGTTTGAAAGAATTTTGAAACAACCATCCACAGCAAATGATTCTTATTCATTGCTTGCTTTGGGTAACGTTTGGCTGCAAACCCTTCACCAACCAACGAAAGATAAATCAAAAGAAAAGCGACATCAAGACAGAGCACTCGCGTTATATAAACAAGTGCTAAGACAAGATTCAAGAAATCTTTATGCTGCCAACGGTATAGGTATGTCATACATAACGACTGTTGTATATATTCACTAAACTATTACTCGTGGACATTCGTTACTTGTACTTGATAAGACAGACTACATGAAAAATATTACAAGAACGTCGACATTTCGAGGTCTTTCAGGCTGGATTTTAGGAAAATGAGAAAATATATTGTGTCCTGCAACAACTCATGGTATTTCGTATAATTTTAACTTCCTATGTGCCAGGTTGTATTTTAGCTCATAAAGGGTTCCAAAGAGAAGCACGGGATATCTTTTCTCAGGTATTCAAAGAAAACGGTGTCTTGTTTATTCCAATTGCATGCATCTTTGTTTTTTGAATGCTGTGATTGCTGTTTAAATAACTTTCCATGCATGTGACATGTAAAATAACGGTTTTAAGAAATTAAACCAAACACTATTTTCCTGAGGATAAGTAAAACTAACGTGTGTTTGTATAGAACTCATGTTTCATGTGTAATTGCATGGAGACCTACAGTATACAAATTTGTCGTGTGGAAAACTATGACAGGCCTACACTTTCAAAAGTAAATTGTTAAATAAAGAGTACTTGGTATACTTATGTGTAGACGTTGAAACATTAGTTTTCTGGAATAGCCAAGATCACGAATCTATACAACAGCTGTGATTTTCTTTTTCTTGTTGTAGGTTCGGGAAGCGACAGCAGACGTTGCCGATGTGTGGTTAAATCTTGCACACAGTTATGTGGAGCAGAAACAATATGTTGCTGCCATACAAATGGTATTTTTGTTGTTTTTGTGAGGAGGAAAGAATTAAATATGGTGTTGCTTTGGAGAGTTATAGAGACGGGAGAGATGATTGAAAGCAGGCTATAGCGTGGCTGGCTGTTGTTTTGAAAGAAGGATAGGGAGGAGAGGGGGTTGGGAGTGCAACAAGATGGTTTTGAAGATCTCTTGTTCTCTTTACAGTTTTCTTTTTATTTTTTAGTATGAAAATTGTCTAAAGAAGTTCTTTCGTCATCACAATGTCGAAGTTTTGTTGTATTTGGCAAGAGCGTACTATTTAAGTGGGAAACTCAAGGAATGTCGTCATATTTTAATTAAGGTAGAGGACTATGGTTTTATTGTGCTTAGAACGCTCCTTATTACACGAGCAAAGACGTATCCTAGTGTCAGGATGCTTCTTTTCTACAATATGGAAACACCACGTGTATTTGTTTTATGCAGAGTTTTCGATCCGTTTGCCGGGGCCTGCCATGCATGCCGCTGGTCACAGTATACGTAATTAAACGTAAATAACCAGAAGTATAGCTAGAGATTGTTTTCGTATCCATTTTTCCAAAATGTATATACAATATATTTCCTTTTTGTTACCTAGATCACAAGTTGGTCTATTATGCGAGTGGTGTATTGAACTTCAATTTATATAATTTTTAATTTTTTGTCACGATAAAACTTACTAAGAGTAAAATTTGAAGTTATTGAAATTTATCATGTTGAAATTATTCAGGGCTTCCACAACTTATTCGCATAGATAGGGGGGGAGCACTGACAAAAGACTGAGACAAATAACTTTTGAAAATACTGCATAACAAATACACCCTGGAATTTTTTCTAAAAATTGATGATTGATTTATAAATTCACCATGCAAGATTTCAATATTTTTTTATTTAAGGCTCGCCATATTGCTCCGAACGACACAATACTTCTATTTAATGCTTCACTTGTACAGCAGAAATTAGCAACATTAATTCTCAAGGCAGAAAAAAGTCAACTTAAAGTTGTCTTATCTGCTGTTGGAGAACTAGAAAACGCTCAGAGGTATCGCTTAAACTAAGTTGTAATTATTTCAAATAATCGATATTCAACAGTAATTGGCAACAGGCAAATGTAATTTTGAATTTCATATTTGCTAACCCTCCATTTTTTAGAAATTTCCAGTGGTTGAGTCACCATGGTGATCGTATGAAATATGATCTGGCGTGGGCTCAATCCGAGGCTAGACAATGTCAAGACTTGCTCAGTCAGGCTCAATATCACGTTAGTCGAGCGAGAAAGATAGATGAACAAGAACAAGAAATGAGAAGAAAGCAAGAAGAAGAGAAAGAGCTTTTACGCAAAAAGAAGGAGGAAGACGAGGTAAAATAGATGTAAATACACTGCATGCATGCATGCATGCATGCATGGTTTGGACTAACACAACAAGTAATATCAACTAACAATCACATAATAACTATGATACAATCCATGCCGTTACTGCCTGAGGGTAATCTTGATTTTTAAAAAAAATTTATAGTGCGTATTTGTTGGCGATTTAGAAAAGAATTTTACTTGGCTCGATAATTTGTTGCAATCGAGAACATATTCGTTATTGAAAATAATTAACGAATATCAGTCTTTGTCTTTCGTATGAAGTTATCTTTTGAGGATGGTTCTGTCATTAAATTAAACTTGTTATATTTATACGTTAGACATATAGAGTATGTATTGTTTACGGTATTGTTTACGGGATCATGCCTCTTTTGGGAAAGTTTTGTTAATGTGTTGTTGTGTTTGTATAGCGTCTTAAGAAAGAGGAAAATGAAAAACAACAAAAAGTTATGCTTGAAAAGAGAGCTACCTTCAGAGAAGCTACGAAGAGCTTGTTGGTTTTTACACAAGAACATATAGAAGTCAAAGAAAAGAAAACGAAAAAAAAGGTAGTAAATAAGCGTAGCATAGAAAGGAATTATAGCACATTTATATTTACTGTACAGTCTTATTTTTGGATATTTTTGACGTGAAAGTTGCCTACATTGTCGTTATATACGACTCTATGACAGTACGGGTATTCATGCACAGGAGGTTAGTGTCTATTACATTGCCGCCAGTTATGTATCAAGGAATATATTTTTATTTAGAGAGGAAGAGATACTGGTGAAATTTACTCCAGCGGGAGCGGAAGTGAAGTTGAGGACCATGAAAGAGCAAAGAAGGAGCCTAAGAAAAAGTTGGTTTAACTGTGGAATTTTTAAAATATGTTAAAATTATTTCGTTTAGTTTTTTTTTAAATTGCTTTAAGGAAAAAGAAACGAGCTGATGGTGAACTTGGAGAAAAGAAGTGAGTAATATCATACAAACACCTAACTTTATTCGCTTTGACCGTTTTTTTTTTGCTTGTAGAGCGCGACGTCCTGCACAGCGTAAGAGGAAAAATGTTGATCCAGAGGACGCACATCTATCTGCCAAACGACGTCGTAAGATCAAGTCAAAAGCAATAATCACTTCATCTGATGAAGATTCAGATTCCGATGTCGATAAATTGAAAATATCTGAAGATATTGAACGGTAAGGAATCCTTACTCCTGGCTTGACCAGCTTTCTGAGCGTCACCAATTCAATTTCATTATATTTTTACAGTTTTGGTGTCACACCTAAACATTGCACTTCCTATACTTGCACCTGATAACTTCGTGTATTTCGTTTATCTTCTCGAAATACATATATACATCACTTTATACATAGTACACGTATGGTAATTTTCATACTTTACTTTAGTGATGAAAAGTCAGACAGCGAGAAAGGTTCGACTGGGGACAGTGCTCAAAGTAGCGGAGGTTTGTGAACTTCCTTTCCCTTTTGTTAAATCTTGTTAAAGAGAAAAGAACTATTAGTCAATAAATGGGGTATAATTGGTTTGGGAAGAATATTTTAATCAAAAATAAAAATAGTTGGTTAATAAAATATCTTTATTTCTAAATAGAAGAACGAGATGATTCGAATGAAAATCAAAAAGAAAAAGGTGACAGTGATTCTGGCAATGAGAACGTTGGAAAAAGCAATTGGGAATCCGGGGATGAAAAAGTGGAGGAATCAAAAGATGAGCTTGAGGAAAATGATGAAGAATTTAGGGATGAGAGAAGCGATCAGGAATCTGGAGATGAGAATGTGAGGAGTGATAATGAGTCCGGAGATGACAATGAAAATGCGGAGAAAAGTGATAAGGATTCGGATGAAGAAGACACAGAAACAAAGGAACAGGAATCGCATGGTGAAAAAAATCAAGAGAAAATGGAAGAATCAGAAACTGAGAGGATGGAGGAAAATGCAGAAAGTGAGGAAGATTCGGATGAGAAACAAAATAAACACGGTAGTTATTCAGAAGATGAGACTACAAGCAGGAAGAAAGAGTTATCAAGTGATGAAGAAAATGAAGTTCCAGCGCAAAAGAAAAAATCAAAGCATCTTGCGAGTTCGTAAGTGAATAGTTTTGTTTCTACGAATACAACGTATGATAGATAGTTCAACAACAGATTGGTATTTTTCCACATGTTTCGTATATGCAGTATATAGTCCTTACTGAGCTTAGCGATAATTCAACAAACTTTCCGATCCAAAGTTTCGTACAATTACATTCAACGTCAAACACGCGTGGGGTAACGTCGCGCGAATTTTTAGCTTTCAAATGTATGCAAAAAAAATAATTATGAAAGCAAATTGTGGAAGCTATGGATACCAGAGCAGTCACAATGCACAATTATGGCGGGGTAAAATTTATTTGCTTCTGAAATTTATTGCAATTTGGTTTTATTAAACTGTTTTGTTTTTTTCGAAAAAATCACGTTACTAAATCGCATCCGGTCTTCATGCGCGCGGGTTTAAATCGTGGAACTACATTGATTACATGAAACGTCTGTCACTACACTAGCTGAACCACTACATGCACTAATACCTTAAAACTAAATTCGTCGAATCCAAGTGCACCATAACTATCTTTATCCTTATCCTTACGAAGATAATATTCTAAAATTCTGCTGATATACTTTTTAGATCCGAATCGGATGAGGAATAAGTCCGCAAACTCCTGTAGTTTTTGAAGAACTAGGCGCGCAAAATTAGTGAATCTCAAGATATAACGAGCGATCTCTTTCACGACACGAGTAAATAAATATATCATTGTTTACTTTACCATCAATAGTTCAACACATATGAATATATAATTGCCATTGACTGCTAATATTGTGGCAACCCACGTTAATGCAGCCTTTTCAGACCAGGCAGTTTACATGAATAATAGCCTAAAAGTTGAAATACGACAGTAAGTTGAATCACTGAATGTATTATGTTTAGTTTTAAAATTAAAGCGTTGCTATTCCTGAAATTCTTGAAGTATATTGAATACAAAACATCAATAAAGATTTCTCAGAACACTCGTATTTGATTTCTTGGTGTTCTTGTTAGATCATCATTTAGCGTTAACAGTATCTAAAATACAACATCATTAAATTATAGATATATACATGTGATTATTTAGAATATTCATCCGAAAGTTGTAGCCAGTGACTGACTGGTCAAGTGATTTCGAATTAATACGCGTATTTCCAAATCTATGTGAACTGGAACGAACTGGTGATCGCATCAAATATATTAGAAGTTTAGAAACGTTTTAAATAAACTTAGCTATCTTGCATCTAAAAATGGATAAATGACTTACCATAAAAGACAAGAAGAGACTAATAGCAGACAGAAAATGCCAAACATCGTGATCATCATAAAAATTAAATAAAATACAATCCCTGTTGTTTTCTCTTGAATAAGCTGGACTTTTCTAAGGATAAATGTATACATATACAATTATTACAGCTATAACCTTTATCGAACAAGCTGCAATTTACATCTACCTAATTCGCCAAACAAAACATCACTTGACCACGGTAATTTTATACAGTTTTATTTTACATTACTGATCCAGAAATAACCTATTCGGTTGCAGTCGACCGATGGAAACCGCAGACGACCGCAAGTAAAAAAAATATATAATTTCGCAGTGGCCGTTTGCTTCCAAACAAAATGTTATGAACAGCTGAGAAGGACAACACAATAACTAAATCGAAAAAGTCTTAAGGAATATTTGTCAGACCGAGTTAGGCCGTGCTTTAACCTCCGTCTCACCGCGGTTAGACCTCGGGCTGACCTCGGTTCAAGCTATGAATAATTTCTGCCACCGATTGATCCCTTTCCCAGCCCGCCATTGCGTTAGCGGAATAACGCCCGTCACTGTCTGAAAACAAAATGCGCTGCTTACCTTTCACGATAAGCCTGCACTAAATTTTAATGAATGGATCACATTGTCTTCACACATATCAGTTAGAACATTTCGAGAGCTGCAACAAACAGATCTATAAATCAATGACTTACCTGCCATGATGTCAGACCTTGTAAAAAGAACACGAGAGAACCAGTCCAACAAATAAGAGTTAGAAGAGAACAAAGAATAGATATTAAGAATATCTTTTCTCCGTTTCTTATCTGGAAAATAAAAATAAATTAAAGCTTGGTTTTAATATAAGTTTTGAAGTCGTATAGAAAACGGTCTGTTTTTCTACTTTGCAGTTAGCCATGCATAAAGTTACTTCAGGTCCAATATAACATTGTTTCCTTTTGCCTTTTTATATTTGACCCAAGATGAAGCATTATAGTTAAATTATAGTATATATAGTATATTTAAGTCTGAAACTTAGTGAAAATACCTTCATAACCACGTAGAATAATAAATATATTAATCCATTCACGATTAAAATCGCCAGTAAATAAGAAGCAAAATCTTTAGGTTCAGTCGCCATACCATTAATTGCCCTTAATTAAACACGTCGACTCAGTTTTTATAGCTTTGTGCAAGAATTAGGTAAGAGAATGACTTGGGAGCAACACTTTGAAAAGATATGTAAGAAAAGTTAAATTGGGGCTGGAATAGCCCTTATCCTAACAATACCTTGGAGCAGATTTTCCCTAGCTGATATACTGCCTTAAAAATCGATCACGTAAGCTTGTGCAAAAAATTGGGTTAGGCCCGTTAGGGTACCAATTTTAGCCGTGTCGTGCCGTGCAATAAATCGAGTGTAGTGTAAACGGGGCTTATATCTCTGGTTATATGTAATTCAGACGAAATTTCAAATGAACAACATTAAAAACGTTTCCTGTCATAACTCGTAGTCATGCATGTCAATAAGATATTTCACTGTTTTAAAGTTTTAAATAATTTCACTTACAATCCCCAGTTTACAAGATTTGCCAACAGCAGCAAAACCATCCGGTCCTAAAAGAGGAAAATTACAATGGAATGCACTGATGATACATTAAAGTAAAGATTGTTAAGTGAAGTGGTTTCCGTAAATACCTTGTAGACAGGACACGAAAAAATATCATGCTTTAAAAAAATAAAAGATCTTTTTATCTCCGAAAAAGCTAAAATAAAGAAGGATGAATAATAATAGATTCGTTTATATATTTATAGCAATTATAAGCAATATTTACTTTTTAAGACCTAAACTTACACAGACGGATTCTTCCCATGTAATACATTTGAGTTGTCGAGTAAACGCTGAAGGTTATGAGAACGAAGCAGAATATTGTCCAGAACGCGAATGACGTAAAAACCTACAATTGCAAACAACGTATAGGACAAATTATATACAGGGCCATGCATCAAGGACAGATTATTGACGCGGATCAAAATCGTACATATACGACTTATCTGATGCCTGCATGGCTATATACAGTGCGAACCCGATATTAGTTTTATAATAGATTTAAGCAATACTCATTTAAATAAGCCGCATAATTCATGAAAATTTGTGATCATTTGGGGAAAATTGTGGAAACATCCAATGTTTACATTTTAATCAGTATCAGTATCAAAGCGAGACATGATGTCCGTAAATTACCTGGATCAACAAGTGCAAGAATTTCCTAAGAGAATGGTCTACCAAATGTGACGAAAACAACCCGACACCGTCTCCTTAGAAAGGTTGCAGCAATCAAAAGTCCGGCTAAAAGGCCTTGCCCGGCCTCGAGACATAAAAGATTACGTGTAGAATGGTCCAAGAAATATATGAAAACTGAAATGAAGTTTGTCCTAAAAACCAGCCGACAATTTAAAAAGTACAGTAAAAACAAATTCCTATTACAGTTTTAACCTGTGTCTTGCTTGATTCATATTTTGACTCTCAAGATGTCTTGTTTCTTCGGAATTTGTTTTTACCGAAGTTTGTCCTATTCACTGAAGAATCAAGAGCAACGTTAGAAAAAAATGGGTTTCAACGGTGATGATTGACCCACGAGGATAAGGCGGCAACAAGGAGGTGGAGGCGTAATGATTTGGAGTGGTATTATTGAGGATGAGCTCGTCGGTCCATTTCGTAAAACTGACCTCCGTCACGTATTGCCAGTTTTCGAAGAATGTGCTTGAACCCTGGCTGGATGACTTTCCATTGTCACAACTGAAGAAGATCATCTTCATCACTTCATGCATGACAACGCTCCGTCCCATGCGGCAAAGGCTACGACAGCGTTTTTGAAATCTATCGGATTCATGAATGATAACCTAATGATTTGGCCTCCAAACTCCCCTGACTTAAATCCTATTGAGAAATTGTGGTCGATCATTAAGCGCCAGGTTTATGCCGATGATGGGAAGCAGTATTCCTCAAAAACTGACCTGTGGATGGCAATAAAAGAATCCGCAACTTCCATCCCTAAGTCTACCATTAAGAAACTCACAGATTCAGTGAACGACCGACTATTTGATGTGATCAGACTTCACGGCGCTCATGTCAACAAATAACTCAATTTTGTGTGTCAGTGTATCAACAATGAAAATATTAGGCAATAAATGAATATCAATAAAATATTAGGCAATAAATGATTTTCTATATCTTTCTGATGGGATTAACGCCGTTTTTCCGACATGAGATCAGTGCATGAAACTAATATCGTGTGTCAGTAGAAAAATTGCCAAATCGAAATAAGGGTGCATATTTTCATCAGTAGGACTTTAAATCTCAATTTAATTTTTAGAAGGAATATTTTGGAAGTTATACAACCTTGAATAGTTTCCCGCCAGGATTGTGTAAATTTAATACCATTTTATGAAAATTTCTATTTGAATTAATATGGTGCTTCGCACTGTACATATACATGAGCGGTTTCCTTCTGGTCATAGGTGATTGAACATAAAGCTAGATCTTACCACACCAGAAACAGCAACCAAAATAATAGCTGCAAACGTTCCAAACACGATGTGAGGTTTGGCCGCGAGATCAGGATGTCTGGTTGAATATAGTTGTACAATGATCAAACAGGCAATGATGTACATAAACGACGTGTCTACAAAGAATAAAGAAAACAGCTAAGTAAAGTCATAAAAGTCTTCCAGCGCATATCCCCTTAGGTGCCCTTCCATAAACTATTGATCATGAGATTTCACCGTTTTTCACCGTTAAAGTTGTTGTTTTATACTTTCACTTGTAAAAACGATTTCCTGCAAAATAAACTGGGTATCCATGGTAGGCGAGTGGATTAAAATAAAAGTATATAATTTAATAATAGCACAAAAATAAAAGAAGAAAGCATTTTAGAATATCGCTTGAATAACTTCGATCCTTGGCTACAACGATTTAAGACTGGTACGTCATTTGTTCTCAACAATAATTACTCTGACTCATTGCCAGAGAGAAAATATCAGCATAAAAAACAATTACCAAATTGAAAATTTGTGTAACTTGGACAAACATGATAACAGGCACTTAATATTCCTTCCATGATTAAAGATAGAGCTGAAGAAAAAATAAAGTATATAAATCAGAGAAGAAATTATAAATACAAAAAAGTTACAGTTCTGATTACATCGATAATATGCATTATAGCCTACCTAAGGCATAAAATATTCCATAGTGTTGTGGAATTCCTAGATGCTAAAATTTTAATAAATTAATAAAGAAAAAAAATAAAAAGATTTTCGCCAGGTTGCATGCATAAATATTTCTTTCATCACGTTACCTCGTCATTAACAGATTCTCTCTGGTGTTGTAAATCTCTATAATAGAACAACAATAGGAAATGTTGAATACAGAGCTGTACGTATGCTTTCGTTTGAGTCGAAGTTTTTTCCAGCTGTTATATCTCGTACCTTCTCCAAACCAATAAAAAGAAGAGGATTCCTAACATGACGTAACCAATATTGCTGTAGACATTATTGAATGACCTATAAACATCAAATATATACGTTTGGTGTTGAGACACAAAAATTAAGTAGGCTAATAATTTAATGCAATATATGCATACAACATAGAATCTTTTCATTACTTACGATACAGGTCCCAAAGGACGACTACAGTAAAAGTTATAATAGCAAATATCTTGGTCACCACTAGCGTTCAATACCTGATAAAAAGACTTGACTGTAGACTATATGTACTATATACATATATGAAAAGAAAACTTATACTATAGCCATAATGATTGTATATATATAAGTTAATTTACCCTTTGATAAGTAAAGACTAGCTGAACGACAGGTAAAGCGTAGAACACAGCAATGATGATAAGATTCCTAGAAAATATATTTCCCGATCAATCCATAAACTATAATGATCATTAGTACACATTGTGAGTCAGTTTTGCACAAAAAACTGCAACAAACCAGCAATAAAGACTATATTTCTTTTGCAGTCGCTTTCTCTTCTTTTTCGATAAATCCGACAAACAAAGATCTTTCTAAAAACAAAGTGTTTATAAAACTGCATAGCCTATATATATATAGTTTGGTTCAAATGAGAACTATATATAATGGCACATGGCCTCTAACATGCACATGATATTTCGTAGCTTACAATTTTCTCCTACAGAAGATGGAGAACATGCACGTGCAAAATTGATATATGTAAACATGCATGGGGCTTCAAAGTTGTGACGCTATATATAATTGGCAGTCGAGTCGACTGGTGTTCTAGGAAGTATAATGAAACAATAAAAACCTTCAATCTGTAGATTTCTTTGTCTTCTTCGATATCATGAAGAAAATCAAATTCCCCGTCCACCTGACTACCATCGTCAATGCTTTGTTGTATTGTTTGCATATCATTTAGTTCTGAAGTCTGGCTTTGGGCACTCGTCGTCGTAACATTGCCTAAATCATATATGATTTGATACTACATCAGAAACAATAAGGATTTCTTAAGAATATTATTATCCCATTAACCATGCATGTATAGTGGCATGGTTGAGAAAGTAATTTAAAACAATTAAACAAACCTCTCTCTGTAGTTCCATAGTTGGAAATCGTACCACCTCCCTCAGGCATGATACCTTCATCTATTGAAATGTAACGATTGCCTTTCAGTTGTTCCAAATATCGATCATAATGTTGAATTTTTCTATCATAGTTTAAATTGTTCTACTTGTACAGAGGTTCTTATACGATCTACAGACTCTGGTTTAAAATATATTTGCATGTCAGTGGTTTCAATGTCATGCAGTGGTTTAATATATATTTGCATGGAATCAATTTATTATAAAGGGTCCTAACCTTCGTCTTCTAAAATATCCTGAGATGGAACAGAAAGTTTTCTCGCCCCATTTTTATATCTGTCACGTAAACAAATTATTATTACAAATTGTAACGGTAAATGGCCCCCCTATATTCAAAACATTAAAAGACATTCAGACATTCAGCTTTAATGAGCTCCATGCATGTAATATATACACTGCTTACTGATATAAAATATATAATGCCGAGGGGACGTAGAATCCAAATGAAAATACGAGAATAGGAATCACAATAGCCTTGGTATATTCATTCTCTATTTAAGAAAGAAAAATTAAATCCCGATCATGAAAGTGTAGTTAAAGGTTTTCTCGCGTCAAGGTTTCTAATCAAACAGTTGACAAATTTACGTTGATAAATTGAATTTGCTGCAAATATTAGGGTAAAATATTTTAAAGTTAACCCTCGTTTTAGTTTCTCTAAATATTTGTAACAATTCAAAATTAAACCCTATCTTTATACACAATTTCATCAAAATATGAGTCTGTCTATGAGAGAATTGCATGAATGTTGATATAGCTAATCAAAACAAGGAAAGTTGATCGAAATTATTATATATAGTCTGTATTTGTCTAGCTCAGGCTAGTGTTTGTATAAAGTATTCTAACAACGAGGCATGCATGCATGGTAACTGACCTGATGGTATCTTGACTATTTTAAGAGTTACAGATTTCTTTCTATCATTTTTCACATTGTTTTTCTTCAAACCATGATCAACAGAACTACTGCCTTCATAAAGAACACAAACTCTATGTTACACCAAAATCACACAAACCGCAAGTCATTCTATTCAACTTATTCTGTTTTATCTTTAATGAGAGCTTATTTTATCATCTGCCAATGCTGCGCACATAAAACGTGCTAAAATTACCTCTAAAGATATCATCATTTCTAAAAGGATTTTTATTATTTTTCCCCGATTTGCATCTTTCGTTATCAACCAGTACGACAGTTACAATGTAAAACTTATACGAAGGAAAATCGTCTTTCTGTGAACAGAAATTGTGAATTCTTTCTGTGAAACAAAAAACAATGAATTTTTCAAGATTTCTTTAAGTGTACATTATCTCACCTTCACGACTATTCCAGATTTGTATCTCATTGTCTGAAAATTTCCAGTAAATTCGACATTTCGTTCAAGATCAAATATCGGACACTATGAAAAATTAGCTTGGTGATTATATATATTATATTTATTTATTTATTTAACTATTTATTCGTTACATTACAAATTGAAGATAAACAAGAAAACGATCCAAGAACACTAACACAGCGTGAGCCAATTACGTTATAGCTAGTGACCTGTTACAATATTCAAGCATTACTAAAGTACGAGCGGCTGATCTGTATGGGTATTTAAACATGAATACTACAATAACAGTATTTAAACACGAACAGAATATAAGAATAACAATATTTGAACATGAACAGTAAAATAATTAACATGAACGCAACAATTACAAAGTACAAACGTGAAATAAGATTGCAAAATATTGCATCCAATGTCAAATTGTATTCATCGTGAATAAGCGCGAAGTTGAACCAGTTGGTGGTTGTGACCTTACTTAGAGTCTATATATAGACGAATCTATTGTCATAAAAATTTGTTTACTACCTTGGTACCTTGCACTGAGAGAATACTGCAAGCTGACATCCTAGATTCTGCCTTCACAAGCACTGTATCAACATCTTTAGAAAACTCAAAAGCATTTATCTGGAATTAATAAAACATAAATAGGTACTTAATTAACTTTACATTATATATACTGTATCAATATACTGGACTTATACCCCAGGACATTTTACCCGGGGAAATATTTACATTTTACAGGACATAATTATCTGTGACATACCATCGGTTCGGAAGGTGACGCATAAACTGTTTGAGAGTGATCAAGGCTGAAGGAAATTATATTAAGCAATGTCAAGAGAATAATTTCAAACTCGAGCACACTTTGGTTTAGCGCGCTCTAAGAAAAACTGAATTGGAAACATCGTTATTGATCTTAGAATAGCATAATAGAATTACAATAATTTATTCACACGAGAATCGGCAGAATAGACGTTTAAACGCTGTTACACTGTGCAACTTTCCTCGCAACTTGCAATGCAATTGCACTCCTTATTGACAAATACGAACATATTTCTCAGGCCTAGGTTCAACGTCGTATTTTGGTCGCGTCCAATGCAATTCAAACAATAGATAATAAGATGATAATGAAGCTTAAAGAGGTTTATCAGCTCATTATCTATTGTTTGAATTGCATTGGACGCGACGAAAATGCGAGGTATAACCTAGGCCTTACGATCTGCTGACGTTTTCTTAGCATTTCGAATTCTATTGTGTACGTAAAATCGGGTAATAAAGGAAATTGTTCTCTAGTGATCACTTGCACGAGATGTTTTTACTTTAAACCAGTCGCTCATTTCCTGTATTCTGTAAGACTAGCACAAAGGAGGCAACATTATTTACCTATAACTCAAACTCGAACTATTGCAAAATGCTAGTTAGGGGCTGTTCACAAGATTTAAAAACAATTCGACAAGCACCTGCTATTATTAGCATGACAAGTGACAACTCGACTGCTTGTTTTAAAAATTAATCAGTGAATTTACAGTCACATGTGCACTGAGTATATTTGCAAGAATTTGCCTAAAATTTGCAAAAAGTTCCCTGTATTAAAATCATTCTTTTGCAGTTAAAGGTACTTTTTTGAAACACACTGCATGTATATACTAGCTATAACACAGAGATATTCCAGCATGGGACACCAGAGAGAGGAAAAAGGATCGCTAGAGAATTTTACGTATTTTCTCGTGACTCTTGTGTCTGGAAACGTTTAAAGAATTAGAGTATGAAACATTTGGCATGCATGTACACGCAACCATATTGTGGCAAGACACTGTATGTCACTGTTAAAACAGGTATCGAAATGCCTCCTAATCGATCCGAAATTTAGAGACTTTATGAAACCAAACAAGAACATGATATTGTCTAGATATTAAATGATTACATTACTGTCAAAACTCAGCCGAATCATGCATACTTATTCCAATACCTCAAAATCATCTCACGCTTCGTTGAATTTCAGCTAAGCAGGATCATATAAAGGCCTGCCTGTTTACATGAGCCCGGTTACCCGAGATTCAACGAAGCGTGAGATGATTTTGAGGTATTAAAATGAGCAGATAACATGATCCAGGCAGTCGTATAATCACCACAACAATAGCATGTCCTTGTTTGGTGTCATAAAGACTTATTTCAATACCTCAAAGTCTTCTCATGCTCCGTTGAATCTCGGGTAACCGGGCTCATGTAAACAGCCCCTAAGCCGGTTTTCCACCAGGCGGAATTTTTCGATCGAACAAAATTTCTCGATTTTCTTTTCAATTGTGAGAATTCGACCGAGTGGAAAACTGAGTAGTAGCATTAACAAGGTTGACAATAGTATAACTGAATTTACGTTTGGCATAACTGAATTTACCTTTGTAAATGTTAACCAATATTATACGTAGAAAAGTACGAGCGGTCGATCATTTTTTCCACATATTTTTTCGCACCCACTCTTTAATAATACCGAAACCGCAAAACAACTGTGGAGTGTAGATATAACAATGTGTGTGTACACAAAGACTTACTTTAACATAAAATTGTCTAAAAGTTTGGGATAAAGAGAATACGCAACGACAGATGGTGATGAAGACGACAATGACACCCAGAAAAAAGGATTTGTCATATTTGTCTTTATGAATTGATTATCAGGACATAAAACATGAGATGTTGTTTCGTATGTTGACCTGCAAAAAATGAAATTTCAAGGCTCTATTTAGCAAATTCATTTCTTCAATTAATTATAATCTTATCAAACCAAATAAACAGCATGAGCACTCTTTTTAGAAAGGCTATGTCTATTAGTGATTAACAATGTTTCAATAAGATAATTTGGCGATGTAGACTAGGTTAATTGTACATTGCCCAACAGCCCATGGTGAGTAGGTTGTTTAATATTAACAGATACAGTTTCATACAACACTTACTTCTCTTGGCCAGAAAATGGAATTGTCCAAGATAAAACACCTTTCTGTTGTTGTATGACAACCAGTAAAGGAAAGTTGTGACTTGCATTAGAATTAACTTGAACAATCACTGCCTAAATATTTCATAGTATAATTAATACATCACAAATATTCTGACTATATAAAAGAATTTCAAATGGTTGGGAGGTTGATTGTTCAATGGACCTATTTTACATTGGAATAAATTCATGATCATGGCTATTGGCTAAAAGAGCACCACAAATCCAGTAAATTCAAAATTTTTAATAATAAAATAGTGTTGGGGAACGAAAAATATGCCCTCCATAGCTTTTGTATTATCTACAGACATGATTGTCTTGTTTTAATTAGTTCATGAAATACAAATATATGCTTAGATGATACCTTAAAAACTAAAAAAACAACATAAAAGTTAGTTTTAATAACTATTGAAAAATGGAACATTGCATCTCCAAGTTTTTTGAATTATCAAGTATTGTCCTATGTTTGTTCTTTTACAAACGTTTCTTCTTTTTAACAACTGACATGCCTGTGGCAGATTGGATGGTCACTTGTCAAGCAAAACATATTGCTTAGTTGCTCATTGGCAGTAGTGTAGTCAGCCTGGTGATTTGTTCTGCTATGCTAATATTTTAAAACAATAAATTTCTAAAGACATGAATAATTATAATAACATGAAATTTACATAGTGGGACAAAATTGTCAGGCTGGCTACTCCACTGCTCATTTAACAAACTACTCATTAGCAGACATCGCCATTGGTCTATGTTTTAGCATTAACTAAAACATATCCTATAGAGTGCTGATAGCTATTCCATGGGGACCATGGAGAAGAGGGTCTAAGGGGCCTATAGCCCACAATCTTTTTCGTCAATTATTAAAAAAATAAGGGAGCTTTAAACAGTATAAGACATTTTTCTGGTTGGGTCCTGCTGGAATTTTATAGATATGCATGATCTAATTATCATGCACACAACAGTCTTACATATTTATATATACGTTCAATTATTTATCTCTCAGTATATATTTAAAAACAATATAATAACGGTACTTCAAAAATATTTTGATTTTGATTCCTAATTTATATTTGGTACTATATACTCTGAGATTATGCTCCTAAATAAAATTCGGTAACAATTTGCAGACGGGTAGTGTGCAATTGCCAGGGTTTGTGCAGCTGTTGATTCTGTTCTGTTTATAAGAATGTGGGGCCATGCCGGCCGCTAAAATTTCTGACTCTAGCTTATAAAAAACCAAAGCAAATCATGTGCGTCATATTTCAAAAATAGAACAGTTCAAAATGTAAACAACAAACTTGAATGTGACTGCAGTGCTTTCAATATTTATTGAATCCTATTTCACTGTTCAGTCAGTTGCTATTATTTAAAACTTGATTTCATAAACATACCGTATCGTTTCTTAAATGGTCTATATAGTGGAAATTATAAATGTCCTCTTTGCTAACAGAGACAGTTCCATTCGTTTGACTGCCAAATGTACCATTGTGATAGTTCGCAAAACATGGCGATCTTCTTTTGAAGTTGGCTTTTACAATCCAAAACAGTGCAAACAGTACATACAATTGCCCGCATAAAGTGAATTTCATTTTTTTATTCCTTAAAGTATTAAAACGACAACATAGCTTAGCCTAGGCAGCCTGACTTTGACTTGCGCGTGTGATACCCGCGCGTGTGCCGCGCTTACTTTGTTTTCTACGCTTTGTTCACTGGCTTTGTTATTACTCGTCTGCACACGCGTTAGTGGTAATATCACACGCGCTAGTGGTTGTATCACACGCGCAAGTCAAAATCTGGGCTGTCTATACCTCACTGATAACCCGAGGTAAAGCCAGAGCCGTATGTAAAACATAGTATTACTGGTTTCCTCACAATAGTAGCAGTTTTCATATGTCACGACCTCGTCGTAGCATGGACTTACGATCATAGATGATACCACTCTCGAACTCTCGGAGTGACAACCACTGAGGTGACAACGCTTATTTTCGGGAAAAGCCAAACTTGCGAAAAAAAAGAAGCCAAAAAAGCGAAATATTAAAAAACAATCAAAGAAGCCATACGATTAATATGATGTGGCAATGATTGGGGCGAAAGTACTGACCTATCTAGTATTACGGGTCCAAGTTATAATATCTTTGCCTGTGAGCGGATCAGTGAGCGATGTCTCTGTTATTCGAGCTGTCAGTTTGTCTCGTCACATCGGATTAAGTGATAAATTATTACGCTTTATGTTGATTGGCCCTGGAGCGAGGGTCCGAATTTTTATACATGGACCATGTAACATGGTTCATAATATCACAGTTAATATAATATAATAAAATAATATACGGTATTTATACCACTGATCTGAACACACTGATCTGAACACACTGCAGTGCTTTCACAAACAAATTTTCAATTTCCCTAGGAAAAGGGCGAAAAGTCCTTATATTTCAATAAAATTCCTTAAACAAGTAAATAAATGAAATAAATAAATGGGAAAAATTCATCCTTCGTTCATTTACGTTTTTTGAATATGTTTGATAATACTCATAAAATTTACGAGGTAGACCTTCTCCAAAAGGTGCCTTTTTATACAACAAAAATATATACTACTCCCGCACTAGCATTATTGGTAACTAAGGTGTGCACCCCCTGCATAGTTAACCCCGAAAATGGTTCAAGGTTCAATCCGCTTTTTGCTACCACCTTTCCTCCACTTGAATTATCAAATGCGTTTCATGTTGTCATCACGACTTCATTAAACATTTTCCGACGGATGGCCCAAAACAGATTTATGGACCCAATATTGGCTATTTCACCCTTTGTAGTGTTGCCCACAATTTTTGTGCTTTTGGCCTGATGACGAACGATTGCCGTGTATATAAAACTACCAACGAGGCTAGAATGCAATAGAATAAGAGGATATCCTACAAGGATTAAATTACTACCGGAAAATGGGGGAGGTAATTTAAATAATACACCCAAAATTATACGCCGTTCTGATTGGCTAGATTTTACTAATTGTTTAGAGGAGGTATTGAATTGCTTTCCCGTGTTCCACGACAACTCATGAATCATGATCGGATTTTTAGTAGATAATCACAAGACAAAAGCGAGGAAAGTCGTGTAAGATATGCCTAGAAATTTCGATAATTTGAGGTTGGTTAACCTATAAGAACTAAGAGTTATATGACTGTGCTATATTGTTGCTACAGTAAGTACAATTGCTCTCTGTTGCAAAAGTTGTCCTGAGGTAAGTTGGGTCAAGTTGTATTATTGTTTTGATTTAAATACATTTCCGTTTGCGCTTTGAAGTATTATTCGGTTGAAAACCTGTTCTACATATTACTTTATATCATGCTTTGAATAGTCCTTGATCTATTTACTCAAACGTTTTGTGATAGTAAATTTCAACGAATCCTTAAACCAAACAAGTACAACAATATAAAGCTATAAACTAAACATCGAATCACAGATATTGTATACTTAATATTTAATATTTTTTGAATTCTGCTGTTTAATGTAAAAAATGCAAAAGCCTGCTGCATCACAATATGATAAGGTATACTATACGTATGATTTATAAGCGAAGTTATTTGAATATTTTTTATCATATCAAAAATGTATATTGTCATTATTGTGTAAAGCGTCTTGCATATGTAAAGCCCAACTGCGAGACAGCGTGCTTCTCACGCAACAGTTCCCCGTTAGTTTCCCGAAAACACAAGTTTATAGTTCATCGCAGTGCATTTAAACCTTTAGACGATATATGTAATAATTGTTACCCCTTTTAGATTATTCATATTCTTTATATGAATCAAAATCAAGCATATATGTGATGTTGTGTTGATGTTGTATTATGTAGCGTGGTTTCGACCGAGATTCCCAATCGTTATTACTACAAAGTATAACCCGTTCGGTTTGGTGCTTTAGCTTTCTATTGTCGAAACGTTTTACTTTTTCTATCAACCCTTCTATCATTTTATTGCCTAGCTTGGCACTTGGCCATTTAACCAACCACAGAACCAACGCGTAATACTTTTTGGTTGCTACAGCACCCTGAAGTGCGCCCTTAACAAAGCAATATATATCTAATGGAGATTTTTCATCAAAAACACTAACTGAGACACAGAATCGCCATTGATATTTTCCGTATTTAGTAGCAGATGTGATTGTAATAATTAGACAATGACGCTTCGTAGTTTTTGGACGCCTGCCATCTTGTATTTCAAAATTCGTTTGCAAATTTAATATTTCTGTGTGCCTAAACAAGTGCTCATTTACTTTCGCCTAATATCTGCTTATATATCCTTTCTCGCAGGTTAAATGGCGATAAACTATTGCTATAAGCATTGTAAAATATCGAAGGAATATAGATTAAACCTGAACAGACCCTATATGTATTACAAGTGGTATATTAAAGCGAGAAATCCTATGGAGAAATATGTCATTAGGATTCTTACAACCTGTGATAAGTTTAGTTTTCTTGGCGCCGGTCGGCAAGTTTGTTCAAGCACTTTATTAGATATGTTAATAGAAAACTATTACACCCAGCTGCTAAGGACAAAAGATTGATTTCTGTGCTAAACGTATGGCTAGTATTGCTTAAACAATACCATAAAAAACATACAGTAATTTATACCACTACTGCCGCTGCCGGGCGCAGAGCGTCCGCGTCATCCATAATAATAATAGATAATACAGTCTTTCTGGATTGTATAACTGGGAGCCACCTATCCAACCTGAGGGTTTCCCTTTGGAATTAAAACTGCCCAAGAAACCCTGTAACCTCTTATAAAGTGTTTAACCCCTTCAAAATGTCATTCAACCCTCAACATAAAATAGTAAAATCATTAGAATGTTCAAATTAATCCTATTTTAGCCATAAGACATTTTAACCCTCCTGGCAGCTGTTAGTGGCCTTAACAGTGAACTGCTGCTAGTTGCAGCCATTTTCAGCCTATTGCACTTTCCTCTTCCTGAATGAAAATGTGCCCCTCCATCCTGTTTGTACCTTTATAACAATATTATGGTTAAAATCAAGTCACACATGTAACATAAAATTATATATTATTATAAAATTCAATAAAATCTCTGATTCAAGCAGTTCCACCTCATCCTAAAAAGGATTTAGGTAGGTCTATATTTTTATAACAATTCATTTTTTTAAATTTACACATACATACATTCATACACACGTGTGTAATCAGTGGCATAACTAGAATGATAATTGGTGGGTGAGTATTCATATATTCAGTTCTGCCCTACAGATTTCTTTTGTAAGTGCAATAACATACGATAGAAGTCTGTTGGGCAGAACTGAATATATGAATATTCCCCCCCCCCAATTATCATTCTAGTTACGCCCCTAAGTGTAATGATGATTTAAAACACAGAAATTATGCTGAATCAAAGTTAGCTGGAGAACCACAGAGGTTAAATGTGCATTATAACAAAATCAGTGGTCATATATTTGGCATTTAGTATATGTACCTTCAATTATTAAAATACCTTTGAAAAGTTCATATACACTCCTTTAGTATTTGAATGAACTGTTTGACTCCTTCCAGTTGCTTTTTGTACTATGTTCTTAGTGACATGAATGCTTTTCAAGGTATCTTACACATGTTAATAGATTTCCTTATAGTACAGTTATTTCTGTGGAAATTAATGACATGAAAAGGTATTAATGACTCTGAGGTGAAGAATTGTTGGGAGCCGCAATTTCCCTGAAAGTTGTGTTTTTACTAATTAACAACCAGCCTGATGTTTCTTGGTTTTGCTTGTAATATAAGTAATGTTAAGTGCTCAATTTTATCACTTTAACATGCCATTGGATTATCCTAAGTATATTATAATAAACAACCCATCTTGGTCACAATACAGGGTAAGAATTCCCAGTACCGCAATATATATATTATATTAAATTAGATATTTTGATCCCAAGTTAATTTTTGAAGTAAATAAAGAATGAAAAAAATTTCAAAAAAGCTCAATTAGCATACAGTTTTTTTAATAAAAGTTGCTCATATTTCGTAGTTTCACTTCTTTTTAATTGCGCACTGAAATTTTGGCAAAAGGAGTTGAGGATCCAGGACGATAATGTTGTGGCTCGTTCTTCCATCTGTCTTGTACCAAACTGCGCAGAAAAGAACTAGAAAGAGTTTGGTCAATTGATGTAAAATAGCGAAAAGCTGTTAAGGATTAGACAATTGGTTTGATAGATTTTTTGGATTTCTAACCAAGAAATTTTTTACACCCTTCTATTAGCTACCTAAAAAAATTTGACCAGCCCCGTTAACAGCCCAGTAAAGTGTATTCGGGTCAATCAAATTTAATTTTATTTGTCCATCAATGCTTTGTGTAGGGCAGAATGGCTCGAATTCCTTGGGTCACCACCGTCTTGTGGATATTTTTCCAAGGAAACTGGCTCGCTGGAGCCCAAGGTAGGTCTGGCAATGTTACGAAATATATTTAGCAATAATTCATGATTGTCGCAAACAACTGAGGGCGTATAAAACTTCACACACCAAACCTTAAATTTTGTTTTTTTCCAGTTACGGTTCAACCGCATGTTTCTCTTTGACTGCAAATTATATTTTATTCAAACTCACATGGCTATTAACATGGTTGAATCATTTTGACATTGGTTCATCATATTATTTTAGCACCTTTAATCACTCGTCAACCATCGAATACTTACGCAGCTAAAAGTGGGATTGCAGAATTGATCTGTGAGGCAAATGGCACAGGTCCAATAAAGTATAAATGGTATCATAACGGTCAAATTGTTCAGAGTATTGAGCGAAAGAGAGTCCTGAGTAATGGACATTTATATATAAAGCGTTTCCTTCATAAGAAAAAGAAGGGCATTTCAGATACTGGAGAGTATTATTGTTTGGTGTCGGATACTCATGGTAAAAAAGCACGAAGTAGAACTGTTAATATCAGTTTGGGACGTAAGTATTTTAAATATAGTAGATGCATGTGCAACCAGGTTTACACAATTTTTGCACTTACAAGCTTTCGGGTAATATTAAATCTCCAGTCTTCAACGGGTAGAATACAAATGTGAAAGGGATGCTAACAATGAAATATGAAACTACATGTGAGTTTATTTATGATGTGCTGACTCTGAAAGAGATATATAATTTTTACAAGCAAATACCCACCCTTTTTTTAAAGTTTTATAAGCATCGCCATTATCAGCTTGATCAAATAGAGCCGTGTGCCAAGATTATCGAAATCGAAAATGACCTTGTCACTAACTTCTGCCGCATCAAAATCAATCACGTGGTCCAATATTATGACCGTACATGTTTGTCTATTTTAGGCAATTGTTATACCACATTTAACATACATGTAGTTTCATATTACATTGTTAGCGTCCTTTTTACATTTGTATTCCACCCGTTGAAGGCTATAGACTGATATAGACTGACGTTTAGGACTATAGACTGATATAGACTGACGTTGAAGGCTATAGACTGATATAGACTGACGTTTAGGACTATAGCCAAAAGCTTGTGATAAATTAATATTTCAACCAGAGAACGTTTTTAAAAAAATATTTTATTTATTTATTTATTTAAAACGCATTAAAACCAGATGTATTATTGAAATAGAAATATAGATAATTGTAAAAATTCTAGAATCACTCATGTCACGTTAAATTCTTCTTAGACTTGTCGTCTTCTTCGACTTCTTAGACTTGTGGTCAATTATTGTTTGACAATTGTCCACCTAAATCCTCTTTAGGATGAGGTGGTAATGGAACTACTTGAATGAAATCTGTACTGCATCTGAAGATCGAGTCATATCATTCCACTACTTTTGGCCTCAAAAACACCCGAAAATTATTTGAAGTTTTAGTTATTTTCTTTCTCAAAAAAATGTCATCAATGTCCTTATTGTTGAAATCGTGCAATCTACGTCACAGTTACCTATTGTTATTTTTTATTCCAATTTAAAGACATCCGTAAAGAATTTCGTCGTCATCCTGTCAGTCAAACTATTTCTCGTGGAGGACGATTGACATTAACTTGCAATCCACCTCGTGCGAAGCCTAGACCTAAATTACGATGGTTAAAGGATGAGAGAAATGTTGATGTTGACGGAACTCGAGTATTGCTCGAAGAACGCTCACAAAAATTGATTGTTAAGCATTTTAAGAAAGATGACGAAGGAAGTTATAGATGTGAAGCGACGAATGTTGCTGGAAGGATACTCAGTAATCCAGCTATTATTACAAGTACAGGTTAGAAAGATTCCACTTTTTTTCTGTATTCTCGCAGTCATGTAGGTATTATAGCGGGTTGAGATTTGTAACCGTTAGCGTTGGCGTAACGGTAGCGTTGTTGAAGTCAAATCTTAACTTTTCGTCAGAAGGATTGCTTAAACCAATTGTTTGCATGATCTAGAAGATTAAATCTGTGCACAGGCAAGTTGCAGATTGACAGCACGATGGCTTACAGATGGCTTACATAGTGTGCCTGTTAAGAGTATATATAGAAAATAATATATACAGAATATGTTGCACGTAAATATGGATTTTATTTCAAATTTTGAAGAGGATGTTAAACTGATATTAACGATCGAGCGCAAAATGCTGAAATGGTCTGTTGTCAAGCGTGTCTGATCGTGGCAACATTTTTGGTTTGTCAAACATGCATCTTACGCGAAAGTGGTATTTTTACGTCGGTTTAAAGCTTTAAATACGATTTTTCTTACAGGCGAAAACCCTGTATAACACTTATTTTTCTTATGATAATAGTTCTGTGCCGTTCTCCTAAGATGTCCTGTATATATTATTGCATTTTATTGACATCCCGTTTGTAGTTGCTCCCACGATTGTATCTGTACCAAAAGACAAAGTCATTGATATCAGTATATATGAGGAAACTACACTGTCATGTAAAGCTAACGGAGTACCATCCCCGAAGATAATATGGAAAAAGAAGGGGAATAACACGATATTGCCCAGTGTTGATGGAACGTTAACTTTAACAAAGTTAAAACGACAGGATATTGGGGAGTACATTTGTATCGCTGTTAACCGTGAGGGAAATACCTCGGCTACTGTTAATCTCATGTTACATTGTAAGTATATACCTAAGATTAGTTGGGAGAAAGTCTGCCACCCGATCTAAATTTTTTAATGCCATTCGATAACAGAGACGGTTTTGGTGGAATATATAAACAGACTTATACATACAGTTTCTTTAAAATGCAAGCTATAAGGTGTATATGGTGATAATTGTGACAAAATGACAAAATAAAACATAAATACCGACGGCTTTTTCTAAGCGAAATTACATACGGGCATAGCTTTTTTAACCATGAAAGAATTATAAGAAGAATCATATTGTTTCCCCAAGTTCGCCCAGACAGATAATATGATAATTTGCGTTTGAAAGTCAAGGGTAGGATAGAGTGGAAATTATCTTCTTGCCAAAAGCGTTAATGCTAGGAAAGGATGTGAAGATTCTGCGGTTGTTCTCATTTAGTTTTATTTCCCTTTCTTTTCTTAGATTCTTATTTATTTTAATCCCTATCTTCAAAATCGAGAAATTTGTAGAAACTGCTAGCTAGTGTGATCGTTCTCGTATTAAGCCCTGATTCCGCGGACGAAATTTTTGCTTCTTTTAAATTGTAAGCAGTCAAGCAGGATTAATTTATTAAATTCGCCGAGAAAAAGCGCCTGTGGATTCTGGCCCGTAGAGGTTAATTTTAATTCCAAGGTCCGCCCCATCTCTTGACGCTCCTGTATCTAATAATTTGTCTCAAGCATACAAATCATAACGTGTAAACAAAGGCTGTAAAATGACGTAAAGTCAAAGAATGCATAACTCCAAGCTATATTATTTTTCAGACATCCCCGAGTTTACAGATTTGTCATCAAACGTTAATGAAAAAGAGGGATCAACTGTAAAACTAAAATGCCTGGCAAATGCTGAACCTTCTCCATTAATAACTTGGCGTAAGGATAATCAACCCTACGTTGTAAATCATTGGTATGGACATATTCAAGCTCAACTAGTTGGCAGAACTGCGTACCTAATATTTAAACCACTAAAGATTTCTGACGCGGGAAACTACACATGCGAGGCTAGCAATAAGATAGGGGCAAGAAGACGTCACATCAATCTTCGGGTCTATAGAAAGACCCAATATGCTCCAAATATAGCCACACCACAACGGAAGATCTCTGCTGATATTAACAGTAATGCAACAATTATCTGTGATGTCAATGGGAACCCAAAACCGACTGTAAAATGGCTCAAATTTGGTCAAGATGGTGTTCCGAGTGATGGGGTGATTTATAAAGATGAACAATTAGGAAGAAAACATCGTTATTCACTGATTATTAATAAAGTGCAACAAAGTGATGAAGGAACGTATCAGTGTGTTGCTGGCAATATAATTAAGTCTGTCAGCCAGAATGTTGTTCTGCAAGTGTCTGGTAAGTCTATTATAGTGTATGTATATATAATATAGAATAAATAAGTCGAATATATTGATTGTATGAATAGGTATTCTCATATTGAGGTGAGAGTGGTTTACCATTACAGTTAAACCGGATGTTCTCTTGCGAACAACTCTCCAATGTGACGTAATGTTGAAATTTTGATTGGTAAAGGCCCGCTTAAACTTGCAATTTTTGTTGCGATTTTATGTGCGATTTTTTTCTTTTGATAGATGTGAACGAGTGAATTAGTTACTACTGTTCAAACAGGAGCTCTTGTACATCAGAGCATTCGTAAGCTAATTACTAATTCACATCTGTCAAATGAGGAAAATCGCACATAATATCGCAGCAAAAATCGCAAGTGTAAACGGGGCCTTAAGTCAGGTAAGTCAATCTAAGCGATTAGATTAACCGTCGCCCGCGATTGCGCGTTTTTCAAATTTTCCAATCCTGTTTTTACTTGTTACTCGTTTCATAGAATTTAAAGATATTGTGTAATAGTATTATTGCGGTATCTGCTGTGTTCGCAGACACTTGAGTGTTTCACTGTACTGCAGTAGCAACTTCTCTTTCCAAAAGGAAAAATATGGTAGCTTATAAGCTTTATGGTCTTGGGGATATAGGTTTCTCAAAATCCACTTTAAGATTGCTGTATTTATTTAAACTCCATTTTCTAGTTTTTCACAGCTATTCACCTTTGTAAATGTACCTCCGCTTATGAACCAGAGAGTAAAAAATATTGTATGAGCAGTGTTAATTATAATTAATTAACAAAAGCAAAATTAATTATAATTAAAAATACATTATTTTAGGAAAGTTACGTTTGTCTCAAAATATCAGACCTGGTGTCCCAAGCATGCCAAAGAATGTAAAAGTTGTAGAGTTTAACGATCGCTCGGCGTGTATCACGTGGGATCGTAGTGATGATTATGTGATAGTCTATGCTGTTGGGTATATCAATGTTGATTTGAGAAGCGATGAACATTATGCATCTCGCGATGTCCCTTCTACAGAAAGGAAATATGTTGTACAGGGGTTAAAAGAAAACACTCAATATATGTTCTTTGTATGTGGAATCAATAACATTGGAGATGGTGTACCTAGTCTACTGTCCAGTGTTATCAGGACAAAGTCAGCTTCTCCCACAAGTAAGTTCATCTAGAAATGTACAGCGTAACACATTTTTGTTTATACATATTCCCTGATATCTTTTCGTGTAACTCTCCATGTAATTGCTCTTTATGTTGCTGGTGCCCCATAACCCCTATTTTAGAAGTCAGTTTTATTTGGAAGGTCATTTGATACTATGTATGTATTGTTAAGGTCCGACAGTCAGGATACCTACGGTTTTTAAACCGCGAAAATTAAAGATCAATTTAAGTTCTGCAGGAGCAGGAGAGCTTGTTGTTTCATGGGACAGGTTAGATGGGCCAGAAAAATATGATGGTTACTATATTTATTGGAAAGTTAAAGGCGAACGATCGCAATATCAGATAGAAACGCTTCAAAATAACTTATCGACGCGATACAAGATTAGTGATTTGCAAAACTCAACCACGTACAGTGTATATGTTCAGGTGTTTAAGGGCTCATTCAAGGGTCTTAATAGTACAAACAAGGATCAGTCTACGTCAAAGGAACCCGTGACATTAAAGATGAGTGTTACACAGAATGATTCGGATAGTCTGACGGTCACGTGGAAACGGCTGTGGAAAAAAAACAGTGGGGAAGATACTTTGAAGACATATGCTGTAAATATGCCATTGTCATTGTTATTGTCGGTTTTTGTTATTGTTATTGTTATTGAAAGTCCACTCTGTAACTGTTTCACGGTTAGTGTTTGTGACCTCATGCAGATTTAAACAGCTATGCTAAAAACCTTTAACAATTTTTACAACGTCTGAACTTGTTCACACACGTCAATTATACTACGATCGTACTTGTAACCAAAAATTGACTGTTCACAATTCAACTCAACGCAATTCTCCCCATAATTTCCGCTTTGGTAATTTACAATCATCTCATTTCTTTTTCAGCTATTAAAAGACATGCTCGCTCTCACTTTGATTTTGCATGGTATTGTAGATTCAGAAACAAAAATGTTAGATCGAGGCTTAACATTTCCACCTTAGGATACCTTTCTATCACAAAGAGCTGTCACGAAGCAGTTAGATATAATTACACAGGGTGTATCAAAATATGGTAACCCAATTAAGCGCGCTATTGTGCGTAAATTATTTCATTACATTACATTACATTAGCAAGCGGGATTTTTATAATATGATAGATCAAGATTTGTATGTGTTGAATGATTTGTTTTGCGTACCAATATGCGTAAGTACGGTAAGAATTGCTCTAAGACAGACAATAGAAAAGCAATTAATCATGAACATGGCGGGGCAATTAACTATGCAAAGCCACGAATAATGAGTGCTGGTTTTCTCTAAATAGTACAAGAATGAGTCATTCAAAAGCGAAATGCCTGATCTATCATAATATGAAAGAATTGCGCTATTTTATCAAGTAATTTGCGCACAATTCCACGCTAAAAGTTTGGTTACCATTTTTTTTACCACCCTGTAAATTAAACATCCTGTTTTTAAGGATGGTATTAATCTCCGCCTTCTGTACCGGAATGTTTTTTTTGGTGTTAATAAACTTGTATCATGCCTGTCTTGTTTTAGATTTGGTGTAGTCCAGTCAACAATCATGAAGAAGCCCGTCGTCGTAAAAGAAGAGCAGAAAATGGTATCCTAATTCCTGCCTCTCGCGAGCTGTATCACTATATCATTGGTGATTTAACTCCTGGAGCAAGTTATACAATCTGGATGAGCGTCGCAACAACACTTGGTCGCACTTACACTAGCCCTCAAAAAAGCATTGTACTTCGCTTGCCTGTTGCTAATACCAAAAAATCGAAAATGGACCAAATCAAAGATTTCATCATCCAGCCATGGTTTCTTGGTGCCTTAGGAGGTGTAATACTTCTTCTTATTTTGATTTTATTAATGTGCTGTATCTGCAGACGTTCTTCTACGAAGAAAGATGTGGACTCCATTGAATTACAGGACGCAAATTCACCCGAAGCGGTTCGTAAGGCTCCAAGGTAATCTTACACATGTGGTAAAAATGGAGTGGATAATGGCGTGGTTATTAAACCAAGAACATTATATTGAATATATATTGTACAACCAAGTCTATAAACTATTATTATACGAACATATTAAATATCTTTTGGTATTTTGTTTTGTTTAGTAAAGGAGCAAGTGCTGAAGGCGATGCACTAACACCCGCAAGTCGTACAGGAAGGGAGAGCTTGTCTGAATGTGGTGCTGATGATGGCAGATCTAGCAGTGTCTACAGATGTAGTGAGTACACAATTAAAGTTTAAATTTTGTCTTTATTGGAAAATAGAGTAGGTGCTTTTCGAAATACTGTAGTCAGTGCAAATTTGAATTTGAAAAGGGGTATCACGTGTATAAGCCAACTGGCAAATCTGGGATCGGTTGTATAAGTTAGGCCCGTTTCAGACGTCGAACATTTCATTTGACGAACCTAGTTTAGGCATGGGTTAATAATGGTTAATATCATCTCATTATCTATTGTTTGAATTGCATTCGACGCGATCAACATGCATGGGACGTATAACTTAGGCCTTAATGACCTAAAATCTTTGTTTAAGTTCATTTACATTCGATTCGGCACATGATCATCTTATCATCTTATTATCTATTGTGTTTGAATTGCATTTGACGCGACCGAAATGCAACGTTTATCCTAGGCCTAAAACAGGCCTTAGTTACGACTCAGATTGCCCAATTTTGTCCTTAAATAAAGTTAAAAGCGAAATGCGAAAGCGTTTAAAGTAATTTGACTAATTTAATGCTATAAAACAATTTGATAAACGGTTTATTATTATTTACAGAGATTACAATAAAAAAATGTTCACAAGCTATGTCCCATGTCCTTCAACATTTCAGCACAAAGAGTTGTTCGCCTGTGCAATGTGCATATATCACGAAACACTTTCTGAATCATCTCAGCTCGCTGCCGTAATGTGTTGAATCACGCGTTAATAAAATGTGTTACAACAAATATTTGAAGTTTAGAATTTTGACGGTTCCGCGCTGATATATTGCTATCGGGTTGTTAGTGTTTATAGCTGTTAGTTCAAAAAGGAATATTAGGAATGCTACAATGCCCATTCGCAGGCTGAACAGTAAAGCAGTGATTGTTATTAACGGTGTCGCCACCAAATAGGTTTATCGCGCTTTCGTCGTATTTTGTTATTTCGAGTTAACGCTATTTCGTTACACTTTTAATTGGAAGGTTCTTCTGTTTTTGTAAGTGTTATAATCATGAATTCTGAGACACTCGGCTGTGTAAATTACAGCGAATTTTGTAAGAAATGTAAAATTAATTACTAGCGAAAAAATTAATGCAGTTACTTATGTAAGGTGTTGATGAGTTGACAAGACTTTTGTTCCAGTAGTTATGATGTGAAGTTACACACTAAATAAGGATTGTAGTAAAATCTTGTGAAAGCACATTAATTTACCTGTAATAGATAAGTATTAAATACTGGATATTTAAAACAGTATTTTCTATATTTTAGGCGGTTCACCGAAGTCACAAACACGTAGTGATCTGGATTTTTCCAACATTGCTATTACACCGAACAAATATGAAAGAATGTATCGATCCCTAACAAGAGATGACACTGGTAAGACTTGTTTATAAATGTTTAGTGTTATTACATTAATTGTTGTATAGTCTCTTTTATACAACGGACCTTTACATGCGTTTGCAAAACTCTTTGTGCATGCCAAAGTTTTCCTCGACAGCGTTGACCATCTTCATATGCAAAGCTTCTCATAGTCCTACACCGATGTGGAAATTTCCCTCATCAATAATCGGTGTATGCATGATATTCAAGGAATTTGGTGATTTACGATCCAAAATTATATGCTATTTCACAAAGTTAAAAAATTGCAGTGTTCATTTAGTGCCAACATGGTGATCCTGATACAATGTTTTATATTAACAGTATCCGCTGGACATCAGAGACTCTTTGCACAATTTAAATATTATTAATATATATACTCTCATATCAGTGCACGAAATAGTTGCTGCAAGATTGTGTAGTGATTAGCGCTAAAAGTGTTATGTAAAGCGAACTCATCTTTTATTAATTGATTCTTTTATCCTTGTGCGAGGCCATTCTTCGAGCCATATTTACATTTTTCTATTTCTTTGTATCAAAGTTGTAAACCAGCTGTTTTCACCTGTAGCAAAATACAATCGTCCGGCAAGAAAATATTCGGAAAATGATTTTGACAGTCCCTCAAGATACAACCAAAGAGCTCGCAATCCTTACTCCTCTGCGCCAAAACCTTCATGTCCTAACATTGATAGCCAAAGTGACTATGATAATGCGAAGTCTAAGTGTGAGAGCACGCCTGAACCCTCAACCTCGCGAACAGCTACCACACGTAGTCCATACCCAGGAGAAGCTCCTCCTGATTATGAAACTGCTATTTCTGAAAACTGCAATGAGGTTGATCCTGGGAAAACACGAAATAAAGAATCTCGGAATAATTATAAAGATGCGCGTGACAGTCACTTGCCGTATAAACATGATAGATATGGTAATCCTTCGAGTCGTCAGTCATCGTGTAGTCCTGGCAGTGAGTGTTCGAATCAGGGTAGCTCTATAGCAGGACGTAGGAAAGGACTTAAACCTCTACCTCGGTTGACAATTGCAAGTGTGAACTGGGCAGATATGTTACCCCCGCCACCTTCACACCCTCCTCCTTCTAGTGTGGCAACACGTTCACCACCCCCCTCACCCACTGCTACATCAATGTGCAGTGAGACAACGTATGGTCGTTCCCATGCCTCTTCTTTCCACCCCCGCCGCTCAGGTTCCGTCGTCTCGGCCGACATGGCGTCGGACTTTGAGAAAGACACTGCAGATTCTGTACGCAGTGGCAAATCTAAAGGAAAATCTGAAAATAAATTACCGTTTGATCTCGCTGGTATAACCAGTGATATTATCATGCAATGGGCTGATTCGGTGACTAACACAAGTGGTTCTGATGACGAATCACCATGTTCCAGTCCCGATCGTAGAAGTGGTATAAGTAGCGATGGCTCATTCCTCACTGACACTGACTTTGCAAATGCTGTTAAAGCTGCCGCAGAGTGTGGAGGATTTAATATTGATATTGATCTAAATATGTATAAAGCGATGGATCCTATTAGTTTTCAACCATTTGCAGGAAGTTTATCAACTTACAACCCTGAGACTACAAGCAGGTATGTTATTAATTAAGCCCCATTTACACTACACTCGATTTATTGGTACGGCACGGATAAAATTGGTTTCCTTACCCAGTTCTATTAGTGTTCGGGCTACCAATACAGAGGCCGAGCATGGATGAGATTGGTACCCGTGCCCGTACAACCCCCTGATACGGATGAAATGGGCACAGGTGCCCGATTAATGGAGTGTGATTGCAAACGAGGCTTAAAGATTGTTGTTACTTTTTTCTGGAAAAACTCTGCAAGGCAGTTTTCCAATTCCAAATTTTTCTACGGTACGGTAAAGGTGAAAAACAGGCCTAAGATTTATCCATTCATTTAAAAAGAACGGCTTTTAAAACTATACCTTTTTTGCAGTATTAAACCACCGTCAAAGAAATCTGTAACCAAAGATGGAGATAGTTTGCGAGAATCATCTCGTGGACGTCGCTCTAGATCTGAAAATTCGCGTGATGTAGGCTTAACCTCAGTGAAAGAAAATTCATCCTTATCCGTTCATGCGTCTGAAAATAAGAAAAATGGGAAACAAAGAAATGTCATTGATGGGTAAGTAGACTATGGATGTACTGTCTCTCAATTTTGTGCTCTATAGCCTCACAAATACCTTATGAAAATGACGTGTTGTTGTGAGTGATAAACATTTTTCTTTTTTAAGTTCAACAAACGTTAGTACAGGTTATGTTCCAGCGCTTACACGTACTTCTGCATTGGGAAAACTTGAACCTGTAAACCGCGGACCAGTAAAGAAGAAATACGCTATCGTGAAAACCATACCTCAGGTTCAAGCAGAGGGTACTCCTGATTATACACCGAACTATCCCAGCCACAGTCTTAGCTCAAGTACAAGTAACGCAAGTACTGTGCGGAGTAGTTCATGTCCTCCTGTCATGTTGTCTGACGAAGATACAGAGGATGACGTTGTGAGTAGTTGCAAATTACAACAGTTGCAAAATTGAAGCTTTAATTATAACTTGAATGTAGTCAATTACAACTGATTTTCGATTGACGATAACCAAGAAGGAAGCAGCAATAAGTTTCACTGAAATCATTAAATCGCAAGCATCATTCATACATGACCTACAAAGATGAGAAGAACAACACCGAATTATAACATTTCTTATACCTGTTTTTCAAAATTCCCCTAGTTCGTTGTCTCAAACGATTTTTGAAAACATTATATATTTTTGAAGTGTATACATGCTCCCATTCTGATATGGTCAGTTAAAAAGGCACTTAAGATGGCTCTATACAGTATATTTAGTTGCTCTCTTGCGCGTGGAAACATTAATAGCCTCGCGATATTTGTCTAGTTTTATTTTCGAACGCACTGCCAAAACCAGCAAGAAACATAAACATGAATGCTGCTATCAGAATCAGAACAATCAGAACAGCACGCGCGACGCGTGTTTGTTTCACGTGATGCGTGTTTTGGACCCCGTGCGTGAAACTGCACACGTGATTAAATTTTTGGCCAAAAAAGCGTGCTATATCTCGTTATCTCGTACGGTGACCTATGCGGATATTTTGCATGCTGTATTGTACTACACACGTCTCTCATAATATCAAAAATTAAAGATTCTATAATGGCAAAAAAAATTATCGAAAAAATGTCATTTTTGCATTTTTCAAAAATGTAGCATTATTGATTTTTTTTATATTTTGTTAATTGTTTTTATTCCAACTAAAATATGAACGAAAAAAATTTGGGGTCACCGTTCTTTTCCAACTATCCGAGGCGATTGGTCATTTTGGAGTGAATTTTGTACACGTATGTCGCCATTGCAACGGACGATCTGTTACTAAAACTAATACGATTCAAAAGTAGAGACATCAAGATATATAAAACCCCAATATCTCTGGAATAAATCATAAAAGTGCGTTGTTTGAACGTGCCAAAGTGATTGAACAATGGAATCTTTGAAAACAGTATCGAGTATGAAGTAGCTTGTGTTGATTTAATATACGCGCGGTAATGTAAATTTCTTTATCTTTCTAGATTTAAACTACGAGAAAGATGGGTGGAAACAAAATCTATTCATCACAAAAAGAAATTAACAGATTCGGAAAAACAAAATGAAATATAGCCAGAGGAATCCTAGCCTTATAGAACAATTTATATATAATTTGTGGAGATGGAACATATAACCTATTTGCGTACTCAGATATATTTTTAATCATGCATAAGTTCATAACTTGTTAGCATTTTGAACATATGAATATTAACCCCCCCCCCCCTTAACGATCTTTCGCCGTCTGAATTTTTTGTTATCTTTGAAATCACATGATTAAAGTGTTGTAAAAACGTAAAAAACTCTATATTTTATGATCTTCAAAATAAAATTATACTACGAAATTATAATGTATGCACATTCACCTTCAAGTAATAAAAGGCGTTTGAATCTAGACGAAACTCACTCTTTGCAGTCTCGAAAAGGAAGCATCAGTCGAAGAAGTTAGTGCTTAGGTACATGGTGATAGTTGGTTTGAACAGCTGTCGGCTTGATTTTTGGCTTTGTAAACGAATTGACTGATCGCTGTGTTGATTTGAATAGCGCGGGAAGACGTTAGTGAGTGGAGCCATATTCTTGCCGATTTTTACAGCCATATCTTGTATATTTCGATTGAAAATGTCAAATGCAAGTGAGCGGTTACTTTAATTTAGTTTTTCCTTTCTTATTTGATTTCAAAACGAACTACGGCGCCGAAAGATGGGGAAGATGAAACACAAGCGCTTGCTCGCAGCGAATAATAGGTATTGTTCTGTTAATATGTATATGTATTTTGCATTTGTGACTTGAAAAAACACGTTTGTAGTTTGTATACGGACAGTCAGGGTGGACGAAACTAGAATAGTTTTGATGTATAGAAATGAATTCGAACTTTATGACTGAAACTAACTCTGGCCCTATTCGTTTTTCGGACAGGGTTGTCCTATAGGGAATACTCGTTTTGAAAGGGAAAGACGGATTGAAACTCAATGCCTATATAATTATTTGTATTGGTATATGAATGTACTTTATGCTAGACTTGATTTGTCCTTTTGTTTTACCGAAGTTTTGTTTTTTTAAAACGAAAGAAGTCTTAAAGAGATGTCGGACATGCCTTGGAACATTATTGCACGCAAATACAAAACTCGATTTCGACAATATGCATGAGTAAAAATTTCATGGAATTTGGCTTTTTTGACTGAAATATAAACTGAACACTCTTCTGTTTACCTCCTTCATTTTCAAGTTTTCCGCCTGTGCATGATTTTTGCATGAAGTCTGGTCGTATCAAGCGCATGCGGAGTGAATACAAGTGATTCTGGGGCCCCAATCACTTGTGTTTTCTCCATCTTGACGACTATATATTCCGGACAATAATATCGCTCAGAGAGCGCCTAAAACATAAAAACATGAAATATGTATTTCTGGAAGGAGATGATAGTCCAGTGTTCTTGCTTTCTTGTACCAAAACGTGCATGACATTTTAAATTCGCGTGCGCAATGCGAAGGCCTTACGAGTGACTGACGTTGGAGTGTTGGAAGTTTGGTATAATATATTATATATCCTGAGTGCTTTATACATAAGTGACATTTCTCTCTTGGAAATTATTCCTATTATACATTTGTTGTCAGATGATGAACGATCGGGTACCTAAGTGATATTTGTGACTTGGAAATTAATGTAATATCTTTGCGATAAAGTATCGTTGCAGGATCAGATGTTGAAGGATCGTCGCAGGATCAGACGAACGTCGCAGGATCAGATGTTGAAGAATCAGATGTTGCAGGATCAGATGTTAAAGGATCGTCGCAGGATCAGACGGATCGTTGCAGGATCAGATGTTGAAAAATCAGATGTTGCAGGATCAGATGTTGAAAAATTAGATGTTGCAGGATCAAATTTTGAAGAATCAGATGTTGCAGGATCAGATGTTGAAGAATCAGATGTTGCAGGATCAGATGTTAAAGGATCGTCGCAGGATAAGACGGATCGCTGCAGGATCAGATGTTGAAAAATCAGATGTTGCAGGATCAGATGTTGAAAAATCAGATGTTGCAGGATCAGATGTTGAAGGATCGTCGCAGGATAAGACGGATCGTCGCAGGATCAGATGTTGAAGAATCAGATGTAGAAAGAACGTCACAGGAACAGATGTTGAAGAATCAGATGTGAAAGGATCAGATGTTGAAGGATCGTCACAGGATCAGATGTTGAAGAATCAGATGTAGAAGGAACGTCACAGGAACAGATGTTGAAGAATCAGATGTGAAAGGATCAGATGTTGAAGGATCAGATGCTGAAGGATCGTCACAGGATCAGATGTTGAAGAATCTGATGTTGAAGGATCGTCACAGGAACAGATGTTGAAGAATCAGATGTGAAAGGATCAGATGTTGAAGGATCAGATGTTGAAGGATTGTCACAGGATCAGATGTTGAAGAATCTGATGTTGAAGGATCGTCACAGGATCAGATGTTGAAGGATCAGATGTTGAAGGATCGTCGCAGGATCAGATGTTGAAAGATCGTCGCAGGATCAGATGTTGGACGATGAGACGGATGTACAAGTAGAAGCTGGTTGAGGTATTATTACATATCATAGGTAGAGTAATGCATGATTAATGTAGTGCATGGCTTATTCCTGCTGCTGGTCTAACCTACTATATTCACACATCAAGTGACATTTTCACCCTTTCGACAATGCATGATAACAGCAAATTTCTCACAGCTCGTATGAGGGTGTTTTTGAGTTTTCTCGAGGAAAAGTTTTGTCACTTGTAGGCCGTAGGATGAGCATCCAAAAGATGCAATTCCGTTGCACCCCTCGTGAAACTACATAATTTTCACATGAATCAATAGATAAAAACTTACTTTATCAGAATCCGTCGCTCCCCAAGTGAAACAGGTGCACAAATGGGAAAAAAATCCCTCCAAAGTTTGCTATATTCGCGCTTCGAAATATTCGAACCGCCATTGTTTTAGTAGCAAATACGCATGCGCTTGTCAGCCAAACTCGCACTGCGCACGCGCAGACAGGAAAAATGGATTTTCCCTGTGGGTTTTCCCCGATTTCCCATGTAAAAATAACAAAATAAAATCACGGAATAAAAATCAAACCTTGTAATATTAACGAATAAGTACACACACAATAAATATTGTTAAAACACATTGTACATTTTGCTTGCTCATATGCTAAATCACTTCAATTTATTGGCTATTGTTTCAAAATACCGTTTTAACGTATAATTCTACTTATTAACATCTTAATTCAATAAAAATTTGTGAGGTAAAAAACCCACCTGTATCAAACAGGACGGAGAATATATAAATATACATACAACTCACACAATCAAGAAACAGGTTAAATATTTCGCTTAAATATAGCCTTGGCCAAACGCATTATCCCATGCAAGAGTAGTTGGAACATCACTAACAAAGCCTGGAGGAATAGCAGAATCATTGGATGTATTCATCTGTGCAAGGGCAGTTTCATGGCACAATACAAATGAGTGTGACATGCAATGTCCAAAGCCACTCACTAGAGAAATTACTGAGGCTGAACCTGTCAGTTGTCTAAGTGCCATGGCAAGTGCTATGCTCTTGGGTGTAAGATTCCTTCCCCCAGATGCTAAATTCACAAGGTCTTGTACAATTGATGTTAGTTTGGAACTGTTCTTGCCCTCAATTGGCACATACTCACTTAAAGTTGGCTCTGAAGAGAATCCACAAGTCCAAGCCAATACATTAAAAAGTTCACATGGAACCACTTTTTGCACATTATCTATTGTCAAATCAGATGCCAATGGTGGCCAAGGAAGATTCAGTTTTGGTATATCTTGGACCTTTTGGCGAAGAATCAATGCAGCATTGTATAGAATTTGTAACTCATTGACTTAAGAATTTCCCTCAGTTTCTGTGTTGGAATTCAGATCATCATCATCAATGGTACCGGTATAGCTCTCTTCATCAAAGTCTTCATTGTTGTTTTCTGACTTGTTTGACATATGTTCCTCAACCAATTCGGAAGAATCCAAATTTTCCACATATACAATCTCACTAACATTTCTCATTTTCGGTACATAGAACACAAGTTGGGGATAGCTTTTCATCAGTCGTTGCTTGAGTTTAAAAGCTCTATATTTAGATGCATCCACATTCTCGGTGTCCTTAGCAATGATAACAAATTTCTCCAGCAATCTTTCATGTACCTTATTTGCTTATTTGCGATGACCTCAGTCTCGATTACTTTCTTACAGAAGACATCATAAGACTTCTCGTACACTGTAGATCTTTCAGTCTCCAATTGCTTCTTTGTCTCTCTGGTGAGAAAATTTGTATGATTGCAGTAGCAAACTTTGTGATAGCGGACTTCCAGTGCTACACAGTCTTCCCCCCGGATTTGCACGAGTATCCGTTCATCATTCTTTCTCTCGGCAGCTGTACGTAGAAGACCAGCATCAATTGTTTCTGCCAACATGAGTGGGGTTCTTCTTCTCTTCTTAGTCACCTGGTGTGAACAAAACTATTAAACTTAATATCTGCTAATAACACAGTTGGATGTTTGTAGCATTAGAAACTACTTTACCCTAAGACTATATAAACTTAATTGACCACAATTCAAGATATTTTAAAACCAAACTCGAGAATGCTGTGCTACTAGTGCACATTGCACCAGCTACTAGTGCACATTGCACTAGTATAATTCATAGATGGCAAACCTTCTTTTAATAAATCTTCTTTTATCTTCTTTTAATAATAAAAGAAGATTTTGATTTCGAAAGAAATTCTTCTTTTATCTTCTTTTATTTTCAAGGAATTTCTAATCCAAGAATATTGAAATTATATTTAAAAATTCAGTCAATTTAGCTGTATTTATTCAAAAATACTTTTTTTAAAACGCAGGAAATGCAGTCTTAGGCATAAATTCATGGTTTGCTACCAGACTTGATATTCAAATTTGTCCAAAATTTGTTACTATGGATAGTTAAATCTGGATTTATGAATACAATAAAAATCTTCTTTTATCTTCTTTTATCTTCTTTTAATGAATAAAAGAAAAAAGAAGATTTTGTTTTCAAAAAAATCTTCTTTTATCCATCTCTGGTATAATTATATCTATCAAAATGACCATACCTTGTCTAGTGAGAACTAAGAGGAATCTCTTCCACAAACAATACATATCTCTGGAAGTACATGCTCGTTTCTTTTAGGCAGGGTCTTATTAACGTCTGCGACTGATTGTCGTGTAATTTTTCGCCTTGGTTCCATTGGTTCCATTTTTACATGTAGTCCTTCGGTAGGAGTTACAGTTTCAGAGCTAGTGCCTTCTCCTTTTTCTTCCTTTCGCTGTTGTCTACGGATCTTCTCTTCATCACAAAATCTCTTCCAGCATTTCATATGATGGTACCATTCTAAGTTAATGCTGTCAGGGTTCTTCTCCATGTATGAATTGACAGATCCGTCATCGATGTTTTCGTAAGATTTCTTAGCTATTTCAGCTTGTTGACATTTAAGTTTGGCCCATTTGGACCTACACTCAAGAAATTTCTTAAGCCTTTGGCGTGTTACTTTGCAAAGTTGCTCCGTAACGCCATGAAAATGAATAAAACATGAGGATATTCGAGTGTTATAAATATCTTCAGCCATGATTATTTTGCATAACTCGAAGCATGTGCGTGCTTATGCGCGTGCGCAGTGCGAGTTTGGCTGACAAGCGCATGCGCATTTGCTACTAAAACAATGGCGATTTGAATATTTCGAAGCGCGAATATAGCAAACTTTGGAGGGATTGTTTTCCCAATTGTGCACCTGTTTCGCTTGGGGAGCGACGGATTCTGATAAAGTAAGTTTTTATCTATTGATTCATGTGAAAATTATGTAGTTTCACGAGGGGTGCAACGGAATCCGTTTTCTAAGCATCTTTTGAATGCTCATCCTACGGCCTATTGGTGTGAACGACTTAAGGTGGTCTTATTATACTCTTATACAAAGAAAGTTTTTCCTTTTCATTGCGAAAAATCAGAAACTTTTGATGCAAAAGAGATCTAACGTATCTTACAAAATATTGATGGCAAAAACATGCAATTGTTTTAAATATCTTTGCTTAGGAGGTGATCTAGATCTATTGCGATAGTTTTGAATAGTAAAAGTCTGGCGAGCCATAAACATTTTCTACCTAGCTATCTGACAAAAATCGTCACCATTTTACTGCAACTCAACGAATTTTTTTGGTTTCTATCCGAGAAAAATGTGTGTAATGACTTAAACATTATGGCGATTACGCAATCCTGGTGTGTGCAGGAACTTTTTCATGGGGGTACAAAGTTCCTGCACACACCAGGATGGCGTAGAATTAGAGTTCACTGAGAATGACGCGTGCGCTTCTGAACCAACCTCTCAACATGTCTTAATCTCTGTGTCTCCACCATCAGCGGTCTCAACCAACGTAAAAATTATCCAGCTGTCTAGTGTATATTGAGGTCGTTGGGCTTCACTGACCTATAAATGTGGGTGGGGGGCCAGTGGTGAGAGGCAGTCATGGGGGCAGTGAGGCTATTTCAGATCCGCCTGAGCACCAATTATTGCGAGGTTTATCAAGAATTTGCTTAAATTTGTTCTGTTTTAGGTTGCAAACACTACCAAACAGTGAAATAAAGATATGAAACATTATCCCACTCAAAAATAGGTTATAGTCCAGATGAAGAATCGAATTCACTGGTCCATAATAAATACAGGTCAGTGGTCTATTGCATTGTGGGCAATGTGGTGTTACCAAATTAGCCAATCACAAGCTGCAGTTTCGGTCATGTGACAGTTTTTGACAGATTGAGTGATTGACAGTCAGTTTTCAAGACCATGTGGACGCTGCGGTGGCAAGGAAATTCGCTCTTCGTTTCAAGAAAAGAAAACCAGGTGTGTATATCTCTGAATACTCTTCATAAAAAGAACGCAGATATTATTCAAACAATGTTTCAAATATTTAAATAGTTATTAAACACTTTTTTGTCTTTTACTGTTTCATTTTAGGCCGAAATCTGTCGACGAAAGCTGGATTCAATGGTCGTGAGTTTTACAGTATGTGTTAAATAGTCTCTTATCTGTTAGTTATTGAACTAAAACGTTTATCAGCCAGGCTAGAATGGTTCTGTCTTCAGTATTCGTATCAATAAGTGTCAATTATTAAGGCAATAAGTGTCAATTATTAAGTGCAGAAAATTAAGTCCAATTTTTCAGCGTATTTAAGCCGCTACTAGGCGCTGCCGTTTAGAGCATATTGCTTTGATTTTTTAAGTTTCCTTTGTTGTAAGCAAAGCTAGAATAGCTTAGCATAGTATTCGTAGTGATCCTACTAATTTGCAGAAGAATTAGGTCCAAATTTTAAGTGTTTTTAGCGAGTTTCCATGCATGTGCGTGTTTTTGCGACGCGGGTCCTTTTCAACTGCGGGTTTAACTTTTAGAACATATTGTTTAGTTTTTGAAGCTTTCTTACATCGTAAGCAAAAATATAGTAGTTTGCCTGAGTATTCGTATCAATTTGCAGAAGAATAAGGTATTTTTGGCGTATTGGTGCCGCCGTGCGGGGCTTCTTGCTGTTTAAATCTCGCTTCTCACCGTCTTTTTTTTAAATGAAGGTCTTGAAGCGCGCTGCATTTATAGCTATACGATAGATAATCGACGTTTGCTACTAATATAACTGCATTGAGAAATTGATATATTATGTTTATTCATTTAAATGCGTTTCTATTTGATCCCGTAAAAATGTGAGTTGATTCGCATGTGCTTTGTGCCATTTGCCAGTCATTCAGTAAAGGCAAATTAACTAGAATTTACTTGGTGTGTCAAAAGGTGAAAAATGGGCGTTTAAAAGCCCCAAATGACAGGTGCCTAGAAATCGTTTTTCACCCAGACAAACGTAAGAAACGATTCTACTTTTTCGCGACAATTTTTTTTGCAAACCAATCACATCACCAGTGTTTCCTCAACGCACCTTTAAAATGTCCTTAATTTTGCATTACGGAATATTCTTTCTATTTTATGTGAAAAGTAAAAACCTGATGTTATGTTTAGACTGATTTGTATTTCTGAAAACTAACATTTTCTCTACTTTGTGTTTTGAGTGGTATACCAAATCTATTTTCTGATTTGAAACGAATACAATAAACCAACATAGAAACACCTATTGTAGTATTCCTACTTGAAACTGGGAGTATTTATTAGAACACCCTAAATAATCCTGTATAAACATATACTACCATCAGAAGTATGGATTGATAGGTACGTAGATATTGTGCCTATACTGTACTTATTATCACTCTTTCATTTATTCATTTTAGTTGTAATGATGGAGAAATGTTACCATTTTTCATGCAAATACAAAATCTAAAATTAAATTCAAACCAGACATTTTATGAAATCAAAATCAAACCAGACATTTTATAATATACCCAGACATTTGAGGCTCCTCTGTTTTTGGATTGCATGCAGTTCAGATCCCAACCCTTGGTTATATCTTGCATGTTTTGTCAGGAGTAATGAGTAAGTATAAGTGATCAGCGGCCGGGGTCATTTATACTTTCTGTATGCTCGACTGACCTAGTCCGGCATAGGCAAAATATTGCTCTTGGAGCACACAAAAAAAGAGATGCATGTTGAGATATGATCTTAAAAAGGGGGTATAATGGTCGAGTGTTAAATGTCTGTCCCATTTTTGAATGAAGCATGTGTTAAATCTTGCTAAATTTGCATGTAATTTCGAAAATGCATGAAAATTTTGTATTCGCATGTACAATGAGCGTCGTGGTGAAGATGATGTTGGTGGAGCTCATGCAGGTAACATACCATAAGTGAGCTTGTTTCATATCATTTCAGATGTTAAGAAATGAATAATTTCAGATGATGATGGACCAGCTGACGATGACAGATGATGATGGACCACCCGATTACAGATGATGATGGACCACCTGATGACGATGATCAGCAGATGATGATGGACCGCCCGATGACAGATGATGGACCGCCCGATGACAGATGATGATGGGCCGCCCGAAGACAGAAGATGATGGGCTGAAGACAGGTTTGATGGGTGGTATTATTCAGTTTTCATACATTCTATCCTGTGCATGCTTGTTTTCCTGGTGGTCTGCTCTAAATGTGTAATACATTAAGTGAAATTCCCATTTTGACATTGATGATAAATAAAAATTCCGGATTGCATGCAGAACAATTAAATTAATGTATACAGCATGTTTGATTCTTTGAAAATGCATGTTTCTGTTTTATCACTTAATGTGTAATGCAATTGGTGAAATTAATGCATGATATTACTGAAGTGTCCAATGGTGCGGCTAAAAATGATGAAGCAAGAACTCAACTTGAAGAATGGAATTCGTACAAAGGTAACTGTGAACAAGAACCAGGTATGCATATGATTGTTTTTGTTTGTTGGCACATATACATAAGGCATTGGCATTAAAAATTTGCAACAAAATATTACAGTAATGCGCCACAAGATTGATTTCTGTAAGTGCATGTGCGAATGAAAATAGCTAAAATAATAGCATTATTTTAAAAAAGCGAATTATTTTCAAAGCTTTTTATGTATTAATGTCGTACCATACTTGATCACCTCTGGCAATATTTTACCGTGAATCTTTCCTGTTTTTTAGAAAGAAATCGAGGAACAATTAAGGAAAGAGGAAGAAGAGGCAAAATCTCGGTATGAACTTATTTTTGCTGCCATAAACATCTTTGCGAGGTTTTACAAAAAAATTCCCGAGTTCTTTTTATAGACTCACACGTAATGCTTTAAATCTGATATTTTTTTCAATGCAAAATTTTATTATTTCAGACAAGCTGCTCTTGAACAAGAGAGATTAGATCACGAACTGGCCTTGCGTTTGGCAAAGGTATTATATCTCAATATTTTTGCAATTTCTTTGGCGATTAATACTACTAAATGCTTCCGTTTAACTGTTCAACTGTGTGGAAGTTTATGTTCACTTTCTGCTAGACAGAATTAAGCCTATACTAATTTTTTCTCATTTTAGGAATCCAACTCGAACAGGGATTATTTTAAGGAAATTTTATCACTGCACAAAAGCGCAAAAAGGATAAAATTTGTATCATTTTCCCCACATTACAGAAAAACTTCTGACTGACCTACTTGTTCTGATTCTTCAACCCATGCATTACACTATATACATGCTATCAAATGAGCCAAAATCCCAGCTGAGCCTATATCACCATCCTCTATTTTTATAACATTAGCAATATTAAATATCAACACTTTCTCACATAGGCCTATTTTTTGCAAAATGTCAATGCATCTACATTACTTAGCACTCATCTTTAAAGAATTTTCTAACAAGCAACTATGAAATGTAATGTAATTTGTCGAAAAATACCACATTTATCACTGCACATATTCTCATTTATCACTGCACAAATCTCATTTATCACTGCACAAATTGGTTATCACTGCACACTAAAATAATCCCTGAACTCGAATGTAGAACCCATGGAGGAACAAAAAGCTATTAAAAGGTAAATATTATAATATTGTATAGCTCTATCAGTTCTAAACTGTTCTTCCTAGAGGTCCAGTAAGAATCATCTCTTATTGATGCAGTGTTACTACAGGAGGAAACCTAAAGTAAACTAACTTTATTTATACTGGATAGCTCTATCAGTTCTAAACTGTTCTTCATAGAGGTCCAGTAAGGATCATCTCTTATTGATCCAATGTTACTACAGGAAGAAACCTAAACATACTTTATTCTGATCAGCTATCACAAACAAGATACTAAAAAAATGAACTTGTTTCGCCACAGAGCAGCCTCCTTGAAAGATCCGAATAAGAAATATGACCTGAGTAAATGGAAATATGCTGAGTTAAGAGACGCCATCAACACCTCGTGCGGTATGTGTTGTTGTCATTACTTGGTTCCTGTGGAAAGTTTAGTTTTGAATACAAAATATGGACTTCTGTTTTTGTTTTTCTAGATGTCGAGTTATTAGAAGCTTGTAAACAAGAGTTCCATCGCCGTCTTAAGGTTTATCATCAGTGGAAAAATAAAAATAAGGCATCGAAGTCGACGGGTCAAAGTGCTGGTGATCAAAGAGCACCTCAAGAGGTCGTGGAAGAAGGTTGGCAAATAGTTAATATCAACATTATATGCTTTTATTTTAGCAAGTTCATTAATAAGTTCTGAACTGTTGTTACTACAGGAGTGTCGTAACTTGATGATTTAAATCGATGTAATTTTCTAGTAAAGTTTTTATTTTATGTTTCTACTCCTCGCTTACAATACTAATGTTATTTTCCCAAGCCTTATCTTAATCATATGCATGCGCTGTTCACGTGTCCGTCATTTCTAAATATACACACGTAAAAACGCACGAGTTGTAACAAGCCTGCAGCAAGCTTGTCGCAAGCTCGTTTCAACAAGCTTGTTGCAAGATTTATTCGCACCGCTTGTCCCAAGTTGTTGTGACGGACGTGTAGCAAGTTGTTGTCAGACTTGTAGCAAGTTTGTTGTGACAATGCTGTACCAAGGTTGTTGCCAACAAGCTTGCTACAAGTCTGACAACAACTTGCTACAAGCTTGTTGAACTTGAGCTGTTCCAAGCTTGTTATAACAAGGCCGTTACAAGCTTGTCGCGACAAGCTTGCTGCAAACATGGCCGCGCATTAAATCTCGCTTGAAAACACGCGTGTTTTCCCGGAGATTGTGAAACAAAGAACAAACAACACAAAGTTTGATGTAAAAATCATATTATTTTAAAAACAAATTCAAAGGTTAGCAATTAAATAGAAACTTCACATTTGAAGTACCAAGATTACTAAAGGCTCAGTACAAGAACATATGTATTTTCCTTTCTGAGTATATAGCCTAATAATCAGTTCGTAAGAAAAGTTTCTTTGCATTCATATGGTAAAAATTAACTGGTGCATGAATATTCTTGTATAATACCAGTATTTCAGTCACTTGTTGAATTGACTTCGTCGTCCCAAGAATCAACAGCTAGGCGCTAGCTGCACCTCATTCCTATAATTCACTTTGTTAATCCGCTGGATACTATACGACAAGGAGGAAACCTAAACTAAACTAACTTTATTTATACTGGATAGCTCTATCAGTTCTAAACTGTTCTTCCTAGAGGTCCAGTAAGAATCATCTCTTATTGATCCAGTGTTACTACAGGAGGAAACCTAAACTAAACTAACTTTATTTATACTGGATAGCTCTATCAGTTCTAAACTGTTCTTCCTAGAGGTCCAGTAAGGATCATCTCTTATTGATCCAATGTTACTACAGGAGGAAACCTAAACATACTTTATTCTGATCAGCTATCACAAACAAGATACTAAAAAAATGAACTTGTTTCGCCACAGAGCGGCTTCCTTGAAAGATCCGAATAAGAAATATGACCTGAGTAAATGGAAATATGCTGAGTTAAGAGACGCCATCAACACCTCGTGCGGTATGTGTTGTTGTCATTACTTGGTTCCTGTGGAAAGTTTAGTTTTGAATACAAAATATGGACTTCTGTTTTTGTTTTTCTAGATGTCGAGTTATTAGAAGCTTGTAAACAAGAGTTCCATCGCCGTCTTAAGGTTTATCATCAGTGGAAAAATAAAAATAAGGCATCGAAGTCGACGGGTCAAAGTGCTGGTGATCAAAGAGCACCTCAAGAGGTCGTGGAAGAAGGTTGGCAAATAGATAATATCAACATTATATGCTTTTATTTTAGCAAGTTCATTAATAAGTTCTGAACTGTTGTTACTACAGGAGGAAACCTAAACTAAACTAACTTTATTTATACTGGATAGCTCTATCAGTTCTAAACTGTTCTTCCTAGAGGTCCAGTAAGAATCATCTTTTATTGATCCAGTGTTACTACAGGAGGAAACCTAAACTAAACTAACTTTATTTATACTGGATAGCTCTATCAGTTCTAAACTGTTCTTCCTAGAGGTCCAGTAAGGATCATCTCTTACTAAATTAACTTTTTTCATACTGGATAGCTCTGTATCAGTTCTCAAACGTTTAATTTCTCGTTTTAGTTGCAAGTCATGCAAGCGTTAGTAAGCCAACTTACAGACTTCCCCCGCGTCGATCACAGCGATATTTCCGCGTTCCCTTTGTGAAGCCCGGTGACGAGTATCGTGACAACGACTTCAAGAAGCGCGGGTACTGGTTCGCCCATTTTGACGGGCAATGGATAGCCCGCCAGCTGGAGATACACCCGAGCGGAGTGAACGTTGTCCTGGTCGCGGGCACAGACGATCTTGATATGTACCAGCTGAGTCTGGATGAAACAGGTTTGACTCGCAAACGTGGCGCTGAAATAACAAAACGTGAATTTGAATTTAGTTGGCAGAAATGTGGCGGCAAATCAGATGCTTATAAACAACCGACTTTTGAATAAAATCACTTCACCTAGGATTTTTTTGAGTTCTCACCAAAATAGAACTTCATTTCTTTCCTAAATCTAATTTGGAGGAGATAGACTGGAAAGAACCTCACATAATATCTTCGCAAATCAATTTCCACAATAGAACACTGTTCGACAGTTTTGGAGCATGTTTTTACAATGATCTCGCAATATTATTGAACTTCAATTTTTTTTTCATTGCACCTACATGAGCATGCACTGCTGGTGAACTGCTCCAACACTTAATGGTCACTATAGATAACTTTTTCCAACACTAGATCACATTCGTAGATAGTCATTTTTAACCTATACGTTTATTTATTTCACTTTGTAATATTTATATACATAAAAATACTATGATGCAGTTAGGATAATTTTTTTCAACCGTCGTATTTTTTAATTTTGTGTTGTCTGTCTTTATTTGCCCGGTCTCTTAGCATAATTTGGTAAAGTGTGCTTGCATTGGGCGAACTGGAATGTGTTCTGTAATATGTGTGTCTTTACTCTTACATCTATCTTCAGCTTTATTGACATAATTGTTGTATTATTTTTTTTCAATATGAAATACTCTGCGTACAAGGTTATGAAAAGTTTCGAGCTCTGATTCTGCCTGCAATGGCCAATGATGATCATTTTTTACGTTAAGATAGCGTTAAAGAAGGTACCGAGAAAAAAGTTGTCACACAGGGTGTATAAAAAAACCCGCAACCACTTAATATTCATGATATCCTCTTTGGTCTACAACACAAAAGACGTTTGGCCCCTGGAATGCGAGAAAGGTTGTAATCATATTCTAGCGGCACAATCGTCGGTAAACAAAGTCGGGTGCGTAAACCAACGAGCTGAATTGAAAGTATTTAACGAGTAAAATGTTATTTACAATTTATTTGACAAGGTCGACAGTTAGCATTCAAGTTATCATGCACGACAATAAAAACTCGTTCGGTTGTTAGCTGCACCATTATTAGTTTAGCTGATTTGACTATTAGCAGTTGAACTGTACGATTAGAAGCCATTTTAAAATCCCAGGGGCATAAAATCTATTGAGCTTATGAACAATATGAATTGTAGAAAATAAGTGGTTGCGTTTTTTTTGAGACACCCTGTAGTTTTAGTTTGAAAAGATTAACGCGAAAAGAGAAGGCTTTTAAATCAAACTAAGAGTTATATCCATTAATCGCTTCACGGAGCGGAATTTTGCTAATCACTTACAACGGACAATAGAAATATGCAAAACATTTTTATTTAGCTAATTTATATCCATTCCGGGCGAATCTGCCATGAGTTAGTTGATTATCTATTGTTGTCAATGCTAAAATTGTCCGTTGGAATTTTCTTTGTCGTTGAAGTAATAAAAGGCGGTTGAATCTAGACGAAACTCAGTCTTTGCAGTCTCGAAAAGCAAGCATCAGTCGAAGAAGTTCAGGAAAAGTTGGAAGATTCTTGCTTACTAAGGTACATGGTGATAGTTGGTTGAACATCTTTTGGCTTGATCTTTGGCTTTGTAAACAAATTTACTGATCGCTGTGTTGATTTAAATAGCGTGGGAAGACGTGAGCGAATGGAATCATATTCTTGCCGATTTTTACTGCTTTATCTTGTATATTTCGATTGAAAATGTCCAATGCAAGTGAGCTGTTACTTTAATTTAGTTTTTCCTTGCCTATTTGATTTCAGAACGAACTACGGCGCCGAAAGATGGGAAAAGAGAAACGTAAAGGCTTGCTCGCAACGAATTAGGTATTGTTCTATTAATATATGTGTATTTTGCATTTGTGACTTGAAAAAAACACGTTTGTACTTTGTTTACGGACAGTCGGGGTGGACAAAACTAGAATAGTTTTGATATATAGAAATGAATTCGGACTTTATGACTGAAACTAACTTTCCAGGCTGGCCTATTCGTTTTTCGGACAGGGTTGCCCAAAGGGAATGCTCGTTTTGAAAGGGAAAGACGGATTGAAACTCAATGCCTATATAATTTTTTGTATTGTTATATGATTGTAGTATGCTAGACTTCCCTGTCCTTTTGTTTTACCGAAGTTCTGTATTTGTAGAACGAAAGAATCGTAAGGAGATGTCGGACATGCCTTGGGACATTAATGCACGCAAATACAAAACTCGATTTCGACAATATGCATGAGTAAAAATTGCATCGAATTTGGCTTTTTTGACTGAGATATAAACTGAACACTCTTCTTTTTACCTCCTTCATTTTCAAGTTTTTCGCCTGTGCATGATTTTTGCATGAAGTCTGGTCATATCAAGCGCATGCGGGGTGAATACGAGTGATTCTGGGGCCCCAATCACTTGTGTTTTCTCCATCTGGACGACTATATAGTCCGGACAAAAATATCGCTCAGAGAGCGCCTAAAACATAAAAAAATGAAATATGTATTTCTAGAAGGAGATGATAGTCCAGTGTTCTTGCTTTCTTGTACAAAAACGTGCATGACTTTTGTATTAAAACGTGCATGACATTTTGTATTAAAACGTGCATGACATTTTGTATTAAAACGTGCATGACATTTTGTATTAAAACCTGCATGACATTTTGTATTAAAACGTGCATGACATTTTGTATTAAAACGTGCATGACATTTTGTATTAAAACACGCAAGACATTTTGTATTAAAACGTGCAAGACATTTTGTATTAAAACGTGCATGACATTTTGTATTAAAACGTGCATGACATTTTGTATTAAAACGTGCATGACATTTTGTATTAAAACGTGCATGACATTTTGTATTAAAACGCGCATGACATTTTGTATTAAAACCTGCATGAAATTTTGTATTAAAACGTGCATGATATTTAGTATTAAAACAAGCATGACAATTTGTATTAAAACGTGCATGACATTTTGTATTAAAACGCGCATGACATTTTGTATTAAAACGTGCATGACATTTTGTATTAAAACGTGCATGACATTTTGTATTAAAACGTGCATGACATTCTGTATTAAAACCTGCATGACATTTTGTATTAAAACGTGCATGACATTTTGTATTAAAACCTGCATGACATTTTGTATTAAAACGTGCATGACATTTTGTATTAAAACGTGCATGACATTTTGTATTAAAACGTGCATGACATTTCGTAATAAAACGTGCATGACATTTTGTATTAAAAACTGCACGACATTTTGTATTAAAACGTGCATGACATTTTGTATTAAAACGTGCATGACATTTTGTATTAAAACGCGCATGACATTTTGTATTAAAACGTGCATGACATTTTGTATTAAAACCTGCATGACATTTTGTATTAAAACGTGCATGACATTTTGTATTAAAACCTGCATGACATTTTGTATTAAAACCTGCATGACATTTTGTATTAAAACGTTCATGACATTTTGTTTTAAAATATGCATGACATTTCGTAATAAAACGTGCATGACATTTTGTATTAAAACGTGCATGACATTTTGTATTAAAACGTGCATGACATTTTGTATTAAAACGTGCATGACATTTTGTATTAAAACGTGCATGACATTTTCTATTAAAACGTGCATGACATTTTGTATTAAGTATTAAAACTTGCATGACATTTTGTATTAAAACGTGCATGACATTTTGTATTAAAACCTGCATGACATTTTGTATTAAAACGTGCATGACATTTTGTTTTAAAATGTGCATGACATTTCGTAAAAAAACGTGCATGACATTTTGTATTAAAACGTGCATGACATTTTGCATTAAAACGTTCATGATATTTTGTATTAAAACGTGCATGACATTTTGTATTCAAACGTGCATGGTATTTTGTATTAAAACGTGCATGACATTTTGTATTCAAACGTGCATGACATTTTGTATTAAAACGTGCATGACATTTTGTATTAAAACGTGCATGACATTTTGTATTAAAACGCGCATGACATTTTGTATTAAAACGTGCATGACATTTTGTAATAAAACGTGCATGACATTTTGTATTAAAACCAGCATGACATTTTGTATTAAAACCTGCATGACATTTTGTATTAAAACGTGCATGACATTTTGTATTAAAATGTGCATGATATTTTGTATCAAAACCTGCATGACATTTTGTATTAAAACGCGCATGAAATTTTGTATTAAAACGTGCATGATATTTTGTATTAAAACCTGCATAACATTTTGTATTAAAACCTTCATGACATTTTCTATTAAAACGTGCATGACATTTTGTATTAAGTATTAAAACTTGCATGACATTTTGTATTAAAACGTGCATGACATTTTGTATTCAAACGTGCATGATATTTTGTATTAAAACGTGCATGACATTTTGTATTCAAACGTGCATGACATTTTGTATTAAAACGTGCATGACATTTTGTAATAAAACGTGCATAACATTTTGTATTAAAACCAGCATGACATTTTGTTTTAAAACCTGCATGACATTTTGTATTAAAACCTGCATGACATTTTTTATTAAAATGTGCATGATGTTTTGTATTAAAACCTGCATGACATTTTGTATTAAAACGCGCATGACATTTTGTATTAAAACGTGCATGATATTTTGTATTAAAACCTGCATAACATTTTGTATTAAAACCTTCATGACATTTTCTATTAAAACGTGCATGACATTTTGTATTAAGTATTAAAACTTGCATGACATTTTGTATTAAAACGTGCATGACATTTTGTATTAAAACCTGCATGACATTTTGTATTAAAACGTGCATGACATTTTGTTTTAAAATGTGCATGACATTTCGTAATAAAACGTGCATGACATTTTGTATTAAAACGTGCATGACTTTTTTTTTTAAAATGTGCATGATATTTTGTATTAAAACGTGCATGATATTTTGTATTCAAACGTGCATGATATTTTGTATTAAAACGTCCATCACATTTTGTATTCAAACGTGCATGACATTTTGTATTGAAACGTGCATGATATTTTGTATTCAAATGTGCATGACATTTTGTATTAAAACGTGCATGACATTTTGTATTAAAACGTGCATGACATTTTGTATTAAAACGTGCATGACATTTCGTAATAGTTTGTGCATGACATTTTGTATTAAAACGTGCATGACATTTTGTATTAAAACGTTCATCACATTTTGTTTTAAAATATGCATGACATTTCGTAATAAAACGTGCATGACATTTTGTATTAAAACGTGCATGACATTTTGTTTTAAAATGTGCATGAAATTTCGTAATAAAACGTGCATGACATTTTGTATTA